ATATATTATTTGATAAAGTCTCCTTTTGATTATTTGGTTTAAATCCTCTAAATTTTAGGTATATTGATTTTGATTAGAGATACTACTTAATGTATTATTAAGTCTCCTTCTTACTATAACAGAGTATGTTTAACCTCCATTCCTTTGTCATAGTCAGTTCTTCTACTTAATGCATCTGTGTTAGTATTAAGTTTCCTACTCTGATATTTAATCTTAAAGTTAAATAATAATAATTTATATGATTATTTTAGCTGTCGTCTATTTAATACTTTAGTAGTGGTGAAGTTCCGGAGATTCTGGTGATCTGATAAGACTAAGAACATATCTTTTCTACCTTCTAAGTAATGTTGCCAGTATTTGAGTGCGTTAATGATTACTAACAGCTCTTAATCTGATATGGAATACCTAGTTTCCGCATCTGTAAATTTTCTTAAGTGATAGGCTACTGGTTACCATAACCCATCTTTATCCTATTAACTTAGGACCACTCTAAGAATATATTTAGAAGCATCTGTTTTAACTCTTATCAGCTTTTTCTTATTGAATAATTATAGTACTAGTATAGTTATAACTAATTTCTTAAGTTTATTAAAGGCCTTTTAAGCGTCTTCGGTCCACTGAAATTCCTGGGAAGTGACGCCAGCGTTTTCCCTTTTCTTAGTAAGTTCAGTAAGTGGTACTGCAATCCTTAAATATCTAGGGATAAACTGTTGATAATAGTTTATAAATCCTAAAAATACTTAAACTTACTTAATAGTTTATGGTTTAGGCTATTCCTTAACTCTTTCGACCTTTTCTGGATTTACTTCTAATCCCTTTTCTGATATAATCAGTCTAATAAACTTGATTCTCTATTTATGGAACTTATATTTGGATGGTTTAAGCTGTAAATTATGTTTCTTTAGCGCTTTTAAGACCTTTTGGATATGTTCGATATATTCTTTAAGTGTCTAGGAGTATATTAATATATTATCCATATAGACCTTAATATACTTATCTAAGTATTCCTGTAATATATGGTTCATATATACTTATATAGTAGCTGGGGTATTTATAAGCATAAATAGCATTACTCTATACTAATAGTGCCCTTAATAAGTGCTAAACACTGTCTTATACTTATTGCCCTGCTTAATCTAAATTCGATGGAATGCTTCCGGTATATCAAACTTTATAAATTATTAAGCTCCTTGGAGTTGGTCTCGTAACTCCTAAATTAATAATAGTGTTATACTATTCTTTACTATAATACTATTTAGGTATCTATAATCTATATAAAGTTGTAGTCTGCTATTAGGTTTAGGTATATAGAATACCAGATATCTTATAGGAGACTTGGACTCTTTAATAAAACCTCTTTTTAGGTTTTTGTCTAAATACTTATCTAGTACTTTTCTTTGGTCTGCCCTAAGTAGGTAGATGCTAAACCTTTTTAATTAGGATCCCTTTTTTAGTACTATTTTATGATTGAACGGCTGGTGCGGTAGCAAGGCTTCTTCTAGAGCCTCCTTCTTGAAAAGTTCCGTAAATTCCTTATACTCTGGAGGAATTTGGAATGCTGTCTTCTGCTCCCCTTGAAGCTGATAAATAGCTACCGCCTCTATATCTTATATACTTTACTATATAAGCTTTTTTATCTGCCCTCTAGTGCGCTTTCTGGCCTGGATAGGATATCAATCCTTAACTAGAGATATAATTAAGGTTAACCAGTTGATATGCGGTCTTTCGTCCTAGAGCCATAATAATTTAAGGATGATATCTGAATCCCTAATATTAGTAATATTAAATATCCTACTAACCTTTTTATCTAATATTACTATATTAATGGTTGTCTTATACTTAATTATACCTTAATCTAAAGTAATTAGGGTTCCATTAGTAGTAATAAGTAGATATGGATCCTTTTTCTTATTCAAAGGTAAATTCCATTCTCTTATATACCAACTGCTTAAGAAATCTACTATAGCTCCTGAGTTAATTATGGTTATGGTAGAATTGCCTGTAATCTTAACTTCTACCATTAGCTTACTTTCCCCTAACTTGTTAAGGCTTTAAGGTTCCTTCTAAGAGTTAACTATTATGCCCCTTAATAGTTGACCTCCTCGTTTCCTGAGAAGTAAGGGTGCTTGCTTTTACCGTTATCAAGTGTTTCTTCGCCTGACTCCCATTCTTCAGAACTTCCATCCGGGTTGGACATTATCTTGGTTACTTGCAGGTTCAGTCAATATAACTTCTACAGATCTTTAGAGTCTAGATCTGCGTTTATCTGAAGTCCAATTTGATACAGGTCCTTAGGTAAAACCTATATAATAGCCCTTCTTATTAAGTCATCCGTTATATAGATAAGCTTTATGATATATTTATAGATATTTTTTATTATTTTGTTCTCTTTAGGGTTAAGATTTCTAATTATACTTTAGATTCCTTATTGTGATGGTCCAATATTAATTAATATATGGTTATTATCTATAGTTCCCTATTATATTACTGGTATGTAGTATCTTGGATATTGATAATTCCAAGCCGTACAAAGGTTAACTGGAAGATGCTTATAGTATATATAATAATTATTACCCTGGATACTCTTAATCTGGAGTATCTGTCGCACCTGTGTGAAAGAAACTTTAGGTAGTCTATAAGGATATTCCCATGATGGTTCTCCTGAATCCTTATTCTCACTATGCTCCCAGAATCCATAATCTTGAACTTTGTAATGACTAATTAGTAGTGCCCAATAGAACTTATAAGCTATATTTATCTAAATATTAGAATGCCGTTCCAAGATTCCATGAATCATAGTCTTATCCTATAGTCCTGTATTTTGGTTTAGTCCTTATTAGTAAGTATTATAAGAGCCTTTCTTAAGTATAGCAATCTTCCGTACTTGCACACCTATTCCCAGAGTCTTAATTAACTATTTCTTAAGCTTTAAACAATTTCAAGCAAAATGTCCTGGTTAGCCACACTTAAAATAATTTCCCGTGTTTTTCTTAAAATTCTTAGGCTGTCTTAGGGCTTAATCGCCTTTCTAGAGTTTATCTATCTCTATAGGCTGTGGTCTGTAGTAATTGGTAGAGCATTATAGTCTCCTATAATTAGATTAGTATTTAGGCGTCTTTCCTTGCTTATTGAGCTTATTTTTAAATAGGATGGAATTAATCCTAATCGCTGATTCAATAAGTTCTATAAGGGTAGATATCTTCTTCTCCCTAAGCTGTAACTGGGCTTTAACTTCTGGCTTAAGTCCTGTGAAAAACTTGGTGCGAAGTGCATCATTATTCTATTTTAAAATTACCGCCTATTTCTTGAATTTGACCGCGTAGGAACTCGCGTCTGACTTCTGGTATAGTTCCAATAATTTCTTCTCAGCTAAGTGAGCCTCGTTAACTCACTGAAAGTACTAATCTATCTCTCCTATAAATATTAAATAACTCTAGAAGATTCTCTTAATATTATATAGAATATCTCCTTTCTTTAAGATATATTAATCAACTCGCCTTTAGATCCAAATATATATATTTCCCCTTAGGTAAGAAATAGTATATATAACTTTCTTTTCTTCAGTGTTAAGCTTATCCTAATTCTAATAAATATAGATTCTAAGCTAAGACCTGAAGGCTTTATATTTAGATTATTCCCCTTTAAAAGGTTTAGGTAGATTGATTTTTGGTCGAGTCATATTATTATTAAAGAGATTCTTACTTCTAGAATCGGAGTTTGAGTTGGATGAATCAGAGTCGTCAAATAATTAAGTATCTGGTAGGACTTCCGGATCTCTTAGTGGTAGAGGTAGTGGTAGTACTACTATTCTATATATTAATAGCCCGGCAGCACTGGTAGTTGAAGTAACCTCAACCTTCTTCTTTAGTAGACCAGACTGTTGTTGACTTCCGCTACTTCTCTTAAAGACAGTAGATATAAGATATTGTTCCTTGCCCTATCTAATAATTTAGTAATTTAACTTTTATTAAAAATACTTTCCTAATACTGACTAGCTTTACTAATATAAGTTACTTTGGAAAGGTTTAGCTTCCTAGAGTAAAGGAATAATATATAATAAGAGCTTATTATAGAAGGAATATAATAAGATAGTTATATTTATAACTTAGAGTAGTCTGAGCTTTAAGAGTATGAGAATATATTTAAACTAACTACTAGCTATGCTAGACAGTTAAATTATAAAGAGTGTTATATCGGTAGAGACAGGATGTTTATATAGACCTTATTCTTGATGTCCTTGTTGCCTTGTTTATTCTGATCATTCTTAGTGAAGTGATCAGAATGATCACTCTGACTAATCAGCAATATCCTAGCCACCGGTCATTGGTTAATGCGCTCATTTTGATCATTTTTCCAAGAATGATCAAAATGATCACTCATATGACAGATCACGTGTTACTTCGTAACACTCAGACTACTCTAAGTCATAAACATAACTATCTTATTGTATTCCTTCCACAATAAGCTCTTGTTATACATTGTTCCTCTGCTCTAGGAAGCTAAACCCTTCCGAAGTGGCTTACACTAGTGAAGCTAGTCGGTATTGGGAAAGTGTTCCTAACATTTATATAGACCTTGTTTTTAATATCCTTATCGCCTTATTTCTTACAGTGATTATTCCGATCATGAATGATCAGACTGATTGCATCCTGCAATCCTGATTCGTCTAATCCGTCCGGTCGAATCATAAGCTTGCGCTTATGCAAACCGATCACCTTGATCATGAGTGATCAACATGATCGTTTTCTTGTCACGTGGTTCCCAATGTTACTTCGTAACACCTTCCGAAGTGGCTTACATTAGTGAAGCTAGTCGGTACTAGGAAAGTATTCCTAACAAATAGATATAAAGATATTATTATTATATAATTATTTTAATATTCTAATACCAGGCCTACACCTTTATTTTGGTAAAGAGTTATTAGAATTATAAAAAGTAAATATAAGTATAATATTAGGATAAGGAGTAATAAATATAGATTAGTATTAAAATTAATAACTAAAGAGTAAAATTAAGGTAAATACTATATATAGCTTAAATATTGCTTCCCCCTGGAGCATATGACCCGCGGCCTGAGCGCAGCTGTACCGTGCGTATGTTCCTCTTCCGTTCCTCACATTGTACATAGGAGTAGTTGCTGAGTTCGCTATATAAAAATATAATTATACACCCGTCTCCACCAAAGGACTACCAGTTTTAGATGTAGCAGACCTAACCAGCTCCTCTGCAGCAGCACGTAAACCAGGATCCTCATCCAAAGCCTCAAGAACATCCTGCGAACCAGATACAATATCTCTAATATGAAAGTTGCTGATGTCATCTCCTCGCTCCATAGACTGCTGAAATTGCCAAAGCTTTAAGGCACCGATGAAGGTTGCTCTTTTATCAAAGCTGCTCATTGCTTTATAGTGAAATGCGCGTAGACTCTCATAATGTTCACTATCCTTGTAAGAATCAAGAACACTGTCCATATAACTGATTGCAGCACGGTATAGAATCGGATCATCAGAGTCAATTGTATTTAGTCCCAGGTCTAAGCTCTCATGTTGTTCCCTTGTCGACACTTGTTCAAGGCTGCCATGAGCCTGATTGCCTTGTTCTGGAGCTTGCAGGATCGCGCCATGCTCCCTAAACTCGCCCTGAGAGTAAAGCAAGAGAGGTGCAAAGCCATCGTAAGACCTCTGTTCATCTTCAAGATCCTTTTCAACTGATGGAGCAGACACAACCTTCGCAACGATTATGGAATGGTCGCCAACATCCGATACACATTTTTCTGGCAATATTTCGCAAACTAGACGAGAAGCCACACCCGGACCCCTGATAATAGGTGCCATGGGTACAGGAGGTGCATAGAATGTCTTCGCTCTCCAGTCGACCCGCTTCAAAACTTCAGTTTTGTGAGATCCGGCCACACCTCTCCATGCAGCATCGTGGTCACCTAGATGCCTTAAAAATTGTCTGGCAAGTTCTGCGCCATGCACGTTGGCTCTAAGGAAATGAATCGTAAAAAACCGGTTAGCCCGTATGCCAGCAAGGGTTGATGATGGCTCTTTGAAATTGAAGGATAAAATGGCTGGCGGCCCTATACAAACAGAAGTCATGGACGAAATGACCGCACCACGGAAATGCATGGTTGGGGTGGAGAGATGAGAATCTGAATTCTGACGCGAATCGTCTCGCTTCGTATGCTCGTCGGACAGAGCCGCGACAAGCACAGTAGGATGGGGCATGGAGCGCATCAGAAGTTTGAATGTATCGGAATCACAATATTCTTTCCTGATGGATTTTTGAATCACATCATCCATATGATTCCCAAGAATACTCAGAAACGCGGAGATCTCTAGCTTTGGGTGCAATTTCATGAGGGCTTCGTCAAAGCAATTATACGGGTTTCCCGGCGGCAGCGCCTTTCTGATTTTGACATCCAGGAGTTCCGCAGTCGACACGACTGTACCTGGCCGATCACCACATTTAGAGGACAGTAGACGCTTGTGAGATGATGCAGATCGACATCTGAGGTATGGTTTAGACATCCGTCGAAAACTCCCGAGCGTGTGCGAATACAATAGCAGAGAGTGGCATCGCTGTGGAAGACCTGCAAAAGATGAGTTAGAGCCGTCGTAGTCAAAGTCAAGAGATTTACACACAAACCATATTCCACGAGCGAAAAGTCAAGAAGAACGCATGCGACGCCTTTCTCTTGTCCATTGTGTCATAATATTTGAGCTCGGTGTTCAACAAAGCGCGCTGTGATTGCAGATTGTTGATCATATATTTAAGCTGTATAAAAGATGCGACATGGAATATGCTAAGGTATTGTGGGCGCGAGGGCTAGTTGGGCAGATGTTGTAGGTCGAGGCTATTCAGAAGGGTTTCCAATTTGGTAATCTCCGCAACGGACTGGCTTGATTTGAGCAACCATATTTCTAGACTCTCATACCCTCTTCTTTCACAATCAGTCATCTACTTACGATGCTTGGATCTATTTCGTCTCTGCCACGGCGCGCTGTTTTATCTAATTCCCAAACCATACAGTGCAACGCCCAACAAATTCGACATGGTCAGACGCATAACTCGAATTGTTTTCAGAGTTTCGACTAATATCTTAACAGCAACTCTCATACGCAGGCCAAAGAGACCATACACATTCACCCAGTTGGTGACGCTTTCAGATGGAAGCACTTACCTTCATCGTACGACTTCGCCTGTCCCTGTCTACAAAGCCACGAAAGATGTCCGCAACTCTCCACTGTGGAATCCTTCTAGTCGAAAATTGTTGAACGTAGAAGATGATGAAGCCGGTAAATTGGCAGGCTTCAGATCAAGATATGGTAACGCATGGGATACTGGAAGCGCCATTGATGCAGATGGACAGGTAAGTTCTGTTGAGGACTTGCAAATGGGCGATTAAAACTGCTAAGGCCTGAACAGGCCACACCCAAGGGTGAAGGCGAATCGAAACTACACGATAAATCGGAAGATAACCTGATAGATATGATTGGAAGCTATCATCTTAATGAAGCTAAGACGACGGTAGTAGCCAGGGGTATATCAGGGAAGAATTCGGCTAAAGAGAGCGAAAGGAAATGAAAACGCGGTGTTGGGAGACTCTAGAAGGTGTCAAGCAGAGAAACATTGCAGTTTCCTCATCCGTAGTGTCAAAATCTACGGAATTCAGAAAGGAACTCTTTGTAAGGACTCAAATTATGAGCAAAAAGCGTTAGCAGTTCTTGCGCATTGTCAGTTAAGCCATACACATAATGTCTGAAGTTAGCTGGCGATGCTAGAAAAATTCCGCTGATGTCTTGGTACATCTTAAGCATCACGATCTGTACTATATCTCTTGCATCCTGAATTCAATGATTGGGCTGATTTCTTGGGGTGAAAAGCCATGACATCCTTAACTTACCACGGCTTTAAACAGTGATGTGTTAATAAAATAGACAAGACGTATTGTTTGTCAGATACTTTCCCGGGGCTAAACATTAAAGCGCGTAATGTGGACGACTTTGACGATTCTAAATGCAAAGTCGATAAGTTAAAACTTTTGCATTTAGCTTTGCTAATCTGTGTGGTCGGAAGCGTGGCGGACTTAAACATCTGGCCTGATGATTGGTGCTCAAGCTCGACGTCACTTAAGCTGCGGTCTCTACACGACAGGCAGCATTGTTTCTTCTGTCCACCACGGTGCACGAACTCCAAAATCCTTATTCTTGCAGATACAACTTTGCAATATCTACGAGCCAAAGGATCATACCAATCCGAGGGGCGAACGCCTCGGCTGCCTGTCATCTAATGGGTATAATTCTCTGTCCTGGATATTAATCTCAATAACTCCTTTTGAATGCTTGCGGAAGTGAATTTTGATACCACAATTCGCTTACAATGGCGTTTGCGGGTGCTGCGAGCCATGGTTTCGGCAAAGAGCCATTGAATGTCGCAGGTATAGTCAAAGAGGCCGGGAACTTTGAGTACGATCCCGGAATACCTCTGCGACACTGGTTTCGTGCTGCGAATGCTATACAGAAACAGGTATGTTGGGGCTTAGTATTGTTTTCGTGCATGTTGCTAAAGTATATCACAGGCTCAATCATATGAACGCGATGGTCACGAACAGGATGCGTATCTCTTTTACATGCGCCATGCCTTATTGGCTACAGAGAAGCTTCCAAAACATCCCGATTATAAACTTCCAGAAGCTACCGCTGCAAGAAAGAAAATACAAAGTGATCTGATGCATGGATTGAAGAGCATGGAGTTGCTTAAGCCAAAGATTAATGATCGGTATGAGCGATATTTGGATGCTGCAGCAAGGAAGAGAGCGGACAGAGAGAATTGGCAACGTGAAAACACTAGAAATGCTGCACAGGCTTCAATATTCACAGATACAGGAAGTCCCCCCATTTCAGACTCTGAAATTGGAAGAAAGCAAAGGAGGCTAGAGTTACACCCTGGGAATGATGAGAACCGAGCTTTGGCTTTGTCTCTAGCGAATATGGAATTAAGAAGACGGAGAGACGGGAGACAAAGTTCTCAAATGGAAGAAGAACCTAAAAGTCCTATGATTGAGCTAGCTGATGATTTTGATGGCGATAATCTGTCTCAACACATCTTTGCCACTGCAAAACGAAGAGAACAGTCCTACCAAGCGCCTATCTCTCACGATGGTGATGATTTTCGAGACGACGGGCTGCACCCGAAATACAAATATCCAACTATACCTATCAAGAAGGCATATGATCCGGAATTAGAGTCATTTCCTTTCCACACTCCGATCCAACAGTCTTCAGCTCCACCGAGACCACCAAAAGAGCATCTCGCGGAGCCTGCTCCTCGACCACCACCCAAAGAGCAAATTCTGCCGAAATTTTCTGCACACCTGTCCTCGCTGCCAATTCCCTCGAAGATCATGTACGATTCTAACCTCTCGCCTCTGGAGATACGCGAATCTACTTCAACTCCTGGTCTCAACACTAAGGATTATTCATTTGTTGCCACGGCAAAGACAGAGTCAGGGAAACCTCTCCGCACGGTGTTTATCAATCCAGGTCTGCGTACAGAGTTCCTCAAAATTGCGAACTTCAATACCCAACGTAATCTGGAAACTTGCGGCATCCTTTGCGGAACGCTTATATCTAATGCATTTTTCATCTCTAAACTTGTGATACCGGAACAAGAGTCAACAAGTGACACCTGCGACACGGTCAACGAATCCGCACTTTTCGATTATGTAGATGAAAATGATCTGATGACGCTAGGATGGATACACACTCACCCTACACAAACCTGTTTTATGTCCAGCCGGGATTTGCATACCCATGGCGGCTACCAGGTCCAAATGGCGGAGAGCATCGCGATTGTATGTGCTCCAAAGCATGAACCAAATTATGGAGTGTTCAGATTGACGGATCCACCGGGCTTGAAGACGATTCTAACTTGCACACAAAGTGGGCTCTTTCATCCCCATCCCGATGGCCAAATCTACACAGATGCGATGAAGCCAGGACATGTGCAAGAGTTGTCTGGATTGAGCTTCGAGGTTGTGGACTTAAGACCGAAGAATTAGGACATGCAAAGGAAATATCGGTAACATTCACGAGGCGAAAACTTGATTCATAGCGTCATTATGAAGAATGTTGGAAGAGTCGATACTTGAATCGAGATGTTTCCCTTCAGAGAATATATCAATGCTTTTTACGCTCTTAAAGACCGTAGATGTGTTGTCTACATTGTCTCGCACGTGAAGTCAACTTATGAAAAGCCATTGTCTTACGAATGCCTTCTATCACTCTCCATCGCCACCCCCAGGCGGTCCTGATCGGCCCATCTGCCTCGCCTTCAACATCTCGTCACAAAGTAATAGATTCGAGGCGATACCTGAACTCGACGCTATGGCATTGCGCAAAACCCTGAACGAATCATAGACACCTTCTTGAATGGGATCCATTGGCTCTCCTGTGACAAGATTTAATCCCACGATATTACCGTCGGATTGCTCGTCCTGAAGACTTGACACTGCATTGAACATTAGCGATACAAGAATTTGAATAGGTTTCGAAATTGTCACTTACATGCATCTTGGATGTCATGGCCGGAATTCGCTGCTAAGGTCTTCGGAATGATTAGCAGCGCATCCGCAAACGCGTCTACTCCATATTTTGCCTTGCCCTTGACTTGTTTCCTGAATTCTGTGCTTTTGAGATGGGCAGCACAGGCGACCTGGAAAGCCCCCCCTCCAGGTACCACGCATTTATCTACAATCATGTTATAAACACTTCTTAGCCCGTCCCTAACCGCATCTTTGATCTGCGTGATTGTGTGTCCATTTGGACCTTTGATGAGCAGCGTGACTGATTTAGGATCTTTGACATTTTCAATGAAGGTATACTTCTCCTCACCCAATGTGTGCTCGTAGACTAGACCTGCCCAGCCAAGAACATCTGGCGTCAAGTCTTCGACAGAATTCATAGCTGTGCCGCCAACTGCCAGTTGTAACCTCTCCATGTTTCTTCTCTTTGCTCGTCGTAGTGCTAGGATGCCATTCTTTGCTAATACGTCTAAGCTCAATGGATCAATTCCCTTCTGATTTATGACGACAAAGCTCTTTTTTGAATCACTGCCGCAGACCTCTTTCTTCAAATCAACGATCTTTCTGAGCTTCTCATCCACAAAGCGTCGCTCACTCTCCACAAGCTTTTCTCGTTGTTCCGCAGATGAGTAGTAAAAGCCAGAGTTGATTTCCGATTTCTCATACTCGAGAGATACGTTAAGAATGAGTACGTACGCATTCTCAAGTCTGCGAGGCATGTCTGGATGCCGTGCCCCATGGTCAAGCGCAAGGCCACGGATAAGTTGCGTGTCTGCTGCTGTGCGGTGCTGCATTGTCATGATCTCAACCATGTGCAGGTCAGGTTTCGCTGGAGGCTGGTATATTGCTAAGACTGCGTCCACAATATCAGGTGTCAATTGCTCCGCAAGTGTTGAGTTGAGTTTTGTGGACAAGGATGTACGAGCAACAGATAGAAGCAGTTCTCGGTCAATGTTCCTTTCCAACTTGAACGAGTCTAAGAATTTCAGCGACTCTGTCTTTGCAATGTCGTATCCGTCTGTGATCACTCGAGGATGTAGGCCTTCTGAAATATACCGATCTGCTTGTTTTAACAGCTCACCCACCATGAGAACTACACTGGTCGTGCCATCACCTGTGATTTCGTCTTGTGCAGTCGCGGCTCTTGCAATCATAACCGCCGTCGGATTCTGGATTTGCATCTCTCGCAATAACACCGAACCATCCTTCGTGAGTTTTATGCCTCCTGCGCCGTCTACCAGCATTTTTAGGGTGCCAGTTGGTCCCAAATTAGACGCGAGCACATTTTCGAGGCCTTCTCCTGCAGATATGTTGACCTTTAGAGCTTCGCCTCGTCTCTGGTACTGTGTTAGACCGCAAATTGTTAGCTTGGGCAATTTAACGTACTCGAGATTCCGCCTTGGGATTAAGTAGCTGTGCAGCTGACATGATTGATACCTATATGAGCTATGAAGCCACTGGCAAGGTCTATCAACCGCTGAAATATGGATTAGCCTGCCTCTCAAACTCTTCGTGCTTGTCGCGCAACGTTGAACGCGAGTTGTTCTGGTAGATACCTCAGGCATTTATTCTGCTGCGTCGAACATTTTCGAAAACGCCGCAAAGGTGGCCCAAGCTTACGAGATTTTCCTCTGGCCTGAAAATCCAGCAACGCCGTCAAGATAATTTCCTTTACTGCAGCAACTCAATATCTTGCGATTTCGCTTCGGACGGACACAGTCACTCCTATATATTCAAGAGGATTTTTCGTGAAGAGCTTAACAATGACAGTGGAGTATTTGCTCCACGAGAGCAGCGTGGGCTATGCGGTTAGATACAACAAAGGACATGAGAAAAAAAATGCTCACAATTGCAGGTATTTAAGGTCCTCATGCAAGGGGATACAATTGGACAGAGATTGAAAGAATATCAGAAGAAATCGCAGGATCTAGCCACGTTTGGTATGCATTATTCCTGTTGAATTAATGTCTTGATTCTCATCTCGGGTCAGGGAAGATGATTGAACTTGTGTCATTTGCGCCATTTCAAGGTGCTGCGCATGCTCTGGAGAACGCGAACGATCTTTCTGAAGGCATAGCGAACAATTATCTTATCGCCGTGCTTGAAACGAACCTACCTGCGGCGAGTAAGAAAAAGAAGGTCATTCTCGGTGTTACCGATAAGAACTTGGCTGCGAGCATTCAACAAGCCTTGCCACACGTCGCATGTGAGACTGCTGAGACCACGGAGGTGGTTGCCGATCTTCTTCGAGGCATTCGCATGTACTCAGAGAAGCTACTCAAGCAACTACAAGAAGGCGATGTTGAACGTGCACAACTCGGACTGGGTCATGCGTATTCAAGAGCGAAGGTAAAGTTCAGCGTACAGAAGAATGATAATCACATAATTCAGGCCATAGCAACTCTAGACCATCTTGACAAGGCGGTTAATCAGTTCGCCATGCGATGTCGTGAGTGGTATTCGTGGCATTTCCCTGAGCTGGTCAAGATTGTATCCGAAAACATGGCATATGCACGCCTCGTGCTTTTCATCGGTGACAAGCAGAATCTTTCACAAGATAGTCTCCATGATTTGGCCGCCTTGGTTAATGACGACCAGGCTATTGCCCAGAGCATCATAGATGCTGCAAAGGCGAGTATGGGTAGGGAGATCTCGGAGCAGGACCTAGAGCATGTGCAGACGTTTGCCAGACGCACTGTTCGGTTGGCAGAGTGTCGCAAGAAACTTCAGGGCTATTTGGCGGAAAAGATGAGCCAGGTTGCGCCTAATCTAGCGGCACTCATCGGTGATGTTATCGGCGCTAGACTTATTTCGAAAGCTGGGAGCTTGACCAACTTATCGAAGTATGCAGCATCTACTGTTCAGATTCTTGGTGCTGAGAAGGCGCTGTTCCGTGCGCTGAAAACAAAAGGCAATACTCCTAAGTACGGGTTGATATACCATTCATCATTCATTGGGCGCGCGGGGGCTAAGAATAAGGGCCGTATCTCACGGTTCTTGGCAAATAAATGCTCCATAGCATCGAGAATCGACAATTTCTCCGAGGTACCCAGTACGAGATTTGGCGAGGCTCTAAGGCGTCAAGTAGAAGAAAGATTGGAGTTCTACGCTACCGGAGCTGCTCCAACGAAGAACGAAGTCGCTATGGTAGGTTTTATCTGCATATCTTAGGGTAAGGTCTGACAAACAATAGAAGTCTGCCATGGACTCTCTTCTGGCGGATATTGAAATCAAAGATACGACAGCTCATGCTCCGGAGGACGTCGAGGTGGCTGACGGTGTTACTGCAGCAGCCGTCGAGCAGAAGGTTCGACATAAGAAGGAGAAGAAGGAAAGGAAAGAGAAGTCAGAGAAAAAAGAGAAGAAGCGGAAGCATGGCGATGAGGAGGCTGACGGCGAAACGAAAAAGAAGAAAAAGAAGTCGAATTCAGAGTAGGCTCGTCTGACGAAGGCATCATGGACATCTAATGCGGTCTGGAGTTTTGGCGTACAGGTGGGGTGCATTCCACTGTATTATTGGAAATCTTTCTGGTGCATGCTTTTTGATACCATTGGTTGAGCCTCAGAACATCTCAATAATATCGAGTGCTTCCTTATATTGACCACTTTCATGTCTCTTTTGCTTGTGTATTTGGCACAATCTTAAGAGAGAAGTCGATGTGCTTTACACCCTGATGAATACTGCTCGTGCTAATAACATCCACGTCCTTGCATACAAAGTTACCAACATTATCTTCTGTAATTCCCCCACTGACCTCAACTAGCAACTTATCTCCCCATCTTTCTTTCAGTGCCTTCGCAGCGTCTTTCACACCCTGAGAGGTGAAGTTATCCAACATAACAACGTCTGCCCCAGCCGCGGCTGCTTCGTTTGCCTCGTCTAGAGACTGGCATTCTACTTCAACCTTGATTGCGAATCCCCCAGCACTCTTCGCAGCACGTACTGCCCTGGTGATCGACCCACTAGACCAGATGTGATTGTCCTTCAACATTGTCATAGAGGACAAGTCATGTCTATGCGGATCGGCACCGCCAATAAGCATGCCGTATTTCTCGACCAACCGAAAGCCTGGTGTTGTCTTACGGGTTCCAGCTAATATGTTGGGATAGCCCGCTTCCCGCAGCAGCCACAATAAATTTGCAGATTTAGTGGCGATGCCTGAACAGCGCGCCAAGGTGTTAAGCGCCACTCGCTCGCCAAGGAGGATTTTACGAACGGGGCCGCGGACAGTAGCACAGTGTGTGATCGGTAAGATGGTGTCTCCTTCTTTGACAAGCCATTCGACTCTGTTCTGTGTAAGTGAACTTCCGTTTTCGATATTGGCAATCTACGTACGTGCAACCTAACTGCGAAAAGACTTCATCGAAGAATGGAACTCCTGCAATCACACCCTGGCAGAGTCAGCACATTTTCGCTCTCCATGTTCCTCAAAGCGCAAGACGATCTCCAAGCTCTTTGAGTAATTTTGATAATATAAGTCAAGGTCTTCCAATAAGTATTGCTATAACCACAATCTTCATAGTTCATTTGAGCAACATTGACCGACAGCGTTCAAGATAGGAAATATCATAAAGATGTGCTCGTACCTTGCTCTTTCCTAATAATTTTGCTTCCCTAATCTCCTCACCAACTACGAATCCACCGTAGTCCAAGCTGGGGGTATCTTCCTCCAGCCATTCTGCTACCATGCGCTTGTATCGCGGAGGCAATAGGTGTGCTACGGTGCCATGAGCAAGGGCACCCTCTAATTTAGTCATTTCTTTATATTTGCTGTTTATATCTTCGAGAGTTCACCCAAGTGGTGGTGAGGTTGGAGAGTCATCTGACGGTGAAGAATCGGAATTTACCGGATGCGGAAACACGGGCACTGCTTAAGCTGTTAGTTTACCACTTCCGTTTTATTCCTTGAGAACTCATCTGTGCAGGAGGCTCATTTTCAGTGAATCAATACTGGAAGCGAAGACATATGATTAAATCATGCTGGATCGAAATTGGTAGTGAATCTGTTTGTTTTGAAATCTTAGACCCGACGCCTTTTTTCCCTCCAAAGGTTTAATGTATGCTGTTGGGAAAAAAACTACGTTGCAAGCCTCAAACCGTTATTTTTCCCTTTTCATCTAGAGCTAATTCATTGATTTGTCTAGGTGATCTCTAGCCCTTACCATGCCCAGCTATTATTCATTCTAGATACAGCTTATGTGTGATAACTCCCACCTCCTCACTCCGAAGTACAAGCGTATTGATGTCGGATTCAGAATTAATACAGGCATGTTCTTTAAAACACCTTGGATCGTCGTGCATGCTCAATTTAAAGCCACTTGATCGAGCGCGCTTTGTTTATATGTACACAACACGAGGCAGATACAGTAATTCGAGCAGAGACAGATTCGCCGGCGAGTATTCACATAGATGAAGTCAGAGGCACAACATAGTGCGTAAGATATGCAAAATAGGGCCTTAAAAGAGTATCTGTCGTTGGATTTGTGATCTGATTTAATTCATTCAAAGTTGAATTTGAAGTCCATGACTGCGTGGCCATCGTTCTGCAAAATCAATCAGTTTATGTGTACTAAATGCTAATTTCATTTAGTAGTAAGAATCATAAGGCCTGCAAATGAGTTCGAGACGGTCAAAAACCATTGTCCGTGTCCTGAAGCAGGCGACATGTCGGAGGCAACCAGGTTGGTTTTATAGACTCCGTACGGCCCTTGAAACTCAAGACTAAGATCAATCCCAATTCTTGCTCAGGAAATTTCACATGGCGATAAGGTTTTCTAAAACCCGCGTTGAAGATCAAATGATCGATGATATATTTCGCGGACGAGCATGTAACTAAGTGAGAAGAGGCAAACGAAGAATCTGATTACAAATTTTCCTAATAGATTTGAAACTCTCTACTGCTCACAGATGTAACATAAAGCTTTATAGAAAGACTTTCTACGTTCAAAAGCTGGAGCAATAAAGAAGCTCAGGAACTGATCTTGAGTTCGGCTCTATCTTTGTAACTTCTATCTAGAGTATCAAGAAGTCTAGAGCCTATACACACGATGCATGAAAATCGGCATCGATCTTGTTGATAGGCAGAAACATATACACACCTTGAAATGACAGATGCTTCAGAGCCGAACCCTCCTCATATGTATGGGTTTCTCTTGTTTTCGAAGTATGCCACTACATCGACCAAATCATTAAGATGCGAGCACTCTGATACACAGCACTACTCTCGTCTATGCCAGAAACTTGGATAGTGGAGAGAGCGAAGCCAATGGAAACCAAACCAGTACCCAATCTGTCAAATCCGAGGGAGTAATGACCGAGCCAAGACAATGCTTTGATGTTAATGAAAGTTTACCCTCCGTAACAATGACTTTTTCTTCACACGCAAGCCAGCCCAAATGCAAAGTCATCAAAATCATAACTACGCTCGTAAAAAAATACCAATGATTGAGGCACTCATACATTAGAATGTGGAGAAGACGAAAATGCTTGCCTGGGCCTCCTATTTGAATTTTCGCCTGTCGTACCAGAAAGGAATCGATTATTAGATGTTTGCTGATCTTGTGATGCTCTGGCATGCTGCGTCCACTCTGCTGCTGCTCTATCTTGCGATGTCCTGGATTTTTGCTCTTCTGGAAATCCAGGGTACAACGCCTGCTCCGCGTTTGATCTCGCCTCAGCTTCCATTGCTTCGCGTGCTTTCCGCTCTTCAATGATCTTTTGTTCTGCTAAGGTTGGCTTGCGACCATAAACAATATATCTGTCTGATTATCAGATGGCGCAAAAAGGCTAACCCTTCACTTGTCACTTACATGGAATGGTAAGCATGCACGCTCCTATCCATAATGGACCTCCTGACATCAACCAGGTAGACTTCTACTTCCTCGGGTGACCAGTTGAAAGCCCTCGTGAATAATGCGAGTGTAAAGCCTTGTAGTCCATCTAATAATGAGCGACCCCACCATTTGCCTAACATCTTGTACCTAGGATCTTTTGGCCATCCATTTATCGGTATGCGAAGAATTTCTTCTCGAATATCGACAAAGCCAGCTTCCGCGTACCACTTCTTGAGCTTGTTTGCAATTCTTAAGGGCATACCCAGCCTCATCGCCGCTTCATCTTGATATTTAATCCACTCAGAGAACTTGTGGGTTTCCGGGTCCAGTGTACCATCATCACACATAGCTCTTGGCCACATCTCTTGCGATTCCATGTAGCCGCCTGGTTCGAGATAGTCAAACGCACGCTTTATTATGACTCTGAAGTCTTTGAAGGCACCCAGCATCATTCGGGTATGTATGTAATCATAGCGCTTGGTACCCCAGTTCTCGTCATTTGCATCTTCGATGATATACTTTACATTAGGCTGGGGCGGAACAGTTTGAACGGCCGCGATATCAGTGCCTATAATCTCGCAGCGAGGGTATTTTTTACCTGCGTCACAGTTACTTTCAATGCCTGAGAGCGCGGAGCCGTTCAAAGGTTGGGATGTCGCATACCCATCTCAGTGCACCATATGCCTGTGCCTGTGCCAATGTCCAGAATTCTTCTCGGGGTTTGCAGAGGTGCAAAATGCTCCTTATTCTCGAATAGTTGCTGGAGGACCACGTATTGGAGATTCAAGCGCTCGTTCTCGGGCTATACAAGTGTCAGGATGATGTGTCTTAGAGGGAAAAGGTAATGCAGAGTACCTCGTCCGACGGTAGGAAATAGTCTGTGCTAAGTTAGATTCTGCTGTACTTCACGTTGAGCGTGAAAGGAGAACTGCATACTTCCATAGCGGTTATACGTCCTCCCGTTCTCTGTTATGAATTCAAAAACACTTTCCCTAAGTGACCTGGTGCTGCTGTTGGACAAATCAGCATCTTTCGTAGGGAAAGAACCGTGTGGGCGAAGTGGGAACAGCGTACGAGAGCACACTCTGATCGTCGTCCCCGGACTGTAACAACACATTACACTAGTCAGCCATATCTGTGCCACAAGATGAGAAGGATTCGAGGATCCATACATCTGGTTCGATCGGAGACTGCGCGACAACAGGGGAGCTCTCTTCGGACCACAGACTTGAGGTTTCGTATGGCGTTGGGTGCTGAGCAGCCATTGTGACGGCCCAGGTGGGAGCGAGTCCAATCCTGACGACGACGGCCGACCCGAGCGGCACAGAGGACGGCGGGGAGGGCAAGGCCTCCCGAGAACGCGGGCAGCGACAGCGAACAGAACAAGTCTTCCCACGAAGCTGGGAGCACGGGGTTGGACGAATGTGATCGCGGCAACGTGAAGGCAAACCAAAGTGCTGGGAATGCCGACTTATGTCAACCCGAGCGTCCGGCTCTGGACTCCTGATATGGGACTCGCGCGGGCCAGGTCAGTGCGCAGCTTTCGTATGGATCATTCGGTTCGCGGTGCCGATCCGAGAGCAGAAATAATGACGAGAAGAATGAAAGGAAAATGGGCCGTCGCCGAGCATTGTCGGAGAAAGGGGTTTGCATGTCTCTGCATGGTTCTCTTCCTTCCGTGGCCCAGCTGCTGGTTGCTCGCTTCGGCCGTGCGCACACTGATGAGAGCAAACCAAGTGTCACACAGTCACCCTACGCGCATGAGGATCACTCAAGAAGACAGGCTGTGCCAGCTCAATTAGCTACCATAGCTGGGTGACGTAACATATATATATATATATATATATATATATCCCTTCAGGAGCAGGCGGAGGAGCCAGGTGCTGGATGAACCGCCCGAGTCGGTCCCTCCTCGAAGAAACGCCACTACCGCCTTACCTCGCAATCAGGCTATTGTTGCTCAAGATTAGGAAAAAAAAAGCAAGAGCAAGAAATGTGTGAAGCGCACTCTCACGTATTCTCTCCAAAAGCACGGCTCCCGATCGCACTTCTTCGTTTCTCTTCGACTGTTCGTGTGTCTACCATTCGTGACGTGTTCCGACTACGAAACGCGACAAGTGTACGCTCGAGGGCACTGGGCACCCTTGCAGCTTTGGCTTCGAGTGTTTTGCCTGGTCGGTTTTTTAGCTTCCAATGCTCGGGTCCCGAGAATTCAGCGTCAGCAAGCAACGCTTTGCATGGAAACAGGCTTCGCACGGCCGCTATGAGCGTGGGCGATATTCGCGGCTGGATCCCTCTAGGCATGACTTGCGCGCACCGTACCCCGGAGAGTGGGATTCTGTGCTCCCGCAGTCCCCACCGCAAGAACCCATCATCATGCACAATTCTTAACCAAGACAACGCCTACCCGTCTGTCTGATGTCCACTCGCTGACTCGTACTTCTGGCGTCCACGTCGCACAGCAGGAACGATCTCTTGCATTCTAGCAACTCGGATGCCATGCCGTGCATACAACGTCAGACAAGAAGCCGTGATTAGAGCCCATACATGCATTGCTTTGGAACTCTCCGAAGTACAAACTTGTGGCCTTGCGCAAACGGTTGTGTCATTGTAGCCTAGTCCTTTCTTGCTTCACTGTACCCGTAAGTGGCCTTGCCACGAAGATTGGAACGTTCCAGAGAGCCAAAGGGCTTTCGAAGCTTATTCCGCTGATTTGCGATATATGGCACGACGCTCTTCCCCTTTTGTAATTCTGCGTAATGGCGGTCATCAAAGATCCGGGAGCCGCGCTTTGCGATGTCTGGGGACACTTTTTTGTTGGGTGGGCCTGGTTCTATTGACAGTACCGAATATGCAGCTAATTCAAAGGTGCGGCACGACCGTCCCGCCTTCAAGGTTTTGGGAAGCGATCCATTCTTGGAAGTAAATCACCAATTGCTTTTCTTCGAAAAATATACGCTACGGTAGGGTGTGAGCTGCTAAGACGCTCGTCGAAAGTTTAATCTGCTTTGCTCAACGTCGCATCATCGTTATCCAAGTTTGAAACACCATAGTCGGCCAGCTAATCTTTGTACGGGAATGGAGGGCAAAATTTTGGGTTTCTTCCCATGCTCTCATGTTATCGTTTACATAGTTAGGACGAGTGAATCTCGCTTCTTCGCGAACAACTCTATACTACAGGAAATAGCCTGCATGTCTTCTGCAGTACCTGTCGACATCATGATCCGAAGGCCAACCACCCCATTGCCTGACACTTTCCACCTCTTGTCTCACAAGGTGTACAAGCTCATCTGGGGCAGGCTCGACCAGGATCCCTCTTTCTGCCAACACGAAGTCCCGTGACGGACATTCTAACCATACTCGGAGTGCAACTATGACTCTGCGTAGCTGCTTTGATCCGTTCACCTGACAGTCTTGCAGTTCATTCAGATCGCTCGCTGCGGTGACCATCCATCGAACCAGAGAATAGATGCCTTTGTGATCTCTGAGAATTCCAAGCGCGCGAATATACTTATGCAGAACGGCAGCCTTGAGCAGAGCAAGGTGCTTTGGCATGGACGGACTACCTATCTGAATGCCCTTACTGGTAGACGCGTGCCTGCATTGTTCCAGCCCCACTAGCATTGCGAAACGTCGTCGAAGGAGACTTGAACCGGAAGATAGGAGCACCTGAGCTTCCAAAAACTCTCGTTCGATGTTCGATTGCCCGCTAGCACGCAGATATCTGGTCTCTTCCATGTCAAGACGATGCAGCTTGGTAGTGATGGCAGCTTCCCAGGTAATATCGCATAGGTATTCAAAGGTCTTGTGGTTGGGAATGGCGTTACTGGCAATCATGCTCCGTAAGACATCCTCTGACATTGCCCAAGCAATCAAAGGCCAAAAAACCTGTCCGCTTTGATGTGAAATCGGGAGTGCGTATCGAAACATACTTCTATGCGTGAGCGCTTTGAGAAGATGGTTCCAAGGCATGGAGTCCCGTGGGCTGTAACATATTAGGAGTCGGGATGCTATCGTAAGAGAATGCGTGCGACGCAACTTCCACCTTCCTACCCAAAAATCTGTGTTGTCTGCTATCATGCTCAATTCGGGTATTAAAGCTGGACTTGATGTTACACAGCTGATTAGTGCGGTGATCAACTCATTGGGTATGTTGGGTAAACTTTTCAGGCCATCTTGAGAGTGTGACCTGAGCAGCCGAAGGTGGTCTGTAGACCAACTTATTCTACCGTTATTCCCAATCCTTATGTATTTTCCAGCTGCCCATACCCTTAGACCGAATTCCAGACTCGGAGCCCTTGTCACTAAGAACGACATCAGCTCCCCCCAAATAGAAACACCCCTTTCAAGGATCATATCAAGCAAAGCATCTGGACTTGGCGGTTCACTGGGAAGGTATAAGGTTTCGAGGGGTGACGACGGGGGAGGACTAGTTTCAATCCCGTCCCCAGCAGCGACAGGCTCGTTTTCAGGATGAACTAGAGATTTTGGCCTCGTAAACAAGCCGGGCGTTTGCGCGAATAGTTTTTTGAACAGAGCGATATACATAGCATTTGATGGTGGGCTTTTTGGCGTGTCGAACTTCAGAAAGGCTGCCCAGGCTTCGGGGACCGTTCTCGTGGAAGTAATGATGGCAGCGTGTAGTTCTCCAATGCCAGGCTCACCAGCTTTGCTTGTGGGCACGGAAGGCATGAATGTTCTTTGTTGTACAGCGGGACTTCCATCGGGATTCCAGCCACTGTAGACACGTGCTATATTGTCCCAATTTAGCATTGGATATCCGTATTTTTGCATGAATTGAATCGATTTCCCTGCTATTGATGTACCATATTCTCGATCTTTAGGGTCATCAAGCCGAGTTCGTGATACTTTGAAAGGAGGCCAAGATCGCGCTTGAAGAAAAGACCAATCGCGCTCTTGCGGTGTCTTCTTCAGGAGTAACAAGGTCTTCGTCAATGCGCGGTGGCCTTCTCGATTGATAGGCAGTGATGGGTTATACATCGTCATCTTTCTAATAAGATCAAATTGAGCTCGCTGCTGATGCACCGCAGACAGCACGGGGTATGTTCTTCCAGACAAGCTAAGTTGCGAAAGCATACGATTGCTCTTGAAGGTCATTTGTCTTAGCATGGAAGCACTCATAGGCTTGTCAATCCGAGCGAAGTACTTCGACCACGCATCAAGCATGTATGTCGAGAAAAGCTTGGTAATGTTAGGCAAGGCTTGAGGCCAAACATCTCTAGCATGCCGAACCATTCGAACGCAGACTATCATGATGGTTCTGAGCGATGGCGGTCGAAAAGAACTACTCGTCAGGCTCAGTCTGGTTCTCTCTTGCCAAGAAAGCGCGCGCCAAGCATGATCAAGTAAGAGACGCAATGCTTCAGCCGTGACAATCTCACGTCGAAGCAAGAAGTTCATGACAAACCAAGGCGTTGCCTTTATGTGATTGTTGTCTCCAATGTCAGGAACAAAGAGGCGACGAGCCGCAAGTTCAATGTCAGGTTGAAGTAAAATCTCGGCCCACGTTTGCGCATCTCGTTCATTGTAACCAGACGCTTTCAGAAGCTGGATTTCACGGCAAGACAGATGCACAGATCCAGAGCCCTGCATGTCGTCAATCTCAGGCGCAATTTTACGGTGTCCAGAGGTCATTCCGGAGCTAGTACGAAGTTTGGCTAAATGACGAATGTACTTCGCTGTGATCGACTGCAAGCTGATAGTGTCGCTGAGTTCCAAGTGTTTGAGTCCATTAACGTTGAAAATTTTCAACGTCTTCGCATTTCGGTAGGTCAAATCATGTACAGACTTGGGACGCTTTCGTGGAAGTATACTTGGGTCATTGGCATTCAACAAAGCGTCTTCTAAATGCAGAGATGGGCTATGCTCTAGCAGCTTTCGTAAAGACCTCGGCGAGGACTTACGCTCCACCAAAGCTGCCATGTCGTGGTTGTCCCGTTTCAGTCGTCGTTGATACGTTGCGGCGCGGCCTTTGGCCCTTGACTCTCCTTGCAGGTTTTCTCGCAGCCCCTTTCCAAGTATATCATCTAATTTTGCAGCCTTGGACTCGACTTCAGAAGTATGTCCGCTATCATTTTGCATGTTAGAGACAAGTCTATCAGAACCTTGTCCTCCAGAGCTGAATGTCAATGGAGCCGTCGGCGAAGCTACTTCTTCGGAAGCTTGCCCAAATTGCGAAGGATATACATATCCATCTGAAAAGGCAGATTTGTCGTTGATACTTTTGCCATGCTCTCGCTTTCTGACGTTTTGCAGACTTGTGATGTCCGAAGTAGGATGCTGTTGTCGTAAGTCTTTGCGCGATGGAACAACACTGCAACCTCTGTTTTCATTGGCAAAACGAATCTGGGAGGCGAAAGATCGATCGAAGACAATAGCTTGAGATCGAGTCGACTGCTGATTCGTGAGCAAAATTCGTCGTGATTATGTAGCTCCTTACCCGTCGCAAACTGGTCACTTCTGATCTGCCTAGGAATTCAACCGCTATTGACTTAAAGAAGCCATACTTATGCGCAAGTAATGGCATGCATCGATCTCTTCCAAGTCCTGATGTTATGTTATGAGTAGGCGGGTCGAATTTGTAATTGAGAACTCTGTTACGCGTTGAGACGTGGAATCCTGAATCAAGTTAACTGACTAGACTGGGCACCCAAAAGGTCACATGCGTGCACGTGATCCTATTGTCACAACGATTAACTTAACCTCCATAGTCAAAGAGCCAGATAAATTTCAGCTGATTCTGTTACTCGAGTCGCCAAAATGTGTGAAACTTGTGTAAATTTTCATGATTCTAGAGTTGCTTGTAGCTTTCGTGAAGTTAAAGTATTGAGGTAAAATAAGATGTAAGTTATCAATGAGCAGGACCGATTCACATTTGCTTTATTATATCGCCCATTATTTCTATTAGGTCACTAATATGCGTCCTGTGAGTTATCCTGGGTGAACGCTCACAAAAAGCGGCCTATACGTTCTATGCGGGAAATCTCAGTCATGCGCTGACCTCTGAATAGCAACTTTGGCCTTGGCACTTTCACAACTTAAAGTCGATCACTATTCTTCAAACTCCAGCTAGCTTATTAAAAACTACGCCTTAACCATTTTCTCAACGAAATCAAGGTCGAAGAGGCTAGGTGAGTGGAGGAAGATTACTATGTTCAAACTAAATCAATGTCTTCTTGTCGAAAGGGGATGTAACATATGCTTTTGGACACGCTATCCCGTCACTCTTATACTCTTACGTATACAACAACGAACATCCTGAGTTTTCGTACCGAGATCTAACTGTGCAAATGCAGTATGAGTACTCTTCGAGATCTATGGCTGGGGTGTCTCCCAGCTTTCTCAATGTTTGCGTTACCCCACTCCAAAAAGAACAGCCGAGCTAGCCTCGGAGAGTCCAGTCACTATAGAAGCTATTAAAACTGTTGCGCGAGGCTGATTGCTCGACTTTACTAACTCGCTCTTTTGCAACTATTCACGGCTTATGTGAGAATTTTTGGACATTCAAAACATGGCGATTAAAACATGGCTCACGGAAACTGCTGGAGTGCAAGTACCTATTGTGCAGGGCGGTAAGATCATAATATACTTGCTCTATGTGGTGTCCTAGATTAATTTTTTTAAGGCATGCAATGGGTCGGCCGTGCTGTCTTGATTTCAGCAGTAGCGAACTCTGGCGCACTGGGTTTCCTCACAGCACTAACTCAGCCGAGCCCAGAAGCATTGCGTGAGGAGATTCGAAAGTGTCGTCAGATGACGAATAAGCCATTTGGAGTCAATATCACCATGTTACCAGCAATTGACAAGCCGGATTACCTGAGCTACGCTAAGGTTGCTGTGGAAGAAGGAATCAAGATCATCGAGACAGCAGGTGACCCGTCCCCTATTCTATCTTATCTCAAGCATAACAAAGTGATCGTCATTCACAAGTGTGTGACATTAAAACACGCCTTACGTGCAGAGAAGCTTGGTGTCGACTGCATCTCCATCGATGGCATTGAATGTGCTGGCCACGGCGGTGAATATGACACGACTTCTTTGATCCTTTTGTCGAGATGTGCACAGGCATTGAAGATACCATATATTGCTTCAGGTGGGTTTGCAAATGGCCAAGGCCTTGCGGCTGCGCTTGCACTGGGTGCTTCTGGGTAAGATTATCTCATGAATTGAATGTAGTAATTCAAGCCTAAGGATGAAGACAGTATCAATATGGGAACACGATGGATGGTAACAAAGGAGTCACCTATCCACGAAAATGTAAAGAGAGCTATTGTTGATTGCGACGAAAATTCGACTGTGCTGGTTCTGCGCAAATTCCGGAACACAACTCGGTTACATAAGAACAAAGTGTCAATGGAGGTCCATCACATCGAAAATACAAAGCAGGATGTTACTTTTGCGGACGTCGCTCACCTAATGGCTGGTAAACGTGGCCGTGGTGTGTATGAGACAGGAGATATTGATGCTGGCGTTTGGTCGCTTGGTCAGTGTGCTGGTTTAATCCATGATATTCCTTCCTGCGAAGAATTAACCAGAACGATCGAGAAGGACGCTGAGGAGATATTACGGAAAACAAGCAATCTTATTCAGCCCCAGTCACGCCTTTGATAAGGTCTTGGAGTTCGATTGACACAGTCGAACAGCACCAGAAAAATTTGGGGTGTTTACAGGGCGTAATACATGATTTTCTGGTATTGAATAGAACGGAGAAATACAATTTTTTGCTCCACAGCAAACTTACTGAAAAAGTCCTGACTACTGACGCCGCATGATAGAAATTTGTTGCAAATGCCCTTGAACCATCAACACCGTCCTCTTTAAGGTCAGAACTAGAATTCCGACCAATTGTTTGATACTCCTAAACGCCTGTGCCTGTCTGTGAGGCCACGAGATGCTCTCAAATACCAGCCTTCTCAGGTGGTACATTGAGATTCCAGTCGATAATCCCTTCCTTGCCGTAACGCTGCTCGAGCCACTCATTAGCTTTTTTAAAATGACCACAGTCGAACTGTTATAGAGAATAAGCGAACGAAGTACCTCTAGCATGGTGCGAATTACTTACCCAGCCCCTAGAAGCGCTTAACGGACTTGGATGTACGCTCTTGAGAACCAGATGACGCGTGCCATTCACACCGCTGCATCTTTTCTGTGCGGGACTTCCCCAAGCAAGAAATACTACACCGCCAGTCCTTTTCTGCGCAACCAAATCAATGACTTTCTGTGTTAGACGCTCCCAACCTTTGCCTGAATGACTGTTGGCCTCATGGGCCCGTACAGTTAGGCAAGTATTGAGTAACAGGACACCACGGTCGGCCCATGGCGTCAGAAGACCCCCATTCTTCGGTGGTGGCTCGAAGTCAGGGTAATCCTTTTTGAGCGCTATATAAATATTTTTTAACGAGGGGGGAGCGGGAGTTGGAGGGCGAACGGAAAAACAGAGCCCATGTGCCTGGTTGTGATTATGGTATGGATCTTGGCCTATAATGACCGCCTTGACTGTGTTGAGTGGTGTATGTCGAGACCTGTGTGTGGTCGTATCAGTAACGGTTACTCTGCTAAACGGGACGGGTGCATGACCAGGAGTATATATCTTCCTGAGGAGGAAATATTTTCTTTCCGCTAGCGATCTCCTGCTTCAGGAATCGCTTCAGGTTTAAAAACTCTGGTGTCGTGATCTCATCCTTCAAATGGGCGAGCCAAGACTCATGAAGGGTGTCGATCTCCAGCTTCAGAAGGTCTTTCTGCTCCTCCGAGAGCTTCGCAACCCACGCAGCTTTGTCAAATTTGGGCATTGCTGTCGAGGTATGGACTCCATTAGGTGCGGAACTAGCACTCGCAATTCCGACGGCCTTCGGTTGCCCAAAGAAAGAAGTAATGCTAGATGTGTTCGTCAGTCACGAGCAGTCGCATTTCAAAGGCTGTCATACCCCGCTTGCTTCACCTTTTTGACTTCTGTCGATGCGACGTCGGTAGCTTTGCGCTTGAGAGACATCATGCTAGTTTTTCACAGCCTAGATTCTGTGGTCAATCACAAATCCGCGAAAGTGTTTGGAAAAGGGATTACGTTCGGGGTGGTGGCCAGGGACAGTGACAAGGCTGCAGAAGACGGTGTTGGCTGTGTTCTGCCTCGCGACGAAGCGCGTTCGCGCGAAATTCTGCGTCCGTGCACACGCGTGAGAAAGTGAACTGCAGTACCTCCGTATTAAACAACTCAAGTTAACTCATGGTTTGAAGTCCCGCATGTGCCAAGAAATGGCCGTAACGTAAGTTACCTTAATCCATAACCTCTCTAGTGCGTTATCCGACGCTGTGAACAAGTTCCCCGCACACTCTCGCAGCCGTTGTTTCCCTACACACATGCCAAGCTCTGCCTTAAGTCGAGCATTCGGTGATTGTTTCCGGTCCACACTTTCACACAATGATTTCGCGGACTGGATTCACTTCCCATCTTCCGTCATTAGACCTGGTTCCATCGTCTTCTGTTTTTAATTGGATGTTCGACAAACTTCAACTTCCGAGCTTTCGGATAGCGGCTACGATTTCTTGTATATCTAGGATGTATAAATATTCATTCCGCGCGACATCTTCAAGCTAAAGTCCGAGAAGATGCTTCCGCCTTCGGAATTCAGTCAACCGCCTTCCAAACGTTTCAATGTTGCCGTAGTTGGAGGCGGTCTAGGTGGCCTGATACTAACTTTTTCCTTATTGTCGCAACGGGTACCAGTGACCTTATACGAAGCAGCCTCAAACTTCGGTGAAATAGGAGCAGGAGTATCGATTGGGCCCAACGCCAGCAGAGCTTTGAAGCTTATTTCACCTCACCTCTATGCAGCGTTCGAATCTCGGGCTACGCGCAATCAATCTAAGGATCATGCCAACATTTGGTTTGACTTCCGATATGGCGAAGACTGTGGGGGTAAAAGGAATGTTTCGGAGAAGATCACGAGCTTGTATTGCGAAGGAGGTCAAGCCAGTGTCCACCGAGCTCACTTCTTGGACGAGTTGGTCAGGCTGCTGCCATCCGGCGTGGCAAAATTTGGCCATAGAGCTCAAAGCTTTACAGACGAGGGTACAAATGGTGTTCTCATTCACTTTCATAACGGAGTGACAGCCAGGCATGATGCAGTGGTCGGGTGTGATGGCATCAAGAGTAAAATACGACCATCATTGCTTGGTCATGGTCATCCAGCCGCTTATGCTGTTTATTCTGGCAAATATGCGTACCGGGGCTTAGTTTCAATGGAAAAGGCGAGGGAAGTTCTTGGCGAAGAGTTGAGTGGGAATGCTCAAATGTATTTTGGTCGACACGGCCATGTCCTGACTTTTGCTATCGAGAAAGGTAGAACCATGAATGGTACGTTGATTTTTTTTCCGTCCATGAACGTAGACTGAATCACTGGCAGTGGTTGCGTTTTCGAGTTCTGGTTCTTGGGATCATGACGACTGGGTTGTCACTTTGACGCGTGAGGAGATGGATAAAGACTTCGCTCACTGGGGCGACAAAGTGCGAAGTATTTTAGCTCTCATGTCGAAAACTGATGTGTGGGCTCTTTTCAATCATCCAGAAGCACCTACTTTCTATAAAGGCCGCGCAGCATTGCTTGGTGATGCTGCACATGCGAGTACACCTCATATGGGCTCTGGAGCGGGAATGGCAATCGAAGATGCTTTCATTTTAGGCAACCTGCTAGGGACAATTGATGACAGTGCTCACATAGAGAAGACGTTTAAAGCATACGACGCTGTGAGGAGGACGAGAGGCACTGATCTCGTGCAAAAGAGTAGTGAGCAAGGTCGACTCTATGACCTGGAATTGGTTGGCGATGATCCAGAAAGGCTAAAGGATGAATTGGGGAAGCGGATGCAATGGGTTTGGAATTTTGACATTACCAAAGATCTGGAGAAGGCGAAACAAATGCTGCGAGACTTATGAACATCCAGAAAAATTGATCCATACTCTTTTGTGACTTAAGACACTCTTCTCGATAGCCAATAAGATTTAGCCTTTATATGCCATACTCCGCTGATTGCAAGTTTGTTATCGCGAATTATACAATTCAGCTTTAATGTACGCATTACCAAAATTTCAACGAGATCAAGAGTTCAACTACGCTTTGCGCTTTCTCAAAAATGAAAAAAAAAAAAAAAAAAAAAAAACCAGGGCATCGAAGAACAGCATGTTCAGCAAAGTGGACAGGATGAAAATTGTATCGCCGCACATTTATTGCCCTAAAGTCATCATGTACGTTTTTGTCATATGCTACTTTGCGACCCAGAGTCCAGGGACACGTATATGGAGCAAACTCTTAGAACTTACAGTACTGTAACTTGGCGCTTGCCCCGCAACGCACGAGTCATCTGCCGTTCTGACTTTGATTTGCAGCCAATTCGATGCCACAACATAGTAGCTTTGAACATCAATTCTTCTACATGAAAATTGATTCTACTGTAGCATTCTTTTTTGCTGCTACTGTCGCGGGGTTAGGATAAAGCTTTCCGTGCGACGTACGATATGGGCGACATCGCACCAGATGGCCTCAATGAGGAGAGCCAGTGTGAGCCACAGGACAACAACGGAGAGATCAAGGTGCTCGTAACTGGATATGCGCCGTTCCACGTTCGCTTCCCGGTAAATTCCTCGTGGTCCATCGCCTCTACTTTGCCGGAACATTTACCTGCTACTACAACCTGTCCTCGGATCAAGCTAGTTGTACCCACAGAACCCATACAAGTCGCTTACAACACCGTGGTTGAGTGGGAAGAGAACTCATTGGCATCAACTGATTACGATATAATTCTTCACATTGGCCTTGCGGCCGGCCGGAAGTTCTTCACAATGGAGAGGCAATCACAGCGGGAACCTTATTGGGAGAAAAAAGATGTCAAGGGCGAAGTCTTTAGTAGAGAAATGACCGAGAAGTTATGGCCAAATATGAAATTTCCGATGGTTTTGAAACCTACTTTTGATTGTGGCGATGTTTGGTTGAGATGGAGAGCCAATGTGGACAAAAGACTGGACGTACGGCCATCAGATGATCCAGGAAATTATCTTTGTGGGTTCATTTATTATTACAGCATGGCTTGGTTCTGGGCCCGAGCTTCAAAAGAACGACCAGTAATGTTTTTACATGTTCCAGATCTTCCAACAGAGGAATTGGTCGAAGGAGGTCGCGAGGTGACGATTGGCTTGATTAGAGCGCTGGTTGAGAGCAGGGAGAAGAAAGGTGTTTTTGATCCCTTGGCTGTGGATGAATCTGGTCTGAAATCGAATGGGCACTTCACGTCTCCAGGGTTTCTGCAGCGTCCCTCCAGCTTCGAATCGAGCTGTACCGAAGAGTGCGACATGGCCTGGACGTACCAGAAATAAAGTAACAAGACGGCTACTGAGTCTCCATCTCATAACATGACGATCAGCCCATAATTACTGATAAGTGATTTCAGTCTTTGGGATTGTCGTATCATATCGCAATCATACGTGCATGGCATTCATCGCGAATGGAATTTGAGTGGGCTAAAATCGCATCAACCATTGTATGATTTATGATTTTTTAGTCAAGCGAAAACTATTCTATGTTTGCAACCCCTTTCTTTACAATGGTCTATTCACAATTATCACATTTCATTCGAACCGGGACTTATTGTGTCCTTTCCTAACCTCCTAATTAAACAGCTAATTCCATTAGTCACATTGTTTTTCATCTTCTGCATTATAGCCACATACCTTCCTCCAAATTCCACTCTTTTGGCTCCCGGCTTGACGGCGATGCTTGCGGAGACTGACGTCTTCCTCAGGCTCATTCTTAGAAATCGGTGCAGAGTAGCTGCCGGTTGGAGATGCAGCACCATATCCAAGTGGTCCACCCATGTAAACAGTAGCCGTTGGTGCCGCATAGCCTCCACTGGGCGCATACGAAGCTCTCGGTACAGTAGATGACTGAAGCACGGCCGCGGCTTCAACAGACTTGGAAGGGATGCTTGATGAACTTCTGGGAGCGACATAATTTGGCATTGAGTAGCTGACACCCATTGAAGATGACTGGAGCATGGCCGCCGCAACTTTTGTATACGATGTAACGAAGCTAGAGGCTTTGGCTGGCTCGTAGTAGCCCCCCGATCTGCGATAATATTCAGCATATGCCGGAGCGTATGAAGTCGGAGCCTTTTCCGTTGATTTCCAGCTGTCAAAGTCTTCGTCTCCGTAGCTTTCATCATCATTATCATCATCAGTAGCATACTTGACATCCTTTTCCCAGGACATAGTGGCCGGAGATGAAGGTCTCGTAGCTACTGCGTCAGCTTCAGCCCACTTTGAAATCGGAGAGGATGACGCTGCGCCGGAAGAGACTGGTTGATAAGCATATGCCATTGGAGTCATGGATGCAGATGTTGGTGTCTTTGAGTGCTGCACGGCCTCAACATCATTTGTCGATTCTTTACCCCATGTTGAATCGCTAGAAGCGCTGTAAATGTAATCGCGGCGATACCAGTAGTCCTTCTCTGCATCCCAAGATGAGGAGCTTGGTAGAACTGGACTAACTGGAGTGCTAGAACTAATAGCTCCAAGATAGCTTGCTCCCCAGTAGCCTGCTGGGGAGGCGGATGTTATGACTGGGCTCACTGGAGTCGAAGAGGCACTTGCGTAGCTAGCAGCCCACTGAGCTTGGATGCTAGAGGCTATTGGAGAATAGATTGGAGAACTCTTTGATGGATAACTGCCTTCGGAAGCAGCCCAAGTGCTTGCAGGCTCGTCAATTTTAGCCACGGTTTTGGTTATCACTTTCGTGCTTTTGAGTGTCACAACATCCTCATAAACTGAGGAAGAGGAAAGAATTTCTTCGTCCCACGATCCGTATTTTGGATCATTGTCACCTTCTATACCACTGCTTAACACTGGTTATCCAAAAGATGGCTCGAAGACATACTAGGAAGGTAATTAGCACCAACAGCAGCGACCGCCGCTGCGATTGGAATGACTCTTGTGAACCGCATGGCGACAAGATAACGAAGAGAAGTAGCAGAAATAACTAAACGAATGTGATTAACGAGCGACAAGTAGAGGTAATGAAAGACAGGCGAGGAGGTTGTAGGATGGAATTCCAGATATGAGCAGGATGGGAATGATATTTATACATATCTCAATTCAAACACGGTGGCCGAAGGCTATCCAAATCTGTATACGGACAGAGTTTGATCGGCAATGCTGACAATTTAATCTAAATTAATTTCCATCACAAAGGTCTTCCTCCCTTGATCAAACTCAGATTCGGACGAGAACGCAAACGTTTATGAAAATTCCAAAAGCACATACCAGGATAACTCCAAGTTCATTGATTCGTACCTCTTTGAATGATAGTCTTGAGGATAAAAATCAGAGCATCGAAATTGGATGTATGTAGCGATGAGAAGAGGACAAAATGCTGTCGGAGATGTCGAGTGTCCGTCAAGGTCACCGTATCTATGCTTTCTACAATTCCACGGACTATATTTCCAACATTCGGCCCTTATTCGTTCTCATACTGTCTAGACTCAAAAACCCAAGACATCCCAAGTACCATGCGATCGGTAAGAGTGTCTAAAGTTCGATGCGACGGAATGTCGTTTCAAGAGTTCTCGTCCAAAAAGGACAGGATGTTTTGCTTGACCACATTAACTTTACCTGCTGGCCAAGAGAGTTTGTCAGCGATGCTCGCTTGACATGACCAAATCCTTCTGCATATTCCTTGTTGTGATCAGTGAATATGCATTTGCGGGAAAAGAAGATCAAGAGAACATCGCAGAAGGCGTAAGCACTCACCAGTTGAGTGACACAAAAATGATTGGTGAACCATAGATCTGCAGGTGAAGTTTCCTCGTTCGGACATTGTTCCACGGCGTACAGCAGGGTTAGACTTGGACGAAGAAGAATTCTAATTTTTTTTGCTACTGACATCCATCCTATCAGCTTCCGTGGAGCATATTTAACCTAAGCAAGGATCATTTGTTTACTGATTGACTATTTCCAGGTAGATAGGGAAGATGTGATGAATCACAATTTTTCATATGCTATAGGGATTCTTAGGCGGAAACGTGAATGTGAGAGCCGATTGCATTACCATTATTTACCAGAGGAGAGGACTTTCGAAGAGATTCTATAGATCAAATATCGTAAGACGGGCGAGCATGATTGGTCAAATCAATTGAGCTCCAGAGGAGATGTCGTATATGAGAAAGGACTCACTAAAAGGTTGTGCACCAACGGATATTGCTGGAAATGATTCCAGGTTGTGCGGAGATCAACTACTTGGCATCGCAAGGATGCTTGCTGTAGACAACAAACCTGCAATGTTCGAAAAATAACCATATGAAGCAATGTCTTGAAGGATATCAAAGGATATTAAGCCGAACTAATGTTTTATTTTTCACTGAAGGAAATGATCAGAGCCTAGTCATTTTGATTCAAGCCAGTTGTGTGCCTTGAACAAAAATTATCTTCTCAACAGGATTAACATGAGAACCACTTAAAGGTCACATTATTTGAGCAAGGCAAGCACTTTGAAGTCTTCTCAAGTGCCTTCCAGAGACTACATAGAGCGCGTGAGACTTAAAGTTCTCCTTCAATCAGCATTTGTAACAAACCTCATTCTCGGATATTTCAAATCCATCTGCTCGTGTTGCTAAAGAACATATTGGGTTTGTTCTTCTAGCATCTCAGTGAAACTTTCGGAAATAGCAGCACAGTTATACTAAGTTCGTCCTCAAATGGAATGTCGAAGCCATCCAGAGTTTTACAACAAAATTAGTAAAAGATCCTCAAAGAAGCTTGGTGATCTAAATAGCCAACACTAGTTCTCTCCGAAGAAAAGCAAGTTCAGGACCTGCTAAGATCACCTTGTCAACCAGTTCATAGCCATGCCAGTAACGCTTTTTATTTTAAGTTCAAGTAGTATCGAGCTTATAGTTTTGGTTATTGCGATTTTGAATTTCTTCCATGCATCTTTTTTCATGTCGCAACATTGGCCGAGATGAAGGAAGAGCAAAAAATTCAACTGCTTTCGGCAACGAATTGTTTCTATCAATTTTTAATCAACTGTTATGAACTTTTCTTTGACTTCCTGAGCTCCTAGCCGTTATTTAAGGGCATAGATGTTTCTTGCTGACATAGTTGACCACGATAGGTCAAAATAAGAATTGGGATGAAGAATATTTATATTTTCGCGATGGGAGGTTTTCACCAGATTCATCGCCATTTGATCTGACTTCGGTGCCTCTCGTATGAACTTGTATGCTGACTCTTTTTCCGGCATACAACTAGCGTAACCATTTGCAGCTGCTAAGCATTTCGCGAGGATAGAGAGAAGCATGTTCTTCCAACATGCTTAAAAGTGCCTTTCTGAAGATTATCAAGTTTTGAAACTACAGCAGTGTTCAGCAGAGTACAGTTGAGACATGAGCTTACTTTTGACTTAGACCGAGAAAGAAATTGGACTCATATGGATATCAGAGTCATAGTGACGATAAAATGGGTCTGACATATTCTTCATTTCACCAATTCAAACCCAAAGTTTAGTATATTTAATCTCTTGGACCCTGTTCAAGCAATGCATGAGATCTATTTCCCGCTGCGAAGAAACACACAGATTATAGTTACAACTTGGAAGCTCTTCGTATTGGTTGATGTCATCCATGGATCGCAAAAGCGTATCAGGCCTGACTCGGATCATATGCCAGTATCTGGGGAGGAAGTGTAAGACGGAAACGCAGTCATGCGGGCAATTCTAAATGGTGGGTTTGATTCTTGTCAATATGTGGTAGTAGACGCTGCATTCATTGCTAAAGATGACGATTGCCAAGGGATGATTGAAGTCATACAAGGCCCATACACCAACAGTGCACGAACTTGGTAGCGAAATGATGAGAAAAACAAGCGGGATGCTGTGTATACGTCTTTTTGGTAGAAAGAAAACAGGCTGTCCAATAAAAGTAAGTGGCTTGCTGTGACAAACAATTGCGCAATTCTCGCTGGTCTGTTTTATGTATTGTAAATCACTGGAATATCCATCCTTTGTAAAGATTAGTACGCTCTCCATGCAACTCATTCATACTATTGAGTAAAAGCACAAATGCAATCTGCTACGACGGTGCTAGCTTTTAGCAAGATTCTGCCCGTAGCTAACGCGATTTCTCTGATAACTAGAACTTGGATCATACCATCGGCGCATCTGTTAAGGGTACGTATTGGACGGCGTATAATTTTTTCTTCGTCACAACTCCGTCCTTATCTTTATCCACGATGTATATATGTTGACTCCACCCTTCTTCGACAGGAATAAACATTCGTCCAGGAGCTTTTAGCTGGTCCTGAAGGAGTTGGTGATGTTCTGCTGCCGCGGCTCCAACATGTATTGCATCATATGGAGCCCCGTCGGGATAGCCTTTCCGGCCATCGCCAGTCACAAATTTGATTGCTCCATTTTGGAGGAGTTCTCGTCCCCCGGCGCTCCTTTGAGTGTTCTTGATGGCAAGATCGGTGAGTGCTGGGATATGATCAATACCAATGACTGTGCCGGATGGTTTCACCAGCTCGGCAAGCACGTGAGTCAGATATCCTGAGCCTGAGCCGACGTCTAGAACTTTGGAGCCATCTTTGAGGAACGGCAACAACGATTCGCATGCCGAAGCATGCATATGAGGAGCCGATATTGTTGCTCTATGGCCAATAGACTGTGGAGAATCCTCGTATGGAGCAGTTGGGGCGTAATGCGCGCGATCTACCTGTGGGACGAATAACAGTCAACCCATATGCCACATTACAGTGGACCATGGCTTAACATATGACTGAAAACAGAACGGGACACACGTACACGTAACATGGCCTGCCGCACTTTATCACTTTCGAAAACACCATTGCGATGCAAGTTATTCACGAGCTCCTCATTTGAGGAGCCAGAACTTCGCCAGGCCATGCTTGAAAACCGGCTCTGAGGTGGCGAGCTTCGAAAGAAGGACCGGAAGAAAGTCGAAGGCGTCACTTTGGCACTAATTCAACGTGGCAGACGTCGAAGCTTTGATTATCGGAGCGATGTGGGAAACTAGTCTTAGGTCGGTGCAACTCGTCAAATATTTACATGCGAGATTGATGGCGTTTGTATGAGTATGTTTGATTGTTGGAAAAGTTATTGGGTCGAATGCTGTAAATGGCCGCAACAAGGTGGGGCAGTCATCAGACGAGGCTTGGGACGAGAGGGATCGCTCTATTGGTGACAAAGAAGCGGAGAAGAGATCTTTGGTCTGACCAATGTGCGCTTGGCTTTGAGCTCGAATAGATGATCAAGTCAAAGTCACGTCTGGTTAAACATAGTCAGCTAACTTAGCTGGGTAACTTACACATTGATCGGTTTGACGTCACTAATCGAAGTCATCTCAATCATGCTCCAGCTCGGCGCTCCACCACCTGATGCATCATTTGAATTTTCGCGACTTCGTTCCTAAGCTTGTTTAATCCTTTTTCACGTCGCGATGATCCGTACAACATCCACTTCACAAAATCTTAAACCCTTCGGATTCGGTGGAGGCCTTGCGAGCAACAATGCTTCGGCAAACTCGTTGTCTTTGCTGATCTGTGTTGAACCGCCTCGGGCTTTCACGCTCCAGTGGCCGAGTGACTGCGGACCAAGCAATATCGCGCTTGTTCAACCAAAGCACCAACTCGTTCTTTTCGAATGTTGCCGGACTGTTGGTATCCTGTACGTAACGCGACAGCCATTTCACGCCTTCTAAGTCAACCTAAGCCTTTTCATCCTGTGCGCCCCACAATCTTGGCGACCGAATCGACGCAAACAAGGCGTACATTGCACGTACTGCGCAAGCTCGACTAGAGACTTCAATTCGAGAGAATATCCGAAACCATGATTCCTATCTTTCTTCCATTCGACCTTGCTTTTGTTCACGATACGGTAAGACCGGACATTCTCTATTTGAAACGCTCGCTTCGTATTGATTGTAGTCGGAACCTTCAGGCCCCGCTGGTGCTTCCCCTGCTTAAGTAACGGTGCTCCATACACACTTCGGATTTTTTGGCCCTCGCCAAGTTCATGATCTATTGGTAAGTACAATAACGCTCGGAAAGTAGACCCGACAGTGGCTCCGCGTTTGTAGACCCAGTGCTCCAGGATAGGCGTCGTGGTCAATTTAAAGCACGTCAACATTTCTCTGTTTATACTCACAAGCACCGCCGGATGATTGTACGCATTACTTGCCGCGAAGTCGAAATGGCTATGTGCGGTTGACTCGTGTATCATCTCTTTCTTAAGAACATAGATGATCTCGCCGACATATCGCTCGTTTGTCTGGTCTCTCCTCTTCCGGGCTAGGCCACGTTCACGTTCCTCTTGGGCTTTCTTATTCTTTGCAAGGCGCTTAGTAGCTTCCAAAAGCTCCTCTACTACAAAGCAAACATCAGGTCCAAACCTGGCGTCTTTTGAAAGAACACTCTCCCTATTGCGAGTTCGATTTTTCGGCGTTTTCGTCCAACTATCAACATGGTAACCAACGCACGGAGTTTTACACGGATTCAAGGACACCCTTCTATCATTTTCCAGTGAATGCTTGGTAATTGTGCTGGAATTGTCATTTGTCGAACCTGCGCGCTCGCATCGTTTATGTCTTTGTTTTTCTGCCTTTTGCTGGTTTCCTGCTCCCTTTTCTACTGGTGGCTCCCGCATACCCGACACAGTTAATTCTTCTTGTCTCGTGTTTATCGTATTATGGGAAGAATGGACGGCTGTGGCCCCAGGAAAGTTGTGATTAGGCGTGCCATTGTCGTAAATTTTTGCGTCAGCGATGGTGCGAACTTCACCTTCTCTCTTTTCATGTTCTTGTCTTCGCAAGTTTCATTGCGACATGCACGGTCGATTTACATATCCTGGTAACTCAGGATCACAGGAGGTTTGAGATTGATTGGACTGTAGGCTTTTGCAACCGACGCTTCTACGTCTTCACGGATCCATCGATGCGATATCGTCTAAAATTCAGAGACAATGCTTGCCTCGAATTTCTTCAAAGTCTTGAATGGGATTCATGATATTAAACAGACGTGATGAATTTGTACGTATGAGAAAGCGTGTAGAAAATGCAGTCTGTTCTGATTGACAAAAGCGTAGACAACTTGTTCTTATTATGTGGCTATTGACGAATGGGGTAAGAAACGCCATACTTATGAGGCAAATCCTCTATTTTGATCAAGCTGGAGGGATGGGCCGTCATTTTTGAGTGGAATATGATCAAACATAGCTAGAGATAAAGCGATGACGATCCATTGGATTCATTGAGTGACAATCCGACACCAAACATTGTAGATGGGGTTCTGGAAGTAGGGCCAAAGAGCAGAACGCGACTTTGCTGCATTTTTATGCCTAACAATATATCCGATGTGAATCTCGTGGTCTTGATCGTTCAGCATGGAAAACACCGGATTTTGCTCTAGCTGTGGATTTAAGAGACGTTGTGGGTCAAAACAAATCAGATGCATGATTAGGGTTGACTCAACCGTAGTTGAAAGCCATGGTTTGAATATACTTTTTTGCATCATCCTCAGGTTTACGATCGCAAGATTGACGGGGTTTGTACTTCATTCGGACCTCCCTTCCCCGAATTATGTTGTACTTTACTCGCAAAAGTAGCGCTGGATTTAACCACCGCTGAAAGCTACAGTGAAATCATAATAAATGAAGCAGAATTAGCTTTCTTGGGCTAGTGAGATTAGGTTGATTTCCAAATGGCAAGGAAGAGAAAGCACGCATTGTGGACGAGCTGATCATTCATCACCACGAGATTTTCTGTACACTAATATACAACGTCAGTTGTATAAAGTGGAAGTGAATCGATCAAGGAAGTCGAATGGGAGATTTCTAAACACATTTAACTACAATGCATACAGCTAGGAAATTACAAGACTTTGTCTAAGTTTTGATTTAGTTGTTTAATTACTTATTTTATATTTTTTCAACACCAGCGCAAAGATCGCGACAGTCATGCATCCACGAAGCGAAGTCCTATTCTGATTCTAGCAAGTCTAAGATCTTCAACAACCACTCTATCGGGGTCCTTGCCGCCTTTTCCCACACAGAAGAGCGAAATCTCCTTTACTCCTGCTATGCCTCCGTTCATTTTCAGTATGGCTGCATCCTCTTCATCACTCGCTTCTCGAAGTTGCACGATTGTCCCGCTTCCAAACCTGCTTGTACTTCCTCCCTTAGTCGTCGGCTCATTTACCCTCCAGGACTTGGGTTCACCGTCATGTGAACGACCAAAGATCTTTTCGTATCTCATTGCCAGATCTTCAAGCCAGTCCTTGGTTGCTACAACAACGATTCTGTCCACGCCCAAGGCACCACTTGGGTGCTGCAAGCCTTCCGGGGGCACTCGAAGTTCTCTGGGAGTAATATCGTGACAGAAGAATGGCACACTTCCCCTTTCCATCCCGTCCTTCGGGAACGTAACATACCACTCAACGCTCTTTCCATCCAGCCGCTTCCTACCCCCTTTCCTCGGCTCTTCGTAGAAATCATGCAGCTTCTCGATGTCTTCCACACTTTGACTCGCAAGCGCCCAGTCAATAATGCTCCCCGCTGTCTTTGAGCCCCACCAGTGGCCTTCCTTAGATGCCGCACTGTCTTCGATAAAGGCAATGAATTCAAGGTAGACACCACTTTGTAGGATGACAAGCTTGTTGTACGTCTTTCCGTCCGCATGAGCACCCCCCGGTAATATTGTGAAGGCGTCTGTAAATACTTTGGGCGGACTGTCCAAGATCTCTGCCGGTAGAAGAATAATGATATGGTCAAGTGCGAAAGGCGTTGAAGTGGACATTATCGAGAGCATATGAGGTTTTTTTTTTCAAAGCTAATATACTCAAATTGTGCTCCTCAACGAAGGAATACGCTTTTGAGTGACTCATGTGTGGCGTAGCCCTTCGTTTGGTAGGTGAAGCTCGTGGTTTCCGATCCAGTGCGGGGCAAAACGAAATTCATGTATACGCGAAGCTTTTCATTCCTCAGGAGAATTAGCAGCAGTACTTCATTAGCTTTTGGTGGCCATTTTTTAAAGTCTATTTACATCTTGTAGAACGAAGTGCTGCCTAGAACTGGATCGTGGCGCGTTAATCTGCCTTCCGCGTTACACTGTTTTCAAGCCCAAATTATGCCATCAACATCAAATTGTACACCCCCGAACGCCTGTCCTCCGCACTCTATGGTGTCTTCCGGCAGACGACTTGTGGGTTTGACCGAGAGGCTACTGGTGGGACTGATGGAGTAGTTCTCACGCCTTCTGCTCGCGACTTCCTCCATCCATGCTCGCTGTCACCTGATGTCTAACTGGAACGGCTTGAATTTGCCGCCAACTGTTGCGCACCTTGGACATCGTGCAAGTCGTCCTCTCTGTTGCTCTGTGCTCAACGCATCTACGCAGTCTTTACAAAGACCGCAAATACATTCCGTGCACGCAAAGCTATCCCTCAGAGCACTAAGCCTCCTGCAACCCGCGCAATAGATTTGTACAAGATGGCCCGGATGAGCGACAGGAAAGGTGGGCGATGCATCGTTTGATGTCGACAAACCCTGGGAAGACATGTGAAAATTGAGACCGGACTGTTTACTCGCAATGCTAGAATCTGCGGAGGATTCAACGGAAGGGAAGGGTTGAAGTTCGCCCATGTCTGGAGGAGGTGGAGTTAGTGCCTGCTGAAGGGGAGAAGCGGTATATGTGTGCATCATGTTTCCTTGGAATAGGGGATGATGCATCAGTGGAGGGAGCGAATTTCGATTGCTGTTTATCTGCTTCGGAGAAGGGGGCATCTGCATTTGCCGCGGAGGTATCTTAGCAAGCTATTTCTCATTCTATTCGAGGACCACAATGGAGGAGTAGATGTGGATCGAAAGAAGATAAGAGCAACACGTACAGGTGTGAGATCACGGCTGTCCTCCTCGGTGGCCGAGGCAGCAGCTTCGATCAAATCTTCCCACCGGCTTCCGAGTTTATTGGCCATGCTAGAAGTCTCCGCAGACAGTGCTTTGTTTCGGTCATAGGAGTTCCTTCGTACATGTTCTTTGGACTTTGTCCGTTCGTGCTTGGGCTTCCGGGCATTTTGGGATACAGACAGCTTACGCGGTCTGTTTGGCTTACCTAGTCGATCTCGTGGCGGTATACTCGATCGATGATGATAAGGAGGTGACCGCGCCAGAGAAGAAGGTAAGAGCTCTTTTGTACGCGGGGTTCCAAGGTCTGGGTAATAGTCGTTACTACCAAAGGCAAGTTCAGGCTCAATGGGCCCGAATCGGGGGCGAGGTTTGAACGCAGCGTCATCCGAGAACATATCCTACATACCATCTATTAGATATGGTAAAAAAAATCCGTTTTTTCCCTCTCGATGACAATGAGATGACACTGATGAGGTGAGCGTGTGGTCTGAACATGATGCGAAAGCTAGCAGTGCGCAGATGTAATTCATCAGCACTGGCTAGCTGCTACGAGCATGTAACGATGGCAGCAAGAGAAATGGTTGTCCTGGCGAATTGAGTCAGTACATACCTGTTCAGCATCCCAATGGATCTCAGGCTGTCTAGAATCGTGCAGCTGAGCGAGCACTTCAGCAGCACTTGTGGCCGGCAGCAAGCTCCCACGCCTGTACTCATCCGAGCTTCTGGGCGTGGGGTCGTAAGCGTTGTATGGGTCTCTGTAAAAGGAGGCCCCGTCCAAGCCATGGCCGCCTTCCTCTGTCAACATAGCGAAAACGCTCTGCGGGCTGCAATACTGACCAGGCGGTCCGACAGACGGCGCGTGGGACGATATGTGGCCTGAGACACTATTGTTGTTGTTGTTGTTGATGGAATGGGAAGGGGTGGAGTGGGGAGGTCGCTCGGATGGAGGGGTGTTCACCATGAGCGCGAACGATTCCTCAGTAGCAGGCAGTTTGGGGATATAGTGGTCTGGGTGAGCTCGGCGGATGTGCTCCTGCATGGAGCGGTACCGCTTCTCCTGCAATCATGTCGATTAGCGTGCACAAACAGCACTGTTTGCGACAGCGACGATAACGAGGACGACGGGAACTAAGAAGGATAAGACGACAACGACAAGACGTTCCTAGGCGGCGGGTGGTGCTGTTTCCGCGCGATATGTGACGTAGCTTGTGGTGATTGCGCTGTTGGCTTGCGAAGAGGATAGTTTGACTCACTCCAAGACATCTTTTGCGGCATGCTGAGCCGTCGTGATTCTTCAATGGACATACGACCTCGTTCTGAGGATCTGAAACCGAGAATGAGCTCGTCAGAGACGATCTGGGTGGCATTGTGCGTGGTTTGGGTGCAAGCTTTTGTGAGAGCTTGCTGCGAGGGCAGTGGAGGGGTGGTGGGGAGCAATTGGCCTGGTGCAAGCTGGGCGGGTCGGACAAGGCAAGCTCAGAAATCGCAATTTTCGTTTGACTGGGGGAGCTGTTGTTGCATCAGGCGCCGAGCTGTGGTTTGAGGTGGCCTGGAGCTGTGTGCATAGCTGTCTCTACCTGGTGGCGAGCAAGGACGGCGAGGTCAGGTAAGTTCGGCAGAGGTGGGCAGGTGGGTGGGCGGTGGGTAGCAGGCAGGCAGGCCGGTCGGTGTCCAGCAGCAGTTTTGGCGCACGCGGCGTTTGTGAACGGCGCTCGGTTTCGTCGGCGGCGAGTTCGTGACTGGGTGAGGGGCAGAAACCGTCCTGGCGCTCATGTGTCATTGGTCGGCCGTTTATCGGTGCCGACCAACCCTCAAGCCCAGCCGCTGCACCTCTTCTCCGGCGCTGTCCTTCGACCAGGCAAGCCTGCTGCGGTCCTGGAACATCAGAACACAGCTCGGCACGTGAAGCGCCTTGCCTCCTGGCCGACCGGCTACGGCTTGCCACTGTTCACCTTTTCCCAAACATAAAGGTGTTTGGTACCGATCGGACTGTGCGCACGGCTGGCCTGTGAGGTCACCACCTTGGAGCCACTTCATCGCGCTGCTGATTGGCTCGTTTCCAATCCTTGTCTTCCGCATCTGAGCCTGTCCTGGAACGTTTGAGCTTGCTTGTGATAGTGCTCAACTGCTCCATCCGCTTGATCAAGACAGACACGGCTGCTTGATGTGCCACAATGTTGAACCAGGAAGACAGGCCGTCTGTTTGGGCTGTTCATCCAGTGGCAAGTGGTATGGAGACGTCTCTCTGCGGCCTGACCCAAACGCCCCAAAGAATAATACAGAAATAGACCAAAGCTCGAATGGTTGCATGACGTGTTCTATTGTTGATCGTTACAACGCCTTTTTCACTGCTAGCCAGAAGACTTCGTGCGCGGGCTTAACCATATACTAGGTCTATACCGTCTCAAGGTTGCAGCGCCGCGTCATCTATCATATTAATTGTCTGTTCTCTACATCGATGGGAGCTTGCCGTCTTTTCCGCGCTGCTCGGAATACTTCTGATCCTAATATCTTATAGCAGCGTCAAGGCTTCGCTTCGCATCGAGGCATAATGAAAATTCTACCTAGGCACGAACACTTCTAGAATTATAACGTACTCTGCCCAAATGCGCTTACCACGACCTAGATGATCGGCTTCTGATCGAGCACCAAGGCTGAAGCCAAAAGACTTGAGGTACGATCGCGTGAACGCAGCCCCTTCCGCTCCAATGATACTATCGTAGGTTGTAGTGAGCTGTCGCTGGACTGTAAATGGCAGCCACCACTTATTCTTGGTCGCCTTTCCTTCCCAAGTCGCAGCTACCTTTCTAAGTCATGGTCCCGTTGAGAAAGTACGATACTTGGTCGAATTTAAAGAAAAAAGAGAAGCTTAGCGTTGGTCCTGCACTTTGGATGACATAGTTCATCAAGGAGAAGCTATACGTTTTTTTTCCGACGTTGCATCTTTTGCCTATGTAGCGGGACAATGTAGTAGAGACAGACGCGACCGCTTGCATGTGTCGATTTAGCGCGGCCAGTTGGGCAGGAAGTGGCCGTTATGGTGAGGTTATTATCTAAAAAAAAAAAGGTTGTAGCTGTGCTGACTCCTTGGAAATTGTACCGCTTGATAGTGCTGTACCCAATGTCTTGACGGCTTTCACCAGCTCATTCATGTTTGTTGGACGAATTTACTTAGCTGTCTACAAATGAATGAGAGGCACTATATCCTACTAGTACTAAAGAAAAGAGTCCTAGGTCAGAGTGTTGAGAAACAATTAGTTGCCATCGTACCAATGCTCTTACACTCTGAATGCCCACAATTTTACTCTTCCCGTTCATCTCTTCAGCTGGCTTATTACTCCACCATATCGCACTCCGCCTGCTGTGATATTACTAGCCTTGATTTAAGTGTTGCCAGTAAGTCCCCATGCTTTGTTGCGAGCAGTCAGACACGCGTTAGATTGAATATGGAATCGTACCCAGCAACTCGCATACTTTCTTATTTGAAAAGTAACTTCAGTCTGATCCATAGACCTCTAAGATTAGTTATGTTGAATAGAATTGACGGGAGTGGATCGCCAGTTGTCGAACCGAACACATTTCATAAGTTGTGAAACGTAGGCGGATATAAGAATATACAAATACATATATACATAGCGAGAGAGAGAGAGAGAGAGAGAGAGAGAGAGAGAGAGAGAGAGAGAGAGAGAGAGAGAGAGAGAGAAAGGGGGAGTAGTTTAAAATTCCACACACCGTGGACGTGATAAACTTTCAGAGGAGACACGCCTCACGGAGCATCAGGTGTTGTCGGCCACTTTAACTGAATATTCTGCATAAGAAAACATGAGTTCGGATTCGTCCGCAGACGTATGGGGTCAATGAGAAGAATAAACATTGAATGATTGCATGTTTTCAACATGGACTTTTGTTCATAACATCGTCGAATCTATAATGCCCACCCAACCTCTCCTCTTCTCAAATTAAGCACTACAGTCAAGCTTAGGCCACGACTTGGGATCGCAAGCTCATAGCTGGTGAACCTCATTCATCCTGGCTCCAACTTATATTTTCATTGCAGTTCTTCATGATCCGTAGTCGTATGTTCCTCCGGGTTCGCTATCTTTTCCTCCTCCTTGGTATTTCGAGTCATCGCCTTGACTATCGCTTCGGCAGTCAACCTATCCACTCTCAACGTCTCACCAGGATTTAATCTCAGAATCTTTGGCTTTCTTTCAACATTTTTGGCCGCAAGCTCATTCCAAAGTTGCATCTGCGCGTCTGTGACGTCAAAATCCTTACGTACAACTTTCTTCGCTGTTGCACTAAGGACGTTGTGTCGATCATTTGCGGCTATCCATGTAGTTGGCATCAAGCGCCTGGCAAGTTCAAACCCTCCAGGGTAGCCGGTGGATATGTTACCGCCGGAATACCACGGCGCGTCCACAACAGTTGTGGAATGAAGCATAGCGACAAGTGGGAGAGCAGACTCGGGGACAAGGTGGCCCAAAATCCAAGGTTGAACAACGTCAAAGGAGACCCCGTAAGGACTGTACAAGACGGAAAGGGTTGGCTCGGGGTTAGAAGCCGCCGTCGTTGCAAAAGTCATATCTGAGCTTATACTACTCATCGGTTTCGCGCTCGAGGCTCGAGAGCTCGGCGGTGCGCCGGTCATGGCTCGACTTCGTGAAAGGACACTACCTGGCTCGCGATATGTGATACCAATGGCGTTGTGTACGCTGCCTGCTGAACTAACCTTAGAATTCAACAGCGCAATAGTGAGCTCGCCAGATGTACCCAATGGCGAGGGGGGAGGTAGCTCCACCCGAAAAAGCGTATCTTTCCTGCCATTCTTATATCGTCTCAGTGCATACATATTTCCAAGATCGAAATGCTTCCATCGTTTAACCTTCTTGATTGCATTGGGTTCGCCCACAATCATGGACTGTATGTGTGGTGATAGCTGACATAGTGACTCTTCGTGACAATGGTCGGGTAGGGTTTGCGATATGAGAATTGCATCTGGTTCCGCTATGTCATTAAGCGAGGAGATACAAGATGAGGGCTTGGGGTCAACGTCGTCGATCTTGAGAGGTACGATGGGATCTATTAGAATAGTGAAGGCGCCGGGAAAGGTTTCGGGGAACTTCTGCTCTGCTGGGCATATGGAGGGGATAAACGTAAGCAGGAAGCTGGTATCATTGTTTAGGGCCTTGATATGCAATGCCATTAGCACGACAAATTAGCTCCAAAGAAGCGAGAGACATAGAAGCGTTGTGCTCATTGGATGCAGGGTATGTAGGTCTCACGCGGAAGTTCAAAACACGGAGTATGAATGGCGAGATTGGGCTTCTATCCAGGATGAAGCGTCCATAATTAATGGCCGTGTTGTCCTGAGTCGAGGGGATTGAGCTGACTGTTGATTGGAGCTTTGACGCTCGTATGCCGCACGCAGAGACCTAAAGAGCAACAATTAAGGGACGATATTTCGGGTCGCCCTGCGGATAATCCCGTTTTCCTTGATTGGATGGCCTGCCATGTGCTGACGAACAAATCTACAATTTATATCGCGAGACCGTCCATCACAGATGTGAATAAGGCTAGGACAAAATGTTGGACCCCTTCGGACTCCAACTGTTGTCGGTAAGAAAATAAAAAGGCGTTTATGGATTGGCAAAACACATGACAGAAGTCCTCTAATGGCGGATTCCAATCACGTTTTCGATCAGAAAAAAAAAAAAAAAAAAACAAAATTTTAAGTCTTAGCTAAATGGTTTTCTTCCACTTTGTTGCATTTAGATCTATTTAGTTCTTGACAACTATCTGTTCCGTTCCGACCATGAAATCTAGCCCTAAATTAAAATCTTTTCTTAGGTAAAAAGCACGCAAAGTCGCGTCAACTCTCCTGAAGTCGAATTACAGCGAAATAAGCCACCTGCAGAATTTCTATGGGAAAGGAGAAAAAAATCAGTTAGCTGACTAATCTGTGCATGTTTTTTGTATCAAGCAAGACTGATAATTGGGTGGACGGACTAGAACTCGGACAGAATACTCCAAAAGACCTGGCGTATCTGAGCATTTCGAGCGTATGGCGCCATGCTTCCAACACCGTCGACAAATCACGTCAATTTCAACCGTATATACGAACCAGCCGAAGACTCATTCCTATTTCTTGACACTTTAGCAAGTAACTCGGAAACTGCCTTTCTTTCCAACCGATTTGCATGCAAAACTTGTTCGAGTCCTCTTGTTCTCGAAATTGGAACAGGATCTGGTGTTGTTTTGGCTTTTGTGACATCATGGGCAAGCAAGATTTTTGGCAGGCGAGATGTCGTTACCCTTGGAACTGACGTGAATCGCTTTGCTACTCAAGCATCTGCGCAAACTGTACGAAACGCCATTAGCGAAACTTCCAAGCTTACTGGAGATGGTCTAAGTGCTGGCATGTTCTGCGATACGGTTACATCTGATTTGACGACTTGCATACGGCACAGCCAGGTCGATGTGCTTATCTTCAACCCACCCTACGTTCCAACTGAGGAGTTACCCGATTTCTTAGAGAAGTCCGACATCGACGAGTTCGAGAGAGATTCGAATCTTCTTGCCTTAAGTTATGCCGGAGGAGATGAAGGTATGGAGATTACAAACCGACTTCTTGATGATTTACCAAATATTCTTGATCCTGAACGCGGCGTTGCATATGTACTTCTCTGCGCCCAGAATAAACCAAAGGATGTCAAGGCTCGTGTACGATTTTGGCCTGGATCGTGGCACGCTGAAACTGTTGGAGACATTGGTAAGAAGGGTGGATGGGAGAAGCTTCAGATCATTCGCATATGGCAAACCGTTTGAACGAGGAGGAAGGGGAGCCGGTGCAACCAAGCCCACTAGGATTTGAGGGTGTGCCTGAGAGACATAAATTCCTGATTAAGAACACTATGACAACCAATACCGGCTGAATGAAAGGGAATAAACATGAATGAGGACGATTCCAAAATGCCCCGTTTTTGTTTCAGTTGAGTGCCAAAAAATGAACGTGATACACAGAAAAATATTACGCCAGCTCGTTGCTAGAACTTGCTTCGCTCAAGGTGGTGGAGAATTAGGATTTGGATCAAAGTGAAGTTACATTCTCATTCAAACGCACGGAAATTAAACCTCCTATTAAATTAGAGGTGGCAGATCACTAGACCGTCCACTTCACTGAAGGCCAACAAGAAGGAAACTCATTCCCATGCGACTTTCAACTACGTTAAACCCCAGGAAATGTTCAGTTAAAAAACTTAAGGACGATGACAAGTTGTATAGTAGAAGCGTCATTATGAACGTGGAATTCAAATTCCATCTCTTTATTATCGTAGACATGTCAGCATTCACTGTTGCAAATGAAGCCTCTTCCATGAATTCATTTGATGCAGATTACTTTAATCAATTGTCTAGAATGCAGCCTAGTCAACTCAATGGCTACCAAATCTGTCTCTCATCACTATTTTGCATCACAAGATGAAATGACAGCGTAGCAGTTGCAACTTATTGGACTTGATCAGCACAGAATGGACTGACACATCAGACTCGACTTTGAAAATTTAAAAGTCGATGTAGATGAGATCTCGCCATACAATATCGACTCATTCAAACATACGCTACAAGACGCATTACAAAGCACATGAACGCCGATTTTGTCGACATTTGGTCAAGATAACGATAAAGCATATGTTCGAGGTAAAGGGGTAGGGTCGCACTATCCCAACCCTGTAGAGATAGCCAGAAATTATGTGACAGTTCTTAGTATTACCATGACTGCAGCTAGATAACAGACCAGACGCCCTATAGTGTAAAATGAACCTTTGGCCACGGCGGCCAAGCTCGAGATGTTCTGTTTAAAAAGAACCAGCCGATCGTTTGCAGTGGGAAAGATATTCATCACAGAGAGAATGTAAACACGAAATGGGAATTATGGATAGAGCGGGTCCGTATCGAATCCCTAGCACTGCTGAATGTCTTGTATGCTGAAGATCCGAAATACAGAAACAGCGTATTCATCCTCGAATATTGTGACATGGGCGGCTTGTTTGAGTACAGCAAAATTCAACATGCAAGGAAAAGCTTCGTACCTGAATGTATGGTTTGGAATATTGCATTACCTTTATCTCGAACATCTCCTCGGCTGCATAGCATTTATGGCTCAGCCGAAAGTTCGAGGTCACGGGACATCAAATTCACAATCATTCACCGGGATGTTGAATCCCACAACATTCTGCTAAAAGCAAATGCGCCAGCACGTCTTGGCACCTGTGGTAAACCCAGTGAGATCGGGATGGCCCAGAGACTTAAGCGCAATTGGTCTGATTGGACAAATGGATACTCGCCCGCCAGAAGGGCACGATTGGCAACCAAGAGAGAGCGGTCAGCCACCTCATGCTGCTGGTCAAGAGCAAGACATGTGGTCGATTGGGGCTGTAATCCACTACCTGGCACTTGAAGAGCCCACCATCGACATTAGCAAGGCAAAAAAGAATTTTGCGAAAGAGAGTGTGGAGTGGAAGAGAAACTTTTCTCGCAGAACAAGCGCAATCATCGGATGACCAAACTTACATCCTGGGATGCGAAGTCATGAAACTCATTTAAGCGATGGTCATATGTCATGGAGCATCAAACATTCCGTTAAACTAAATAGGTCGATAATGAGATTGTTGAAAACGGCCGTGCAGGAAAGGATAACGGCGCTGAGAGGATGCCAGAAGAGTATAAATTCTGACGACCATGAATCAATATCATGAAAGAATTAAATGTGTGCGCAGGGAGCAGTGTCCGAGTCTAATCATTCCGAATATAGTCTACATGAAACAGTGTCTCGGCAATGCCAGTTGTGACGTTAAAAAACGCTCTCGGCCGAGAGTTTTTAGTACCATCTTATTAAAGTTGGATTCGTTAGAAAGAGACATGGCCAAAGATGCCCCAAAAATATTGCGCCAAATTAACATTAAGAGTGTCATGAACATGTTCAACAGCAGCATTGTCTAGCTACTTCAGGCAGAACGACCGGTTTCTTTCAATGAAATCCTGGGAACCGCGGAGTCCGTGCTCTGGTCGCGCATGATGACGCCACGAGTCTACAAACTGTAATCTAGGCTTTGCAGGAAGCACATTCATATCACAGAAATTTCGACCTCTGCTTCATAAGCTCATCTCAATTCTAATGATATGGCTGCGATTTTACCCAGCAGCTCTGTAGCTGCCATTGGGCGTCACTCCCTCTTGCTTCACTTGCCGCCTGCTTCGAGATGCAGCATCTATCTTGTGCTCCAGAGCCATTGTTTGCGCGAAACTGTCGTTCATCCGCAGGTTCGGTTTGCTTCAACACAAGTCCGCAAAGTAATATCAGTCGGACCATCGCATGGGCGTCGATTACAAAGCCCAACCTTTGCACCGCGCGAACAAGCAGCATCGCTACAAAACGCACTCTCCGACAACACAGCCTCATCCAAAGTCGCCTCCATCAATCCATATGACTTCACAGACAAAATCAATCCTCCGTCTACAACTTTGCCTGTACCCATAAACCTACCGAGTAGACAATCGAGCACAGGTGCATTCAGATACTATATTTCGGTAGGCAAGGCATACTGGGCATTTTACAAGGCGGGTATAAAGAATGTTTGGCGTAATGCTCAGGAAAGACGGCGTTTGGTGCGCAGGAAGCGCGCAGAGAAGCATTCTGCACCGCCGTCCATGCCAGATACAAAGGAAAACGTGGTGCTTGATGAGCGTGCGCTAGGGCAGTACGCGAATTATCCATTCACGAGGGCAGAATTCCAATTCTTCATAAGAAGTTGGCGAGATGCGAAAAAAATTCCCATTTTTCTGGTATTGCTGGGCATTTTTGGAGAATACCTACCATTGGTGGTCATGGTGTGCACACCCCTGGTACCTTACACTTGTCGTATACCAAAGCAAGTCCGGAAGGCAAGGGAAACGATCGAGGAAAGAAGATCTAGATCCTTTAGAGGGGATATGGGCACTGTTCCGACTCCACTTAAGCGAGGAACGGATGAAGTGGTTCGAAGCGTTACTGACTTGGACAAAGTGCAGATTCAGCATATTGCGAGGAGTTTAGGCTTGTACTTTAAATTCTGGGAATCCCTAGGACCATTATGGCCGCCTACGTTTGTTCTAAGAAAACGGGTTGAAAAGAGGCTGCAATATCTTGAGCTGGACGATGCGTTGTTGAAGCGTGATGGCGGTACAAGGCTTCTGAAAGGAGAGGAAGAGATCAAGATCGCTGCTGAGGATCGAGGGATTGATGTTTTGAATCGGAAACCTCATGAGCTACACCAGATACTCGCGGCCTGGGAGCATGGAGCTGACCAAGGCAAGACTCTGAGTATGCTGCTTAGCAGGTCGGTCAACCTACATACCCAGTGACGTATTAAAAGCAAACTCTAACTTGTATACAGACCTTCCGCATGGAATGCAGAGGCCTCAAGTTGACTTTGCACCCGTATGCCTGCTCATGTGTTACAATTCGTAGCAGACTGAAGTCACCCGGAAATGTACATTATTTATTCGCTCGTAATTCTACCTCTAGGTATCTACGGTTTGGCTTCTGATATAAGCAGGAAGACGCTACAGGGAGTTGATTCAAAAGCGGTGTATGGTCGAAAGGGTAAGTTTCGATTCTCGATAGTACTGCCCTGCTGAGGCTAAGAGGTACTTTGTACCTACGAAACATATTATCACCCCATAAGGTATTCGCACAAATGTTAAATCTTCTGTCTAATGTCGGTAGTAGATTGTTCATTTCCGTGAAGTGCATTGAGGAAGCTGCTCATATCGCTAAACTCCAGAGGTGATTGGCCATGGCTGGACACGAGGCCGAATTGTGCATTTTGTGGCTAAACCCACCACACAATCATCAGCAAAGACTCTGATCACTTTGCGTGACTCTCATTGCCTTTCATAGATAACGAAATTGTCTGATATCGTGTCCTATCACGTAGAACAAAATGCTAGGCCCCAAAGGACTGATGTGGATACTAGTAGCTGTGCAGCCACATTTTAAGTTGTAATACAGATCAACATACCTCCAGGTAGAGTGGGAGGACGGTAAGTTGTCCACGTTGCATCCAAGGACTACGTTGACAACAGTAGAATCTTTGCAATTCATGGTTCGGGCAGCTCATTGAAGACATCTTGAACTTACAAAGCAGGGAGATCTAGCCGTGAAGTCTTTTGGCTTGAAAAATTCCTCTTGCTACGATTGCCGGACTACGAGATCTGCGCTGTTTCCTGGGCTCCTTCTGCGACAGCTTATGCTGCTGGTTAACACGTTTTCGACATGTACCTTTCGAGGTATCTCATTGATACCCCCCCCTGAAAGATGCTCACCTATTGTCCTGATTGTCTACGGAGTTGCTCAATTTGGGGATGTTCGACTTTCCTAACCTACGATACTTGTCATGGTTTGACTTGAAGAAGCATCTTGTCCAGCAGTCATAATGATGACACAGGTGCTATGCTCTTAAGCTGCACGCCTAAACTCAATCAATTACTAGGCGTAAAATCATTAAGCGTTTCTGCCATTGCCCTTTATATACTCTATTTCGGACATCTACACGCGCTCCATATTGCGTAAATCAGTCGCTCGACCACTACAAGGTGTTCTTCGATGCCTTTGTCCATCAGCGGATTGGACATAAAGTTACGAAAAGTTGGACACATATTTCCGATAACAATGAAGCCTGGATGAAAGGTAGGTTAGCCCTGGACTTCACATGAAGCATTTGTTTATTCAATTTCCGGTCAGCCTTTGCAACAATGTGGCGATTGGGCTTCTCAGAAACGCGGGATTTCCTCAGAACAACATGACAAGTGCGATCAGGGTTTCCCACTTCTCGGTGCATACTACTTAAAGCCTAGGCCATTCCAATCTCTCATGGGGCGATAAAAGGTCGCCCCTCACAGGTCTATGTAAGTGATAAACATACAGTTAGATCACTGCAGTTAAGTAAAATGATAGTTACCTTGCGCGTATTGGGACGCTGTAGAACGCCTACGAAAGTATACTGAACATTTATGCGTAATTTTGAGAAAGAATGTGCAAACATTGAGGCACGCCCGGATCCGCACTTTTTCCCTGATTATAGCCCTTTACGAAGACACTTTAGCTTTTACCACCCTCGCAGAACTCTAGATCAATATGGTTTTCCGCAGGTGAAGGATATTTCCGGCCAAGACGAAGATCCATTAATCTACAAACAAATTGGTGGCCCATTGGATGAGCGCACATTGATTGCGGTTGATCATCCTTCGGCTTGGATACAGGGATCATGGTGAGAAAAAGTATCTCATAACATCGTTCCCCACCACTACGTATCCAAGATTTGAAGCTGAGCTTACAAACGAACGAAGTGCTCTAGATTTGCTTCAAAGGACATTTGAAGAATCTTGAGAGACGTGCGAGTAGCACACAGGATGTGAAAGTCGAGCAAATTGTGGCCCTGGTGCTAGAGCTGGCGCTAACTGGAATGCTTTCCTTTCAAGGTCATTGGTCGTTTAGCTTTCTCGAACTTTTCCAAGAAGCGATTGGAAACGTTACTGTGCAGCAAGGCAATCTCTTTCGTTCATTTACGAAGTCAATGGCTCCTGGAGCCCCTCGCGTCACAAACGGAAAAAAGAGGCAACAGTTCATCCTGAGTTTTTGAAGCGAATGACATTATTGACGAGCTGAGAATGTTCGAGCAACTTGTTGGGAGCCAAGTCCAAATTCTGAAACGCGTTAATACACCTCTTTGGAGAGTGCAGCAATCGTAGCTTCTTATAAGATAGAGTGACTCATATTTATACTGGAACGGGAGTATTTACCTGAAATTGGCCTTATGATTGAGAATGCAGAGCGTACTCAAAAGAGTTTTTTCCACCTTTAGATTTTCAACAGAAGCAGGAAAACATCGAACGAAGTGCGTTGCTCCAACCAACAGGCACTCTTCACAGCAAAGCAGACCATTTCACCCAAGATCAAGCCGATGCGACCACTGCAGTCTCAAATTCCCATCTTATTTATTGTAGTCACAATTGTATTTCTCCCCCGTCGTTTTTCACGTCCTTTTATGGCATGAACGTGCATGATCACGATGGCAACCAGATACTCCCGGCAAAGTTCCTACGTATGAAAAGTGATGGGCGGATCATCATTCTCGATTATCACGGTTCTCCTATGTTGTTGCTACAATTGGTACTATATGGCCAAGAAACTAGCCAAGCAGAAGAGAAGGGAATATCTTAGACAGCTGGGTCGAAAGGGCACATTGCCTCGTAGATAGCTCGATAACGACGATACGATCATACAGGAACTCTTCCAGGAAGCGTAATCAAGGCCGATATGGCGACACCTAGGTAAAAGGTCTAAAGAAGGGTAATTCTTTTAAAACCCAATTGCAATAGATATCAGTACTTTGTTGGACACTAATGAAAATGCCTCAGTTTGATCTCTGACAAAAAGCTTCACATTGTACGAGAGGATTGATAATCCGTTCGCATCCTGATATCCATCAATGAGGCTGCGCGAAAGACATTGCGCTCTAAAATCCGATTCTTTTTGTTGACAACAGCTTTATCTTACATCAACTAACAGCCATTGCATAACGGTCACATGGACATTAAATATATTGCTAAAATGGGCCTTGCCCACCTAGGCTTGAAACCTCTTCTCCATGGCTCCCCATCCGACCCAATTGTGTAGCGGTGCAACTTCGGGCATAATGCCATCTGCGAATGTTCCAGTTGCTAAGACGTATTTATATGCTTCTTCAAACTCTTTCTTCCTACTACCATACATCTCATCTGGTGGATCACTATCTCGCGGTGTAGCGCTCGGTGGATTTGTTGTGTATGTCTCACTCATGGTCGATGCCAAAGTGTTCAGGTGCAAAGCTGATTGTTTTATGCCATTCGTAGGCTTAAGAGTGTTCTGGGTAGCTCCAAAGCTGTTGCTGATTGCTTGCGTAGGGGCAACAAAGCCACTGCCCGAAGGCTGGCCAAATGCTTGGCCTTGATTCTGCAATTGCGTAGGCTGCCCAAAAACGCTAGCAATTTGATTTGTCTCCCGACTGAACGGCGAAGGTGATGGTTGCCCGAAGGAGTTTACTTGAGGTGACTGTGCGCTGGACTGACTGAAAGGATTTGATGGTGCGGATGGTTGGTTAGCTTGACTGAATGGACCTTGGCTATTCACATTATGATTGTCAAACGGATTTGTTTTCTGGCCAAAGCCGTTTGATTGGCCGAGTGATGAAGGCTTACCAAACGTTCCTGCTGAGCCAAATGTTGAGGGTTGCCCAAATGCCGAGCCATGGCTAGAGGCCGACGGTTGACCAAAGGCAGATTTCGCACCTAATGTAGATGGCTGACCAAAGGTAGAACTGCCTTGAGGTTGCGATGGTTGGCCGAAGGTTGAAAATCCTTGTGGTTGCGATGTCTGATGAAATTTATGGACAATCTGGGAGTTTTGCGACGGGGTAAATTGATTTTGCGCACCAACTTGCGACGGTTCTCCGAAACCTACTCCCTGTATAGCTGATGCTTGTCCAAAGCTTCCAGGCCCTAGTTGCGAAGGCTGACCAAACTTTGGGCCCTGGCCAGGTTGCGCAGGTTGTCCAAAACCAGCAGACTTCGGACCGAGTTGTGAAGGCTGCCCAAAAGCAGAGGTTTGTGTAGAGACTGAAGGTTGTCCGAATGTACCTGGCCCCGAGTTGAAGCCCAGCGGTTGTCCAAAACCTGATGCCGGGGTGAAGCCAGGTCTATCGACCGCCGGAAGTGGAGCAGGCTTGAATGGATTGGCGCTCCCGAGAGTTTTGTTTTGATCAACGATGTCCCATCGATTCGGATGCTCGCGCTTCGCGGCTGCTATTTTACGGATGTGTCCATGAATGTCTCGGACTACGTCTGCGACCGCTTGTTGAGCAGCTTGAGCTGCACTCGCTTCTTTTTGTTGCTGATCAGGATACGTTAGCCAGACCAGAAGCAGATATCCAAGTAAGACATACAGCCTGAGCTTCTCGCCCTTGAAGTCGAAGAAGGTAATATTCGGTTCGAACTTCTTCCGGGCTAAGTTCCATCTCCGGAGGGAAAAAATGTTTGGGGACATCGGGTGGGTGACCGGAGTAGCACGATAGCGGCCACTGCGGCAGTTCAACTGTGAGGTCGTTTCGTATTGTGTCTGCATCAAGTCTGAAATGCCTATCGGGGCCAGAACTCTGACCACCGCCACCCCAAACTTGGCCTGGTCCTAGTCAGTTTCACAGACATCTTCAACTAGTGAGTGAAGAAAGCTGAACTAGAGAGAGGATGATATATAGGCAAGATGACCGAGGGCATTTGCGGAAAGTTTCAGAAAGATATCAGTGGTAGTAGGATTAAAGTTGGCAAAGTAACCAAATCTTTCTTCTTTGCCATTGCCATGACCACTCTCTGGATTCCGCTCAGCATTCAACATTGTGGATGACCGAGTGAAGACAATTGCATAACTTGATTGTTCGCTCTGATGTGCGGTCTTTGTGTGTACATGAAAATGTATGGGATATCGGGACTCTCTAGAGAAAAACAAAGTAATAACTACCCCAACTCCAAAGACGTGGAAATTTTTTCAACGAAACATAAGAAGAAGACATGAGGTTGGTCAGGATAGCGTTGTGCTTATGGTGGCTGTTGTGCTGACGCATTACGAAATTGTGATGATGATGATGATGATGATGATGATGATGTAACAAATGCTCGAAAGGCAAACATAGCGGGGAGAAGAGAAATGGGAGAAGAGCGGCGATTTTTGGGGCTGTAATATACCTCTACTTCGATCGTTATCATGTCTCCTTGGTTCCGGTCTATAGGAATCGCCTCCCCTTGGTCCTCGAGGCTGATCGTCTCTTAAAGCTTCAAAAGGATTCCGAGACTGGACGCCAAAGCCTCCGGTGAAAGGATTGCCTCCGCTCTGAGTGCTTCGAGCACCCGGATGCTCGAATTTACAGTTGCCTAATTCTCGTCAGCGGCTGGAGCGGTGGATAAGGATACTTCCATATGTACGCACTGCCGTTTCGACAGTTGCCTCTCTCCCAGAACCTGCAGACTACCATCTTCGTGTGGTAACACGAGCCAACGTGATCTCAGCAGCAGCGGTCGAAGGTGCGCCGGCTATGGGAGCTTCTTGAAGAGCAGTTGTTGGCTGGCAACAGGATCTGATGAGGGTTATGAATGGTAAGAATAAATTTGCTCGCAAACGAGCAGCTTCATTCTAGCCGAAAATCCGCACCATTCATGTCACTTGACGCGTCCACAATGACCACAGACCTAGAATGACGCGTGAGCGAACTCACAGCAGGTCAATGAGCACAGAAGAGTGAGGATCTTTCGGCGCTGGTCGCCTTTCCGAATCGAGCATGTCCGCACAACAAAGAACTGTGGCTGCAACACGGGCTGCGCCACAACTTACATCGCTCGAAAGCACCAGCGAAGCATCTGAACCCATCCGGCCAAACTCGTCCAAGGAAAGCTGCCGTGGACACGCCTTCCGGTGCTCCCACGACAATTACATCCCACTAAGCCAATGGTACACGCCGGAAAGGTTTCGACATGAATTCGTAGCCCAGCCGAAAAGACGGGGCCCAATCCACCTCACCCTCGCACATGCACCCTTTCTCTGTCCTCACGTTTGGCATCTTCGTTGCCGGATACATCACTGCACGCTGGGATCTTGTAACACGCCTGTATGAGCTTGCAATTTTCGCTTGGGATCACGGTGTCTTTGTACGTTTGATGAAGAGAAGGATCTACTTCTGTTCTTCCTGTGCTAACATCTCGAGGCAGACTCGTGCTGCAAAAGGCTTTGCCATACTGTCTGTTCTTTTTACGCTCATTGCGATCCCCTCAGCGCTTCTGGCCTTGCGAGAGATCGACCAGCATCCACGTACGAGCACGACAGTCATCTCTGCACGCGAGCAATTGAAGAGACGGGGCTCATTCTAAGGAGGATGTCATGGTCGCGAGCAATGGATTGATGCGCATCTTCTGGCCATCTGATGCCCCTACGGCATCCATACCAGGTGTCATTGTTGGGTGGCGTAATTCCGACTTTGACTTGCTTGTTGTGGGCATCCTGCAAAATGTAGACGCGAAGAACGTGGACAATGCGCTCAAAGTACGCACTTTGTTTCGCAACACCCAGTACTCAATAGACAAGCTGCTTGAGCGGTGTGGGAATACACCTTTGCAAGTTCTCGGAGTGGTTAATCCGTCCAGAGAGCCTTCTTTCGATTCGGTATCGATCACTTGCTTCACGAACCCGCGATCTCGGTTTCCGGAGTTGTTGTGTCCTAAAGACAGCGGGAGGCTGGTCCAAATCATCATTTTCGACCGGCCGCATCCAACACGGATGCAATACTTTTCTCTCGATCCCATCTCGTTGGCCCTAGGCGACAGTCAGGAAAAGGAAAGTCTGGGCTTTCCGCCTTTAGATGGCATTGAGGCACAAGAAGAGAAGGAGCGTGAGCGAAAGCAAGCATTAATTGAGAAATTGCAGCAACATACCGTCATAAGGCATGCAAGAACGCAGAAGGAGCTTATGCTTCCCATTATAGTCAACCAGATCAACTGTTCGTTTGAGCTTAATGCACTTTTGCAGAGTAATTTGGCTCACGTGGGTACACGTTCGAGACGAGCAAAAAGTGTTAGTGAGCGGGTAGTGCAGACGGCGAACAATCTCTGGGACTTTGTTCTCCTCACTATATGGCACGTCGTTACTGTGTGGATCTACCCTGTCATGACTCAACTCTTCGTTTATGGTCTTGTCGCACATCGCATAGCGGGCGAGGGCATTCTCCTCGTCCTCGACTGGCGTCTGTTTCCGCGGCAAGCAGCACTGAAGGATGTATCAGCAACGGCACAGCAGGTAGACATACGGCTGCAGCAATTCTGTTATTGGCCCATTCAATACATGACCTTGCGACAACGTAAACAGACGTGGCAGAGCAACACAAACAGCCATCCCGAGTACATTCGCTTTTACAACAGTCTGTGGCTAGTCGCAAACGACGTCATTATCGGAATCGCTCTTGGTTCTTACATTATCGAGAATGCCGCTTTTGTTGCCCAGCAGATGGACCACATCCTCACAGCGTGGACGATAGAGGGTTTACAAGGTATGATTACCTGGCTCATGGACTGGCCTGCTGGCCTGAAACTCAACACTGAACTTGCCACATTCCTTGGTGACTTATTTCTGTGGGTTATCGATTACTGGGCCGGCTGCATGGCGATATTGCGTCCGTTTCTCCCGGAGATTATCTCTTTCGTTGGATTCTCGAGCTTCGCAGGCGCAACTATGCCAATCAGTCTGTTTTCGGATCTGATCTCGATCCTTACCTTGCACATATACTCGTTTTACATTGCCAGCGCACGTATTTACAACTGGCAACTCAGCATCATCATCTCGCTCTTCCACCTCTTCCGTGGAAAGAAACGCAACGTCTTGCGTAACCGTATTGATTCATGCGACTACGACCTCGACCAGCTTCTGCTAGGCACCATCCTCTTCACACTGCTGGTCTTCCTTCTGCCCACCGTTTTTGTGTTCTACCTTACGTTCGCGTCGGCGCGGATGGCCATTATCACGCTCAAGGCCGTTCTTGACACTTTGTTATCTTGTTTGAATCATTTTCCTCTTTTTGCGCTCATGCTTCGTTTCAAAGATTCGAGACGTCTGCCAGGAGGCATTCGCTTCGAGCTACAACAAGATACCCCAAGACAGAATGACGGTGGTGATGGTGAGGATGCCGCGATTCTTCCGGCACCAACATCTTATATCTACCTGAAGGTACACGCGTGGTTCAGAGACTCGAAACTAATTCGCTAACAGTGAACTAGTCCGTGCCGCTACCACTTTCATCCATGCTCAACGAGTACTTCCAGCTAGGTAACCGCATCCGCAAGCATTACGTATCTCCGGGCGTTATCCTTTGCCTCATCACAGGTCGTTTCGTGCCACCCATCCACCGCAAGAACCTATACAGTTTGCAGTATAGCATGTTGCCGAAACAGCGGGTAAGCATTTCAGAGCTGTGGGTCAGGCTAACGGAGAAGCGAGTTGAGGTTGGTCACACAAACGGGTGGCCTTTGGGAGTAAATGGCCACACGAAGTGGGGGAACGGTGCGCTTAATGGTGGCAGTGGAAGAAGAAGATAGTGGATCAAAGTGCGCACGCATCACGGCTAATGTTAATCGATACCTTTCTTTCTTTCTTTCTTTTTACTTCCAATTCGTGCACAGCGTCTTGCCAACTCGCGTTTCCAAGCTGTTTTCTGCTGCTTTCATGGCCCTTAAGCGACGGCGATTCATCAAGCCACCATTCATGATTCGGAGGCAGGGCTAAAAGGTACACCAGATGAAAGATGCGGGGTTGAAAGCCTTGAGTTGCACAGTTCAAACATAGCTTGTTAGTGAGCACATGCTCACAGCTCACAATGAAGATTCTACGTACTGTGTCCCAAGCCGACATCGTGGAACCCACCATCAAGCCCGCTGTTCCGTAGGCAATGTTCAACAAGAAATTGACAGAAGAACTACCAAAACAGCAAAAAGGGTATAGAGTCCTCGTTTCCCAAAAACAAGCAGACCAAGACAAAATAAAAAAAAAGAGGTCCACGCACGCGACATGACGCCAAGAAGAGCGGGAGAATTTACCACAATGGCGAAGCCTCGAACGGATGTATAATCATTCGTGCACCAAATCAGCCAGCGATGGCCGGCGCGATGTTACCGTAAGCTCCTCTGATCCTGCTGTAGAGCTCAGTGTCCAGGAAATTGTAGTTGGGATTCGAAAAGGCGAAAGGGTGCTCCAGCAAGCGCGCAGCGGTAGGTCGATCTGCAGGATCACTGATTACATCCGTTAGTGATTTACTCCGTCGCGTGGACTTGGAACGGTGGCTTACATCGTAAAGCAGTCCCACATGAAGCTCAACGCAGCCGGACCGACGTTTGAGCTAACATCATCCGGAATAGGCGGTGCCTGATTCAAGCTGCCCAACTTGTAGATGGCACCAATGGCCTCCTCCTTCTCCCACGGCCGCCTACCAGCGAACATTTCCAAGACCACGCAGCCAAGAGACCAGATGTCAACTTTTGCACTGTAGCCCTGCCCTTGAGATCGGATGACCTCAGGGGCCATCCAGAACACGGAACCTTGCATCGTGTTGGCAACGTCGTTTCCATAAATGTTGTCCGTCTTTTTAGAGATGCCAAAGTCGGAGATCTTGCAGGTACCATCCAGATCCAGGAGAATGTTGTCCGCCTTGAGGTCACGATGCAGGATACCCTCATTGTGAAGGTAAGCAAGACCCGAGAGGGTCTGGCGTGTAAGAGAGCTAACGATCGGCTCTTCAAATTTCCCGTGCTTCCTCAGGCAGGATCCGATGCTGCCACCAGGAATGTACTCAAGAAAGATGGAGATGGAGTACTCCTTGCGTTCGCAGCCCAGGTATGAAACAATGTTCGAATGATCAAGATGTTGCATCGTGTCGATTTCGATGTCCAGACTGCGGACCATCTCCTTCATCTTGGCCTTATCTTGGCCGGCGGCTTTGGGGTTGACTTCGACTTGCTTGACTGCGATCAGCTCGCCGGTAGTCATGTTCATGCCAAGATACACGCGACCGAAGGTGCCTTTACCAATAAGCTGACCCTTCATCCATTTGAATGTTGCCTGCCGTTGTGGAGGAGCAGCGCCTTGCGTTTGGGCGGGGATCAGGTCATCTTGCGGGATCGTTTCAAGATTTATGAGTCGGCTGCCTCGCGGAGGCCTGACCTGTTCGATCCGGGCACCGAACATCTTTGTCGATTTTCGACGAACGATGGCTCCTGAAGCGTTGGCTCGCAGCGTATTGACACGAGTTGGTGGCGCCCCTGGTCCAAAATTGTTGTCGATATGGTTGAATGATGAAGGTGGAGGTTGTTGATAGTTCCGCTGCACAACCTCACGAATTGACTTGGTCCTTCCCAGGCCGCTGGACTTCTGCATCTGCCGTTGTGCCATCGACTTTACGGTATCGCCACGCTTCAAAGTGGACTCATCAGAAGCGAGGGTGTCCGTGTCGTCAACATTTGACATCAACGTCTCGGAGCTAGGCCCATAATCCATCTTCTTGTCTTCTGTTGCCGTAGACGGAGTGACATTTGGATCTTCGATGATTGGCTGGTCAAGATTGACGTTCGGAAAGAACTCATCAAGATGTTCCACGATACCTTCCGCGGGGGGACGATTAGCCCAGAGGTCACCCGCGAATGATTGTCGACGAAGGAACTTGTTGTCAAAATCGTCGCTTGGGGTTTGTGCACTGCCTGATTCGTTCTTGTAATCACTCTCTGTTCCGTCGGTGCTGGCGCTCGCCGGCGTTGGTTGGAAGCTGACCTTGTTTGTCTTCAGCGTTAGCGATGGACGGTCATCCTTTGTCGGCCCGTTTTGGCTTGCATTTGTGCCGGGTCGTGATGCGTCATCTGTCTTTCGAATCTGCACGGCAAACAAGCTGTCGTCCGAATCACTGCCTTCATCATCCTCCATGTGGCTGTTTACCGTGGTCTTCCACTGCACTTGGCTTTCCTCAAATTCAAAATTGGGGCCGGTACTCTGTCTTGGACCCTTCGAGACACCGAGGTCGTCGGCCTGTGCCGCTGACGGATTAATATTGGGACTGGACGTTCGGTCCTGCTGCTTGACACGCTCCAGCCCAGGGTTTGTGATAAGACTGAGCTGGGGTTTTCCGTAGTTGCCGTTCGAGCCGGTGGACAGTATCGTGCCCGTATCGCCGTTCTGTGAAGGATCCTCGATCTGATTTTGTTCCCCTGACCAATAGTCAGGAATCTGGAAAGCAACATTGCCAGGGCTCATCGTGAGCTTCGGGCTCCGGGGGGATCCACAAGGGCCCCTTCCATTGACACCGAAGTCGACGGAGGCCAAAGCTCTTTCAATTTTGATCTTACCTCCTGAAACGCTACCACCATCCTTCGATTCCCGGCCTTCGCTAACCTCCACGATCGTGTTTTCTTGCGAGCGTCTCTTGAAGTCTTCTTCACCCGATCGTCTCGTACGATGCCCGCCCGAGCTCTTCTTGGTGAGCGAGTTCACCTTGATCAGAGTGTTTGAGTCTGGAGGCATCGGGGGAGGCGGCCGAGTCGGTACGAGTTCACGACTTCGCTGAGACATGTGGCGCTCGAACGGCTTGCCGCTTGTGTACGGCGATGCTCGTCGTTCATTGAAGTCGACAGGATTGCCTCGGATGCTCGGACTGTCGTCGTGATTCATGCGACCGGCGGATCTATCTCTCGCGTGTGTGTTCTGGCTACTGGCAGCCCGTGCTCGGCGGTCATCCGACGGCGAGAAAGCCTTGGCACTTCCAATGAGCGTCGGCTCGCCAGAGCTTATCGTGTCCGTTTGGCTGCCCGGGTTTAGTCTTGCCAAGACCGCGTCACTCAGCGGACGGCTTGTAAATGATACCCGTCCGACGGGCGAGTCAACACCTGCGATACCGAGACCGCTCGGTAACGAGTCTGGTGGGATGTTTGCAAAGATCTTGAGAGTGCCTTGGTGATCACCCATATTCTTGCGAGCAAACATGAGCAGCTCGTCAGACAGAGCTTCGTCATGTTCGGATTGTCCCAAGCTGGTCAGATGTAGACTAACGTTGGAGGCATGAGGAGCCCCAAGGTTATCCAAGATCAAGCGACGAAGGGCCGTTGCGGAGTCGACCGCGGTGATGTCGACAAGTCGGTAGTTCCACCCGTCGAATGTGACCATCGCAAACTTTCTGTCTCGAGGATCGGTGCGCAACGGTCGAGTCAACGTATGCTCCTCTTGAGCAAGCGAGCTCCGTGACCGTGGTCGGTTCAACGAAGTGTCGCTCGCGTTGAGCTGCCTGAAGCTAACTGGGCTTGTTGGAGAGATGTCGTCGTCCCGTTTCCCTTTCGGATGTATCAGCCTCGTGAAAATGTTCTTGTGCTCCTTGTTGGCGCCTGGAGGAGGATCGCTGTTGACGTGATCCATGTGGGGCCGATTGCCTTCGCCTCCGTTTCTTCGCATCTGCGAGAGAGACTCGGCACTGGCATCTCGAACATGTCCTTGCCCGTAGTATCTACCCTGTTGTTGCGAAGTAGACACGACTGGCATGGTCGTCGCTTGCTTGATGTGTGGACTGCGCGATGGACTTGACCTGCCGTCCGATAGATACTCTCTTGACGTGCTGCGACTATGTTTCGTGCCATCCAAACCTCTCAACGCGTCCTGCGACCACTGACTACGTCCGCCCTGGCTCAAGTTCCTGGCTGCCTCGTCCAGACCATGCTGTTCAGAAGGACGGCGTCCCTGCGACTGTGCCCACAGACTCGAGCTGGACGGATGTGAGGGCGGATAGCCAGGGCTGCCAGCATCCGTACCGGCGGTCATGGGCGAGGTTTCCAGGTTGCCTTCAGTGGCGCTCGTAAGCGACACCTCTCGTTTGTGCGAGCTGTACGACCCACCCTGCCCACCGGCCTCTACAATGCGCCTGACTAGCCTTCGAAGACGTTTGCCCTCTTCTCTTTCCACCGAGGCATCGTACTTGGCACCCATGACCTGTTGTAGCTTGGGAAAGATGGTCGAATGCATGATGCCAAAATTTCCGTGTCTACCGTGTCCGCGGCCGATGTCCAGGAATTGATTCTTCTCCATGTTCAGCTCTTCAAAGGCCGTCTGCCAATCTGCCGAGAACCCTTCTTGCGCCAGCCATATCAAGACGTTTTCCATCGGCCAATTGTTGGCGGGATCTGACGGGGAGATGGGTGTGCGCGTATCGCAAGTCTTCTGCTGGGTAGGATGTTGCGGGTTGGCTAAGGTGGCCGTTGGCGGACCAGGGGACGTGTAGCCTGGTGGGGGAACCTGTATGCTTCTCGACGGTTGACGATAGAGAGAAGAAGCGTTTGCAGTCCACCTTCCATCTTCAATTGGCGTGGGGACCGTGGTAGCATCCGATCGCGCCGACGTCAACGTGCTCGATAAGGTTCCGTAGCCGGAGTCGAAGCTGTGCTCCTGCCTCGTGAGCGGGTACAAAGGCGGAATGCCCACGCCGGGGCCCCAACCATCACTGCCAGGTATGTATGTGGCGGAGGTCAAGCTTTCCGACTGCTGCTGTGCCGGTTGAAACTGGTTCTGATACGCGCTTGGGTTGTACGGAGCGGGGGCATTTTGGTTCGCCACCGGCGGATAGCTTTGCTGCCTGTTCCAGTATGTGGGATGTGAGATTGGATGCGCGCTAGGAGGATTGCTGGGCGGGGGAGGAAGATTCATCATCGTGTGCTGCTGCTGGCGCGGCATGGGAGGAGGCGGAGGTATGAAGCCCATCCCAGCCTGGCCTGCCGGCACACTCTGCGGCGGAGGTGGAGGAGGCAGTTGCTGCCCGGGACGGTACGGCGTGTGCATTGTGTTGCTGTAGGGACTCGTTGCGTAACTCTGGGCTCGTTGTCTCGGGCTCGTGCTGAGCGGTGGGATATACGGAAATGGGGTGTTCGGATTGCTGCCAGGTATCCCAAGCGTCAGCGTCGAGCCGACTTGGGCGAGCAGGCCGGCGGTCGCACCCAGCTGGGTTGGGGATTCGCCGTCGGGGATGCGCGTGTGCGAAACTGCTGATCGAGAGCGCTGCCGGCGATGCGCTGTCATGACCAGCCTCTTCACGAGGCGATATCAACCGCCAACGATGGGGGCGAGCGCACGCAAGACAGAGACAGTCAGCACAAGCATGTCCTCATCTTCTGGAGTCGGGTGTCCCAGCGGGTGAGGACGCAGGTTGGCGGCGACGGATGTTTGAGGCGCTTTAGTCGTAGGCAAATACGAGGTCAGCTTCGGTCGCCAACCCTGAAAGCGGGAAGCGAAGACAGGAGGGTGACAGCGCGCAGCCACTTCTGTCGTAGCAAGAATCGTCGTCGTCGTCGTCGTCTCGTCGCGCAGAATGGTGGGCGAGCAGATTCGCCGGAATTCCGACAAGCAGAAGATAACCAGGCCTCTGGCGTGGACGAGGTGCGGGTTCCCAGCTGTCACGCCCGGGGAGTCGGTGAGACACCGGAGAGGGGGAGAAGACGGGTGCAAGATTGCGCAAAGGAAAAAAAAAAAGGTCTCTACACAAGGAGAACGAAATGGGGGTCCGGCACTCAGCAAGCAGGTCTCACGACAAAACAGCAACGGGGCGACGGGGACGTGGAGCTGGAGGGTGTGGACAAGCACAGGCAGGTTCACTTGATTGACTTTGGGTTAGTCGCTGCGGCGGCCAACGTCGTCGCTGGGCTGCGCTTCGTTCTGGGCCGTGGGCAGCCAACCCTTGGGCGCTCTGCACCCGTCTGTGCTTCCAAGCGAGCGCCAACGCAACGAGTCCTTCGTTCGCCCACGGCGAGGGCGGGAGAATGGCCGCCAGCCAGCAGAGCCCCATCCGCACCAGCGTCGGCTTCGGCTTCGGCTTCAACATCAGCTTCCGCTTCAGCATGGTCCGCCGTCTCCAGGAATGCAACAATCCTGCAGTCCGAAGCCGTGCAAACTCGGGCGACACACCCCGTTCCCGAGAAAACACAGGCACACCCACGCCCACGCCCTCGCAAACACGCGCTCGAGCGTGACAGACGAACATGATTACGTGCTCCGCATAAGAAAAAAATGCGTGTGTATGTGTCTTGTGTTTGCGTGTGCGTGCATATATGTGTGACAACGCTACAGACTCCACGCGGTGGGCCTCCAGCAAACCGCGGCCACCCATTCCATATTCGTTCCACGTCGGCGGCTTCACATTACGTGACCGCACTTGTTTTGTTCCTTTCCTTCGCCTTGTTCCGGTCACTGAAGCTCCCCGCGGTTGTCTCTGAGCCACTCGCCTCAATTCCTGCCGACCGCACAGGGTTTCAGGCCGTGAGCTGCATCGCACACGGGCGGCGAGACCAACACCGCGATGCCCGTAGAGAGAGAACAAAAGTGCCCTCTCCAGCCCTTCCCTCTCGTGGCCAGCCGACCGTCTGTACTTGTTGACTGCACCATCCTGTGCCCCGACGTCCAGCGGCCCTCCCTCTGTCCAGACGCTTTGCATCACTAGCAGGTGGACCGGTTTCAGCTCTGACAAAACCGGTGCGCACAGTCGTGCTCAGCGTCCCGAAGAGGCTGGCGGCAGCGCACCTTCCTCGGCTCCGTGCACATCACGTGCCGTCGAGCGTGGTTGCGCGGACGGCCGGTAACGTGACCAGCCTCATTCGTTGCGCCCCCGACTCGCCGTCGCTGGCTTCTGCCCGGCCGCTCTGTGCTCTCGCCGTGGCCGCACCGGCCGCGTGCTGTCCACCCGCGGCGCAGTCGGTCAAACCGCGGCCACAAGCTCTTTGAGCTCGATCGCGGCGACGTTCTTCTGTGCGCAGGGATCCTTGGCTGGTGCTGTTGCGTCCGCACGTCTTGGCCTCTCGTCCAGAGGGCCGATGTCTTCATCCTCGCCTTCTCTTTCCCGTTTCGCGTTCCACCCTTTCCACCGGCTCAGCGCCTCCACGACGCTCGGATCGAGAGGTCGAGTGTCCTGAGCGTCCAACAGGTACAGGTTGTCCGCACTGGCAGCGGTCTGCGTCGCCGACGAAGACGCCGGCTCTGCTTTTGGTTTTGCAGTCGGCATGCTGCGATTGACTGCACCTTTGGGGGAGATGTACGGCATTGTTGTCGTGAGAGGGGATGATCGGTCTATCCGTCCGCTGTCTCAGGACGTGCACCTGGATAAAAGTACGACTTCGTCAGCGGGTCCCTAACTGTGGGACGCTTGCGAGCCTAGAACGGCGCAAACTAGATAGCAACTCCAGCAAGCCGTGTCGAGCACCGGGAAAAGATATCAACAGATCGAGAACGCGCCAAGGCTGGACCATCACCTTCTTATCTCTGCTGCCAAACGTCTCTTAGCTCTCGAGCTGGCCTATGGGTGGACCAAAACTAAGCCCAGCGACCGTTTCTTTTCCCACCGTACAGAGCGCATGTGACAAGGCGCCTTTCATGTCGGTCCAGCCAGAGTTCGGAGAAAGTGTGAGTATGGTACGGTCCTTGCCGTAATCTGCATACATTTGCTGATCTAGAACCAACCTCAGCGCGCGAAGTTCCAGGCGAAGTCGGCGGCATTTCGATTTTCTTTTTTTGGGGGGGAGTTTCTTTTGCTTTGAAAAATTCTCTGCGGTCACCTGCGCACGCGATCAAGCGTGAAGGAAAGCTAACTTACCCCACGTCTTGACGAGCTATCAAAGCCGACATGTGAGAGGCGCAACGCTCGATAGATAACGTGGGCAACCGCTTGGAGGTCAGGCGATCTGACCAACCCCAGAACTTCGCAAGCAGAACAACTGCATTCAAAGCGGAAATGTACGAGCGCAGAAGGGAAATAAAGCTGCAGGACGTCTCCCCTTCGCTGCATGTGCCTATTTTCAAGTTCGCCGTAGCGACAGACGCGGAAAGTGTTTGTTCTGGCTGATCGATACCTTACCCCAGAGGAAAAACCAAGAACAGGCTCCAGACGGGGAAGGCCAACCTGACATTTGGCATTCTTTTACTATCCATAAATTATGCAGACACCGTCCGTGAAATCATCGAATTCGGATGTCCTCGGCGGCTAGTCACAACCATCTGAAATGCTTGTGCCTTCTTCAGCGGAACTCCACGACACGACGCACACCCATAAAACCGTTGCCGTAACCTTGTGGCCGAGAATTATTCGTCGTGTCGTGAAGCCGACCAAAAACAAGCACGCGAAAATTATACTCTTATGCCCTCCCAACCAAAAAAAAAAAAAAAAAAAAAAAAAAAAAAAAAAAAAAACCTCTCTCGCGCCGCGATCTGGTAGCTGTAACGCTAGAAACTATGACTGATAGCATGGCTTGACACCCACATGCTACATGTGCTGTAATCTCCAGTTTCTTCAAACTACAAGGCACAAAACGGTCTTGTTGAGCACGTGATTTTAATCTCACCGTGTTGAACGACGTACCGCGCAAAAGGCTGACCATTCGTGCATTTTGCCTAGTTTCTTGTTCTAAGCCAAATGTCAAATTACTGCATGCATGAAAGCTGAGACTTGCATCATTCAAGTGCTCATCTTAGGCATTCCGTGTACTCGCAATTCATTACTTCTATACTAGTATCCTTTGCTTTGATTCAAAGAAAGATTTTTCGTCTTTGTAAAATGAAGAGAAAATAACAAAGAACGCCTTCAACCCCTCCACCTTCGCCCAAGAAAAACACACCAAAGGAAAAAACAGAAACCTCCCCAAGCCGACGTTGTTTAGTCTTACGCCACTGATCGCGAGGATTTAGACTGCGCTTCCGAGTGCAGGCCATGCATGCATACATCATGATGTCTTGTTGTACAAAAGATACAGAGGTGCAATATTCACATTCTAGCAAATCTCATCTCCTTCACCGAAAAGATCTAGACGTTCATTGCCAAACAGGGACGTTTCTGACGTACATCATCCTCTTGGCGCCGGAGGTAGAGGTAGCAGCGGCAGCTGCACCTGTGCCAGTCTCAGAAGAGATTGTATCGTTGCGGTTGAGACCGGTCGGTTGAGCAAGATTGTCTGGGATGTTGCTGAAGGTCAGGTACTTGCCGGCTACGAGCGGCGCAACGATGAGGACAAGGAACAGGACAAACAAAGCAAAGTAGAGGATAGAGTAGCGGATGACACGTCGCTTGCGAAGACGGGATTGCTTGAGCGAATAGATAGGTGGACGGATTTGACGACTGTGACGAGGTATTAGCACGAGGAGTCTCTTCCGCATGAAAAAAAGGGGGGGTGAAAACAAACCTGGGACGTAGCCAGAAGAGCATGACAGAATGAATCTTGTCAATCATCGGAATACAGAGCACAGGCAGCATCATGAAGAGGATAAAGTGACCGAGGACGAAGTCACCGGCGAAGTAGCCCAGCTCAGTAATTTTGCAGAGGAACTCGCGACCAGGCTGGGAGAGTGTGTGCCAACCAAGAGAGTACCATTTACCAGTCCACCACGCAATGTTAGCCGAATCAGCTTTGAACTCACGCGTGAGCGCCAGGGCAATGATGAGTTTGTAGACAAAGCGCTGAATGGCCAACACGGTGACCATGCCGAGAATTGCCTTCGGGAAGGACCAGGCTTCGAGAAAGAACATGACTTCGAAGAAGGCAAAGAGCATGATGACGGAGACGGCATGAGCAATAGCGGCAAGCACTGCACCGAACTTCTTGCAGCACATGCTCAGGACAGGACCCATACAGCAAGCCATGCCGAAAAAGGCACCTGCAACGCCGGCATTGACAGCGACGGGAGCAAGCGCAATGATGCCAACACGGAGCAGTGAGTTTGTGGGAGCAATCACCTTGTCCGCGTTGCCCTCGTTACTGGAGATCACACCGCGCTGCGCATTAATGAAGAGGTATGGAATTAGAGTTACGGCAACGAGCACAAGCGGGCCGACGATTTCGCTGAAGAAGATGTTGGTAAAATGAGCGCGAGGGACGTCGCCAGACAATTTGCTGGACGGATCGCCAAGTGCCTTCCTCTTGAAGCCAGTGATGCGGGTTCGGGAGAGGCGACAGAAGCCGATCCACGAGGCAGAGTGGGAGCGTGTGTTGCCACGCGACAGCCAGCGGAGATACTCTCGGTAGTCGATGAAGAAGTCGTTCCATGCGAATTGATGCGGGTTGAACAAGAATGGACAGATCATCAACGCGATCAGGGAGGCCCAGAAATAGATCAACCATACGCCCCAGATTGTCGTGGTCGCAAACAAGAGCATCATGAGGAGACGAGCGCCCATGTAGATGGAAGGACCAGCGAAGCGAGAGTAGAGGATGCCGAATGGAATACGTGCAGTGGCGAAGCCACGACCGGTACCGATATATCGAGCGCCACCAAAGGACAGGTCCGCATGGAGAGAGTTTGCGTAGATCTGGCAGACAAAGACCTCGAAGAACGGAGAGAAGGATGAGAACTGTTTGGCCAGACGGGTAGCGGCACGCCAAAAGCCACGCTCGGTCAACTCTTGGACGACAAGCGGAATGAACGACATGAAGAAGACGATGAAGATGGACAAGACGCAACGCTTAACCCAGTCCTGGACGGGCACCAAGTTTGCACATCCAGTTGGCTTGAGCGGGTCGGTGATCGGTACGTTCTTGTTGTAGTGGCAAATGATCGTCTCGTGACTGAGGGCGCCGAGGTTGATCAGACAGAACATGAACAACTGCACCGAAAGGATGATGAACAGGTTGTTGATGTGGAAACCAGGATGGGCATAGTAGAATGACAGGAACCGATCCAGTGGAAGTTGAGTGCCCAAGTAGTAGTACTCGCGGGAAAGCATCTGCTCACCCATACCAGTGCCGATCTTGGTTGTGAAGTTGAGGATAGAGCCAAAGCCAAGGTCACGACCCTTACCACACTGGAAGTATTCGCAGTGCTTGATTCGACCTCCGCGCAGAAGGGCGTTCATACCAGCGTAGATATCCTCGTTAAGATGAAGACCCTTCTGAGCCTTGGACACACCACCTCGCGTGCACATGAAGATGCCGTTGAGGAAATCAGGATGACCGTAGTGGAGCTTGCCACCGATTTGTGCCAAAGTACGAGCGAACAACGTGCCGAACGTTTGTTCCTTGCCCGCAGCGACGTCACCAAGGATACCGATATTCTCAGAGAAAATGTATTCACGAGCACCAAGAATGGCCACGGGAGACTTCTCCGGAGGCGCGAGGCCGGGCGTGTATGGAGATACGTTCTCCGTGGTCATCTCCTCGAACTCGGCCAACACAGATCGGATCTTCAAGCACTCCTCGAGGTAATTGTCCTGGTTGGCGTCGATGAGCTGAATGTACTCGCCACGATAGAAGATGATCGCGTGATTCTGGTTGTCCGACTTGCCATCACCAAGAATAGGGTTACCTGACAGCTGGACTCGGAACTTGGGACGACGCATACCGTTCTCCATGATCTCAGAGTGACCGTCGATCAGAGCGGAGTAGATGCGAGGATCCTCACCCTCGTTGAGAGGAGGCTCCTCGTCGAGGTAAGCAATCTGGAGATCCGGGTAGGCACGGAGCAAGAACTCTGTATTTTCACGCTCTTCCTTGGAGAACTTGGCATAACGCTGCATAGAGACGATGATCTTGAACTTTCGCCGAGCCATGCGCTCCAACTCACGTTCCAGCTTGTCCGAGTTACCACCAAACATCTGAACGACCTCCGGGTTCTCAACGCGGTACAGAAGTTTGATGGCGCGGCTGTAGTTCATGAAACCGGAGACGGTGCGGTACAGAGTCTGAGAGCGGAGCGAGGCCCAGATACGAGTTCGGAGCGTGTACTCCGGAGCCGCGGACTTGAAACCAATGCAGTAGAACGGTAGGTCGTCGTTCTTGCTCTTGGTAGTCTCTTTCTCGCTCTTCTCGTAATCGCCGTTGAATTGAGAGGTCTCGTCAGCCAGTATCTTGGTATCCTTCACAAAGCAGTCCCATTCATGCGGGTGGAGCTGTTTCAGATACTCAAGAAGGGTGACACGTGAGTAGGGCTCATCCTCACGAATGATTTCACGTAAGGAGTGCAGAATCTTCTCACCGTAGTGTGGAATCAACACCGTGAAAGTGGGCATGTTGTCAACCGGCAGCGGCTCTGGAATAGGCGTGGACAAGGACTGGGCGAAGAAGGAGATGCGGCGCTCAGCCTCGCTCTGCGCTGGGAAGAACTCCGTTTTGAAAGAGTGATCCTCCTGAGAAACGAAGAAAGTTGGAGCGCGCAGCGTACGCTTCCCTTCCTGCTCGGACGGAACCTGATGGTACAAAAGCTTTTGAACATGGTCGATGGCCAGAAGGTGCTCTCGGTACATGGAAATGACGATAGCGTTCCAAATTTGAGAGATGAGCACCTTGGGCTTGTACTTGATCTCCATATCGGTCGTCGCAAGAACCTTGGAGTAGATACGTTTCGGCAACCGTGAGAAGATGTTTCTCCAAGGGGTCCAGATTGAAACACCGAGGTAGAAAGATCGGGCAATTGAAAAGACCGTGTTGTACAAAATGTACCACAGGTAAGTATCCAGGAAGAAGAGGATCAAATCCGTGAAGATCATGAGACCGAGGAGAATCTGAGCCTGGTATGTGCAGAGAGTCGTGCCCAGAATCTTATCGCCGACACAGTTTCTCATCCTCATCATCGACAGGATACGAATGGGGTCCTTGACTGAGAGAATCAGGAAGAAGTACGACTCGACAAGCTTCGTTGCGAAGACGAGCACCCACAGGCCGTACGACATCCACATGTCGTTGCCCTTCAGATGTGGCCAGCTTGCGGTGAAAGTCTGACTAGCAACGTACTGCCTCGACTTCTTCTTGTTGAGATAGCTGCCAAACAGGCCGCCAAGGGGCTGAATGGAGAAGAAGAAGAACGTGCCGAGGGCGATGAAGAACTGGACGATGCCGAGTGCCAAAGCAATGGAGCCGGTCTGCTTGTACCCGAAGATGTAGGCCGAGGGAGCAATGTTCAACACAAACATGCCAATCAGGAAGAACAGTCGACCACGCAGGTGCTGGGCTCCAGTCCATCTTCGCGGAACGTAGGCCCATTCCGCACAAGTCGCGGCGATCATGATCAGACAAGAGATGGCTCCACCAAGAGCCACAGCGGACCATTGGGCGGGAGCGTTCGGCTTCTGGTTCAACTCCTGCTGGTAGTTCTTGGTGTAGATGGTAGGCGAATTGTAGGAGACATAGAACCAGAACACAGTGACGTGGATGACCCAGATGCGGTTGAAATTGACCAGCGCATGGAACCAGGAGCGAGTTTCCTTGTACGTCTTGAAGAATACCTTCTTCCAGACGACGTCCTTCAGACGCATGTAACGCTCAGACGGGGGCAGGTCGACGATGCGTGTCTTGTCTTCCAGCACGATTCGCTCTATGCCCTCAGGGTACCAGAAGAGTTGATTGATATCGTCATAGCCGATGATCTTGGCGTGATCCTTTTCGCGACGCATGTACTTGCCGTCCTGGATCTCGTAGCCCTGGTCTCGAATGTACTGGTAAAGAGGAGTGATGACATTGTTGAGATACGTGAACTCCTCTACTTCCTGCACGTTTTGCGACGCCGGCGAGTTGAGCCAGTCGTCGGCACACTTGAAGATGAAGCAGAGACATTCGGGCACGAAGCGAACTTGGTTTGCTTCACCCCAGCAGAGCAGGTACAGAGCAATCTGTCTGACACGCTCCGCTTGAGACATGCGGTTCATTCGGGTCTTCCAGCGATACTCTGCAGCCTCCAAGCTGTTATCGCCCTCCAGCGCCTCCAGGGTCTGCTCTTCGTTCTGAGGATTTTGCGCCGCTGCCTTCTTCGCCGCGCGACGGGCTTTGCGGGTCCGCCTGTCGGCCTTGCCGAGCTTCATGTTGGCGAAGCCAACGGCGTCGTCAAGATCGAGATGAGCAGCAAAATACCACCTCCGATAGTTAGCGTTTTCACCACCGATGTAGTCAGCGTGAAGCGTGAGCAGGGCCTGGTTGGGCGTCATACGCGAGGCCCGTGAGTCGAGTTGGGTCATCAGGTGGTCGTACATGTTGCGCACGTTGTCGCCCTGGAAGCCAAACTTGGCGCGCAGTTCCATGAAGATCTCCTCAATCTCTTCCTTGGTGATGGGAACCTGCGCATCAACGGTCCAAGCCGGATACGGTTCTCTGGAGCGTTGCCCTGCAGGAAGAGCATCGTAGCCGGGTCCGTAGATTGGCGTCGAGGCACCTGACGAGCGATTGCCGTACGAGATTTGGGACGAGGGGGGTCTGTAGCCACGCTGTCCTTCTCCGTAGCTGTTGTATCTCTCGTCGCCGCGGCCGTAGTAGTCCATGTCAGCGGCACGGTGAATATCCGACCTCATAGTGAAGTCGCTGAAGGTCTCCGACTCTTCTTCGGAAGGTCCTCGACGACCACCCTGGGCATAGCCTTGTTGGCCATAACCCTGATCATAGTACTGGTTGTCGTAGTACTCATCGCCGTGATACCCTTGCTGATCGTAGTAGCCATCTTGGGCGTAGCCGCCCTGATGGTCGTTATTGTAGTAGCCCCTGAATTAGAAAGAAAGGTCAACATCGGTATGTACGAGTGTGAGATGGACAGAGCGAGTGGGTGACGTACTGTTGATCATCATAGTAGCCGTCCTGACCATTATGATCGTAATGTTGGTTATGGTCGTAGTAACCTTGGTCGTCCTGATAATATCCCTGGCCGTCATGGCCGTAGGAATTATCGTACTGACCGCCCTGCTGGTGGCCCGACATGTTGTGAAAAATACAAGTTGAAGCTGAAGAGAACGAGGGCGCGTCAGCAAGCAGTTGCAATCATGGAAACATACGCGTTGCGACGGGTGGTTGCGGAGATTGCAGGCGCGAGGCCGTCTGAAACGGGCGAGGAAGCAAATGCGAGGCGGACAGGAGGGCAGGGGCACTCACTTCTACAAGTGGACCATTCCCAGAGCACAAGAGTCGTACCGAAGTATTATGCGCGCGTGGAGGAAAGCAGGCTCGATTGCACGCTGCTGCAAGTCGAGGCCGGAGCAAGTGAACGGACGGTTCGCGCGCAATGTGTAGATCGTGTTGGTGACGTGCTGTATCGTCGAGGGGGGTTGGGTACAAGCGAAGGAGCGAGCGGACGGATACCGGGATCACGAATTAAGGTTTGATATTAAAAAAAAAAAAAGGAAAAGGTAGGGTGCCGAAGGTGGTGTTGCACCAGGTGAAGAAAGCGAAGGTGAGGCAGTTGGATCGGTGCGAGAGGACAATCGGTCGGGGAAAAGGTTGGAAGGTGGCTCGAAGCTTGGGGGGGGGGAGAGGAATTTGTTGTACTGAGGCAGGTGGAGAACGAAGCTGGGCGGTTGACGTTTTGGGGGGCTGCTAGTGGTGGACGCGACGGCTCTCCTGACGGGCCAGTGCCGCTCGAGTTGGCGCGGTAACTAGACGCACACCACGTCCACTGCTCGCAGATGGACAAGTGGAGGGCGACAACGAGAGAGGGGTTCAGCGAAGGCAGGCCGAGGTGCGTGATACAGAGGAAGGGAGGGAGAGGGAGAGCGAGAGGGAGAGGGAGAGAGAGAGAGAAAGAGAGCGTGTGTGGTGTCGAGAAAGCCTGCTTGCGTTCTTGCTTGCTTGGTTGCGAGGTTGCTTGCCGGGCGCGCAGGAGCAAGCAGGCCTTGGACGGGGGGCGACTCGAGTGCTCGCGGCGGGCCTGCGAGGGACGCGCACAGCTCGGAGCCAGCGCGAGCGCGCTAGAACGGGCGTGGAAAGAAAGGGGCGTGCCAGCCCCCGACACGCTCGGCGACAGGGCGCCGCGGCGTGAATCGCTCCCGCGCAGGGCGTGCTGGCAGCCACCGGCGTTTGATTCGGCCGGCGTGCAAATTGCTGTGCGCGCTTGTCCTGCCAGGCCGACAGGGGCGCCGCTCGCTCGCGGCCAGGATGTCTTTCCTCTCATTTATGACCCGTCTTGCTGGCGCTCGAGTTCCGAGCGTGCTGGTCCTCGACTCCCGGCCGCTGCGGTCTCGTCCGGTGCGGGCTGGACTTGCGTGCATGCGAGCAAACCTCCATTCCTGCTGCTCGAACCCGTCGTCCGGCCACAACCCGTGCCACAGTCCGCCGCTCACGCCCCCCCTGCCCGCGCGGCGCCCGCCCCGTTTATCGACCCACTTGTGTGTCGTTCACCTTGTCGACTGTGCTTCTTTGGCTCCTCCTTTGCCAGAACAGTGAAGAGACGAAGACGCATGAGGAGGGAACGAACGAAAAGAGAGCCAGCGAAAACTTCCGCCTGCGCGACGAGCAACCAGCCCCCTGTGCTCTTCCTGACCAAGCCGTCGCCTTCAAGTCTCCTCGTCGCCGTCCTCCTCCTCCTCCTCCTCCTCCTCGCTCCTCGCCTGCTCCCTTTTCCCTCTGTTTCCGCTCCATTGTCGCTGCATGCAGAACGCGCCGCCTATGCTCCCGCGCCCATTGTTCTCCGTAGAAACCTTTCTTCCTGCTCATCTCCGCCCCTGACACCCCGTCTGGACTACGTCTTACCCCCCCGCTGATCAATTATGGGCCGCCTGTTCTGTGGCCCGGAAAGATTGGCTGTCCCTGCTCGTCTCTTCTCTCTGTTCGCTGTGCTTGGCTCGTGGAAGCGACTTTTTTTTTTGGCTTCGCCGGGTGGCGGACGGGAAGGACACGCCATCACCTTGTTCCAAAACGTATCTAATAATATTGGGCACGTTCCGCCGATCCACATCTGCTCCTTCGGCCTCTGTGTGCCACAAGGCCAGAGAAGGCTCCATCCGCGATCGCCGGAATGCTCCACTGCTTTCGCTCGTCTTCGCCGCCGCCAACACGTCCGTCTGTCTACCTGTCTCGCCATCCTTCTTCTCCGTCGCTTTCAAGCATTGGCTAGTGCCATGTGCTGGTAGCCAAAACAAAAAGCGTGAAATTCGGCACGCACGAATGCACGAAACGCGGATGCGTCCCAGTGCTGCTGCTTCTGTTTATGGCTCATGCACTCAATCTAACTATCGAATCGCGCTGCCAGGCTTTCATGCACAACCGGCCGCTAGCCTTGTGTTCATGCGTACTTCTATCGTCATGACTTTGCCAATCCGACCAACCACCCTGCGAGCCACGTACGCCTCAGCGAACGAGCGCCTGCGTCTGGTCAAGGCGATGGTGCATGCGCCACACTTCACCACCTCTTGCCATGCGTTCACTATTGCATAAGAACTCCCAAGCCAGTAACAATGATGTTGTGTGCAACACTGCGGTCACGCCTGCTTGTTCCTTGCTTGCTCTTTGGCTCCTTTGCTAGCTGTCGCACTTTTGGGCACAGCACGAATCCGCACTTTGACTGGATTCGTATTCCCGCTTGATTCGTGTCTTGACCTCCCCCGGAGCTGCGCGCTAGAATGCCTTGGTGCGTTCCCAACGCTTTGAACTTCGTCCTCTGCTTGTTCCCAGATTCGTATCCGTCCAAGATCGAGATCCTCCCAAAGCACCTCACCGGCGTCTTTTTGCATTTCGTTGGTCATTGTAGTTATAAGGCAGCCGTGCGCCATGGGTACCCTCAGTCGGGCCAGGGCATGGAACTGCCTGAGCGGATCAAACGTGCGAGCCGCTCTAACCCCAAAACCGTGCGGTGGACAACACTGCTTACAGTGCGTCCAAGAACTGTCCAGTCAGGACGGGTGCCAGTGGACTCTCGGTCTAGCAGCACGACAAGCAGCGGAGCTTGTTTGCCAACCAGTCATTCGGCGCACAAACGGGAGGTGCTGTGTGCAGTTCGGTCGCTCTCGAACGGACAGCGCACGAGGGTCAAGCTTGTGCCAGCCCCTCGTGCCGAAGTCTTGACCGTTCTTGCTACAAGGACACTGTAGATCTTCTCCACCAGGCCCCCAAGCCCAATCAAAACGCTATTCATGCTGGACAACGCCACTTGGATCATGGAGCGTGGCGATTGCAGAACCTAGTTGGCAATTGCGCTCGACAGGAGGGTTTCTGCGTCCGCTCATCTCAAACCGGACTTTTTCAGAAACCAGGAAATGGACGCGCACAGCTGCTGACGGACGCTGTGCGTGCCGTGACCTGCTTTCCTGATTGAGCCCGTTCGAACAAGTGCGGTGCTGTATGGGGGATCAACTGCACAGCCGGCCTTTCCTTACGCTGGCAGCGCGCATCGCAATCCCACGTCACGCATGAGGTTCCCTCGCGACAGGACAGCGCGAATTCCGCCCACTTTACCTCAGGGAAGATGCATCTCGCGGTCAGCTGTCTACCACAGTACATGGCTCACTTGTCATGGCTGATGGGATGCCTCTGTCGGAGTGGCCATCTTCCGTTCTGCGACAGCTCGTGACTGGCGATGGCATGTTGTTCTTTAACTCACAATTGTTTCACCCATCCAGCTGCGACAGGTTCGCGGTTACATCATGCCCCTACGGCGATAACAATGACTGTTGCAACACGACTGTCGAGGCTAGTCTGTTACAACAAAACGACTTGTCTTGCCGCATTGGTTTGGCCTGCTCCCTCGGTCAGGAGCGTTGACGAGTCGCTTAACGTGCCATTACAAAAGTCACGGGCCTATGCAGAGTAGTCATTCCGCGTATAGAATTCAGCGTGCAGAATGGTGTAAGTACTGTGCATTGTTCGTTTGGAGCAGCATTGCAAGTTCTACAGTGTGCTCAGCGTCAAGTTCAACTTCAGATCGTGAGCTGGCTGAGCGATCCAGTGGAGGGTGTACAGCGAAGAGCGGGAAATTGGCCAGTCGCATCGCGGCACGGTCGATCGAAAGGAGCAGTCCAAAGCACTAGCGTTACCGAAGTTGGTTGCCAGAAAGGAAATAAAAATAACGGACCCCCAGACGCGCCCTGTATCAGCTCGGCTAGAGACATCTCTAACCTGGTTGAGCGAAGCGTTCTCAGCGCGCCTATCGACTGATCCACCGGCTTCATCATATCTCCACACCGCACCCACCTCTTCTCTTCCCCCCCCCTTCCCTTGCGAAACAACAAATTCCTGGTCTCCGTCTTGGCCATTGTTCTGTGTACAATCGGGTTCTGCGGGTTTTGAGAAGTGCTTGCGGGCTTTCTTCGTGACATTCTTTTGCGTCCTCGTATTTCTTTGTTTATCTCCATCTTAATTCTGACGCTCGCTCGACCCGGTGCTTGTGCAAACCCGCACGAGCAAGCCCCTATTTTCCGAAGCTTAATACTCCAGCACACGCTCCATACGAGCACGCGTACGACTTTGCACGACGGCATAATCTTCCAGGGTCGTTGATTCGAATTGCTATCTTATCGACTCTTTGTCCAAGGAATCATGCGGACCTGGACTGCAATCGCCGCCGCCGCGGCGTTTTTTTCCCGCGCCGCTCTGGCCGACGTTGATCCTATCGTCATCAAAGGATCCAAGTTCTTCTACAAGACCAACGGCACCCAGTTCTTCATCCAAGGCGTTGCTTACCAGCGTGAGTGCTTTGTGCGCCATTTTCTCAAGGCTGATGACTGACCATTAGCAGAGGACTACAGCACTAACTCTTCGACGACGTCGTCCTCTACCAACGCGTACACCGATCCTCTCGCTGACGCTGAACGCTGCAAGGTCGACGTGCCTTTGCTGAAGCAGCTCAATACAAACACAATCCGCGTGTATGCTGTCGATCCCACCAAGGACCACACGACATGCATGCAGCTCCTCCAAGACGCCGGCATCTACGTGATCGCCGATCTTTCGCAGCCAGGTCTGTCCATCAACCGTGACAGCCCCTCGTGGAACGACGAGCTCTACGCCCGCTACACCAGCGTCATTGATATGTTTGCTCCATACAACAACGTGATTGGATTCTTCGCCGGAAACGAAGTGTCGAACAACAACACAAACACAGATGCCTCCGCATTCGTAAAGGCTGCCGTGCGTGACTGCAAGGCGTACATCAAGGCCAAGGGCTATCGTCAAATGTACGTTGGTTATGCTACCAACGACGACGCTTCCATCCGTGTGAACATGGCAGACTACTTCAACTGCGGCAACCAGGACGACGCCATTGACTTCTGGGGCTACAACATCTATTCGTGGTGCGGCAACTCGTCCTTCACGGAATCCGGCTACGACCAGCGCGTCAAGGAGTTCTCCACTTACTCCGTCCCGTCCTTCTTCGCCGAGTACGGTTGCAACACTGTCCAGCCACGAGTCTTCACTGAGGTCCAGGCTCTGTTCGGTGACCAGATGACGCCCGTGTTCTCCGGCGGCATTGTTTACATGTATTTCCAGGAGGCGAACGACTATGGTAAGCAGGGTGCCTCGTTTTTTTTTTGTTCAATTTCCAGGATTGAATCTAGTCTAACAATGTCCACAGGTCTGGTCCAGGTCGAGTCCGGCAGCGCTGAGCCCAGCCTGCTCCCGGACTTCACCGCGTACTCCAGCCAGATGGCCCAGATTTCACCCACCGGTGTCAACATGGCCTCCTACACGCCAACCAATTCGCCAGCTGCCTGCCCGGCAGTCTCCTCTGGAGTCTGGGAAGCCGCCGCATCTCCTCTGCCACCTGTCGTCAACCCCGAACTTTGCAGCTGCATGTACAACTCGCTGTCTTGCGCCGTTTCCAGCTCAACCAGTGAGGATGAGTATGGCCAGCTCTTCGGTACAGTGTGCGGGTATGGCAACAGCTGTGCCGGCATTGCCGCCGACGCTACCAACGGCACCTACGGCGCCTACTCCGTGTGTAACGCCACCGAGCAGCTGTCGTTTGCTTTCAACCAGTACTACAAGTCCCAGGGCAATGCCGCTAGCGCTTGCGACTTCAACGGCGCCGCCAAGATCAAGAGCGCCGTCTCCGCTTCTGGAACGTGCAACTCTCTGATTCAGGCAGCCGGCACTGCTGGCACCAACACCGTCACTGCTTCCCCTGGCGCTTCCTCGACCAAGTCGGCAGGTGCTGCCAGCGGCCTCACGGTTCCACGCGTCGAGACTGCTTACTTCGGCGTCGCTGTCTCCGTGTTCGTGGCGAGCTTCTTTGGCGCTGGAATGATCCTGCTATAAAATCCATGCTGGGATAAATTTGAAACGTTGCGTTCAAACCGAGAGAAAAAAAACGATGACATTGTAATATATCCCCCTGCAAGCATATCGTATATTCCCCCGTCGTTTCATGTGCCGTCAAAAATATCCCTTCCTCCAACGTATTATTTTCTTCTTCATTGCAAGTCGGTCGGTGCAGCAAGGGGTGTTTTTGCTCATCATCATGCCATTGCTCCTCCCCTACGTCGTCTGACGCTTGTCGAGGATTGCAGCGTATATACTTCATGAACCAGCGCTCTGAGCTCGCCGCGAGGTGACCTGAAAAGGCGGATATCGCGGCCCCAGCGCTCTTGACTGGTGTAGCTTTAGCGAATTGAGAAAGCAATTGTACACTTAACAAAGCAAATCGTGTTCCACGGTCTTGTTCTGGTTTCACTCTCCCCTTGTGGTATTCTTGAAATCCTGTGACCTGGATACGACAGCTCTCATGCCCTTGGCGTAGGCCCTTCACACGGCGGTCCAGATCGGCGCTCGGCATAACGCATCAGTTCGTTTTCGCGGTCCTCTTGTGCGAGGCGTTCAGGTGCTTGCGGGCGTGCTATGGGCGGCTTAGACGCTTTTTAACATACACATGTGCATGAATGACATATTTGCATGTATATGAATTTTCGTGTATGTGGGCCATGTTTGAGCATGGTTACTTATGACAGAGGCACCTAGATGCCCCTTTCTTTTTTTTTTTTTTTTTTTTTAAGAAAAAAAAATCTAACGAATGAGGGTTCAAAAGCCAGACGGATGCAGTTTGGGCTATTGCGGGCCAGCCGGACGGATCGGTTCAGGAAAGCGTGGGACGGAAGGGCAACGGGAGCAGAGTAGGTCGAGGAAACGTCGCATCTCAGCTTGCGCTGAAGCGTGGGAAATGGTGGTAGGTGGCATCATGGGCGCTGGGTGAACGAGCAATCGCTGCTCCTGTGTGATTTCTTGCTGCGGTAATATGGTTACACATCCATCTAGTCCGAACAGCAATCCGGACGTGCCTTGCCTTTTCTTTCTAACGCAATGTCGATTGTACATCCTTTGTTCCCGTGACGCCCCAACGTGCTCGCCGCTTTTGAACGTTTCAACGCCAACAAAGTTTCGCTGTCTTACTTTCCAAACCCACCGCCTGATGGGTCCACGTCCATCTTCTCGGCCTCCGCGGGGATGTCGTCGTCCTTCAGCTCGTGCACCGTCACAAACTTGCTCAGCTCATCCTTGGTGATCACCTTCTCATTCAGCACCGCCGTCGTACCTTTGGGGAACCTGTAGTCCCGCAACTTCTTCTCCCTCTCGTTCGGCTTGATGTAGTTCCTCATGAGCGTCGCCTTCTCCGGCGTGATCACGCACACGTCCACGTTGCTGCCAGAACCTAGATCGTTAAAGATACCGGCCAGAATGGCCTCCGAGCACAGCTTGACGGCCTCATCCTTGGTCAATTCTGGCTTCCACATCGTCTCAAACATGGCCATCGCGGCCAGACTGCCGGAGCCCATGGTCACGTAGGGCAGCTTGTCCGTGGAACCGTGGGCGTGGACGGTGAAGAGATGCGAGCCTGTGGGGTCGCAACCAGCAACGACGAGGTAGGCGCCTATGTGACCCTGATATCGGAAGAGGTGCTGCTTGAGCATGGTCATGACCGTAACAACGCGCGGCTTGCGCCCTGTGGACAGCGCATGGAGTTCAATGTTGGAGGAGATGAGAGCTGTGGTGAACTCGGTGTCAGCAGCTGTGCCAGCACCAGCGCACCATATTTGTGGGGCGATGTAGTGTAGCTTTTCGCAATTCTGTCGAAACGTTCGCGTCAGTGACTGATGTGATTACGCAGCGGATTACAGTGGGTTGGCTTTAAGCATACCTTGTCTGCAACGATCGGTCCACTGGTGGCACGAGTGTCGGCTGCTATCACGACCCCCCCGTCGTATAGACACCCAACAATGGTTGTGCCAGTGCTAGTAGCCTTTGGCAGGGGCACTCCACGAGCGTGGAGAGCCACATTCCTGTTGTAGTTGCTGAAGTCGAAGCCGCCCATGTTGGGGTGTCTGCGACGTTTGCACTCGCCCGTCGGTCTTGGCCTGGAGCTATGAGGGTTCCAACGCAAGAGAGTGAACGTCTCTGCCTATGTTCTTCAAGGCGCAGCTAGTTGTTGTAGATGGTAGCGGCGAGAAGGCGTGGCAAGGCAGGAGGTGTAGACGGAACAAAGCTGCGTCAGTGCCGGCAGCCTTGTGTAGAGACAAGAGACAGCTCCTCGTCTCTCACATCAACGCACGGACGTTGCACGACCATACACGCGCCTAGCCCAAGATGTAACAGCAAAATATCCATCGTCTCTTTTGGCAACGCAGCAATCGAAGGAACCGTGACTTGACTTTGGCTTCCTGCATTGGCCGGGAGCTTCAGTCAAAGACACTTGCTCTTTGAGGAATCATTCTCCGCAAAAGTCTTACTCTGTTCTCCGAAGGCATCAGTCCCACTCACAGGCAGGTCCGTCACTCGCGCTCCAAGTCGTCGCTCATCGACAGCCCGCCACGGCCCTTATCGACTCATTCCCTCCATGTTGAGGGGCGTCGCTCGCTAGACTCGCCTTACGCCTCTGAGGCTACTACTGAAGCTCACATCAAAGAGTTTGGGCGCGCCTACTTCAGAGCCAGGATGGCCATGAGTTTTGCTTCTGCGTCCGCCGTGCCTGGAGCCAATGCGCGAACTGCTCTGGGCGACGAGATACAAGAGATTGTCGTCGAGGTATGTACTCCTATCTTCCGCACGTACAAAGACGAATTCTCACCCTAACGCAGACTCTAAATTTCAAAGCCCTCAATGGCGAGAAGAAGGTCAAGCTCCTCCGTCAACCCTGGCCACTGAACGATCTGCCGTCATCCACATCATCCCTCCTCAGTATATCGTCAAAGCAAGGTCTTTTGGCAGCAGCGGGTCCCAATTCGCTTGTGCTCGCCAGAACTAAGGCAGTCCGCGATGCCTTCACAAATGAAGACGGACAAGATGTCAGGGACTTCCAGCCAGCCATGGAGATCCCGGTGCCAAAACTTTCGCAAGTCGCCTTTACAGCCGACGGTGCGTTCTTGGTGATATGTGCCCAAGAAGGAGGAGGACTAGGTGTGTACGAGACGCAATCAATCCTTCAGGACAAAAAGGAGCCCGCGTTTCAACTATCCACCAACCAGACTTCCATAAGGGCGCTCGTCCCTAACCCGGCATTAGAATTTGCCCATTTGGTTGCTGTCATACTCACAGATGGCAAACTCCTCATTGCCGATTTGAAGACAAGGCAATTCACAAAGAACAGCGCGGGCTCGCCCTCGTTAAAGGAAGGCGTTGCTGCGGTGTCTTGGAGCAATCGCGGAAGACAGCTTACAGCCGGTATGGCCGACGGCAATTGTTTCCAGCTGGATCAGACCGGTGCTGTCAAAGCATCAGTTCCCGCGCCTCCTGAATTGCCATCTCCATGTCATGTATCATCCCTTGTCTGGCTAGCCAACGAAGAATGGCTAATTTGCTACACGCCCAATAATTCAGATGACCCGGACCGCGCTCCAGAGTCAATAATATGTCATGTACAGACGGACAAGGAGCGATCAAATTTCGTTTACCGCAAACCCGCTATTGAGCCCGTCGGTAATTTTGGCATGAATCGTGTTCCATTAACGTACTACGTCGCCCGCCTACGCAACTGGTATAACATCAAGGACTGGCTCATATTATCATCAGTCGTTTCTTCAGAAACAGCAATGTTCACGAATGCAACTGCACCGCTAACTAGTGAAAGCCCCGTCACTGGTACGTATACTGTCACTGCCTTCGCAAACGATTCCAGCCGGCTGTCTATCCCAATGAGTGTCTTGGATGCTGAAGACACCACCCCAATCGGCATGGCCTTGGACCTTAGCAGTACTGACAAAGTTCTGCAACCAATACCCGGGGATGAAATGGACGAATCGCCATTCCCACTACCTGCTCTGATGCTACTGAACAACGAGGGTGTTCTTGTTGCATCTTGGATTGTCTACAACGATGCTCTACGCAACAATCAGCCATGTCCAGACATGACTGCGACTTTACCAGCGGCGCAGATCACTTCACCGCAAACACCGGCGACTAATGTCTTTGGGGCTTCCATGGCTACCCCCGCTCCACCAGCGTTTGGTGCAGGGTTTGCAAAACCTGCTCTGCCTGCGTTCGGTCAGTCCTCTTTTGGAAGCGCGAGTGCCACGCCGACATTTGGAGGCACTTCACAGATGGGCAACAAGCAGTCGATTTGGGGCGGAGGAGGAATTACTGCCGCCAAGCCAGCCTTTGGTCAGTCGAGCATGGGAGTTGGTAAGCCCACTTTCGGTTCGACATCAGCGTTTGGTGCAGCGGCGAACAGTGCGTCACCGTTTGCTACCAACGCAGGTAAAAGCTCTGCCTCACCGTTTGGAGCATTGGGAAACAGTGTAGCTAATTCTAAACCACCTGCTGCATCGCCTTTCAGCACCTTCGCTAGCAGTGGTAGCACCTCGTCTCCATTCGGTGCTCTCGCATCGAATCAATCCCCATTTGCCCAACAGGGAAAGTCAGGTCAGTCCGTGTTCGCAACAAGTGGTACAACAACAGGTAGCACGCCAACCGCAAGCTTTGGTATGAGCTCACAGCCCAGCTTCGGCTCTACCGTCAGTGTTGACACAAGCGCAGGCGGCTCCACACTTGGCGGTAAATCTGTTTTTGGCACGCCTTCTCAGCCTGACAGTGTCTTTAACAAGCCTACTTTAACGCCTGCTGAGTCGCGCGAATCAGATATGATGGATGATAGTGACAAAGCACCGACTCCTAAGGATGAGAAATCAACCTCTGGAATTCTCGGTCTGCCCCCTGGAGGCTTCAAACTCGGGACTACGTTTAAGCCTGGCAATGTTGATGACAAGTCAGACGCAGAGGAAGAGAAGAAGAAACCGGAATCACGACCCCATGGTCTTTTTGGTGCTGATTTTGGCGCTGCCTTGAATGACGCTCAGAAAGAGCGTGAAAAAACTGCCACACCTCCAATAAAGAAAGAGCCCCAGGGCGAGGAGAAGAAGAGCATTTTTGGCCTGCCGTCAATAGTGAAGAAAGAATCACCAAACGAGGAGAAAAAGAGCATTTTTGGTCTTCCATCAATGGTAAAGAAAGAAGAGGACAAGCCGAAGCCCTCAATCTTTGGTTCAGATAGCACGTCGACGCCGAACAACACTTTTTCATTCGGCAAACCATCGGCCACACCAGCGTCTCTCAAGCCCGACCCCGAACCGCCGCAAGTCACCTCGAAACCAGCACCGTCGCCGTCGACAACTACGGCACCCTCAAGTGAAGGTAAAACATCATTTAAAGGCTCCAAAGATGGCTCTGATGACAGTGGTCCTCTTGCGGGCAGCGAAGCAGAAGCTGTCGAGATGCCAGCTTCTGACGACGATGATCTTTTGGAAGAAGGAGAGGCGGTCGATGACATTCCACTTCCTCCCGATCCATCAACCATCAAGGTTAAGAAAGGTTTCTACGATTTTATGCCTGGAGCTTCGACATCCCAAGAAGCACCACCACCCAAAGCACCCAGTCCGCCGCTCCAGACTCAACAGCAATACAGCACACAGTCGCCTGCGCCACTTTTTGATAGCAAGTCATCGACAACACCTGCTGGCTTCCCTAAGGCACCACAAATGTTTGCACCGCCCATTCCGGCTGTTCGAGACATGCCACGATCACCTTCACCAGTCCGCTCAGCATCTACACCAGCAGGTAGGCCTTTCTCAAGACCTTCATCTCGGCCTTCAAGCGTCCGACCGCCAGTCACGTCATCGATACCTCCACCTCAACAGCCCGCCCAACCAGCTGTAGTTACACCTGCAAGCTTACAAGATAAGGAGGCCGAGAGAAACCGAGTCATCTTGGAGTCTCCCATCCAACCGACTTTAAGACTTGCCAAATACATCACCCATCAGGATTATGTTGGTCCTAAAGGCGAAGGGAAGATCTCATCTCAAATTGAAAATCTCTTCCGTGACATAAACTCTATGATCGATGCTTTAGGACTGAACGCACGCGCTCTTACCGAGTTCGTAGAAGGACATAACAGCTTGATGCCCGACAACGGCAGAACCAAGGAGGATATTGAGAATCCTGACGAAGATGAAGGGTGGTGCCTTGCTGAGATTGATGAACTGATGGCGATTGAACGACAACTTAATGACGAACTGGACGGCGAGCGCATCGAAGACAAGGAAGAACTGATTGCGGAACTTTTCGCAATGCGGCGTGAGCTCGTGAGGGTAAAGAACAAGTTGAAGGAAGTGAAACACTTTTTGGTGCAAGCTAAAGACACGGAAAAATTGGATCAGCGACGGAAGGCTCCTCTGGACAAGGTTATGGAGTCAAAGCAGCGCGAGGTCAAGCAGGACATGGCCAGGTTTTTGAAACTTCTGGTTGAAGCCGAAGAGGCGGTCAGTATGCTTAAAGTCAAACTCGTGAGCTCTGGAAAGGGTGCTGGCGGGCAGGTTCCTACTGTGGAGGCTGTTGAAAAGACGGTTAGGAAGATGACTTTGTGGGCGGAGGAGAAGGGTACGGATCTCGACGTCTTGGAGGCACAAATGAAGAAGCTTGGTCTACTTGGCGCCAGTTCGCGCTACAGTCCGCGTACTAGCATGAACGGGAGCACGGCCAGACTGAGGAGGTCTGGGATCTTCTCAACGCCGTCGCCCAAGAAGACTCCTGGGAAGAAAACAAGCTCGTTTGCTGTGCCTGAAGAGAGCGATAGTGAAGGTGAGAGTGATGCGAACGGCTTTGTAGAGATCGACGCGAAACAAGAGTTTGTTCGAGAGATGGTTGAAGCAAGGCGGAGGAAGAGAGTCGCAATGGGCAGAGTTAGAGATGCCCTGCGTAGACGCGGACTTAAAGTGACGGAGGCTTGAAATTGAGGACAGCTCTGTCTGCCTGTATGAATATGCAATGTGAGAGATAGGTCGTCGTATTGAATTCATACGAACAGTAAATGTAATGGCTAATATCGTCTTGGAAACCATGATGACTTTTTCGCCCGCAATGTCTGCTTTTTCCGCTTAGGCCTTGTCGCATTCGCCTTTTTATTCATATCGAGGAGATATTGAAAAAAGATGCTAAATACGTTCACGTTCGGAGCGGGTGGTGCGCACCTCGGTTGGCAACCCACGACATACACAAAGCTAGCTGGTGCTAAGTGTAAGCGTCCAACTTGAGCAGTCACCATGTCGAGGCGAAATCGAGGCCGTCTCTCGCACTTAGGCTTTAAAACGCAAGTTCGAACCGAATCGAGTTCAGAGACCGCTTGATCAGAAGTTGGGAGCAACTTTTTCGGTCACTTGGTGCTGACGTCGATCTATCGGTTTACTAGACGCGGGCAAAGATGGGAAAGTCACACCATTATTGTCGATACCTTTGCTTTCTTTTTTGTTCGATACAGCATTTCTCTGGGTATGATTTTGCAATCCCCTGATTGGATTATACGGAGTGTCGCATACCGCAACGTAATTTGACGCTTTACCGTAAGGAAGCCAGACCACCACATCAGTTTGGAACGCGGAGCGGGTCTACATCGACACTGGCAGACAAAGACTCGCCAACATATATTTCAACCCTTTTCAATGAGCTCTTCAAACATCTTGTCCCTCTGCCTTTGCAACGCGGCAAGCTCCTTGCTCGCCTTCTCCACGACCTGTCTTGCCGCATCCTTATCTCGGGGTAGCCCTTTAAATGCTTCAACTTGAGCCTCCAAATCCTTAACTCTCTCAGTCAACTCTATAACGCCTTTTTCACGACGGACAACGTCCTCGATCAAACCGCTGTCTTTGCCTTCGAGCGTGCTCAGTCGTTCATTGTACTCCCCAATCTTGGTTCGCAACTGTTTTGTATTCCTATTCCACTCTAGCGTTTGCCTTTGCAAATTCAAGGGCGCTTGAAACGCAGGAGACCGAAGCTCTGCGAGCTGAGAACGCAGGGCGATGAGCTCGTTCTCTAGGCGACGTTGTAACGAGTTTACGCGAAGCAGGGTCTGGGAAAGCGCTTGGGAAGTTTGAGTTTGCGTGATGATTGTCTTTGCTATGCACATAGGTTCTGCAGATGGGGCATCGAGCGTCACAGCCGCTGCCGCAAGAGCCTCAAGACTAGCCTTGCCTTTTGCCGTCAATGAATTTGACAGCAAGTTCAGGATCGCAGCACTGCTCGTGGAGTCATTTTCCGTGTTTTCCTGGCTTTTCAGCTCTGCCAACGCTTCCTTTTGAATGCTGAGCAAAAGATCGCGCTCTTCATCCGCTTTCTCATTTGCAGCAACTATGGCAAGGCACGCTTTCAGCGTTTCTTCATTTCGCTCGAATTGCGGGACACTGCGTCCTTGGTATTTAGATGCAAGCCAGGTATCGACATGGTGCCAATCTTGCGCTTGTGCTCGCTGCTGAGCAGCCTTCGACGGTGAGAAGAGCGCACTGGGAAGCAGGTCGAGGTTGTTGTCCATTGTGTGTTTACTCACAGAAAATGGTGGTCAGGGTAAAGTTCGACGAAACGGGAGATTTGATCACGCTCAGCATAACTTTGAGTACGTATCAACATCAAGCGCACTTGCTGGTGCTGATTCATAAAGCGGCTCTTCAGATTCAGATACAGGTCGACATTAAATTACGAGGCTCAGACTAGAAGATTTCCTTGTGTCTCTGTCGGTCGATACATGTACGATTTACAATGGAGGTCCTAGGAGAACAGATTTTCACAAGCACCCCAGGGGCGGATATGTAACTGCGAAGCCTCTTAAACGCTGCATAAAGCCGGATAGAGCTAGGTACCGTCTCCTTTGTGATCTTCTGAGATCTCGCTTGAATTACGTTTTATCCTCTAATCGTGCAATGATTAGAAATAAGTTGGACAATTTCGTCGCTGCAAAAGTCAAGCGAGTTGAAACGCTCCGATGCTATTTTAGCGTATCTGTATTATTGTGGAATGAATGCAGGTCAAGTATTTAGGGTTGCTTAATAATAGAATTTCGCCCTCACGGTCATCGTGGATTTACCATACCTGGCATTTGGTGTTATCATTCGCAGAGCTCCATGCTTGGCACTTCAATTTCGCACCGTTCCAATCTTGCCTAGCCGGAGTCAAAACCAATGCTAGCTGTTTCTTGATTTCTAAATTCATCTTGAGCAGTTTAAAACGCCTTAATCAGCTCAAGTAAAAAAAGACGAAGTGGACGGTCGCGGTCCTAGCACTGAGGCCTATGGGGACGTTCTGGTATCTTAGTTGTTCTCTACCTTAGCACCTTCATTCTTTCAACGAAGGGAACGCAAACACCAAAGTTGTTTATAAATTAGCCGCATAAATTTTAGTGCATTCTTACGAATCTTTGACATTAATAGAGCTTGCGAAGCATATATGAGTGGCAAACAATACGCAGCGGAAACATGAATTATCCTTCTCTCACAACACCTTCTCTCAGAATCAATGGGTTGGACGTCGTTGAAATTACCACAGAAAGGCAAAAGAAAAAGAAAAATGAGCATTCCTGGGTGCTTCAGAGGCGCGAAGCGCAGTTTCACGATCTGGGAACCTGCGGATGCAGCCGCCGGACACAAGCTGGAAGTAAAGTAGTTCTTAGAGCACTTTACGAGCTTTCTCGTCAGCAGCGCGAGCAAATCTATGGATCCACGTCGTATAGTGGGTGCGATATTCCACAAAAGAGGAACGAGCATTCCACTTTGGAATTCAAGACTACCTTTGTGCAACGTTGTGAATTTCTACCGCCTTCTAGCTCCCAAGCACCTCCTCGTTCAAGTCAGATCAGACAAGGCTCGCCAAATTTAAACCTACAATTCAAAATTCAAGAACAGACAGTGCTAGCTTTTGAGGAGCGAAATATTCAGATGCTGTTTTCCCTTTTGTATATTTTGATTCAAAATCATGCCTGAATTTCTACAGGGACATTTCACCGCACCCTGCTCTTGAGGCTAAGACGAGAGTGACTACTAATCTTACGGGCAATGCAGACGGAAACACGACGAGTGAAACACCTCTGACGGCGGCTGAAGAACATCTCGATGATCGGATGTTAAAATGCACAGCTGAGATTGAAGCGAGAAACGAAGCCAATTGTCGGATGTCCATTTTTTCAACGGGAACAATTGAGTATAACTTCATATTCGGACCAGAACATGAAGTAAACGAATGCTCAGACGCATTCATTAGAGAGACAGCACCGCATAGACTTCAGCCGACAAATGCATTATTGCATCCAAGTTCCGCTGTAGAGGTGAACAGAAGGCGCGTGTCTAGAACCAACAGAGCTAAGCCCCCCCAATTGGTCGGTATAATGTTTCCTGGCCTTCTTGGCTCTCCGGTTCATGCATTTGATGAGCAAACCGGAGGTCTAAGACGAAAATGGCTGTATGAGACTTGGCCACAATTGACCACACCTCTGGGTGAGCTTCAGGAGTACGTCATTCATAAAGGCAAACCTGAGCTTTTATCTTATAGCTTTTGGTTCTGGCTCTGTGGACGTGACAAGAGACTGCCTCGAGACGGCCCAGATCAGTTCGCTCTCAAGATAACCATCAAGACTGCACTGGAGAGTACTAAAACGAAGATGCGTATTATGCGTGGTTTGTACCACGTCAGGATAGAGAAAGACATGGCATCTCGGCCAACAACCTATGATCCCCCAGGTTCTCAAGCGGCCATGGAGGAAATTGCCTTCCCTATGCGACAAAATGATTCGTTATGAAAAGGAGACGCTTCGAACACGGGCAGGGCAGAGTTGAAGACAGAATGGTCGCATGATAAGATGAAATTGATAAGCACCGAGAAGACGTTGGAGAAGGGGGAAGGGACTTCGTCGCGAGATCGCAAAATTGTACCTTGCAAGCCCAGGAAAAACGAAAGAATACTAAGTCCAGTACAGTCATGTGAGAATGTCGTTTCTGTGCGCAACTCCCAGATCTTGCTGCGTTCATACCCATTGTGCTGATTTGTGCAGGCTCTCTGCCAGGAGAAAGAGTAAATAAAGTGCTTTGATCGCAGCGTAGAGAAGAGGAAGTACAAAAAGACCTTTAATTACGGGATGCTCGGACAGTCAAAGGTGAAGAGGTTCTTACGCTTGCCGACTCGCTGTCTGCGGAAGAAAACGGCAACAACGGTGGATGATGGGAGTGCCTTAGGATTACTACGGGAGGGAAACATGAGCGAAACACGACTAGCTTCTCCTGTCATTTTGATCGGATGAGTAGCTGTGGCATGCTCAGACGGATGATTGAAACTTATCCGTGGCCCAGTCCGCATGTCATTCATCGCCCGAAACTGGATTGCTGTTCATTCTTGAATTTAAGGACATTTTATAAATACACACTGACGAGTCTGTTAGCGACTGAATGTTTTCCCATGACTCACCACGCGACCTTCATCTAGTCTCAAGCTCCCCTCCCTCTCTCTTCACGACCATCTGATGAAATGAAATGACTTTGAACGACACGAGAGTCCCTGCGAAGAAAAGGAGGGTGGTGTTTTTGCCTCTTTTTCAGTAACATATCATAGTGAGCAAGAAAGCAACCTCCTTTTTTTTTCCGCAGCGCGCACGCATAGGATAAGGACAAAGCAAACCGAAAAAGCACCGAGCTATGAGGATCCATGACAGGGGCTACTGGAGTTGTGACAGATATCTGTTGTATTCACTAATAGCGATGTAGCCAGTGCACCGTCAAAGATCTTGTTGCACGCTTAAATAAGACCCAAGCTGGTCCTAGTCTAGAGCCTCCTTTACCTAACCAATCAGCTTTGTCTCTAAGCTAGACTCTGTGCTGTCAAAGACAGGTCATGAGCCAATTCCTGTGAAGGAAGATAGATCAAGTGAAACAAGCGTTGCAATTATTTCGCAGCGGCGTCGATAAAGTCGATAATATCGAGAGACTGACAGGACACAACGACGAAAAAAAAAAGAAAGTAACAACGTGCACGATGTTAGTAAAAGGGGGAAAATCATCGCATTTTTGTCCTATACGTTATCTAACTACATGAAGCAACTCTGACAAGGCAATCATCGTAATGCAGTTGGTGGCGGAGACAGTGGGCTAGTGTAGCCTTTGCCAAGAGGACTGAGACTCTTCGGAGCAGGGGACATTGGATCCTTGGTGCTACTATTGTTGCTTCCGGTGCTGGTGCTTCCACGACTGCCGGCACTGTTCTTGCGGCTGCTCGCACCGACAGCTCCACCATTACCTATAGGGTGGAAGGTAGAGAAGTGTTGCTGCGGTAAAGGATTCTCATCAAGATCATCCGTGAACCCACTGATGCCGGAAAGCATAGAGCTTGAACGACCGCGACCATCGCGATAGAGGGAGTATAACGGATCGCTGCTCCGAAGGGAGAGGATCATGGGATCAGAAGCTCCAGCCTGCGTGTTAGCAAACTGGAAGCCAGGCTGCAGGCCGGGAAACGTATTGTGGTGTTGAAGGCCAGGGTTGAGTCCGCGAGTACCAGGAAGAGGACCTTCGGGCGTGGTCGGCATCGACTGTTGTTGCAAGTTGATATTGAAAAGATCTTCGAGATACCTCGCTCGTGCTTCGTACTGACCTCCCTTGGCCCACAATGCTTGACACTCGCGCTCCAATAAGGCTGTTTGTTCCTGGAACCTACGCTCGGTATCGGCTCGATTGCGCGCTTCGATTTCGCGTTCATGATATCTGCGTGACTGAGCCTCCTGACTCTGATTTGCTTCTGACAACAATCTCTGTCGCTGCTCAATGAATTTGCTCTTCCGCTGCTCGTACTTCTGGCGCTTCTGAACCAGAGCTAGAATCTCGGATTTCAGCTGCGCAATTTCACGGTCGGTCTCACTCTTGACGGCGTCGTATTCTTTCTGAGCTTCACTACATCGATCCTTTTCACTCTGCCATTCAGCACGGACACGGTTGGACTCTTGAATCTCCTCCGCGGGGATTTCGCTGGTGGAAGCTATCTCTTCAAGCATTTCGATCTCCTTTGCCTTAGCCTGCTGCACGCTCTGCTCGAGTTGGCGCACTTTCTGACGAAGACGTTCATCTGTACCACCATTGGACGACAGGCGAGCGTTCAAAGAGTCAACTTCCCTTTGCAGACTGGCGACGATATTCTTATGTTCACGTTTGCTTCGGCGCAGTCGATTGCGATATCCTTCAAGTTTAGATTCGGCGGCTTGAATCGAGTTTCGGAGTGTTGTTGTCGGCGACAAAGGACGTAGCGAAGGAGGCTGAGCGGATGGAGTTGGAGCTGCAATGTAGGGGTCAGAGAAAATGTACACAAACCTTCGTAGCCGTGAAAAATATGCGTACCTTGTTCAGCAGAAGGTGCTGGCTGGGTGGTGATGTGTGTAGTGAATATAGTCGCACCATCCTCCACCCTCACAAACTCACAGATATAACTCGTTGAAGCCGTGAGGCCGAAGATCTTACCGCTCCAAACATCTACTTTCTCCTCGCCCACCTCGACACCCAGAGCCTCTTCACTGGCTCGCGTCGAGCTCCAGTCCGTTTGGTTCAAACGTACGCGGAAGCGCTTGACGTATTGGTCTGAATCGGCCTCGTCCACGTTCTTGTCTTCTGACGCCACACTAGGCAGGCTGACGCCGAACGCGATCTCGCTCGAACCCACCTCCTTTATCCAAACTCTATCTCTTCCGTTCTTGAAGTTCGCGTTGCCGATGTTGCCAATGTCCATAGCATTGGCCTCTATGGCATCCAATGATGCTTGTTGATGCTCCAATTCCTTAAGAAAGGTAACTTTTGCGTTTGCGAGTGCGGCCCAAAAGGGCTGCTGGCTTCGAACATAATTCGCTTGCTTCTTCTTTCGTTTGACACTAGACATGAGATCCTCCTTGCGCGGTACGGGTGGCGGCCCCGGGGGTCTGCCGTCAGTACTGGAGCCGATCGGAGGATCGGTAATCGTCTCGGTAAACGTCGTCGTTGTGCGAGGCGTGTTCAGCGTCGACAACGATCCGTTCTCGGCATCCATCTTTTTGCTTGCCGACATTTCGTTTGCAATGTACCACCGACGTACAAGTCGAGTCAAGCCTTGCGCTAAAATATGTACACCAACCAGTTTCCGCGGCCATCCATGGGTGACATGAAGGCGATCTGGGTAACGAGGCAAGGTAGGCGGATCGCTTTCGGATCGAAGGCCCGATTTCACTAAGCCTGTCCAGACGAAGTTGAACCCAAATTGTCTAGCAACGTCCCACCGCACCAAGTGCGATATTCCAATAATGAATATGCAACTGAACACGCTCGCACTCGTGCCTCCTTTTGAAGACGCTGCGCCGCCAAGCGACATGGCAATAACGGCCTGGGCTAGGTCGAGGGACAAATTCTGAGCTGGCGTCCACAGAAACAGGAACGGTAGCAGCATGAGAAGGTCCAGAAACACGATTGTTTGCAGTGAGGGGTGCCCACTGGCGCCTGCGAGCACCTCGTTGAGTGAGGGCATGTTGGCGATGGACGTGCCACTGGTTGGCGAGACGAACGTCAGGAAGGCAAAGAGAAACTGGACGACCGATATGATTGTGGGCGGCAGCTGCAGGAGAATGATGAGGATGGCAATGACATCCCATAGCGGGCAGGCCTTCAAGATGGTCGTGGCAGTGGCAAGGGCTGTCTTTTGGTGGGACAAGGCGGGACTTGCACTGGCAGCCTTCAGGTCGATCTTCAGCGGTGAACAAGCGGTCGTTGTGCGGCTCGACATCCCACTGCTCGAACCGTGGGCATCCAAGTCGTCATCGGACGAAGCCGAAGCGGTTCGATCCCTCCCATCTGGGGTCGAGAAAGAGGCGCCCATTTTTGCGTCTGACGTGGGATCATTGACAAGCAAGTCGGACGTGGGAGAGGGGGTCGATGGGTTGGAAGAGAGATTGTCTAGTCCAGCAGCATCGATGTGGGAAGGAGAGACGGAGGGCCTCGTGCGCCCATTTGTCAAATGGCTGCCGTTAAGAGCGCCGTTGCTCTTGTGCTTGAGGAGGCGGCGGGAGGGAGGAGCGAGGCCGGTGGCGTGCGTGCTGTTCTTCTCGTGTGTGCCGGATCGTCGGAGTCGCGGTGGCATCCAGTCTCCTCTCTAGGCCCGGCAAGACAGAGCAAGACGAGCTAGCGAAGGACAGGTGCCGGGGGGGAGATTGGTAGAGGAGTGATTGTGGTAGTGGTAGTGGTGGTTGTCGTCGTCGGATGGTGGGGGAGGGGGGAACAGTCGAGGGGAGCACGAGGGAGGCGATCTGGTAGGAATTGAAGGAGGAGAGTATGGGGCTGCGGATGTGGAGCGGGTGAAAATAAGGAAGTCGATGGAAGCCAGTGGTGGTGAAGTAACAAGGCACCGAAGGCAAGTCATCAGCCCCGGCCAGACAAAAAGAACGACTACGGCTAAGCTTGCCAAGAACCAGCTAGAGAGCCAGCTAGCGACGCATCCACGTCTTGCAAATCTTCCCGCGATCTGGCTTGCTGGCTTTCGATTCTGGACAAGTCCACGAGTGCGACTGGTCGCCGTCGTCACCGATCCCAAGTCAGTTCTGCTGATGATTGCTGGTCTGGCTGCTTCATGGTCCATTGTTGTGGCCTGATCCTCGGCTGTCAACACGCGGAAACACGCACACACACACGCTCAGAACAACGCAGACACGCCCTCATTTCAGTGCAGTATTCCTAGCCTCCCTCCCCCCGTACCGTGTGCATGCTGGCTTCAGCTTGTTTCGAACCAAGCCATTCACAGCACATCGAAAGAAAAAAAAAAAGAAAAAAAAACAGAGGACCCGCTTCATGCAGCAACCAACCAACGCGTAGTAGTGCAAAACAGCAAGCTAGCCGGGAACAGGCCAGTTCAATTGCAATGGCCTTACTTAAAAGTACAATAACACATTGTCGTGCCAGGCCCGACTCTGCCGATCTTTCCAGAGCGCGATCACAATGGTGGCAGTTGTAGAAGGCTAGCAGCCTCCATCTAGCTGGCTTGCTGTTAGATTGGCCATCTCCCTCACCTTGTCTGCGCCTCTCCGCATCGGGCTCAAATCTCACGACGTTTGACTCGTTTGGGCTCAGCTTCGGCATCGAACTGCTAGTTAGTTTGCGGGTCAACGTTGTAGGTGCAGTGGTCGCATCTATCCCCCGCATGGTCGTGCATGAAAGGACTGGCGATTGAGTTTGTCCTCTTTAGCTTCGACCTTGTCCCTGTATGGCCTTGATGCCGCTGTGATCACTATCTTCTTGGGACTACCCTTGCTGTCATTGTACACATCGCTACGTTTTTAATCCTCATGGTGGTGATGAACCATGCCTCGTTGTGCCAATGACTCACGTCCACGCCTAGTTTCGAATCATGAGCGCACCTCGGAACAGGAAACCTTCAAGAAGATCCCACGCTGCTTTTTTATCCTTTGAACAGTGGTCCACATACACTCTTATGCCGAACACGCACCGCAAAGGTTGGCACGTTCCTTGAATCATTCGACGTCTTTTACCTCCTGGACCGAGGCGCAGATGCGAAATCTCATCAGAAGCTCATCTGCGCAGCGCCACCGTTCTGTCCGCCAGCATCCGGAACCTGGTTCTTCCCGCTTCACCACTTATCGCCTTATCTGTCGTCGTTCTGTGGTGTAATTTACCAGAGCAAAGTATAACACGTCGCGGAAACTTGGGTCGACTTCTTAGGCTCGCCACTGACTTTACTCCTTTTCCCTGAATGGACTCGTTCATGCCGCTTTGTGCTCGTCGTGAACCGCACACTCATTCGAACTCATACACTTTCGTTGACAACCTCGCTTGCAAATAGTGCAATGATGTGCTCTGACGTTTAAATTCTTCACACCAGCTCCGACAGGCTGGAACCAAAGAAATTAGTCGTGTGCTTCAACATCCGACATGGTCGACAAATGTCAACCCGGGCATGTGGGATCGACAAAACAACCTGAGCGCTTCATCGGCACGCTTCAATTGGTGGTGAAAAAGCCATTGAGTAATGCGTAGTCAATTCCCAGCAAGACCTCTCTCGTCAATTGCGAAGCGCACGTCGGCAGTACTTCGAGGCAAAGTTGAATAATTTTCTTTTCTTTGCACCGCAACAGACCCGGTCGAAAGCTCGGCAGACGTAAGAGAGAGACTTGTTCTGTTTTCCAACTGGAGAGGCGACGCTGGCAAAACACTTGGTTCCTCTGCCTCCTAGCTCACCAAGCCGAAAACACATCCATCGCGCGGTAGACTCAATCGCTGATGCGATTCTGACGCGGATCGCATCTCAGACATCCGTACTACCTCAAAGTCCACTTCGACTCACTTTTACCCAAATGCGGACTTTCCACATGATCCGGTCGGCGTGACGAAAGCACTTATCCAGCCCAAAATCGCGATGCTCACTGCTCGACCTAGCAAGGCTGCACGTTTAGCCTCCCTCAGCGAACCAGGATCTCGAATGCAACGACAAGGGACCTTTGTGGTACCAAGAACCAGACAACACACAGGTTGCTGAAAAATATACGCAGGGCATTATTACCTTTAGAAATGGCATGCGCTGCCCCCAATAATCATCACTGCTAATACCGGGATGATCCTGTCACATGTGTTTTTTTTCTTCGCAGATGTTTCTCCGCTCGGCGAACGAAACGCAGATCACTTAGAGAGCTGGGCGTGCGCGAGACTGACAGCGGATCCACGGACGGCTAAGGGCTCGGGAGCGCAAACGCAAACTACGAGAATCGGCATGCCGTGTTCGTGAAGCTGAAAGTGTGATAGTGAACAACCTCGCAGGAAGATCGGCAAAGGCGACAATGCACCAACGGAAAAATTGGCAGAACCCCGGGCACAAATTCGTTACCTGTCGGCCCACACCGCTTCGTTCGACTATTGCCGCCGCGCAAGGAGTGACTGCTGTATTGCTTGAGCTCGTGACCGCCTCTCGTTGCCCATCGGCGGCAACCATATAGTGGGCCCGTTGAAGATCCTGGCCTTGCGCATGCGATAAGAGTCTCGGGTCACTGGATATTCTCTTTCGCTCAAGATAGCGGATAATCCGGTTACCCGAATTGGCTTTCCGTAATGGTTTCCTGACGGAGTCGGGATTGCCCAGTGGATTTTTGCGTTCGTCCATCCATGTCTTTGAAGAAGTGGCCGCCATATTGATGCCACTTCTGGGATGAGCGCGCTACAAGCATCTTAACAAGTATTGATGACGCAGCGTTGAAGGGAGCCGTCTCGGTCTGATTCTCCCAGTCCTTGATCTCGACCGCCCGTTCAGCTTCAGCAAGCGACTCACACAGGAAAAGAACGAGGGCAACACCTGTACCATGGAGACACGAGTGTCAGCATTCTTTATCTACTTCCAGCTGTTCTGAGTGACGCCAAGCTCTGACGTACCAGCATTGGATTTGTTTTCCCGGCTGCCTGTTTTTCTCAAAGTCTTTTACCTCGTGTCTCGTAACAGTCAGTGGATAGACTTGACCAACTTGTTCATCCGATCACGTAGGCTCCCTTGTCAGCGTCAACGGGACTGAGATTACAACAAAGCTTTAAAACCTTCGTACTACGTGAATTCTTCGTGCAACAACGTAACCTGTAGAGTTGCCTGTGTACCTGCACCAAGTTCGTTAAAAGATATTTTTCGTCACGAGGTTCAAGGCACCAGCTGTTCAATTCGGTCGTGCGGAAAACACGAATCGAATCTCGTAGTGTTTACGTGTATTCATGACACACGTGTTAGGCGACTTGACCCGAGAAAATGCTATGGTAGTATCATTCTATGCCTCTAAAGGCCAGTGCTAGAAGAAGCTCGATGTTTTTACATGCAGAGCACCCTTGTGTAATGTCTAAGAGCAGATCTAAGCTGGATTATGATGTACAAACCGCTTTGCTTAGCCCAATAGTCCAATGGAGCGAACCAATGATGACAATCATGAACGAAAGACCCACGGCAACGCTCGCGAAGCCGTATTCATAAGCGTGCTTCTTTCGTAAACCTTTCAGCTCTGCAACCCACGTGCTCACTGTGGTTAAGCATCCACAGAATCCATCTATCACACCTTGCAATACTTGGCAACCGACCAGTCCGCCACCTACTTGTCCAGCGGCAGATGCAAGAGGAGCACGTTGCAGATCGTAACACATGGCCAGCACCATGCATCCAAAAACGTTGGCAACGAAGGTGCCCAGTGGAAACCTTGCAATCAAGCTGTTTAGCTTGATGGAGAGCAAAAATCTAAGAATGCAGCCAAGTGGAGCAAACACGATTGCGAACACTGCGTCCTGCCGCCATCTATTCTGAGGCGGCCAGATGGCGAGGAAAACCGTTCCAAGCCAACATCCGAATCCCAAAAAGACGGCAAGAAAGTCGAGGAACCTGATCTTGTTGACGGAGGGTAAGCGCCTGAGAATGGGCATGCTCGCCTCGCAGAGATGAGCACCGAACGAGAGCGCCGCCAGCGAAAGCCCGACCTCGAGGATGATGACTGCCACAACGGCGCATACGCTCCACGCATCGTTTCGAGAGCCGGAACTTGCGTTCTTCGGGGTGAGATCATTGGAGAGCGCAAGGAAAGCGTCCCGCATCGCCGACGAAAAAGACGTGTACGAGCCGCAGAAACCCACGGTCAGGCCGATGTAGAGCGGCAGCGTCTTCTTGTACGCCAGATGCGCCTTTCCCGACTTGCGTTTCTCCAGCTCGCCCTGCAGGACCGCTAAGTCTTTGTTCAACTTCTCCGCGTCCGAGGAGTCCGAATCGACCTTCAGCCTCGCCGGCGGCTCCGAGCGGCTCTTTTGCGGCGTGCGGAACAGAGCGCGGTCTTCCATCAGAAAGCCCATGACCAAACAGCCCCCGACGTTCGCCCACAATTCACTCGGCGTCACCGGAGCGTTGGCGTAATTTGCAACCCATTGGGTACCTAGACGAGCGAGAGTGCCAAAGATTGAGAACAGGATTAGGTACGAGTACGTGTACAGATGGAGCAGGTATTGACTAGGTCTTGGCTCTGTTTTCGATCTGGATTGCGATCGTCTCCGTGACTCGGAACGCGTCGTCTCAAGGCTTCCTCTGCGGTAGTATCTGCTCTCGTCTGGATTCTCATCCGGAGGTGGTGCTTCCAGTTCTCCCAGGCCTTCGAACGGAGAGTCATCATTTTCCATTCCGAAGTCATCGTCTTTTGCGCGATCGGCTTGAACGATGCCCTCTGCTTCATTTCTACCTCTCACATCTCGTCGCGCTGAGTCTTGTTCCTTTTCCGAATTTGGGCCAGGAGATGCGTCCTCATTTCCACTGCTCGAAAGAACATCGGCAGCATGCTTCTCGCCATGCTCGTTGGCCATGAGCATATCCAGCTGCAAGAGTTCGTGCGTCTAGAGCATGATTCAAATGATCAGAGTAAGCTTGACGCTGCTAAAAGTTCTCTCGATGTCGCCGTCTACATCAAGTTCTGTGTTCCGGTTCGATGACATTATCTTACTGGTTCAAGTTTAGCGCGTCGGATACAACGGATTGTGCAATGCCAAGAGATGGGACTAGTCTCTCTACTGCCGGTTTTTCTGCTACGACTCATCAAAATAATCCGCCACAGGCGACGGACAAATGGATAGAATTGGGCACGCAGAGATTCTTATGGACGATTGAAATGATTGTGACTCTGCTAAATTATATTCAAGCTGCTACGGATCTATCTTTTGCATGCAGCAGTTTTATCATAACATTCTAACTCCAAAAACTGCTAGGACGCAGTCACAGCAGACTCATTGCGGCGACATAGTCACAACTTACTTAACGTCGGGGCATGCCCCTTCCCCTTCCTCTGCCCATACCTAGTGCGCGCTGTGCTGCGCCTGGCGGAAGTGGCTTACTGGGAGCCTTTGGTTGCTCAGATTCTTGGTTTTCTGCGATGTAAATGAGTAAAATCGTCTTCTGACAGATAGAAGGAAATGCTAGAGCTTACTGATGGTCTCATCTACGCTGAGGATCAAACAAGCAGCCTCCACAGCAGCCTGTATAGCATTGATCTTGACCAGCGCCGGTTCCCATACGAACTTGTCCAGGTTATTTGCAATACCTTCGTTGACAAAGTCCACACCAGCCCACTTATTTCCCTGCCTGTGTGCGACCCGTAATCTGTTCAAAATATCTGTCGCATCAAACCCAGCATTGTCACAGAGCTGTCGAGGAATGACTTCCAAAGCCTTCGCAAATGACTTGATAATAGCCTGTTGTTTATGAGGAACCTTCTCATCCGCATAGCTATGCAGATAAGCACTGATCTCCATTTCAACGGCACCGCCACCAGCGACGATGCTCTGATTTTTGATCGCACGTTTGACAATCATGATCGCGTCATGCAAGCTTCTTTCTACCTCCGCGATAAATTGTTCTGCACCACCTCTGAGAACGAGTGTACAAGTCTTGGCGGCTGGGCACCCTTCGAAGAAGTTGTAGCGCTCACCACCAATTTGCCGCTCCTCGAAGTGCTCGCATGTGCCGAGGTGCTCTGGCCGAATGTCTGAGCACGTCGATTGTATGCTCGCACCCGTTGCCTGACATACACGCTCCATATCATCGGACGCTACGCGGCCGGCGCAGAATATGTCTCTGTCTGCGAAATATTGTGTTGCCAGATCGCCGATGGGCAGCTTGCTGAGCACCACCTTCGCACCGGTCTTGTAGCATGCCTCCATCTTGTTGAAGATTATCTGCCACTCAGCGTCCACAATCGCCTGATATTCTGAAACTTGCTCGACGCGCACTTCCGCATTATCTTTCTCACTCTTTAGCTCCAGCTCAACGTTTAAGCACACAATCTTGGGATTCTTGAAAGATTTTGGCTGCTGCTCGAATCCCGCATAAGAAAATGTCTTCTTGAATGCGACACCGTTGACGAATATCGAGTCCTGCAGAGCACCTCCTGTAATCTTTTTGATGCCAATAAGCTTTTCGTTCAGATCGTCCTGATCTAATGACAGGACAGCATCCACAACCATCTTTGTAAAGAACTCCGAATTTCGATGTATCAGCTTGCTGCTCATGGCAGTAGCGGCGAGTTTCTGTAGTGTGTCTCGTTGATTGCCATCTTTTATGCTCACTGCAATCTCTTTGATCTTGTTTACCGCCATAATCGAGGCTCGCCGCAGGCCTTTGATGATCGTTTGGCTGCTAACACCCTGCTCAACATGTTCCCTTATCTCTTTTAACACTTCGCCTGCCAAAACCACTACAGATGTGGTGCCGTCTCCGACCTCTGCATCTTGAGAGCGTGCAATGTCAACTAGAATTCGTGCTGCGGGGTGGACAATGTCAAGAAGCTTTCCTGATGTTAGAATATGTTGCCCGAGATCGTTGTCCACAAATTTCGCACCTTCATGACCGTTGCGCCATCATTTGTAATGGTCTGCTTGCCATTCGAGTCGACAAGCAGCAAATCACCGCCATAAGGACCCAATGTGCTCTTTATAGTGCTCTGAACGGCGACACATGCGTTAATGTTGGACAGTATTTGCCCGCGCCCTTGTGACTGGTCTGTGCCTGTACCGCAAGTGTTAGAAACGGGTGATCTATGATTGAAAGCATGGGCATCACACCTTCTTTGAGAACAATTATAGTCGGCGCCTGCCCACCGAAAGACATTTTGAGTTGCTCCGCTCCTGCAAATTTGTCCTTTGAAGCTCCTGGAGCCCTCTAAGACGCTGTACCGAGAGCGTTGAACGTATATATGTGATATATCAAAAGTTTCTTTGAAGGCTTCAACTTTTCCTCTGTGCGTACGCGAATCGCAAGGAAACGCGCAGCTCAAGCCGTGATGAAAAGTTCGCAAGGATAGGCGTAGCGAAAGGACCGTCAGAGGCGAACAGATATCCCTGCTCGATTCGGCAACTACCTTGTGATCTTGCTTTGTTCACTTTGCTTGATTGTCAAATGGGTTCAGTAAAGCAAAGAACACTTGGATGTTTCTAAATCACCGAATTTGCTAGCATCTCGTGGAATATCACAGCCTGCTTTGCAAATCGATATGCGAATCTCCATAAGTTGCGGCCGTTCCTCCACAATCTCCAACAGGAATGACGCTCGCGAAGATCAGGAGCTCACACCACAACGAACAATCTCGCGACATATAGTTAAGCGGCCACCGCTTCAGCAGCCTATATTTCCACAAAATCCCATTATAAGACCCAATTTTGGTGTGCCAAGCCGAGCTTCCGCAAGTAAAGGTCGATATAGAACTGGCATTGATCGAAGCTCGAATATCACATCCCCATTTATGCGACTACCACCGGAATTGCGAGTTTGCATATACCGATATATCATCCCACCGTCAGATTCAAAATTCAGAGTCTATACGGATTGTAGCCAAACATACACGGATCGAAAGTGGGATGTGCAACGACCCCGCTTGACTAGCGATAACAACCCAGATTCATTGGCTCTTCTTCGAATCAACAAGCTGATCTACTACGAAGCACTTTCAGTGTTGTATTCGGAGAATACGTTTCATTTCATAGGTTGCAATTTTCTGCCCATCATCGATTTTATCAGGAAGCTAAGCCCTGATGCGAAAGCACTGGTGAGGCAGCTAAAGATCACTATGTTGCCCGAGGCAAGACATTTGACAGGTAGCCAACTGGAGCTGTTTTGTCGGGTGGTTCACGAGTGGCTCCCTGGATTGAATGCGTTGGCTAGCGATACATGGATGTGGATCTAAGAGAGTCGGTAGTAGATTCTTTGGGTTATTTCTCACGCATAGAATTGAATATCTAGAGTTACAAGCCACCATACGATTTAGGTTAATGATGAGTCTTGGCTGTGCATTCGATCGCTTATACTCTGCGCTTGTGGAGCTTTAAGTAAATGCACATTAATAACGGACGAAATTGATGAAACGATATGGATTTATTTGTAGACGACGTAACCATTGCCGAATGCATGAGTGAATGTTGTTTCCAGTTCAGAAAAGTTTCTCGACGAGTAGGTCGCCTGTTTCAGAAATGGAAGTTTCAAATTCCTTAAAGCTCTTTGCATTCCAAGCAGCATTCCGAACTACGGTATCCTCTGCTGCGTTCGAAAACGCAATGTATAAGACGTCGTTTTCCTTGTGGCCTTCACTTTCGTTTATAGCAATACCGTAGCATTCTGTCGCGAGTGCTAGACTAGCCCTTCCAATGAGAGGGGGGCTATCGAGATTGACGTCTGCCCAGACGCCATACACCTACGGAAGGCCAAATCAGTAAGTACGAATGAGAATGGTGGTGCTGCATACAATTTTATCGCCACAGATCACGGCCATGACGCTTAATGGCTGAATTCCCCACTGAGTAGGGTCAAATTTGGTGCCACTGGCCTCTGGTGCGTAGTTGCCAAATTCAACATAGGGGATGAAGTTGGTGTTAACGTCGAACACCTTGCCTTTAGAATAAAATTCGACAATGTCTTTCCAATAAGTCTGATGGTATGACTCTTGAGCAGATCCACAGCGTCCGTCACCTCGATCCGACTGGTCTCCATTGCAGTCCACACTCATGCTGGCGAAATCGGAACCAGTATGGATGTAGATTACTTTTGTGCTGTTATCTTGGCAATATGAGAAATCTGACAGAATTTGTTAAGGTTAGCAAGTGTGCAATGCGAAATACCGCGTTTCTCACTTTGGCTGGTTCTTTGCCCATTATAGAAGCCTGACTGAAGGATTACTCCGTCATCACACCCATCGTTCTTGATTCTGTTGTAGAAAGCACGGGCGTTCGGGGGGATCTCACGCGCCCAGGAAATGTTTGCCACAACTCCTATTACGGCTAGATTGAAGGGCTTCTTCATATCGCATGTCCACGTCTGTGTGTTGTGGCAGGGCCAAACCGGATCTGTATTTGTTAAGAACAACAAATGTGGAATCAGCGCTATATAGCAATGATCGCTTTGGGTCTGTAAGAAGGCCTTTAGCTTGTTCGTACAAGTTAGGTCGCCTGTATATTTGATTGATGATTACAATTTTCCCAGGTGCACATATACTGGTGGCGCCGAAATTATACTGCTTGTACTTTATGTAGTGAAATGAGAAATCTACACGTCATACGGCTTACTGTCAACATTGCTGTAACAGTTATCATATATCGGAATTTCGGACTCCAGAACTTTACTGAATCATTGATCACTTCAAAACGGCCTGTTCCTGCCAAAACTGTGACCGGAAATCATTTTGCAATTATAAAATGTTTCTAATTTTGTGCTGAAGCAGTAAGGATCCCCCAGCTCCTGCACCATGAACTCCAATTAACAGTACATCTATAGCAAAGTCAGAAGCATCACTAGCGCAGCCAGCATCACACTTGTAGCCCGAACATCCAGTTTGTCAGCAGCGCTCTTCTTTGTGGCTGATGCACTTGGTCCAGGTGTAGCGTAATTGCAAGAAACGCTTGTTGAGGTGTAATCCTTGATCAAACCTGGGTAGTTGCTGTCAGTACACATCAGCTGCACCAGACTGAGACCCGTAATGGTAGAGCCTGTATTATTGACGACTGTGGCCGGCATAGTCGTCTCGGTGACAGCGACAACTGATCCTTTGACAAAGCCAGTGGAAACACCGCTGGTGATCATAGCTGCAGCGCCAGACGGGGGTGTCGGAAGGTCCCAAGCATTCAAGAAGTTAGTTTCAGTGATGAGGGAAGGGGCGCATGACGTGGCAGCAGCCGCAGTTGCTGATGAGTTGATCGACTGTAGAGACTTAATGTCAAGCTGCGAAAGCTCTTCCTGTAGGTAGTTGTAGTCCACAATCACAGTCAACTCGCTCGTTGAGTTGATGTCGACAAGACCGTAGTTGTTGCCTTCTTCGGAATACTCATAGACCAAGCCACCTGAAAGAACTGACATTTCACTACCGTAAAGGACTGGAACATTGGTGAATGTACGTGGCTCAACTTGGTTGCATCCATATTCGGAGAAGAAAACAGGTATGGATGTTCCGCTGAACAGTTCCACGAGTTTGTTGTAACCAGACTGTGTGAATGAAGAGTCACCGCACCATTCATAGTCGTTCAAACCGAAGAAATCGATGTTTGACGTTGAGCTATTCGCCAAGTCGCAACCCAAGTAGTTCCAAGTATCCGACAGCATCGTGTCCACGTCAGCTGCTGAATAACCAACGCCAATTGATCGGCCGAGATTGTGACTAGCATAGTCCTTCATATCACGAACCACGGCGCGAATGTACATGGGTGCTTCATATGAAGAGTTTTGGTTGAGGATTTCGTTTCCGGCGAAGAAGCCAAGCGTGTTGGGAAATGGAGCAAAATTTTCCATGACACCGAAGACATGCTCAAGATATTGAAGAGTGTAGGTAGATGCCGGGTCGGTGCGATCGATGTACGTTCCATACAATCCGGAGTTGACATCAATGATCATGTAGATGCCTGCAGCATTAAAGATAGACGCGCATTCGGAATGGTCAAGATTGGCATCGACATTGTAGACTCGGATGGTGTTGACACCAAGCTGCTGCATCATGATAGCATCTCGCAGACATGTCGTAGCATCACTGAGTGGATCCGCAGTGGTAGAAAATCCGGAGGAGCCGCCTGGCTGATAACTGTAATACTTGTCAATATCGACGGGTTAACAACCGACGGTCGTGGAGTTCGTACTCAACACCAATAATAGAGAATCGCTTGCCGGTGGAGTTTGTGATGAAATTGCCACCAGACACAGTGATGAATTCTACAGCAGAAGCGAGAGTTACAAGGAGGGAGGTCGCTAACAACAGGCCAAGCTTTGCGTCAAGCCATTAGCACAAGGGGCCAAAAGCTTGTGTTCACAGAAGACTTACTTGAGCCATTCTCGCATCAATACGAAAAAAACTGTAACGAGCGGTGATTTATTGAAAAAGCCTTTTATGAATGGACGAAGAAACACTGAGAAGCAGAAAGCAGAAAGCAGGAAAGGAGAAGACAGCTCTAGAGAGACGCGAAAGCCATGTCCATAAATCACTTATCAGCACGAAACCTTGGGCGGTCCATCGCCAACGATTTGCGCATGGCCCCACAAGGCCTTGCAACGCGTTGGAAACTGTTCAAGGGGAATAAAATGGGCTAGCTGGACTGGTGTGGGTGGTCCTGTCAAAATGGTCGATGTCCGCGTAATCAAGAGGGTCTCCTCGCATACGGGCCGGGACTTCGGATGGAGCCCGTTGCGTTTTAGGGGGCGCAGCAGCTCCAGAAATGAGCTCTGAAACCTGGGTGCAAACGGCGCGAGGAATGAAGGGATTGCTTTGCTGGCGCTGTTCTATCCATCGGAGCGCTACGAACTGATGTCTTCTTGCCAAGACTGATATCGACAACAAAGAAAGGGTGGAGTTCGCTGGTGATGACCTAATTGCTTGGCTCAATGCTGGGGTAACCTAAGCTGAGGTCCTCGTAGGGCTTTTGGGCTGCGTGTTGTTTTCGTCTCCACCAATAATAGGTGGCCCGATCCTCGACGTCTGTGAAGCCAGTCGACTTATGCTACAATGCTGTAGACTCTGGAGCAGCTTCCTGCAGCTGGATATCCAATGTGAAATAATGATCAACGTTGAGGCCTGCATTCTTTTGGGCTAGTTAGTCTTGGTTTCAGGACAGAACAGAGCCGAAACTGCCTGGCGGCGGCGGAGACAATGAAGAACGAGCGCGGTCACGTGAAGACGCAATCGGCATATCGTGACAAACTTGTCCTTGTTTCCATAACTTAACAATAAGATCAGCGCAAAATGGTGAGAAATACTGCTCATGCTTATAGAGTGCCAACTCAGTATTTGTGTCCGCCATTCTATCATCTGAGCTTGATGAACGATTATTGTATTGCCTCGTACTATGGTTATCAATTCCTTGGATTATCGATGCGCCCCTTTATCAAACTCCATCTTGTGCAATGGAGAACCCTACTTCACCATTTCTTGATCTAAAACTATGGGATCATGAACAAGTTATTTGTAGGGAAAAGTGCATTGTCACGTGATAAAATGTTACGCAGGCAATAAGGGAGCAAGGCACACCATCTCTTTCCCAGCCCAGCTCCGATCGTTAAGCTCGCGCGAAAGCTCAGAAGAACAAATAATGCGAGCTGGCCATTGACACTCCCTACCAGCTTGATGCCACTGAAGAGGAGATTATGCTACGAGGCGCAGCTTTCCTGCCGCCGTACCCTCGAGAATGGCGTCTGGGTGACCGACGAGGTCTTGTCTCAAGCGTTCTATCACTTTCTGAGGTACTCCTACGGCGCCAAGAGGTACGGGAGCAATGTCCCAGGTCCTCTCGAAGCTCAGAGGAGATTGGCGAAAAGGAGGATGATGGCTTTGGCTGGAGCAGGTGCGGCGCCCGTGGTAGATCCCAACATATTGTTCGGCAGAAACGAACCTATTTTGGACAAGGTGATTTGGCAGCCACCGGACAAGAAAGAGAAGACTTTGAGCAATACTAGTATGTTTTTACATGTTTTACAATTGACCAGTTTAAGAAACTAACGTATTCAGCATTCAATGATACCGCATGGCTTGATCGATTGGGGCTGAGCAGCGAATCGGACGCTATATTCACCTCGATACCAAACAAAGGCGACCTTGTAGAACACTCTGCATCGTTCTTTCAATTCGCAAAGAGTACTGCCGATCGAGCGACCGCTTGGGTTCACCTTCAAGAGAAACTTAGATATGTCGGTGTCGAAGAAATGGTCCAACTTGCCGCCGTAGCTTATGAGCTTGGGATAGAGCACGTTGATTTCTGTAAAAGCGCATTTCGCGTTTTAGTCGACGATGAGATTAGATGGACGGAGGTTTTGGATTTTCTGCTAAATCCTCGACTGAACATACCAGAAGCGCAACATTTGACAAGCCTGGTCTCCGAGCTTGGTACTCGAAAGCTAAATGTATCTGATGTGGAGGCTGGAGAACAACTCATCGAAAGATGCGCCAAACTTGGTCTTTTATCTGATCACGAGTTGCCTGGTTTGACCGATGCCATCAACAAGATCAGCTTCGTACATGGTATTGCCACCGTTTCCTCCTCGAATATCGCAGACTCTTGGATGCGTGCAATCTGGCGCGGTCTGAAAGCTTGTCGCACGCAAGACATTTCACCAGATATAGCGCGGCTCATTCTAGATAAATCGCGGACGTCACGGAATTCCGCTTTTCTCTTTGAGCTCTATCAGCATGCCTTTCCACTGGCCGAGTATCCAAATGAGAAGTTAACTCTGCAGGAAAGTCTTGTACGCTGGGCTATTGAAGCTCACAGTCACAAAAATTCTGGTTTGATGACTTATGATATTCTAACCAAGCTCCTCGAGGATCTTCACCCAGCGTTGGTTTCTGTGCACGAAGTCGTTGGAGCCACTGCTTTGCTATCGCATAAGCTGCTCTCGGCCGATTTCGAAGCGACAAACCACCGCTGGCGTATCTTGAATCGCTGGCTTTCATGTCTAGAAAAGTCATTACCGCACAACGTTTGGACATCCGCTTTAGAAACTCTTGCTTCTAAAGGGATTGGACCTCTTGACCTCGCTGAATTCTTCACTCAAATATCACGACACCATCTAGTGGGTGATGCCATACTTCGATTTTGGATCCCAAAACTTCCCATTCCACCAAAGCGCCGAGCTTTGAAGCGCCAGTCACTAGTTTATGGCGATGCTAGTGGTGGCTCAGAATCATTTCAATCGCGAGAGGTCGCAAAATGGGTCGCCGTTTTAGGTGACTACCAGTTTGTCTTTGAGACATTGTTTCAAAATAGTCCACACCCACACGACTCCATAGTCTGCCTTCTTGTCTCGCTTCACCGTCGCCGCAGGCTCACGCCTCCTATCCAGAAATTACTACTAGAGTTCTGCGAAGGAGTGTATGGCGTGGATGCTTTGGCTCAATTATGTAGCCAGGCTCGTTTAGCGGGCATTCGGTTCTCATCACAGTCAAATCTGCATATCGTTTCTCGGCTCGCGGTAATGCATCCTCGACTTGCATTGAAGTTTTATAAAGATCGTGCTACGAATATATCGCGTGTTCCCGAGCTTCCACCAGCCTTGATAAAAGCCGGAGTACACAGCACGGAGATATTCAAGATCCTGGACCGCTTCGATCACCGTCATTATGTACCTCTAAGGAACCGCATCTTGCGAAGATGTGCCATAAGCCAAGATCGGGTAGATCTTGTGCACAGATGTGCAGATGCCTTTTCTAGGGATGAAACATATTCGATTCGCACGCGCTTCCGGAACGTATATCTATGCTACAAATATCTAAAAGTCAGGGAAGCACCAATACATTCTCTGATGTCCCGCGCTCTTGTTCGTGCCGGCATCACCAATTATCTTGTGGCCGGAGTCAATGTCAACGAAACACAAGTAAAATGGATTTTGAGCGTCGTTGAGAAGGTTGAAGGGGACGCATTGGCGCAGGAGCTTGATTCCTTGATTTTTCGATGGCTGATGGAAGTGTACGCCAGGTGGACCATTTCCAAGGGTCGAGGCGTAAGACGCTTACACGTACCACCTCAAGATACCGGATTTATACGCAGACCGAACGGGCTTCGTCGGTGGATTACTCCCCGGCCGTTATTGGCGAGACAATCAGTCATACCCAAAGTGATTAGGCAATATCTCGATACTGGAGAATGGGTATACAGAAGTCTGGGGGATTTGTTCTGCGTGAGGGAGCAACAGAAGTCAACGGGGTTTGCCAGCCCGACAGAAAGCAGCCACAACATCTAGAAATGAAAACAAATTCCGCATCTTTACCAATTTGGGTTACGGCATATCGACTTGAGAATAGCGGTAACTAGGAACAATGCGGCGTCTGCTTTTCGACAATGCAGTAAGTTCGAGACAACCACCATGATAATATCGGGGTGAAGCATATCCATCTTTTTGAGGGGGTCCGTGAACAATTAAGCCCAATGTACACATGTATATACTAAATTAGAACAAAATTCTGACCCATTTACGTGTTTCTAATACAAGCATCTTCCTGCGCATCGCTATGGTAGGACTCTAACGGAGTCAAAATCTCGTACGTTAGACGACATGGCGTGCAGCGCGATGTGCTATTTCAGTAGAATCTTTGCAAACTAAAAAGAGTTTGCTACAGCAAAAAACAAAGTTGGCGACAAGCTCATAAAATGATGCAATATCACGCTGTGCAGAGCGGATACGAATGATATATTGAGGAGAATAACCTGACCCATATGCGTATGGCGATGCCTCGCACCGTAGTTCATTGGCCATACAGCAATATTCAAAACGTCTGATGTGAAACAACATGGTAGAATTCGAATCAGGTGAATACCTTGCTTTGAAGTCGCAGCAGGTTGATGAGCAACAGCGCGATTTTGCCGCTGGTGACCGCCAACCAAATCGGGCGGCTCCCTTTCGCGGTCGCGCGAACTTCACAAGTCCCTACGCATCCCTCGCCAAAGCTAGTCCTGGCCTGTCCCATCAAGATTGAGCCAGCGCTTGCGACAAATACATTCTCTCCTTCATTGACGTAGCTCACGCATCTGTCTGGGCTCGCCATATCGGCTAATCGGCAGCGCTGCAGCCCTAGCAAGAAGGATAAATACTGTCTTGATGTGCTGAAGCCTGCGTTAGATTGGACAACGGACGACATCCTACCCTTGGCTGTTCCAAATATCCCGCGTTCTTGTGCGCGTCGAACATTGTATCATCGTCGCTCATCGCATCATCGCACCCACCACAAACTTGCACTGCGCTCCTGGGAGCTCCTCTGTACGCTGACAAAGATGGCAACGGCCACTGCTGAACCTGCGACGAATGGGGCCGTGACACCACCAGTTGGGGATGACACCAGCACGGCTAACTCGGGCACAAAGCGCAAACGAGAGGATAGCGAGCCAGCACCACTAACCGTTGGCGCTGTTCCGGATGTTGCGCGTGAGTCGAAGCCGGAAGAAAGCAGCCCCGAGCTGCGGGAGTCATTGAAGGACATGCTGAAGGTGTTGAGAATGTAAGCATGGCTACGCACTGTCGCGATCACTGCGGTTTAGCTGGGCCGTGTCGATCGTGATGACTTTTGCCATATTGTAGATGCTAACGCTACGTCTAATCTTAGGCACGATACCACGCCCTCGATCTTAACATGTTCTCTGTTCAAGGACGGAGACGAAAGTACATCGGAACCGTCAGTCAAACGCGCGAAACTATCAGAAATTCCTCGCACAATCTCTGGTCGGATAGAAGGCAATGTTTACAACAGTTTTGACGCTTTGATCGCAGACGTTGAAGCTGCTAGCGAAATTCTTCTGGCGCCTCTCAGGGCAAAAGAACTGTCACTCCCACAGACACAGTACGGGCGTCCGTCCGCATTGACACCTGATGAGACTCGACTGTGGATTGGCACAACGTCTTTCCAAAAACTCCTCCGCAACATAATACAAGCTGAAAAGGAACGGCACAAGTTGGTCAAGGGCGGAAAAGTATTGTCGAAGACGGAAGATAGTGTACATCTGTCTTCGGATGCTCGAGTAAAGTCAGAAGAAGAGGATACGAATGTGGTTAGCGAAGGAAAGCCCGTGCTAACACTTTTTGCGAATGCTCCTGTTCCGAAACAACTGTTTTCAAGTTTCCAGCATGCCACTCCTGGACAGATCGACGATGGCATACCACCACTGCGCGAGTCTGGTCTCCCCGGTTTCATCAGCACTACGAATATCCCTCCAGTGCAGACCGACAACTTGGGCAGGAGGAAAAAGGGAACAACGATCGGAGATTTGTTTTCATCAACAGCTGACAAGTATAAATTGCAGCCTCCTAAACCACCAAAAAGCAAGCTAGTAACCACAGGAAACACTGTGGAATTTGTGCGCGTGGATGGCCCTACGCGACCTCCTCGTCGCAATAGTTACAACTATTTCACGGACAAGTTGGCAGTGGGTCAATGGCTTGGCTATGGTGGTTTGGATATGCCTCAAGAACCAACGTCGCCACAAGCAAAAAGAAGACAGCGCGATAGAGCATTGAGTACCGGTGAGGCGTTTCTACCACCATCCGAAGGCGAGAAAGAAGCTTTGCGCAAGGCAAGGAATGATGCTTTGTTCCGCAAAGTGTACGGAAGCTTTGCCCCGAGCTATGACGACTCTTCGGCGGTTGTACCGAAGGATGTTCGCAATGAGATCTGGATTGACAAAGTGGAGGAACGATTAGCTCAAAGGACACTGGTCATTGATCCAGCCTTGCTTGAAGAACCTCCTGAACCGACCCCAGAAGAGAAGAAAATAGAAATGGAGGAACTCAAAGAATTCGTCGATAACTTTGATCCTAAGATTTTGGAGTGGGATGCGGAGCAAACTAAATCGGAGAAGGAAATGGATGAACTACTTCAGGAAGTTTCCGACCTCCTCGAAACGCTGGCATCATTCCAGCGGATACGGAACACGTCGTTGAGCACGAGCGCTCGCACCACTGTTGGGCAAAACAACCCAGTCACGGATCTCATGGGCACACCTACAACGCCATCATCCGCTGAGCTGGAGGTATACAAAACTCTCAAACTTCAGCTGGCTGTGCTTATCAACCAGCTACCGCCTTATGTCGTGGCTCGTCTCAATGGAGATCGACTCGAGGAATTGAATATCAAGACATCGATTCCGATCGAGACGGAGGATGCTCGGGGCGTCATGGCAGAGGATGAAGCCACCCGTGCTGCGAAGATGCAGGCTTACGCAGCTGCTGCAGGTTCACAGTCACAGGCGGGACGAACCCCTACTAACAGCTATGCAAATTATCCAGCGACTGCAAACCAATACAGTCGTACGCCAGTACCACAGCAATTGCGGCCAAGCGGTTCAAGCAACTACTATACACCACAGGCGCAGGGTCAATCGCGGCCAGCTCCCATCCAGTACAACAGATCCTCGTCCAGCATGCCTACGTATAATTCAAACTACTCACAGCCCGCGAATCGAAGCTCGTTCTCGCAGAATTACAATCAAAGCACCCCCCGTCCTGGGAGTTATCAAGCACCAGGAAATCAACATTTTCCTCAGATGCAGAACACTCCAGCAAATAAGCCGAGCTACAATCCGGCCCCTTACAGTACACCACAGCCGCAACGTACTGCCTATCAGCAGACACCGACAACATCATTCCAGCAACGTCCTCAAGGGACGGCACCAATGTACAGCGGCTACATGCAAACGCAATCGCCTCACGCTCGAACTAACTCACCGCAAGTCCCGCCTCAAGGGCAGTACAATCAACCACGTCAAGGATACTCAACGCCGGCGCCTGCGGCATCGAATCCAAGCTACTATCGCCCGCCCAGTGCAGCTGGTGTCCCCCAACAACAGCCGTTTGCAACAGGTGGTGCTTATCAAGGTCAACCGAGGATGCAGCCGACTTCAAACAGTGCGACACTCACTCCAAGTCGCCAAAATTCAGGAACTCCGCAACCGACGCAAACTGTATATAATCAGACAAATGGGTCGACACCAGCAGCAGCAGTAGCACAACCACCGGCTATGTTGAGCCAGCCGTCTTCCACATCCTAAGTGCGATGTGGTTGAAGGGGGAGGACAAAGCTCCTTTTTTTAGATTTTAGGAGTTGAGTTTCTACAAGCATGAAGGCATGTACTCTGCCACATTTTACCGTCCATTTTTACGCTACCTCTCTTTGTCGCCAAACAGCTTGCAGACACTGTTCGAAACCGTCACCACGGAACAAGATCGTTTAGTCTTTGTAATGCTTAAACCAGCATCAGGGTTAGATGAGTAACACATATGATCGCGGAGCCAGGTAAATGGAGACCCGGGAATTAGGATGTTTTGAGGAGAGTAACAGGGCCCCACTGGGGGCTAAACTTGGGATAGGAACTCGTTTATGGAAAGAGAGGGTGGACGGAGACCAAAGTTGGCGAGGAAGTTGCTGCGTAATATTAAGATGGGCAAGACTGGCTGAAATGGAAAACGATTTCCAATGGCTCTAGAAACCGTGTTAGCAACGGTCATTTAGATTTCTCTTTAACGATTGTGTGTGATTGAGCAGAACTTTCCAACCTTGGAAGTAGCGTTTGTACTTTCCCAAACGTCAGGATGGAACAACGCGTAAGCGATTGTCGAGATGTCAGGATCGTCTGTGTCATTGGCACATTCCTACTGTGTCTCTCTACTCCTCGGAAGCTTATTGAGAGCACATGCCGGGGATGTTGTTCGTAGTGATACGTCTCGAGAAATAGCGAGACCATCGCGTCTAGGTCCCCATTCAAGCTCTACTTTTAGCGAATGGATTGTGCCGCTTCATCTCTACATTCTTTTAATTTTTTTTTTTTTTTTTTTTTTTACTTTAAAAAAAGGAGAATACATCACGGCGATGTGGAGGATCGACGATATAGAAGAGAATACACATGGATATCCTCGAGAAGCCAAGACGCACGGATGGCGTGAAGCAAATATAGTGCCTCGTTTTAAGAGGGGGGGTACGTTGCTGGAGGGCGTCGATCATCATCCGGGACATCCCAGAGCTAAACCGATCCCTGCTGTTCATACAGGCTCGACAGATAAGTACGATGGAGCAAAGAAGAAGGATAGAGAGATGCGACACTCGGCGCCAGCTTTCTCCTTTGATCTCTGCAACGCAGATGACTGCTAAGCTTAGAAGGAGCAATTGCTGGAACGGAAATTTCTTCCTCTACGCGAACCCGGCTTGTGGTCGGTCATTCAGTTTCATACGCCCTCTTTGTCCGGGGAGAGATGGCGATGCGCCTCCGAGCAACCAGAAATAGTTTCTGGAGTCTGTCAGAGACGCTGGGTGTGAGGGTGTGATCTTGGAAAGCGATCTGCCTTGCCATCAACGAACACGCTTGGCGTGTTTCCAGACCGCGCGAAAGTACGCTGAGTATGAGATGGCGAAGATGCGCGATAGGACAAGAAAGGATGAGCGCTGGAGCATCGCGACGAAGACCCCGAAAGAGCCTTGATTGGGTGCACTTCCGTTTACGAAGCGAGCGAGCGGTTGAGAAAGCACTTCCATCCCAAAGCTTAGAGGTATCACAGCCTCATCCTAGAGTGGCGGATTCGTGAGGGCGATTAGAGCAAGTCGACGAGAGTGACGCAGAGGGTGGGTTGAGCAAGAAAAGTCGGAAATTACAGTGCAGGTGTGTGCATGGATTTTGCAAGGTGCCGCACAATAATGGATGCACACCTACCTGCAAAAAAGCAGAGCCTCTCTCTGTGCTTTGCACGACTTCGCATCCGGGGAACCAAAAATAGGACAGTGCGATAGCGGGCTCTGCAGGTACCCGCGATCAAGCGAAGAGGAGCAAGGAGTGCTGTGAGTCAGCGCACACGCGAAGCTCGCGGACAGAGCATCAGCAGCAGCAGTAGTAGTATCTCGCCCTTTCCCTTTGGTACACACGCGTGTCGAGACAGAGCCGGGACCTTTTCTTCTGAACGTCTTTGCCCCATGTCGGCGATGGAACCATGCATGCATGCTCCTTTGATAGGCATGTTTTCTGCATGCATGCTTGGTCTGTATCCTGAGGCTTGCAGCAGCGTCATAGTCTCCCGTGCTTGCAGAAAGCATCCACACACAGTATCAGCCTAGACCGGAACAAGCTTTGGAGGCGGAGAGAAGGGATGATGGGGGTTCCCAATGCGGGAATTCGATTAAGTTAGACAGTCCAGCTGATCCAAGCCATGGATGAGATGTTGGGTTGCGAAGGAGATGAAGGAGAATTGTCAGCTGGCGATCCATCGTTGGGAGCGCACCAGCATCAGACGGGGCTGTCGGAACGAGTGGTCGTGTCGCAATCATTGCTTCACGCCGAACTCGTATCCACCATAATCATGCATTGCGACCTGGGGTGCAAAGATCAGAGGCAAAGACGGAGATTGAACGGAGTATGGCTACAGCAGACGGTGCCGTTGCTAGAGACTATCTTGGGAGCGGGACAGCGGGCTTTTCTAGGCACTATGCAAGATGGGAAAGGCGATGGTGTTAGGCGATCACGATGGCAGAGGAAGCGTGTGCGTGTGTGTTATACACGACTCGGTGGCAGCCAGCCCGCAATGGTGCACCCAGTGAGGAGGACAAGGTCGGACAGCATGCGGCGGCGCAACGGAGGGGATTGCGCAGGCCCAAGATGAGGCGGCATCCATAGAGCTGGGGCAAGCGCGATGACGCATCGCAGACGGGTATGGGCAACAGCGCAGTCAGCCCATGTTGCTGGATCGGATCGCACGTTGCGTGGGATGCGCCGTGGAGGGGGTGTGCGTGTGTGTGTGTGTGAGTGTGTGCTTGTGGTGGTGGGACGGGAATGCAAGCTGTCGTTAGCAGAGGCGAGGAGGGGGAGAAAGGGGGGTGGAGGCCGTGAGGGAGAGCAGCATGCTGGGCGAGGTTCTGCTGCGGTTGCGCGCAGGTGCAGGCCGGGCCTCCCTGCTGGCGCTGCTGCCGCTGCAGGAGCAAGCCCGCCAGGCCGGCGCCCAGCGTCTGGAGCACGCTAGCCCGGGCAGTTCACGCTGGCGTCCACCAGCCCTCGACCCGTGCAGGCGTCGACCGCGTGTGCATGGCGAGCGGATCCTGCCCGGCCCTCTGCGCTTTGCCTGTGGCGCCTTCCCCGACGCTGGCACCACCATCCGCTGCGGCAAACACGACGAGTTCTGCTCCTGCTGCGACAGTGAGGACATGCCGAAAACGACGGCGACGAGAACAGCAGCTGCTGCGAAACCAACAACCAAACCGCCCCCCAGGCCCTTGGCTTGAATGCCGGCCAGAAGCCCAGCCAGCAGAGCGAGCGAAAAGGAAGAAGAGGAAGCGGAGAAGGGAAGGCAAAGAGGCCAACGGCTCCGTACAGCTGCACACGAGGATCGCGTTCCTGGGCCCTGCAGCCATCGCCCACAGTCTTGGACGAATCCCAGTCCCCTCGCTCTCCTTCTTTGGGCGCAGGTCCTGGCTGCGTGGCCTTGGACTGTTCCCTGCTTCCCGCTGCTCCCTCTTTCTCTCCCTCTCTGTGGCTCTCCCATAGAAAAAACAAAACTAATTCTCCGACTTCGCGACTACCGACCCGGCACGGCGAACCTGCCTGTACATGCAGCCTCCCTGGGCCACACCAGAGGGGGGAAACTCCGCCGTTTAAAAATGTACCAGACCCGCCTCTCAGTTCACGTCGACCGGACGGATTATTATTGATTTGTTGGCTTCCGTGCTCTTTTTCTTCGCCGCCGCCGCCGCCTTTTGCATCGAACTTACGCTCCTTTGCTTTTACGTGCTGCTTGCCGAACCATCCATCACCACGGCGAGACGCCGGCCCCGCCCCTCACATATTCCAAATCGTCTCCTCCACAAGACACATCTGCCACCGCGCTACGAAAATCTTAAATGTCGACTTGACCACATCCTCTCCCTTTCTCGGCCCTTGCCTTTCTGCTGCCAGTCACTCCTTATTCATCCAACTTTCTTCTTCCCTGCGCTATCTTTCCATAAGCTTTGTTTTCCCCACCCATGGCCCTCCCCCTCCGCGCTGCGCCTGAGACGCAGCTGGACGTTGATCTCCTTATTCTGGATTACCTGCTGTACATGGGAACACGCTCCCTTTTACAGGAGCTGGTCATTCTTCACGAGGAGGGTATTCAAGAAAACCTGTCGCAACAACCCATGCGCATGATCGACTGTAAGTCTCATCAGCCTACCTTCATCACCCCTCTCTGCTCCCTGCCGTTCCGGCTCGCACAGCACCGTGCCTAATCGATTCGATTCCAGCTTTTATCCCGCTTTTCAAATGCAACCACCCGACCGTGCGTGTTCCAAGCGGGATTAAATTTCGACTGAGGCTCGTCAAGTTCGTGGCTTTGTACAGTAAGCGCAACACGCCCTGTGAGCTTACTCCGCCCTCCGCTAAGCTGGAGGAGCTGCGTCGCAAGCACCGTAAGCGAGCCGAGGATTTCTACGGCTCCTCTTCAGATTCTTCCTTCCAGAACTCCCTCTTCGAGCTACAGAAGAGCAGTTCATCCAGGCACCATCCTGCTGTCCTTTCCGCTGGCAATCAGGAGGAGTCCGTGTCCCTTGCAGACCTGGTTCCGATGTTCATCAGTTTGTCCGCGGCGAGATCGACCCTCTTCGAGGACGAGCCCATGAGCGTCCACGAGGGCTGGATGGAGCTTGCTGGGGAGTTCATGCTGCAAGCTGCTCTTGAGCAGTGTCTCGAGTACAGCGACTGCTCCGGCAGCAAACTGTGCGAAATTTTCTCCTGGGGCTGGCAACCAAGCCCTTCCAAGATGTGGGAGGACGAGGAAGCCGTCAACGACATGTTTTGCGACGAGGACACGCTACAAGAGACACAGCACTGGTCGAAGATCAGGCAAAAGTACATGGATCTGGTGAGCATAGCCAATTTAAACGTGACAGGGGACTTTCGTCTAATTCAGCGGGTAAACAGCTCAAGCCAAAAGCAAACGTCGATCTTGCGAAGCAACTCAAATCTCTGACGCGCCGCTACCCCCTCGAACGCTTCGAAGAACGCGTTCTCCGCTTCTTGGAGGCCATGCAATTGTCGCAAGATCCACCCCTACTTGCACAACTCGAGACCGGCAACGTGCCTGGTTTGAGCAAGCGCCAGGTCGAGGAGCTACGACAGCGAATACGACTACCGTCCTAGCGAGCGCCGTCTGTTCTATCGGAGAGGACTTCTACCTTTTTTTTGGGGATGGCAAATATATCTCTGTGACTTCGATTTGTATCTGGCCGGCCGGACCTAGCCACATGTATCACCAACTGAACCTACTAATACTCTTGAGTGAGCCCTGCGGATGGAGAACCAAATGGCTGGCTCTGCGATGTATTCGACGGTGCAGCTGTCCTTTTCACCGAACTCTTTGCTACACGGCGTTTCTCTTTTCTGTTTTATTTGGTCTACGGCGAGATATACCCATAGCTTGACCTGCTTCTGTCAACAAGCCAACCAGGATAGACGTGAATGTACGATATGCCCTTGACGCCGACGAACGAAGGAGATGTTGGATGTATGGAATTGTAGTCGATCAGAGCCTTCGGCTGTTTACTTGTTTTGCTTGCATCTCTTCTTTTGTTCACGAGCCACGGCCCATACTAGTTTACGTGTATTGACACAATGGCATTATCCTAGCTAGGAACGGTTGGTTCACAGCCCTCGAACATCATCACCATCAAAAGCATTATCACATCAGTAATTGACATTTCACTCCTTTTGTTTCTGTGAGTGTGTGGGTTGCGTGTTTCTGGATGGGTACGAATTGCTCTCGACTGCTCTCCTCACCGACCCTTGAAGGCGGGCTTTCGCTTTTCTCTGAAGGCCGCCAGGGCTTCGTCTCGATCCTGCGTCTTGACCACAACGTCGTATGCTGCGTTTTCAGCCTCCTCACGTCGGAAGCAGCCATTCACAGCGCGCAGGGCTTGTCTGATGGCAATGGGGCCGCCATCGCATATGTCCGTCGCCAGCTTGATCGCCTCCTCCAGCACGAGCTCTCGAGTCTCGGCCATGTCGCCCGACTCGGGCGCCTGCACGAGACGGTCGCACAGACCCAGGAAATAGGCCTCCGGCCCCGCGACTCTTCGGCCGGTCAAGATCAAGTCGCGCGCCCTCGCCAGGCCGATGACGGCGGGCAGACGGTAGGTGCCGCCGGCGCCGGGCAGGATCGCAAGGCGGGTCTCCGGCAGCGCCACGGTGGCGGAGCTGGCGAAGACGCGCAGGGTCGTTGTCAGCGCCAGCTCGAGCCCGCCGCCGAACGCGGGCGCGTGAAGAGCGGTGACGGTGGGGATGGGCAGGTCCTCGATGCGCTGGAAGGTGCGGCGCAGGTCGGTCAGGAAGTCGCGGGTCTCCTGCTGCGAGAAGGTGGCTCGCTCCTTGAGGTCGGCGCCGGCGCAGAAGGCGTTGTCGACCGCCGACGCGAGCACGAGCGCGCGCGTGGGGCCGTCATCCGGCTCGGCGTGCGCGGCCTCGACGTGGTGCGCCAGCTCGGCGAGCAGCTGTCTGGAGATGGCGTTGCGAGCGGCCGGGCGATCCAGAGACAGGATCTTGATGCTGCCGCAGTGCGGGGCTGGAATGGACCGCACCCGGATCACGGACGACGGTGTGCTGTAGCTGCGCCGTGAGAGCGCGGTCGCCGTCCGGACGACAAGCAGCGGAGCCCGCTGGACGAGGACGCGCGCACCCATTTGTCGAGAAGGCGTCTTGCAATGTCCGTCGATGAATCTGGCCCTCGCGGTTCAAGTCAATCGGCGACACAAGCGCGTTCACAGACACACACACGCACACACTTTCTCTTTCTCTCTCTCTCTCTCTCTCTCTCTCTCTCTCTCTCTCCCTCTCTCACACGCTCTCTCTCTCCTCTTCGTTATTTGCTTAGCAGCTCCAACGTGTATTTGCGCGCGCGGGTGAGGGGTGAGCGGATGCGTATAGGTATGTCTGCAGGTGTGCGCAACGTCCGTCACGCACAGCAGGTGTGTTTGTATGTTGGGGCCAGCGTGCAGATGCGGTTGGATGCGGAAATGCACGGACAATGGCTCGTCCCTCGATGGCACGCAGCGACCGATGTCATCCCGAGCCGTGGAGGCGCCTCGCGTTGACCAGAAACTCGAGCCCTTCACGCGCTAACCTGCTACGGCCTGGCTGCGGCGCCCCGTCTGGGCAACTCGGCTGCCCTGTCAGGGGCTCGCATCAAATCTCCAGATCTTCGTCGCGCCCGCTCTCCCTCTTTTTGCCTTTCCTCGCAGGCCCCAGCTACAGTGGTAGTCATAGTTATTGTAATCATGGCCTAACCGTTGAAATCATTTGCTTTTGATTTGATCGGTCTTGCTTGTCTCTCCTGCTCTCCTGGCGATCCCTGCCCGCCTTTCTTTCTCACCGCCGCGCTCCCGAAGACCAAAGTTCTGTCCTTTTTTGCCCAAATTGTACAATGGTCTTCGAAGGGGCTCTTTTTTCCCTTTGCCACGGCCCGCTCGCGCTGGTGAGACAGTCCGTTCTGTGACTGTCCGTCTTCCTAAGCAGTCATCACTCCGTCGTCGCATTTCCAGTTTCCCCTCCCTGTCGTCTCATTTCTTGCTTGGTGTCTTGCTGCTAATTTTAAGTTGCCCTCTCGACTTTGACTGCCCGACTCAGAGTGTGGCCATACGATCGACACCATGGATACCTGCAGTCGTATTGAATTGATTAGTATTTCTTAGATCTGTCGGGTAGGAGCAACGTCCTTCTTTCAAAAACTTTTCGTCTTTAGTCTCGTCGTCGCTCCCTTGCAATTTTTTTGTTTTTTAGTATTTTAATCTTCATCTATACTCCGTGCGTTTGCGGAGATATCTCGTCGTACGTCACTTTACCGTTGAACTTTCTACGCGAATCATGGTCCAAAGCTTCCTCGGAATCGCCTTGCTCCTGGCAGCCGTACGCGCTCAGGTCTCAACTGTTTCCCTCCTGCTGCTGGACACAGATCCACAGACGCTCGTCGCATCCGTCATTAGCGCAAACCCTTCCACAACCACCTACCTCGTTGGCTGTCCTACTGGTACCGACCAGAACGACTGTGGGTACAATCCGCCAGAGACCGTCATCCACGCTGGTAGCGTGTATGGCGCGTCCGTCACGGCTGGCGAGGAGCAATTCACCATGAGCTACGAGTGCACCGTGTACACGACTAGCGGTAGCAGCGCCGTGTGTACGACGAGCGCGGGAGGCGCATCGGCGAACTTCCCTGGTGTGTCGACGACGACGGTGACGGGCACTGATGTGTCATTCCTGCCCGTCACAGTGACATCCGGCGCAAGTCTGCTGGCGAGCTCGACGGCGGCGAAAGCGACGAGCGAGGCTGCCTCTGCGGGTGCGGGAAGCACGACTTCGCCTAACAGCGCACCCACCGTTGGGGTTGGTATGGGAATCGCTGGATTGGCGGCGGTGGTTGTGGCGCTGTAGGGAAGAGTCGCTGGTTGTCATTATCCTCCCAATTCCGAAGAAGAAGAAGAAGAAGAAGAAGAAGAAGAAGAAGAAGAAGGAGGAGGAGGAGGAGGAGGAGGAGAAGAAGAAAAAGAAGAAGAATACGTCGCGGCGTGAACATCACTGCTACCCGACATTAGTCGACTGACGTGAGCGGACTTGTGCCGCCCGCGAAAGGTCGACTGTTGCAGGTCCACTGCCACAAACGATTGGACAAGAACCACGGACTCTTTGTCTTTTAATTGATAAACGGGCTGAGAAGATAGTCTTACGTGCGCTCGAAGTAGCCAGTATTCTCAACAGCTGTTCGCGATCTGCAGTTTACCTTCTGACCCTTTTCAAATTTTGGCTCATATAACCCACATTCGCTTGCGGCCGGACGTCTGGCATCGTTCGGATAACATCATGCATGCATGCGACTCAGGATATAGCCACTGACCGCGAAGTCTTGATTTCCATTTTGGTTAAATACTTCAGGCTCCATTCCATGGCAGGTACTATTCGGAGCTAATGCAGTACCCCCCATCAGGATGCCGCACTGTCAGCATTCTATTAGTAAGCATCTGGGACTTCTTATTAGTTAAGTTGCCGGAACGCATTCATCTTCATGCGCTTCAGTCAGGGCTATGTTCGCAAGCTCCAATGGATACTCATTCAAGGGGTTTGAAAAGCTCCACACAGCAGCGAGCAGCGAGGGCCTGTGACCAATGTCGCTCGCTCAAAATCAAGTGTGTTCGAAATGACAACGGACCGACATGCGCCAAGTTGATTCGCCTTTGCAAGAATTGTCTCCTTGTGTTTAACTAACATTGGCAGATGCGCCAAATTGAACATTCGCTGCGTGGCCCCCGAACCGAAACGCACAGCACAAACGCTGCGGCGCTCAAGACCGTGAGTAGTCCAAGCTGCACGTCGGCTTTGAGGCACAGCCGTGATTCTGAACTTCATGTAAGGAGGATTAAGGACCTTGAAGTGCGACTTAACGGCATTCTTGACATTTTGTCGCGCCGCAAGTCTGAAGCGGAGAACGCGAAAGCAGCCGCGCCGCACATCACTGCCGACGTTGTCGACTCAACCGACGTCGAGGCATCGAATGCACCGCAAGATCAAGATATATGCCATCCAAGCGATGTCCAGTGCGACTTTTTGTCGAATCAAGGCAATTTGGTTGCTGCCTACCAATGCAACGATACTGGGATTGCGGATGTCGCGCCGGTGCAGTACCTCCAGCTCTCCTCCGAGTCTTATGCCGTAGGAACAACAGGCATTGAAATCAGTGCGAACGTGCTACAGCATTTACTTGATACCTTTGACGAAATGACTGTATTCTTTCCGTTCGTTCAATTGCCACGCGGTCTTACCGTCGCGACATTGGTTGAAGAAAGGCCCTTTCTTCTGCTTGCCATCGCGTCAGCTGCTGCCTTTGAGTATCCTCAGCTACAGCGTACCCTTGAAGCAGAGTTGAAGGAAATGCTTAGCCTTCAAGTTATCATAAATGGAAACAGGAGTTTGGACATCCTTCAGGGACTGCTTGTCTATCTGGCTTGGTACGCTCTTTACCCTTTTAGCCACGGTCATAGCCCGGTGCTCGTTCCGTAACGACGCTGACCAGATCAGGTTTCATTTTCATCTAGTTCCTCGATCTAGGCGGACATACACGTACATTCAATTAGCGATAAGTATCGTGATCGACCTTGGCCTCCACGAGGAAAATGGTGATATCAACATTGATCAAAGAGATCGATATTCTTCAGATCCATCGTCCAGACCAGAGGGAGCTGAATTGTGTAGCAATGAAGCCCGACGAGCATATCTTGGGTGTTATTATCTTTCGATCAAGTATGCTCGCAGAGTCATCAGTTCGACTTGATGCTAACCTATCCTTGCACAGCAATGCACAAGTTACCTCCAAACCTAACAATCTGCCGTTTTCGGAGAAAATGTTGCAGGATTCTATTTTACTTGATGAGCTACAGGAATACCAGACTGACCGACTAATACGTCCTCTTATAAGATTGCAGCACCTAGCGGAACGAACCTACGAGACGTATCGTGGCGAGAAGTCCGACGGGGGTCAAAACCGCCTCCATCTGCATGCAAGTCAGATGATTACCCAGTTGAAGGAGTGGAAGTGCTCCACGCCTTCGGATCTGGCTGATACGGGTAAGATCTGTTGCGAGATCAAGCATATTCGATTGATTTAACGATTGACCAGCCTTGCTGCAAAGTGCATATCACTGCGTCCGGATTCAAATTTATGAAATGGGTTTGGTATATCGATGTCCGAACAGCAAAATTATGGATAAAAATATCGCGAATGGTGCTGAAAGCCGACCCGTGAAGCCCGCGGTTATTGCGAACTTAGTCAAAAGCGTTGAAGCGGCGAAAGAGGCCTACGACTTTTTTCTCGAAATTCCACCAAGATCATATAACTACTTATCGACAGTGGAATGGTCTCGCATCACGACGATAACAATAATAATTTACACCTTGTCTGTTCGATTCCCTGGAGTTCCTGACTGGAATAGGGAGTTAGCTAGACAAACCTTGGAATTTGAGAAATACCTTGGCAAGTTGGTAGACCATATAAACTGCGGCAGGGCAGAGATGTCTTCTTCTGCATCCCTTACTCCGACTATGTTCGCCCTATTTCCAGACATCCTTGACAGCGTCAGAGTCACGTATGCCGCAATAACAGCGTCTCCCAGTAATTTCCCGCAAGGAATCCGTGCACATAAAGCTTTAGACAGTGGGAAGGAATGTCAAAGGCCGTCAACGCGAAGAGCAAGGAACTTTGCGTGCCCAGGCTTTCGCCATTTGCCAGCGCGGTGGGACCATCCAAACAACAGCACGTTTAATCACCCGCAACTTAGTTACGACGCCGTGACGGAGTTGCAGGCCGTAGAAAACAAGGCCTTGTGGGACCATTTGTTTTCTGCTGACTATCTTACATGAAAGTTGGCTCGCAGAAAATCGCAAGATGTGGGATGAATACAGAAAATATAGACAAAGACAAGAGGCACATGGCAACTCGAGGATCCACCAGAATTCCTTTGTTTCAAGATCCAGCTAGCAAAGCAAGTTTTGAAATCACGCGAGATTTCTCTCATGTCCGGTGTCTTTTTTTTATAAAGAACTTTGCTGTCGATATGAGTCTTGCACAAATGAAGGGGAGATTTATGCATATACTAATCGAGAATAATTGTGTCAATATTGGTCTATGATCAACATTTTATAAATGAAATTGCGATTCCGTGAGCAGGACGTGCGTCGAGTGGAACAGAGTCATATAAGGTTACCCTCCGTTGCAGTAGAGCGTCAACTTGGGAAGAATTTGGGAAATTGGTAGTATGAAGTTAGCCTACCTTTTGAAAATACGTATGGCCAAAGGTCAGGAAAACGGCATCGCGGAATCGGGGAAATGGTTTCTCCGCTTGCGCCGTTCCTTCTCGCAATTGCTGACATTTTACTTCTGGTGGAGTAATAGGTTTAGTCCTTGTGTTGGACTTTCCCGGTTCGACTTCATAGCGAAAAAGAATTGCTCCTATAAAAATTCTGTAACAATCGATTCCGATCTTTTGGTGCATTTTTCAGATTTGTCAAGACGATGGGAGCTTTTGTGGAGGGTGGGTCTTTGTGCACTTCCAGGTGGCGATGCTTCAAACTTCAAGAGACCACAAAACGTGCTAACGTATAAATCCCATAGCACACTTTTGAAACGGAGATATTACGTTGCCTAAATCCGTCGCTAGACTCTCCCGTGATTGTATTCCAGTGTGGAAAGTTGAAATTCAATCAATTGAGCCATCACTCAACCACGGAACGGAACCTAAAGAATCCCTCCGGCCGAATCGGTAAAAAGCTTCAAGATGTCCCATCACTTTTCTGGTTGGACAGATAGAGTCTTGGTAGCAATTTTTTCTGCGAGGATTGCCTGTCAATTGGGAAGGTCAGCTGTTCCCATCTACTGCTTTGTCTCTATAAAGCTGATGGGGGCTGCCAGCACGTTGGCATCCTACAATCCCGCCAAAGTCCGACAGTCAATCCATTTGACGGCCCTCGGGCGTGTCCAATACATATTTGACTCTGTAATCACTACATTTTTGTTCCAGAGATGCCACTCAATCTCAAGAACCCTGACCGTCCCATCCATGTTGGTGTGATTTTGATGGGCGTCACTGAGGTGCTAGACGTTGCACCCATTGACTTATTACATGGCTTGACCAATAATTTTATGGAAGCCTGGTCCCTTCGAGACAGTTACAAAGCCAAAGGTCTGGATATGGAATTCCATTGGGTCACTCAGAACGGAACACCTGGGCAATTGACGAGTGGCATAAAGATCGAGGCGACCGTAAGGATATTTGTACATGTGACAGACAACCAATAACACCACCTAGGATTCCTTTGAGACATGCGCCAAACTAGACATTGTTCTGATCGGAGCCTATGCTCCTGGATACAGCCCGACCGAGGCCGAACTAGCGTTCATTCGTCAGGCGTACGAACACAGCTCGGCATTTATAACTATCTGCGGAGGGTTCGTACCCGCACAGTTGGCAGGCGTCCTTGTCGGTCATACGTGCACGGCGCCACGGTCCATGATTCCAAAGCTTCAAAAGGAGGATCCCAGGACCACCTGGGTTGAGAAACGTTACGTGAGGGATGGGAAACTTTGGTCCAGCGGAACTCTGCTGAACGGATTAGATTTGATGAGCAACTTTTGTCTCGAGTATTGGCCGGAGCTGGCAGAGACGCTCATCCCACTGAGTGGATTGCCCGAGAGAAGCATTGATTATTAGGTCGGACACTTGTTCAACACGATGTGTTCAATGACTTGACGGTTTCTGTTAAAGGAAATTGACACTCCAATTTCTGCATTGTGCTTTCAATACAATGCCAATCATTCCCTAAGTGGCCACGTAAAACAAGATTTCATAGAGTCTTCAGGATAGACGTCGACGATCTCTTGGTTACTTTCTCGCGTGCAAGGCGTCAAGCAGGCTGAGTTTCTAGGCCTGACCCTGCGTAGATCTGAGCACAATGATTCTATCTCGGGCTAATGCAAAAGCAACTCCTCTCCAGCATGCACATGTCCCATCATATGCCTTTGTCCGCAGAGCCGCATGAAACTAACACAGGAATGACATTTGACGCTAAAGGTGTTCCCCAAGAAGGTCGTGACAGGACGAAGCCGTGTTTCTCGGCCCCTTATTGGTGGAAACTGTCTCAGCTGCAGTTATGACGCCAGACGTCACCTAATTCATACGCACCTTCGCTCTGGTCGGTTGAGGCATAACCCGGGATTACCGGCAGAGCTTCCCAATGCGAACTTGCTCCGGAAGGAGGACGCGGTAAATTAGATTCGAATCTGTTCTAGCCTGATATGTGGAATCACACAAGCCGTGGTTGCACAGTTCTGAAGAAGCAGCGCTTCCAGATCCTTACCAACGTTGTGCCCGATGTTCTTCGTGTTAAGCAACCTAGGCTGTCGGGTAGTAGGCGGTCATACGCGCTTGCATTTCGATCCATTGCGGTGATGAACAGGACCTCGATGAGCTTAGTCTTCATCGCTCTGTTTTTGACTTCAGAATAGGCTATCCTTGCCACCAAAGCGGAAGACGAACAACCGCAGCGGGAGGGTCGCATATGCCTCCCTGCCTGGAATTAACTCGCTCGGAGGTAGGCTTCTGTTGCCAACTGGTTCAAGTCTTGAAGAGCCGCCTGCACACACGTACATTTGTTGACGTTGCCGTGCGCACGCCGGAAACAGCAGAAACAGCTCACATCGATAACTCGTGTACTGTTCGCAAAGGCACAAGGTGCGCGATAGACTTTGCCGCTTCTGGCACATCCGATCTAAAGAACCACAACGGTACTTGGACGGCAAGAAGCGCATTCATCGTCCGGAACGCCGCCCTCTTTTTATGGCGATGGTGTTTGAAGAACTGCACATTTCTGCCAGGTTTTAATCCCTCGGCGAATTAGACGAGCACGTAAATTTAGTCCCTCAAATGCACGAGATGGACGGCTCCATACCACTTCTCGGTCCCGCCGTGGGTATTATGTTGTCCTCTACGATAAGCACGAACTCAACAAACCTGACCGAATTTGCTCAGTCTGTGCTCGAAAAGATACCTGGCTTCGTAGACTTTCAGCAGCTTATCATGAAAGCCACAGGGTTTGATATCCTGTATCTTGCGCTCGGCATCTTAGTGTTCGATGTTTTGCGACTCGTCTTCAAGCACCTCTACGACATAGTTGATAGATTCTTGGTCACTTTCTTGATGAGTGACATTTGTATTGACGCAAATGACGAGATAAGAGACGAAGTCCTTGCATGGTTTGCTTCACGCAGCAATAAGAAGCTAGGCGCTAGATCAGTCATGATCTTCTCTGGCGCAATGCAACAGAGAAGACTGCGATATCCACTTCTTGAGGACCGGATGCAGGTGCGCGATGACCGAGACACAGAGATCAATTTCATTCCAAGCCTAGGCCGTCACTACTTCTTTCCGCTAGGTTGGAGACCGTTTATCTTCGAGCGCGAATGCAAAGGTTTCATGCCGCGGAGGGATCAGCAGGCGAGTCAAGATATCACGATTCGCTGTTTTGGCTGGAGTGATGAACCCTTACGTGACTTCATTCTACTGTGCAAGGAGTTCAAGAAAGAGCAGATCAAGGGACGGACATTAACGTATACGTACAGCAGTAACCCCACGAACTATTTCGAAGGAGGTAGTTGGGGAACACCCTATGCGGCACCAATCCGGCCATTAGCGACGGTAGAACTTGACCAGCATATTATGGACGAGATCATGGAGGATATCGCACAACACCTTGATCCAAAGACAGCCGAATTCTATAAGAATATTGGTATACCTTGGCGACGTGGATATCTTTTCCACGGACCTCCAGGTACAGGTAAATCATCACTTTCTAAAGCACTTGCAGGCCAGTTTGACCTCGCTTTATACTGCATGAACATTGGTGAAGAAGGAATCGGCGACAGAGACCTTCATACAGCCTTCAACGCGTTGCCATCGAAATGCATTGTCTTGCTCGAAGACATTGATTCGGCTGGAATCGGTCGCGAAAAGCCACACAAAATTAACGAGAGGACGCGAACAGGGGAGATTGATGGAGGTAGTAGGCAGTACCTGGGTGCTGTGGATACGGACATGCGTGATGACTTCTTTTCTCGATCAGGTAGTTCTCGCATCACGCTGAGCGGTCTCTTAAATGCGCTTGACGGTGCCAGTGCGAGCGAAGGTCGCATAGTAATCATGACATCAAATAGTCCCGAGGTACTCGACAGTGCACTTATACGGCCTGGCCGAGTTGACAAGCACATCCTCTTGCCTGCCATGTCACGGTCTTCGGCCGAGAGGATGTTCTCCCGTATGTACAAGCACACTGGCAAGAAAGATTTGAAAAATTTGGCCTCAGAATTTGCGTCACGACTTCCAGACGGCAAAATAACACCAGCTGAGCTTCAAGGTTTTATCCTCACACACAAGGACCATCCAAACAAGGCTGTGGAGGAAGTGGCGACATGGTCAATAGGTGTAGTCGAGGATAAGGAGACGGAAGGTGGGGAAAGAGGACCGAAGTCGACAGCAAAAGAGGTTTCAAGAGCAATGGAGTTCGGGAGCGGATCTAATTCACCAACAACTGCTGAACTGCTGCACATGCGATTGCCAAAAAAACTTTCGAATGGCTGGTATGGGAATTCACACCCGGTGAGTAGCGCGTCAACGACGTCAATTCAAAGAAGCAGCGTACATCAGAAGAGCGTGAAGCGTGGCAAAAGAGCATTTAAGAAATTAAAACTCGATGAGCGCTTGGTCGTGAAAAGAGAGCGTATTGAAGATTGTTGGGAGTCTGTCGACTAGCCTTGGATTGACGAACAGCATGAGTTGAACATACACATATGTAAATCGAAATTGGGATCATCCACTATAAGTAGCATACGTTCGAATTGATTATTGTCTTTCTTCCTCCTCTTGAGTTCCGAAGTTTAGACCAGAAACAGCCAAGATGGCTCTACGAAAGTCGGCCTGCCTTGAGGACATCTCACACTGCCAACGATTAAATGCTTCAAAAGTCAACGCATAAATATCAACTTCTGTTGATCTTGCTGGAAATGTCTAAAGTTATTGTGTTTCCCACCTGAAGTCAACAAAGAATTCGGTAGACAGAAGCCAGGCCGTTGAGGCAGTTTGATGTGTGAAAGTTTAGTGAAGCTCATTGTCAGCAGAAATCATCCCAACTTGCAATAATCCAGCGCACGACAGTTCCGACCCTATCATTTTGCTGACCTCAGCCTTTCACTTTGGAGGGTACTTTGCTTGGCCGTTTGGGGGAGATGACACAGCCGAGGCTTGCAGGAGACATGAGCCTAGGAAGTAGTAATCACAGAGGAAGGCGGTCGATATAAGCAATCGACGCCGTAAATAATAGAAGCAAAACCTACATTTCTAGTTCCATGCTAGGCCACTGTACCGAGCCTCAAGAAGCCTCAGCAAATCTGCCCAATACCCGCCATCATGTCCGATTCAATAGCCTCGTATATTCTCAAACCGACTGCTCTTAAGGCGCTGTACTGCGGAAATATGGTAATTTTGTTTTCTTTCTCACCCATTTCCGCCCTTTATATCATTTCTCATTCCGGGGTCCATACATGATGCGGAAGCTCAGCACGCGCTCTCGATCGAATAGTCCTTCTGTGTCGTCTAATCCTGAAGGCGACGCGTGGCATCATGACATACATAATGGCCTACCTTGGCTACATCAACGTTGGCTATGCCGCACTCGCGGGGCTGCGAGCTCACCGTCTGGGCGCATCTCGTGCTGCCACCACGACGCGAGAGATGGACCTCCTGGCCTTGACGGTGCTCGCTGTTGCGAACGGGAGTCAAGCTTGGGGTAGCTTTATGAGATCGAGGGGCAGTGGGAGGTGGATCATGGGCCATGGATTGGATAGAATCACAGTCTTGGACACCGTCTTCATGGTCTTGGATGCCTTGGCTGCACTGGCGTACTCGTGGAAGCAGTAGGATTAAAAGAAACCATGAACTTAATTATAAAAATGGTCCGAGAGACATGTAAAATCGCGTCTTCCCTTCAGAGCTATTCGCGGATTCACTGTCGAGCTGTGCAGCGCCTCGAGACGCAGATTGAGGTGAACGGGCGTGTAGCGTCGAAAAAAGGAACGACTCGGCATCAACCATGCCCCCTTTTTTGCGTCTTTACTTCTCTGATGAGCCTGTTCGCCTTGGCGATAGGCGAATAGATTTTCTCTCCTAAATCGTTGTCGGCTGCATGAGGCAAGAGAAAGTATGCCGAGTAAAGGATCAGGCTGGCTCTCCTGAGTACAAGGCTGGCTCGTCACCCTCGACCAAAGACCAAGGAGGTATGGAATAAGGTATTCTAAGGCTAGACGACGTGGCTGTGAGCACGATCGCCGATTGGGTGTGCGGGTGCGCTGTGGGCCATTGACGCGACACGTTCGCTAGGGCTTTTGTGGACTGGACGGTCACCGATGGGGAACAGTGAAGGAACCAACACATGGACAGAAGCGTGCAGTGCTAAGTTAGACCGAGTCACAGGATATTCACCAGAAAGGCTTCGTCTGATGGTGACTACCCGGTGTTTGAAAGAAGAACGAAGCACGGTGTTGGTTGATGACTGTTCGTCGAAGGGGGCAGGTGAAGGGAGGTTGTCTGGATTTCTGCGCATTCTTGGTCTTCTGCGCGTGCTGCGATCGTGTTACCCCTTGCAGCGACCACCAAAAGTCCCATGATCCATGAGACCACATTGACCTCCAAAAGGCACCACCATGGATTCCAACTGAAAAAAAACAACGTTTCCACGCGACATACGATGCTCATCTCCGTTATGTGAGCGTGGCCTCAGCTTGTTTTCGCGTTGTGGTCTCCGCTTTTCATCACTCAAACGCAGCGCGACACTCACCTGCTCTCAATCACAAGCGCCATGGCCGACACCGCGACGGCGCATGGGCCTTCGGAAGAAGCCTCCACTATTACAACAACGACGACTGATCCTTCTTCACCGCCTGCTGCCACCGAGGAGGGCTCCACTGTCACGCACCAGATGGACGAAAGCACTGTAGATGCAGGGCTGGACAGGGACGAACGTACCGATCAACACCACGACTCTCGCGACAGCGCGGTAGCTGAAGATCAGGACGATCGTGATGTGCGGGAATGGGAAACACCAGACGATGAGCTGCCTCCATTACCTACCAATGACGGCGACGACGAAGATCTCTCGCTCGTAGACCCGACCACCGCGATCGCGTTACCTTCCAGCAACAGTGATATCGAGGAAAACTCAGAAGATGCGAGCGCGTTGCTGGAAAGGGACACTCGGCGAAAGCTGATGGATATCGAGTCGAGTTTCTTGCCGGATCATCAAGCAGAAGACGCAGACAAACAATCAGCGCAGGGTGGAAGGGGCGCCGACGACACGTACTTGTTCGGCGGGTCTCCAGGCCATTCAAGGAGAAAGGAGGCCGGAGACGGCAGGGGCAAACACCAGAGGAACAAGAAGAGCGTAGCGGAGATTATACGCGAGTCAGTCGCGAAGCAGACGATCAAGGAAGAGAGGGATTCACAGTCGCTCCCAACGAGCCCCCACAGCGAACACAAACAGGCTTCGCAAGACAATACAGACTTTGGATCAAGAGAGAGCACGGCGACGATTGATCTGCCTTCGTCTCCTGCTGCAGCTGCAGCGAAGCGAAACGAGTTCAGAGGCATGGCACACAAAGTCGAGGCGGAGTCGGTCACCGACGTTGGCGATGTTACAAGGGACCCAGACGAGCAGAAGGAAGGCGGACCCGGACACTCGAGACACGCGTCGCAGGCGTCTACAATCAAGGCGGAAGACATCTCCGGCTCTAACGATGAGAGCTTGAGTTTTGCCGACGTGACAGCTGCTACATCAAACTCGGAGAATGATGAGGCGGCGTCGCTGCTCTCGTCATCGTCCTCTCGCCTTCTCAAACGTCCCAGCTTTCTCTCTCGCAGACAGTCCAGTCAACGATCCTCCGCGTCATCGCACACGAATGTGTCACTTGCATCTGAAGGCAGTGACACAACCGTGGGTGCGGACTTCGCTATCCAGTCTGGAGGCGCCGTCCCAAGTGGCGGATTTTCGAATCCCAACTTGAAGGTCCCGCGTCTCCCTAGTTATAGCAGCATCGGCTCGTCGGTAGGCGAGTCCACGAACGGAGACAGTCTATCTTCGTGGAAGGGAAGCCGAACAGAGCTCTCGCGCTTGGATGAGGAAAGACATTCTCCTCCGGAGACACCAAGACCGAGCACAGCGGGAAATGCAGCGCCAACAGATACGGTGATAGCGCAACACGTTCAGAACATACGCGTTCCCGAGACTATTGCGAGAGAATATCGCGAGAAACATGCATCCACCTCACGATCGCCTAATCGAATCGACACGATCAGCTCACTCACCTCCTTCCGAGAATCTCGCAAGGGCAACCTGACTCTCAAGGAGCAAAATAGCAAGATCGACAAACTGACGAAAGAAAACTTTGATCTGAAGCTCAAGATACACTTTCTGGACCAGGCGTTGCAGAATCGCTCGGACGAGGGTGTAAAAGAGATGATAAACAAAAATGTGCAGCTCCAGACTGATCTTGCCAACGAGAAGAAGGAATCTCAGTCCTTGCGCAAGAAGATTCGGGAGCTGGAACAGAAACTTAAAGCACAAGAAGAAGCTTCGCGTGCGGCTAAACCGCCAAGAAGACCTGGCTCAGCGCAAAGTGATCGCACGGAGAAGATGGCCGACCTTGAGGAGGAAGTTATCTTTCTGCGAGAAACTGTTCAGGAACACGAGGTCGAGATTGAGCGACTCCGCGAGGAGAACATGGCTAAAGAGATTGAAAAACGCAAGATGGCCGATTATGTGAAGGCTCTGAGCGAGGAGCAACGGCAGCGCAACAGTGCTGAGGATGCTGGTGTCGAGGAAACAATCGACATGTGGAAGGACCTCTTGCAGGCGGAAACCGCGCGCCGGGAGCAGGCTGATGAGGACGCTGAGAAGTTAAGAGAGGAAGTGCGTAAGCTGAAGGAGCAGAATCAAATTATAACCAACACGCATAACGTGCGTAATGTGTATCAGATCAGCAACAAGCGGCAGAATCACGTCTATGGTGCGCGTTCGGAAGCTGGATCAGTACCTGGTGGGCCGGGCGAGATGACGGGCAATGGAGAGCGAGCTGACTCGGCGTTCAGCACGTTAGTTGAGCAGCTCAAACATGAGAACGCGGAGCTGAGACGAGACCTAAGCGCCCAGACGTCCATGTTGACCTCGAGGAATCGAGAGAGAGAGCGCTTGCAGCTGGAGATTGAGGATCTCAAGCTAAATCAACGACGACACGCAGGCGACCTTAGTGCGGCTCGTTCCATTGCAGGGGATAGCATATTCGAGCGGTCTGTATCTCGTGCGCATAACCGGGCTGAATCACGAATGAGTGGAAATACTCGAATGACGCAGCTGAGCGATGCGGAACGTGATGATTACGAACGAAAACAAGCCGCGTTGCGTGATGAGCTCGCGCAGACCAAGCTGCTGAACCAGGATCTTGAACGAGAATTGAACGCGCATCTAGATCTGATTCAAAATATCGAGGCGGAGAATAAGGCCATGAAGGAGGACAAGAGGCTCACGATGGAGGATTTGAAAGCTTTGCAAAATGAGCGCGACGAAGCTGTAGCTCTGGTGGAGACGTTAGAACAAGAAGCTGAGGACTTGCGCAACGAGGCACTCACGGAGATTGAAAACCTAGAAAACGAGCTCGAGCAGAAGGAGCAAGACTTCGAGGCCCTTCAGGCGGAGATGAAGACTGTATCTGAAAATGTGGTGCGGCTTGAGGACGAACTTGCCGCCTCGCGGCGCAAGGAGCAGCAACTTGAGAACCAGCTTGAGGAAACCGAGGCAGAGCTGGATCGCACTACAGAAAAGCTGCGCGATACCCAAAACAAGAACGAGCGATTGGACGTGCAGCTTGAATCGTCGCAGACAGAAATCGCATTCCTGCGTGAAGAGCAGGAGGCGGACAAGATCAAGATTGGCGAGCTCGAGGCATCTCTAAGTGCAGCGCAGACAAGCCTTCAGGATGAGCGAGAGCGTAATGCTGAGGAGCGACGTCAACGTGAAATCCTCGACGGCGAAGAGAAGGCTGAGTTGCAGAAGCTGTTGGACGACCTGAACGAGGAGGCCAACAAGTATAAGGAGGAGAGCAAGAAATTAAGGAAGAATCTGGAAAGAAAGGAGACAGAGGCGAGTCAGTGGAAGGAGAGATTGGAGACGCTTGAGACCAATCTGAAGGAGGCGCTTGGTGATCTTAGCGGGACAAGATCGAGCATCCTCAAGGTGGGTGTTGCATGCTTTTTCCTTTCTTATATTTTTCACTTTCGAAATGGATGCTGATGTCTTTGTGTGCAGGATGTTACAAAACTTACACGAGATTTGGAGCACACAATGTCTGCGCTTGAGCATTGTCAACAGGAGCTTGCGGAGAAGGAGCGCATTCTCCGTGCTCGAGACGCTCTTCTAGAGTCGGCAGGACTCGAGTCTCGAAAGCTGTCTGATATGCTGGAGAAAGAACGAGCTGGGCGCAGAGCTGACCGAAATCACTTCGAGCAAATGCAACGAAGTCAGACATCGCTCACACACACAATTCAACAAAACGACCAACGTGTTGCTCAGATAGAAAACGCACGCAAGGCGGAGCGAAAGAAATACGAGCAGCTCGAGCAACAACTCCTGGCCCAGCTTTCTGAGCGTAATAACTTGCTGCTAACGCTGTGGAACAAGCTCAGCACGCTTTGCGGTGCCGAGTTTGTCCAGCGCAATTCGCTCATCAATGACGCACTCCCCTCCGTGGACGTCATTGCTAAGAACTTGCCAGCTTATAGTCGCAACATCAACCATGCGCTCAAGACGATCGAAAGTATCGTTAACGGCTTCCGCACTCGGATCCGGGAGGTGGAGCGAAACCTTTCGAAGGACTTCCAGACTCTTGAGCACGCAATGGACATGCGCACCAAGCGCATCGACCACCTCGAGAAGATGGTTGAGCAGCAGACACGTGAACGTCTTGAATCGGAGCAGCATCTTCTCTCGCCAGTTCTGGACAAGGAACGTCGTACCATGTCGAGAAGCAGCTCGAGGAGCCAAACAAGCAAGACAAGCAAAACGGATGAAATAGGCAAGCTGAAAAACGAGAACAAACTCCTCAAGGCGGAATTGCAGATGGTACGCGCTCGCTCACCAAGCAGGAGCCCAAGTAAACACGTGACGAAAGGTTCAGTCGACAGTGTCAATAGCATCTCAGGAGTTATTCCTGCTGGCATGCCCGGCGCGCGCTCCTCGCCACCGAAAGATATTCCGCGCCGCGATTCGTCAAGCCGTGCAAGCATGGGCCTGAATCTTGCACGCCACTACTCTGCATCCGTTGCCGAGACAATGAGTCAACATGCCAACGTTCACTCGCATTCGCGGGCTATATCTCGTGACGCTCTCCCCGGCCTAGCTGAGGGTACATTGGGGTCGTCCTCAGCATCGGCGCAATACCCTCCTGCCATCCCTGGCGGCAACATACAGCCACTTGCGCCATCGGAGCAGCGCTGGATCCATCGTCTCAAGGAGCTAGAGCGTAGACTAAAAGCTGAGCGAGAGGCTCGCCTGCTTGACCGAAGCGGAGCTAGGAAAAGGCTTGAGGAGAGCAATTTGGAGAGAGACGAACTGAGGATGATGCTTGAGAAGGAGAGGATGCTCAGGAGAGAGAGCGTGGAGGTAGAAGGGGTAAGGGGCAATGAGCGACTGGAGGACAATGCTCGGCAGAGCGCGGAAGGAGTTCAGACTTGATGGGTTTTGATTACAAACTTCCCTTTATTTGTTTTTGAGCGCGCGTGTTCAGGTGTTGGACGGGACACATCTGCTGTTCGGGCCACTTCATCTTTTGGTTGTGGATGTGTTATCGACACTATGGAAGTTTGCTTTCGATACACTGTATCAATAAATTATGACGGGACCGTTCAAGGAATCAACGTGACAGACCTAGACATGATGTTAAGTTGCCAAGACTCTTTTGAATAATAATTACAATGCCTTGAATGGCATGAGAACATCATAATGTTGGGTATCTAAACAAATACGTCCAAAAAAAACCTCAGCCCAGTTTCGAAAGCTGCCGAGTGCAAAGTAGTTCAACTGAGCCTTTCCGAACGCAATCAAGTTGAGATGAATTGGGTTAAAGTCGTCTGCCCACGCTCCGGGTCGCTCATCTTGTGAATCTTAACATCATCTCCCAACTTGACGTTATTCATACTCTGCGGCGTTATTAGGATAAATTGGCGGCTGACAGCGCGTCTCGCCGCGGTGATCATCATGCCCATGCTGACATCACGGTTCACCTGGTCCATGAAGACGTCGAACTCATCCAAGCAACGCACGGGACTGCCCATAGCCTCCCACAGCGCGAGCAGCAGGCAAATGGTCGAGAATGATTTCTCACCGCCAGACAAGGTCTTCGTTTGTCGGCCCTTCTTGGACTTAAGAGTGTTGTCCGGTTGGACTTTGATGTCGAGCGTGCGATCGACGTGACTGATCTCGAGTGTGCCGTGAAACTGACGTTCGCTCAGAAGGTAGCCAAAGCTAGACTGGGCACGTAGCACGATAAGATCACGGAACTTCTTCCAGCGGTCTAGACGATTGTCAAGTGCTCGTTTGAGAGTCTAAAAAAAATATGTCAGTGGAGTCTACAAGGAGAAGACGCTGAACATACGCCAAGGATCTCGTCGTGGTTGCTATAGGTTCGTTGACGTTCCTCCCAGTACTGCCTCTTCTCAAGCTTCTTCAAAATCAGGGTTTCTTTGTCCCCTCCGAGTCTGAGACAGCAGTCAGTATTGAATCTATTGGGTTATCGTGCTCAACAGAGCTTACTCGTCACGTTGTCGAGCCTGCTCTCTTTGAAGCCGAAGCAATTTCGCTTCCAGGGACTCAACAGTTTCGCCGTCATCAATGGGGACGCGTCGTGAAACCTGCTCAGCTTGCTCCGTGAAATCAGCCACCAGCTTTTCCTGTTCTTCACGTTTCTTTTCGAGGTTAGTCTTAGCCGCCTCAGCATCCTTTACGAGTTCGTGGCTTTGATTGGTCCTGCGCCGTTCTATTTCACACTTGTCCTTCGCCTTTTCAAGGCGAAGTTCGGCTTTCTTAATACGTTCTTCAAGCATTTCGATCTCTGATTGCAGCTTATCTAGTTCGGTTTTGATAGGTCTTTGTTCCGCATTCAGCCTATCTTTCTCGAGCACAGAGTCCTGGTAGGTGTTGATATTCATCTGTTCTGTTTCCTTAGCGTCTTCAAGTTGTTGCTCGTATTGCTCGAGAAGACCACGTTGAGGGGTATCAGCCTCGAGTTCGTCCTTGAGATCCTGTATAGCGACTTCTTGCCGATCAAGCTGATCATGGAGAGATTTCATATCCCTCTTGTGCTTAGCAATAGCTTGACTAGCCCGTTTGAACTTATTCTCGGCCTCACGTTGTCTTTCCTCGATTGCGGTTTGTTGGCCCTTCAGATGTACCAACTTTTCCTGTTCGGCCCTATAACGCAAATGTTTAGCATCATCCAATGTCATGAAATGCAATAACTTACCTGATCTGGGTTTCAATGTCTGTCTGCATCCTGGGGAGGCCTTTCCAAGGATCTATTGGCGTTTGGGACTCGCCACCACTACTTGTCAGCCCAAAACGATATCCCCATCTATTGCCATGTCTGTCCGGTACCGGGTTCATTGCGAATATCTGCTTGACATTAGGGATACGTTTTGAGATCATCTCGGCAGCCCTTTCAGAATTTTCTTCTAGAACCGTGCCATCAATTCCCTGATTAATAATCATGGTATTGCGGACTAAATCATTATCGAACCTGAGCACCCTCATCCAAGTATCGTACTCTTCTGGAGGTTCGTGCTGGGATGTGTCGATTGGTCGAGATGAGGTCACGAATACGCGACCCTCATAGTCGACGCGGCGCATAATTTCAGAAAGAATCGTTTGGTCTGCTTTCGAAGAGACAACAAAGGCATTAAGAGCAGCACCGGCCTGCTTCTCCAGAATGTCAGCCCATTTTGGCTTAAGCAAGAATATATGACGACCCATAGGGCCAACCGGCTTCTCTCGAAATCGTGATTCTCGATTAATTGCATTCAGAAGCGCTGAAAGCTTAGGCGAATATGCTGCCATCCAGTTGCCTCTTTCACGCTGAAAAGCCGATATACGCTTCTCCACGCTTTCGATGCTTGCTTTGTGATTCTCAAGTGCAGTCCTTGCATCCTCAACCTCATCTCTTGCATTCTTGAGGTCACGATCCATGGAGGCACTTTCAGAAGACCTTTGCTGTATCTCATCTTTCAGAGTGATAAGTTGATCTTCTGCATTCTTGATGTCCTCCATCTTTTGCGCATGTCGACCATTATCTGCACTAGCGATTTTCTGTTTTTCTTGCTCAATATCCTTTTCTAGGCGCTTTATATTGTCGCGTGCAGCCTTGAGCTCACTCTGGATCGACCTCGACTGCTGTAAATGTTCCATCAACCGGCCTTTTATCTCATCAAATTGTTCCTTTACTTGGTCGCGCTCTTCGTTTTTCGAAGCTAATTCTGCCTTGACAGCATTGAGAGCCTGCTGAGCCGTATCCCTCGCCTCGTTGTGCTCCTCCAGTTGCGCGTCGGCTTGTTGGGCTGCCAAAACACGCTGTTCAATGACCGCATCTTGTTTGCGAATGTCTTCTTCCATGCTGGCAAGCTTTCTCTCCTCCTCCTCAACCTGTATCCATGCCATCTGCCTCACAAAGTGATTGTATTGCTCTTGCATTGTCGCTGCTCTCTCGGCTAACTGCGCCTTCTTTTCTGCTTCTTCATAAGCAACTTTAGCTGCCTCTGCGGATTTCTCCATCATATAGACTTGATCCTGGTTTAGCTGAAGTGATTCTGCCAATATACGATAATCACTGTCGAGTTGCTCAAGATGTGTCCCCTGGTAGAAAAACTTGTATTTATCGGCAGCATTTGAACTATTGAGAAATTGCCGCGCCATGTCCTGAGTGAGGACATTCATGGGATTGTCCATTTGCAACGCTAGTGCGTCCAGGATGTCCTCAAGGTCACTCTTTTTAGTCGATACGATTCTTCCATCCTGGTTCTTGAGCTTGAAGCCACTGGTGCCTGACCTGGAGAAGGTTCGCTCCACGATAATAGACTGGCCATAGACCTCTGGCTGGTATGCATTATCCCCTTGATTCTTAATCTTGACTTGCAAGGTGGCCTGATCTGAACCAGCCTTTATGAAATGCTTCAAGCTCTGGCCACGATTCGTAGATGTTGCCTTGCCACCTAAGCATAGCTGCAGGGCAGTGAGGACTGCACTCTTGCCACTGCCGTTGTGTCCAATGATAAAGTTGATCAGAGGTCCGAGTTTGACAGTGAGATTGGAATGGCACATAAAGTTCCTACACGACACTTCTTCTATAATACCGTTATCCGCTGCATGGTTCTCGCGAAACTGCCCATTTCTGTGCAAGTGATCGGTTCGACGAACAGCCTCAGCGTCTGAGATATCCGAATCTTCGGAATCATTCTCTGCTGCAGTGCTCTCCCGTGGGCTGTCGCCACCCGAGCTTTCATCGCTAGCTCTTTCATTGACAGGTGTTAGTCGTGATCGCTTGCGCTGTCGCATAATAAGTCCATGTTTTGTATCCAAGTAAGAGATTGCCGCCTACTCCCTTGTTTGTCAGTCGCAAGTGAGACGAAGCTGTTTCCACTTCGTTATCTTCAGTGTCCTGCCGAGAGCGTGCACGCTTGAGACCTGGCATGGTTGCCAACTTAATTGTAGGCTTCAACCAGAACTGCGGTTGAGTTGGAAGAGCAGACGCGTCCATGCCAAACCCTTGACGCGCGCATTTAGCGCATCATCACGTGATTGAGGTTGCACGTGGTCTATCATCGTGAACTTGAACGAAATGGCGAAGTTGCTCCGTCAGGATTAATATTTCCCATATTTGGATATAAAAGTCTCAAGACAGACGTAATCATTTTAAAAGTCGGGTTCAGGGTTTGACGTTAAGGTAACGTTTGTCAAAGTTCAATGTGCTAATTGGTGAGCATGCAGAGAAGGTGATGATTGGCAAGTTGAGGATCAAAGGCAAGATGAACAAGAGAGAGCTCTGGAAGTATGGTGTGCTCAATCAGGGCTACATTAATTTTCTCATCGTACTTGTCCTACTAGGCACTTCGGCAATACCACTGCAGATTTCTCTTCGCTTGATGATCGCCAATCGTTCATCGGCCTTTCTCCTCACGGAACTTTTTATAAATAGTGACGGTATTGAGTTACATCAGGAGCATCTGCAGCTTATTTCCCAGCTCTACAACTTGCAAGATACTCGGCTAGATGCCAGTGGTGTTCCGATGTGGCGTAGTAGCCACCTTGAAGCAAGCGAAGATTGCAACTGCCAAGCACAGAACGCTTAAACAAATGTCGCTAGTAGTCCCGACGCGGTTGGATGCCAAACCATTAGTCTTGCTATCGCGGGGGATAAGGTCGAAAGTGGTCGCAATAGCAGACCATCCAGCGGTTGTGGGTACAACCAACGTGTCGGCCATTCCAAAGCAATATTCAAATGGAAGTCCTGAACCGAACGACAGGGCATACGTCAGACCTAGAGAGTAAAGCTCTAGAAGACGATGCCTTCGTCCGGACCCAAAGCACGGCAAGGTCAGAAGAACGAATCTATAGACTGCGTGGGCAAAAATCCAAGATTTGCTGACCGCGGTGAAAACAAACAATCTGTCATGAACCATGATAGTCTTCCACCCCTTGCGGTGGCCTTGTTGAACAATCCAAACAAATAGCGAGAGACAAGCAACTTTGCAGCACATTCCTCGAAGAGTACCATCTGCGGGGGTACCGACCATCATACCAATGTTGCCATAAACTGCGAAATTGACATATGTGGTGAAAGTCGCGAGGTGTTTGGTCTGGAATTCACGATCCGCAATAAGGAATGCTAACACTGAGCCGAGACCGAGGGGCAGCTCACAAATGATCTTGGTCATTTCGCCGATGGTAGACGTTTTGTCGAACATGAGGATGAGGGCGCTGGTGGCAAGGACTACGAGCAAAAGCAGTCCATGGTTTCGAAGAGCGCATACATAGACGAGGGAGAGAATGAGGCAGAGCCATCTGTTGAATGATATATCGAGGTATGCGTCCAATGCTGTGAGTGATAAAGTTGAGAGAGCCATGAGAAGTATGGCGAACACCTTTCGCTTCCGCCTAGTCCCTTACGATAAATGCGGCCAACGGCTGGCAAAACTTTTCTCAGAAGCGATCATTGTCCGCTTGAGGGGATAATTAGCGATGAAAAACCTAATCAGGAGCTAGTGGATCGCTGAACGTGCAGGTAGAGACCGACTTCCAGCTGTTAAGCGAAAAAGAAAAAAAAAAAAAAAGGTTAGAAGTCTGAAATGCAAGAGTACAACCAAAAATTACTGCAAGTTCAGAGAGTGTAGAGTATTATAATAGCAAAAAGCTCAATTTTCCGAGAAATTCCGCCGATTTGGTGAATCGTTTTACGATGGGCGTGGTGCCAGAGTGGTTAATGGGTGAGACTTGAACTCCAATAAGATTTCAGGCATCTCATGGCTTCGGCCGCGCAAGTTCGAACCTTGTCCACGTCGTTTCTTTTTGTCTTTTTGCCCAGGATGTGTGTTTTTGGACTTCTTACTTTTTCGTTGTTCTAAACATTGAGGCTTCCTCTTTTTTGATACTGGATTTTCCGATAGATGTCGAGCTAGATGCTCATTTTTGTCATCTACATCCGCACGATGACTCAAAATCCCCCGTTTCAATGAAAGCTTTCTCTTATCCATTCCCACATGCAACCCTATACCCGATTATTTGGTCCAGAGGTAGCAATATCTGAGAACGCTTTGCGTTGAAGCCTTCCATCTCCAATCTATGAGGGTCTTCGGCTCGAGGGTGCCTCATGCACCACCCTCTTCTCAATCTTGCCCTTCTTCTCACAACGGAGTGGCCGTATTTTTTGACTATATGCAGAGGTACTCATGAAATTGAGCCCCCGACGTTGGTAGTGCTCCTTAACCATATTCGTGTGGCTCCAACTTCCACAGACAGCGACTAGCAAGGACGCGTTATAACATCTTGTTCAATTCGATAAAGCTGAGGAAAAATTTTTTGTCTTTAATGAGTCTCTCAACCAACGCCCATCTCCGCCTAGAGGGGAACGCAGGAAGCCAGCTCCCTTTCGCTCTTCTGCTTACGAGCAAACGTCTAGTCATACAGCGCTTTGAAGAGGGAATATCATTGGTCATAACTACAGCCGCAGGCCGCGCCCAAAGTTCTTATCGGTCGCTGCGCCGTATTTTCATGGCAAAGCAACACAAGGTCACAGATTTGAGGCCCACCAACCAAGACGGGATCCATCTGAAGCAATCACTTCCACCGCTAATCAGCGTGTGATTTCAAGCCTATCAAAGCACAAGGTACTCTTCTGTGATACGTCGAGCACCTCCGAAATCACCTCCCATGGCGAGAATGCACTGAATTGCGAATGCTGCTTCTGCAGCAAGGTCCTCCACGAAGACACCTTTATCACTGGCGTGGGCACTAAACTTTTCTTGCTGAACCTTTTCGCTGAGCGCGATACAGCGTTCGTACGCAGGCAAAGCCAGGTGCTGCAAGCCTAGGGTGTGATACGCAAGTGCCACGTTAAACTCTGCTTCCTGCATCTTAATAGCAACTCCGTCCTTCGTACGCAGATGGTAATAACGATAAAGGAAGCTGAAGCCCTGCTGAATCTGGTATTGGCGATTCTCAGCTTGCCGCTTGTAGCCCATCTGGATGTAGGCGACTGCAATACACAAGTTTAACACGGGGTCGTCTGGGCGCAGCACGTACGCACGGAAGTAGTAGGTGAGTGCGGACGAATAAGTTGCTGCCACAAACATCATGTGACCGTAAAGGGTAAGCAGAGTGGGGTCATGTTCCGTGAGGTTATGTGGATTCCCTGTTTCAGGCGCCGGCTCAGTCCATTTGGAGCGGTCGCCATCAGTGAAGCCAAACCTTTCCCGGTGCTCCGGGGGCAGCAGCGAAAAATCCATGGCCTTGACTGCACGGAGCACAAACTTTTGCTCGGGCCCCGAGTTGTAATATGTGATAGGTCCTCTGCAGAAGCGGTTCAGAGCGCTGAACAGCCTATACGAGTCCGCCGTATATGGATACTGCTTGATGAACCATCTTGCCTCCTCGATCAGCTGCTTTTCGTCTCCGAGGATCAGAGCGCAGGCTGAATGTGAATCAGCTGCATTCGCCTTCGAACTACCATACCGGCGAACAACTTACCAAGTGATACATTCCGTTTCTTCTGCATGCGCTCTGGCTCATGCAAGAAGATATTGGCCGACTGAACCGTCTTCATGACATCCCAGCAGAGATCTTTCTGACCATTGCGAGCATGCTGCAATGCAAGCTGCAAAAGCACATCAAGCCATTCGTCAAAGTGAATGTTGCAATAAAACTGTGGTACCTCCTTCTCGCTGTCTGGAGATTCTCTGAAGACAGCGTCACCTTCTGGTACGGTGACGGTCCTTTGCCATCTTTCAAATCCCGTAAACTTTGTGGCACGTTCTCTTGGGAAAAAAAGTTTCTCAGTTTTGAACTCGTCCATGAGCTGATCGGCAAGATTGGTCCAATCTGTGACCGCGTCTGGATCCTGGTCTGCCAAACCTTTACTCAGCTCAAGTAATTGGTCGTAGAGATTTCTCACTACACCTTCTCGAAACTTTTGTCGCTCCAGACGTTTATCTTTACGTACTCGTCCTGATCTAGCCCGTAATGGACGAAAGTCACTTCCTTCGTGACTGATGTCATCGCCAGACTCACTTTGATCGTCGTCGGCGACTGTCTGTCCACGTTCAGCTCGAGTCGTTCCTCGAGGCAAAGGCAAACCTGCCGCTAGGACTAGGTCAGATTTCCCCATGCGTCTGAGTTGCCGTACTAGATACTGCATATCTTTCTCCCTTCCTTGCGATTGGTACAGCTTGGCCAAGCCAACATAAAAATTGGCGTCTCGAGCTCCGCGCTTGAACAGACGAAGAGCCTCCATGGTTCTTTTGACTTCTTCTTCTCGTCCAAGTGCCTGGTAGCAGATGGCAATGTCGAAGTAGAAACGAGAATCAATGCTCTGTGTCTGACGCTGAATTGGTTCATAAAAGCGCAATGCATCCTGGTGCAGCTCTTCCTCACGCAGCGCATCCCCGATTTCGCGAAACAGGTCTGGATACTCGTATACGTAGGCATCGGGTGAGTCGTCCTCTGGCTCAAAATACTCAAAATGGTCCTGATATCTTGGTAAGCGACGGCATTCGGGAAAGGCAAAGCACTTACCAGTGCCTCAGCATGGTACTTACTGCCCATGCCTAGGCGAAGCAGTCCCATCTTTGCTCGAAGTTCGATTGGTAGCCCTTCTCCATAAGTCTCGAGAGGATATCGGCCGGGTGTAAACTTTTCAACCTCAACTCTACGAGGCTCATCATCCAGATCCCACTCTCTATCATCGTCACATGCGTCCCAGAACTCCTCATCGGCTCGATTTAATATCCACCGAGCGAGGGTTCGAAGCTTGTGGAGTCCGGTTTCCCATTCTGAGCAATGCACAAGTATATCCATGTAGATATCCAATAGCTTCCAAGCTAATTCAACATCATCTGAACCACCTTGAGCTACTGAAAGCTCAAAGAAAGTCCCAAACGATGGAGCGGCTATAGCTGGCTCCTCGATAGAGAAGCAAATTTCTGCTAGAACTTGTAATGTATCGACATCGAGTGGATTGCGATGAAGAAGGTTGAGGCATTCATTTCTTGCACGCGTCTTTTGACCGCTTGCCATATAATTTTTCATCCGACCGTAACGAGCCTTGTAGTTATCCGGATCCATATCGAGGAGCGAGCTATAACAATCTTGCAATCGTTGCCTTGTCTCTTTGCTATTACCACCGAGTTCAATCAGCTTTTCAATCACATACCACCACGAGCCTTCGTCTCGCGTGGCGTGAACTCCAACGTAGAGGGCTCCTAGCGCATCATCCTTGCGACCTTTCCGCAAGAGTATTTCAGCAATAGTGGCGTGAACGTGAAACATTTCAGGATTGACCTTGACAGCTTCGAGGCCCTGCCTGAGAGCTTCATCATAGTCTTCAGCTATGTAAGCTTTGTTCATGAGTGCGTTGTAATTCTTGAACTCCGCCGTAGGTTCAGCCATAGCTCTAGGCCCGTACTTCCTTCCTTGTGAACCTCCGCGTCTCCCATCTTCGGCAACACGGCCACGACCAAGACCTCTAGCATTGCCACGGTTTCGTGCGGGGGAAGCACGCGAAATAAAGGATGAACCACGTCCGCGCCCTCGAGGTCTCCCCCTACTCCCTCTACCTCTACCACCTCTACCGCGACGTCTTGTTCGAGACTCTGTATCAATGAAGTCAATATTTTCATCTGACTGACTGTCTTGCTCATTCAGATCGACTGGGCTTTCATAGTCCGGATCATTCTCGGCATTGGTAAGATCGGCAGCGACTTGAGCTATGGCTAAATCCCTCTGGATTGATTCGTCTTCATTAAAGACATCTTCTGCTGATTCCTCACTTCCTTCCTCTACAACTTCGCGATTCCCAAGAGGTGAGGATGGAGCTAGGCTGACTCCGTACAGCGCTGTCGGGTCTGGGTACTGATATCCGCCACTCGGATCTCCATACGCGTAAGCCGCACGTAGTGCAGGATCTGATGTTTGGAAATACGGATATGAAGAGCTGGGAGCAGGGTACGGTGATGGGTTTTCATCATCAGATCCTACATCATCGTTGGCAAAGCGTCCGTATTCGGCTGCCATCACTTTGCTTAAAGCCTTATGGCGTGATCTGATGAAGGTCAGAACACAGCCGCTTCTAGTTGGCACTCCACCTCAAGCTTGAGATTAGTATCATTCCTAAGTAAGTCTCTTATCTTCGGCGCGGTGTCAGTCTTTTCATTTCTCTGAGTGTTTCAAGTAATGTTTTTTCTGAGATGCTGGAGTGACTGTATCAAACCAATCAGCGAAGGATTTTCAGGCTCTGCTTATATAAAGCGAAGTCGATTCACGTGATCATTATCCTCTGTAACCTTCAATAGGATTGATAGGATGAAACCAATGCAATTACTTGAAAGAAGAATTTCTCGAAGGCATTATAACTACCAGTCTCTTCTTCTGGACCCTCAGCAGGCTTGGTTATTCCCGTTATCAACATAATTTTCCCTTTATATGTCCTCTTCTCCAGTTTGTATCGATCCCATTCTGCCGCCGTCACTTCAGGCTGTGGTCTATTCCTCATGGTTTACGAATTTAGCAATTCATAATTCTATGACGTAACTAACGTCTAACATTGTCTCTACCACTCTGTGGTCTTCGCTAAATACCCTTAGAGATCATACAAATGCCCGCAAAACGCCTTGCTATGCAAAGATTCTTTTCTCCAGTAGTTATACATTATCTCCCATTTCTAAACAGTGCTTTCGCTTTGTTCAGATATGCTCACCATCTCGTAAACGCCAGAGCCGTCTCTGCCTCTTCCTCGGCCACGACCTCGAACGAAACCTTCACCGTTATCGGCAGCCTCTGGGTCAGTCTGTTCACTGTTATCTACCGCTGGCAGAATCGGTCGTCCGCCAAAGCTGATCGGGCGAAGCTCTCTCCATTGACATGCCCAGATCCCGAGACTTGCCATCAAGCCCGCGCTAGCTGCTTGAAGCGCCCACCAGAACCAGTAGGACGGTATGGCATGTGTATATAAAGATGTGACAATGAGATGCAAGAAGTGGATGGTTAATGCAAAGTCAAGAACGAGCTTCGAGCGTGCAACGAGAAGGAGTATGGGCACCACGCTAGACCTTTGTTCAGCCAATATTCAACAAGACTTAACCGTGATATAATAGGGGCAGGCCTTACGTGAAAAGGCTGTTAAGCATCCACACCAAGCCAAGCGTCCATCCAACGGTTGTGTCGCCTCTGAGACTGTGCCAGCTGAGGAGAAGATCGAGTCGGACTGGTCTTCCGGCCACAAGTGCGGTAAAAAGGATCAATATTGCTGCAGACGCATAATATGCTACCTGCAAAAGTACGATCTGTGTGAGTATGCGTAGCGGTTGTAGGTCTGTGAGAGAGCCCGGTCTTCTAACTCTCTGCTTTCGTGGCATAACCCTTTAGGGTGCGTTGCGCGCAAAGGGACCGTGCTCATCAGCAGCTCACGATAGGGACAAAGATCCGCAGATGGAAGATGCGCCTGTGAATATGCGCCAGCAATGTTCGACGAGGTCTTCTAAATGGATTGTGTGTTACGCGCTGTGCGTCAAGGGAAGGTGTTCCGATCGACGGACGCTGGATGGTCACGATCAGGCACGTACAGATTGGTCACTTCGGAAACCACTCGTCCAGAAGAAGCTAGTGTACTTCCCATTCTGGGTGGCCGCTTTAGAGGGACATTCCTTTCTATATCAGCATAAGACACCAACACCACCACCCATCATCTGATTCTTGCATCCATCCGACCCTGGAAACCGCTCCGCTCCCTTCGTGGTATGCATGTAGCGGGGCGATTGACTGTGAAATGCTGTGGACTGATTGGAAGTACAGATAGATCTTGGCACTTAGGAGAGCTCCATCGCAGCTGAAATGGGCTGGCTTTGGGGATCAGGCGATACGTCATCCGCAAAATCATCGAAGGATGGTGCATACGAAGCTCCGGATCGTTCGAAACGCGTTAGGTGCTGGGATTCACGAGATGTGTTCTTTCAGTGTCTAGACCGCAACAACATCCTAGACGCCTTGAAGGAAAAGGATGCCGCAATCAAGGCTTGTGGGAAAGAAAATCAGTTGTTCGAAGCAAACTGCGCTACAAGCTGGGTAAGTGTCATGTTTCAGAGCTACCATCCATCCGTTTCTTGTCACATATTTGCCGCTGTCAGCAGCTCTTTGAAGATTTTTTTCCCGAAATTTCTATTCGAATTTCAGCCGTAAAGGGCTAGCCATAAGCCTACACCGTCAAAGACTCCAGGCTGGCCTTTTCCTGCCGTGCAAGTCGGCAGACGGTGGGCTGTAAGCACTTGTACGAATCATATGTATGGGAATATCGGACGTTCTGCAAAAACGCACACATTCTTTAGCTTCGCACGAACTGCCAATGCAAATGGTGCTTACTGATAGCTATGAACAGGTGAAGTACTTCAAGCAAAGACGAGTGGCTGAGTACGAGAAGGAGCAGATCCTTAAGAGACAGGCAGAACAGTTGCCCGTTAGAAGATGACAAGTCGAACTATGAGGATGCTTTAGGAAAGCGCGTGCCCTGCTATGGTTACGCAACAGCGGGCTCAAAAGCTAACTTTAGACCACCAAATAGAGATGCTCGTGGTGCTGGCGTGGTTCACGTTTCATCAGAGGCTTGCTTTTTCGGATTCAGGGTTGCAAGACTGCATCGGTAGTTTCCTGTGCATGGTGAATCAAAAGAGGAAAATTGATTGTGGTTTCCACGAGGAGAACCAATTGCGCGACAGAGGCGCCTTCGAGATCTCGATCATGACCAATGATTGACTGTATTGTAAATGTAAAGATATGCTCTCTCCTTTCATCTGGCAAATCCTGATAGGGCGATTTCAGCTTTGCGTCAATTGATCCTCAAATTTGATTTCTTCCGCAAAAACATTCCTTGTGCATGTTATGCGCCTGCGGCAAGCAACCTCGATCTTGACAAGTGAGCCAAGCCCTTGTGGGATTTGTGCGCTGCATTTCGGCACCAGCCGATCTTTTATCTGGCCATTCGTGGGCGGAATTGCCCTATCCTAATCCAAAATGATACACGCAAGCAGACACAAAGTGACATTCTACAGAGCGTAGAGAAGGTGTACGTAGTCAAAAGGAAGGAATACTTTCATCCCATGTCGTCGGAACTCGCTTATCGGAAGCCAAATCTATCCTTGTTCATGGTACCCATCGACCACGATGGCTGTGGGAACGCACAGCGTCGCAAGTGACGGATTTTACGAACACTCAGCTTTCTTCTGCGCAGACGGTCGAGCGAAAGGAAGATAAGTTTTGTCTCAAGAGGAAACCTCAAACTTGTAGTGCATCATTGCATATCGACGCAAAAAGAACCACCAAAAGCTGCGACCTGAAACTCTTAGTACACCTGCTGAATGTTCACAACAGTACAACCCTGAAGCACTCAACCTGCCTCCGAGGAGGACTCCGAGGAGAAGATGCAGATCACTATCTGCAGGGTGCCACGAGAGAGAGAGAGAGAGAGAGAGAGAGAGAGAGCTGGAGCCCATTCGAGGCGTTGATCTTCAGCGTTGTGAGAAAAAACCGGGACGCCGTAGAACTAGCCCCCATGGGCCAGATTGTTTTCAACGCAAATCTCAGCCACCAGATCCTGCAAGTCGCAGATCCTCTCCGAAGGGCGAGCTTCAGAGGGACGGAGTGGGCGATTTCTCTTTTATAAGGGTTCTCAAAAATGGAGCCCCAATAGAAGCCAGAGGGACATGACAGCGGTACTTTGGCAATCTCTTGATGAACCAAAGTGGATGTGTGGGCAGCCTACTCCATCCACACATGCAGACGTAACATGCTAGAAAGCGAGGTCTACCCTTTTCTTTTCTCTCCCTCACCGGTCGTCGACCAAAATGCATAGTCCTGCTAGAGGTAATGATGAGAGACTTGACGGGATTGCCGCCTTCCGGGCGTGGGAAAGACGCCGAAAACAGCCTGAATGCTGCATGCTGCATGCTGCATGCTGCATGATGCTTCGAGCAACCAGAAGTCGTACACCCACCCATCGCCGACCACTTGTTGCACGACCCTCGTGTGCGAGATCTGGTGATCGAATCATGCAAGTCGTCAATGATAATTTCACACCGCGTACCATCTTCTGTCACTCTCAGACGTTACACTTCACACTTTCGATGATTGCTAATGGGGAATAAATATTGTGACAAATATTTCATCATTACCAGCTCTGCGGAGCCTAAAAGCAATCCAGCAGCCGAGATGTGTTGTACTGCAAAGACTATGCTAAAAAGGTATAAAGCTAGCGATAATTCCGCGTAACGCCTGATCTTTGTCCCCCAATGAACCCCTGTTGTTAAATCTTCGTGCCTGGCTCACTGCGCAGCTTTGAAAGAAACAATGATAATTTTGCGTCCTAGAACTATTCCGACCCACACTCTAAAACCCCGCCACGCATGGTGTTGCAGCTTGTTCATTCATTCGTAGTTAAAATGACTAGTGCGATACTGGCTTGGCACTACATTGCTAGGGTGGAAAACCTCTCTGTAGGCGTCCAGATCTGCTTGTGTGGTCTTCGAGGCGCTCGATGAGGACGTATCTATGGCAAAAACAATATCTTCAAAGGCGCCGTAGAATTCCTGGTCGTGAAAGAGGAGCTGCATCCACATAAGTGCCGTTATGCGAGCTGGATTTTTGAACACGGGACCAATTCCGAAAGCCGCGATACAGAGTCGAGGAATTTGCGCCCAGGCTGCCGTACGTAAAATGGCCTTCATCTTGCTTTCCATGAGTTCTCGTTCTTCGGGGAAAGAATAATCGGTTCCCGTCACATCTAGCCGCGGCCCTCGTATAGGAGCGACCGAGATTACTGCAATGTCTTGATACTGATCGTACGGCCGATACATCCCACGTTCTCCGTCTCTGAATACAACTGAAACAGCGATTAGTAGTTACCGAGCTTTGTTGTGTAAGCACGTACCGACATGTGGCGAGTATATTGCTCCCCGTTGAGGGATTGGATAAAAGCTTTTTGCTTTGCCACCTTCGTGATAATTGTGCATAAGAGCGTGAACAAGAGTGCTTCTCCGAGCCAAGCATTCTTCAGTGGCAGTGAAGCCTGATTCCCAATCACCGCCCGCTTTCTTTTCGTTGGCCGTGTTAACAAGAGCTATGGATCCATAGGCCTTTGCGCCGATGACAACGCTAACAGGATCACTGTCTTCAACTGTAACGCGAGGCCGCCCATACCGTCTCTTGTCTGGCGTGACGGGCACTTCGGCGGTGTCTTTGATCAGACACGAACCACACATATAACTTCGCCATTGGGGAGAATTCTCTAGAGCGGGAAGATACCTTCGCTTTGCTTCCAGAGCAATTTCGGAAGGCTTTGGCTTGCTCTGCGGCATCTTGATTCAAGATCAACTAATGCTAGCTGTGGAAGAGTGAGGATGAGGGAGGTCTTCAAGGTGGATGCGACTTGTGACAATGGGAATATATAAGTCCGGGAGGACGAGTTACAATGAAAAGATCCGCGTGGGATGGGATATCCTTGAGGCTATGAATACCTTTGGGAAGGCCGACGGCTCCAAATGTGGGTGCCCGTGCAAGCTGAACGAGGCAAGGCGCAAGCTGGAGAGCTGCTGACGCAGGATTGGGATTGCTCAAGGAGAGAACAGTTAAAAAAGTGTCGGTCCAAACCGACGATCTCCACAACAAGTGGCGCTGGCGATAATGCAGCTAAAAATTGTCTCTCGATGGCTGCGAGATCTGTGTTCCGCCCTTGGTGCTCACGATCGAGAAGTGAGACAAGGACTTGAAGCGAGCCCTGACCCCAGATTTCCGGGTCAAACGACTCATGAACAGGAAAAAGCAACGTATTTTTGTCTCGAACCAGGATCATCATGCTTCGTAGAGCTGGAACAAGCGAGACAGCGTAGAGGGCAGCTACGAATGGAAAGCTGCACGATTCTCTGGCCTGGCTGTGATGGTTTAAGTTGCAGATTCATGCATTAGCGCGAGATGCTCAAGATCTCTGGGATATCATCGCCGCATCTTGCAGACAGCCCCAAGGCTTGCGGAGTCAAGCCTTCGACTTTTGATTTGTCGCAGCTCAGCGCATCCCTGCTGACGATCCCGCTTCTCTACAATCGAAGGACTCTAAGTGGTGAGCGGTCTACACTGGGGCGATATTCCGGAGCTCAGCAGTGTCAATGACATGTATCATAGATCTGGATAGGGTCGATTGGCCTAAAATTTGCATTGGTCTAATTCATCTGCGTACGTGGTTAGCGCAGGATGGCACATCTCGGCGTCGAAGCCGGGAGCAAGCTGGTCGTCTACGTTGAGGTCACACAGCGGCACCTTGACCAGATACCGGGTCATCGGGAGAGAATGATCTAAATCCGCACGTCTTACAAAGATGCGAATTGTAAAACGCTTGGCTGCCCGCGGTGCTTTCAGGGAGTCCAGGGTAGGACTCGTTTCCGACTGGCATTTGCGCCGTCAGCCCTGCGAGGTCGCCGCTTCAGTGGCATCGGAGACGATTTCTGCGAACGAGACGTCGCACGTCAGGCACTTGGTGTCTTCGAGGAGCCTGCTCCTTCGAAGATCGACACCGCACCCGGTGGGAGCTTGCTTTAGCCTCGATAGTCCATTCTTTTTGTCACTAGTGAGCTGCAGCATCGCGAGGACCAGCTCTCTGGAACTGGCGCGTGAACACGCACTGAACCCAACGTAGGGCGGTCGAATGGCAGCCGTGTCGGTGACCGCAAGTCCGAAAACTGAAGCGCTAGACTCGTTCAGTGCATGGCCCCTTCAATGCATGGCCCCAGAGGATGCGTTAGCACGGCTGCCGCCCAGGATTGTGCTGAGAGCAAAGCGCTCCGAAGGTTGGACGGGAAGGGGAAAACTTGAGGGTCGATCTGATGTCAAAATCAGGCTCCCGCCGTCGCCGACCAGGATCAGGGTTTGGCGTTGGGCGTGTGCGACCTTGCGTGTTGGCCCTGAGGTCCATGCTTGCCCAACTTTCCGTGGCGCTTCGGATCGACTCTGTCCTCTTCGAGGATGCCTCACGCGTAGAGAATCACACTCAGTGCTAAATGCTGCGGCCACTGCAACATGTCGGGTGCCGCGGTGTTGCTCAGCACCAAGGGGCTTATTTGCTCACGCGGAGGCATATAAGCACCACAACGCCCGCCACCACCGTCGCACAGCTCTTGAGGTCAACCGCCGAAGCATCCTCTTCTCTTTCGACCCAAGGTCCGGTGACCTTGAACGGCTTTGTTCGGACCGTCAGGAAGCAGAAGCGTGTGGCCTTTGCCGCCATTGGCGATGGCACTTCATTGGACGCTGTTCAGGCTGTCTTGACCCCGGACCAAGGCAAGGATTTGTCCACAGGTGCTGCAGTTCAGATAAGCGGGCAGTGGCAGAAGAGTCCCTCAGGAAAAGAGCAAAGCCATGAGCTGGTTGCTAGTGAAGTGACGCTTCTTGGTGACAACGATGCTGAAGTACGGCACCGCTCCTTGTGTCAATACGTACACAACTGACGCATAGACGCAGAGCTATCCCATTCAGAAGAAGTACCATTCCGCCGACTTCCTGCGAACACTGCCCCATCTACGCACCCGCATTCCTTTCAACGCCCTGCTGCTTCGCTTGCGATCTGAATCCATACGACATGCAACGGAATACTTCACCAAGCTGGACTATGTCCAAACACACCCGCCCATCATCACTTCGTCTGATTGTGAAGGTGCTGGAGAGGTCTTCCATGTTCGCGATAATGCAGTGTCCACGACGAGGGAAGAAAAGGAGGGAAAAGAATTCTTTAGGTCCCAGAAATACCTTACCGTGTCTTCCCAATTGCATCTCGAAGCTTTGGCTCAATCTGTTGGCAGGGTGTGGACGCTATCCCCAACTTTTCGCGCGGAGCATAGCGACACTCCGCGCCATCTGAGCGAGTTCTACATGCTTGAGGCCGAAGCATGTTTCGTTGATGACGTGAATGCAATCATGGACGTAGTGGAGGGCCTGATTCGCGCCATCGTGAACGGGTTGCAGAGCTCAACGACGGGTGAGCAGCTTCTCTCGGCATCGGCCAAGAAACACCTCGATGATCATCAAGAAACAAAGGCAGCAGACATAGAAGCGAGATGGAACGGTATTATAGGTAAGCCCTGGCCGCGAATCACCTACTTTGACGCCATTGAACGTCTTCAGGCTGCTATGGCAGACGAGGGAGTTAGCTTTGAGCACTCGCCTTGTCTCGGAGCCGGCCTTCAAGCGGAGCACGAGAAGTTCATAGCAGAGACAGTGGGTCAAGGAAGCCCTGTCTTCATCACGGATTATCCAGGCGACATCAAGGCCTTCTACATGGCTCCCTCAATCACTCAGCAAAATCCGGACATATCCACAGTTGCCTGCTTCGACTTGTTGGTTCCCGAACTGTGCGAGATCGTCGGAGGATCAATGCGTGAGCATCGCTTGGAACATTTACTGCGATCAATGGAAGCTCATAGACTCCTTGATCCAAACAGTGCTTTTTCGACGGATCTACAGTCTTCGATCCCTACAGCCCTGCAGTGGTACGTAGATCTGAGACGCTATGGCAGTGTACCGCATGGCGGTTTCGGCTTGGGGTTTGATCGGCTATTGTGCTATCTATCAGGGGTTTCCAGCATTCGCGATGTAGTGAGCTTCCCGCGGTGGTATGGAAGGTGTGATTGTTGAAGTTACGAGTGCTCAACGTCGACTGGTACGTGCGCAGCGAGAAGTTAATCGGCTACTATTTCATGGCGAAATTCGACTCCAGGTTGACGTGTTGACCGACCTTCCGCACCTAAAACCGTGACCCCTAGGCTGCCCATTCTAAATCTCATCGCACTGTTCAGTGTGGCGGTGAATAGCATGAGGCAAGATCTCATGCCCAAGGAAAAAGCCGCCTGTTTTTAAAAGGAAGGGCTGTGGTTCGTGCTTGGATTGATGAGGTCATGCGATAGTCTAACCTTCGCTCGAGGCGGTATGCAAGGGGACGGAAGAGAATGTAACACGATTGTGCTAACACTGTATACCCTAGTCATGGACAATAACTATGCATACTCCTCTCAAGCATTATCGGCCCCTCTCAATTTCTATTCCTCTATTTTTTTTGCTCATTTTTATTCCGTTCGCAAGTTCGCATGCACACCCTAGGCCATCAACTCAGAGTGGGAGATCTTTGAAGATTTTACCTTGTTAAGCAAGCGAATCACCTTGTTCCCCTCGGATCTCGCCGAAGTAGAGCAGACCTTATCTACTATGCAATCCTTGGTCCATCGAAAGATCTGTACGGAGTATCACATCTCAATTATTCTGTGTGGCCCGTGGTTTTCTATGGGTGAACGAGGATCATCTCAGCGCGATCTGTCCCGTCGATTCCGATTGGGACGAATAGGAAAATTTCGAATAACCATATGTACCTCATGTGGACAATTCATCAAGAAGAAAGACGAAGAGCTGAAAGCAGAACACTTCATGGAAATAATGGCTGGAGATAGAGCGCGACTTATGCCCTTCATCTGCTACAATAATGAATCCGAATGCAGACACTCAATACAGCATCGCACCCCTCTCGCAAAGGGTGAAAAATATTGACGTGGTAGATTCTCAATCTTTCTTTATGTCTGATTACAGCGAAGATTGTTCAAGTTGGCCGCATTTGCTGCTGCCGCCGTTGTAGCAGCTGCGATAGCGTCATCTTTAGCCGTTTCCGGTCTTCATGTCAAAGATACTCGAAAAGATTCATCACGATCTTATCCGCCTAATTAGATGAACGAGACACGAACTCGAACAATGCATCAGGCAATTTTAGGTCTCCGTCTTTTCATCATGTATGGAAAGTCGCGCGGATATTTTTTTTTTTTTTTTGGAAGAATTGGTTAGGCGATCTTGTTTACGTAGTCTATGCGGCCTAGAACACCAGAGCTATGCGGTTTCTCTGTCAGCGAGTTCGGCAACCTGCCTGCATCCACTAAGTAACTTTCTTCAGTTCCTGAGAAACTTTCCAATCTCTCAGTCATAACGAAAAAAAGGCTGCGACATCCTGTGCTTTCGTCTTCCGAATTAAGCGATAGCCGGCTAGACGCAACGCAGCTCTTCCATTCTCGACCAAGTGCCAAAAAGTCAATTCATTGTTCTCTTGAAACTCATTATCTGATCAACTGATTAACCTACCATCCTGTACACCTACCTTGGCCATCTCATCCAAGGTCATCGTCAATTCAAAGTGCGCCTAGAGCTTCTCCCTCCCATCGACCGGTATTCCATCCTTCTAAGCGCTGCTCGTTTATATCGGATACAGTGGCGTCCGCACAAGTTCAAGCGGTGTCTCCGCGGCCTATGGCTGCGCCAGTTGAGGAAGAACCTTATGAGTATGTCCAGCTATTTCATCCGACGCAACACCCGATGTCAATGGCTAAGACGATTCAAACCAGCTATGAGGGACTTCCGCCAAATTTCTCGCTCACGGCGAACATGGCCGCCGGAGCTTTCGCGGGAATCGCTGTATGTGAACACGCTTAACCGAGATCCGCACCGATGAGAGCTAATGGAGACTCGAATTGAAGGAGCACACAGTCATGTACCCGATAGACTTGATGAAGGTCTGTAATAACTCATTGTCTTACTAGACTGATCAAGATTGATGACCAGGCGCACTGACATGCCGGCAGACTCGGATGCAAATCGTGAATCCTTCTCCGACGGCCGTGTACACTGGCATCAGCAATGCCATGCTTACAATCTCGAGGGTAGAAGGATTTCGAACCCTCTGGCGGGGGGTCTCAAGTGTGGTACTTGGGGCTGGTTTGTTCTGACAGTTTTGCACATCGTAGGCGGCGCTGACAATTGGACAAATAGGCCCGGCACATGCGGTTTATTTCGCAACATACGAGGCAGTCAAACATGCGATGGGCGGAAATGCGGGTGCGCATCAGGAACACCATCCCTTGGCAGCAGGTAGGGCGTTTCCAGTGCCACTCGTAAACAGTTCTATTTGCTGACACTTACCTTTCTCTACAGCTGTTTCCGGCGCTTCGGCTACAATAGCGAGCGATGCACTGATGAATCCCTTTGATGGTAAGGTCACATCCGCAAAAATGGCATCTAATTGAAATCTTTAGCTAACAAAAACTCAAGTCATCAAGCAGCGCATGCAACTCCAGAATGCTCATTATCGCAATGTCGCGCAATGCGCGAAGCACGTTTTCCGCAATGAAGGCCTGCGTGCCTTCTATGTCTCCTACCCGACCACTCTTGCCATGACTGTCCCGTTTACCGCAATCCAATTCACTGTCTACGAGTCTACAGTTAAATTTCTGAATCCCTCTGGCAAATACGACCCGTACACACATTGTTTTGCGGGAGGGATTGCAGGCGGTGTGGCTGCGGGCATTACAACGCCCTTGGATGTCATCAAGACGTTGCTGCAGACCAGGGGAACTGCGCAGGACTCGGAATTAAGGAATGTAAAGGGTCTCTGGGAGGCTGCATCCATTATCAAGAGAAGGGATGGTTGGAAAGGGTTCTTCAGAGGGTTGAAACCGAGAATTGTAACCACGATGCCGAGCACAGCTATCTGCTGGACGGCGTATGAGATGGCAAAAGCTTTCTTCATTGCGCGGAACGAATCCTAAAGGACGGATTCTACGCTAGGTCACGACCTGTTGCGTCGCTGGAACAAAACCACTTCGTTCCAAGACATGTCTCCGATAACCCTAGGTACTCCATCGGGCGTCGATCTGCTCTAATAGTTTTTTTTCTGCTTGATATAGACATCGCCAGAAACGTTCTTGTGCCGTTTATGCAAGCATGGCGAATGAGGGCTCTGGATATCGGATCTATTGGTCCTTGTCACATGCATATATAGACAAACAACGGGATACGGCGTCTTCCTCTCTCCTGTGCGTAGGAACAATTTTACGGGACGATGTCAGAAAAGAAAAAGAAGTCATCAGGGCGCTTTTCGCTACAACAACGGTGGAGTTATGCTTCTAACCAACGTAATACCTACCTCCGCACGGTGGCGAGTCGGCGCTGAATTCTTTTCTCGTGTCTGGCGCTCAAGATTTACAATTTCAACTGAGTTTGGCTTTTCCATTGCTGTTCGACACGATGTATGAATGTTGATAAAGCGTTTTGAAGCGAGATGGGCGGATTGCCAAAGTGTTCCGTGTGATCGATTCGAAGGTGGTAGCGTGAGGCTGCGGTACTAGTTGATGGGGACATACGTCATGTGGCATTTCGTTCCCAAGATCGTTTAAACTCTGAAGCCGCAACCCAGCTGGAGACACACGCAGCCTTACATTCTACAACCGTCCCCACTGCTCCTCCTCCCAAGTCGGACCTCTTTTCCAAGTTCGCTTTCTCTAACTATACAAACATGCGCCTGCACACCCGCCACAAGGAATAGGCAAGCTCTGGAAAACGGAAGAAAGTAGAAAACAAGAAATTAGGCTTCAAAATGTTGTCTCGAAAGCCTATCAATTATATGCAGAAGACGTACGATGACTGTTACCTCGTGTGTTCGACCGCCGTGTATTTCGAGACACAAAATAACGAAGCCGAGGCCTTACGGAGCTGGAAAAATGCACTGGAGCAGATTCGCTACCACAATGCGTACAGGCTCCCTGCTGGTTATACGCCCAAGAGCGAGACCGAGCGCGCTCTGATGGAAAGCTTGAGGCAAATGGAGGAGCAATGCAAAGAGCGTGTGGATTTACTCGAAGCACTGAAGAGGAGTCGAGAAGAGGTTGAGGATAAGGACAAGAAAGAGAGCAGCGTGAGAAGCCTCCCATGGCATAATGGTGGCGATCCTGTGACCATCTCGAAAGTGGACGGTTGGTTGGGTGGAGGGACGGTACCGCCTAGCTCGTACGATGCTATCTCGAGGCCACCTCCGTTGCCGAATAGACCGTCTTTACCATCACGACATGCAAGTCAGGAGGGGCGTGCCGTCGCTCAAAGGACGACAAGCTTAACATCCCCACTACCAGAGCCTGAGCTGCCCAGCCTCACTCCATTCGCGAGTAACTCAAGAATATCTTCCAAATCCTCTAGAACACCCAGCCCGGATAAAAAAGAACGCAGCCTGTTGCGGACTCTAAGACCAGACGGCGAACCCAAGAAGAAGAACCTCCCGATTCGACAGAAGGCTCCTGTACCAGCTGCAAAAGCCGCCGCTCAAGCGTGGGTGCCGAACCGACCCGCTTCGTCATCAAGCCTCGTCGTCCAGTCTTCTGATAACGCAGCCAAAGCTGCAAGCAGAACTAGCCTTTCGCCCAGCAACGCGGCTAACACCAAGTTGCCCAGGGACAGAGACAGGTTGCGGAAATCTGAGCCAGTACAACTACCGTATCGAAAGGAGTATGCTCAAGCTTGCCAAACTCCAATAAATACGGAAGATGCAATTGCCACTGCAAGAAAGAGACACGGAAGGAGGTCATCCCCGCCTGAGGCGGAACATGCCTCTGCAAATGATTATTCTGAAAACTCGCCTGCACGGTCGAACGTGGAACTATCTTCAGCCCTTAGCCGCGAAGAGGGAGCACGTGTGAGACGGAAGCCCATTGCCAGACGCCAGGAGGAGGAGCCCGTTATCTTAGGTGAAGAGTCCTCATCGTCTCCAACTTCAAAAGGCCACCGCAGCTCCGATGACGATCACCTCGTTAGCCCGGATGAACGTCTCTGGAAAGAAAAAGTGAATCGAATTATGAAACGACTTCCAAAAGGCGTAGACGAGGCATCAGCCAAGGCAATTTTGAACGACATTGTTGTACATGGTGATGAAGTACATTGGGACGACATTGCTGGCCTTGATGTTGCTAAGAATGCACTGAAGGAGACAGTTGTATACCCGTTTTTGCGCCCAGATCTCTTCATGGGTCTCCGCGAGCCGGCACGAGGCATGCTGCTTTTTGGCCCCCCAGGTACGGGCAAAACCATGCTCGCCCGGGCGGTAGCCACCGAATCTAAATCCACTTTCTTCGCAATTTCTGCCTCTAGTTTGACATCCAAGTTCCTAGGTGAGTCAGAGAAGCTCGTTCGAGCACTGTTTGCGCTCGCCAAAGCTCTTGCTCCGTCTATAATTTTTGTCGACGAAATCGATTCGCTCCTCTCATCGCGGGGGGACAACGGCGAGCACGAAGCTACTAGGCGCATCAAAACTGAATTTCTTATTCAGTGGTCTGATCTTGCACGCGCAGCGGCTGGACGAGAGCAGTCAGACAGGGACAAAGAGAGAGGAGACGCAAGTCGCGTACTAGTATTGGCCGCAACGAATATGCCGTGGGCAATTGATGAAGCAGCAAGGCGGAGATTTGTTAGAAGGCAATATATACCGTTACCTGAGGACCATGTGCGAAAAATGCAGATTGAGACATTGTTGGGGCATCAGAAGCATGATTTGACACCGCGAGAGATTGACCAACTTGTGAGGCTAACAGTTGGTATGCTTGCACCTTCTCTTTCTTCTCATCTCTTCTGTTTGGCTCGTAAATACTGATTCAATGTGTAGGTTTCTCCGGCTCTGATATAACAGCACTGGCTAAAGATGCGGCAATGGGACCGTTAAGAAGCTTGGGCGAGGCATTGCTCAGCATGAGCATGGATGATATACGTCCGATTCAAATGCAAGACTTTATCAATAGCTTGAAGAGCATTAGACCGAGTGTTTCGAGACAAGGTCTTAAGCAATTTGAAGACTGGGCGAGAGAGTATGGTGAGAGAGGCGGCTGATGCACGAGTATACAATAGTATGCCGTTACACTTAAGAACTGAATCGCTTAGGAATGAATAAACTATCCCCAGTGGTCGAAAAGTATGCGGGCTCACAATTTTTTAAAGTCGATGTGATTGTAAAACATAGCATGGTATCTATCGTCATTACATATTACGACGGAAATGAATAAAACGTACACCTGCCAGTTACAGCCAAGCCCAAAACTTCTCCCACGCATTCCGTGGCTCTGGCTCATCCCATACTATGGCATCAACCTCCCTCCTACCACTATCCAGATCCATGTCTTTCAACTTGACTAACTTCGTCCTATACAACGCCCAGTGCCCAACAGCCAAAACAACAAACAAGATTAAGCTCACATAAGCAATGAAAAAGCTCTCCGTATCCCAAGGGATAAACGACGTGAAGCCTTGCGTAAGGATGATGAGAATATTGAAGAACAGGCCGTAATACGCTGCCCAAGGCTGGAAGGGTGCTTTGTAGGGAAGAGCGTCGCGAGACATGCCACGAACGTGCAGTGCACGCATGAAGCGGATGTGGCAGTAATTTATGCAGGCCCAGGTGATGAAACCGGCTACAGCAGTTATATTAAGGAACCAATTGAAGACCGTGCCGCCGTTGTTGCTGAGATTCATGAAGCCCAGAAGTCCAAAGGCTGAGGTCATGGCTACGGCCGCGTAAGGTACGCCGCCCGCAGTGACGCGCTGAAAGAATGCCGGGGCGAGACCCTCGCGGGAAAGGGCCAGAATGATACGCGAGCCAGAGTAGACATTTGAGTTTGCTGCGGAGAGCACAGCGGTGAGTAGGACAGCGTTTATGATTGATGGAAGCACCTTAATGCCAGCAAGCTTGGCTGCGATGACTAACGGGGAGGCAGAAGCATTCGAGCTATCAGTAAGAAGCTCCTCGTTGTCATATGGCACGAGCAAACCAATGAAGAAGATGGTCAGGCAGAAGAGGAAGATGATCCGGTAGAAGGTCTTACGGATCGCAGAAGGCATTGTTTTGCGCGGGTTGGCAGTCTCGCCAGCGGCAATTCCAACGAGTTCGGTTCCTTGATAGGAAAATCCGGCCTGCACAAGCACGCTCCAGAAGCCGATGAACTTCGCGAGAGGCACATTATTCCCCACTTCTTCGAGAAGTGATGGAGCGAAAGGACCGGGGTGGACCCAATTGTGGAAACCAAGATACGGCTGTTGGCCGACACCGCAGTCGACACAGATAGCGAATATCATGAAACCGAGGATGGTGATGACTTTGATGCTGGCGAAGAAGAATTCGGCTTCACCATAAGCTCGAACAGGGAGGAAGTTGACCGCAGTAAAGATAAACCAGAAGACGCCAATCCAGATTCCAACGTTCAGGGTTGAGTCCCAGTATTGGATAATCAAACCGGAAGCAGTCAACTCGAGAGCGAAGGTGACGGCCCAGGAAAACCAGTATATCCAACCCATGGCGAAACCTAATGTAGGGCTAACAAAACGTGACGCATATGCTGTGAAGGATCCAGCGACGGGAATGTAGGTGGCCATCTCGCCAAGGGAGACCATGACGGAGAAAACAATGGTCCCGACAAATAGGTAGGCAATGAGACAGCTTATGGGACCTGCGGTGGCCAGAGCACTACCAGAGCCTAAGAATAATCCAGTCCCGATAGTGCCGCCTATTGCAATCATTTGTATATGGCGGTTCTTGAGGTTACGCTTTAACGCCTCAGTCTCTCCAATCTCAGAGGTTTTGTCGCTGCCGACGCGACTTGTCTCCAGGCTCTTCTCATCCCGCTCCCCTTGCTTCTCGAGGTCGCTGTTGCCGTCCATTTTCGAAGTTCTTCCCGACACTGTCACCAGTCCTTTTGAAGGGGAGAAAGAGTCTGAAGAGAAAGAACGAGATCTAACAGCTACAAGGGGGCCACCTTAAACACTCGAATTTGGACGGTCGAGTGGGGATAATTAGACGTCTCCACAAAAGAGAAGAGTAAAAAGCTCAGGACGGTCGGCCAGGATTGAGAGAGCATCATGAAAGGCTATTTAACCGTGACCAAGGTTTGAAGATTCTTCACGCCGCTAATCAGAATGACAACGGCAATTTTGTCAACTCCCAACAGTATCGAACACGGCTTCAGCTAAGGTCAAAGTTATAGTGGGTACCTGGTCTCGGGCGTCAAAGGGCGTGAGAACGGCAACATTTCAAAGCACAGCGGGAGCAGCCGATGACTACAGGGCATATTGCCGTCTACGGTATCGTCGATGCGCGCTACAGTTGATTTTCGCACAGGGTTATGGCAACGCTGGGTGGCATGATAAAATTTCTTCGCGCAAATTTGCGCTTAGGAGGAGGCGATTCTTCTAGTGGGGACCGACGGCAGCCGAGAGACGACGCGGCGGCGGATCAATGGCACCATATCAACGCCACTTGAGTTTGAAAAGGCTGCTGTTGAGGTTCCTCTCTATTGCCTTTTGAGTAGAAGGATCGTCTGAAGAAAGGCTTTTTCTGATCACCACATGGCAATGGTCGTGCATCAACATTTTTTAGCGTACGAATTCCGAAGTGGGATATGGAGAGTCGGAACCGGCCTAATTTGCTTCGTCCGTGCCCGAACATCCTGAGTATGACTGTACTCGGTACGCTCAAGGCGTTCACGGAAGATCTTCGGGAACGGCTTGGCTTGCCAGTTTTATTCCCGGTATACTGGCCCTTCTATACTTTGAAAAATCAAGACAATTGTGCAAATGTAGCAGTTGGCGATACAGATGCAACATGAATGCAATTGCTCCTTCACAACGCCAAGATCGTTTCGTGAAAAAATGTGGTACCGGCATCCGCCGTAGGTAGAGACGTAGACGCAGGCATATAGCGCGGCAGCACTGTCAATTAAGCCCGGCAAAAGGAGGTTCTGTGGAGCAAAACCTAAAGTGAGTGCTTAGTCGATTCAATATCCGGCAACATACCGATCATTTGTGGCAACTAACTTTCCAGCGAGAGAACGGGTCGACCTCCGGATGAGATGTCCCCAAACGTAGCTGCTGGCCTCATCGTTACATCTCGCACACGACGCTCCGTTTCAAATATAGATCTACGTTAAATCAGTCATTTTTACCCCGCACTCAGAAGGTCATGGATCCACTGGATATTCATCCTACGGCTCTGATGCTGTACAATCTAATTGGCCATCTCGGCCGCAACGACTAATCATCCAAATCTAGTGTCAAGGTCGCACACACAAGGCGCCGGACGTCGTTGTAACATTCCGAGTCCGGATTTGAAGCTCCTGTTACTACATGAAAAGATTCCGAACATTTTGCTGGTTCATATCGCAACCTCTTAAAAGTTCCTACGCGATATTGAGAAATGAATCAATCGCGTCCGTCTTTACTTACACTACTAGCTGTTTAACATCAGTATTTGTGAGCTCAACATGGCCATGTTCCCGAAGACTGGTGTTCTCGTGGAGGCAGAAGAGTTCAAAGACTATGGCGGATGGATAATAGATTCTCAATTTGAAGCCGAGATGGGTTCGCCATATCTCCTTGCTCATGGGAATGGCGTGCCGGTAGCTGATGCGACGACCTCGGTCAGCGTCAAAGACAGCGGTGAATATCATGTCTGGGTTCGCGCTAAGGATTGGGTGCCCGGACACCACCCTGGAAGATTCTCGCTTGCTGTCAACGGAGAGGTACTTGGTGTAGAATTCGGAGCGAATGATGCCGACTGGAGCTGGGAGTTCGGAGGCAAGGTGCGGATCAATGCCGGCGATGTCATATTACGACTCCATGATTTAACGGGATTCTGTGGACGATGTGATGCGATCTTTTTGACTCAAGAGGCCAAAGCTCCACCCAACGGCAATGACCAGCTAGAAAAATGGAGGCGACAACTTCGTGGTCTGCCCTATGAACCAACCATTGCTGGACATTTTGATGTTGTTGTAGTTGGAGGAGGCTTACCGGGCTGCGTCGCGACACTGGCAGCTGCCAGGTTGGGAGAGCGAGTTGCGTTGGTCCAAGATCGCCCGTATTTAGGTGGAAATGCGAGTATTGAGATTGGCTTAAGCCCACGAGGTGTCGTGTCCGCACTGACGGACGAGGTCTACCAACGCGACGCGACGGGAGACTTGATCGCCCTACAACTTTTGAAGGCCGAAAAAAACGCTTCAGTCTATCTTGAGCATTCTGTCATGAAGACCACCGTTGCTGGAACCAAGATTGTGTCAATAGATGCCCGTGATGCGAAGAGTGGGAGGGAAAGTCGTTTTTTTGCACGAATCTATATCGACTGCTCAGGAAAGGCCATACTAGGCCTTCTTAGTGGCGCTGAGACGTTGTTTGGTAGAGAATCACAATCCGAGTATGGAGAAAGCCTTGCCCCAAAGCAGAAAGATAACATGCATCATGGCAACACTCTCTTCTTCCGCACTCGAATGGCCAACAAGCAGGTTTCCTTCCCCGACGTGCCTTGGGCAACAGAGGTAGCAAAGGATTATGCCGATCTTAGTGGACAGCTGATGCAACCAGGACATGAGAACGGACCTGGTCCTCGAATCATCAAACCTGCACAAATTCCCCAACAGGCTGTCGCGAAGCGGATGAGCTTGCCACTCACGCATTACTGGGAGTACGGTCAAAAGCTGGACCCGTATTCGCAAGGTGAGCATATACGCGATCACTTGCTCCGAGCCGTCTACGGCACCTTTTCCAACGTGAAGCGCGGAGATCCTCAAAAGTACGCCAACCTCACGCTTGACCACGTTGCTCATGTCGCAGCACAAGGGCAATTTCGGCGATACAAGGGAGACTACGTCTTGTCGGAGGTTGATATCCGCAATCATCGTAGATTCGATGACGCTGTCGTTCAAAACAGAGGGGCGTTCTGCCTCCACTACGGGGGCCACGAAAAGTACGATTTCCGATTGGCATGGTGGGAATGGGATGAACGCGATGGGAGGGATTATGAAATTCCTTTTCGGTGCTTGTATTCTGCCAGCATCTCCAACTTGATGATGGCTGGCAAGCATATCAGTGTGACTCATGTGGCCGGATCCAATACGAAGTTCATGGGAAACGGTGGCGAGCACGCGATTGCAACTGCGGCAGCGGCTCATTTGTGCAAGAAATATCGATGCTTACCCCGAGAGCTGCGACATCAGCATATTAGCGAGCTTCGTCTTTTATGTTCAAGAATTAGCGAGAGAAGCCTGCCAACAGCTAAGAGCCATCTCTAAATGAATGACGTTTACCGAGTTGATTTAGGCAGTTCAATAGTAAACAAATTATGCTTAAGCTCATCTGTTGGTATTCTGAGCCATGTGCTTCTATTATACGAGACTTCTTTCGGCTAAGTCAAAGCTAGAGTCCTCTCTTTCTACTCTACTAATCCAGTCAATAGGAGAAATTTGACTTACAAAATGCCCTTGCTACCCCACCTCGATCGCCCATTCACCAACAGCGCGCTGCTGCGGCGTCCGCATCGCAGTCAAGTGACCTTGTCAGACCTGTTCTCGTCAGCGGTACCTTGGCTTGGCAACGACTTTATATGGACCACAAAGTTTAGGGCCGTGTTCAAATTATTTCGCACGCACAATAATTAATGTTTCTGCGCGAGATGCATATAAATGATCTCTTTTAAGCTCTTTCGGATAGAACAAGAACTCGAATTTGATCGTACGGCGTGCTGAGGCTGCAGGAAGCACTCTGCCAAAGGCGCGCATTGGTATGCGCAACACGCGTAAGTTCGGAAACAGATCTGGCCAGTTTCTTTGAACAATATTCGAACCTCCGCTGCAATACGCTACGCTTCTATATTCAGATATTTGAAGCCGAGGAAATCTTGCATCGAAGTCTTCTAGGGGTCTACATGAGCTGAGGGAAGTGCCCACTGCCTGATCAGCAACTTCAGAAAAAACTCCTGCAATGCAGTGAATTGGCACCATATATCTTGCAGTCTTCCCTCATAGTTCAAGTATATGCTGACTAAATATGGAGCTTCTGTAAGTGACCAAAGTTAGTGAAGCGCAAGAGATGATCAGCTCCAATTTTACTTTAGCGACTATTAGCACAGAGATATCTTTATTCCAAGGTACGTTTGAGGCGTTCAGAATCGTCGTGCATTATATCGGTTGACTCATCGCTCTCAATAAATAACTCTATCAGGGTACCAGGCAATCGTGTGGGGATGCTGTTTTCCCCCCTGGCGAATTGACTAAGCCAAGTACTGGCCGGGCCAGATCCTACCAGTTCTTCATTCATGTAAGACCGTTCTGCGCTTTTCAGGACGTATTTTGGCGGATATTGAGGAAGCTATCCAGCTTTACAGCTCAATTTCATTAGATTTGGTAAAGAATCAATGAAGTTTTGCAAGTACTGGTCCTTCCAGAGCAGTGGGTCACAAAGGTCAATCCAATTCGCTTGGAATCCTTCTCCAAACCCTGATAATGCTTCATATCTTGTCCCTTGGAAGCCTTGAAGAGGATTCGCAGCTTGGAAAGCGTTGCTCGCAACGCCTATTCGCCGATGAGGAATCGTCGTTGTAGCTTCTTCAACTTTAGCAGCTTGATCCGTGTTTACCTTGCAAGTTCTGAAAAGCTCAACGAGATGATTAAGATATTCTTTGATCTTCTTCGACTCGATCGTAGTCCTATTAATTCCACTGAGATCGGGATACGGCACTTCAAGGCACCCTCATAGAGCTTTCCTTGCGCTCGAGATGGTACAAAATGTTATCCAGGAGTTCATTTGAAAAATAGATCAAATACTCTGCTTGACCATAATTATGGCAGATCTTGTGTATGAAAGAGAAACTGCAGTTGAAGAACGTAAAAGAACCACGAGCACTGTGCTGTTTAATTTCAAAAATCTTAAATACTGACACGATAAGTCACTCATAGATGAATTTGAATCCGTACTTTGCACAGACTCAGTAGGAATAAATGAGCATTGATAAGAGTGAAGGTTGGACATATCAGTGCCAATATCAAATTGCCACGAGTTCGAATTGACGAAAACTTCGAGTTGGAGCAACCATTAACGGGTTTCATATATCCTCAATCTTGTAGACCTCATAAGCAACTACTTCATAAGGATGTGCCCTGGATCTCATTTTAGTCTCCGCCTCTGAACCGGCATATGATGATTCTTCAAAAAACCTACTTCTTTAATGCCTCCACTACTCGTTGTGCAACGTCCCTTCCATTAATCACCGTCTCCACTCTAATCTCCTCAAGCTCTTCCAACTTCCCAAGTTCACCTATGTTCGGCTTCGCGCCATCAATGGGTCTGAACTGGCCTGTTCCAGACGTCTGGAAGCAACACTCAGCGTAGTTCGGGTATCGACCAGCGCCCGCGTCAAAGATGGCTTTCTTGCACACATTGAGAGCTGTTGGTGGAACAAAGAAAACGAGTTTGAAGCGGGGAACTGAAGATGCCATGTTCTTACGGAGACAAGAGATTTTTCATAAAATTTGTGAGCAGTGGAATGTATGTGCAAATTGCAAGCAAAATAGGCGGGGCTCCTCACTCAAACCACACGTGACGGCGTGTATGTTGGCCCAGGTCCACCATCGATACTGCCTTGGAACATATAAGCAGCGACATCTAGAACATATTTCGAGAATAATTCGATATGGTGCCAGAAGGGCCGAGGCTATTCGTTCTTCGCGTCCTGTTATACAAGCTCCATTTTCGTCCCTCTTCTGCGTAACAGACTGCTCTAGATGCTAATAGTACAATACCTTGTGAAGCCGCTTTTCAGAAACCTTTCTCTGCCAGAAATCTTTCAATCTTTGCCTTATGATGACCCTTAACATACACATGCCCTGTCACCTTCCCAATCCATACCTTTTCCGCCTCGACGCCTAATAACTCGCGGATGGCATCACGCAGAGGCCGTGCATCTCCAGAAATCTTCCGTATAATGGTCTCCTTTCGTGTATTCCCGTTCCTCGTATCGTGGTAGACAGGTAGGTTATTCGAAGGGGTTCTTGATACGTGATAAGGGAGAAGGGGTGAAGAAGAAGGAGCCATTTCAGTAGAGCCGGAGGCTGTTTGTGATCGCTGCGACCGCATTGAATCTGACGGGATTTCATTTTTCGAGACCGATCTCGACGAGGGAAGATCATTCCCTAAGTCATCAACGGCGATGTTATCTGACAATCGAGACGCTGGTTCATTCGTGTTGTGGATAGGAACGATGCGCCTCGGTGGTGTTGTAGTGAAAAGCGCTCTTCGCACTGGCGCCGGACTTGAGCTAAATATCGCTCTATAGAGCCCTCGACTTGATGTTCGCAACAACATGATGCTCTACTGCTTTCAAAATCTTGTGCGCGTAGACATGGGCGATGAACGTCCAGGTTTTGTAACGTGTTAACGACACTCGAATTTGCGTCGTCAATTGCAATATCGTGAGATTTGTACCAATCTGAGGGTTGCAAGTGGATGGCAGGTGTATCAATAAAGAGTTCTGCTGCAATGGAAAAGGGTGTCGCGGAAGCAGTACGAGACACAGATGAAAGACTATGCTCCGTGTCTGTCTTGCTAACAAAAAGTTCCCAGGGCGAGGCCGCCGCAGGCTGACCACTTTTCCGGTTTTCCTCCGCACGAAGGGCCCCACCAGGGGATCAAAATTCTGAAAGCTAACAACAGAGACGCCCATACACCACGATCGGCGTCTCGACACCACACAAGAAATCGAGCGTACTTCCCCGTCGCAATCATGGCAGACTCGAACAGCGCATCGGAGGACATTGTCGAGAAGTACGATGTCCTCCCCAAGATGATCCAATATCTCGACAGACACCTCATCTTCCCACTGCTTGAGGACCGAGAAGACACAACGGAGAACAAAAAGCTCAAGGCCGCGCTTCTCAAAGGTACAAATATGTTCGATTATTTGGGCAAGTTGGACGCGGAGATCAAGGGTCTGTCACAACCAGCGAAGGAGTACGCACAAAAGCGGGATGAGGCGATCGCGAAACGCGATCAGCTTGCACAGCAGACAGAGAAGCTGAGAGGACTGCTAGAGGATGAGGCAGTCGTATCAAACTTCAGGAGTGACAAGGTGGCCAACTTGAAGTATTTGGAGACGGAGCATGGCGTCACCAGCGATATGGTGAACGCTTTGTACGATTTTGGCAACTTCCAGTACAGCTGTGGCGAGTACGTGCAGGCTGCCGATTTACTCTATCAGTTCAGAGTCCTGGTAAGTTACTCCCCTGTCGACATGACCAGAGAACGTTTTCTAATCCGAGCGACAGTCAACGGATAATGATAAGGTCGCGTCGGCTACATGGGGCAAACTTGCCTCCGATATCCTCTCGACAGAGTGGGAGACTGCTATGGAGGAGATCACGAAGGTCAAGGAACTCATCGACACACGGCTCTTCAACAACCCACTTGCACAGCTGCAGCATAGGACATGGCTTCTCCACTGGGCTCTCTTCCCCTTTTTCAACTACGAAGGAGCCCGCGACACCCTTACAGATCTCTTTTTTTCCCCAGCCTATATCAACACGATACAGACTCTCTGCCCGTGGCTCCTAAGATACCTCACTGCTGCTGTAGTTACTGGACGATCGCGTACCAAAAACTCGAATACGTACCAGAAGCAGTTGAAGGACCTAACGAAGATCGTTAACCAGGAGGGCTACGAATATTCGGACCCCCTAACACAATTCATCAAGGCCTTAAACATTGACTTCGATTTCGAGGAGGCACAGAAGAAGCTGGGAGAGGCGGAGCAGATTCTCGCAGAGGATTTTTTCCTGCGTAACTTGACCGACACCTTCGTTGACTCAGCACGCCATCTCATCTCGGAAAGCTACTGCAAAATCCATCAACGCATCGACATCAAGTAAGCCTCCTTAATCCCCTTCTCCCCCTTCCCTTCACATAGTCATATCGTGGAGGTACATTGCTGTGAACCTACTGACGCCACGCTGCAGGGATCTCTCGACCCGCCTTAACCTCTCGCAAGCTGAAGGTGAAAAGTGGATCGTAAACCTCATCCGTGACACACGCGTGGATGCGAAAATCGACTACCAGCAGGGCACGGTTGTGATGAATCATCCACCACAGTCTGTCTATCAGCAGGTTATCGAGAAGACGAAGGGCGGCTTCTTCAGGACGACTGTCATGTATGCTGCTGTAGGCAAATCGTAAAGCCGTCATTACTTTTCTGTCGAGCAGCTTCTCAAGATCCTGCGTCCTATCTGCAGCAAGCCTGGATCGATTCGTTGGACGATGTTGTTTCCGGCGATCAGCTGCAGACCTAGAGATTGGTTGTTTGAATCACAAGTGTGTGCTAGGTTCAAATCTAGCGGTGCCGTTTTCGCGTTGTGAGCACTGCAATCTTCGGAAATGCTTGAGCCCGATCGGATCTTCATTTCAAACACTGAGAATGAAGTGTACGATGTGGCTAGATGAAAACCAGTAGGTGATGAACCTGGTTGGGCCTTCCCATGTACTTCTGCACGTAGACGCGTGTTTTGCGTCAGGTCACACTCTGAAAGTGGGGCTTTTATTTCGTTTGTTCGGGATGAATATAGCATGAGCATGTATGGCATCACCATGAGGGCGTCATTTTTCTAAGGCTTAAACAAGTAGGAGTGTGGTGACTGGAGTAAGCCGGCTTCGCGTCATATACCGTAGGCAGTTCAAAAAACTTAGACAACATCGCGTGAATTGTCTGAGCAATGAAGACTAAAGGATTGAAATGAATAGAGACAGTGTCACCTTCCAAAGCCCTTATTCCGCCATTCATGCCAACAACATACCTACGCCTGGAAAGGGGACACAGGAGCGGGTGAGAAAGTGCAGACAAAATATTTGTCGACATTAGGGTACGCAAAGCGAGCGCAAGCTGAACCAGAGCCGTCGCTCTGCTGTGCTACATTTGTCCAGCCGAACTGCTGTGAAACCCCCTCCCTTGGAGGTTCGCCCTGGGCCCGCGGCCTCGCGTAAAGTTTGCGATTCATCATATCACAGCATCTACCGATAGGACGGAACGACGCTTTCACATGCTCTGCAAGATCGTGCCGAAGTCCTTTGGTATGCGAGATACTGTGTGCTACTCGCGGAGGAGTCACGATGTGAACTGTCGCAGAACCGTCGTCCCGCAAGACGCGACAAGGCCTGGCCGTGCCCTTCCGTGTTGCCTCTGCCCTGCAGGATCAGCGCGGCGGTGAGATTGCAAGGCTTTCAGCCAGCGGGTCAGGGGAGCAAGGCGAAGTGTTGAACGGGTTCATGAAGCGGGCGCGGTTCGTCTTGGAGTGTGTTGTGTTTGCAGAGCCAGGCCGTTCACAGCAAAGGATCGCTCGTGATGGTCAAAGGGCAATTTCCAATTTGACATCGACAGGGCTATGTCCTCTTTAAGTAACTCCTGCAGAACGCTGTCAAGATGTTCAAATTTAAACCGACTACGGGTTCTGTCTCAGGAGCCACCTGCAGGACTCAATAACGTGTTCTGTAAGCAGGTGAACGAGTTTAGTGACAATAACCTACTTGCCTGGACGAGCTGATCTCTACTCTCTACAAAATATTGGTATCTGCTCCATCCTATGGTCCAACGTGCTATTCAGATCTGTACTCCGTGTTTACTCAATGAACACGAACTGAGTACAAATTTGAACTCGTTGGGCGCATATTCCTGAGACAGAAGGGAGGTGATCAAGTAAAATTGGTGTAGACAAAGTATGCTAACTAAACTGAGGAATACCCCAACCATTAAGATTTCGAAGTGCTCCAGGCCTACGCTGCTGGAAGAGGAGCCTTCACAAAGACAAAATTAATTTTGTGACTAAGTTTGGCCACTGAGACTCTTGGCCTCGATCCTGCTGATGCACCTTACGGTGCTTGCCATCGTCTCCCAGTGGAGTGTGTTGGGCTGGCAAAAATAGAGATAGCCAGACTTTTGGAACTCCGGTAAGATACATCGAAGGGCCATCTAAAAGCGGCCCGTCTGCTCTAGCAGCGTGAAGTCTGGCCCTGAATAGCGCCACTAGGGTTCTCAGCCTTGTCCGACGGCTCTCCAAGATCCACAACAGATAGTACAGCTCATGGCGTTGGGCGATCTTGGAAAATCATTACCGTTCACAGTTGCGATTTGCTCACGGATCCTACCAGGTCCGTAACTAGACGTAGAATTAAGAGTTGCTTTGTTCAAATGGTTGTTTGAAAGAGCCTTACAAGAACCTAGCCACTCATAACGAAAACATAACACGGATTGGCAAAGCATGTTGGCTCGAACTACGCAAAGGGGATAAGCCCATGATTACTGAAGTGGGTAATTCTTCGACAGGACCCGATATCCAGGTGACGACACCAGTACAAACACCATAGGTGCGTTTGTAAGTCCTAATCAAGCGTTATGAAACAAAGTACGCGATTGTGCCCAAACATACGGAACAAGCGTTTTTTTTTTTGGGGGGGGGGGGGGGGGGCGGCCGTAAAGTGGGGTAGACAGATGCTAATGGTGGTTCTTAGATGTGGAATATGAGGTGTTACGAGCAAGAAGCTGGGCGAAGTGGTTTTTTCGATACTCTCGTATGTGTGAGTGGCAAAAAAAATTGAGCGGTCAACTCAAAACACCGGTGCAGTTATGGGGACCTGGATGCTCGGAAGTAAGCTGTCGTGTCTTCTTCGGAGAACATACAGGGCAGGACCTCCTCACTCATTGCGTGAAGTGTTCTACACTCAGAATTAAAGTCATACGAAAGATGAAAAACGGTTTTGCTGCAGCCACGAAGAATAGAGGAGCGTCAGCAAGCCGTGTTCTCGCCAAATGTCTAAAGCAGCGAAAGTATTGCTGGCCTTGATTCTTGGACTAGCAGGTTTCTAGAAGCATGATTTGGCGATTGCTGTTCTATAAGCTAGTGGCTGATAGGCTGATGTTGATCTGACAAGGTAGCAGGATTGCGAGACTGTGTACTTGAAAGTAGATACTGGGGACCCCAGGTCGAAAATGCAAGCCGCGAAGCTAGCGGTAGCCCAAGTAATAATGCAGGGAGTCGCAGTTGGTGTTGAGCTTCGCTCTGCCGCTGCCGGACCACGCTGGCGGAGCGAAGTGGCTCCGTCGTAACAACAGTCCAGTTGCTGGGGCGAAGCGGACTGATGGTGTCGCTGCTTTGGGCCTTGCCACGAAAGAGAGCATGGAGACGGCTCAACTACGATTGGTCCTTCATTGAGGTGATAACACTTTCCCTGTTCTTATCGTTTAGCACTTTGATTTCGTTGAGGGTGAAGCATCGAAAATGCGATCAACACGGGTGAATAGATGTGGCGTGAGGTCTTTTGATAGGAGGCTATCGCTGGAGCCGAGGTGCGCATTTGCAAGGGATTTCGTTACGCTTGTGTCATCACAAGGGAAGATGCAGGTGTTAGGACATCGCGTGTAAGCAGAAAATTAATTATCGCGATAACGTGCTTCGGGGTGTGGCAACGAGTGGGTCGTTGTGCCTGGGGGTTTTGTCTAGGATACAAGTCCCAGCTAGGTGACCTGGACGATTGCGGAAACCAAGTGAGAGAGCATCACCCGAGGCAACCCAAAAACAATACGGGCCAACTTGCAGATGTGCATGTTGCTATTCTGCTATACAACAGTTCGGGTGGACAGGAAAGCGATCTTGTCTCGAGAGGCAGAACGAGTCCGGCACATGATACAGGGCTGATATGAGAGATACAGAGCACTGGTTCACCGTTATCTAGGTCTACCTCTCAAGCTCCGGCTAACTGGTCGCATGGCAAAGGTGAAAAAAATATAGAAATGTCCAGACAGGAGCGAAATAAGTGTTGTCGGCATCAGCACAAGCAAATGCATCGAACAATAGCACCAACCAAAGAGGAATTAAGCCTTTTCTACTTTTTAATTCCTGGACAAGTTTGAGGCTTGGACTGGGAACATAGTCGACCAAGATGTGCAGATTCCTCCGCCTCACGGCCACGCTTGTCATCAAGGGAGGTTGGTTGGTGGAAGGCAACGGACTAAACCACATCGATTGATAGGCCAAAATGATCGCACACCAAAGTTCGAAGCATTAAATAAGCGCCCGCGCGAGCTCCCCACTATGGCTGAATTGGTTAACTTGAAGTTAACTTGTGCAAAGCTGATGACATCATCTCTTGCTCTAAGTTAAGCTATAATGTGTCAAGGAAGCCTGCGCTTTGTGTCTGATGAACGGGCAACTTGGCCCCTTGGTACCGAAGTCATCGTGATGGGATTTTCCGGATAAACAACTTTTCGATGATGCGGCAGATCGTACCACGCGATCGTCGATAATGGAAATCGCATCCTCCGAGAGAAAAAATTGGTTCCTGGCCAGCGGCGCGATCTGGAGGGTGCAGATCCATCCACGATCGAGAAAGAGAAATCAGGCACTAAAATTTTCACAGCACAGTGAAACGTACCGTACATAGTTCAAAATACAACAATGCAGGCGCAGGAACCCTTTCCACTGATCTCATTTTTTTTTTGGGGGGGGGGGGGCGGGGGATTCTTGTCCTGTTCGAGCTCTCGTCCATCTCTGTTCTGATTTGTTCGAGAGGACACATGCAGCCAGATTGAATGCAGGTCGAGCAGAGCTGCTTGGCAGATACGCCGACCGACTGTGCTAGGATTCTCCCACCGTGTCCAACGCAGGCACGGAAATGCTGACTTATCCCGACAGACTTCGGGGTGCACCAGCGTGGCGACGTGGACCGGATTGGCTCTTCGGGCGTGCCTCCGTACGTACATGTTGAAAGGCACGAGCAGTCCACTCTACAGTACTCTCGCGTGCGCTGGGGGCTGCCTGTGGTTTGGACCATCGTCGTCTTTCGTTGCAATACTGTATGCACCCAGCGGAGACTGCGTGTATTTGAAAGGCGCGGTCAATGGCGGTCGCCTTCAATTGGATCCACAGAGAGCGCCGAAGAAATAGTCAAGTCGCGTACAAAGTTCTGATCCACAGGTACCTCGACGCTATATGACTTGCGCAAAGATACGTGTGCGGATCGCGATTACGGACGAAAAAGAGGACCACGGATCAGGGGTTAGGGAAGAAAATGAAATGGTTGCTCCGAAGAAAACTAAGCGCGATCGTCGATCTGACAGAGAGGTGCAGATCTACGTGGAGAATGCCACGCCATGCGGAAGCAGGAGCCATGGCGGCTGTCAACGCCATAGCCGGGGCGAGAAGGGATGTGAACGAGTGACGCAGCGTGGAAGGGGGCGAGAAGAGCCGACGGCTGGGGCGACGTGCAGCTCGCCTATCTGAAAGACTCACCGATCGCAGCGTTTCGGCCGATTACAGTACGGTATGGAACAAGTCAGCGGGCTGCTCTCTTGCTGAATCGTACGTTATGGACAATACAGGCAAGCACAGCTCTGCGCGGTTCCGTACCGTACCGTACAGTGCGGTGCAGTACATTACAGCAGAGCACAGTGCGTGTTTGTCTACGTGTGGGAAAACCTGGCCGGTCCGATCTTGGGCGGGATGGGTACCGTCCAGCAGCTGGCGTTGGCGCCGGCACTGGCTGCTGCTCCTTCTGTAATAAACTCTCTAGTACTGTGTGTACCACGGTATTGAAACGCACTGTAACGTACGATACGATTGGCCGGGGCGGATGCCAAAAGCGGCGATTGACACACGGCCCTCTCTGCCCACCCCCAGCCGAGACGCCCGATAGCTTACCGTACGGCCCTTGCGCACAGGACCGTGCGAGGGAGGCGCAGTATAGAACCGTACAGTACAGTACAGTACAGCACAGCACAGCACAGCCGTCCCAGCATCCGCGGATGGACGGCGTTGCGGACGTGCATTTTCACCCGCTTGCGCTGTCGAACCCAAAATCTCCACCAACGCCTGGCCCTTTAGCGCTGCTGCTCCCCTTCGAGGCTAACCTGTAGTCTGCCGCGGGCTGGCTGGCCTGGCAAAAAGAATGGTTCAGTGATGTCGGCGTCCTTGTTTTCTTTATAGCTCCTCGCCCTCAGTTCCCTCTCTACGAATCTTATCGTCTCTCCATTCTTCTGCCCGTCCTTCCACCCCTCAAAACTCTCGTCTTTTAGCCGAAGCCTCTTGAGTCACACAAGGTCTGCGACGCGGTAGACGGGCCTCCATCTGATCATCCACAAGTGGTCCTGCTTTGTCCACAGCCTTCCTGTTTGGCCGCTCGTTAAAGTTTTCCCCGCCGTTGCGACCCAGACTTCCCGAAGTCCAGCCTACACAAGTAGACGTGAGTGGCAACGCCCGTATATCTATCTGCCCGCAACGCACTCGTCCCCTCTCCTCCGCGCGCATGGCACCTTTTGTCGCTGTCTCTGCGTCGTTGCCGAGTTCCATCTCGCTTTTGCCACTGCCGCTGTGAATTTGATTTCTATCCTGCTATTCTTGTTGCTTGCTTGCTTGCCTGCCTTGCGTCGCTCTTCCGCGCTTGAATGATCCGCGCTCTTGGTTTTGATGTTCTTACCGGCTAATCCCTCTAGCTTCAGCACTGCAACGGACCCTTCAAGCTTTACTCCTACGTGCGGAACTTGCCTGGCTACACCCCTCTCCGCTTGTTCTGTTACCTGTCACCTTCTGCTCCCCATCTTGTCATTAGTCTCGCTGCTGTTGGTTCTCGTCGTTCTCGTTCGTTGGACAAGGGCGCGCCGCTGCATCACACATGCTTTTGGTTGCCAGACCATAGCTTATACACACGAACCTTCTGCAGTCACCAAGATGCCGCCAATTAGAGCACCGATAAACACGAAGGGGCTGAAGACGGAGAGGACCCATGAAGAAAATCAGGAAAGGTTTGTTCAATACTGGACTCCTTCGCAGCCTCCATAGTCTAATTGCCATTCAGAGCATACATTGCTGCTTCGCGACGGAGCGATCGCAGCCTGGAAGCGCGAATTGAATCTGCAAGACGTGCATCTGAGATTCACAAGAAGCGGACTGGCCGTGCCTTGCGTGTGACTGAGCAAGACGTTATCAACGAGGAAATGTACGAGGAGGAAGACGACGACCTGCAAGCACAGTATCGAAGGCTACAAGCTCATTTGGGATCGACCGCCGATGCCTTTAACGGACGCCTAAACGCCTGGATTTTAAGCGCCTACGGCACCAGACAGATGGCCTTGGCTGCTCAGAACGGTATGATGTTCAACCCATCCATGTCAAACATGCCGCCTCCAACAACTCCATTCTTCGCGTACCAGCCACAGCAACAATCATCGACAGGGGCCATATCGCCGGGTTTGACGCAGCGTAACCAATCGTACCGTCAGGCGCCTTACCCTCCACAGCACCAACGTAGTCATGAGGGAAGATCCCATTCAATTTCGTCTTTGCCTGATAATCCGACCCAGTCAGTTAAGATGGAGCCCTCTGCCAATGCTCAGACGCTTCAGCACCAGCGACGGCACTCGATGGCTACAGGTGTGGACGAAACTTCAAGTTCGGGTACTCACCAACGCCCCGGAGACATGGGAGGTATGCCAATCTCACCGGCAATTCCAGGCTTTCAACCTGGCTATCTCGGCCACCCAGCTTTCACGGCCAACTCGCAACTCCCATGCGGAGGTTTTCCCATGGGAACTTCAACCTACGATCCGATGATGAGTCAGATGCAGGGTTCGATCAGTCCATTGACGACCTCTTTGCCAGTCGAGGCGCAGCAGATCATTGGCACGTCGTTTGATCCTCACGGCCAATATACGCCAATGTTCATGAACATGTCGCATGGCCTACCCGTCCCTCAAGGCGTCAACTACACGTATCGACCCAACTTCGGCGCGTCCGACTCGTCTTCAAACGTCAAGGACACGTCGGACGGCATCAACCAGACTCTCTCGCCGAACCCAATGGCGTCGCCTACTTCAAAGATTGACGCCAGTATGGACAACCTGAACACACCTACGTTATCGAATGGCTCGCTCAGCTCTAACGATATGTTGAACCCGCACTTCGCGACCGCCGTGAACCTAGACGGCAACTACGGACTTGGCATGAGCTTCGACAAGACCCCAGCAGACACGAGCACGAGCGATACTCCGGACGGCTTCTTCAATGACTGGTTCGACTCTACGACAGTGGATGAGCCAGCGCAATGACAAATGGCTGTGTCCGCAGGCCGTGTTCAGTTCTTCTTCCACAAGTCGTCTTCCTTCTTCTGCTTCCTCTTCCGCCTTTGTTGGGCACCTCGATCACTCTTCCTGATTTATTTTGATATGAAGATACCCATTTCGCCTGAACAGCCTAGGTGGCTAAATTTTTTCCCCCCAATTTGCCGTTCAATCATTTATCATTTCACGCAAACGTTTGGCTCTCACGTTCTTGGAATGGCGCTTAGGTCTCTGGGGGTAACGATGCATGGCTTTTCTTACGATCCAAAATAAGCAACAACGATTATCGGACACTCAAAGGCGTCCTTTATATATATATATATATATATATATATACGTTTCTGGCGTTGGAACATTGCGGCTCGCAAACTTGCATTTTGGGCAACCGGACTCTGCTCTCCGAGTTTGTCTTTGGATCAGATTGAACTTGCTGCAATGCGGCACGTGTTGGTCGTGCTTTTCCCTCTTTGTCTGGCCACGAAGTTTGTAATGCGAACCCGATACGGGTGGAAAACAAGAACTGGGCGTGGTTTTGGTCATTCGCGTATTTATTTCATAAGAGCGCTGTCCTGTATTACACACGTATGAAGATCTCTCCACTACATCTCAGAGAGCGTCGTATTCCAGCCTGGTAATCCGGCAATGATAATGTCTTTGAACAGTCCTTTCCACTCGCGCCTATTTGCCGTCACGGGTATCTTCGAATCGCGATATTTTCTTTTTTTTTTTTTTTTCTGGAAGCACGAAAGGGCCACGCCATGGCACTACTTTGGATCGTTCTGAGTTGCGAGTAGTGTCTTGCGACTTTGTGCGGCCTTTGTCCGCGGAGCACAGCGCACGCTCGACGTATTGGTCCGCGCAGCAGGGAGCTGACTCCGCGCAGGCTGCAGGGCGCACGGCTCCAGAGCAAGGACCATCCTCCCTCCACCGGCCGCCTCTAGAATGTGATCCGCACGACCCATCGCTTAGAAGCAGGGTTGTCGATCGGACGGAACGGGAGAAGAAGAGGAGCCGGGGGAGGGGGAGGGTTCAAAGAAAGATCAGGAAAAGGGAGTTGACAGGTGCTTCGCTTTTTCTTTTTTGCGACGGGGAGCCAAAGATCAGCCAGTGTCGTCCTAACGGGAGGGGGCCAAAGGGAAGGAAAAGTACTAGCCACCCTTTCTCTCCAACCACGATCCCGCCTTCCAGGTCTGGAGAGGGCTTGTTCTAGTGAAAGACGGGAAGCACCAGCGCGGCACGAGCAGGCGGCTTGGACGCTTTGTTGACCTTGCAGAGAACTGTAGCTGACAGTTGTCAGGCCAAAGTCAAAAAAGGTGCCCAACTCCCAGGGAGAGAGAGAGAGAGAGAGAGAGAGAGAGAGAGAGATGGGGGGGATCGAATCCTGGCGGGTGCAGAAACGTAACCGTGGATCGACAGCGTGAACCGATCGTAGCACGTCAGATCTCCGGGTTACGTTTTGTTTTCCATTTTCCTTTTCTTTTTTTTCTTTCGAAATATTTTTCTTTTTTGTTTACGAGACGGGAGGCTTGAGCTCCGCCCGCAGCAAGGCGTTGTCAGTGTTCGGGTGCGCGCCCAGGCAAAGCGAAACAACTGATTGACGAGGCGTGACTGACGGAAAAGAATAAAAAAAAAAAAGTCACAGACGATCCTCGGCAGTCCAGCCCCTTCTCTTTTACTATTAGCTGGCATTTTTTTTTCGCAAATCGTCGAAACACGCTTCGCTCCTGACTGCTCCGTGGTGTGTCGAATGAAAACTGACCACACCCATACCTTGGACAACGTCGCTTATCTGAAGAGATGAGCTTCCTTACTTTCGATTGAATATGGCTCAAGATACGGTAGGCCGAGCCTGAGCTGTAGTTGCGGGATGACATTATTGACTGCAATGAAGTGCCAATAGAAGTACCGATCAGGGCAAGGCGGGAGCCGGACCTCAAAGATGGGCGACATCTGATGATGCAGCAGACACGGCTGTAAATACACATGCGAGTACACTAGAGGCTACTCCCTAAACACGAGAAGAACGACGCCATGCCCATGCAGCCTTGCCACAAATGCGGAGGTAGAGAGCAAGAGATGAAGGAGAGAAAAGAAATATAGAAATTGAGATACTAAGACCAATCATTTAGCTTTGATCGATCTGATAAAACGTCAGCGACTCCTCATAGTGTCCCATTACAGATCTAGCATTCTTTGCTCGTGACATTACTTTCCACGAGCGTGTTCCTATTTGATGCGACAGCAAGGCTTTGCTTGCTGTCGAGCCCAGTCCGTGATCGTATTCGCATGAGGGTTTCACATCCATCAGCCAGAGCACATACACAGACGATTACAGCTCCCCTCTATCGACATAGGCGATCAGGGGTTTGGGAAGCAATTCAAGTTCCGTTCGGATGACTTTCCTTGACCTGCTCGAAAACCTAGGTTCGCGATACGTGTCAGTAACTCATGAAACAGGAAGACAGGCCCCCCAAAAAATAAAAAAAAAAAAATTGCTATGTAAGCGTACCTTCAACATCTTCCTTCTAGCACCTAAGGCATTTACACCTCGTTTCTCCAAAGCCTCGTCGTCCAGCTCGATCAGCTCCTGCCACTTCAAATCCTTTAGATTTTCAGTGTACTTGTGCAGGCGCAGGCTCCTCAGCCACGCAGGTATATCCTTCAGCAGCTGGAGATCTGTAGGGTCCTCTGGCGGCTTGCTGCTGCCACGTCGACCCCTCGGGGAACGTCCACGCTGCGCATCGCCGTGGTCGCTTAGGTAACCCTCGCCGCCCTGTACACCACCAAACTGATTCAGATTGATGGCATTCATGCCTGCGAGCAGCGCAGCATTGTTATCGTACGCGGACAAGAAACCATTCTGCTGCAAGCTAGGCAGAGCAAGGCCAGGCATGGGGTTCATAATGACGCCCGGTGAATTAGGCCGCGATCGTCGTCCATTGATAGCTGCCATCTGCTGCGCTTGAAGCGCAGCCAGCTGCTGAGGTGTAAGCTGCTGCGTCTGTCCGAGCTCATTGGTCATCAGGAAGTTTGCGTTGGGGAGGCCTGGTGAGGCTGGCGCACCGTTGCCTTTGCCTTCGCTGGACCGTTCACGGCGGTACTTGCGCACGTCATCGAACTGGATGCGGTTGTTCACCGTGGAGAGCGCTGCAAGCTTCATGGCTGTAGCATTGGCGAGATCTGTTTGGGCCTGCTGGTTCGGGAAGCTGCCTACCATAGGCGTATTCAAAGCAGATGCCCAATTACCAATCGGTGTAAGAACAGGCAAACCAGCGGCCATTGTCTGTGGGGCCTCAAGCGTGGTGCTCTGGATATTAGTGTCGCTAGAGAGGCCGAGCGGGCGTGGTGAACGTAGACCTGCTGAAGGCGGCGGTTGCGTGAACTGACCCATGGGCTGCTGCTGTTGGCCAGACGAAGACTTCGGACGGGCGATGGGTGGCTGCTGTGCGTCTGCAGTGCGTGTGACGAACGGTGAGGATGGCGCCTGAGACGCTTTCTCCTCGGGCGCGGAGATGCTTGGGGCCACGAGGGATGATCGGTCGCCGATCATGCTGTTACGAGTTGAAGGGGGTGCCATGCCGGTTTCCTGGGTGAAGCGTTCCTTCTGCTTGGCAATAGCAGCCGCTGCATCCGGGAACATGGAGTTGATGACGGCAGGATCAAGCTGTGAGAGACGCTTGGCACCTGGTGAAGGAGGCGGACGTGCGATGCCGAGCGAATTGCGAGAACCTTCAGGAGTTAGCCTGTTCATTGCTTGATCAAACTTGGCGGACATGGGGTCTAAGAGCCGCGGTCAGTGACCGTTCGAATCTTGGTACGGAACGAAGAACGGTGCACGTCCAATGCGGATTGAGTGTATGTGTGCTCACCTTTTTGCCCGAACGCTGATGGCGAGAGGATGCTCGACATGGGGTGATTCTTAGCCATCTCCTGGAGGACCTGGATGAAGAAGCGAATCTGCACTTGAGTAGTCTGTTGGAGCAGTGCGTACAAGGCAGAGGTGCGCTCAGCCTCGCTCAGGACACGGAACCACTGCTCGATGGCGCTAAGCTCGTCCTTGAAGTCCTGGTCCAAAGTGGCGGTGGCCATCTCCTCGAGCGTGGCCTCGTACTGATCGATGTCGGCAAGCCACTGCTGCGTCGCCTGATCCATCTCGTCGGCGGCGCCGGAGCCCTGGCCAGCCTTAGCCTGATTGAAGAGCACTTCGGAGGCGGGGCGAATGTTGCGACCGGATAGAGGAGTCGCGGAATAGGCCCCCATGTCGGCAGACGCGCGCAGGTGATGTCCGGCACCGATCTGGCGGGAAGAGGGGGGACGCAGGGTACTGGAAGACTCGACAGGAGTGCTGTTGCGGTTGCCCGGAGTGTTCAAGGAGGCCATGATGAAGGACGGGAACGAACGATGGATTAATTACTGGTCGTTTCCTTGATATAACCTGCCGGAGGGCTACAAGGATGTAACTTGGCGGGGGAGGAGCGAAGGTCCGTGTTACGGCAAAATGTAGGCAGATTCTGCAGAGAAGGTTGTTAGCTTGAAAATTGCCTAAGCCAGGCGTGTGAGGGCACCGTGCAGTGGGCGAGCAGCTTCGGAGTAGACTGCAGGCCAAACAGCGAATTGAGCGGGAGACAATGGAGGGAAAACACGCGTGCCGTGGCCACTGTGCACACAAGCGATGCGAGGATGGAGGAGTCGATGATAGGTGAAAGGGAGAGATGGGAAGGACGCACAATAGCAATGGTTGGCGAAGAAGAAGACTCCTGCAGACCTGCTGACCTCAAAGGAGCTTTTGCGAGCCGATCGAAAAGCAGGAGACTTTTTAACACATCAAGAATGGTAATGGATGCCAGAACGTGTGTACGTGTGCGCGCGTGTTGTGTGTGTTGAGAGGGCAGTGAGGTAGAGAGGACGAGTGGACTGAAGGTGGAGGACGGGCTTCGTGGTTCGTGAAAGAGAACAACGACGCCGAGAAGCAGTGAAGAGGATGCTTGCGTGCGTGTGCTCGGTGAATGAGTGCGTGTACGTGTGCGCGCAAGAGCACAGGTGTTTGAATGTGTATGCGTGTAAGTTCGAAGAGTGTGTGGGCTGCGTGATTTCGGCGAGGCCGGACTAGCTTTTCGATGAGAGGTCGCCGGCACAGATCCGAAACTGATGGAGGTGGATTGTGACGGCGCTCTAGACTGTTTGTGGCGATGGGAGGATCCGTTCACGCACAACGGCCTGTGATCGACTGACTTGGGAATGACAGCGGCGGGGAGTACAACGACGACGAAGGCGATGACGAGGAGACACAATGACTGAGCGAAACGATGAATCACTGTGCGGTGATTTTGTGTGAGAATGTGTGCAGGCGAGAACAAACAAGGTGACGAGGGCGAGGAAGAGATGAAGAAACAAGAATAGAACAGGGCGAAGAATCAAGTTACGGCGGTATGATGAAGAAGCTGAGTGGCCGTGCGAGTCGAGCCGAGACGGGACACACCAGCAACCAGCCAGCGATGAGAGCCGCAAGCAGAGGCTCGACGGTGGACGGTTCTTAAGGGGGGGGGGGCGGCAGTTCTGCGGGGGTCTCGAGGGGCCCTCCAGGGGCGTCTCTAGGGAGGGGTCCAAGGGGTAGGGCCCGCTCACGTACGCTGACTTCGGCTGACCTTTGTCGCGGTCCTTTGCCGCTGATTGACGGGAGGCCTGACAGTGGATCTCGGCCGCTGATGGTGGAGCGATCGTGCCACGCGTAAGGGCGCACAAAACAAAGGCTGGCGTTTCCTCTGTGTCTCTCAGCGCGAAGCCGCTTATTTTTCCTTCGCAAGCAAGGACAGACGGCGCTGGGCGAGGATGCGAGCAGTGAATATGCTCACCGTGTTTCATGGTGCTAAGCATCGGATGGATACACCACGTGCTGGGTGTTGGACGTGGACACATAACGCCCCGAACTGCGCAAGACGACGCGAGTGGGTCACAAAGTGCACGCTCGGAAACGGCAAACGCGCAACGCCAAACACTGTGTCGATGCAACAAAAATTGTCGTGAAAGGGCATCGAGTGAGAATGACAAGCGAAATTGGCCCATCGGCCCTGATCAATCGTGTCCGTACAAACACCCTCAGACGCAGAAACAGTCGCCCTTGTTAGTGCCTGTTGCGCGAGGGGTTCCTCTTCCGCCGTCCCAAGACACCGCGCAGCACGGCATCCTGTCGCGGAGCTGCAGAGTGCAAACGATGGGGTGAAATGGAATCTCTGTTTGCAAGACGGGCGCGATAAACCATGCTCCAACACGCAGATGAGCTATGGCGCCATCGTGCCTCACATTATGAATCAGTTTCGCCTCTTCCCCGTCGTGGCCCGAACGTACACAGGCAAACCTTGGGTCAGGGCATGCCGCCCTCCTCCTCTGGCAACGATCACAGAGGGCCGGCCGACCCGTTGGACGAGGCTGAATCTCACGTGGCAGCCCCAGAACCGATCTGGCGTTTCACGCGAGCATTCCGAATGCAGATTGCGGTGTGGAGAGGGTTGGCAAGCTGTGCGCTTGGCTGGCAATGCAGATCTAGCAGTGGCGAGCGAAGAGACCGTCTAGTGTGCGCCAGAGAGACTGCAAGGGGATGTGAGTGCAGGCTTCGCGGGCGCGCAGTGGCGAGAGCCTGTGCAAGTGCGTTGGCGCTCACGACTGCGACCTGGATGGCCGCACATAGACGAGACAGCTGTTCCACCGCGCGCCGGACGGTGCTGTTGCGCTGCGTTCCAGAGCCCACGACCAGCGCCTACTGCACTGTGCTACAGCGGGCGAGGCCCAGTGGCCGGCGTCTGTCGCTGCCCGCCCGTCCTCGGCGGCGCCTGGGTGCGTCCCCTCCGCTGCCAGCAGCCTCAGCCAGTAGCAACGGCCCGGTCATCACACTGCACAGCCATCTCGTGCTTTGTCTCCCTTTGCCACGCTTCGCCGCTCTCCGTGCCCTTTCCAAGCACTCCGCTCGTCGAACCCGCGATGCCCGTTCGTCTGGCACACGCCATTGTCAACGGCGCTTCTGAGGCGCATCCGATCGAGCAGAACCAGCTGCCCAAGTTTAGTCGAGCTTGATCGAGCAAATCGGCGCTGGCGTCTTACAGCGGACCGCAGCTGTTGGTCCGCCTGAATCACGAGCGTCTCTGCTCCAAGTGACCGTCAAGCACGCTGGTCTGAACAGCCAACCGTGGGCTTCTTTCGCGCCGACCCCCGCGCGTTTCCGTGCCACACTCGCGACACCTCCCATCTTTTGCTTCCTCTTCTTCGTCTTTGCGTGTCGTCAACCTGTGAAAGAGACGATCATTCTTCCCCTAAAGCCATGGAAGCACGTCGTCCGTCGTCGTCATGAGCTCATCGTCTTCCTTCAGCTCAAATCCCTTCCGCCGATCCGTCCACAGCTCGGCGTACTCCCATGCGGAATCGAGATCCGATGGTATATAGTCACCCTTCTGTCTATGTATATATATACAAGCATGATACGTCAATTATTTTTTTTTGTTTTTCCCTTCTGTCCATACCACAAAGGCTCTGCACGGCTACCAGTCCGCCTCTTTATTGGCAGCAGGTGTAATCTAGCAGTGGTAACCGTTCCAAATAGCTCCAGCGTCAACTTCAGAAGACAACAATGGTTCCGCCCCGCGCACGAAGAAACAGGTGCGCATAAGCTCGCCGCCGAGATCCCCGAGACCCTTACATGACGGCGGTGCCCTCTTAGCTGCCCATGGCGTACCGGCTATGTACGATGACAGCTCTGCCCACCCATCAATGCGTCACTCGCCCATTCGCAGCACCCACGGTCACACGAGCAGCAGCAGCGGAGACGACGACTCGAACAGCGACGAGGCCATTCACGGCCATGAGACGATGACGGCCACAGACTCCGCCGAAGCCTACACGACAGCTACCCGGCCTAGGCCCCCGAATAACCCCTTTAGTAGGACGCTGGCCGACGTGGACGAGACGCTTGTCCAACCTGCAACCTACCCTGAGAAACGGCCCAGCCCGGACGCTGCGGATTCGAGTTACACAGCCGGTCAGACGTCCCCGAGAGCTGCTATGGACGTTGATGCCTTCAAAAATCTGCTCATGACGGGCAAGCCTCCTCGCCCGCTTCCGTCGACCCCCGCGGCAGATCCGCCTGCTCAGCAACAGCGAGTGCTGCGGCGTGCGCCTGCTAACACTACGACCGCTACCTCGACAACGTTTGCGCTGGCCGACAGCAGCAGCGGCACTGATACATCTTCCGTAAGCAGGCAGTCTTTAGTCGACCCCATGGCTGGAGAGACACCGCGGACAAGTTATGAGAGGTCGATATCGGATGAGGAAGAGGACAATGTGCTTCCACCGCAGAGGACTGCAAGCAAGCGCGTCAAGCCGCCGCCACTGCCACGCCATAAGCATGGCAAGTCCGTCACGACTGCAGGCCCGCAAATAGTGCCCTTTGACGCTTTCTCGGGCGCAGCTCCAGAGGAAGAATCTGTCAAAAGTCCCGAGGAAGACAGGCATCCTCGTTCATCGGCAGAATTGAAAAGACCTCTGCCACCCATTCCCCAGCCAGCTGCACGCTCCGACATTGCACACGCGGCAATGATATCCTCGCGCGAGCCGAGAGAACAAAAGGATGTTGTGGAGCTATCATCGCAGCCGAAGAAGCCACCTCCGCCACCGCTTGCCCGGCGATCGTCGCAACGAGCACCCACCACGCCTGCAGGCCGATCAAGAAGCGGTACGGCGTCATCGCGGCCCTCGTTGATGGAAGACAACGTGAGCATTGCGGAGAGCACAGGCTCCTCGACACGTGTGGCGCCGCCGCCCCCTCCCGCTCGAAGAAGTGGACACGCTGCGCCGGCTGCTACGAGCGACGAAGGTTCGACTTCGAGCGTTAATCCATCGCCCAGTCTCAAATCACCGCCGCTACCTCCTGCGCGCAACCGCGCGTCCTCGACACAGTCCGCAACTTCCACACTATCCAACATGAATGTGACATCACCCTCTACCAGCACTACCAGCAGCGCTGCAGGAGCCATGTCACCGCCACAGTCCGACAGCGCCGTCGGCGGGAGCGGCGGCACTCTTCCGCCCCGCCCTCCGCCCCGACGCACGTCTTCCCGCTCCTCAACCGAAATCGTCAGCTCGCCCCGGCGCACGAGTAGCGAAATCGTCCGGTCCAGTTTCGACAGTGAGCGTCGTCCCTCGATGTCGAACTCCGTGCGTAGGGTACCCATCGTTGAGGAGGACAGCATGCCGGACGGCGTGGCGTCGACGATGAAGTCGGCCAGAGACATCCTTGCAGATATGGATGAATTCCAAAAGGAGATCGACGCCCTGCTTGCAAGGGAGGATCTCACCCGCCGGAAGGGCAGCGCAGGCAGCGCAAGTTTGTCCCGCCCGGCGGGCTAATCAATGCCATCTACGACCTGTTATGTGGGATGCGTTTGCATCGAGGGGGCGGCTGGAATAAGCGGCCCCGCCTGTACTGAAACGCCCTGGGGTCAAAAATTGGTCGGGCATTGTTGTACCGTCGTCACGACGGTGTCTTTCCGTAAGCAGTGAACACAGATGCTGTATGACGATGTGCGCGCTGGGCGCCGACGGGCAAACACGAGCACAAGAGACGAATAGGGGACTCGTACACGCAGGTATCGCGATACTTTTTCTTTTTTTTTTTTTTTAGACATGTGGAAACACTTCTCACCAAGTATATGTGAACAATAGTAGCATCATGTACATTTTCCCCCCCCCCCCCCCCCCCCTTTTTCCCTAAGTATCGGCTAAATCATCCATGCGGACAGTAAGGGAGGAGATGTGTTGAACTGTACACCTCTCTCGCGCGTTTAAAGCATAAGCTACGTGTGACTGCGTGCTGCGCGATGTTGGGGATGGGTGAGGAGCGTAGACAGACGAGCGGTGCAGTCGAACAAGGGACATGAGTGAGAAACAGAAAAGAAAGTTTGGACCAAGGTGCGACTTCTGACTCGCTAGAGGGGAATTGGGAAGAAAGGGCTGCGCACGGCGGCCGTCGTTACTATTCATAAGCGTTTGCATGCAAGAAAGAATAGCTGTCACTGAATGCCGCCGGATAACACAAAGACACACGTGCGCGCTCTCTCGAGTCTCTTTCTCTCAGACATAAGGTCTACTCACTCTCATACTTCTTACACTCAATCGAATCTCCTACTCTCTCGTCCTATCCTCCCATCTCGCCTCTCCCGCTGTCGCTGCTTCAAGACAATCACGCTCAAAACTTAACACAGCTCTATCACAGAAAAAGCAATCCACAAGTGTTCCGGAAGGGAAAAAAAAAATAGAGAAAGAAAATAAAGAACGCACGCACGAAACGCACGTACAAGCATACACGAACGAGAATGAGAGCGAGAGTGAGAATGAGTGAGTGAGAGTGAGAGAGACGAAAGCATGGATGAAAAGAAGGGAAAAAGGGGATTTGGAGAAGATGAGGAAGTGGTTAGGTTGAAAGGGGACAAAAAAAACATGGCGAACTCAAGAACAAATGCAGAACCAAGTCGAGTTCCCCTCTCCCCTCCCCAAAATGAGGACAAAAAAAGGAGAAAAGAGATGAGAATAAACACAAAAAATGAAAAAAAAAAGAACGCCAACGCTATGCCGTACATGTTTGTGATGTCCAATCAGCCGTAGTATGAAACCACACTTCGTGGGTGCACGCCGCTTCCGATCATGCTGGGCGTGATTCCTCGCACGGGCAGGCTCGTCACGCTGCCCGGTTTGGCGGCGACACCGGAGCCGGGGTGATGGAGAGCGGAGTGGCTGGAATGAAGCTGGTGGGTGGCGGCGAGCTTGTCCGGCGTGACGGTGCTGTCGGTGCCGGCCTCGGACGCGCGATGGCTCTTCTTCTTCTTGTGTTTCTTTTTCGGTTCCACGGCGAGCATGTCGCCGTCGTCGGCCGCGCCGCTGGTGCGCCTCGAGGCGTTGCTGTGGTGACTCCCGGACTCGGAGTGTCGCCGGTGCGAGCGTCTCGACGAGGATCCGACCTGCGACACGGAGTCGCTTGGCACGATAGTGTCGAGGTCGTCCGAGTCGTTGGCGGCCTCGCGGTCCGACGAGGAGGGGTACGTGTCCGGTATCACGCTGCGGCCAAGCACGGAAGTGCCCTTCGAGACGCGCGACGAGCGCGGTGAGCTCTTCTTGACAGGAACATCCCCGTCGGATTCGATGATGCGGTCGAGGTTGGACTGAGGAGGCGAGGGTGACTTTCCATGCGAACGCGGAGCCTCCTCGGTCCGGGACGAATGCTTCGAGGCGCTCGTGTGTTTTGAAGCGCTGCTGTGTTTGCTCGCGCTTGTCGAGCTCTTGGTCTTGGACACGTGGGACTTTGCGGAAACAGGACTCGATCCATATTCCACGGCGGGCATGTCCGTCGCCTTGCGGGATTGCTCCTCCGGAACGAAAGAAGAGATTATCGAGCTCCGGGCTTGGCTTTCAGGATAGGACTTCGTGCGCGCTGCCGACATCCGGCTCTTGCTCGCAATTGACTCGGCGGTGGGCTGTCCGCTGACCACCGTGGTGAAGGAGGGGTGCTGGTACACTGGTTCGTAGTAGTTGGAGGGAGGGGCAGAGGGAGGTGCTTCGATTGCGCGGACTGGTTGATGGCCGTGTGCGTACTCCATCTCGCTTGCATTCCTCACAGAGCGGACAGGCGACGAGTAAGTAGGCTTAGCGTCCAGCAAGTGCGGATGAGAGGCCTGTAAGGACTTTGTCGCACCTTTGGCAGCAAGATATGCGGCATGCTCGGCCTTGGCACTGTCCTCTTCACTTCTGCACATTGCATAAGCGACTGCCGCGCCAGCGGCGGCACCCAGGATCGTACCAACCAGAGTCTTGCGCGATATCGAGATGTTATCGTTCGAGCTCTGTGGTGTGAGTGTCGGCGTGGTGAAGCTCCTTGGGAGACTAGGCGCTTCTGAGATCGGTTTGGCTGATATCTTGGAAGCGTTGGATGCTGCAACGGTTGGCGCCTCGGAAGGCGCTTTTGTACTCCTAGGTGCAGCTGTATTTGCGGGCACCATCGCCTGCTTGGCCAGAGCCGTGGCAGCGGACGCGATACTCTCTACGGTGCTCTTGTTGTCGCTCAAGTTTGCTGCCACACCCTTGCGCCAGGTGAGCAGGCGACTCTTTCCTGTGTCAGATGCGGCATCGTTCGCAGCAGCACCTTCGTGGAAAACGACCTCAACACTGTTGCCGTCAAGATCAAGTACTGCAGCGTTAAAGCACTCTTCGCCGTCCGTCCGTGAGGCTGGAGAGCCATGGGGCCGCCCTCCCGCCTGGAGAGCATTCGCGTAAAACTCGCGGACTGCAACGCGGCTAGAAGCGGCGAAGGCTACATGCGCAGCGCCGGCTTTGATACCGGGAGTCTCTTGCGTGAGGAAGAAGTCGGCGTCGTTGACCCCAAGTCCGATCTGATTACCCCATTGCCCGAGAAACCTATAGCCCAGTGGCTGCAGTGCGGCGAGAAAGAATGAACATGAGGTGGGAAGATGCGAAACCGTGAGGCCGATATGCGACACTGGCATAGTGTGGGCTGTACTTCGGAGGTCGATCAGAGCGAAAGGAAGGGAAGGGCAAAGGATCGAAGGGATGACAGAGAGACGGAGTCCAGGTATCCTTGGAAAGAGAGGGTAATATAGACTCGGAAGAATTCGCCGGCAGCGAGACGACGACGACGTGCGACTGAAGCATTATGGAGAATAGAAGGGTCTTAATGAAGGCCAGCACACGACTGCATGACCGTCCGACGTTGGAGCCTCTGACCATGCAGGCTTGCCCACAGGCGCCAGCATTGAGGCAACCCGTCGCTTCTGTCATTCTGGCCGAGGATGGCGGTTTGACTCCTGGTCTCTTTCCGCCCTACTGAAGATTCAATGGCTGGTGGTGGTTCCGTTGCAAAGATCGCGTCTCAGCATGCCACGTTCAGCGGTCATGCATGCTAATGGTGCAACTAAGAATGGAGATTGGTGGTTGGCCGGCCCGCGAGGGAACGATCCGCTTGGGTCGTCCGGCCTGGGCAGAGCGACCAATGGGATGCGGCGCCTGGTGTGACAGCGAATTGTACAGAGGCGAAACGACCAGCCTTCAGAGTCGACCACCGCGGCATCCTCGTTAATGATTGCAGCGAAGCTCTTCTTTCTGTCCGAAGACCGTGACTGGACCCGCCCGCCAAGTTGCTCAAATCGGCGGTGACAGGTGGAAACCCGTCTTCCATCAACTTCGCTCCTGGGGAGTCGGTCTAAGTTGGTCCCAGCAGGCGTGACCGCTTGTTTCGCAACAGTAAACGATCGGCACGCACACGACTTCTCAGGACCCTCCGCGACACTGTTTGACCCGCAACGTTGGCAGATGACTGGAGACTTCTTTACCAGGAACTACACTGATGTACATACATATGCCATGTCGGTCTGAAGCTGGGGAGAGCGCTGGCCCCAAAGACTCCATGCAGGAACCGGTCGCTGTGCACAGTTACATTTCCATACCCGTCGTGGACGTGTGACTCTCATTTTGTCTAGTCTTTTTCTTCGTTGTTCTCCCAGATCGAGCTGATTGGGCGGGCTCGTCCTGCTTAGGTGATTGCAGTTCAAGTGTTTCGCACCGTCCGGCCAGAGTGTACCTTTCAGCTCTTGTCTGATATTTGTTGTCTGATAACGACAGATACGTCGCTGCATTGTCGTTCGCCGACGATGTATGCAAGGCTGATGCGTGCAACGATGTGGAATGCGGCAACTTCAAGTACGGACGAGGGCTCCCGATCCAGCGGGCCGCTGCACTGCGCTGCGCTGTTGCTGTGCGATAAACAGTTCCGTGCTTTTGAGCAATGATGGTGCTACATTCATCAACGTGTTCCCCCAACGGTGCGATGACTGTTCATCTCCAAGTTGTAATGGATGGTTCAGAGGGCACATGCAGCTGGTTTGTCATCCCACCAACACGCAAACTCATTGGAGTGCTATGACTGTTCTACGCGAGGCCTTTTCAAACGCTCCGCGACCATCAGACTTGAGCAGTACCACCGTCGCTTTCCAATCAACGTGTAGCACTTAACCTCTGGCAAACATATGCAGATTTAAGCTCGCGACGCCATCCCATGCAGATCATGCAGCAAGCCGAAAAGGCTCCTTACAAGTACAATAGCTTATCTTGACAACTGCCATGCTACCGATACCGTCGCCTGAGATCTTCGCCTGGACCTGTTTGTACATTAGCAGCAAGGTCAGGATTCAGTGCCAGCTTCCTCAACCCCTCATCAGCAAAGGCGTCGGGGTCTCGATCCCTCAAGAAATAGTCGATTCGTTGCTCTCTGTTCAAGCCCTGCTTGGCGCTATGAATACTGTTGATCTCGCTTTTGGCCCTTTTGCTTGCCTCATCGATCATGTACACGTAATTCTTGCTACTTTCGTGTGCTCGTGTCGCTTGGCCCACGCCGGCCAGGGCCGCGAGAAGCCCTACCAGCGAGATGAAGGCGGTATTCGACAAGAATATCGGCGCTTGAGGCTTCCGCGGCGGGTCGCCAGGCTTGGGCGGATTAAACTTGTCATACCAGTTCTCCCAATCCTCCCACGTAGCATTATGCATGCAGGCGTCCCTAGCCTCTCGGCTCATGTTAAAATCTGGCGGCGGAAATAGCGACTTCGCGCCCGCCCAACCAGCGCCATACAAATCATACGCCCTTCGCTTCTCTTTGTCTGACAGCAGCGCGTGCGCTGAGATGACGAGCCGATATCGTTCCAGGCGTACGGACTCGGGTATCGAGGCTGCGGGCGAAGATACATGATGATTGTGGCGATCAGGGTGATACACCTTCACCAGCTCATAAAACCGTGCCGACTTGACGTACTGCGCCTTCGGATCGATCTGGAAGATCTCGTATGGCGTCGGAACGGTTCGCGGAGGCTTCGCAGTCGGCCAGAAGTAAGGGTCGGTGCTCCGCGAAGACGCATCATTGCCATCGTGCGCCTGCGAGGGCGTGTTACGATGCGTAGCGTACCGACGTTGCGACGGCTGAGCCCGAGTGCATACCGAGTGCTGTGAGGAGCTGAGGCTATACTGGCTACATGCCGAGGCGCAGGATGGTATCAACAGAGCGGATTTCTTTATAGACATGGCGGCAAACGATTCAGTTTCTACATTGTTCGTGCAATGGAGGTCTGAAGGCCGCTTAAGAACATCGATGACGGAAGTGGGTCGCCGTGTCCGGCGATCACTTTTAGATCCCCGAAGCGTACTCGAGCACGACGACTCCCCGCTGTTCTCAGCGCACCGTCGGATGGAAAACCTCGTCTTGACTTTGTGAACCTCCCTCCGACGTTGGCAATCGACATTGGGTGAGCTGAAATCGTCCCAATTAAAAAAAAAAAAAAAAAAAAAAAAAAAAAAAAACTATGGACGTGAGATTTGGAAAGCTTCGTCTTTGTCCCCCAATTGCTCTCAGCGCGCTCCTGCTGTGACAGCCGTGAAATTGAGAATGCCACCGTTCAGGCCAAACATCCACCGCTTGACTGAGGATCCGATTTTTGTCCGCAATTGAAAAGTTGCGTCTACAACAAAGCTCTTCTTCGAGACTTTTATTTGAACATTCGTGAAGGAAGAACCGTACCGCTTCGTTGCTTCGAAGCTAACGTGATTTCGAGAGCGTATATGCTTTAGGAAAAGAGCGCACTCGGGCTGTAGTGAATTGGAATGCTGAGTACCCGATCATTCGTTGCAGCCAGCTCCACCATTCCCAAATGTTCAACCCTGCTCATGTCAATGTTCATGTCATTGACATGAGAGCGTGCCTACGTTAACATGAAATGAGGCCAGGGCCGATTGCTGCTCCTAAGCCGTGCGATCACGCGAACCTAGAGCCTACCTACCCTTGAAGCCAGATTTGCCAATTTGCTGCGAAGTATCAAGTCGAAAATTCGGTAGCTTGAAAGATTTCGGGTACGATGTCAACGAAGAACGGCCATGATGCTGATCTAATCAACCTACTGGTGAACTTGAAATCCAGTTATCAATATCAAAAAAGCTAGGTGGGCTTGGTATAAGGTTCGTATGGATGAATGCAAGGCAGTTCTCGTGAGCAAGGGTCTTGGGGTGGTCTTGTTAAACTTTGGCGTTCCCACGGCGTGATTCCGAGTATAATCTCATCATATACACCATTATGAAGGTATGCATGCTCTAAGAATGTTCTCAAATGCTATATGCTTGATAAGATAAGTATAAATCACCATCGCACACGTGCCTTAGAATAAGATGCGACTAAACGCCTATCCCCACCCCGCAGTGTTGAAAATACATGCGACGCCGAGCACTTTTGTTGAACCGTAAGTCATATGCTCACATGCTTTTGAAAAGCCTCACTGGGCTATTTGCCTCATAGAACTGCAGACGGAAGCTGATTGCCTACCGTCACTTATACTGGCAGAGGGAAGCTACCAGCCCAAGAGGCAATTTCCTTCTTCAAGCTGTTGATCTCTTCGATCTTCCCACTAGCAACCTCCGCCTTGAAGTCCTTGAGCTTATTGGCCTCCTTCGGCAGCTCAGCCTGAATCTTCTTGCATAGTTTGATGCACTGATCAATGTATCTCGCAATGCGTTTAAAGTCTTCCTCGCCAAGCCCACGACTTGTCATGGCTGGTGCACCGATACGGATACCCATAGGGGTGAGGGCTGACTTGTCGCCCGGGGTGGTGTTCTTGTTGCAAGCAATGTTAACCTGCTCGAGGACGGCTTCGACGCGGGCTCCATCGAGGGAAATGGGCTTCAGATCTAGAAGCACCATGTGGTTATCTGTACCATCCGTGACAAGCTTGTAGCCTAGTTGCTTGAACTCGGACTCAAGGGCTTTGGCGTTCTTGATAACCTGCTCCTGATATTGCTTGAACTCAGGTGTCTGTGCCTGCTTAAGGGCAACGGCCAAGGCGGTGATGGTGTGGTTGTGAGGACCTCCCTGATGACCTGGGAAGACAGAGAAGTTGATAGGGCCCTCCAGGTCATAGAGCGTCTCCTTTCCAGTCTTTGGGTCAGTGCTGCGAACTCCCTTGCGGAAGAAAATCATAGCACCACGAGGACCACGAAGCGACTTGTGAGTGGTGGTTGTGACAATGTCAGCGTGCTCGAAGGGAGTTGGGATGACGCCCGCGGCTACAAGACCAGAGATGTGTGCCATATCTACCATGAGGTAGCAGCCGACCTTGTCGCAGATTTCGCGGAAGCGTGGGTAATCGAAATTGCGGCAGTATGCAGATGTTCCCGCGACGATAACCTTGGGGCGATACATGAGCGCATTTTCCTCAAGACGGTCGTAATCGATGAGACCGGTCTCAAGGTTCACGCGATATGGCAGAGTTTCGAAGTATGTCGAGACGGCTGAGATCCTATATGCATTTGCTTAGTCGATCTTCATCAAGGCTTTCGCGGCACGGAGCCATACTTTCGCTGTGGGGTCTGGTAGCCGTGACTCAAGTGACCACCGTGGGGCAGGTCAAGGCCCATCAGTCGGTCGTGTGGGCGCATAATGGCTTGATACACCTGGAGATTGGCTGGTGAGCCACTGAGAGACTGCACATTGACACCCCACTTCTCCGGGTCGAGGTTGAACGTCTTTAGGGCTCTGGCCTGGCAGAGAAGCTCAACCTGGTCAATGTTCTCGTTTCCGCCGTAATAGCGTGCGCCGGGATAGCCTTCAGAGTATTTATTCGACATTGGAGTCCCGAGAGCATCGAACACGGCGCGAGAGGTGACGTTTTCAGAGGCAATGAGAAGAATGGACTCTCGTTGACGCTGGATCTCTTTCTCAAGGATAGCCTGGACTTCCGGGTCCGTCTCTTTAAGAGACTTCTCCATGAGCTGATGGCTGGTCAACGTACTTGTCCACAAACTACGGTTTCAGGTTCACATACGTCCTGGTGCGACTTTGGAAGCGCGTAAGTAGCCATGATGTTTGGATTTTACGAATGTCTTTGACTCAAAGTCGGAGAGAGTAGAAAGGCGGGGAGGTGCAAAGGACCTAGTGCAGCAGGAATTGAGAGGGTACAACTAGCTAGATATGCGACAGAGAGGAGGCCCGTGTAAGAGAGAAGGAATTGGAAGGATTGTACGAGTCGACGCTCTCCTGTGCGGTAGTGGTGTATTTTTTTTCCCTTGCCTGAAGGGATTGGTGCAGCTCCGATTGCGGGGCACAAGAGGTGTGACACCATAGTGAGCAGTGATCCGCGCCTTGCCTCGTCCAACCGCCACACCACTGGTCAGGCCGCCCTCAGCCTTGCGCCCAGCCCTGCACCGTGTGCACCCCGTCGAGTGCGATGAGGAGTGCTGAGATGCCAGGGACGACACGACAGACCCTCGAGCTCCGACGGAACGATGTGGTTCTTCGCCTCGTCGTCGCGCTGTGCACGCCTGACCTCACGTTCTCGCTGCTGCCAGAAGGGCAAGGCTGCCAGGCATCCCAGCCCGCCCACATGCTGTCGACGGCCGTCCGCGTCCGGAGAATGTCACCTCATTCGTGTAACGCATCCCTGCTGTCGTGAACGCTCGAATTGAGCAATCCAGTCCTTCTTTGGCCCGCTCATCTGCTCGTGATGGCCTTCAAGCCTTCGTCTCTCATTGAATATGCTCTCCTAGCAATTCCACTCTATCTTTTTGCCATATCGCCTCTTTTGCGCATTTTCTTCCCAGATGTGGCCAGCTCCACCACGAGCTCGTACCAATCCTTCGAGAGGACGGATAGCCTCATAATTCCTGATGACACGTTGCAATGCCCTCCTCATTCGTATGCCACCCATATAGCTCATCACGAACCGCTAGTCATATATGTCGAAAACTTCCTCAGCGATGCCGAAGCAGAACACCTTGTCGCTCTCGCTGAGAAGTCGTACCAGCTGTCCACAGTATTCACTGGTGAGGCTGAGTCATTTGACCCTAAGATCCGGAACTCAAGTAAGGCGTTGCTCGCACGCGACGATGTCGTGCGATGCATTGAACAGCGTGCGCGAGAGTTTCAAGGCTGGAGGAAGGATGTATATATCGAGCGACTGTGGGCGCAGAAATATGAAGCTGGAGGCCACTATACATACCATTACGATTGGAGCGGTGACCTGAGCCACAGGAGTGGGGGGAGGCTAAGCACATTCATGGTATACCTCAGTGCCGACTGCGAAGGTGGCGGAACGAAGTTCCCAAGATTGGGAAAGCCCGGGGAAGGGAAGTGGTGCGAATTCGTGGACTGCGAAGCGAAGGATGAAGACGGCGAAGGGGAAGGTGTTGTATTTAAGCCACGAAAGGGTGCTGCAGTGTACTGGGAGAATTTTAGGCCTGACGGAAGAGGATACGAGGAGACATGGCACGCTGGACTGCCTGTTAAGAGTGGGACAAAGATTGGTTTGAACATATGGAGTTGGTGGCAACCAGGCTATAGCGAGGCTTTGAACAGGCTAGAGACGGAACGTGAGGCGAAGACTTCCCCGGACGAGCTGTGACAGCGAGAACCTGCCATAATGACTCAAGTGTCAGCGCCGAAACCTCCGTCTAAGGATGAGTTGCGGCACATGTCTCCGCCCAAGTCCACCGGGCCGAACCCAAAGCTTGAGAGGTAACCAAAAGAACCGTGATACTGGAAGACCTGAAGATGGTCAGGCAGGTCTAAGAACTGACGCGAACCTTCCACATAAGTTGCGAGTTGATGCTTCGTAACGAGGTTTTTGGCAAGTTAATAAGGAGGATCTTTGCGCTCGTAATGGCCAGACCACATACTGTGTCAGTCGGCCTCCAGTCCTTTAGTGAGATGGTGAGGCCAGTGGAAGAGAAAACAGACTTTGGCAATGATGGTTTTGTGGATGTGGCATGGCTTGATACTGACAGTAACAAGCTAGCATCGATCAGCTCCCAAATTGTCCCGTCCTACCTCTGCAAATAGACTAAGGAAGTCACGGGCGCACAAATGTACTTGCAAACAAACCTCTTGCGTCGCAAAGCCGACGAGGGATGTTGTTTTGCTATATCGCAACCTACAAAGTTGCATGTCCTTGGACGTCCCATGTGTGCTGTGGCTCTCACCGTCTTCAATCGAGCATTGCATCGAGTCTGTAGAACTCAACATTTGAGTGAATGGGCGGAAATTCAGAAAGCATAAAACACCAGTGTGAAGAGCCATCACGAAGACGCAGTGTTGAATTTTGAAATCTGGACAGTGAAGCTATCTCTTCTGTCTAATGATCAAGATTCTGCCCGTCGAGAAGCAGAGCCGCAGCCTCGTCGATTCATCCACGAATTTCCTGTTTTATCTGCTACATGCTTCGGCAAGCAAACTTAGAGCGACTCAGCAAAGTCTGCAAGGCGAAGAAGCTTCTGTCCCATCTCACCCCAGCTCACCATTGTCGCTCGATCCAGGTCAGCAACAGCATCTTTCGCCAAACGCTTCAACTCCTTAAGATCTTCCACGACCTGGTCGCTCTTCAGCTCTTCGATCCGCTCCTGAAGTGTTACAACTTTCCGCCTCAGGCTCAGTAGCTGTTGTTCAAGAGCAGCTTTGTCCTTCTTCAAAGCTTCCTCCGATCTTTGCCACCTGGACCTCCAAACGCTATCGTCGCCTGATGCCAGTCGTATTGAGGCTGCCTCCTCCTTAAGTTTGCTGATTTCCTCTGTGCAACCAGCGTGCCTATCTAATCGAGCTTTCTCGACAAGAAGCTTGAGCTCTTCGATCTTACTGTCTCTCTCTACGAGCGCTGCTCCAAGCTCAGCTAATTTTGCTCTGAGCCGTGGTGCATCCTGGGCAAGCGAGGCAGCAGCCGAATCGTCGAAAGTTGAATACTCCTTGATTACTGCTTCCAGCTTGCTTGTCCTGTTTCGGAGAAGTTCTATAAGCTCTTCTTGGTCCTGAATGATGTCTTTGTATCTGCGAGTAAGGGCGGTAAATGTTGCGATGTGTTCACTTTCCTGGTTGTCAAGATGCTTAAGTTGCTGGTACGTGATCACATTCGCCATCTTGTGATTGTTTGACCTAAAATCTATCATCAATGTTCATATCCGGGTGGTCGAAAGTTTACCTCGAGTTTTAGGTTTTGCATGTGTCTAACCCTTGCGCGGACCGTTTATATGGGTGATCTTGAGTAAGGTGGACCACAGCATTGAAATGCGCATTCAAAGTGCTTTCATGATAAATATGGCAAGTTAATGAACGAATCACGGCTTTGATCGGTTTTACGCAACTAAACTATATCACATGTTACGCTCAGCACATTGAGCCTGTGGTCTTTCTAATCTGTCTCGCTTAACGTCAGGCCAGAGTTCGAATCCTGCGGCAAATTTCAATCATCAGTCAGGTTTCTTTGTGTATAATTAATAATAAGATGTCTGAAAGATCATTTACAGAATAAATTAGAACAACATGAACCAATAAAGAGGAATATCTTTGCTAGGACAGTGAATATCACATGTCCCCGAGACATTTTGAATGTATGTACAAGGAGCAAAAAGTGCTATGTTTAGTAACGTGACTTTATAGTCGGGTATTCGAGGAGCATAGAGAACAAAAGAAGATACTATTCATGCTAACCTCTTTCCCACATCCACGCCATATCTCTTGCACTGTATTAATTCCAATGAGGATCAAATATTTCCGCAGTGTCGCGAAAGTAATACAGAATAATTTGAGCACTTATGATTCAGTAATTGTTTGTTCAATATGTCACCCAAGGTGAAGAAAATTTACAGAACTGCGAGGCTTTGAAAGACAAGATTAATTCATGACTCTTTTTTCTACAATGCAGAACCATGAAACCCAGAGCTTGTCTGCTTGCAAAAAAGAGGTGGTAATATTCAAGACGGAGAACCTTCCTGGCTGATTTCTCTAGAGCTTTCACGGAAGGGCAATCGGTGATCAAGTACCCGAGGACGTATTTCTATGTACTGATATGGTTCAGATGCATGAGTCTTGAAGAATGGTTTATCAAAGTCGCTACGGGAAAGTAAAGTGCTGAGTCATTCAGCTATAGATTTTGCGAGAACCCATAACCCTTCGAGAGTTTTCGCGAGCATGAGTTCAGATAGCACACTTAGAGCTCCTCTTGCTTGGTATTCTTCTCATCAAGCACCTCTTTTAGTTTGAGCAAAGCAAGGCTCACATCTCCAAATCCTTTTACGAGACCGGCCCCTTGTTGGACCATTGTCCTTGCTGCAGTTTCCAATGACAGGCAAAAACTGTTATGCTGATGGACAGAGTTCGAGCTATTAGGTACTGAAGTGGCCTCTGATTCAGGAATGTTTCTTCCGATGGCTTTGCTGAGCGTGGAAATGTACGGTCTGGGCGATGGGATGTCAAAAGAGTTCGGGGACTTTGAAAGCAGTCTAGATGTCAAGCTTTTGATCTTAAGCTCGAGTTCTTGTACGCGATCTTCAAAACGCTTTCGCTCTTCCATTTTTGACTGACGAATTCTTGATAGTTGTGCGCACTTTTCATCAAAATTCTGTTTATGACTGAGGGCGATCTTGTTGGCGATGGCGACTCGTTCTGTCAGGTCGGTAACTTGTTCTTTCAGACTGGCAACCTCGTCTTTGAGCGTCCTAGCTTGAATGCAATTTTGAGATTTCCGGCGGAGACACTTGACCTTGGTCTGAAGCTTCTCGATATCCTCGTCTCTGATTGAGATGAGTGTTTTTAGTTCATCGACCTCCACCTGCGCGGAACTAAGTTGTTTGGTAAGTAGGTCTTGCTTCTTGATAAGCTGGTCAGTCCACCGTGTGAAGAAGTCATGAATGTCACCGTCTGATTGAAAAGACACATTGTTCATGTTAGTCATTGAATTAGCGGAAGCGGAGACCATAGACCGAGCTATCAGCAGTCAGTAAAACAGATTAAGAGAAGCAAAATGAACACCCCGAATAGAGTAACAGCGATTGCAACAAAGATAACAGTTACAATGATCCTTGTTTGTTGGCTTGTGCTGATCATGGGTATTGAAATTCACGTACTTCGACGTACTGTTGAGATTCCACACTCTTGCTTGGGCAGTTCTTCTCCTGAAGCTCGGCAACTGTATTGATCTTCTATTTTAATCGTCGGTAGATTATTGCTGTTTTCTTTGTAGGGTCGAAAAAGTACATCGCTATCACATAGATTGAAGTATGTGTCAGGTCTGGCAATGTGTAGTTTCGCGCCTGATTGATTGACGTCCGTAGTAGTCCGTCCCCGTAGGGATCGCTTTGTACCCAATATAAAGGCATGGTGCTCGTAGCCATGAACGTCTCTCGATATGAGGATCGCAGAAAATCTCGCTTCAATTGTCCTCCTATTCGTTTCCGGTGGTTCTTGATTTAACTTAGACGCCGAATGATTGACTCTACACGCTTTGAAATTTGATTCTACGGCTTCACAAGTCCGCGCTTCATCGGCTTGCGAAATTGATGAAGAGTTCCATCTCATTTCAGGCCTTGATTTTGGAGGCAGTCCCCGAGATGCGCGGATTTTGTTAATGGTTGATGCATTTGGAACTGGTTTGAATTTCGATGGGCTTAATGCCACACCATATGGGCTCGAAATATAGATAGGCCTGTGCCTAGATATTGTGGAATCGTCGAGTTTATCCATGCTCTGCTTTAGATGTGACACTGGCATAAGTTCTTCTGAGGACCTCGGTGGAGGAGATGAAGAACCGAGTACCCTGGAGCAATCTGTTTCTCTTCTTTGAAGACACTGGCGTTGGTTGTCATGCCCATGCATGGAACATCCACTCGTCCATTTATTCACCATGGTGCAGTTCTACGGTTTCATTCCGAACAACATAGGAGCCTAAAAAGTGAGAATACCGAACTTTCAAGACATCTGAGGCACACGGTTGAATTGCAGTGCAATGTTGAAGATAAAAGTGTCCTGTGGCATCTGTTGAACTTTACGCCAATTCCTGAATTAACCGACAAATACCTACGGAAACCGGTCACCAGAGCAAATATTCACGCCAATGCACAGCCAAAAATGATAATTGTTACCCAGCAAGGAAACTCTAAACTTTTTGTTCACATTTATGTTCAGCCATCCCCCCAATAGTAGGTTATCATCTTCCAGGAGAGCCTACGATGGCAAGCAGGTTTCTGTTGAAGCTCTTCCCGGGGTTTGGACCACATTTAATGATCTAAAGACAATGAGATGAACCGTGTATGTCATTAACGAACGGCTGAACAAATATGTAGTGAAGGCCTCGCGTTGCGAACGTATTTGTGCGTTTCGTAGTGCAACGATGACCGTAAACAATGCCGCCGCAAGCGCTACATCCTTACGATGGATAACCTTCTCGCGAAGCAAAAGGAGGTATACGCAGACGAGAAACTATGCCTTGGTCTATCATGCAGAAGTAAGGTGAAAGTTGTTCCGCACGTGCCGCATGCCCTCTTGACAAGGATTCCAGAAGTGGATCGAATTCCCCTCACTTCTGGATGCCAGATGCAATGGTCTATCCTGATCCGGGATCAGTACGCAAGCACGCCATAAAGCGTGATACCAGCAAATTACTGATACCTCTGCCAACATGAATTAAGGGCCTTGTATTTAATTGTGTATGAACGACCCAGTGCTGATTTCGATCGATAAAGAACTCAGGTGACTTGATATTTTGTTGCAGTTGTGATTCCTGTCCGAGGCGTAGTAACTCAAATGGCCCCGGGTGTTCTGGCAACAGAGTCTGTTCGATCTGACAACGCCATCCCTCGCTGGGAGAAGACACCAAATGATCAGGCTCCTCGGTCAATTTTCCCCGACGGCGTTCGGACCAGTGGACAGCACGAGCCGTTATTCGATTTAATAAGACCATATTCAGAGTTCCCAAGAAAGATCACGGGGCCGACTGTGTGGAAGCGGGAAGACTATGACGACAACAACACAGGGCGATGGACACATATCTTCACCGACGACGAAATTAAAGAGCTGGGGGAAACAGCAGAGCAATTTATCGAACGGAACATACCGTTAACTGGAATTTCGAAGGTATCAAACCCTATCCTTGCCTTCTTATCCTTGTCACTGACACATCTCAAGTCTAACTTCCCTCTACCCAGACTCTCAAAACGGCTGGAAGACCTCCGCAATGATCTTATCAATGGCAAAGGCTTCATTCTTTTCAAAAACTTCCCAGCAAATGAGTGGGGCACTCTGAAGAGTGCTGTTGCCTACATGGGTCTTGGCACATATTTCGGCTATTTTCTGTCTCAAAATGGCCGCGGGCACGTACTCGGCCATGTTAAAGATACTGGCGAAGATGCGACCCAAATCGACAAAGTCCGTATCTATCGCACTACTGCTCGTCAATATTTCCACACAGATGATGGGGACATCGTTGGCCTGCTCTGCCTTCATCGAGCAGCCGAGGGAGGCGAAAGCGATATAGTATCCTCACACCACGTCTGGAACACATTGCAAAAGGAGCATCCAGATGTTGCGGAACTACTGACAAAACCAATTTGGTATTTTGATCGTAAGGGTGAAGTTAGTGACGGTCAGAAACCGTACATCAGAGCCGCGGTGTTCTATCTTGAAAGACCAACTGAAGGACGCGAGCCCAGAGTCTATGCAAAATGGGATCCATATTTCATACGATCTATGTGGCGCTTCTGGGAAGCTGGTACTGTTCCGCGACTCAGCGATGAACAGGACAGGGCAATGCGGATCTTGGAAGATACTTGTTATAGACTGGCACTGCACATGGTATTGGAAGTTGGCGATATCCAGTTCTTGAGCAATGCACATGTGTTGCATGCGAGAACAGCATATAAGGACTACCCGCCACCGGCTCCGAGAAGACATCTTTTGCGGCTCTGGCTGAGTACACCAGAGGATGAAGGTGGTTGGTCCTTGCCCATGCCAGACGCCAAGGAGAAGAAGAGAGGTGGGATTCAGGTGAATGACACTGCGCCACGCGCTCCGCTTGACGCTGAATAGCTTCGAGTGTCACGAAGTTATCGCATGCGCATCTATGTCTAGGAGCAATATTGAGTGACAGTAGCTTGTAATTCAAACGATGCTACTTACTGCAAATGTATGCAATTTACTCTCCGTGAGAGGCTTTTTTGCAAATCCATTCGCAAAGCGCAAAGCCCGGTCTTTGCGTCGGGAACAAAGCGTTCGCATATTCCTACTCCCGTGACGCCGTTGTGGTATACCCAAGTATCCTACGCCTAGAACCCTCTTCCTCTACCCCGCCCTCTACCCCGACCTCCTCTACCTCTTCCTCCGCCTCGTCCACCACCACGACCACCACGCTCTGCATCTTTCCGTTGCTGATTCTTCTTCGGCTTTGTCGAGTCATCTACGAGCAGTGTGTCCAATGGCAAGGAATCAGGAAGAATAAAATAGCGGATTGTAGAACCACGAATGTTGATAGTCTCTAGCGAAATGGGTTCCTTTCCCTTGGGGGTCATTTTAACTGTCCTCAAGGCCGTGTTCATCTGGGGGGTGACTGAAGCGATCGTGCCGTGGACGATGGTGCCTGTTGGTTATTAGAGAAACATGCATTTGGAGATTGCAAGAACATGCGCGTACCATTCTTCAATTCTATTGTCACAGTCTCATTGGTGCATTTCATGAGAAATCTGGAATCACGTTAGTTCTTACATATTCACAGAAGAAAGCGAATTCATCCTCACCGAACTAGCTTCATATTTGATGGTGGAAGCTGAATTAGCCACCAATTCAGTCTTTTGATTTTGTGGTTCCAAAGATTTCAAGCGTATTCAAGCTTCGCGCTCTCACATCAAAGTCAGTTCGAGCTCTCAAAGTGCTAGGCTTGTCTAGACGCGGTGCCTACGTTTCATACGGACGATTCGAAGTCTTGAACTTTTTGCCTGAACAGGTCCGTTGCTCCGTGCACACTTCTGCCTGGCACGTGTCGGGCCACAAGGCAGTAAATAGCAAGTACCTCATAGTAGAGTATGACAGCCCAACCCTGAATTTGAATCTCACGTGAGTACTGTCTTGTCGCGCTGGTTAAGTAGGCACAAGAATTGTGCCTGAATTGCTCTTGATAAGGCGAAAACATTGTTAAAACAATGGAGTTGATTCTGAAACTAATTTTCAGAACGGTTAGAACTAGTTCCATTGAAAGCCGAACTAGATAGATCTTGGAACTAGTTCTATCTTCGTTGCATTTCGATATCATCCATCCTGATGCCAGGGAACTCTTTATCTTTCTTAAGCCTCAATCTTTCAGTCTAATACTCTTCTGTATACACTACAGCAAAAGTGTCTTAACTTGTGTCGTATGTTCCAAGTCAGCAGCGCTGTTGACCTTTCTAAAATTACCAATAGAGTTACATATTCAGATCTACTGTCTACTTCTAAAACTCGGAATACGAACCTGGTCACCAGGTGGAACCCGTGGGAAAAATTTCACTTCGCAATTACTGGGCTTTCGAACAACCGGCTTGCCAAATTCTGATCTTTTATGGAAGGCCGAATTTTGACCGGGTGCACTTGACGTTCTGTCGTAGCTCAAATACAACGATCTGTAAGTTTTCTAAATGAAATGGCATGTTGAACGAGTAAAGATAGAAACAATCAATAACTTATCGAAAAAAAAATACAATTGACCTGTCTGTTGACTGAGAACTCATCGGACAATGTCTAGTCTCATTGCACAACGGCACTGGATGACCAGGATTCAGTGCTTGGCTTTGGTCTTTAGTGACTTTCTAAGATGTCCAATATCTTACAGTATCTTCATACTTTTTATAGTCAAGGAATCTCAGAAGCACGTAGCCGTTGTTGCGCCTCGACCAAGCTGCAAATTGGGACTGTATCCGAGATTCATGAAGACTAGAAATTTCAATGATTACTACATGTGTTTGACTGGTTTTTCGAGTTCTGAGTGTGATTTATGCATCGTTAGAGTACAAACATACTAATTTACTCAGAAATACAGCATTGCTTGGACTATACAGCAGAATACACGGCAGTAGTACTTCTTCCACACTCGATACGCTGCTCCATCTCTACCCATCGCCCGTTAATCTGAACCTTCTTTTTCGGCGTAATCTGAAATCGATGCACTTCTTTACTCCTCCCTTTTACCGCATTGTCTTCCGCCTTTTGGTCTAGCGGCTGGATGTAAACAGGAGTGCTGACATTGTTCCTCTTCCCTGTACCCAGCTGGAAATACTCATTGTTTCCCCAAAAAACAATGTCAGCGCCCCAGTTAGTGTCATTCTCGCTTGTCTTGTTCGAGGCGTTGAGGTATGTCACATTATCCATGATTGCTGCTGCATGAGTTTGACCAACACTGAGATGCGCGAGGCGGATAGGGATGGTTCGTTTTTTCACTTCATCATACTCAAAAAGGCCCGAGAGACTGGGTATCTTGGTCAACGAGGATTGGACGTGTGTCCAACGACCGTTTGCAAGGTTCCCCCAAAGTCCTTGACCACAAGCCCAGGTGTCCGCTGTCACGAGTCCAAGTTTTGCTTTTGACGAGGCCGATTCTTCGGATGATGAGGATGCGACGCGCGTAGCGTCTATAGTGAAATAAGAGTTGTTCCCACCAGCCGCCACACCTGTGACCTTTGGCACTTGCGATGTGCCTGCGTAAGCCTGCTGAATAGGAAGAAGGGAGGGAGCATCGATGATGGAGGATTCGACATTTAAGTCTAGGCCAAGCTGGCCAAAGGAATTATCTCCAAAGGCAAAAACACGGCCATCTTTATCGCTAGCTAGTGAGTGATAGTCACCAGCTGCTATGGATGTGATTTTAAATCCATGTAGCGTCCTGATCTCATGTGGTTGGTCGTATGCGCCCGGTGGACGGGTTGACCATGTCAGGCCGGGTATGCCTAGCTGACCATGCCGCGGAAAGTCTGAGGATCCTGCTGCGGCAGAGTATAAACGGCCTTTGGATGTCATGAGAAGGACGTGTTCGAGGCCACCAGCTATAGCTGATACTTTTTCGCCCCATGTCAGATTGGTTGGAGTAAGATTACGATAGCTGATAGCTGACCGGGAGCTTAGAAACGGGATCCAGGATGCTTCCAAAGGCTTTGTTCCACTTTGCTGTTCGTCCTGCGACGCTGGCACAGAATAGACGGCGCCATCATCAGAAAGCGCTATTATCCTATCTCTTGACAACGCTAGACTCCTCAGGTTCTTGCCCGTTAGCGTCTTCTCGGGGACCGAGAAGTCAGCTTTGTACCCAGAGCCCCATTGTAGCAAATCACCTTTCTCGTCGATGGCGGCCCCGAAATTTCTGTCAAGCTTCATGTCTCTGAGCAGCATCCCGTCAAAGAAGGGTATTCGCCTAGCAGTTTTGATGAATTTCTCATTGGAATCAGGTGCAACAACTCTTCCGCTGTTCGAGCCCCATGCATACACGCCAGGGTTCTCCCAGCTCTTCTTTACTTGCACATGCTGCGACGATATAATATCTCGATAGTCTTCCTTCGATGTTGCTTGTCTTCGCGGCTTTTCAAAAACAGGTGTAGGGTCGGATTGTTCGATTTGGTCTGCAACTACAGTCGTAAAAAGAAGATTCTTCGAAGCATATAATGAAACAACTGTGAACGAAATTGTACCAGCTCCTATAACGTATTTTCGTATCGTCTGTGAATTCGTGCTGCTGGAATATGCTCTATCGGATTGCAAGATGGACTTATTCATCTGTAGAGCACCTCTTTTAAAGCCAAAGCCTCGAGAGGCAGATCTTGCCCAGGATCGAGTAAACATGGTTATTCCCCATCTGCGTGCGCTTCAATTTCGGTAGAGGAAAGGATAATTATCAAGTGCTTAAGATCAAGAATGTAAACGTCACGACAGTCTGGGGAAAATGATCATCAGCAGGGGTCCGCGACAGCTCCGATGCGGAAAGCCCACCACAGCAACTCGTCTGGCCTCAATACATAATTCAAATCGACCTTAGGCCGGTTCCTACTTTCCAACGAACCATGAATGATGATGGCTGGTACTCGAGCTTTGTGTCGCGTGCGAATCCCACAGTAATCAGCAAGTCTCCTTCGCAGCGCCGCAAGACAATAAATGTAAGACACGCACCTAGCTTGCGTTCCTTCTTCCGCTGAACAATTCTGATGCACCATGCAGGAGGACATTCGAACCGACGTCGCTCCCGTAGAAGCACTGTTTAAGCCGGTAGTTGATAAAATCAGGCAGCAGGAGCCGCCAAAAGCTACAGTAGCGAGAAGGGCCAAATCTTATAGCGATTTCTACGATGTCGTAAGGGCACACATTAAGAAGGAAAATAAATTAGAAAAAGAGAGAGAGCGAAAGAAACATAGGCGGAAGCAAGTCAAGAATGACCTCGAGTTTGGGTCTTGGTATCATGGGTTACAGAACGACCTCTTGGATGCTAGCCAGGAAGAGTACCGGTACGCAACTGAGTAAGAATGTCGAGCCATATGGAAGCTCATTGAAAATAGATTGTACCGCGATCAGCTTCACCTTGCCGAGGAGCACCTAGAATCTCTGCTCAACGGGACCAATGCAGTATTGCAACTTCTAATCAACCTTTCGAATAACTTCAGGGAAGTGGAAACACAGACTACCTCGTTCCAAGCACAATGCGAGGATTTATTGAGCGACCAAAATCGAACAATTATGCTTGCCAATGGCATAGCTGAGAACTTACAGTTTTATACGTATCTTGAACCAATGACAAGGCGGCTAAATGCTCCTGGGGCGGGCAGACTAGTTGGAGGCAGGGAATTTTCAGATATGTTATCGAACCTCGATACTTGCTTAGAATACATGCAAGCTCATGTAGGTAATGCTCAGGTGTTATGATGGAGCACGCTAACATAATTCAGCCCAAACATCGTGAATCAGCCAGCTACAGATCACGTTATCGTTTGCTTTTAACCAGAGCACTGACTCTAATACGAAATCATTTTGCCAATTCGCTCAAAGATGTCGTTGCGGATGTTACGAAGCGCATAGCTGAAAGACAGCTGAATGAAACAACGCAGTCGGCACTGCTGTATGCTAAATTCCGTGTACCTGCTCCCGAGATGAAAGCGATCGGCCTGGAGATACAGAAAAGAGCCATTCTTCCAGAAGGCGCAGAACCAGGCTCAGAGGCTGAATACCAGAGCCTCATGAACGAGCTCTATCAAAGCTACGGAGCTGCGCGGGGAAAATTATTGCGGCCCATAATCAACAAAAATATGAGCGAGATCGCAGCTAGCCCCAACACATCAAAGGATCTTGTTTCCTTCGCAAGAAGCAGTATAAGTTTCATTCGTGGAATATGTTCCGATGAATATGACCTGTGGGGCGAATGGTTCGCATCTGACGCCGCTCTGTATTCATTCCTCGAAGAGATGATGGACCCGTTCTACGATCAGTTGCGACCCCGGATTATACATGAGACACAAATCCAAAAGCTGTGTGAGCTTTGTACTCTAATACAAACTAGATATATGGACGACGAGGATGAGGACGAACCAAACTCACCTGGGCCCCCAAAGCTAGACTTTGGTCATCTGATCGCGCCTGCACTTGAAGACGCGCAATCCAGGCTTGTTTTCTTGACTCTAACGACTCTGCGCAATGATATTGAGTACTATAAACCGAAGCCAAATGATCTAGATTATCCAACTAGGTCCAGTCGTGCACCGCAGTCTGGCTCGAGAGCGAATGGTCCTGTGCTGTCTGGCCGCAAAAGTACAAATGGACCCTTTTCGAAGACAGCATCAATCGCGGATGAAGATAATCCGGACAGAGATCTGATACTCGCATCTTCGCTATCAGACTGCTATCCAACGCTACCAAAGGCTGTATGGCTTCTGAGTAGAATATATCGCTTGGTCCATGTAAGTCTAGCGAGAACAAGGCGTTTCGATTTGCTAACGCGAATCCCAGTCTTCCGTCTTTGATGATCTTGCACACCAAATTGTGCACCAAACTACCCTTTCGCTACACCATGCATCTACTCTTATATCGAAACAAGCATCTCCTACAGATGCGCAGCTTTTCCTCATCAAGCACCTCCTCACTCTTAAACAACAAATCGTCGCATTCGACATCGAGTTCGTCTCTCCCGATGTGCAGTTCGACTTCTCTTCTGTAACTAACACGTTCTGGGAACTTCGCTCACGTGGTGGGCTCTTTAATCCTCTAAACCTTGTTAGGCTGGTTGGGGGTAGCCTCATTCCCAAGGTTGTTACGAACATGCTTGATGCGAAGGCCGAGCTTGACGGTCGCCTCCGAACCGTAATAAATGATTTTGTAGACTCGTTCGCCGAACGCATGACCAAACCACTACAATCACGTGTCAAGGATGCTAGGGCTGCCACTTTGGAGGTGCGCAAATCGCTTGAGAAGGACGTTCCATTTTTAAGGAAGAAATTGGAGGAGTATATCACAGATCGAAGAACCAAAGAAACGCTTGTGGCAGCTGTCATGGACAAAGTGGTAGAAATCTACGAGGATTGGTATGACGAGTGGAACAAGGGCTCTGTCGGAGCGGGAAATGCTGGGAGAAAAGGCAAAGGAAGGGAGGATGAGGTCTGGGGTCCTGGCGCTTTTGGAGAGTGGGCTACAGGAGTGTTTGATGTTGGACGTCTTAGCTTCTTGGACGATGAAGATGCCGATGGTGAAAGCCGAAGAAATAGTGATGTCAGTAGTCTCTAGAATCATTGACCCCAGAGTTATCGGGAGTTGTTACAAGACTTCAAAGCAATACAAGAAGATCGGGCCCGACTGAAGTTAACAATGTCCCAAGGTGGCCTCAGCCATGCTACTGCAATGTCCAAGTTGCGTGCTGTACTATTTGTGACCATCATGACGAAGCTTTTGAGGATAATACATTGGTCTTGAATTCCGCCCGAAATTTTTGCACCTCTTTTCCAACGCTAGCCTGAGCTACCGGCTCTGGGAAGAGGTGCTGTGTTATTGACAATGAATGACGTCGCTAAGTCGGTGGCGTGATCGTAGTTCGATGAAGTTGTAACCTTAACATGAGGTTGAACTTGTAAAGGGTTTGATCGCGGCTGGATTTTTTTTTCTCAACTAAATCATAAGATATATTACGCTTGCTTCTATTGCTTGCATGATTGTGTCAGGATATGATTGTGCCATTGTTGGTTCTCGACAGCCATAGCTCTGATCCAGAGGCCGTAGCTTTCCGCCTTATGCGCAAGTACCTTACACATCATTCGTCATAAGCTCCGCCGAAGATATGCAGAGATCAGCCATATAAAGCTTGACCCAACAGCTGCGTTCTCGAGCTCAACACCTTTCCACCGTATATTTTGCAAAAAGCTGCTTCGATTTGTATCTCTAAAACGTCACTGCAATGGCATTAGACATTCGAACGAGTGAATTGAAAGAGCCAGTCAACGTCTCTGAGGTTCGCACGCCTTACCTCGAGTGTAGCTGCGGTTTCCCTGCTAACATGTGATTGCGTCTAGTACCTATTTCGGAGATTATATGAAGTGGGCATCAGGAGCATCCATGGCGTACCCGGCGACTACAACTTAGCAGCCTTGGACTATATACCAAAATCTGGGTTGAAGTGGGTTGGTAATGCAAATGAACTAAATGCTGGTTTGTTTCTCTTCACGTACATAAAGATTTCGATCCTTAACACAACATAGGCTATGCAGCGGACGGATACGCGAGGATCAAGGGCATGGCTGCCCTTGTCACCACATTTGGTGTTGGCGAACTCTCGGCTGCGAATGCCATTGCGGGGGCATACTCTGAATACGTTCCCATTGTGCACATTGTCGGCTATCCTTCTGTGGCCTCTCAGAGAGATGGCGCATTGCTCCATCATACGTTGGGAAATGGTGACTTCACCGTCTTCCAGAAAATCTTCAGCAATATCTCTTGCGCGGTTTCTATGCTAAACGACCCACACGAGGCTGCTATGTTGATAGACAACGCCATTCGAGAATGCTATATTCATTCTCGGCCCGTTTATATCAGTCTACCAACGGATATGGCCCAGAAGAAAATCGAGGGGGCTAGGCTTAAAACCCCTATTGATCTAAGTTTCAAGCCCAACGATCCTGATGCCGAGGATTATGTGGTCGATGTTATTACAAAATACTTGAAAGATGCCCAAAACCCTGTCATTTTGCTCGATGCCTGTACTATACGGCATCATGTATGTACTTGCAACACAAAAACAAGACCATGATGCTAATTTTGAACAGGCTGGCGATGTGGCTAATGAGTTCATCAAAGCTTCTGAGCTTCCAGTTTTCGTCACTCCTATGGGAAAGGGAGGCGTCGATGAAACACTCCCAAACTATGGAGGTGTCTATGCCGGCAGTGGCTCGAACGAAGGTGTCGCCAAACGAGTGGAAAGCTCGGACTTGGTTCTCACGCTTGGAGCCATCAAATCCGACTTCAACACTGCCGGTTTCTCCTACAAAATATCGCAACTCAAAACTATTGATTTTCACACGTACACAACCAAAGTCCGCTATTCTGAATATCCCGGTGTCCGTATGAATGGTGTGCTGAAGAAGCTCACCCAGAAGCTAAAAGAGGGCTTGAAGCTAAATGTGCATCTTGGTTCGCATGAGCCAAGCAACGAAATGCCACAGAGAGAAAAGGACTCTTTGGAAAGCACCATCAACCACAGCTGGCTATGGCCACGACTAGGTCAATGGCTTCAGGCTGGTGACATCATCATCACCGAAACAGGAACATCAAACTTTGGCATTTGGAATACTCGATTTCCAAAGGATGTAAAAGCTATCTCTCAGGTCCTATGGGGAAGCATTGGCTACGCCACAGGTGCCACTCAGGGTGCAGCACTTGCTGCTAAAGAGATGGGTATCAAACGATCGATTCTATGGACTGGCGACGGTTCGTTCCAGCTGACTGCTCAGGCTGTCTCCGATATGCTGCGAAACAAACTTTCTCCTTACATTTTCGTCATCTGCAATGATGGATATACTATCGAACGCTTCATACATGGTTGGGATGCCGAATACAATGATGTCCAGCCGTGGAAATACAAGGATCTTCCAGCTGCTTTTGGCGGACGTACAGAAGAATTTGAGACGTTTGCCGTAAGGACGAGGGATGAACTGGACAAATTGTTTGAGGATGATGATTTCTCGACGCCCAATGGCAAGTTGAAATTCATTGAAGTGTACATGCCAAAGGAGGATGCTCCTGAAACGCTCAAAATGACAGCAGAAAGCGCAGCGAAAAGGAACGCTTGAGGCTACGCGGATTCATGTTGTACCCATGACTCTGCTTACTGTTTCTGCTTCATAATAAATTTAATGTTTTGCAAGTTTGGGCCTAGGTCGAGTCCACATTGATAGTTCAAAATGGATGGATTATTTCTGTGCAAAAGGTCTGTTGGCTTTACGACCAAGTAAGCGGTGAGGTAAACCTGCAGAGGTCTAATCATGGTTAAGCAATCCAGCTTTGCTCATTCTGAGACTCGTATGCACTGAAGTCGGAAAAGATTGCCATTGAGGGGTGGCGTGAAAGTGCTACAGAGGAGTTATGTAACGAAAAGAATGGTTTTTTTATCAATGTAAGACATCGTAGATAGTTTCATAATCCAGAGAATGTTATAGCTGATGTTGGCATAACCTAATTATGACGTTTCGCGCAAGATACTCGAAGAATACTCTGATCGGTGTGGAACAACCGACTAAGCTCGCAGAATTCAAGAACCATCGAAAAATTAGGAAACATTACCGTATCGCATGATACATACCGGAATTATCGCCTCGACTCAAGTTGTCCGAAATATCTTCTTGCATGCACCCCTTTTCGGAGTATCAATGAAAATTGGCGATGTTTTAATCAGGTGACCTTCTACCACGGACACCGATCACTCATGCGTGTGGACTCCCGACAGTCGGTCGCTATGGCTGCTGTCCGAATAACCTCCCGAACGACGATTTTCTATCGCAATCAAAGCTTACGGACCGATGTAATATGTCTGCATGCATGTCTCAATTCGGGCCTATGTTCAGAATTGCAACGTTCAGAGAGAAAGAGTGTTCATCAAAGGCTCTTTGGGAACTTCTTTACCATATCTTTCGTTCAAATTTGTTTGCTATGTAGATCACCCTATCTCGGATCAGCACATACATTTAGTTAGCTGTCGCAATTGTCAGCAGTACAGTCAAAAGGCCACTATCAGTGGTGTACGTTCAGCTAGTGCCACGTAAATTACGCGGCATGGCTATCATTTGGCAAAAAACTTATAGCGCCTGAGCTTATTATCGTATATTTACACATACTCATTGAAATTAATGTTGCAGCCAACCGGATTTCCCTTCAATTCCATCTGCTCGACATTCTGATTTATTCTAGAGGGGTGCATATGTTGCCGCTCCTACTAATGATATCGCCTGAGCATTGAGAGCCATGATCACCATTTCACTTTGAAGAAGTCCACGCTTCCGTCACGCCTAGCGCATTACAGAGCAAAGAAATACCAATCCAGAGGCGCGTAGAGCTTTCAATGCTCTGCAAAGCAAATGAGGTATCGGACTACCAATATGCCAAGTATGTATCTGTCCATTGTCCGCCGACATATCCGGATAGGAGTGTCCCTGTCTTGTCAGAGCAGGATGCCATTGTGCCCTTACCCATTTCACATGGCATGATTTTGGACCGAAGCGTATACTCCTAGAGTACGATAAGGAACTCGCAGATTTCGGGACGCTCGGAGCAGATTATATCTCATGGCACCAACAACACTCTGGGTGGAAGAATGACAACTACTGCTCTTCTGTCTAGAGATTGTCGTATTCATCCACTCTTTCTCTAGACACTCTGGTCATGTTCTGCACGCAATGGGCGACTTATTAATTGCTACTTAGACATGATTCCAAAATCGAGGCTTATGGATCCAACAGAGTGACTTTTCAAGCACCAGATGTCACTTAAGACACTTGAAAATCATGGCCAGCTTGATGCAAATTAGCATGGCCTTTCTTAAAAATGTCCAACGATAGGCTTAGGAATATACAACTCCTCAAGATATTTCATCTCATCCTCTGTCAAAGTCTTGCCTTTCACCTCGACAGCTTCGTCCAGCCTTTCCAGATTGCTGAAACCTACAATGGGAATCGTGTTCTTCTGCACGATCCAGGCCAACGCAACCTGAGACATCTTCCAACCCTTCTTCTGAGCCAATTCCTCAACTCGCTTGATTATCGCTTTATCTTCTGCCGTAATGTTTGAGAACGCTGAAAGAGTCTTCTTCGTTGATTCGGAGCGAACGGTCTCGCCACTGTCCACTGGCCTTGCGAGGTGTCCTCGATACAGTGGAGACCATGGAATAAGGCCAACACCGGTTTCGTGACAAAACTTGTTCATCTCGCGCTCCTCCTCTCGGTAGCAAAGAGAATAATGGTTTTGCATGCTTACGAACTTGGTCCAACCGTGTTTCTCTGCCGTAAATTGCATCTGTGCGAACTGGATTCTATACGTCAGCAAAGGATACACGAAGAAAGAAAGGTTACGGAAAGCGACCGCGAACCTGGTATGTCCACATGGAGCTCGCCCCAATGTACCGGACTTTTCCACTTTTGACCAGATCATGGAGCGCCTCCATCGTCTCTTCTATTGGTACTGTCGGATCAAAACGATGGATTTGCAACAGGTCAATGTAATCAGTCTGCAAACGCGCTAGACTGGCATTGACTGCGTTAAAAATAGCCTGTCTCGACAAACCTGACTGATTCACGTAGTCCCTCGTGTTCTTCATCTGGGGATACTTCAGATGGGACAGCGCGGGCGTCTCTCCCACTGTACCGAAACACTTGGTGAGGATGATGACTTTGTGTCGTGGAATGCCGTTCTTCTTGATGATGCGGCCGATCAACTCCTCACTCACGCCGTTCGAATAGACGTTCGCTGTGTCCCAGGTGTTCAATCCTCTCTCGTATGCGCCCAAAAGCAGCTTTTCTACCTCCGATTCGTCTTCTACCACCCAAGGAGCCCAATCTTTGTGTCCAAAGGACATGGCTCCTAAGATGGGAAGCGAGACCCTCAGGCCAGACCTTCCGAGCTGAACATAAGATACCTTCGTCGCGTCAAGGCTCTTCTGAAGCTCTGGAGGAATTTCACCCATTTTCCTTCTTTCGGTAGTGATAAAGGCTCTTTACAGGCTCCAAAGATACTTTTTTTTAATTCTTTCTTTCTCTCAAAAGCACGATTGAACTTGGAGAAGGACGGCGTGATCGAAAGGCGGGGAAAACGGCATGATTTATCGCTCCAAAGACGCTACTATAAACGAATCACGGAATTTGGACGGAATTAAGCTATTGCCGCAGGTTTATAAAATAGTCAGCCTGCCAGTCCAAAGTCCTCCTGCGTCTCAATCTAATGCCGAATAAATCCACCTTATTTGTTTCAAGGTGTCAACTCAGAAATTGTTCGGCGAGGCTCCGGGGCGGGGGCAGGGGTGGGTGCGATCGATTTCGATCTCTACGCTTCCAAGTGGATTACAGCCGTGCATAATGCAGTTAAATAGCAGTAGCTGGTCCCCTTTCTCTGTGAAGGAAAACTTTACATCTTCATTCTGCTCATTTTTTCATACCTGTTTCACCATAAGACTCTGGTTTCCATGTACGTGTTCGTGTTAAGATACATTTTTCAGCGATTGCGAAGGCGCCTGTGCTTGGATGAACGCTGGTATTACCTGCTTCAAGGTTGTTTCTATTTTCATTTGACGTAATCGGTCTTCAGGACTAAATGCGGACGTCAAATGTAGTGGTAAAATGCGTGTATGTGACACCTCTATCGTCATCAATTATCATATCTTTCCGAGCTGGGCCGTTGCTTTGTGACTACTTGCAATTCGCCGAGTAAAATCCCTGAACTCGAACTCTGAGGCACAGCCAAGTCCGAGACGACCTAGTCTCCGAAAGCTACATTCAACAGGCGAGCAAACCATGCACCGTAATACTTCATGATGATCTGATGATGCGCAAATCGTACGTAGACATTTGAGTGTATCAAGAGCTTGAAGTTGAAGATTCAATACAGAAACTGGTAATTACTCGCTGATGAACAGGAGATAAAGGTCTTGCGCATCTTCATTTCATCACCATATGAACCCGTTGTTCAATTTTCAATCCAAGCTCTCCTGCTAAAAGGGGATTTGAAGATGGCACTTTTCCAGAACCCAACCAACAGCAGATACTGTTAACAGCGACGCCAAATAACATAGTTCATATGCAACGGGAGTCAAGTCCTTTTCTCCATTCATCATTGCTATGAAGACGCCGTATTCAAGGTGTTAAAAAAATCTTTTGAAACATAAATACAAGTGCCGTGATTTTCAATGCAATATCTCACCCAATGCAATGTAATCGGCAATTACCCCGCTCGTTAACTCCTTGGTGTTCGCAAAAATGCCGTAGAAGATCGAGTCGGAAAGAGGTAGGAAGTCGACTGTTGGTGATCTCTCCATGTCGGACAGGTCATCGAGTAGGCTCTCTTTCTCTTTGGTTGCATTGTGCCCAGCTGTTTCCTCGATATCATCAGAAGCAGATACACCATTGACTTTCTTCATTTCGATACTGTCCTTAGATGTCTCCTTCGCTGACAGCGACGAGTCTTCGAGCGCCTTCTTTGCAAGACGCTTGAGCATTGACATGCCTCGTGAAACGATGTTTACAAAGACGGTCTGCAGGAAGGCTTCATCACGATATAGTTGTGGTGGCACTTGACCACCGTTCTGGTTCCGGAACACTAGCTCTCTTGCTCCGTCATGCTCCGCCAATTCTGAGATGACTCTAAAAAGCACAGTGGCCCATGAATCTTGACTTCGAAGCCAAGACTTGGCGAGTCCTGGATCAGAGGATGGGATAAGCATAGAGAGAATGTCGGCAGTAAGCATACCCTGTGAAAGGGTCGGTTTTCGCGCTTGAGCAATTGCCAAAATTTCTTCGTCCATACGGTTAATCGGCTTGCGCTCATGTCCACTGACATCGGGTACGACAGCTATAGCCATACCAAAAGCGCGAGTTAGAAGGTCGTATTTCTGATGTACTGGCAAATCGGATTCGTCCTCATCCTCATGGTCGGAGACATCCACAAAGATCTGCTTAAAAAATGTTCTATTTGGGTCATCCCTAGCAAGGAGCTTCGCAAATACGTCGATCGCCGTAGGGTAATACTTGTGCACAGATGGCTTATAGCTTGCAAAACGGAACGGATTCGTCTCAGTCGGAATTGGCCCAGGCGCAAAGGCAAGAATGAATTGAAGAAAGTTGTACGCATCCTCTTGCGAGTCGAGGACGATTTCTTTCGCAGTGTTTGAAAGGAAGACGATAACGTCCTTCATGAAGTCCTGAGTGTTAAGCGATGACTGAAGCGATACTACGCGCGTGGCAAGGAGGCCAATTGTGTTCGACAGGAATTTGACGGCGCGAGAAGCAGCGAGGAAATGTGAATTGTCTCTCCGCGTGTCCATGATATTACGAGGGAAGGACAGGTTTCGCAGAATTGAAGTGACGGCAAGCAATCGCTCTGCTGCTCTTTCCTTCTGGTATTTTTTGCTGCCGACTTCGGGAACATCCTGCACCTCTTGGAGTTCAAGCTTGGCCAATCTTGCGATCTCCTCGTATGACCCATGTTCCAAGCCCTCTATTCTCTTCGACTTGTCACTGAGGAACTCGACTTGATCTTCACCACAGTCTATGAGCACGTCGAGCAGGTCGCCACATTCCGGTAATTCCAGATATCTCGGGAGCAGAGTACCATCTGTAAGTTTTCCTAGCAGATCCAAGGCGTAACGCACCTCGGCGTTGATCCCGGATTGCAAGCTCAGTGTGATTGCTTGTATGTCAACAACACCGACATCTAGATGACTTGGAATGTCAACATTGTGCAGAGCTAGCTCTTTGTACATCTCCGCCATATCACCGACTGGTTGGTGACGATCTAGCCCTGCAGGCTTTTTGGTCAAAATGGCCTCACCAAGCATGTAGCCGCCATGGCTGTCAAGAGGCACCACGTGAGGAACATAGTGAGTTGGCCGTGGTTCTGCGGCACCATTTACTGCCTTAACATCCATCGATGTTGGCGCTTTGACTGGTTGTGGGGTTGGAGCGAATGCACCTACTTTCCCTTGAGCTGGAGAGCCATCCAGATGACGACTAGCACTCTTGCGGTGCTGATCAACAGTGGAGGGAGGTCGCGCGGTCGTTTGATCCGACTGCGGCGTTGAAAAGCCATTGGTAGCGGGAAGAGATGCATTATTTTGCTGCGGCGTCATCTGTCCAGGTGCTGGGCTTGGTTGACCCTGCATGTTCATACGAAGCTGGTTCATGTAGGCTTGATTTCCAGGCTGATTGGTTGGTGGCACATTTTGAGGCATCTGCCGAGTCGGAGACATGTTCTGCTGTCCTTGAGGCATGCCGCTCATCTGTGCCTGCTTCATCTGTGCCATGCGTTGTTGTTGTGAGTTGTAGTAAGCAGCTTCCCATGGCCCAAGATTTCGCTGGAACAACTGCTGAAGTTCGACTCCCACGTTTGGATATTGCTCAGGAGGAATTCCAATTTGCCTTGCTACTGCAGGCCACTGGTTTGCTTGGGTAACGCGTTTGGACGAACCAGCACGTACGATAAGCTGGAAGAGAATATACAAATTGACAGGTCGTCCAGCTATGGTAGGGTGAGGGTCAAACGGCTGTTGAGCGTGTTGCATGTACTTGGCAATCTTTTCCATAAAGGCGCGCTCTTCTGCTGCCCGCTGTGGATTTTGCATGTTCGCCATGTTCGCTTGCGGCCGGGTTGGAGTTCCCATGTTTGGCTGATTGACGGCAGCTGGCGACATCATGGGATTCATGCCAGCGCGGCTTTGCATCATCTGTCTCTGTCGTTCAAGGCTCATCTGCTGTATGGCTGCTTGTCGCGCCGCAAGGTTGTTGGTAAGTTGCACCGGCTGGTAAGGGTTCTGACCCGGCATGCCCTGCATGGCAGCGAAGTTCTGATTAAACGCCGGAGGCATCGAGGTTCCGGGAATGTTGAAGGCCTGGCCAGGCATTTGCGCGCCCATGGTGGGCGGCATGCCCATCTGTGGACCGCTCATCTGGCCCGGCATCTGACCATTCATGGTGAACTGAGGCTGGTTCAGATTCTGAGGCGTGCCGCGTCCGCTTCCGTCTGGAGGAGGCGACATTCCCATCCGAGGCTGTTGCGCCTGAGGTCGGTACTGCTGGGTGGAGAGGGTAGGTGATGGCGTCGCGTTGTTCGATCCATGCTGCAAATGCTGGAAATTGCTGGGCAGCGGCTGGCCCTGCTGAGGATTCTGAAAGTTGCCGCCAGGGAAGTTGCTGACGACTTGCTGGGGAGTCTGCGATCGCGACAGGCTTATGTTGGATGGCGCCTGTCGAGGTGAGTTGACGGCGCCGTCGTCGCGTGGCCGCTTGGAGGGAACGAGCTGCTGAGGCGTGTAAGGGAACTGCGAGGAGGGCGTCTGCGATCGCGGCTGTTGGAACGGGGGGTTCTGGAATTGCGGATTTGGATTCGGGTTGGACGTGTTGTTTAGCATCGAAGGGTCGAAGGTTCCGTCGGTCGCGAAGCCATTGGACTCGCTGTGGACAGGCCAGCCATTCATGGTTCAGCGCGGTAATGGAGGCTATCTACGGACATCATCAGCCATCGACAATCAGGTCAGTGGCAGTCAGGCATGACGCGAAAGGACAGAGGGCCATCGACGCAGGACCGGAAGGGGCGGGAATCGACGTGAGCCAACAGGCGCGGCGCGAAACGACGTGTTGTGCTGTGCTGAGCGGAGGCTGCCAGCAGCGTTTGGCCGACGTGCCGCGCTGGGCCAGGAGGGGCGGGAAAGCTTGGCCGTGGATCCCAGATGGCGATAGAAATCAGATGCAGGAAATGTAGGACATGTATGGAACAAAGCCTAACTTACCCGAGAGCGTCTGTTGCGTGGCCGGGAGACGGTGTGTCGGTCGCAAAGGAGAAATGTGCCAGAAGTTGCAATCTGCCCTGCCACTTGGCGCTAATCGCCTATGGACAGCAGAGACGGCCAGCATCTTCACGACACCACGCCCGAACAGACGACGACGGCGACGAGCTTCAGCGTCAGCCACGCGCGCCGCCTGCTGCTGTGCAAAAATCCCCCGCCGCTCAGAACGGCCAAAAACAAGGCGCGCGAAGGAGACGAAAAACCCGCCGGCGCAGAAGAGGAATCGAGACAAGGTCCTGTCGGCCCATAAATGGAACGTCTGACTAGCGCCAAAAGGCACCGACCTGGGCCGATGGTAATGAAGATTCGATTCAAGACCCAACGTCCAATCCTTTCGAGCCGTAGTTTAGGCGACGCATCCGTACTACCTGCCCCTCGCTCCATATGGCTTCTTTGGTGCATGTTCGATCCCAGTCATCTGTGCTGATTTGCCATCTGTCCCAAGGCTGCCGATCGTCGTCTCCCGCAAGACTGACTGATTTCCTGCTTCCTTGCCTCAGCTGTGCCCTGCGCTTGGTTGCCGTACTTCGACGACAGCATCGAGCACCGTGTCGTCAGCCGTCCTCCATATTTCCGTCCGGCTGTCCATCGACGGTTCAGAAATCAGTCGTCCAGCCCATTCCGTGTTCGAGCATAGTCACCAGGCTTGGTTGACGCCCGCCGCCGCGAACACCTGCTTACACAGCGACTTTTTTATCCCGACTTTGTGAACCAACAATGGTACCTGCTGTCTCTGTGCGTAACCTATGCCTCCAAGCCTCAGACAGAATGCATGACCTCAGCCCACCCCGAAAGCCGGGCGGACTACTGTTGCAAAACAAAATCTTATCGCCCCCGTCTACCAGAAACATACCACTCTCCCGAGATCCGTCGTGAAGGGAAAACCACGCCAATCTCGGGGTCCAAGCGTCTCTTGTTCTTCATCGTCACCTGCGCATATCCGTCATCCGAACTTTATCGCGCAAAAGGCTCCGCTCCTTGCCCATGCCAGTAGTAGCGGCGGGCTGGCTACAAAGCACGCGATAAGTCCCAGCACGTACCTCCGTACAAGACGCCTTGCAAAGCATGCACGGCCCGACCTGGAAGTCTCGGCATTCACCGTTCCCTGCGTGATCTCGTTAGTCACATCGGCCTGAGCATTAAAAAAAAGGGAAAAAAAAAAAGAAATGTCGACTTGCTGTAGTTCGCCCCCACTGGTACCTAGCTCAAAATAAGAGAGGTGTTGTCTTCTTTTGCCTTTCTTCCTTCACGTATACAACCCATGTCCTCATAGAGTGATGTACAGATCACGTGAGATCACGGACTTTGACGGCGCTTTCTCGATTATCATCTTCTAAATGTAGACAAGAAGAGACGCTGTGTTACACTTCGTCTTATATCAATCTTGGATCTTGTGACATCTGGTCAAACATCAGACGGTGCATTTGGTCATATGAATATCACATGATTCGTCTCAATCGAGCTCACTTTCTTCGAGTCCAGGACGCAGGTCAGTGAGCAGAACGGCCTCTCTCATCCCAGCTTAGGACATTTTTAAAGTATAATATAATACATACATACATATACATATATATATGTGTGTATGTATGTATCTCAAGGATGAATTGTACAGCGTATACTATTACTTTACGGCTCTCCTCTCCCTCGTGCTGTACTTCCAGTGAAGAAGTTCTCCAGCTTATGGCTTGAATAACCTTTGCATATTCGTGGGTTAGCTGATGAGCCATTCTCTGCCCGTGGAACATGCCACATCTGGCATGATGAACTTCGTCAACCAGCAAGAATCGAACAGATATCCGACTTGCCTCATTTTATGTATACTAAGTTGGCCCGTCAGCCGAGAGTGGATGATGAGCAACGCTTGTCCGTCAGACTTCTCCGCTCAAACACGACGTGCAAACCGATTCAGCTCTGCCTGGCTGAGAGACGCAACCAGTCTTTGAGCTGTGCTTTAAAACAGCGTGCCTTACCACCGTAGCGTGTGTTGAGGAGTACATGCCTGGTTAATATATAATTCTGAAAAACACCTTTGGCTGTACGACAATGCCCGGATACATCAAACATGAGGCTGGAAAATATTTTGTGGACGCTAGGTTGCAACCCTTTCCGCAGCTCGGCATGCATATGTCCACGAGCGGAACAAAAACGGTCAACTTAAGCCTTGGAGAATGTCAAGAGTACGACCGTTCTTGCTGTCGTCTGGCTTAGTCCCATTGTCATGCCTCCTTTTCCGAAAATCATTCAGCCATCAAGCGAAGAAATATGACATGTATTGGCGCGTACAGCGATGCAAAACATCTGACGATAATTGTGGCCTGTAAGCCTTTTAAATTAATTGATATTACATCTAGTTTCTCTACTGCAGGAGGGCCTGGGCTCAAGGACCAAGGCTGAAGTCGAATGGCATCCATCAAAAACGCCACAAGTGTCTCGCTCCGAAGTGCCAGAAGCGTTGGTGTGCTCTAGATCTTGCCATGAAGCAAGTTCCTGATCATCTCTCTGCCTGTAATCCTGATTGTGTGGTACAAGGTCAAAAAGTCAAGTGTGCTGCTGAACGTGTCCGCAAACCCGAATGGAAGCATTGGCGGGATCCAACCTTGTGCCAATTCCAAGGCCCAGCAACCCTCGTGCATCTTGTACTGCCTGACAACACCTCGCTTCATGAGATTCACTGATCCTTTGGGATATACCTCTTTGACCAGCGAGTTGGCCTCATAAGCCCACTGCTCGCCTTCAAGAATGTGGAAGTAGTCGTCCGCTGTGTGACGACCGCTGTGCCCTTCTGTACCGAGTGGCGTGCCGAAGATAATGAGGTATTCCGTAATCGAGGCGTGGATCAAATACATCGAGCCCATACAGCCGCCTGCGTTGTTGAAGACCCATTCATCGTAGTACGGACTGACTTGTGTGGCCGGGTCCCATACGGCATTTGCAGACGGTGGTGGGTGGTCGGGAAAGGGATCGATTGCGATGTGGTTAGCACCATGGGTCTCGCGCAACGAGGTGACGATGTGGTGGACGACGCCTGCAGTGGAGTTTGGATATAAGGCGATCGCCTCCTTCACGAGCTCATGCATTTGCGGAGGGTCGAAAATATAAAATTTGTGCTTTCAATTCTCGTTAGTCGACCAACTGGACCTGTTTGGACCGGATGTATTGTATACTTTGATGCCATCCGCCCATAGGTACAACCCAGTAAACAAAGCAATAATGAGTGCCAAAGTGGCACCTCGACCACCAAACATGTTCGCGTCTGAATGAGAATCAAAGGAATGTGTGTTGGCTCATTGGCATCGCGTCTTGCCTTCCTTTTTGTATAACCCTCTGTTTATCGCGTACAGACAGACCATTTGGGGCTAGTCCTAACCGGGCACGGCAGTCTCAATTCCGTAATGACCTGATGTCCAAACCCCCATCTATTCAACCATAGATGAGCCCGACTCCTAACCAGATCGAACCCTGACCTGAAGGAAGCCTGTCAAGTGCATCATGGTTCAAGAGCTGTGTGGAGCTGCGCCAGCGCCGAAGTCTCAAGCCTCATGGCCACTACAAAAATCAGATTTACGGCACTCAATCTTGAGCCTAAGCCGCCAATGGGTAAAGCAAAAGAATCACGGGGCTCATGAACGCGGTTCTACACGGGTGAAATGAATACTGCCTCTCCTTCTGTGCACGTAGCATTTAAAACATGTCTTGAACTGGCCATATTTCGTACACGAACAGGACACACCTTGGCATTACACATTATGCGAGGTTTACCAATTCCCGAGGTAGTTTATGACCGAGCCGAACAAATAATTTCTTGTCACTTGTATCGTTCATTTCACTATTTCAATCGTAATCATACATTTGCAATCACAGTGCCAGGATCAAACGTCAGATATTCATCTTAGCTACTCTGACAGATGTGAGTAGCTATGCTGATTCTTTGCAAATCAGATCTATTTCTTCATGCCAAGCGTCTCCTTTGTCTTGTCAATGATGCCGCCACCGGTGCCTCCGGAAGTTGCGTGGTCCTTGTTGCCGGACAAGGTATCGCCGATAGACTGGGTAGTGCTCTTATCCTGCTCTGGCTGAACGTTGCTAGATGGGCGGAAAATCAGCTCTAAGTCACAGCAGCTAGCGATGTTTGAGGAGCTCACCGTGCAACCTTGTCACCGATATCCGTGGCGCCTTCACTGAGCTTATCCGTGGTGCTCTTCTGCGACTCTGGAGTAAGCTTCTCCTGAGCCTCTGTATGGTGATATCAGCCTCGCCCCAGTTATGAAAGCTACGGAGACATACTGTCGGTGAAATCCTTGCGGCCTGCGTCAGACATGTTGTTTGGACTGTTGTTTGATATTGAAACTTGTTTTTTTCGATAGAAGGTTTGACAATGAGGCCGATATTTTTCCTTACCTAGATTTGCTCCTTGTTTATATATACACATTTCTGCCTAAAACTTATGTAGCTTGTACGTCATATGTTCACATGCTCTTTCCTGCCGTCTGTAAGTAACAAGTTTACAGTCCCAGTAGGTGGGGCATGGTTGGCTCAATGTCTCTCGTCATAAGTTGGAATAGCCGGCTTGTAGCGCACACACACTAGGATCTACGCCAGCCAAGGGAGTCGTGCGGGGCGATGCCATCGAGACAGAAGCCTCGGAATCATAATGGCGAATTAGAAAAATGCCATGCCTGCGTTGCAGTTTCACATGCTACAGAGCATCATTGTGACGTAGATTGTTCAGCCTCGTGGCGAGCCTTGCAGGTTTGCACGTGGCTACTACCAGCTTACCCCCACGAAACATATCCTTGTATGTCCTTGCTTTTTTCATTTCCTACAGAGGCCGAAATAATGCATATCCAGTATCCACCAATCTGCAGGTGTGTTCAAACTAAATATCAGTCTTCGAAGTCTTGGGATATACCCTTTGGTGATCGCTTTATGCCACATTCCCGTGCGCTCCACTCATCAATCAATGATTCAAGGTACGTACATTTGCACTATCGTTGCGTCATTTATTCTTGCTCTCGTCTGTAAAGCTGAGCATGCTTGATTCTGGAAGTATAGTCAACAGATATTTTCAGAGCTGAGAAAGTTGCAAACGAAACAGGGTGTAAAAGCTGCAATTTGTACAAAGCAACGTTGAGGAAGAAATCAAGTTTCAGTCCAGCCTCGAACATTAAGTGTTTGAATGAGTAACCTCAACGTGCACTGTTTTCTAGATCATGTACACTTGAGATACGCTGTTCTTTTAGCCCGCGAGTCCGCCCCTCGCCATCTTTCTGGCTCGCTGATCTCTCCTATTATGATTCGCCCTGCTCCCTTTATTCGCCTCCTTTCTCTGTCTGGCTTGCTGGGTGCTGGCATCGTTTGACGGACCAGATACATTTCCACCTCTACCGCCTCTACCTCCTCTACCTCCTTTACCTCCTCTACCTCCTCTACCTCCTCTGTCCCTCCCTCTGCCTCGACCACGTTCTCCTCCACTTGACTCTTCCTCTTCTCCCCCACCGCTGTCACGCCAAGCGGTACGTTCAATAGTGTCTTGTTGTCCCGTGAACGTGGAATACCTCGCCTCCAGCATTCTAAGTTTCCTAGGTTGGCGGGCTAGTATGATGGCCCAGCCTTCGATAGCTTCGTCTGTCAGGCCAGTCTCAGCTTTGAGCGCCATTCTGGCCTTTCCACGTCGCGTCGCAGCGTCTCTGTTGAAAGTTTCCGGGCTTGTCCTGTATGCGGCAAACAGAACCTCTTCATTTTTGTCCACATTTGCCTCCTCATTGCTCATCGAAGTATCCACAGTGCCACCTACATCTTCGATATCATAAGTATCATCGCGTTCATCATCATCAGAATCGAATGCCGCAAGAGCTGATAATATAGCCGCTTTATTTGACTTTGATGAACCGTCCGCGAGAACAGTATCTGCGGTATGGTCGTTTTTCGAACGACCAAAATGAATTCGGGATGTGTCTACAGCGAGCTGATCAAGTTCATCGTTGTCATAGATATTGCGACGCTCTGGTGGTGGGGTTGGCCTAGGTACTAGTTGAGTGGCTAATTCAATGCTGTCTGATTTGAATTTGCCTTGTAATTCCATCGTCCTGTCAAGTCCGCTTAAATGTGCCGGCAACGACTCGTCAAGCAGATGCATCGTGACTTGCTCAACATTGTCATCATATTCATCAAGCAGCTTGACAATGAATCCGGAGCCAAGCTCAGGAAAGAGTTCCTGTACCTGCGTGATCAAGCTCATACGATGTACATGTGCACCACTAGCCATTCCATGGTCGAGATTCCCGACTGAGTGGCCTTTCCCTTTCTCAATCTTTTTGCGAAGGCCACGCTTCAGAAGTGCATTTGGTGCTTGGCGGTGGCTTCTTATGACATTTTCCAGCTTTTGGGCTCGTGCAGGATCCTGTGGGAGCACAATCTGTCGAATTTTATGGATGAGAGGTGTATTTGAGACCACATCGGAAAGGAGTGAAGCTTGGCCGGGATGGGCAGATGATTTCAGACTGTATAAATGATCCGAAAGTGCAGTTATGTTTGGCTCACTCGATGCTAAGAGCCCAAGGAATCCAAAATAAACATAAATGATGGCAATCCTACGGAAGTTGTCGTCTGCCTCGCGATACGCAGCGGCTATTGAATCCAGAAGGTCTGATCCAGTCATGAGGAACGCCGCCACATCGGGTACCTGGTAGAGCACGGGTATTGCACGCGTGAACATTGATTGCACATTAGATAGCTGCCCAGCATCTAGAGCCTTGATCTGAGCAATCTTTTCAGTCTGGAAAATGCCATCAACGCCTTGGGGTCGACGCTTCCAAGCATATGTGAGCAGTTTACGAAGCTCTTTACTTCGTGGAAAGACTATACATACTCCAGAAAGAACTTCCAATGTAAAAAGATCTTCAGAAAGTGTGTTCATGCTCATAGTCCTGTGAAATAAGAGGAAGCAAAGTCGGCGAAGACGAGCAGCAGTTTGTCCAGTGGTCAGCTCTGACTGTGAGACAGGTTTTGCGAGTGCTTGAAAGTACGATCGCAGAAATCCAATCACATTTGTGCGATCTTCTTCCATGCTTTTATTCCAATCTGAATCATTTTGTCTCAAATGAAGTTCCACCAGTTTGATCCAGGACGCCATGCAAGCTTGCCATTCTGCAGGTGGTAGAGACGCTCTCGTCTCTGACGGAGGTACAGTTGCAAAAGAAGGCAAAGCCATGTTGATCCAGTCAGCCCAGAGCCTTTTCTGAAGCTAAATTCATACCAAATATCACGATCAATAACGTTCGTACCCGAGATGTGAAGCAGGTACACAATTTGAAGAGAAGGTGACCAAAAGCGGAAAAGCGCAGAACAATTTCACGTGACTTGCACAATGCCAAGATTTCCTTGGAAATTCTAGTCAGGTATGACTGAAATTTGAGTTTTGTTCACATAACTCAACAACGACAACGAATCCGATTCTCACGTTACCGCTACTCGCGTCGGAATCAATACAACAAATTACAATATGAGCTACAACAAGGGCGAGAAGGACTTCGGCGAAGGACCGAAGGTCCACCGAATCCGTATCACGTTGACTTCTCGCAGTGAGTATAAGTCTGCAATGCAGAAAGTGTTATTTCTGACGCACGTGGTAGATGTCAAGTCTCTCGAAAAGGTCTGCGCTGAGCTGATCGACCGTGCGAAGTCCAAGGAACTGCGCGTTAAGGGTATATTCACCATGTCATTTCCCGAGTTTCGTATTTCTTGCCTAATGCTTTACGCAAGGTCCTGTCCGTATGCCGACCAAGAACCTCAAGATCTCGACCCGTAAAACTCCCAACGGTGAGGGTTCCAAGACGTGGGATATGTATGAGATGCGAATTCACAAACGCCTCATCGACCTCAATGCCCCGACCGAAGTTGTTAAGGCCATCATCATTAACATCGAAGCTGGTGTTGAGGTCGAAGTCACGATCGCGGCATAAATGACTCCCAGCTGGAGGAAAAAATTATCGGTGTCATATGCGTAGTTCAACGGAATGCATGTTGTCTACATCGAGGTCAGCGATATGCTGCACCCGTTACTTTTGACAACAACAAGTCATTACTGAGCTTGCCGAATACAGCAGTATAGCGCATAGCTGTGCTATGAAACTTAAAAAGACCTTACATTTTCATCTCATCGTAGCTGTGCTCTCAGTGTGCCTTACTCTATTGTGCAGCAGAATCCCAATCGCCTCCCAGGTGACCATAGACCAGTATGAGCCATTTTTGTAAATCAGAATGACTCAGTCATAAGTTAAGGTAGAAAATCCCAATAGAAAGTCTTTGCTAATAATTTAACCTATCAATGCGATCCTAATCCCTATCGGAGCATGAATGACGATAATGGCGCCTCCCACTTTCTAGGCCACAAGTCCATCTCCTCAATCCGGGGGAAATGAAGATAGATCAAAAACACCCATGCATTACAACTCCTGCACCCCTGAGATTTGGAAATGCTCAATCAATACTGTCGTCTCTCAACGCCCAAACATTCCTTACGACCTCGTCCATTCGACTCCTCACAGCATCGTGATACATCATATTCGTCACAAAGACCTTGGCGCCTTTGATTTTATTTGCCGTCTCTCGTGAGAAATCATAGTCAACGTACATGTCATCCAAATACACAGCACAGTACACTGGTACTTCATTCTTGGCAAGCTGCCTTTCGTCGTATAGCTCCGGCCAATCCTCGTATTCAGCAAGCATTTCTGCAGGCTTTTTTATTTTTCGTAGCTCAGAGTAATCTTCAAGCATGTGGGGAAATATCATCTCCCCTGTAAAGTAGATAGGTTTCGCTTTAGTGGCATCATTTATCTCAAATGGATGTGGTATGTCAAACTGCTTTGCGTAGCACTTCTGCAAAACTCTGTGGCATGACCAATTGGAGGCCTCTCTTGAGGTGTGTTAGCGATGGCGTCTGTGGCAACGAGGGGTGAACACTTTACCCTTGACAGTAAATAGGTTCATGCAAGATAGCGTAGATGATGTGATCATTGTATGGAAGCAAGCTCTCGATGCGAGCTACAGTTGGTCGCGTCAAATGCCCCACATAGTTCAGCTCGGAATGTGCTTTCAACACAAGATCATGAACCGTGTCTAATCCCCCATGACCTCCAAAACACAACCCCAACTGCATGAATCTTCTTGCCGTGATAAAACCTTGTGAAGTAGTGTCTTTGACCGTAGTGTTTCCAGACTGCTGTAGGTGTTTGCAAATTTGTTGTACTCTGTCGATGTCTTCGGGAAACTTTCGGTAATAGGCCTCATTCCGCTCAATTACTTTCTTGAAAAGGCGTTTGTACACTTCATCTGGACTGTCAACTAAGGGTGGAAGTCCACCGAACATAAAAACTTCTCGCAAGCTCTGCGGGAAGAATGACAGATACGTAGTCGCACAAAATCCGCCGAAGGACTGTCCCATCAGCGTCCACTTTGCTTTCTCAGTGGGCAGTCCGTGCATCAGCGTCTTCCTAATGGCCTCGCAATCTTTGACAATGCTGTCGGCCCTGAAGGCACGCAAGTATTGAGCTTGAAGTTGATCATCACCTTTCATTTGAAGCGTGGATTGAGTTAAGGGTGAACTCAATCCTGTTCCTCGTTGATCCAAACACAGCACTTGATACCCTTTGTCTAGTATCGTCTGGATCCAATAATTATTTTGCGGGCTGGCGCATTCGAATCCTGGCCCTCCCTGCAGAAATAGCAACCACGGTAAGTCTTTCTTGGGGTCATCGTTGCTGGGATCGATTGGCCTCTCAAGCCTCCTCGCTCCACGTGCAAAGATCGTCAATGGCCTCGAAGTGGCGGTGTTGTTCCAATCGTGCGGTACTTCGAAGAAGTACTCCGTGATTCTTATCTTGCCTGTTTGATTAGGGTCAGCTTAGAGTGTTTCATGTCTATGCAGTGAACGGAAGAGTGTTACCCGGCACATTGTAGGCGTTCTTTGAAATTAACTTTGCGGCACTGATGGCGCCCGCCATCTCTCGAATCGAAACAGCCCGAGTCATTGAGGCCGACGGCGCCGATGGAAAGAATGAGCTTCTGCTTTCGTACCTGCTGTGGCAATTACGCCCCCATATGCCCGATGTCGGCTAAACTTGCCATTGAGCCACCCGATTCGGGTGTTAGATTTTCTGCGTCGCTCTCGTGATTCGACTAGAACTATTCTGTTTTCGATGCCACGACCTGAAATTAGCACAGACACTTGGGTAAATGTCTAAATTGCTGAGCTACAGCACAAGCTCGTAAGAAGTTCCATATAAAAGAGCTGAGATATTGAACATGGCGAAAAAGGACAAAAAATCGAAGGAAGCGGAGAAGAAAGCGCGGAAGGCTAAGTCTCAAGAAAAAAAGAGCGCAAAGACGGACAAGAAACTGAAAGTAAAGGGCAAGTTGGACGAGGACAGTGATGTTGAGGATGTTGATCTCGATGCCGTGTTGGCAGAATACGCACGCCAACAGGAGCAATTTCTGAAAGTTACGGAAACCGTATCCGAGCCACCGACGCCTCGAGGAAGTGCGACTTTGATTGGATCGCCTTCAAATGATAATGAACTCTTCTTGTTTGGAGGAGAATACTTCAATGGAGCACTTGCAACATTCTACAACGACTTGTTTATCTATAATATCAACCGCGATGAGTGGCGGAAAGTCACGTCGCCAAACTCTCCTTTGCCTAGGAGTGGTCATGCCTGGTGTCGGGGTGGTAATGCTGGAGGTATCTATTTGTTTGGAGGAGAATTTTCTTCTCCAAAACAAGGCACATTCTACCACTATAATGACTTTTGGCGATTGGATCCTTCTTCGCGTGAGTGGACACGACTAGAAGGAAAAGGCAAAGGTCCACCAGCTAGATCCGGACATCGGCTGACATATTTCAAAAATTACATTATATTATTTGGGGGCTTCCAAGACACAAGCCAAAGCACGAAATATCTAAACGACCTATGGATTTACGATTGCAACACTTTTACTTGGCACGAGCCCAAGTTGCCTCCTGCGACTGGCAAGCCCGATCCGCGCTCTAGTTTTACATTACTGCCTCACGAAAATGGCGCTGTTCTCTTTGGAGGATATTCTAGAGTGAAAACAACGGTCAATGCTGGCAATAAAGGGATCAAAGGTGGCACTCGAGTCACTTCAAAACCTGTTATTCACCAAGATACCTGGTTTCTTCGTATCACACCACCTGCCAGCGAGGCCCCTCCAGGTAGTCTTCCAGCAGTTAGATGGGAGCGGCGCAAGCGGCCTGCAAACGCGCCAAATCCTACGAGAGCCGGCGCAACCATGTGCCTGCACAAAGGCCGAGGGATCCAATTTGGCGGCGTACACGACGTCGAAGAGAGCGAAGAAGGCATCGAAAGCGAGTTCTTCAACGAAATGTTCGCTTGGAACGTGGAGAGAAATAGATTTTTCCCACTCGCGTTGAGACGACCCCGAGCGGCTCCAAAAAGAGCGGCACCAGAACGGAGTCGGCGAGAGCGGGGGCGACAGGCGGAAGAAGATTTGTTAGCAAATTTGCGAAATTTAGAGATGAAAGCAGGAGCAGCACAAGAAGATATTGAAACCTCAAAGGCTGCTGCTGAAGACGATGGAGATGAAAGGCCTGAAAAACCTGTTATGTTCGAGATGCCCAATCCACGTTTTAATGCGCAACTTGCGGTTCAAGGCGATACGTTGTTCCTGTATGGCGGAACGTTCGAGAAAGGCGACCGTGAGTATACATTCGATGAGATGTGGGCTATCGATCTCGGCAAGCTCGATGGGGTCCGCGAAATATTCAAGCGTGAACTTGAAGACTGGCAAGGCAGCGAAAGTGGAGAGAGCGATGATGACGAAGACGACGAGGAGGATGAAGATGAAGATGCTGATGACGAGTTGAATGGAAACGAGGTCACAGAGGCGCGCACAGCTACTAACGAGGTATCCACCTCGACGTCACAACTAAGCGGACAAGAAGAAGATGAGACCGAAGAAATCACTGAGCGTAACGACGGGTTACCATATCCCCGGCCATTCGAAACGCTACGAGATTTCTATGCTCGAACTTCGGTGCAGTGGCAAGAGATAATCATGGCAGAGCCGGGGAATCAAAATTCCGATGCACAAAGTGTTAAGGAAGTTAGAAAGAAGGCTTTCGATCGTGCTGAAGACAAATGGTGGGACTGCAGAGAAGAGATACGCGCTCTCGAAGACGAGCAAATAGAAGCAGGAATTGGAGACGTTGTAAGTCTAGCTGAAAAGGCACAGGCGGGCCCTGGGGCAGGGAGAAGAAGATGAGAGAAGGGAGAGGTAGCGAGAACGACGGATATTGAATGGAAACGAAGTCATAAAATACATGGAGGATCATCATACGCGCTGTGAATTACGCCCATACAAAATAAGGATGAATACCTATTATATCTGCAGTATTGGAGTTTTGACCTGTCGACCATGCTCTGTACAACGTTCCCAGAAAATGTCCCCTTTCGGGACTTGAGAACGCAGGAATATTATGACCCTTGACGACTGCTTCATGATGCGCGTAGGTTGTAGTGTGTGCAACGAAGGAATCGTACGCTGGCTCCTGATTTACAAATCAAGAACATAAATCAACTCACTTTTCAACGATCACTCTCCATCGCTACGCTTAAGAGCTTAGACAAAAGGTATGGCAGTCATATGTTTACACATGATCTGGAACTGGACATTCGTCATTCCTATAGCAAGAATGATTAGGAAAGGGAACTATGGTTGTTAAGGTAAATGATTCATCTCCTTTCAGCAGTTTGAAAGATTGTAAGATCGAATCTGGACCGAATGCAGAGTGTAGTTCTAGATGCAACTCAAAACGCTCCATGTTCTAAGTTCTCCAGAAGGGCGTGCTGACTAAGCGTTCAGACCCCGGCACGCCCGCCTTTAAGCGCGTTGTTTATCGCTGTAAACATTCGAGTCTCACAGACGTAACAAATTCTTGCAGCAATACTAACAACAGTGTCAATATGTCCGCAGCATCGCCTACGCGGCCGTCGAGGCGAGTTGCTGCTAGAAGGAAGATTGTAGACGAATCCGATGAGGAGGATCGTGCACCAGACGTCAACAATGACAGCGACGAGGACGACTTTACACCCGCTCCAGCGAGAACCACTCGGGGATCGCGACAGAAGACGTCAAATGAGCCTCCCACACCCAAAAATGGTACCCGAGCAAGAAGAAAGAGGGCAACGGAGTCGATAGAACCTTCAGAGGTCTTTGAGGCCTCCGAAAATGTCGCGCCAGACGAGCCAAGCTCACCAGTCAAGAAGGCATCACCACGCAAGCGCACAACAGGCAGACAGAGTGTGCGTGCAAACAGAAAAAGCAGAATGTCGACAGCACCGGCGACGCAGCCGATCGATGAAGAGCCACCGTCGTTGCCAACTCCACAACCTTCGATTTCGCCAGAGCCGGAGGATGCAGAAAACACGCTCACAGCAGTAGAATCAGAATCTACGCTCAAGCCCTCATCATCGCCTACGTCCCCACGAGCTTCACAACGACATGTGGCTCCACTCGCTGACATAACTGATAGCGCGATAAATGAGCAAACGACTCCAATCGCGGCGGATAAGAAGTTGGATGTCACGAAGGTCAACCCCCAGATTACAATGCTTGAGAAGCCTATGGACATTGTTGTAAGGACGCGACAAGCTGCATTACCGAAAGTTGAAGAACCTATGGGGCCTAAAGCCCGTCTGGTTATTACCTATCTAGTCCTCACAAACTTCAAAAGTTACGCGGGTAGACAAGAGGTTGGCCCATTCCACGCGTCATTTTCCTCAGTTGTTGGACCGAACGGATCTGGGAAATCAAATGTCATTGATTCACTACTTTTCGTCTTTGGTTTCAGAGCTAGCAAGATGAGACAAGGCAAGCTCTCGGCGCTAATTCACAATTCTGCCGCATTTCCCGACCTTGATTACTGCGAGGTCGAAGTGCACTTTCAAGAAGTCATGGACCTCCCTCAAGGAGGCTCGGAACCTGTTCCAGACTCGGCGATTGTGGTTTCAAGAAAGGCATTCAAAAACAATTCAAGCTCCTACTACATCAACGGGAAAACATCAAATTACACGACCGTCACAACAATGCTAAAAGAGAAAGGTATTGATCTTGACCACAAACGATTTCTCATCTTGCAGGGTGAAGTCGAGTCCATCGCACAGATGAAGCCCAAGGCGGGTAACGAGCACGAAGATGGCTTGCTTGAGTACTTGGAAGACATCATCGGTACATCAAAGTACAAAACGCCTATCGAAGAGTCGGCAGCGCAGGTTGAGGTGCTCAACGAAGTCTGCATGGAGAAGAGTAGTCGTGTTCAACACGTGGAGAAAGAAAAGAACGCTCTTGAGGACAAGAAGGAGAAGGCTTTGGCGTTCATCCGCGACGAGAACAATTTGGCTATCAAACAGGCTGCTTTGTATCAACTCTGCATAGAAGAATGCAAAGATACATTGCAGGTTTCGCAAGAAGCTACAGCGAAGATACAAGCTGCCTTGAATGAAGAATTGGAAAAACACGCAGGCAACGAAGACGAGATCAAACGACTAGAGAAGACATTCAGGGAAGCAAACAAGCAATATGCGAAACTCGAAGAGAATAGCCAGGCTATTCTCAAAGAAGTTGCAAAACTTGACAAGGAGACGGTTAAATTCGAAGAGAAGAAAAAGTTTCTTGCAAACAAGCAGAAAAAGGCCGAGAAGACACTCGAAAACAGCCAATTCGCCGCTGCGGAAGCGGAGAGAACGATCAAGAACTGTTCAGACGACATTGAGCGTAATCGAGGCCAGATCGCGGAACTGCAGAAGGAAATGGAGCAAGAAGAGCAGGAGCTGTCTTCGATTAGAGAGTCCCTTAAAGGCAAGACCCAGGGTATCTCAGATCAGATCGCTGCCAAACAGAAGTCCTTGGAACCTTGGAACACGAAAATTAACGAGAAGCAGTCAGCTATGGCTGTTGCACAGAGCGAACTAGATATTCTCCGGGAGAAGGAAAACTCTGGAGCCGTTGCGATTGCTGAAATCGAAGCTAAGATTGCTGGTCTGCAAGAGAGCAAGGCTGCGAAAGCTAAAGAACTCGACGAGTGTAGGGCTGAGCAGAGAGACTTGCAGAAGCAGCTACAACGAACGCAGGCTGAGCTGGACAATCTCGCTACAAAGGAGCCTGTCTTGCGATCCAAGCTTTCTGATGCTCGTCAAAAGGCTGATGAAGCCCGTGCTAGCCTCTCGAACAGCCAGTCACAGGGAAATGTTCTCACAGGCTTGATGCGTATGAAAGAATCTGGTCGAATCAACGGGTTTCATGGACGACTAGGTAACCTTGGAACTATCGATGCAAAGTACGACGTAGCTATCTCGACGGCCTGTCCCTCACTTGATAATATGGTGGTTGACTCGGTCGAAGTTGGACAGCAGTGCATTGAGTATCTCCGAAAGAACAACCTTGGGCGAGCAAACTTCATCTGCTTGGACAAATTGCCTCAGCGAGATTTGGGGCCTATCGAGACACCAGAGAACTGTCCACGTCTCTTCGATCTCGTGAAGCCGAAGCATGACAGGTTTTTACCGGCATTCTTCAGTGTGCTACAAAACACTTTAGTAGCTAAGGACATGGAGCAAGCTAATCGTGTTGCATATGGAGCAAAGCGATGGCGTGTCGTTACGCTAGAAGGCCAGCTTATCGACAAGTCCGGAACCATGTCTGGTGGTGGCACTCGCGTCGCCAAGGGCGGAATGTCATCCAAACTGGTTGCCGAAGTCAGTAGGGAGCAAGTCTCGAAGCTCGAGCTTGATCGCGATGCCCTTGAGCAGAACTTCCAACAGTTCCAGACGCAACAGCGCGAATTTGAGATATCGCTGCGAGAGTTGAACAAGCAAATTCCCAAGGTTGAAACCAAAGCTCAGAAGATCGAACTTGAGCTTGGCAGCTTCGACAAGAACATTGCGGATGCGCAACGACGGATCCAAGAACTTTCCACGGAGCAGTCATGTTCAAAATCGGACAAGTCCCGTATTTTGGCTCTTGAGAAGACAATTGCCAGTGCTGAGAAGGAAATAGGTAAATTGCATGCGGATATGGCGGGTATTGAAGAGGAGATCAAGGAACTTCAGGACAAAATCATGGAAATTGGTGGAGTTAAACTTCGAACGCAGAAAGCCAAAGTTGATGGCCTGAAATCGCAGATCGACACGCTCACGGAAGAGATGTCGTCTGCTGAGGTTAACAAGGCTAAGGCTGAGAAACAGAAGGTCAAGCACGAAAAGGCATACGCTGAAGCCACTAAGGAACAAGAAAATGCTGTCAAGGAGCTCGAGAAGTTGCAGTTGGCCATGGATAAGCAGAACGAGGATGCAGCTGGTTCAAGACAAGCAGCCGAAGAAGCTCAGGAGGCCCTGGATAGCAAGAAGGAGGAACTGGCTGAGCTGAAGAAGGAACTTGACCAGAAGACCGCTGAGTTGAATGAGACGCGTGGTGTTGAAATCGAGATGCGAAACAAGCTCGAGGAAAACCAAAAGGCTGTTCATGAGGCTCAGAAGCGGCTCAATCACTGGCAGGAAAAGCTCAGCAAGCTATCCGTGCAAAACATTAGGTTAGTGTTTCTCTCAAGTTGCACATGTACTTTTCCTAACGTATCGCAGCGATATTGGGAAGAAACAGGAAGCTTCCGCTCTCCCGTGCTACACCCGCGATGAGCTTGAGGACATGGATAAAGACGCGCTCAAAGAAGAGATCGCTGAGCTGGAGGCACGCACATCGAATGCCAGCGTTGATCTCAATGTTTTGGCCGAGTATCGTCGCCGTTGTGAGGAACACAGCGTCCGATCTGCTGATCTAGCGGAAGCCCTAGCTTCCCGCGACGCTGCCAAGAAGCGCTGTGACGAGCTGCGTCGACTTCGTCTGGAAGGCTTTATGGAGGGCTTCAGTATTATTTCCATGCGCCTCAAGGAGATGTATCAAATGATCACCATGGGTGGCAACGCCGAACTTGAGCTCGTCGACTCTCTCGACCCCTTCTCAGAGGGTATCCTCTTCTCTGTGATGCCGCCTAAAAAGAGCTGGAAGAATATTGGCAATCTGTCCGGTGGTGAGAAGACCTTATCTAGCTTGGCCCTTGTATTTGCGCTGCATCATTACAAACCAACGCCGTTGTACGTTATGGACGAGATTGATGCTGCGCTGGACTTCAGGAACGTCAGTATCGTAGCGAGCTACATCAAGGAGAGGACTAAGAACGCTCAATTTATTGTTATATCGCTCAGGAATAACATGTTTGAGCTTGCATCGCGGTTGGTAGGCGTTTATAAGGTTAATCACATGGTAAGTTTCTTTGCTAGACGTGTTCTTCCTGGGCTACCGCTGACGGTCGTGCAGACGAAGAGTGTTACGATTGAGAATAGGGACTATCTTCAGCACGCCGCATAAGGTACACGGGAGGGCCATGACTGGCGTTCCGGAGAAAGATCGAGCTAAATTATTATGTTGACGTGTATCATAAACGAGGATATTTCTGATGATATAATGCATCCATTGACGTTGATCCAATAGAGATTTTTTTTTTATTTTCAAAATACTGGCTAGATATGCCTTAAAAAATGCAGTATCGGAGATCGTAGATCGTAGCTCGCATACATTCCGGACCATACGATCTCTTGTTCCTAGATTCAGAAAGGTCGACATAGCGTTACGTCGTATTCCTTCGCTAAAAGATGAGCTGGTTCATTTACGTGCGGTTGATATTTCAACTTTGAGTTCCTTGAATTTGGTCGTCGTTCCTTTTCCCACTTCAGAATCGTGCTCTTGAGAACGACTAAGGAGCTATCGTGGACTATGGTCATAAACACCTTCTTAACACGTGTCACTGTCCTCCTTTGAAGGCCGAAACCTGAGCCTAAAGCAGCAACGCCAACAAAGACTACTTTCAGATTGCATGACTCAGGGACGTTTCCGCACAGCGCCAGAACATAGGGCCTGGAGGCCGTCTGCACATGTGATGGACGGACGTACAGGAGCAGGTGAGATTGAGAGCAAGGACGATTTGTCAAACGCGAGAGTTTCCTGCAGCGCCCAAGTGTGGAATGAGTCTAGCTCTCCAGCGGTGCATAGCCTATGTTTGTGAAAGCGAGCAAACACAGGTTCTAGACGGGATTGAGAGAGGTGATGTGCTGACAATGTTTGTACGGGAGGAGCGGCTCAAACCTTGTCAGTGTCCAACTCATCTGGACCGTCGTTTACGTCGCTTGGACTTTCTAGACATCCCGTATGCCTAGGGGCGAACATTTGAGTCACGGCTGCATTCGGAGCTCGCTGATGATCAAAGTCTTCCCAAGTCTATGGCAGGGGTTTTACAATGTGACAATGTGAATGCACCCACGTGGCTGCAATGCTTTACGCTTCATAATGCAAATCTTGGATACGCGCCTTATATTGCCGACGTTAGAATTGGTGCGCACGCTACGAAAGTCGCCCTGGACGATCGATCATAGGGAATTAGGGGCACGTGTTGCTTCCTAACGCGTCATGCAGAATCAGGTCGCAAAGGCAAACCGAGATTCGTTCGAGGAAATAGAATAGACGGGGTGAAATGATTTGCGGGATTGACGAAGCTTCGTAATGAAAAACGGGGTGGAAGACTTGGACCGCAGAGCGGGATAGGAAGAATAGCCGATAGGCATGAATGAGTCGTACGAGAAGGTATGTTGCCGCTGAACGGATGGGAAAGAAACTGACCGCTGGCGAAACGGAGGGACAAGGCAATGCAAGACGAAAGTTAGATCTGCTAGACGGTCGTAGGTTCACCAAAACATGTCATAAGCGCAGCCCTGCCTTGGACCAAAGACGACGAGCAACGTGCCTCAAGAAAGACCAAGTCAGGTCGCACGTGTCCAGGAGCGGCTTCGTACCTCGCGACGTAGAGGATTGTAGCTGAAGAACGGCCCAGGCAATGGTGCTGTTTGTCCACATTGCTCGATACGAGAGACCGGTAGCGTCGGATGGTGATTTCAACAGTGAATGCGGCGCAGCTCTCGACGTTCGACCGGCCGGATGGGTGTTCATGTGCATCATGGACGTTTTTGTCACGGCACGGATGATCACGACAGCCTTGTCTCGTGCAATCCGCCACGGCGCCTCGTCGATGATCTAACCTTATCCTCCCAACCTCCATCTTTTCTCACCCCTCCACCCCACCCACCTCTACCCTATCTCGGGCCTGTGCCGCCGCTTCCCAACGCTGCGCGACAATCTGATCCAGCGATAAGGACGCACAAGCTTGCCGGCACGCCCGAGAGCACAAGGTCACAAGCTAGAGACGACACATAACCAAGCGGCTCAAAGCCATTCAAAAGCTTTTGGCACACGTGTGAGGGGCAACAGCCAAGTTCCCAATCGTACCGGTGACACCTTAGGGAGGACGTAGAAAGTTTGGGACCCCGCCCTGGCCTAGCTGTTGTCTAACGCGAGAGCATCCCCTTTCCTCTGCTTACTCAGGTCTCAAATGGCGACCCAGGCGCAGTGCGCCTTCTGCTTTGAGTGCATATCTGCGCGGTTGGAGAAAAGAAAGCGCCTCGCCCTAGCCCAGGTCGAGGAGCTATGGGACCTTTATGAGAACGGCGAGGAGGACGAGACCTCTGCCCAGCTCAAAGGTGATGGCGGGCAGGTAGACGGCATGGCAGAGGACGACGAGGTGGACGAGAAATCGGCAACGGGCGAGAGCAGGACCTCGCCGTACAGACCCGCAGCCATAAGCAGATTACTTAACCCGTCACCATCGTCGTCCTCATCTTCGTCAACCCCTTCTGCCGCGTCTAGCACGCCGTCGCTCAGCTCAAGCACCTCCAAGGCGTCGTCACGAACGTCCCTCTTCTCGCTGCCTAAGAGGTTCACGAAGAGCAAGCGGGAGCCCGCCGCGGTAGACGTGGATGACGACGAATACCCGCTGTTCGTTACCTGGAACAAGGTCAACAGCAAGGGCCACAAACAGCTGGCGGGCTGCATCGGCACTTTCGAGCCCTACCCCTTGGAGGAAGGGCTGCGAATCTACTCCGAAACCTCGTGCGGACTCTCCCAAGCTTTCTGTGCACGCTGCGGAGACTGACACATGGCCGCAGTGCTTTTGACGATTCACGCTTCGACCCCCTTACCCTCCGCGATCTCCCCGTCCTCTCCTGCTCCATCACCCTCCTAATGCATTTCGAGTCCATCTCCGACCCCATGGACTGGACAATCGGCACGCACGGCCTGCGCATCTCCTTCGTGTTCCAAGGCCGCCGTTTAGGTGCCACGTACCTTCCAGACGTAGCCAGGGAGCAAGGCTGGACCAAGGAGGAGACGATCGTCAGTCTGATGAGAAAAGCTGGTTGGAGTGGCAGAAGTAGCGAGTGGAGAGGAGTGAGAGACCTGAACTGCGTGCGGTATCAGGGGCTGAAGGCTAGCCTTGGCTATCGAGAATGGAAGGAGTGGCGCACGTGGGTTGAGGAGACAGGTAGGGACGAGGACGTGATGGACATTTGACCGCATGTTCGTATTGATACCATACTCAGTCTATATGAGTCGACATGTCTTGATGCTCATGTTTCCGACTGCCATCCGACGCTGATTCCGTGGGTGGCCTCGACGTTGAGCTGCATCCATCTACGGATCAGCTCGTGCAGTGCTTTGACCGTGGCCCCCCCCCCCCCTCCCTTGAAGCTGAGCCATGACATGAAGAGGAAAAGTTACATATTTCCTACAGCAAGCACTCCTATGGCTTCAGCCTGATCACAACCGTAATCCTTGGCCTCGCCTTCAAAGAATAAAAAAGAGTAAGCATCCCGCGTCGGCGAAGATTTGATTGTTATGAGGTCAACATGCCGCCTCACAGTCACAAGGAGAGAGGCGAGAAAAAAAGAGGTTATGTGATATATATATATATGTGTGTGTGTATAAGTATTCGTTCCTATGGGAGGTCTCTGTTTCGATCCGATCGGTTTACGTAGGTTCGTTGGCGCGAGAGGCGTCCCATAAGCCGCATCGCGTGGCCCTCTGAGCCACCGGCCCGTTTCGTGCTGGATATGTGTGAACGTACTCGTCTATATAGGTGAGCATTTGCCAAGCGGCTCGTTCGAGCCCGCCGCCGTCCGAGGCGGCTCTATGGATTTCAAACCACCCGTCCTTTTGGGATCTTCAGTTTGGAGGGAGGGTTTCGGCTTTGAATGGATAAGACTTCATTCATCTTCCTAGGACTCCCGTAATTGCGCCCACCATGACGGCCGCCTCCCTTTCCCAGCTTACAATCTTGCCTTTCCCAAGGTTTACTCCGTTGGGCAGCTGGCTGCCTTGATCAACGCACTTTCTCAACTTGTCCCTCACCTGGTCCTTGTTGGTCCTGAGCGTGCGTGCGGACACCCCCCCTCTGTTCAAGATTTCTTGCACACGCGGCGGTAAATTGGATGCGAGCGTCCGCCAGAAATAGCTCGGCAGGGAAGCTGTATCCAGCGATGTCAAGAGCGGCTCCAGGAAATTTGGCGCCACGCCATCGTCTGATGGTGACTGGAAAAGAGGGTGAGGAGGTGGTTTGATGCTCTCTAGCAATGCTTCGAGAGCGACGAGATTCTGACACCGTGAGGAGATCTCGAGCAGAGTCCGATCAAGAGTAGGCAGTGTGGCAAGTGATCTTGCAAGCGAGGCCAGTGACGACTTTATCGCCGTCTGTAGGTAGTCTTGCAAGGCTGCAATCAGCAACTTTGGTTCAAAGGTCTTCGCCGTCGTGGTTTTTGTGGTTGGAGACAGCAAATACAGCGTCAACAGCCCGCTCGTAGCCCGGCTCCTCGTTTCCTCCGCTTGTTGGAACGCAGACGTTGCCGTACCCGATGTCTGTGTTCCAGCCAGAAGACTAGACATGGAGAATTCTCTGACCACTTGTTGTGCCTTGGCAATCATATTCCTCTCTGCCGGTTGGACCAAGTCCTTCCGCAGCGTAGTGATTACGTGCACCTTTTCCAGACCGTGTCCTTCTTCGCCAGGCTCGTTTGCAGCGAACAACTGTCGCAAAGACAGCAGCGAGTTGGCACATCGTACCATTGCCCGGATGTCTCCCTTCTTTCCGGCCACACCGTTAACCTCGCCTATCTGAGCCTCCAACTGCCTTCCGAGCATCAAGCATCTACCCACAGCCCGCCCCAACCTCACCGTTTCACACAGCCTCTCAGCAACCAGTCGTACCTGATCGGCTGCGTCATAACGCTCTAAGACCTCCCGTTCGAGGACGCGGTAACTTTCACTTAGGCTCTTCACCTGACCCTCGACCTCGTCGAGGATCTTCTCGGCCGCTTCGGATCGATCCTTTGTGTACGACAGCAACGGCAACGCCGACTTGGTCGTCAGCGAGTCGATGTGCGTGTCGATCTCCTGGACGTCGAAAAGCACGCGCGACAACGGCGTTGACAGGTCCAAGGGTGTGTCCGACGGATTGTTCGTCGCCAACACCAGCGAGTTCGCAAATGACGTGGCCGAAAAGGACGGATCCAGAAACGTCTCGTAGTCGATGTACGAGGGTTCCTCGCCATGCTTGTCTGCCATCTCGCCTCTTCTCACCCGTGACTAGTGGGGTTGATGGGGGTCAAAAATTCGATATGTCAGACCTGGACAAGGACACAGGGTGGGATCTCCAAGGGGGCGGAAACCACCGAATTATCGATAGTGGAACTTCCGAAAGCGGAATGTTAGCATTTTGCGGAGTGGGACGAGAGGATTCGTTGCCGCCAACGTTTCTTGCCGTCAGATCACTGAAATCTTTCCAACCAGTCCACGACCCGACAGATATTCCCCTGTCCCTTGTCGTGAGAATCCTGTCTTTCGCTACCGATCACACGGCCATTCTTGGGTCTCCGGAGGTGGGGTCGAGGGAAGGAGTGATTTGAGGAACAAAAGAAAGCCACCCCGCGATGACGGCGTGGCCCAAGCCCGTCTCCGCGGCGGCGGTCGAGGTCAAAATAGAACGGCTCGACGGCGACGCGTTTGCGCCGTTCGGGACGGTGATCCAGAACCCGGCGCGCGCCGAGCGCCGCGCGTCGTCCACGCTCCGGCTGAACGTCGTCGAGGCCAACCAGGGCTCCGCGCTCAAGTACGTCGACGTGTCGCACCTGACGAACCACTACGGGTCAGCGCCCAGCGGGAGGCCGGCGCGGCCGGTCGTGAACATGTTCGTGTGCAAGCCGCGCCCGCTGCGTGCGAGGCGGTGGCCTGGCGCCGGCGAGGCCGACCACGTGTTTGACGTGCGGGTTCTGGAGAGGCATCCCTTCACGCCGCAGACGTTTGTGCCCGTTGGCCTTGCGGCCGCGGATCCGAAGACGAAGTACCTGGTTGTGGTGGCGCCGACGCTGCCGGACGTGCAGCAGGCGGCGACCGGCGTCGCCAGCGGTTTGCGCAAGCCTCGGCCGGCACGGCCATCTCATCCAACGACGCAGCTGTCGGACGCAGAAGCCTTGGCCCCGAAGCCCAAGGGCCAAGGCCTGCCAGACCTGAGCAAGCTTCGTGCCTTCCTTGCGGACGGAAGCCAGGCTGTCACGTATGGGCCTGGAACGTGGCATGCGCCCATGGTCGTCCTCGGCGAGGAGCCTGTTGACTTTGTCGTGGTGCAGTTCGCAAATGGCGTGGGCGACGAGGACTGCCAGGAGGTCTTGCTGCAGAGCGAGGGTGGCAAGGGCGTCGAGGTGGTGGTAGAGATGACACCGGATAGCCCTCAACTGGTGAGATCAAAGTTGTAGCAGGACGGAAGGCCAAAATACGGGGGAAGAAAATAGAAGAATGGGGCATGTGGAAGATTCAATATCTTGTCTTGGGACAGTTCAATATATCAAGAAAAGGACTGAAACGAAGCAACTTTTTTGGAATGCGTTATGATTGATTATCTGTACATACTCGCCCAACCCACTGCAATTTTATCTCACAGTGCCCGCAGAACCTCATCAATCCAGGCCAAACGCACAGCGCTACAGCCCCTTGCGTAGCTTTTGTTGGTGAACACAAACTCGGTGAAGACAATTGCCTCGACCTTTTTGCCAAACAGCACGCTGCTCGGGTGGATGGCAACCGTCTGGTTGCCCATTAGGGTGCGGTATGAGCCGTCGGGCACCAGACGCGCCGTGTTGGATGCAAAACCACGCACAATGCATTGCAGAATCGCCGTGCTCAACGCCTCGGATGGCGCTGAGGCGCTAGCGTCCCGGTCTAGGGCGATGTCATCTTTTGCGAGCATGTCGAGGCCGATGCAGAGTTGGGTCAGCTGCTTGCGAATATCCATGACGTTCTGCATCGCTCGGTGGCTGACGAAGTACTTGGCCGCCCACTTCTTCCTATCCGTATTTTCTGACGCATAGCTGCGGACAGTGGCTAGAAGGGTAAGGTGGTCGCCTTCGCGCCTGTACAACTCGGCCCTGGCCGCCTCGGCTTCCTCCCTCTTCTCCTCGCTCATGACGTTCAGGAAGATGTTTTCCACACTCAACGCAGCGACGATGTCTATCATCTCGGGTAGGCAATCCCTTTCCGGCCGGGCAGCCTCGACGAGTACTCTACCGAGCGTGGGTGTTAGCGGCAGCTTTGCAATTGTTCGTCCAATATCAGTGATCTGTCCGTTCTCGTCCAGGGCTCCCAGATGGAACAGCTGCATCAGAGCCTTCTCCAACGCTTCTCGGGGTGGGGGGTCCAGCCACGGAAAGCCGACGACATCGTCCACACCCCGTGCTTTCATCGTCACGATCGCTTGTGCAAGGTCACAGCGTAGGATCTCGGGTTTCGCGGTCTTCTCCAAAGCCTCGTAGTCCTTCTCGGTAAACAAGCGTACGCACTTTCCGGGCGCTTCTCTGCCCGCACGACCTGTCCGCTGTATAGCAGACGATTTCGAGATGGGCTTGACGAGGAGGGAGTCCAGTCCGAGCTTGTTCCTGAACTGCTTGATCTTATGTTTGCCGCTGTCGACCACGTAGCGGACGCCCGGCACCGTGACCGACGTCTCGGCGATATTGGTGGAAAGCACAATCTTGCGTGTCCTCGGTGGTGCGGGCAGAAACACACGCTGCTGAGCTGACTGCGGCAGTGCTGCAAACAAGGGCAGCGCGAGGATCTATGTGACTGTCAGCACACTTGACAAAAAAAGCCTTTTCTTTGCCGTAGATGAAGCCCACCTTTGGTATCGACGGATCCATGGTCTCGGCATACTCGTTGATGAGACGTTCCAGGCTTTCGACCGTGTCTTGGCCGGTCAAAAAGACGAGGATGTCTCCCGGGAGGGGCTCCTTGAGGTGAATTTGAAAGACGGCTTTGAGGGCGGCCTCTACGAAATCTTGCGTCGGCTGGGATAGATAGGTGATCTGTACTGGGAATTGGCGTCCCTCAATGTAACATACTGAGGTCGACTGGGCAGGATTTGAACTGCTTTGCGACTTTGAACTACTGTTTGCAGCACTAACGCGGCGGTTGCCGTCCGCCGCTGCGGCGTCGTTTTTGTCGCCGTTCTCGTCGTCAGACAAACCACGCCAAGATGCTTCGGAAGCGTTGTCTTCCTGGCCCTCGCCGGACGCCAACTTCGCGGACAAGCTTCGGCCTGCTTCGAAGAAGTCATGCAGCTTTTGCACGTCAGCGGTAGCACTCATGACGACGACCTTGAGCGGCTTGCCGTTTCTGGCACGCTTATCAGCACAGACGAGGTTGCGCAAGAAGCCGAGGATAAGATCTACATTGACGCTACGTTCGTGAACCTCATCTACAATGACGGCGCTGTACTGCTTCAGCCACGGGTCACGTAGCAGCTCCTGTAGCAACATGCCCTCCGTCAGAAACTTGATCTTGGTCGCCGGCGACACTGATGTGTCGAACCTAACCGAGTAACCGACCTTGCTCGCGGGCGAGGACGAGCCTAGCGGGGTGCCCATTTCGTCTGCGACGCGTCGCGCCAGCGAGATGGCGGCAACTCGTCGCGGCTGGGTGATGGCGATGCGACCATCGCACCAGGCCTCGTCCATGAGGAACTGCGGCACCTGCGTACTTTTACCGCTGCCCGTCTCACCGACGAGGAGCAGGACGTCCGCACCGGCGGCGCGCAGCGAGCGACGGATTTTGTCTGCGTGAGCCCATATCGGTAGTTTCTGGCGCAGTTCGAGCAGCGCTTTCTTCTTCTCTGCTAGCGATGAGGCCCTGTGCTGCTGCGAAGCGTTCGAGCCATTGCGGACAGGTGTCTGTCTGGTCGAAGGTTTTATTTTGCGTTTTGTCGTCGCGGTTTGCTCGTCCCCGTTCACTCGCTGCGACAACGTGCCGCGGCCATCATCCGACTTGCCGTTGCTCAGCGTGACTCCGTTGGCGGCCTGCGTGGACGAAGGTTGAATTTTTTGGGGTCGAGAGTCAGCTGACGGGAAAGCGTGCTGGGTGGAGGATGTGGATGCAGGCTCGCTTTCCGGGCGCTTCCTCTTCTTCCCAAGGCTTGAGACAGCAGCATGCGGTGATGCTAGTGGCCTGTTAGAGATGCTAGCGTCGACTCCTTCGGTAAAACGAACGTGAGTCTTCTCCGGCATGGTTGGACAGGGCTACAGAAGTTCACTGTATCACATAACCATGGGGCTGCTAGGCCAGGCAAGAGGACATGGTTGTCACCGAGATGGCTCAGTCAAAGGGTGGGTTCCCTCGTTTTGCAAGGACTTTTTATTATGCGCCAAATTGCCCAGGATGAATGTGGTGGGCTTGCTGAAGCTAGCACGTCACGACACGAAACCTGTGGACGGGTAAGAACTCGGCTGGTAAGACTCCCAGCTTTTAGAGGGGCCGGTGGGGTGGCGACGAGACGTGGATGCGCATATATTGTGACCGAGCGAAGTATGTGTAAGTGCGTTGGGCGGAAAAAGCGGTGCTGGACCGCGGGCCAAGAGGTGAAGACGCACGGAAGGACAGGTAGTATGAGCGACGCAAAGATTAGCAAGCAGTAAGGGTTGCGAGGCTTGGAACAAAAAGAAAACGCAGGCGAGATGGCTCCGACGGACCTGTATGCCGGGCTCGAGATCTCACGAAAAAGCTGCTTTTTGACGACGAGTAAGTCTAGCGCAGCAACGCAAGCCGAGAGCCAGAACGTGGTCAGGAAAAAAAAAAAAAAAAAACCGACACAAAGGGAAAGGCCAGGCAGATCAACGTGAGATGGAATCAGACTGAGGCTGACTAAAAAATACAGCGCTAGACCTGGCCAGGTTTAGCAGTACTGTAATGTGGGAAAATTACGGGCATGTCGTAGCTTTGGCGACGATGAACAAGAATGAGCGGATCGCAGCAGTGTTGTAGCAACGGTAGCCAGACGGGGCCCTGCCTTTTCAGCGATGGTCTTGCGTATGATGAATCGAAGGTGAGCAATCAGAGCGAGGGCAGGCTGTGCGTGTGGCGGGTATGCATGCCGACAGTCAGTCAGCCGTGCGGCAAACTTGGTGTGTGATGTACTGCTGGCTCTGCTGGCCTACCTGGTAGAGCAGCAGGCTGGCCCAGCAAACGTTAGGCCAACCGACGCCGGACAAGGCGAACAAAAGCGAGAAGCAAAACGAGCGGCAAACGCTTATACGGAGGATTAGTTTCTGCTGTGCCTTCCTGTGCTGCTTGAAGCCCGACTGCTTTGCGTGGCAACGTGTCAGACACACGCTCTCTTCTCCCTTCCTGTACTGCACTCTGTGCCTTTCACACCCGGACACAGGCACGAGGTACAAGGCGCCCGCGTATCCATTCCGCCTTTCTCGCCGGTGTGCGTTGTGCACGGTGACGAGACCGCCGCCAGGCACTTTTTAATGGCAGACCACCTAAATCGTACAGAGCAAAGTACATCACAAAGTTCTCGTGCCAGATATCCTGTTCTCCACCCGTCGCAGAACCAAACCTCTGTGCCCCATTTTGCACTGCGGGACCTTACCCCCTCCAAGAACATTGGCTGCAAGCGGGGACGTGGTCCGTTGCATTTCCAGCAATCATGCGAGCGCCAGACGCATCGCCCGTGTTGCTTCGTGTTTATTTTTTTTTTTTTTTCCTTTGCATTTTTTTAGGTGCTGTATCCCGGCATCTTCTCCTTGTTGTCGTCCAAAAAGCACTCGCTGGCCACCACGGTCGCACGACTGCTTTTTGGATTGCTGGTCGGCCACTGGGGCCGTGTTGGACCTTATTCTAACTGGTTTGAATGCAAGCGGATCTCAAGAACCCAAGAGACTGGACTCTTTTGGCCCATTTTTGACTCTCGGCGGGCATGACGAGTGAAGAGAGGGTGTGGACCCGCTGGTGGATCGAGGAAGGATGAGGAGCAAGAAGGAGTAAAAGGAACATGCTCCTTTCTTGCTGCGCCGCTACGGCGACCACGAACTGTCAACACCAAAACGGGCCGTGACGGGGAATGGTGACGAATAAGGCTGGTGATGACAATGTTTGGTGATGACGAGGACTCTGCAGCGGATGGGTGATCGTAGCATGACGCCCTATCGCCTTTCTTTCCCGTGTGCTAAACATGGCGTCTCCATGGAACTTCGACCTCGATATCCGGCCGTGTCTGCTGCCTCTACCGCGTTCCACGATCTCGAGCTGCACCATCCCTGGCCCCGCCGTGTAGGTAGCACACTCGTTCGCGTCATCACGTTTTCTGCCCGCACAGGGGGGCTGGAGGCGTGCGGCCTGGACGTTGTCCGTCCCAGCCGAACAGGCGCTCCTCCGTCGAGCCACTGCCTTGTTCGGGATGCTGATGACTCTTTGGGCCAGCGTTATCGCCTGTGTGGACGGAGTACCTGTCGCCTTCTCCCGACCTGGCCTTGTCTCGTGTCGACAAGCGGACCTCGTCGCGCTACGCGGGCCTGGGCAGGGTGCCGAGTCGTGTTAGGGCTCCCGCACTTTGGGTGCTGTGCCGCGCTGATCACAGGACTGGTGAGAGGGTGCGGGCGTCGTCCGCCACGGATGTACGTCTGACGGCGGTCCGCAAGTTGTGAAGCAAGCAGAGCGGATGAGATGGGATGGGCTGGCCTGGACGGGTCTCGCTGGCGCACGCATCGGCTACGCTGTTGCGCTGCCAGCCTGGACTGGCCCCGTCCTGTGGCCTTGTGGTTTTGCTCTGACGCAGAACTCGGCCAGTTGATGAGCCCGCCCGTCCGCTATCGTGACGCTGCTCCGTCCAGTCCTTTCGTCCCCAGCAAAACGCAGCGTCGCATGGCGTCGCGGAGCAGCGCTGAGCTGAGCCGGGCCCAGCGACTCGCGCTGTCTGCACGCAGAACGTATCTGTACGCTCCGTCGCCCGTCGCCGGCACGCCCACACGTCCACACGCCCGCTCTACGCTCGCTCGTCTTGGACATGCCGTCCTTGGATCATCGCTCGATTCAGCCCATGTGCCCGTACCTGCACCTCTTTGACCCCGCCCCGTTCTTTATTTCTGTGGTAGCTCGTCCACTCTTGCGCGCCCTCGATTCTGCTCTTCATTCGTACGTGCCGACATACATACGCATGCTCTCCCCCCTCCGTCACTCCACTGCTCCTCGCGCGCTCTCTCGTCCTTCCCTCCCTTCGCTCAGCGCCCGTCCTGCTGCGCTGCTCACATAACGTACATAAAGAGCCCTCGACCCTGCCAAACCCTTCCATTTCCGACCCGACTTGTCACCTCACCTTACCATACCTGACCTGGCGTCTGGCCTTGGCCTCGCCTCTCACTCTCTCCACCCCATCGCCGCCTCTTCTAGCCGGCACCACACGTTTTCGTCCCAGAGGCGACGCCCGTTCCCATCCTCACGCACGCCCTTGGCCCGGCGATCCCGCCGCCTCGCAAGCGCATGCCTGCAGTTTCAAGCTTATAAGTAACTTGTCTTGCCCGCCAACCCGTAGTCCTGCCCTGGCCTGCCTTGGCTTTGCTTTTGGTCGCCTCTACTGTTGCTACTGTCGCCGCCGCCGCTGCTACTCCCGCTGGCACTCTTTACTTCCCACGCCATCGCAGCTCACTCATCCTCACGCCGCCGCCCACGCTCACCTCACTGTGCTGCCCCTCCTCAATCCTAAAGATTGGAAACCGCACAGACAACTTGTCCCGGCCACTCCAGTCATTTCCACGGGATCCAAAGTCGAATGATTTTGGTGTTGCTTCAAGTAAGCGCTGCTCCTGCTTGCCGGCCACATTGCACTTCACCGTTTCATCTGTCTCGTCTCTGCGAAGTAATACGCTACCGTAGCGCCCTTGACGCCCTACACCCAGCGAGCGTGACGCCAGCCAGCTCCTAACCCCAGGAGCATGGCTGCGAATGCTCTCCCACTGCGAAATGGCCAGCCCAGGGATCCGTCTTCGTTCTCTTCGGCGCTCTCTACAAGACCAAACGCCCCTCACCAGCTCAGCTCGTTTGGTTACGTGCTCATGACAAGTCCCATGGAAGAAGACCTCTCACCCAGCCTCGTGTCACCGCACGACCTCAGAGCCTCTTCTTTCCCCACCGGTCAGATGAGGCCTACCTCGTCTGGCGGGCCCATTTCCACCACGTTGCCAATGAGGAACCCTAGCGCTGTGGTCTCAAGCTCGCAAAGCCCTCCTGTGTCACTGCAGCAACATTTCCATGCGTTGCCGCAAAGAGCGCCTGCTTTGGGGAACACGGCTGAGGCTTCCACATCATCCGCGTCGCTTTCTTCAGGCCCGTCCGAAGTGGAAGCGACAACGTCAGACTCGGGCTCGACCGTCAAACGGAAGGACGTGGATGGCGACTGCAGCATATGCTGGGAGCCTTTCGAGCAAGAGCAGAACGAGCTTATCTGGTGTAAGCTCACGTGCGGCAACAACTTCCACAAGAAATGTTTCGTCGAATGGCTCCTGACGCCCAAGCATTCGCGGACAAGCCCAGAACTGAAGTGTCCGTACTGTCGAGGAGCCTGGGACCCGGTCGAGCTGAGAACGCTGCAGATCGAGAACGGCATCATCCCTCCGAGGCCGTACAAGCGTGCCCGTCCGGATCTTCCAGCTCGTGCTCTCAACCGTGACCACATGCGCAGGCACTACCGCGAACGAAGGGAACAGGCCCGCAGAGACTACCAGGCCACCGTCTCGCGTATCCTCGGAGCCGACCGCTACCGCCCCGGAATGCCTACCCAAGTGCAGCATTACCATCCCACAGGCTACACACCGCCGCAAAGCATGCGGCCCACACCCGGAATACCGACTTCTACCCCGCATGCGTCGCCGCCTTCCAATCGGGCGATGTATCCACTTCAGCCTTATCCAATTCCTCAGGGTCCTCAGGCAATGAGTCCGCGTCAACCCATGCTGCCCGCCCATTTCGGCCCTTATATGCAACAGTTCAACGCGCAATCGTCGTCCATGCCAAATGGAGCGGCGTCGACACAGTCGCATGATCTCACGGCTCCCGGTTACAATGTTCCGACGTTCGCGCCGAATCCGTACCTTGCGCCTGTGGCCATTCCACAGCGACCCATGATCGGTCCATCGCAACCTCAGATGTCGCGGTGTCCAGCTATGCGAGCTCAGCAAATGCCTGGGGCAGCTGCACCTCAAGCTCTGCCTATGAACGGGCCAGCGTCACCGCCTTTCTGTCCTGGAATGATGCCCACAAGCCTAGAGGTGCAGTTCAACCACTACCAGTATCACGCCTATTATCACTACGGCCCTCCGATCCCCTAGACTTATCACAACGTGCTTTGGCATCGATATGGGACTAGGAGGTGCGGGCGCGCACACGAAAATCACCACTTTAGCACTTCAAACTTTCGTCACCCTCGCTCTATCTGAACACACGATTGACACCATTACCAACCTTGGTCATAAAAGCTTAGTTTTCTACTCTCTTTATGAATGGATGCCACTCTGTCGGGAACGGAAGGATCTCGACCCAGTAATGAGAATCGGGTCCATACCCCTGTCTTCGAGCCCGATTCCGAGGATGGATTCAAAAGGATTAGGAGTTCAGCTTACGGCATAATGCCACGCACTTACCGCTTGAGCGGCTGCAAATTAGACTTTGGACACCGAGAGTGGGTTGGACTCCTTCCGGCCTTCGCTCTCGGTGATATCACGGAGGTTTTCTTATTCTTCACTCGAAACTTTCGCAGCAACGATCACCATCATAACATGGACACGGCGTTTTTGGACGATTGGGGTCTTAGCGGAGCAAGCAGGTCATTTGCTATTCGACTGTTGAACCAGTTGCGTACACATACCCACTCGAATCAGGTTTCGTGATGATTTCATTTTCGGGCATTTTGCAAGCATGGGAGTGGCAATGATGACAGTATATAACGAGTTTATTTCAGGCAACTTTTTTTTCGCAATAGTTCGTCGTGCTAGGCACGAATAGATTGTCACCCGATCTGCAGAGACCGTCACACCACGCCACATGTAACGTCTTTTTTTTTTGTTCAAACGAGATAACAAATAAATGCACCCACTCGTCGAAGAGCCACACATGCCATCAGAAGAGCCCACAAATGGATGTGAAATGGAATTGGGAAGAAGACCCTTCTTCGGAAGGCAAAGAACCAACGAAGGGCATTATTGCTAACTAGTTGTAATGAAATGAAAGAGATTATGATGAATATCGCGAATCAATCCAGGGTTCCTGATCATTATTTATGTTTCAATCTTTCTCCTCTGCATACGTATACTTGTTTAGCATCTGGCCGATGCGTAAGACTAGGTGCAACACGGGATCATGCGGTAGAGACCCTGAGAAGGTTACGCATTGGCTTCGGATTTAAAAATTAAAAAAATTAGAAGATTCCGAACTCTTGGAGCATGACCGCCATATCGCGTCATCACATAGCGACCTTTGGATCGCCCAACCTTTTCCTTGAGGCTCATCACACACATACGAAAGGTCAACACCACTCTGTGGTTCCTAACGAACCACGCTGCGGAGACGTCGACCGCCCGACGCAAAGAACCGAAGACGTCCAGGTCCCTCTCCACCAGTCCTCATGCTCCGAGCCATCGTCGTCAGCAGATCGGCGTGCGAGTGCATGTGCGCAGACTCCTAACCAGGGTACACTAGCCACCCGCTATGCTTGCCGAAGAAGCGCCTGGCCAGTTCGGCACCGCTGGCAGTGGGCTGGCTGAAGGCAACGCGCTCCCTCGGGATGGACACTTGATATATGAACCGGCTTGCGGCGAAGGAGAGCAGCTTGGTCGCTATTCCCTGGCCGCGTGCACACTTCGACACCCATATCCGCGAGATGCCCAGCGTTGCTGGCTGCGCGTGCTGTGCGGTCTCAAGCGCGGACGACGACGATGATGTCATCGTCGTCGTTGTCGCTGTCGTTGTCGCCGTCGTTGTCGCCGTCGTTGTAGCCGTCGTTGTCGCCGTCGTTGTAGCCGTCGTTGTCGCCGTCGTTGTCGCCGAAGACGGCGTAGCAAGCACCGGGTACGCCGCGAAGATGCGCTCCGCCAAGCACACACCCAAGATCTTGTCTCTGCGCACATAAAAAAACGTCTTGTAGCGGTCGCACGTCCTGCTCTGCGCGTTGTCGTCGCTGTCATCCACGCCTGCGGGCTCGCGTACCTCGCTCCAAAGCCTGTCGTCATCAATGCCTATGCCGCCGAGCTCCGTCTCGACGACGTCGAGCGCCGCGCGCACCAACCGTCGCGCTGTAGGCTGCCTGCGCTGCTCGCGTTCTACGACGACGATAGTCTCTTCCTCGTAGGCGGTCGCCGCCAAGTCGCGCCGTCGCATGCTCGCCGGCATGGTGATCCCATCCACGTTCCGGCCATGGAACTTGTCATGTAACTGCCTATCCTCGCGCAGCGAAGGTCGGTACTCCATGCCGCAGGTTGGACAACGCCGCTGGACCTGCTGGCCCAGGTCGAGCCGCGTCTGCGTCAGCTGCATCCGTTTCGGGCGCTCGCCTTCTTTCGTCTCTCGTCTGCGACTTTGCGCCGTCTTTGCCATCGGTAATAGCACTGGTGCCTGTGACTGTGCTTGTGCTCGTGCCGTGAGGTCTCGTAGTGGCCTTGTCGGCGACGTGAGCCGCTTGACTACTGCGGTGGCGGGAAGTTCTGAGCTGGAGGGCTTCTGTTTGGATTCAACCTTGTCGATATTATCTAATGCGGCTTTCTCATTTTCCGCAATGGATATCGATACGGAGACGACAGGTGAGGACGGTGGGGTCTCGTTGTGAGGGGTGTTGTCGTCCGAGAAGATCGTGGGCGAACGCGAAGGGCTCGAGAAGAGAGTGTTGTCCCTATCATCGACACGTCGATATTTAGTGGTAGTGCCATCCGTGCTGAATGAGACTCCAAGCTTGCGCTTGGAGTACGTTCGTTTGATCATGGCTGCATTGGAAGAGTAGTGCGTGTCAGCGAATGTTGGGAAGAGAGTGTTTTTCTTTCACGTAGCCAAAGGCGCGCCAACGCGGCTCGCGACTGACAGGGGCATAGCGGGAGTAACCGCATTAGAGTTATCGATATGCTAAACCCAACTGAGAAAAGACGTCTCATTCTCTTCATGTCGATGAAACGCGGAGGAAAAAAAGACTTCATCAGCTCGTTTACAAGCCTTTAGAACGCACGGCCTAACGCCACGTGTGAAGACGAGAAAAATAAGAGGTTTTATAAAAAATTAGACGCTCGATAGAAGCAGGGCCCATGGCTGAAAAGTCGAGAAAGGATAGGAAGAAGAAGACGAGAAGGAGAAAGATTCGCAGGGATGGTAAGTCCCAACGTGGGGGGGGAAAAGAGAGAGATGCCTCGAAACATGTGAATGGGAGGCTAATTCGACATAAAGCCGATATAAGCTCAAGCTCAAGCTCAAGTGAGGATGAGAGCCAATATTCGCGGAAGGAAAGCGCCGAGAAGCCGCTGAGTGGCGAAGATGTTGAGATGGTATATCCTTGTCGTCATCAAACGAGAAGTGTTGCGGCTTGAGGACTGATTGCCTCGCTAGACGGAAGATCAAGCTGTGCTGGCTGAACCAGAAGCCGCAGAAAGCCCTATGTCAAAGGTATTGCTCTTCCATTTCCGCGCACACCGGACAGTGCGTCTGCATTCGATCAGCGCTAACGTGTTCGGCACTGCAGGAGCAGTCTTCAGAAGCGGATTTCGATTCCTGGTACCTGCGGCAGGTCACGAAGGAGCTGGAGGATGACCTTGATCAGATACGCTCCGCCGGCGACTTCAAGGACTCGTCGCTTCCCGTCCTCGTGACTGCTCTGCAACAAGGAGCGTCACTGTTCTCGACCGAGGAGAAAAGGAGAATCGTTGGCGCATCGTAGCGAGCACTTCTACTAAGCTGCGGCCGCCCGATCCATCCCCGTGCATGTATTCTCTCGTACCACGTTCCTGCCAGCATCCTGCGTGCTTTGCTTTTCCTTCATGCAGTCACTTCGCCAGTGTGCCGCGCCCTCGCACTGTTCTCACACTTCTTCATCTAGATTTCTGGTCCATTCTCTCTTCCTAACTGTACTTTACCCATATCTCACTCTCGAGGACTCAGCCTGTCGATCGGCCTCCTCAATCGACCGTGGCCTTCGCTGATGTGCTCCATGGGAGTACTGCAGCATCCTAGACTCCCTCGCACGAGCGTTCGGTCGATTCCTGAGCGTCGTCCAGCCCAGCAGCTGAGAACTCTTGCTCAACAGGGAGAAGTGTTTCACAAAGATGTCGGTGGAGGATTCGGAAAATTCCTAATGAAAAGCCAGACTTTCTGCTCTGGGATTTGATGTACAGCCAGTACTGCTTTGTATATAACGGCTTTCCTAACTTGTATCAGACTTGTGGTGAGGAGGCCCGGTTGCGTCATCATGTTGGGCGAGGTGGTGGTAATGTGTGCTGATACAACCACTAGCTTTAATCTCATAATTGGAATGTACATCAAGCTGGTTATAAACATATCTTGGTGAAAGTCCCGAGAGGTGACACTACGTTGGCTTCTGGGGTGCCCTTTTTTAACCGCTAGCGTCTTAGGTGCGAACTTTCACATTTTCTTTGCAGGCTTTCGCGTCATGATTTCGCCTCTCACAGGTCTGATAACAATGATGTTTCATTCCAGAAACTGCAGTCACGTGTTCGAGGGGTTCATCTGATGTTCTGTCCGGGAAATTTGATCTCACCATCGATGCGCGCAATTCTTGGAAGCTAATTCTAACTGAAGTCTCGATGTCATCCAGTGATCAGCGAGAGCATTTGAAGCAGACATCAGCAAATTGTTTTTTCAAGGAGTCTTGAGATGACTACAACCGCTGCTAGATCTCCAAACTCGCCGTTACGATCTCAACATCATTTTGTACGTGAGCTCGAGCGACTGTCAACCTCGGGAGAAGTCATTTGAGCCTTTCGTCACGGCCGGTGTATTGTTCGATGATCCTTTTACGGTTTAGTGTGCACGAAGAAACTCAACCTTACTGGGAGACACAGAATCTCGACTGGAACTCAGAAGCGCAAATTAGAAGATAGCGGACGTGGTTTCCTTCCATAATTATCTGCATATACGAATATCTGGGTATGTCACGTTTGCTCAAAGGCTGCCAGCAATGCCGAAATAGAAAAGTAAAATGCGACCGACGAACAGGTGGATGTCGACGATGTGAGACCAGGGGTGAGCCTTGCTCCGGATACTCTGTCGAAGGAGCATTCATCTTCAAGAGCGAGACTCAAAAGGTGGAGCAGAAATTGCAATCTCAATCAAAAGTCAATGGTCCGCTGCCAAAAGCCACTTGCTCGAGAATGCTGACCTGGAGGACGCCTGCTGGTCCATGCTCGAATACAACACCCTTCGAGTTCAGCATTTCGTCAAACACACCGGAGTCATTACGAAAGGAGCTTGGTACCGATAATCCTGAGGTTTGGAGATTCTTCGACCGCTTTGTGATGTATCCTTGCAACAGTGGATCATCCCGCGGGTTCCTTGAACATCTTCCGAGCCTCTTCATGGAGCCCAATATCACGCACCGATATGCACTGCGCTATGCCGTTCTTGCAGTCGCATATGCGAGCGCTACGGATGGAACGAACGGAAAGGAGAGAAAGCAAATGGCGTTCCATTTTTACGGCCTAGGGCTGTCAGCTTTGTCAAAAAGTCTGGAAGACGACATCACAGAGAGTTCTGATTACGTATTGATGACCGTCGTAGTATTGGACATCTTTGAGGTTAGTAATTCGAGAGAGCCATATATCTGAGGTACTAGCACTAACTCACGAAGTCGCTGTATTGCGACAATCCGTCAACAATAGACTCTCACGTTCAAGGTATGAGAAATATCCTTCGCTTACGAGGTTCTCACGGGGAGTACGATCCCAAAGGATGGAGCCTTCTGCGGCTTTCACACCACAGAATGGTAAGAAACAACATGATCAAAGTTTATCTATGGTTCGACTTACGAAATTCGCAAAAAGAAGCGCCATGAGCTTGCTCGCGGACTTCCGCCAATGCCGGATTCGACCCAATGGCTGGACAATCTCGACGAAGGCGATCCATTTGTCGACATTGAGAAACGCAACAGCAAAATCAATGAAGTGTGCGAGAAAGCTCGCCAATGTCTACGAAACGTCAATAATGATGGCCTTGATGCTCTCACAATAGTATCAGTAATTCGAGAAATGCACACTTTGGACCAGCTTGCCGTGAATTGGCATGAAAAGCCACATTGGAAATTTACGACAATCTCCAGAGAAGACGTAGAATGTACTCCAGAGCTATTTGCTCTCTTGCCGGAAACCCTGCAGCTACATTCTGATGCCTGGATGGCCTACGAATGGAATTATCACAGGACGGCTCGGATCTTGATGCATTGCCAGCTCCTTAAATGCCTCGACCGCCTCGACCGCCTCAAAAATCACACAGTCAATTGCGAGGTAAATGAATTGAGAGCCTACTCTTTAAGCACTGTTCGACATTTGACCGATGAAATTCTCTCAACCGTCCCTCAATCGCTAGGTGACATTACTAACAAGGGAAAGCCAATTAAAAGTACTACAAGTCCCAAGGGCAAGGCCGTCGGTGGCTATTTTCTCCTATGGCCTACCAAAGTCATCAAAAATTTGGATATAATTACACCACATCAGGCTATGTACGCCGAGTTGACATTCGAACGTATCAGAGAACATACGGGGATGAAATCTGCGCTCACAGACTTGAGACAGGATTGACGGAGATAGAGTAGCTTCTTTATCTCCTTTAGCTTTTTGAACTTGGCAGATTTCACCCTTCACTCAATCTCCGCCTTGAACCTCACGTTATAACCAACTCTAGCGCGGATATATGATTCAATCATGAACCTAAATTTGCGCTCTTTCGGATTATCACAAGCACTGGCCCGTGCTTTTTCCTGTTCAGGAAAGTGTGCGCGAGCCCAGTCCGATAGCGAGCCGCTATTGTATCCAAGATGTACGTCCCGTGGCTGAAGAATTCCAACTGCAGCCAACCAACATGCTGGACATCGGGAGCATCGAGCGTAGCAAAGAACATGCTCTTCGCTGCTATCCTCGCTCTTGGTAATCAGAGGGTTTTCTCTCTTCTCTAAGCGTTCTTAAGTCCGTGACACACATTGGCAGTTCAGGTATAAAGACCATGGCATCGCACAGTGAGAAGGCAGGACATCATTCTTATCCTCATTCGATTGTTTTTACAAGCCGCTAGACCGTACAGCTTCGAAGAACTTTGGAAAGTTTACCAAGAAAGAAGGAATTTAGCCCAACGATGGCAACTAAAGTTTCTCTATGGGATGCTATGGCATTACGCCGCTCCAGATACGCGCTTGTTCCCCAATCTCCTACATCGGACGAACGTATCATCAAGATTGTACAACACGCCGTCACGCAATGCCCTTCTCCCTTCAACGTTCAAAGCGCACGTGCAATCATCTTACTGAGAGGAGAGCATGAAAAGTTCTGGACTCTTGCAGAAGACTCTGCCGTCAAAACATGGCCTCTGCCAGCTTATCAGGCTCTAAAGTCAAAACTCGCCGAATACAAGTCCGGGTACGGCACAGTGCTGTGGTTCGAGGATCAAGATAGTATTTCAGCCGTCGAAAAACAACTCGGCCCGGCAAGATGGGACTTGGTCAAAGAAAAGATGCCACAGTGGAGCGAGCACTCATCAGGTATGCACCAATATGCTGTATGGACAGCGTTGTCTGCCGAGGGTTTTGGTTGTAACTTACAGCACTACAACCCAATTGTCGACGAAGGTGTTCGAGAACAATGGAAGGTGCCCTCCAGTTGGGCTTTGAAGGCGCAATTAGTATTTGGCAAACCCGTTGGCCCTCCAAGAGAGAAAACAGTGATACCTCCTGAAGATAGGGTCTTCATATACAAGTCTTAAGCATCGCGGCTTCTAGATTGTGTCCAGAGATCCCTACGATGGACACGATGTTCACCTTTTTTTTTAATTGTTTAGCAGCGCCAAAAACACCAACGCTGGAAATAGAGAATATGATCCATGTGTTGCTGCGGGGGTTTCGCGAGAATTGTGCATCCAAGTTCAAAATTATTTCCCGCCCAATTTGAACGTCAGCGTTCTGGATAAAGGTTGGACGTAAACTTACATACATTCACGGCTTTAGCGTACAAAACAAAGTTAGATCGTTGATAGTTACATTAAAGCCTAGAATTACATCTTTTCTCCATCATAATACAATATAGCTCCAAGAAGAGAAGCAAGCCCCGTATGGAGAAAGTATACCCAATCTGCAGTAATTCTGGCCTTAAAGAATAATTCAATGACCAAATGTTAAATAAGAAAATGGTACGTTACGCATCGACCGCCCCGAATTTTATTCAATCTCTTCTCATTGAGATTCAGTTGGAATCAAAATCAGAGCTTTTATAGACTTAGACCACATTATTTTACATATGCAGCATGCTGTAGTGTAGGAAGTGTCAATGTCTATAGAACTAAGGCTGAGCTTGGCCGAATTCGGTAAGTGGGTTGAATTGAAGCTTCACCTGCGTCATCTCTTTTACTCGAAAAGTTCAAAATAGCACACAGCACAAAACTACCTGGTCGATCTTTAACTTCATGGGCAATCATTCTGTCGCTGGCAAACACATCATTTCAGAGAGGTCATGGACTCTATGCTGACTTGTGTCCGCGTTCAATTTTGCATGACATTCTATCGCTAGAACCATGGCGAGTACCAAGGCGGCACTCAAAGCCGCAAAAGCCGCAATAGATGCTAAAGACTGGGATACTGCAATTGCACAAGCTCAGACGGTCCTGGCATCAGACCCCAAAAATTATTTCGCGAAGCTATTCCTTGGGCGTGCGTACGACAAACAAGGCAAGGTTGCGGAGTCCGCAAAGGCTTACGAGGACGCCACGGAGCTCCAACCCAACGATGAGCGGGCATGGATAGGCCTACAAAGCTTGTACGAAAGCCAAGGAGGGCCAGGAATCGATGGTTACATATGGGCCTCTTGGAACCTGGCCAAGGTGTACGCTGCGCAGGACAATAAGCACAAGTGCCAATCCGTCGTGGACAAGCTTGTCGGAGTGGGCAAAAACAGGGGAACAAGGGCGCAGTACAAGAAAGCACTCGCCATTCAGTTGCCCACGGGACCAATTTACAATTTCCTTGAAGGACGGCTTCCACATCCTTCGCATACGTACATGAGACTTGCAGAAGTGACCGAGGCCGAAGAGAAGGCGATAGAGAAGAGTGAGGTGGAGACCAGAAGGACGAGGATTGGAGCGAGAAAGGAGCAGGTCATTGCAGAAGTCAAAAGAGAGATCTACGCTCAGAGTGACCTGGAAGAGCTGTATCAAGGAGTGATCGATTGGACCGAGGATGACGGAACAAGGCGCAAATACGAAGAGAAGTTGCTCCAGCGAGCATACGATACGCTTCTCGTGCTACCGGAGGACCAAAAGCCGAAGAAGAGAGAGGAAGTGCTCAAACAGGCGCACGGAATGGTCATCATCAAACACGCGTGCCTTCTTGCGTGGAATATTGAGCTGGAATGGACAGACGTTGAGAATATAAGCGAAATGGATTCGAGCACATTATACGAATACACAAACTTTTTCCCGGAGAGTGGACTTTCGAAGGTGCTCAAGGGCTATCTCAATAGTTCGATCTCGCCCTTTCCGAACCCACCCGCTCAACAGCAAGTCGCAGAAACCGGCACTGACGACGACGACGACACTGGAGGTGGTGTATCGCTAATGCCAACGGGAGCAGAAGAAGTTCTGCTCTCCATGGCTGATGGACTAGCTGAAGCAAAGAATTCAGCTCTAGCTCATCGCCTAGTTGGCCAGTATTACAACCATCTTGAGGAGTACGAGACCTCTGTCGATACACTTCGCGCAGGATTAAAAGTTCTTGCAAACGAAAGCAAGAAGTCAGGTCTGAAACTGCAAAACAACGCTGATGCCATGAACACTATGCTGGCCACTGCTTTGGTGCATCACCAGAGTCCACGATTCCATAGCGAAGCACGAGCACTTTTTGAAGATATCCTGGCCCGTAAACCATTTTTTACAGAAGCACTTATAGGTGTTGGCCTTGTTCTCGAAGAGGATGAAGAGTATGCAGAAGCTATTGAGTATTTGTCAAGAGCTTTGGAACGTGATTCAACCAATGCCCGAGTTGGCGCAGAGCTTGCTTGGTGCAGAGCATTAAACGGCGACACTGAAATGGGTCTCGCAGAACTTAAAGCATGTCTAGCAATGATGAAACCGGACGCTAAAGATATGCGTGCAGAAACACTGTACCGTATCGGCAAGTGTGAGTGGGATCTTGACCCTTCAAGAGCAAGTCGTAAGGACCGCAAAGGACCCTATGCTCAATTTCTCGCATCTATCAAAGCAAATGTCAATTATGCGCCCTCCTATACTATGTTAGGTATTTACTACTCGGATTACGCCCGCGACCGCAAACGTGCGCGGCAATGCTTCCAAAAAGCATTTGAGCTATCAGCCTCGGAAATCGTTGCTGCTGAACGTCTCGCCCGTTCTTTTGCTGACCAAGGAGATTGGGACATCGTTGCACTGATCGCTCAGCGTGTCATTGACTCGGGGAAGACGAGGCCACCACCAGGTTCGAAGAAGAAAGGAATCAGCTGGCCATATTCGGCTCTTGGTGTTGTCCAGATGAACAGATTGGAGTACCAAGCAGCCATTGTTTCCTTCCTAGCAGCGCTCCGTATTGATCCAACAGCTTATCATGGGTATGTCGGGCTAGGAGAGAGTTATCACAATAGTGGGCGATATAACTCTGCCGCAAGGACATTTGAGTATGCTGAGAAATTGTTGGCGGATTCTGGGGCAGCAAGCAAGAGCGAGGAGAAGTGGTTCACAGGGTACATGCTGGCGAATGTAAATCGGGAATTGGGTGCTTATGACAAGGCAATCGAGGGATACAAGGATGTTCTCGACGCTAGAAAGCGAGAATTTGGCGTGGAGATTGCACTACTGCAAACCTACTTGGAAAGAGCATGGAGAAATATCGAGACTGGATACTTTGGTGGCGCTATTGACAGCACGGAATTAGCACTGAAAGTTGCAGCTGGAATTGCAGAGTACATGCCTAACGCTTTTAACCTATGGAAAGCAATTGCGGATGCGTGTGCGGTGTTCTCCGTTGTACAGACGGGGTTGGACAGGATGCCCAAAGAGGAAGTACGGAAATTGCTGGTGAAGAGCTTTGAGAAGGATAAATACAACTTTTTTGCCGAAAACGATGGAGTGAATCTTGACTTACTAGACAGTATTGGAAAGAACGACGAGCACGCAGACTCAACTACCTCGAATATGTCGTATTGCTTAACGGCATCTATACTGGCTCAGAAACGTGCTATAATGTGCTGTGCACATGACCAACATGCGCAGGCCGTCTCGTGGTACAACTTGGGCTGGGCAGAGTTCCGAGCACACGCCTGCCTCGACGAGCCAACGCAATTGAAGACAACAAAATCACGTAGCAAATACCTAAAGGCTTCGATGCGTTGCTTCAAGCGTGCCATAGAACTTGAAGCTGGTAACTCTGAATTCTGGAACGCCCTTGGTGTGGTTACGACGAAGCTCAACCCGAAGGTTGCACAGCATTCCTTCGTTCGCAGCTTGCATCTCAATGAGCGTAACGTAAAGGCCTGGACAAACTTAGGCGTTCTCTACTTCCTCCAAAACGATTTCGAGCTCGCCCATACAGCGTTTGCACGTGCTCAGAGTACAGACCCCGACTATGCGCATGCTTGGGTTGGCGAAGGTTTAGTAGCGCTCATATGGGGAAAGGTGCATGAAGCCTTGTTGCATTTCAAGCATGCGTTCGAGATATCTGATTCTGGGCTTGTAATCGTGAAGAAGGAATTTGCAGCACATACATTCGATCAGTTGATGACTGAGCCAGAACGTCTAAGAGGTGATACGCTTCAAATGATTCAGCCACTATTTGCACTTCAACAGCTAAGTGTGTTGAATGTGGGAAATCAGCCTTATGAGCTCCTGTCTGCATTATACAACGAGAGAGTGGGGAGGCATGTTCCGGCGATTGATACGTTGACACAATTGTGTGAGAAGTTGGAAGCTGAATATGAGCGGACGGAATCGCCATCTACATTGGCGAGATTCGCCCAGGCAAAAGTGGATCTTGCTAGGAATCACCTCGCGGCTCATGATTATGAACGTTCTTCAGAAGAGGCGAATCTTGCTCTTGCTTTGACATCTGAAGATGACACAGTGTCGCCAGAAATGCTAGGGAAGATCCACTTATCAGCTCAGCTTACGCTCGGACTTGCTTCATATTATCTCAAAGATATGGATACCGCTTTAGAAGCGTTTCGGAAAGCCCTTCAGAATAGTAAAGCGGAGCCCGATGTTGTTTGCATGCTTGCCGAGGTCCTCTGGGCGCGTGGTGGGGACAACGAGCGTTCCGTTGCTAAGGAACAGCTTTTCGACACGATCGAACGGCAGCCAGGTCACGTCAATTCAGTAATACTATTAGGTGCAATGTCGGCTGTCGAGGAGGACATGGATACAATCAATGCTGCTCGCGAAGAGCTAGAGACGCTTCGCGTAACGGAAGGACTTAGTCAACATGATCTTACACGTATAGAGCGCGTTCTCGAAGCCATGGCTCAGATATGCCCCAAACACCATGGCAATTCTGAGCTCGAAATGTTAAATGAGTGTCAAGAAATGATTATGCTGTATCCATGGAAAGCAACGGGGTGGAGAAGATTGGCTCTCGAAAGCGAGGATGCTTACGCAAAGGAAATGGCTCTTGCAGTAGCTTCAAACAATGTACCGCCGAAAGGCCCCTTGACTTCCGAGGAACTATGTGAAGCTTCTGCACAGGCAGGCACGTTGGGAGATGCCCAGAGGGCCATCTTTATGGCTCCTTGGAAAAGAGAAGGCTGGGAGGCTTTGCTTGACGGCATAAACGTAGAATCGTAGATTACGTAAGACAGGAATCTAGCTTGATAAGTTATATTTCGACCCTAGATGAAATGCAACATTCAATATCACGGCAATTTCGGGGCCATCATGGCCAGAAAAAAGAGCAATGCCACGATGTGAACATAAATACTGTCTTTCTGTTGGCGGCCTAATCGTGAAAACAGAGGCCAAAGCTCCATAAGATAGTTTTCAAAATTAGTGCAGTAAGAACGGTCCCATAATTTTAAAGCGGGCTTTGCGTATGAATAAGAGCAATATCGTTTAAGAGTCATTCGATAACACGATTATGAGCGGTCATGGTCCGTTTCCCGACATTTTCGACTGCTTGAATTTTGACAACTCCTTCATCGTGTAGTCAGAAGCGCAGGAAGGTTATCCTGAACATTCACCATCAGCGACCAACTCTTTCACCTTGCCATTATTTGCAAACTCATTTCAGTAAACAAGCCCATGAACCACGGATTTTGAGTCTTTCATTTTGTTTGCATTTCAAGGGCCGGATCACTCGCTGCGAATACTTTGCGACACTGTCGAGGTTGGAAAAGTGCACAGGTAGGTCGAACGATCACAAAGCCGAACCTGCATTCACAACCGTATTGCCGTCAACGCAAGCAGGATGATTTTCTTTTTGAACCCTGGGAGGCATTTCATTTCCTGACAGAAAACTCGTTCTCTCATACGTCCGCGCGTGCGTGGCGCGGGGTGGTTTTCTAGGGTGGAGAGATAGAGAGAGTCTTGGATCCGGTCAGGGTCGAACGTTACGTTCCAGTGATCTTTGAATCGAGGAAAGTCTCCTGTAGGAGGGGGTCGCAGCGTCGATCTCAACCTGATTCGACTACTGGTAAGTTCGAAAAATTAATATCGCATCGTGGTCTCGTTTGTTTCACCACTCGTTCCGCTATGTGTCAAGGCAAGGCTAGAAGTTTTCGCAGGACATATCATCATGAGAATTACAGTCAAGCAGTTAGATTTCACGGACGATGTAGTTAATCATTCTCAAGTCCAATGCTAATCCAGGTGGAAATACATACGAGGTTCCACTGAGCGGCAATCCTTGTTCTGAAAATTTGGACGGAACAAAGGTTTGAAAATCAAATTCCCAACTTCAAAGTCGCTAAGCTGGCACATTAACACCTCAAGCGCTTGTCTTGAGGAGTCTCGTCTAAGGTCCCTATGTCAGAAATACCCAAGCAGATGGCATTACGAAAAAAAGGCTTGGCTTCATTCTAGCTTTTGAGTTCCAGCGCTTTTATTATAAAAGTACGCAAGCAGGTGCTTTGGAAGATGTACATGTTTTCAGTCCTTAATTTTTTCGTCAGAAGTGTATCATAAGTCTGATAATGGCAGTCACACATTGTGCGACGTCTCACGCCGCAATGAAGCTGTGATATCTTCCCCCCCAATTGTACTCAGAGATGACGGGCTCTGATTTGTTGTTCGCGGGCAGATAGAATACTGCAACACATCTTCTGCTGCCGCCATAGCAAAAAAATGTCATGCAGCGAACACAATCAGATCGTGGCGATCATGATACAAGAGGAAAACTGAGATCTTTCGCTAGTCGTGCTAAACGTACATCCTAAGGCCACGAATTTGCAGACCTAGCAACAGTAAAATTGATAGCAATACTATTCTAAGAAGCTTGAAGTAACCTTGTTCAAGAAGGTGGCTTGTAGTTCGTTAAATTTGCCAACAGCTGCTGAATATCTGTATTTGTCTGACTCATTGGCGGTGCAATACCAGAAGATGGTGCCGGCTGAGTACTTGCATTCGACCCTGGTGTAGGGGCGGGTGTCGGGTGATAAGAGCTCGGTGCTGGATGTGCCGCTTGCTGTTGCTGGGGAGGCGGGGGGGCCGCATAGGCTCCCGAAGGTGGAGCTTGAGGCAAAGGAGGGGGATGACCCATCTGGCCCAGCAAGCGTGCTACGTCAGGTGTGAGACCAGTTGCGCCGGGCGTCTGACCAGGTGGTGCGTTGGCAAGGCTGGACATAATGCTGTTGACATCAACGTTTGGAGGAGGGCCATTGGAGCCTGAAGAGGGGAGTGATGAGATGATGCGAGTAAGGTCCGTAGGGTTGGAGTATTGCTGTTGCTGTGGAACCGGAGGGGGCGGAAGAGGTTGTGGCTGGTAGCCGTATTGAGCTGGCGGTGCATTGTGTTGCTGCGGAGGTGGGGGATACGCTTGCTGTTGAGGCGGTGGAGGCAGCTGCGCTGCTTGTGACTGTTCGAACTTTGCACGGAGGACTAGATCAGCTGCTATATACGGAGAAAGGTCCACATATCCTTGACGAGACGTTAGAGTTTGGATAAGACACTTGCGCGGAAATATGATGACTTACTGTCGAACGAGACACTGGTGTTGCCACCAGACCTCTTGAAAAGTTGCATCGATACTGTATTCCTTGCCCGATCCGCGCGCGTCAAATGGACAATAGCTAACACGCCTTCCATTACTTTGTGTCGAATGACAGCCTCTTCGGGCCAACGTGGGTTAAGCATTAGCACATCTACAGTAACACCACGAGACTTCATAGAAGTGTCCACCCATCGAATAAAGTCCCTGCCAAGAATGGCGAAATATTAGTATAGAGATAATAAAATGATTCGCAAGGCAGCACTCACTGGTCCAGATCATCGACTACTAGGATCTGAATATCCGGGACTTGACCCAGTGCTCTCCAAGGCAGGTCAATCTCCTCACGATGCGGCGCGCCGTATTGGCTTCCTGTAGGTGTATACGGCGATGGAGACCTTCTCCTACGATCATCATACCGATCCGTTCTCCCGGCATATCTTCTAGGCGATGGTGAGCGCCTCCACTCATCCCTAGAGCGTCGATTATCTCTATCCCTTGGCGAGCCTGGATATCTATCAGCCCTACCCCCTCGCCCATAATCTGGCGACCGCGAACGCCGTCGATTTCTGTCCTGTCTATTGTTCTTAGTCGGTTTGGAGATCTCCAGGTGCATCTCTCTGCCGCATAGCTTCTGTCCTTGCTCACTCGCAAGCGCCTTACTGCATGTGGCCGCGTCCATGAACTGCACAAAGCCGTACGCCTGCTTGAGCGAGATCTGCGCTAACTGCCCGTACTTATGAAACTTGCGAAATACATCCTTTTTGTGCACCTTCTCCGTCGACAGATTGCCGATGAAGAGACGTGAGCCCAAGGGGAACTTGTCCCACTGCCCATCGTGTACATTTTGTCGCTCAAATGCAATGAATTGGTCATATTTTTGCTGCGTTTGAGTATCAAAGGGGCCATCTTCATCGGTCTTTGACGTCTGACCTTGCTGGCTCTGCGCCGACGCAGCGGGCGTTGATGCGGGAAGCGAGGTGGAGGACGGAGCCTGGTAAGCATGAGAAGGAGCTGGTGGTAATCCGTTCGAGTTCTGATGTGGCAGATTCGCCGCTGCGTTTGGGAAAGTCGCGGCGGCTGCAGAAGCACTAGTGTTCCCGGCATCAATGTTCTCTTGCTGGTGCGGGTGGTAATTGCGAAGATCATCACCGGCCACATAGCTAGAATGAATGTGGGGCTGGTCCTGCGCGGGAGGCTTGGGCGGCAGGTTTGGATTACTTGGTAGAGCAGTAGATGAAGGCGAAGTCACAGCGTTCAGAGACTGAGCAGGCGCGGGAGTCGCACTGGAGCTCTCACCGGCGGGAGTTGCGCTCGCAATCACGCTCGACAAATTGGCAAGGATAGCGGAGTAGTCTACGCTGCGCTCAGCGTCGTTCGGTGTGTCAATGGGTTTCGGAGGATGAACGCTGTCGGCAGTGGAGGTAGGAGCTGCGTCTGGCAGCGGTGCGGCAGGCTGGGCCTCTGCGACTGTCGAAGTGGTAACGTCAATGCTAACATCTTGAACATTAGGAGAAGTGGAGGCGACTACGGCGGACGGAGGAGAATCCTGGTTGTGGCTCTCACGGGGCTCTGGCGCGGGAGGAAGGATATCTGTACCTGGAAGTGTAATCTGCTGGGCGCCATGTGCTGGGTTTGACACGCCATCATACAAGATGTCGAGGCTTGAAGGCGCTGAGCTCTCAGCTGAAACGCCATTCGACACGTGTGGGTTCTCGGCCGATGCATTGCGGTCGGTGTTGCAGGAATAGGCATTGTTCGCAATGGCAGGATTGACGGTCGACACGGATTGGTGGGCGGAATCTTGATCTTGGACAGGCTGAGGCTGTTGCTGGTGGTGCAGAGACTGCGTCACAGTGTCACTGAAGGCAGGATCCATGGACGCTTCCAGTATAGGCACATTGGCAGGCGAAGGATAGTGCAAGGGCTTTGGCGAGACAGGTGTCAGTGTCTCACCGCGAATCTGCTCTGGCGGTTGTGGTGGTGTCGCACTCATCTGTCAGAATGCGGTACGTGGGGTCTGTGGCAGCTAGAAAGTGTGAATGAAGGGAAAAGAAGATGAGAAGACGCATGCCACCCTTGATGGGCACAAAATGATGATGCTTGAGGTGGTATATTGAGCCTACGCCTTAACGCGCCCGCTATGACTGCAGCATCGGCCTTTTTTGCTGACAAGAGCAGCGAGAAGATATGTGACGAAGCCGCACGCCACCAGTCAGCGAGAAGGATCGCAGGCAGGCGCTGTAAGAGCAGGAGGACTTGGCGCGTCAGTGAAGCGATGTGTACACCGGCGATGTGACAAGTGAGGCGATTCTAGTTCGGGACCGCCCAAGGGTGAGGGAGCAAAGCAAGCAACCAGGCTGAGCCGGCAACGACAGAGATTGCAAAAAAACACCTGGGACACACAGAGCGCAGAGCCACGGCTGCGATCCGATCGGATGCTTTAAGCGCAAAAAGGGGACGTGTGATGCCAGGCGACGACGAAGAGCAAAAGAGCGAGGTTGCGGTGTTGGTGCTGATGGGATGTGAGAACGGTGAGATGGCGCGATGAAGGAGGGAAGGAGCAGGTGGAGCTCGGACAAAAAACTCATCCTCAACCACCCGGACGCGCTTACCTAAACTGAACGCACGGAGCGCACCTTCCTGTGGTGGCCTCAGCCTCCCAGGCAGCAAAGCATCACCCAAACATCAGCCAAACCGCCGACCTCCGTTGGCCAACTGCTGTCCTTCTCCGATCAGCTCCGGTAGACGAGGCCAGAGCTGGGATTGAAACAGAGATGCCTCAAGATGCCATCTTCAACGCGGATCGGCATGCGATGGGCAAATTTGGTGACTCTTTCCAGGAAGATTCGACGTTGGCGATCAACCGCCGCCAGTTCTGGCGAGGATGAGATCGCTGCATGCAGAAAATGGATGGCCTCCTTCAATCCAGACTCCATCCCAAAGAGATTGTGCGACATCTCCTTCAGCCGCTCCTCTGGGCCGGGTGGCCAGAACGTGAACAAGTATGCCATCGTCGACATAATGTAGAAAGGGGGGAACATGCGTTTTTTCTTCTCTGTGATCTGCTTACTCTCAAACTAACCATACATGCTGTCCAGAGTGAGCTCCAAAGCAACACTGCGTATAGAACTGAGCTCTCTGCTACCATTGCTCCCGAGCCTGCTTCACCAACCGCTGCGGCAATCGCGTTACTACGCGCCCAACTCGAACGCTCTCGTCATTCAAGCAGACGACAGCCGAAAGCAGGCAGACAATGCGCACAAGTGCTTTGTCAAGCTTCACCGGCTGATCACCGAGACCGCCGAGAAAGTCATTCCTGGTGAGACATCCGACGAACAGAAACAGCGAGTCAAAGATCTGTATGTGCTTCTTCACCTGACCTCACGCCTTCTTGACTTGAACTATGAACTGAGCCGAGCAGCCAACGGAAGGAAAACGAGACGCGTCTGCGGGCAAAGAAGTACCAGAGCAGCAAAAAAGCCTCGCGACGCAAGACTGGATGGGATGAGTGAAAAGCTCCGAATCCCTTCCAAACCCTCACCCGTCTGCCATGACAACGGCCTTTTCCTGTGGCTTCATCGTGTCTCGCAGAGCAAGTAATTGGACGTCTTGCGGGTACGTCTTCAATGCGAGCTCGAGAAGCGTCTTCACAGAAGCACGATCCTGTTTCTTTTTCTGCAACTGCTCGAGCACCGGCACCACATCGCTGGCGCTTCCGATGGCTTTGACGTACTGTCGCAGCGATGCCGAAAGCGCTGTGCAAATGTCTGCATCGAGGTCTGGACTCATCGTCAATGGTAGCAGTCGCAAGATGGCGCTTTGTGCAAGTTCTTTCTTCTGCAAAGACAGCCGTTTGAGAGCGCCGCGCACAGTCGCCAAGCATTCAGTTAAAGCTTCTGGAAAGTCTGGTGATGAAGTTGCAACGCCAGTTATGGGAAGCATGAATTGGCATGTAACCGTATGCACGCTGTCTGGCTTGGAAGCCACAAGTCCTTCAACGACATGACGTAGGACCTTGTCGATTGTAGTGCCTCGCTCAAATTCAGCTACCATGTCGAAAAATTTCTCTCCCAATTCAGCATCATTGTCGAATTCCCTCATAGCCGCGTCGAAAATGGCCATGGGAATAGCACCTGTCAGTGCAGGCGTGTTTTCCATGTTCTGAATCGCTACTTGATCCACCTCATCGTCTGTCCCTAACGTCGGGCTAATATCCTCTGCGGTAACCGTAGGTAGCGCCAACATGTCTTCTCCTTCGTCCTGCTTTTGCTGTACCTCCACTCTCCCCTCCAGTCCTAGAATCCGCCGGCGTGCTGCGATCTTCGCAATGTAGATGCACTCTAAACGGCCGTATTCGATCCACAGGTTCCAGTCTCTCTTGCAAAAACGCAAGCCTCGCTGCAGATACCCCCGTGCAGCGCTCATGTCTGCTTCGTCTTCCAGGACCGAGTTCGCCGCGTAGACCCAGATCTGCGCCTTTGTCGGGTGTAACCGAAGCACCTTCGTGAGCAGCTCACTCAGCTTCTTCCTCGCCTTCTCCTTGCGTGCAAAGCCCAGGAGCTGCATCCACAATCCCAAATCTCCCGGAAACTTCCTCACTCCCCTCTCCAGGATGAAAAAAACCCTTCGAGGCCCGTCATGCCCGCTAACGCCCAGCTTGACCTTCAGACGTGCCGTCCGCTTTTTGATCAGAGAAGCCAGATTGATTTCGTAAGCGGCATATGATGCGTAGTCGTGGGCAGCCGAATGGCCACGCGCATTGATCGTGTGCTCATAGGAGGACCGTTTGCGTGCTATGGACTTGATCTCAGGCTCGGTGAAGACTCCTTTGCGAAGAAGTTCCTGTAGCTGGGGAACGGATTGCTCCAAGTAGTCGCGTGCTTTGTCCGCAGCGCCCATAGCTGTGCTTTAAGAACAGATCTCGAAATCCTTATGCTCACTCTCACGACTTCATTACGCAGAGTGTCTGTGGTGGTCTGGAGGTCGGCGGGGAGGTCTACATAGAACATCGTCGGACTTTTTTTGAAAGTTTTCCGTAAGCGGATTAGCGTTGCTTCCTGCCGTTGCTGTGCACTTGTAGGGAAAGCAACCCCGGCCGCAAATAGGGCTGATGAAGCTCAGGAGGAAGGAGACTGGCTGGTGAAAAGAGGACAAATCTCACGAAAAGTCACATCCCATCGACTCCCTTCCCCCTTCTTCTTTCTTATACGCTCTTTTTTCCATCTTTTTTTCCTTTCTTCGTTTCCATTAGGGACGGCCCTCACTCAAGATGCCGTCGAACCTGCGGGAAGGGGATGTCGTGGCCTCTGTACGAAATCCACATCTGCAAGGCGTCGTATGATATGCTGACGGACAGTTGACAGTTTAATGGCCGTTGGATTTCGTGGTCGCACACCATCGTCGCTTACTGCGCGTTTCTGAGCGCGCTGATCGTGGGAACGTATGTCATAGTGCTAGTGCAAGGAGTGATAAACTGAGCCGCTAAATATGAGAAGGGCGCTGCATTACCACAAGATTGTGCAGAATGAGTATTACGTACGTTGGTCATTGCATATCATATGATAAAGAAGATATTGACGTGAGAAACGTAGGGATATCCGCAAGAATGGTTTCCCTCCGTATCCGCCACAATAGGCGACCGTTACCCTGAACGATCCTTCTTCATGGTCTTCATTGCCATTACATCCGGTATACCTCTATACACCCAACAGAATTTCTCGTTAGCCTGTGCTAACCAAGGCCATGAACTCAGGTCCTCGCTTCTCTCTCGTCGCGCTTTGGTATTTCATGACCCAGCGCCGGGGCGGATCTCTCCCCAAGTTCGTTCTCGGTGTCGGCATCTTCCGCACACTCACTTGCGGCGGCTGGGCATATGTCACATCCACCGACGACCATGATTGGCACGACATATTCATGATATCGTACTTGGTGGCAACCTTGCCGTGGACACTTGGTTGTCTGGCTCTCAGCCCCCCCAATCCGAAGGCGATCAAGTATAGGAAGGCTTTTGCAACTGCCTTCTTTAGCACCCTAGTGCCGCTGATTTATTTTTTCATTCAGCACAAAGTGCACAAAGTTCCGGGGGGTGCGTTTTCCGTTATGTTTTGTTGATAAGCAACAAATTAGCTAATATTTGGATGTAGCATATACGATTTACGCTTTCTTCGAGTGGTCCCTCGTCCTCCTCGATGTAGCCTTCGACGCATGTACCGTTTTCGACTTTGAGAGCTTCGATATCGTAATCAAAGACGTTAAGGGCATTACACGCGGGTACGTTCCATGGCTGCCCAAGTAGCTAGTCGCAGACATAGCAAGATATCAATAATGAAAGTTAAAGAAACTTGTTCTGAAATTTCTTGCCTATAGGAAAAATATCTCCGAACGTGTTCATGAAAAGGAGTAAGCTTTTGCCCGTCTATTTCCCTTTCGTCGATGTTATGAAGAGTGTCTGATGAATTTGTGTTACAGGAAGAACCGAGATATTGCCGATGTCTTTGCGCCTGGATTTTCATGGCCAGCGGCTATTGACGCGGCAGCGGACGTGTACAATGGCGTACGTACTTACTTCGTGGTCTGGTAAAATTGATGCACTGATGGTAGATAGTTCGTGTTCTGGACTGTCCTGACGTCCCTAGGTGTCTGTGTGTGGTGTAAGCTTTCGCCCTTCAAAGTATGATGCATCAAGCCACAACTAACGCCTCTGCAGACTTTCCTCTTTGGCACATGGGCATATCCGGCTGGGAGGTCATGGTCATGTCCACCATAACACCATTTCTCCTCTCTGTTCCCGCGATTCGTTCTTTTGTTATCTCCAACAACATGATATTCCACCTCTTGTCTACAGTTGGTCTCTTCGCTTACCTCATTACTACCCCAGAGTATCGCCTGTTATCAGTTGGTTTTGGTGTCAGCATGGGATGTCTAGCATGGGCCGCTCTCTTCTACGCCGAACGCTCTCAACCTCACCGTTTGGAGGCCAGAGTGTCTGCTTTCACTCTTGGCCTACTTCTTAGCAGTATCGCTAAGTATGCGTGCTACAGTAACAATCCGGTTTGGCCAATCATGCATGGACCTAACGGTGGGTGGAACAAGACAGGTATTACCTTGGCTATACTGGCAATCTTAAGAAGTACAAGAAATGTCCCCTCCCATGCTCCCAATCACACCGTACCTGCCAAAGGCTCAAGCACGCTCGCTGCACTAGGACTAGCAGGCATGTTCTTTTCGATGCATTCTCTGCTTTCAGATTCGAGCACAATGGTGCTATGGGTGTGGGAAGGTTGGCCAGCTCGTGGTCCCATCGCCGTGCCTCATGGATCATACACACATGTCTACATGGGCCTTGGCCTCCTCATTGGTCTTTTTTACCCGTCATTCGCACGGAGCTGGACATTCTATGGAATTGGAGCAATTGGGGCTGCACTTTTGACCACCTTCAGCCATTGGACGGGATTTTACGGCGGTCTAGCGCTTGCGATATACACCACCGCTGCAGCGCCTGTCCTTATCTCATCTGCAGTCAAACACTCGCCAGCAAAAACTTTCGGTATTGGATTCCTTATCTACAACATCCTTGTTCTGGCTCACGTCTGGGTTGTGGCTTATGCATTCGTGCCCGGTGGTCCGTTGATGCGTGAGCACACCGACTGGGTTATGACTGCGATGATGCTCTTCATGGCCGCCGGCGTATTCTCGGCGCAAGCTTCTGAAGCATCTTCGCCTTCGCTGGCTAAGAACAAATCGAAGGCACCAGGTCCTGCTGCTCGTAAGTTACGCAGCTATTACATTTACGCTATCCTTGTGCTTGAGCTACTCTCCGCTTCAATTGCCTTCCTGCGCTTCCCAACGTACGACTACAAGCCATACCACCCGGAGACGAAGTCCATCACCGCCGGTATATGGACCATACACTTCAGTCTGGACAATGACATGTGGTCGTCCGAGCGCCGCATGCGCGACCTCATCAAGGAGTTAGAGATTGATGTCATTGGGCTCCTTGAATCCGATCTGCAGCGCATCATCATGGGCAACAGAGATACTACACAATTCCTTGCTGAAGATCTAGGCATGTATGTTGACTACGGCCCTGGCCCAAACAAGCATACCTGGGGATCAGCGCTGCTTAGCAAATTCCCCATCCTTAACTCGACGCATCACCTTCTACCATCGCCTGTTGGTGAACTTGCACCTGCTATTCATGCCACGCTGGACTGCTATGGTGAACTGGTTGATGTGTTTGTTTTCCATTCTGGGCAAGAAGAGGATCCTGAGGATAGACGTTTGCAGACAGAGTACCTTTCCAAACTGATGGGTAGTGTTACGACGCGCCCAGCCATTCTACTCAGCTACCTAGTCACCAAACCCCATGAGGGCAATTACAATACCTACGTTGGTCCTGCTGTGAGTGGCATGCGGGACATCGACCCGAGCGATTGGGATCGGTGGTGCGAATATATCCTGTATAAAGGCATGCGGAGGACGGGATATGCTCGCGTGAGTCGCAGCACAATCACGGACACTGAGCTGCAAGTTGGCAGATTTGTGGTCGGAGAACCTGAGGGCACTGACGAACTTATTCCCGAAAGTCAAGTGCCTGAGGGGCTGAGGTTCCCGGCCATGTTCAGGGGACAAGGTGTGAGGGACCATAGGTATCATGTGTTTGATGAGCCAAGGTACGTTCTTGCTTTAGCTACCGCTGTCTGTTTATGGCAATTGGGGTTTTGCTAACAAAAAGCTTTCGCAGATACTTTGCCTAGTTTACGGCTATCTGGCTGCCACGAGCTTGCCGTCCTCGTCTTATACTGCATGACGGCTCAAGATGTAAGAATATCCGTACAACTTTCCGCAGTATATAGTCAAAATGAAATCTCCTTGCGCATTCGCACTTACAAACCTCCATTGGCAGACTTAATGCTACTTGTGGATTGAGTCGTTGCGCATATTGCTCTTGAATGAAATATTAGTCAAGTAGTCTTGAATATACAGCTTCTCATCTTTTTTCATCCCTTTTGAACATTTACCTGTCACCCCGTCTCAGGCGTACGCACTGAATTAAGCTGCTCTTTCCATGATCTGCAACACCAAAGCTACTTCTTCCAGTGCTCCTTCTTCCACCACAAGACCAAGCAGAGTAGATGCAACGCGGAGGCTGGCTGACGCCGTCAACGTGCTTAGAGTAGTCAAGAATCCAACAGCAAAATCTCAGTGTAAAACCCGAAGAAAATTATAGAACTAGTCTACATTTCATCCAAGCGCGTCCTTCGCTGTGTTCATTTGCGCACTTTAGCAGGCTCGCTGTGTAAATTGTAGGTAAAGTAGCCTCCAAGCGGCTGAGTTCGTGTCGCTCGATCTGAAACGGATGGTGATTACGAAGCCGGCTTTTTCTGGATATGACCATTTTCGTGGACCACAGTGAGCCGATACGAATTGGAGACTTGTACTATTAGCTAGAAATGCATCGCCAATTCTTCGTGCAACAACACTAGGTAGTCTTTTGCAAACATATCACGGCGCTGAATTTGAGTTTTGTTTGTAGTCATTCTAACTATGAGCCCATTTTTCTTTTTCTTTTTTTTTAAAAAAAAAATATAACCAAACCAACCTATTTCTAGATTAAGAAATCCTTAGGTTACCATTGAACGTTGGTCCCAACTCCAAACCTTTGTGGCTACACTATGACACTTGATATGATAAGTACGCCTAGAAAGCAGGGAATCATTTCGAGGAGAAAATTCTCCAAGTCGTTCTATCGGCTAAAGATATGCGAACACAGGAATGTATGCTGATCTAGCGGGGTGGAGCGGGGTACTATGCGTAATCATACTTGTCTCACTCTCATATCTTTTGGTCGATATCTCCTAGACAACGTGTATCTCCTGTTCTGATACCGAGCAGTCGATAACCAGTCTAGGATCTTGCTAAGTATTTCGAGTCTTGACACCATTCACCACTGGACTCATGTCGGACTGATTTGCCTCAAAAGATTTGGGAACAGTGGTCAAAAATGTCCAACGCTTACAATCCGGACGGATCGAAATTTGGAAATCTGAGGGGCAAAGTTGTTGTTCTTACCGGTAAGCGCTTCGATATGGATCTTCAGTTGTGGGCGAGTGCATGTGGCGGGAATCATACCACAGGCTAGCAGCAACTATGGAGCCCGTGCATAATCCTATTCACAGTATCCGCGCTGAGAAAATGGCCCAGGTGGAGCGAATGGCATCGGAGCATGCACAGTCAGAGACCTCGTTTCCAACGGTGCGAAGGTCGTCTTTGGCGACTACGACGCCAAAGCCGGCGAAGCCTTGACATCGTCTCTCGGATCTGATGTCACTTTCCTAAAAATGAACGTCGCGGAGTATTCCGACAACGTGAATCTCTTTAAGCTCGCGCGAGAGAAGCATGGCCGCGTCGATCACGCCGTCGCTGTAGCTGGGATTGGTGAACGTGGTGACTGGTTCAAGTCCAGCCTCACTACCGAGGACGTGGAGAAGCCCGAGCAAATTGGAACCGTCGAGGTCAACCTGATAGCTGTTTTATATTTCATTCGCGTAGCACTGCCATACCTGCGATTAGAGCGGAAGGAGGGCGAAGATAAGAGCGTGGTGATTGTGGGAAGTGCTGCGGGATTTCGCGAGTCGCCTGGTCTGCCCATCTACAACGCAACCAAGCACGGTGTCCAAGGAGTCATGCGCTCCCTGCGCAAGAGTCTATGGGAAAGCGAGAGGATCCGTATCAATGTGCTTAATCCTGGAGTAACAGACACGAACATGGCGAACGTCGTTGCGAATGCATTCAGGAAAGCCGGGCTGCAAGACGCGGTGAACATGCCTGAAGATCTGGCCGTTACGATCCTTGGATTCCTGACGGAGGCGGATATGTGGGGAAAGTCTGTGTATGTAGAAGGAGGCAAGGGGTGGGAATGGGAACAGGGATATTGGGATTCAATGCCGAGCTGGCTTGGAGAAGCACCAACACAGAGACTGCGAGACGGACTGAAGCTGGTGGCTTCGGTAAGTACACACTGCATTCTGCCAGCGTATCTGGACCTTGATTGTGCTGATCCGACTGGAAAGGGCAAAATCTGGGACTTTCACTATGCACAACAAGCTCCAAAATAGCGGACGTGCAAAATGATGCTCAAAAGAGTGGCTTTTCTTCCTATTCTACCTTTTCTCTCATTCTCCTGTTTGGTCCGCTTCAGTCGGTCTTCCAGTTCTTCTTGACATATTCGCCCCACGTCATCGGTGGCTTTAGCCCAGCCCTTTTGACTAGATCAATGCTTTTTTCAACGCCATCAGCCGGTTCGCCGACGTAGTAGTCGAAGTCGACAACAAGCTTGAAGTTACCTGTGAGTTCCTCTGCTGCTGCTGGTGGGAGTGCTGCCTTGAACTGATCCCAGCTGATTTGCATGAACTCTGCACTCAAGCCTGTGGCGTCATTGAAGTCCTTGACCATCTGCTCCGGAGTAATGTACGGTGCTGAGCCGAGAACACGCTTGTTCAATGTCTCATCTCCCAATAGTAATATTGCAGCGACAAAAGTGCCAGTGTCTTCTCCGGGATTATACAGCGGCACCTTGGTGTCTCGGTTGAATGGTGTAGTGAAATAGTACTTGTCGTCAGGGAGCTTGCGGAAGTTGGACAAGCCAACCGACATGAACATTGCCGGCATGAAGAAAGTTGCAGGTTGTTGGATGTCGCGAATGTACTGTTCGACTTGGGCCTTGGAATCAAAATGCTCGACTGCAGTGATGGCGCCCTTGGTCTCCTTGGTCACGTTTGGAAGTGACGACCAAATCAGACGCTCGACGCCCGCGGCCTTGGATGCGTCGGCAATTGCCTTGCCTTGCCTTATCTCCAGTTGCATGTCCATTGCCTCCCAGTCTGCAATTCGATTTTTTTGTCAGCCCCGGCAAGCTACATGTTTGAAGGAAAGGGAAAGGGAATCTCACAGTTCGTTACACCAAAGACGACGCCGCTCCCAGCGATAGCCTTCTTAAGCGATTCGGCATCGTTCATATCCGCCGCCACAACCTCACAACCCCGAGCCTTGAGAGCTTGCGCCTTGGGCTTGCTTGGATCGCGGGTAATTGCTCGAACTTTGTACGTCTTTGACAGTTCGGGGTGAGAAAGGACATGGTGGACGACAGAGCCACCTTGGTTGCCAGTGGCGCCGAAAACTGTTAAGATCTTGGACATGTTTTTGAGTGAAGATGGTAGACTCGATCGTAGAGCCAGGGCGATTTTGGCGAGGCTTTATCAAAAAGCTGTTTAGATTTTGAGCTTCAGTTGATCTTGTTGATGTACCAAGTTCCGTTTCCTGCTCTGCCTTCAGGCCAGTATATTGCTTGATGAATATATAGCCACCAGCTCGGCCGGCCAGGAGTCAGCTCCTCCGAAATGTTGATAAGCTACTCGCACTCTCGCATCGAGGCGTCGCCTAATACACGATGCGTAAGCATATGCTGGGCGGAGATTCGCCTGCTCAGCCCAATTGTGGTTTCGCGGGCGGACCGACCAGGCTCGAGCAACGTCCGCCGCCAAGCCTGGCGTTGCAAGGATCACGCACTTTACGTCATCACGCTCGCTCCTTCAAGTCGAATCTCGGCGCGAAGAGTCGCCCTCGAGTACGGAGACTACAGAGGAGATTAGTCATGATGTGTGTTTGCATCTTCATTCGCATGCACAAGTCGTTCAGACTGCCCTGGAGTACCTTCGTCCGTTTACTCGGCAGAGGATCGTAGTTTCAGAACTCGTCCTGTAGCTACACGCAGACCTACCAGACTCGTTCATCAGACACGATTACAAACTACACCAGACTACGGCTGCAGGAAGGCAGCAAAGCAGGCTATGGGGAAGCGTTTGATCCTAATGGAATTTTTAAAAGAATCTTGCACCAGCATTTTCGTCAACAGTCGCAGTCTTTGAGAGTGTCAACGTCGAGTACGGTCGATGGCACCGGCCGAAGCCTGGAGTAGGGACTGCTTTGATTGGACAGCTCGAGCTCGCCAGTGTCTCTCTGCTGCGGTAGTCAGCGTCTCTTCACGCTAGACCTAGACGCCACCAACTTTGGTCCACGTCTCAGAAAGTACAGAAACTCCACCTCAGAGATATGCCGCTAGGCTTTGAGCGTCTTAATGAACGGGTCAGTCGTCCAAACAAGCTCATCAATTTTCTACGGCCTCTTCCCGGTAGCACGGCGCCCACCGCGCAGGAGTTTCTGGAGCGCATCGCCGCGCAATGCTACCCTGTCATGAAAGCAAATGGCATCGCCGTCATGACGCTCGAAGAATATCCTTGGAACACGGAGTTTATAGGCCGTAATTTCAATGCCGGCGAAGTCATCCAGCTCGTTCTGCGCAGCAAGAGCGGCGCCTGGCTGCCTTTCAGGCACGTGCAGCTGACGATGATGCACGAGTTGGCACACTGCAAAGAAATGAACCATAGTCGCGCCTTTTGGAGGGTGAGGAATCAGTATGCAAACGAGATGAGGGAACTCTGGGCGAAGAATTATTCTGGGGAAGGCTTGTGGGGACGAGGCCAGAGCTTGGAGAGTGGAAGGTTTATGAGCGCGCCGATGCCAGATCAGAGCGAGATGCCGGAGCATATGTGCGGCGGTACTTACAGACGGAGAGGTAGGAAGAGGAAACGGACGGGTGATTCTGAAGGCCCCAGAAACGGAAACCCGCAGCTGAGTTACGCGGAGCGTAAGCAGAGGCGTATCCACAAGAAGTTCGAGGAACCAGCCGGCAAGGGCGTAACCCTTGGGGACGACGAGAGTGTGCGGGTCAAGCTTGAGAGCGGAAAGAAAGCCAAAGGCAAGCCTCGTGTTGCCGGCAGCAACCGTGGACGAGAACTGCGAGCCGCGGCGGCGCTGGCACGGCTTGAACAGGCGAAGAAGGAGAGCGAGACCAAGAGCGACGACACGGAGAGTGACACGGAAGACGAGTTCGACTGGCCTCCCTCGGACGACGAATCAGCCGTCGAGCGCGACGGCAAGGCCTTCGTGCGCACGTGCGAGGCCGAAGATGAGCACGACGACAACGTCAAGCGTGAGTTGGAGGAGCTGTACGAGCTCGGCCTGATCCCAGAAGCACCCTGCACCGCTGCCAGCTCGCAGCCTCGTCCGGCGACGCCGAAGCGACAGGACATCCCGCATGGTGCACCCAACCACCCACACCCTCAACCCACGGCTGCATCCAAACGGCCAGTTGCCCAGCGCGGCTCCGGCCCAGGGACAGCCACCGGCAACGCGTCTGACCCGGACAAAGGCTCGACCATTTGCCCCGCCTGCTCGCTTGCGAACGAAGCGTCGGCGATGGTATGCGCCGCGTGCTCCAACGTGCTCAGACCTGAGCGCATGCCGAACCACTGGCGCTGCCAGAGCGACACCTGCCGCGGCGGCGTGTACATCAACGTCGGCGACTACGGCCGATGCCAAGTATGCGATACTCCAAAGCCCGTGTGAAACCACGCAGAGGACGCAGAGGCTCCTTTCTGTGCTCACATGCATATGCAGTCACGTACAGCAGAGACCCAATTTTTGTTTCAGCTGTCACGCCTATAGGTAAAAAAAAGAGCGAGTTGGCCTAAGACATGTGATGGAAGGGAAAAAAAATAAAAATAAAAATAAAGGAGGTATGGGGGCGCCTGTGTCAAGTTTATCTGTGTATGGCGCTATCTAACATTCCCAGAAACGAGAAGCGGAAGGAGTGAATCGAGTACCATCTCATCAAAGCTGACGGGCAAAGAACCTATGCCATCTTCTGTACAGACCGTGGCAGTCCCAACCACCCAAAGTACCTGCCCTGAAGATTCTAACGCGCCTAAAGGAGCGACAGCAGGCGCCAGAACGCCCATCCAAATGCGTTTCTCTAGAAGGAAAAAAAAAAAGCTGAGCAGATATACCCTATCTAAAGCGCGCACGACGTCGGGGTCTTCGTTCACGCGTCGTCTCTTGTATAATGCCTTGCCATACCTCTCATGCAAAACCGGAAATGAAGGAGACATAATCAAAAGGCGCCGTATTCCTTGTTCTCTTCCAACGTGTAGTCCAGAGCTTGTAATCTCCTCAGCGCTTCCTTGCCGTCCTCCGTGAGGTCGGGCTTGCCCACGGGCGTAACAGCACCAGTAAAGAATCGCGGCTATCGGCTGTGATCAGCTTCTGCCCAACGTCAAAGAACCTGCAAAAAATTAAAAAAAAAAAAAATTCGTACCTGCCACTCCTGGCCTTTCTCCTTCCGCTCCTTAGCCTTCTGTCTCTGTTTCTCCTCCAGCTCCTGCTTCAACGTCGTTGCGAGGCCATACTGCTTGTTCAAAATCGCTCTCGTAACGCCCTCCCAGAAGCGCTTGCTCTCGTTCTTGCACTGCTGTTCGATCGGTGGGATCGTCTTCGGCACTGGGCTCAGCGGGTTCAGATCGATCAACAGGATCTTCTCCGCAGCCTTTGAGAACGGCTCCTTGCCCAGCGTGTAGTAGACCTTGTCCGTCCACGAGCCCTCGATGCGACCTATGACATCCGCTTCTGGCACATCCTTCACCTTGGTTTTCGTATCGGCGTTGGGATCGTAGGTAAAGATGACGCCGTGCACCTTGTTTTGTGCGCTGCCGATCCACGAATCGCCCAGGTACTCGAGGATGACTTTTATGCGGGTCTTAGGACAGGTGATGTAGCAGTGGTCAGCGACGGAGATGCTCAGAGAACCTGCATCGGACATGTGTCAGCGGTCTTGAGTGATTCGAGCAAAGTGGATTTGGTTACCTCTCAACAGTCCGCCCACGTATGCTGCCGGATGCGTGAGCTGATACTCCTCGTTGTCCCACTTCTGCAGCGTGATGAAAATACCCAGGTTATGCGAACCAGCCGTGACTCTGATGTTCGTGCCGGTGAACTTCGCGGCAATGTGATCGTAACCCCGGGCATAGATGCCCTTGTCTGGGCAGTCAATCCAGAATGCTGACACGGGAGGGTGATGCGACGTCTGTTCCGTAAGGTAGGCGAGCTTGATCTTATTCCCCGACGCGGCGGTGCTCGACTTGTTCGATGTCACGCTAGCGGCGCTCGACGCTGGTGCTGAGTTTGGGTGTTTCATCTCGGGTAACGTGTCATCAATTTCCCATGTACACTGCGGGAGGAGGCGTCAGTATCATTGTTCGTCGTACGTATGTCCATGGAGATGCGGGCTGCTCTACCCTGAAGAACTCCCCCAGCGTAGAGTTGTACGGCTTCACGGGCTTGCCTTTGACGTATTTCTGCAGCTATGTTAGACTTCATGAAACTTCACAACTCAATTCCCATGCGTACCAGATCTTTGGTGAACCAGAATCGCAAAGTTCCAAGCATCCGTCCAACCGGATCGGTTGAGTCACCGATACTGCGTCTCGTCAGTTTCTTCGTCATCATCATCTTCTCCCCCAGTGCAGATCATACCTAATGAACGTCTCTGGTCGATCCAGGTAGCCCCAGTACTCTGCATCCTTCATTAGCCTTGACAAGTCCCACCTCACTCTATCGGAGACACAAACCGAGATTTGGGGTCGGTTCCAGCAGCTGAGCAGGCAGCGAGAAGCGTACCGCAGCTAGATCGCTAACGCCCAAGAACCTATCGTTGTACCGTCATGAGCATGATCTACCCCAACCGAATTCGCAAGTATAAAGCCCATTGTGACGTACTTCCGCAAGATGCCCAGGAAGGTCTTCAGCTTGGAGCCTTCGTCTGGGGCCTTCTCAACAGGCGCATTCGCATGGTTTTCCGGCGTATCGCTCGCGGCTGGTTTGCCACCGCCAGGCGTCTTCGACGCCATAGCTATGTGCTGTGTTCGGAGTCTGCAGCAGTGGTGTCGGTGGAGAATGGGAGAATGGGTGCGTTGGGGCGCTAACTCAAGTCTTTCCTCCGCGCTCGCTCGCTCGCCCGGTACGCAGCAGGTCGTGAATTGGAGGTCGGAGGCAGCTCTGGATCTGAGCGAACCCTGTTTCGAATCTGACTCGTCCCGCGGCAGATGGCAAAACAAAAGCTGGGTTGCGTCAATTTGGTCGGGGAATGTTATATATGTGGCAGTGTATGCGGGGCATACCCGAAGGGCAGGTGGCGAGCTTGTCTAGCAGCAAGGAGTCCGTCAAGCGGCTGTGGAAACTAGTTTCCTGAGGACGATCCCGGGAAAGGAAAACGAAGAGATCCTGAAGTCGAAGTATCTTGTGGCTCGCGGTCTTCTGTCCAGTTGATTGGGAGCTGTTGGCCAACGTCACGGCCGGCCGGGGTGTGCAGTGACACTGCAGTTCGCCCTCTCTTTGGCGTGAAACCTAAACCAGCCCAGCCTTATCGAGACCGCGGAACAACTTTTCGAAGGCCCAACAACGAAGAAAGCAGAATCAAGACGAGAAGCACACGACAATGGGCGAGGGGGACGTATTCGAAGCAGTAATTATGCACATGAGCAAACCGTGAAGTCGCCGGCCCCCTCCGCTATCAAGACTGGCGAAAGCGAGCCGGGTGAGGTCCTCGTCACGGCTCAAACAACACGTTTCAGCCAATCATCGCGCCACACTCTCAGCCCGCTGCCTCTCATATGCTAAACACCACATTCCTGCGACTACGATCGCAGACCAACATTTGATGTGACGTGAAAAGACTATGGGCCGATTCAGCTGAGATGAACGCCGCCAAATTTCATCCTGTGTTGGGTGATGCGTGCGGCGGAGACTTCCAGGCGTGCGTTCGACTTTAAATCGTCACTATCTTTCAGTCGAAGACGCGCCATTCCCCTACATTTACACAATCATCTGGCCGGCCATCACATATAATGTCGACGGCGTACTCCTCCTCTAAATCCGTGTTCCCGCTAAGCCGCTCCACAAAAAGCCACATGTCTGAAAACTCTCCTGTCCGCTGGGTTTTTGGCCATGTATTCATGTCAGGCAGCCGGACTGCCGAAGTGCGTCCATCGCTGAACTCGCCGTTGCCACTAACACACAGGATTCTCCCGTTCGGTCCGGGACGCATAACTATTGATAGCCGTAGGGGCGTGGAAGTGTAGCCGGAAATGGACGCCGACATTGTCATCAGGCGTAAAGGGGAGATGGGTGCCCCAATCTTGGTTACACCAGCCCTCATGACGGCGCCGGGCAGACGCTTTGAAATCCTTCCCGCATGTTGAAACGGCAGCTGTTCTAGCCCGGGTTTCTCAGAGGCGTCAACGCGAAGAGTAAAGGCTGCGCGCTGGTTCTGATCGAATGTAGAGCAAACAATGGTATATGTTCCAGCATCAACATCCAACGCCTCCGCAAATGCGCTGCCCCTTCGATAGTCGCCAGAGTCTGTGATGAGATCGCGTTTGTTCAATTCAAGGATACGCTTTCCACCATGCACCAGCTTCAAGTTGACACTCACGTCATTGTCAAATGTCTCCAGGAGCAGCCTTATATCCGATCTTTTCGACAGTTGCAGCTTGAACATAGGGTTGCTAAAGTAAGAAACCGTACCGCTACGCCCTCCTGCACATGATGACGTCCATCCAGCCGCTACCGCGGCCGAGTATGGATAACGCCGATTCGTGGCAGGTGCCAGCTCCACAGGCATCTCACCAAACACCGTGAGCGAAAAGTTTTGTTTGATGGCGGGCAAATTTTGCTCGGAGACCACCACCGTGAATGTTCTCTCCGCCGCCCGTGAGCTGAGTCGAACAAGAGTTTGCGGTGCATCAACATACTGTCCCCGCTCCAGAGGCGTCGAGCTTACATACACCTTTTCTCCGCCTCGGTCATACACGTAAATGTTGATATGGCCAGTCATGGAGCCGGAGGCATTGACACTTACATTTTCGTCCTCGCCAGCAGACGTGCTTGTGGCATCCTGAAAGTGCCTGCAGAGCAAGAACCACACGTCTCCCCGTCCTCTTGTTTTCACAGCGAATTGCGGATTGTTCGCGAAACTGCCCCCAGCGCTGCGACCGGTGCGCAAGTCCCACGAAAAATGTATGTCTTCTCTGTAGGAGAAATGGCACGGGTTCCAGTTGCAGTATATGGACTCGAAATGCTGCTGAACGTAGTTCCATGGTATCCAGAACGTTCCCGGCGGTAGCAACTGCGGAGAAAGCGACGGGATATTCTCTAGACCAGTGATACTGCCGGCCCAGGACCGCCCTTCTCTCCATGGATTCTTCAACAAAACAAGCTGATTCTCGCCGTCGTCGAACAGATCCAAGACTGCGTAATCGTGTTCCGAAGCCAGACCATCTTCCCTCTCTACCTTGGCCGATATCTGGCCCGTCCCCATGGTGATGAGCACATCTCCTTTCCGCCAGCCATCAACCATGCGACTCCACGCAAGAGTCAAGTCCGTGTCAGGATCCTGGAGAATCATCTGCTCAGGTATCCAACCACACAGCATCCACAGGTCTGTGGCAGAATTGCTCCCAGGAAAGTCGTAGCCGCCGCGGACTTTCAGATACGCCTTCTCCAGCATGGCAGGCCAAAGCAGTGACGGGTTTTTGAGGTCAACGACGTGCAAGACGCGTTTCGTCTTGGAGACAGGGAGTCTGTCGTCGATCACGACACGTCGATAGCAGCCGTTGAAGTTGAGCTTGACGATATATTTTCCATTCGGTGATACGACAGGTTTGCGTTCCTCGCGATTGTTGGGGAAGATAACGTCAGCCAGAAGTCTTTGGTGGCCCTTCTTTGCGCGCGCGGCGCCTGCACACAAACTGGCGACCACCGAGCAATCCGTTGTGGCGTCTTGCACCAGGTCCACGGGAACGAAGGCGTCAGCATCCGTCGTCGACCGAAGGGGCAACCCGTCTTCTGAGCTCCAATTCGGCGGAGGCATAGCCTCTGAAGCGGGCTTCCAGCCATCGAAGTGCTTCAACTGCTCTCTCGATAGTCGCAAATCGGCATCGTCCCTGGGTTCCTTAGAGCACAGTCTATTTTGCAGGGGCGTACACGATTGAGAACTTACACAAATCTCTCTTGTCCTTGGTCCAGGTCAAAATCGCGAGAGGTAGGCGTGGAGCCCCAAGGCGAGAACTTGAACCCGTTCAGCTTCGACCCTCGCATGAGCAGAACCTTCTCTGCGGTGGTGAGCTCCCTCGTCGGCCGCGGCTCGCCGGGCCGCCCGACAAACGCAGCCATCAGATCGTTTACGGCAGACCGGCCGGCGGAAGATGGCTCAACAGCAGCCTTCTTGGCGGAGTCTTGTGGTGATAGTCTCATAGTGAGCCGCGCTGCCTGAGCACTCTTCGCTCTCTTGAGCGTCTCGGCTTCCTCGAGCATACCCTGAGCCTTGGACCTCAGTTCTGCTTGCTCGGCAGATTTTGACGGAGCAAGCTTCATGGCACGCATGGCTACTTCGGTCGCCTCGATCGTGAGTTTGAGCTTTTGCTCAGCGCTCGAGGTCGCTCGGATCTGGGCCTCGAGCCTCTGGTGGCACGGCAGGTTAGAATGCAATGTCTGCGTTTTTTTTTTCTTTGCCGCCGTACGAACCGTGATCTCAACCCTAAGGGCATCAAGATCCCTCGCCCTTTCCATCCTGACTGTTGCGCGATCAACTGCTTTGCCTAAACGTGGTTGGAGCAGACGCGGGTGAGCTCGGGTACGGCTTGGTGCGGCCAGTCTGCCAGCGCACCGGACAAGACGCTCTCAACAACACGCATGAGCTGTTTTCAAAGACCGTATTTCCACTCCAATCCCATTTTGAGGGACACAAATTGGGCTTGATACACTAGGCGCTTTGAGTTAATGGCTGAAGATAGACACCACTTCCGCTTAAGGTAGGTGGGCTATCAGGGGTTTGTTCACGCTAAACACCGAGAGCTCAGCAAAAGAGGCCCACAAAAAGACGACAAATGAATCGTGAAGACACACACGACGCAGCAAAGAAGGACGAAACAGCAGCAGCAATGGGAGCAGCGAAACCACGAGACGAAGAAAGAAAGCAGAAAAGGAAATTAAAAAAAATTGAGAGAAGCAGGATGCCCCGCATTACGAGCACGGCGGGCGTTCGAAGATAAGAAATTTACATCACGTCATTGCGAACAGCTGAGCATTGGCTTTTTTTTTTTTGGCTCCTGCAGAGCGTCACAAACTCTCTTTTCCGTCCGCCCTCGCGACGCCGGTGAAGTTGCCAGCTGGAGTCTTGCTGACCTCGCGCTCCAAGGAGCAGAAGGCCCTGTTGCGCCCCCAAAACTTTGTCTGGGCGAGCGCGCTCAAGAATCAGAAGCAGCGCAGCCCCTCGGCCGGCCCCTCTTCTTCTTCTCTACTGTCCATGACAAACGGAAAACACGGTTGTCTCTTCTGCCGCACTGGTTCTTTGTTGCTCGTGCTTTGAACGTCTCCTGCCTTGGCCTGTCGCATCTCTCGAAACATCCTTTTTCGCTTTCCCTCTCTTTTGCTTTATTTTTTTTTTTTTCGGAGAACAATGGAAAAACGCAAAATAGAATACGAAGAACATCGGGCAAGGGAGAGGGAAAAAGGGGGGGAGGGGGTCAACGCCAGTAAATCCTTTTCAGCGGGTCTCAGCTCCACACGCCGAACACAGTCTGGAGATCCATGGCTGGCCTACCGAACTTCCTACAATGTCTATTTTTTCCTTTCTCTCTCTCTTTTTGTTATTCCCGTTTTCTTCCTCGTGGATCCTCTCCCTTCCTTTCCTGACGGTCTCGACCAACGTGGTACGCCTGTAGCCATCAACAGATCTGTGCTGTGTTTTTCCATCGTACCGCCTGCGTGCAACGCGAGGGAGGCTTTTTTTTGTGTGTAACTAGACGAGAGGGTGACCACGGTTTCCTTTTCACCTGGCGGGACGCCCCTTGCTTTTTTCGATCCCGCTGCATCTCCACGCGTTGGCCAAGTCGCCTGCCATTGTTCAACGACCCGCCTACGGCTGCATGTGTCAGAAAGTCACGCTGCGTCAACTTGTAGCTACCGCGCAAGGTGAATTAAAAAAAAAAAAAAGGAAGAGCATGTCTGCGTACGTCTCCACTGTTGAACGCCCTCAGTATTGAAAGATGCCTCTTTCATGAAAAAATAGGGGAACCCAAGCTCTCGACCCATTGCAAATAGGAACAGTAGTTGCAGTAGCTAATGCTGGCTTATGCAAAGTACACACGTCTTCTCAAGCGCCTTACGTCTGCACCCGTCCTGCTCTAGTATGTGGCGATGAACAAAAAAACAGGCTCCCATCTCATAGCCAAATCGACCACCATTCGATCAAAATCAAAGCCTGTTCCATAACAATTCTACAGTTACACATTTCGCCCTGCACGTGGCAATATCTAAACGTTGTCTTCACCTAGGACTTCCTCAGATTCCTTGCTCCGTCCAGAATAAGCTTTTTTTAATTATCGAATGGCAGTTGATGTCCAGTCAGCCGTAGGCTGTTCGGCAGCAGGCAGGACCCCTTGAGATTCTCGTATCCTTCTCAAAATAGAACAACAAAAATTTCAAAAGGCAGTTCGACACCGTGTTCGTGAGCCCGACCCATTGTATGTGGTTAAGTTCAATAACACCTAACCTTACTTGTACCTCAAAACCCAGAAACCTCCCTAGAAAAAACTCCGAGTCCCACCGTGAAAACAGATCCAACGTGGTGAATGTGTAAAGAAAAGAGAAAGTTGACCATGAACTTGGTATCCTGGTGTGAGGATATGTGAGTGTCTCAAGTGTTTGAGAGCAGTACCGAAAAGAAGGACTTCTATAGGTTTGAAATGAGCGAAACGTCGGACAGGTTCGTGAGCTCGGTTTAGTCTTCGTTGAAACGGGAGGAAGGACGTGGTAGAATCCCAGCGGAGCACGATCACGATTGGGGAGGCTCCCCTGGTGGCAGGAATGTTGACGGTGTAACTTGGGACGCCAAGAAGTGCAGAATTGATAAGGATTTGTGTAATATGGCTTGGTATCGGAGAACATGAACGCTCAAAGGCATCAAAAGAGAGTTATGGCCATCCCAAGATATGTCGTCGCCAGATCCAACACCACTCCCTCTTAGAAATCGTCGGGATTCCTGACCTACAGTCATGTTAGCCAAACAAAGCCCGTGTACAAGAACGCATCTCCAGCTGTCCGAGTACCGAAACCGGAAGCAGGAGGCGGTTGAAGGGGCGATGGGGTTTGTCTTACCCTCAAAATCTTTCTTGAGTAGTCCTGGTTGTCGGCAATAGTGCCCGTGCTCTCTCTGCGGTGCAGAAGTTCAGGATCGAGCCGCGAGTCGTTTAGTGACGGTGTGCTTGTGTGCCCTTTGCCTCCATTGACAAATGCGTTTACAGCAGCCTGACGCTTGTATTCCTCCTCCGCATCTCGTCTTCGTTTATATCTCATAAAGAAAAAGACGCCTGCTACTACACCAATGATGGCAACGACGCCAACAACAACGCCGACGGCGACGCCGACCTTGCTCGTTCCGGAGTTCTTCTGGGCTTGCGCGGATGCTGTCACAACCACAGTGGCAGGACCTTTGGCCGACGTGGATGTTGCCGTACTTGAGGACCCAGCTGTGCCAGTCAGCGAGGCCGGGTCTAGATGAGCAATCTTGTTCCGTGTAATGCCTGTGAGGTAGACAGTCCAGAAGTTGTCGCCACCACACATCTCAGTATCAATGCCACTGCAGGGAGTGTTGCAGCTGCTGTTGTCAACCTGGGTTGTCACGGGAGGTATTAAATCACCACACCAGCAGTTGGTGCCGTTGACGAGACCCATGACGGCTTTGTCGAGCTCGTAGCAAATGGGCTGGCAGTTGCCCTTGGACTGGAATAGGTACGGTCCGTGGTCGACCATGGGTTCTGGGGTTGAGTAGCAGCCGACGGGTGTCAGAGCGTTCATAGCTGGCGTCGTTGTTGCAGTCGGGATGAGCTGGCGGCGCTCTAGTTCAAAGTCCCATTCTGCCTTCGGACTTGGGTCTGGAGCAGCGTTGGCGCTGGCTATCCGAATTAGCAGCCATGATGCAGCCAGAGCTACTTTGCCGTATGAAGAGAACATGACGAAGTTAAGGTGTTTTGTTGATTGTAATGAACGTCGAGTCAGTATGGGTGGGCTGTTAGACCTGGAAAGGAGCGGACAGCAGCCTGCTTCAAGCGTCAGCATTGGGACGATGACCAAAAGTAGCTGCATGTGTAGGAAAACACGTACAGCTAGCCGAATCACCTTGTGGAGCACATCAATGGAGTTTACGGGTGCAGGCGGTTGTGTGCGATCCCCGTGGCCTCCCTCGAAAGTGAGAGCCTCTTGGAGCAGAGGGATGGTTGGACCAAGCGACAGGAGTACCCGTGAAGCGTTGACAAAAGGCGATGGTGCTTTGCAAAGGTAGATGACAGCGGCAGCTCAGTAACCAGCCTGGATCCGCTTACGTGTGTATGTGGGCTGGATGGGTTGACGGCAAGTGGACAAGGTGGTGAAGGTTGAATTTTGGGTTGACGACGGCCGTATCGAGAGTTTGGTGGCTCGGATGGGAGCGATTGGGGGGGAGTCTGGAGATGTGCGAAATTTGAAACGAGCTGGGCTTCCCTTGTTTCACACCGTCTCTGCCGCGGTTCGTGCAACAAAGCAAGCAAGCGACAGACTTGGGTGAGTATCGATGGTGAGCTAGAAGGACAGACGGGTCTGGCACGAGGTTGTGCAGTGGGTGAGTGTGTGGTATGGGGGTTGAAGTTTGGCGAAAGCACGAAAAGGAACGACGGGTGGAGTTGAGGGTGAGTGAGCGAGCGGGCGAGAGTGTGGATGCAGGCAGGGACGGGATGGTCAAACTGGCAGAGGACCCAAGGATGGCCGAGACACGCAAGCAGACGGACAGAGAGTTGGGAACGGGAGCGAGGGCGAGGGTTGAGTGGTGGAGGAAATCGAGCGTCAGGCGGTGCGAGAGAGCGCATCCAGGCTAGCCCAGGAACGCGAATCCACCGGGCGTGCATGATTGGCCCGCGCCTTGCGTTCTCCGCCGGACTGTGCGTGCAATGCCGAGATGAGAAAAGACAACTCTCCTGACGGTGATTTCAATGCGACCACCGGCTGCTCCGGCCTGTGATTACGCCTTTTGCTTTTGTGCTCGCGCACAGCACGACGAAAGCATGCAACCATCTGTCGACCTGATGCGAAGGCTTTGTCAGACGAGTCGAGCACTGATGTTCTGTGCGCATGCTCGAGGCAGGAGTGACTGTTCGCGCCAGAGTGTGTCTGGACGGGCGTCTATCACACGTGTAATCAGGGCAGCGCACAGCACACACGCTACATGTGCACGACGAGCAGCTGCCACCGCCGCCAACACAGCGTCCGGCCGTCTCCTCACGTCGCCGACCCACCCAGATTCCAGGGAAGGCCGGTCTGTCTTGTTCGCTCGCACACATGTACACCTCTCTTTGTCACATTTTAAAGGCGGCTCTCATATCGTTTGTCTTCCCTCCTGGGCGCCGCACAGCAAGCAGACTTGTCGTAGTCTGTGCCACGCGTGGGCAGGGCGGCTTCCCTTTTTCTCGACGCTGAGACAGGGGGCGTCCCGGCAACGTGGAGTCAATATTTGTCGGTGGAGCGCAGGACCCAAGCTGCAAACGGCAGCCGGCCTGCCCATCCCGGCCAGGCACGCGCACCTGATTGGCCGCCCGACCGGTCTCACGCTTGCTACACTGAGCTTCGGCCGCTGCTCTTTGGCCAGCCCTGGTCGTTCCAGTCCATTAGCGCAGCCCGCTTGACCTCGTCGTGCCTTTCTTGCCCTTTCCTGACTTCTGCCCAGTGGTCTTGCCCCCCTCCTGCCGTCTTGGCCAGCCTCAGCACCTGCCTCGTGTCTCGCCGTGCTTTCGTTTCCTCTCCCAGCTGCTCACGAAAGATCAGAGGCATCCTTCCCTCGATCCTTCCCTTCCTTCGTGCTATCGAGCAGCGCCGTTCCGACAAAGCTTGTGGCTTCATCTGCGCCGTGGCGGCGGTGGTGGCTTAGACTGCGCCTCGTCCGTGCTGTCGTGCTTCTGACATGGCGTAGAGACATACGTAGGTGCAGGAACTCTTGCTCTGTACAAAACACCGTAAGTATAACTGACGCCGCTCTAAACTCGGTACTTGTCCGTCCCAAAAAGAAGGCTGCCATTTACCTGGTCCTCACCATGTCGCCGTCACCGTCACCGGTATGCAGATCGCGTAGCTCGTCCAAGGTTCATGGTCCAACACAGGCACGCGACGAAAGTCGTGAGTCGCGTGAACGGTAGCGTCATCCTGTGCATCTCTCAACACCATGATTGATCATCAATTTCCCCTACCTGGTCTACAATCTAAATAGATTGTCGCTGCATTCCTTCCGTGCCTCCCTGCCACTCTCACCCGATGAGCCCCTCCCCTGGTGTGCAAACTTCGCATGCATCGTGTTCTGTTCTTGTCTCCCGTCGTCTCCTGTCTCGCCAAGCCGTCTTGTCTTTGCTGACAACCCGTTTCATATTGAGCTCCCTGCTCTTTCCGCCCGCGTACGCGCTTGCACCTGCCAGACACGCAAGGCGGCCACCGCCGCGGCGGCGACTGCAGTGTGAGTCTTAGCCGCTGTTTCCTCTCGTCCTTGTGTAACCGCATCTGCATCTGCATCTGCACCTGTACTTGTGCTTGCACTTGCATGCGTTTTCCCGTTCGCTGTTGCTTTGTCGCTGTGTTAAGTAGTGTTTCTTACACCGCGCGCTTCTGTGCATGCAGATAATACGCCAAATCATCCTCGTAGCCTGAACTAGGCACGCACCACATACGTATTATAGTAACAAAGAGAGTCTCACAACGTGATCTGCGCGTCGATGAAGCATCTCTACCACGTCGTCTGTTTTGCAACCGTGCGCTCTTGTCTTGCTCAATATGCTTACCACTCTTGCTCAGCTCAAACGAACCTGTAAAAAAGAGCTTGGTGCTGCCGAACAAACGAAAGGCCCCTGGACAAGCTGCTGTCGTTGTCTTACACTGACCACTTGGACTTTTGTTGACCAGCGAGCCTTCTGCTGCCCCTGCAGGCTCCCGCGTCAAGCAATCGTAGTACCTTAGATAGCGACCGCACTTTATCCTTCTGTCCTGAACGTCTTGGGAGCATTGATGGACGGTGTACGCTACGTTCTCATGTTTCCTATCATGCTTGGAAGGGCATCGGCTGTCGTTCATGCCATACAGCCCATCCTTGGATGAGCAATTGTCCCTTGGAAATAAGGTGGAGGTGGTGGTGTGACGCGGGAATGCAAATCGTGAAGCAAGCAGCGTTTCTTTACCAACCCCAAAGCCCAAGGCTCCTCCCAGGCGAGTGCGTAAGACGTACAAAGTTGGCACGTAATGGATCGGCCTGTCCGCCGGATTTTCCGGGAAAACTTGAAAGCGCTGTGGGCACTATATTACACGAGGAAGAGGAACTATAGCGGGCGGAACGTGTTTGCTTGCTAATGTCAGTAAGTTGGCCTAGACAGCGCGGGATGAAGTAGCAATCATTTTGCTTCAGTATGCCAGATCCAGCCATCTCGTACGCCATCGGTCACATTAACAAATTCGTCGAGCCTGACTTGCACGGTTCATTCTATCTTCAAAACCTGCGCCAATGAGACTTAACCTACTGATCCAATGCAAGGAAGTTAAGGGGATTTTATGGAATCCTTGCTTGACTCTTGATGTATCAAAGGCATATTTACTAGATCCCTACTTGCAAAAACTACGACAGAGCGGTTGATTCTGGGACTTTCTTCCAGCACCCAGCCTCAAATGATCCACGCAGCTGTTACAGCAGCCAAATCTGCTCTGCTCAACTGCAATGTGTGGATCTATTGTTCTTCACTTCCGCATGCATCATTCACACTAGCATGATGGCTTGCTGACTTTTCCTCAGCATCCCTCCCCGGAATAGACAGAACCATGAGCTCAACTTTCGTAAGTTTCTGTCGCATAAGAGCATGGAGAGTCCACGTGTGCACAGTTTATACGAAGTGCCTCCTGATGGTCACCGCAAGGCGTCTCGATTTCGTCGATTTGGGGAGTGGCTCTATTCACATTCCACGGTCGAGGAAGAGTAAAAGATTTGAACCAAAACTCTTGTGCTGCTGGCTTGGTAGTTGGATCAAATCTGACTGCAGAGACAAAACTTGTAGGGGAGCATCACATGTTGTCGATACGTGAAAACGACTTTGCCGCCTTCATAAACGCTCAAGGGCAAATAAAGCAGTCTCTTCCCCGCCAGCCTATCCGATGAGCGAATTGGAGCGTTAGATCGCTTAAGCGAGGAAAATGACATAGTCGTACACAAGAGTGTATTCATGCAATCGTCGATAGCTCCAAAAAGAGGGTCTCTACTACTTCTTCTTCTCGCACAATTCTAGCTGCTCAACTCCACCCTTCTTACAATGACCTTCCTCGCCTCGTGTACAGCCAACTTCTCGATGCCCAGCTCTGCCAAACACAGCTTCGCCACGTCGCCACTTGCCTCAAGTAGCTTCTTCTCTACTTCCCAAAGACCCAGCCGTCTGTCCACCGTGTCGTCGTCTTCGAAACCGTCGTCTTCTCCCTGACTGACGTCCGCTTCGCCCTTGCCGCTTTTGATGGGCAGCCCGACGAGCGCTGCCCCCTCGGTGACGTGCCTCAGCGCCAACTCCGGCACGGACGCGTCCACAAAAGCTTCGAAGGCGTGGTGAACGGCAGAGATGTCGGCGGCGAGCTGTGCGGCGCCCGCGGCGGAGAACGAGCGCACGAGCAGCACGCGGTCGAAGAGCACGTCGTCGACCGCGTGGGCGGCTGCACGCACCACCTTCCTGAGCGGCAGTTTGCCCAGCGCTTTGGACAGAAACGTGAAGTTGTCCTTGACGACGGTGAGCAGGGGGTCGAGCTCGGCCGTGGAAGGCAAAGGCTGCTTCTGGGCCTCGGACAGGGTGGCCCACGGGTTGATGCGGGTGTACGGCTCTAGCGCCCTGCGCACCTGGTTCTGCACGAGCTCGACGAGGATGTTCTCGCAGCGTACACGTAGGCGCTGGTAAGCGGCCGCCGTCTCGTCGAACATGGCGCCGTTGAGCGCCCCGTCCTCGGTGCCTAGCGACTGCGAAGTCACGCCTGCGACCTGGGCAAGCGTCATGTCTTGCGCCACTGTCGCGGCCGCGTGCTGTTTCGATGCGGATCCGTCAGCGCGGGCCTGCAGCTCGGTCCACATGTCGAGGAAGAAGACATCGTCGCTCCAATCACGCATGGCCTTCTCGAGGTATTCTGCGCTGCCGTAGATCTTGCACAGCGTCTCCAGCCCTTGAATGCCTTGCAAAGCGATCTGCTCTTCCTTGCTCGTGCGTCCGATACGCGTGTTGCGTATCTGGTACGCGTTCAGGTGGTCGAGCAGTTGGGCATGGTAGCGATCGAAGATGGAAAGCTGGATGTCGATGAGGAAGCGCAATTTATGAGAGAACGACGAAAGGGTGCGGTAGTTGTCCGTCGTCGCCTCCAGAAGATCGTTGACGCGAATGGCCGCCTTTGTCGGAGTAGTAACGCCTCGTGGTAGTGCGTCGAAGTCTAGATCTTTGCTGTCCGGTGCCTCGACGATCTTCTCGTATCGAGCAATCGCGAAATCCTTCTCGACATTAAGCCAGACATTGAACCAATCTTCTGTGCTAAGAACCTCGTACGTCAGGCCCCGCCAACCATCATTCCCGTTGCAGCCATCGTCATAGTTCCACTCGTCTCTGAGCGTCTGGTCGAACGCCATCAGTTCATGGATCAGATGGCTCAGCAGCTGTGGCTTCTTTGCCACACGTGGCAAAATAGAGAACACTTTGTTCCGCACCATGGGAAGCAGGGCAGTGATCAACGCAGACGTCGCGTCACCGTATGCGGGGTTCAGCGAGACGTCCGAATCATGAAGGGCCTCGGACAGGATGGGTTGCACGTTGTCCAACATGAAATCTGCGAATTCGACGAGTAATTTCTCCGTGACGTGGCTTAGGAACTGCTCCGGTCGCTCAAGCCGGTTGGTTGGCCTATCGGTGTCATAATGATAACGAAAGGCGAGCTCGAGTGGTCGAACCATGACTTGCAGAGGCAACAGCACCATCGGCGGCTCGCTTCGTGCGGCATCGGGAGAACCAGTGAGGGAAGCCTCCAGATCCGGTTTCTGAAAGGCGAGAAGTTTTCCAACGCACTCTTTGAAGGTGGCTTCGTGTTCAGCAGGGAGCGTCTGGCCAGGCATCGGCCACTGTATCGCACGTAAGACATCCTCGAATTGCGACGAGAATCCGGACTCGATGCGCGAATGTAGCTGCTTGGTTGCGTCCAAGACGTAATCGACAAGATGAGGTGCGGCGCCTTCGGCCGCATCCTGCAAGGCTGGCAAGCTGGAGGCCAGATCGTGCATTCGATGATAGGCTTGCAGGGCTGCGGCGTCATCCATCCCGAGGAAGGACAAACATGATTGACTACAACGGCCACGTTAACGAACATGCTGGATCTGACCAGAGCGAAGAACGCAAACATGCTGGATAAGTGCAGATGCCATAATGACGGAGAAGCTGTGCGTCTTTGGCTGATTGGCAGGCTGAGAATGCACCACGACGGAATACGGGAGTGGGTTCCGATCTGAGAAGACACAGATATGTAACCCGTGTTTGAGACGCAACAGCAGCAACAACATCCGTACTCGCTCGTTGTGCCTGTCCGCTCACAACAGACTGTCATGAACGGATTTACGCCGTCACGTGTCCAGAACGAAAATTCGAGCAGGAGGGAGCTTAAGAAAAGGTGGTGGGTAGTTATCATACCTAAGTCGGTCAACTTCCTGCAGCTGGCGAACGTAGCCCTCGGCGATATCAAGCCTCCTTAGCTTTGACATGCTGGCCTCGAATTTGGTTACAGCATCATCGCTCGTCTCTGACTGGGTCATGATGGCGACCCTGCGATCAATGTCGCGCTGGGTCAGGCTGAAGCGCTGGGCCTCAGCTTGGAGCGAGGCACGGTGGTCGTGCGACGCCTTCTTCGCGTCGTGGAAAGCTCGATTCGCATCGTGGAGCTAAGACAGTGACATCAGTGACGAATCAGAAATGGACGCTGTTGCTAAGCGTAATAAGAGGATGTCAGCCAGATGGTTGACTACGAGGTTTGGCTCGCTGGTTGGTAACACAGAGCGCAGCTACAAGCGGCGCACGAGACGCGACAATGCCAATGACTGAGCGAGCTGTTGGTCGGAAATGCCTGATACAAGAAGCAAATGACGTACCTGTTCTCGCAGGAGCAGCTGTTGAGTACGGACATCCTGCAACAGGGCGTCGAGAGTGTCGAGGTCGGCCAATGTCTGCAGCTTGTCGTCAAGCCATTCGGCCACGCGAGAATCCCTTTCCTCGATTTGGAGGGCCGTATCTGCAGCCATAGTTTGGGTGCGTGCTGGCAAGGTTGGGTCGCGCGGGGGGAACGGTGAGTGCGGGCGAGCCTTGGGGCGTGATGGGTTATAGGCGAGTCGTCACAGTTCTGGCGTTCAGAGAGTAGAGGACAGGTTGGGTTCACAGCAAACCTGTTTTAGGGCAAGCGTAGGAGCGATGGGAGCACCGGGCCTGGGAGAGCTGCAGGCGCCCCGTGGCCGCGGAGACACGCCCTCAGTCGGCGCTGCTGGGGCCGCTGTCCTTGGGGCGGGGGGGCCTGCACTGTAGGCGGGCGGCGACGACGGCGAGGATGCGCCAGAGGCCGATCCGTCGCGACAAGCTGGCCGTGGAGCAGCAGCAGCAGCCGACCTGCCCGAACACAACTCACATCAGCATCCGCAGACCGCTGGCCTGGCGAGGCTTCGTCGCGCACGCGCTGAGCACAAGCGAGGAGGAAGGCTTTTCCGCGCTGGCAGTAGCGTCTTGAACGGCGCCCAATCGCCGCCGTCTTCGAGCTCTTGCACAGGCTCGGTTAGTGCGTCGAGAAACGGCTCGATCGACACCGATCTCTTGGCAAAACGTGGGAATCGAAGGGTTTTTTTGGGCCACGGCTCTTGACGAACTGCTGCTGCTCCAGCTTCCTTGCACACAGCAGTTTTTTTCTTCTCTGCTGTCGCTCGGCCGGGTCTGGTCTGGCTTGCGATCACACTAAGTGGACCAATCTATCGTTGCCCTTGAATCAGCCATGGCCAAGTCGCTCTTCCATTCTCTCTCGTACCACTTCTAAAAGTTCCACCATCTGCGTCGCTCTTTTTTTCTTTTGCATTGATCGGCCCATCCTCGCCCACCACAACCATGCCCAAGGAAAAGAAGGTCCGTGGCCGCCGTGGCAAGGACAAGAAGCGAAAGCTCGATGCTGCCTCCGAAGAGAATTCTATCAAGCGCCGCCGCACCTCCCTCGACGACTCTGAAGCCATTCCATCAGTCGCCCTCGGTGAAGAACATAGCGACGAGTCGGCCCCCCATGCCATTGCAGGCCAGTACCCCCATCCGGGGGACATGCCTTTCTATGGATTGCTAGACGAGGAGGAGCAGGAGTACTTTCGCAGCGCAGACGAAATGCTAGAGCTCAACCAGTTCCACAGCCCGGACGACCGTGAGACCTTCCTCGACAACGTCTACAAGGAGGCCGAGGGCAAGGAACTTAAGATGGCCAGCTCGCAATCGTGCTCGAGGCTCATGGAAAGGCTGATCCAGTTGTCGAATACCTCGCAGCTCAAGGCACTGTTCAAGAAGTTCAACGGACAGTACGTACACGGTTGCGGTCACAACCACTACATTTCTGCTAACATCGGTCCGCAGCTTCCTACATCTTGTGCAGCACCGCTTTGCCTCACATTGCTGCGAGGCTCTGTTCTTACGAGCAGCCCCTGTTGTCACCACCGAGATGAAGCTTCCACCAGAGCTTTCCGACGATCCCAACGAAGAGCTGGTCTCGATGGAGAATCTGTTCCTGCACACTCTTCACGAGCTAGACAACTACCTAGGCTATTTGCTAACGGACAAGTTCGCCTCGCACACGTTACGCGTTCTTCTCGCCGTCCTCTCAGGGCAGCCAATCTCACGCTCAGAGAGGGCTTCCGTCCTCCACAGCAAGAAAAAGGAGCGCATCTCTGTCCCCCATCAGCAGCCAGCTCAGGACGAGCTGAGTCTCGACCGACGCGTCGTGCCGGATTCGTTCAAGGAAGCGCTTGAAAAGTTTGTTGCGCAAGCCGTTTCGGGCTTTGACACGCCATTCCTGCAATCACTCTCCCTCCATCCAACGGGCAATCCTACGCTGCAACTCCTGCTGCAGCTTGAATTGACCGTTTTTGGCAAGCACAGAGCCAAGGCCGAAGATTCAATCATCCACAAATTATTACCTGATGATCCCATTACTGAGGACTCTGTTAGCGGAAGGTTCATCAATGGCTCCATCTATGACCCCCTAGGATCTCGACTGCTGGAGACCATCATTCAGCATGCGCCGGGAAAACTGTTCAAGGCCATCTACAAAACTTTCTTCAAAGAGCGGATGGCACAGTTGGCAAGGAATGACATTGCCAGTTATGTTGTGTGCGCCATCCTCAACCGCCTTGGCAAAGATGACCTCAAGGACGCCATGGACGCGCTCGTTGCCCAGATGCCAACTCTGGTCGATCGGAACCGCACCGTTGTGATACGAACGCTCATTGAGCGGTGCACAGTGCGTGAAGTTGACCATGCGCCGATCGCCGATGGCCTAGCCAAGGCATATGGTGGCTTAAATGGCTTCGATATCACGCAGCTGCTGAAGTTGAGCAAGTCGTCCACAGGCTCGCCCGCCCCTGATGGCACAACCACCAAGGACGTTGCCGCCTCAAAGGGTGGTCAGCACAGCTCGGAGAAGCTGCACGGCTCCCTTCTTGCTCAAGCTATGGTTGCCGTTCCTGGCGAACTTAGCAACCTGATTCTGGATTCACTGCCACGACTTGGAACGCCGCTGCTCCTGCAAATCGCCAAGGATCCAAGTGCAAGTCGAACCTTGCAGGCGACACTGACGGCATCTAGCGCGTCAGTCATTGCGCGGCGTAAGATTATCCAGAACTTCTACGGCCACATCAGTGAGATGGCACTCGATCCTTCGGCATCACACGTCATCGACGCCATTTGGAAGGGCACGCATGGCCTGGCCTTCATCCGCGAGCGTATCGCGGAAGAGCTCGCTGAGAACGAGGCATCCTTGCGCGAGTCGCACGTTGGTCGCGCCGTGTGGCGCAATTGGAAGATGGACCTGTACAAGCGCCGGAGAAAGGACTGGGTTGCAGAGTCGCGTGCGTCTGCCGGAAGCGATTCATTCTTACCCTTTCCGGAAGAAAATGGTGTGGGCACCGGGGACGAGATGGAAGCCTCGAAGCATACAAAGGGCAAGGTGGATAGGCATTTGAGCGCAATCGAGAAGGCACGGTTGAAATATGCACAGGCGAGGATGAAGAAGGAGGATCAGACGACGAAGGAAAAAGAAAAAGGGAAGGGAAAGAGAGCGCGGGACGATAAAGGAGAGGAGGGAACTGCTCTATCGGAACCAAGCGCTGAGCAGCGAAAGAAGAAGAAAAGCGATGCGGCCGCTGTACGAGCGGACACATAATGGCGCTGATAATAATGGCGACGACACGGACGGTGATGGTGATGAACCTTTGGTCCCATATACACAAGCATTGTAGTGGCGTTTAGAACAAAGGACGAGCAGCGTCGCTCGATGGTCTACGTTTGCGCGTATCCACAGGACGCAACGAGACGACACTGTTGGGAGATTTGTCTTCGTATCTGGAGTGCTTTTACCGACGTCTGATCTGCATTCTTCCCAATTTGCATCTGTAAAGATACCCGTCGACGTGGTATGCGCGAATATCCGCGAAGTTAGTCTGAGTTCATAGTCTTGTCTTTGGTTTTTCCTTCCCCTGTGAATCTCCTATACTGCGTTCTTGACAGATTACAGCCGCGTTATCGCAAGCGGTGGCAGTCGACATATTTCCCAAACGGCCCATAATTTCCAACTCTCGTCCCTGAGCTAGGAATGTCATGGTCGCCGGATTCTTGTCCTGTGACTCCGAGTCTGCCCCATCTCGGTCCCGACGCAGGCAGTGGAGTGCTTGAGCCAGCAGGCAAGAGCCAAACTTTCGCCTCCCGTGTTTTCGCAAGTACATCACCCTGACCTGCAGACTCCTGATGTGTCCAGCGCTGCGTCGTCGTGACTGCGCCATGGGAGCTCAGGCGTTGAGTCCTGCAAGATCTTAGGACGGAGTGGCCGGAGCGGGGACAGTTTTTTATTTTTAAAAAAAAATTAATTAATAAATAATTAAAAAAAAAGGTCGACATCGGCTACTCCGTGAGCGGATTTGATCATGCCGGTTTCGCGCGCTGTTGGACGCTCCGCGATCTCCGCCCCCGTCACAGTTCCACTGCGAAAGTGCTTCTTCCGAATCGGCTCGTCCGCAAGGCCAGCTGACCTCGACGCACCAAATCTTTTTATTTTTTTTGAATTTTTTTTTCATATATTTTGGGGACACGGGGGAGGGGGGGGGGGGGGGGCCAGGGAGAGCGCGACGGCTTATACCGGACATGGTGGACTCGTCCGCGTCCTGCAGGACGGTGGCCGGGACGGTGCTAGCTAAGATTTATCCTTTTTCCTGTACATTAATTCCCGCTCCCTCCGTTTCGCCTTGCGTGAACGCCATTGGGAGCCGCGTCTCGAGGATCCAGCCTGGGGAGCTGAAGCATCCCCGTCATCTTTGTGCTGCTGTTGCAGCGGCGGCGAAGGAGGGCGTTGGGAGATTGCCTTAGTGCTTGGACGAGGCATGATGAGCTTCAGGACATTGAGCGGGGTTCCTTCCTTTGCGGGTGGATGGGAAGCCAAACGGTGCGGAACTGCGGATGTGACTTGCTCTATTATCTCGACTCAGAAATGGGAAGACAAATGAGCGCCGGTTGCTGCGGAGCTAGCTCTCACGTACGCTCATTTCTGTTGCAAGGACTATTTCAACCTCCTCAAAGCTAGAGCTGCAGAGCAGCATTCGGATTACCGGCCCCTGGCGATCGGACTGATATCAGACGTTTTGCCTGTGCAACCGCAAATGCAAGAAATGGGTCGAAGGCGTTGTTGTTGCACATCCAGTCAGTAACCCAGTGTACGCATACGCTGCCCGCACAAATCCCACGTGTGATGATTGTGCGGTAAGTTCAAACATGTGAATCCAAGCTTTTACCAGAAGGTGCAAATCAGACGTATGAACATGAACGAAAACAATTAAAAAAAAAAGATGCCGGCTCACACCGATTCTTCAATACTCGCCCGCATTATTGTCTACAAATGTTTCCTTGCGGCATGATACAACATAGAAAAGAAGCAAGTAGTTCGGGAAGGAACCTGGCTCGTTTTAGGACCGTCTATTTACCCTTGCTAACCCAATTTTCTACGCTTTCCCTCGCCTCGCCGACTTTGTCCTCCACCATGCCCACCGTCATCTTCGAGTGCGCAATGCCCGTCTGCACGAACCGTGTAATGCGCTCTTTGACTCGGAGGTGCGTGTCAGCCAGCGCTGGGTATTTGCTCTCGTACTTCCACGCCAGCTCGCCGACGTTGCCCATCGTGATGGGGATGAAGTAGTAGCCGGCGCCGATGCCGACCGCGAGGGGCGCAGAAGCGCGCAGCAGAATGTTACGGTTCCGTACAAATATCGATGAGCCCATGGCAGAGACGAGGACGTATATCAGGCCCGGCATAAGTTTTTCGTTGGACTCCTTTGGCGGCGCTAGCGAGGCTACGGTGGAGGTGAACGATCTTTCGAGGTCAAACGACTTTGCGAGGGCATCGTTGGCTGCATCCTCCGTCTTTGCGGCGTATTTGTGTAGAAAGAGACGTGCTCGGGCAACTTGCGCCGTCAATCGTTCAGTCGGTGTTGGCGACGAGGATTTCGATTCCGAGGGCGAGGGTAGATCGACTACCTCATCATCGTATATGGGCTTGCGCACTTTCGGCTGTATAAAATGAGCTTCTGATCGCGAAACTGGTATCGACCAGGGAAAGATCCTACAGGCACAGGCGCATCATCTTGTGATGTCTCAGCGTGCAGCTCTGAGGTTGGATAGAGCACAAGACCAGCTGCACCGACTGCTGCAAGCTTCGCAGTGGCGCCCTAACCTCGTCAGCTTCGATGATGCACGTCTTCTTAGATACGTACTGGCCGTAACAGCAATCTCGCAGCCATTGATGTGGTGTGGTGTGCGCAATGGATGGTTCGATGTTGGATTTCTCACAAAGTCGTGAGGTTCGCCAAACTGGTGACGTCCGAGCTTCCCCGATCGCCGCCGAACGCAAGACAGCGGAGCCTCAACACCAAATAAACCTCTTCATCGCAGTGCTTTCTGAACAGAGACGTCTCCTCAAGAACATCCCCACAGCCAGCTTCGGGTTTGCATCATTGACTCTATCATAACCAAGTTCTGAGTGACAGTAGAATTGGCCCAATTTTTTTCTCAGCAGCCTTTGTTGTTAGTGACTCAAGGCATCAGTCTCATTACAATGGCAGTGGTAATAATCTATCTCTTTCAGTCTGGAATCGCTCCATTCTTTCAAAGTAGTAGTCCAGGCATTCTTTCATCTGAGGTACTCTAATTCTACCCGTGAGCCTTTTCATTCAGCCTTGCACACAAGGACTGTTGAGCGAGATCCCGAGGCCTTCATCCGGCAAGTTATTTCACTCACCCATGGCGAAATCCACCCCAAGAATAAAGAGTGCTAGTGCCCTACTCATATACAAGTATCCCCAGTCAGCCTTCTCGTATTCTTTGCTCCTACAACTTTCCACTCAACAAGCCATCAGGAAAAAGCGGAAGGCACCGAACCAGTGACAGCCGCTCCATCAAGCCACACAAGCTTCTTGCGAGGCTGTGGCGGATATCACGATGCCTAAAGGGGCCAAATCGATCTTCTAGTTATTGACGGCTAACAAGCCCCACGAGGCCCTCGCTACTCCGTACAGCTCACGAGATTGAGTTATGGCGGAGCAGCGACCTCCCCTCCGTCGCGTTCTTTTTTCGTGTGAGGCATTCTCTCGGCCTCTCTATATCTGCGCCCTTTACACTTCACTCACTCCATTGCGCGAGATCCATAACTTGCCGTCCTGGTTTCATTTATCAAAGGCGTTCCTTTCGCCAGGATAATATGACTTCTCTCACACGGTCGATGGCGACATTGGTCACTCTGCCTATCTTTCTGCCCATCTTGGTCGCTGCTATTCCAGCCGCGGAGCCGCTGATCACTCCTCCTGCAAGTATAGAAAAACGCGCCAATGGCGCAAATATTATCGGCTACTCCTTGAGCGGCACAAGCTGTAAGTGCTGCAGAAATTTCACGGTCCAAATTTCTAACAAACGGCATAGGGAGGACGCGTAGCTGCAACAATGGCTTTTTCTCGACCATCGGAAGTATTGGTAATTGCTGTGTAGACAGCAGCTGTGACTTCATAACCACTTGCATCGGCAACTACATCTACTACGACTCCGGGGTGTCATCAAACTGCGGAAATGTCTGCGGGACTGGAACCATATTCCACACAGTTGGGGACCAGTCGCCGTTGTCTATGTTTAATTGCCAGAGCGACTGGACAGTCACCGAGACAATTACCAGTGGTGGTAACACAAGCCCGTCTATTGTGACGACGACGGCGCCGGGCTCTACAGTCACTATTCCTAACACAGTAAATAATGTACAGAGCACCGCTTCGGCAGCTGCAACTTCCTCTATAGACACTGCTGCTACCAGCTCGAACCGCCAAGTTACCCTCACCGTAACTAGTATGCTCTTGACTCCCCTCTGATACTACTGTGAATCATGCTAAAGCACGATCAGACTCGGATGGCAGCAAAGCCACATCTGTAAGCGTGGCGGCAGCCGCTGCCTCGGGGACGTCTTCCACAAATGCCAACACGAGCACTAAAAACACAAACTCGTCCTCACACTCCTCGGACACTGGGGCCATCGTTGGTGGGGTCGTGGGTGGTATCGCCGTCATCGCCCTTATTGCCGGTATCGTCGCATTCCTCCTGTGGAAGAGGAGAAGGAGCGAAGCTACTCCTGGCGCAGCTCCGACCGTCGCAGCCGCACCGAACGAGATGCCACCAGGCTCTTACGCCCCGGCCATGCAGGAGAACTCGGCATGGCAGCAGCAAAATAATCAGTATGGATACACTCACGTGCCGCAACAACCTCCATATGCTACCCAGGATTACAAGATGCCTCTCGCTGGTGGCGGATATGCTAATCCACCGTCCAATGGTCCGCAGATGATGGCTGGTACACCAGCAAATTATGGGCCGCAGGAGCTGGCTGCCGCGCAAGTGCACGCACCTGTGGAAATGCCATCGCAGCCATATAGAGGATAAATCTGGAGTTGGCGGCCATGCTTGTAATCACAATGTTCTTTCGTGTTGGCAACTATGCAACGTTTTGCGCTGTATATCTGAGGAATTTCACACTTCGATATCCCATGGGGGAATTTATAGATCTCTCACAGATAGGACCCGGCCACACTCTGCGGCTCTTGGACCAGTCTAATGGTTGTCAAAATTATGTTCATAACTAATCCAGCCGTGTGAACTTATCCGTTCATGACGCGTTCCCTTTTAGCAACCTCCTCGCCCTCTCTTCAACTATACCCTTCAAGTCCTTCATAACCTCACGTCCTAACCAGCTCATTCCCCCGTGGCCCCACTCTTCCATCATCTCTGACCACTTGAACAAGACTCTCAGATTCCACAAAGCATTCCTATCTAGGCCCCCTCTTGCAATTTTCTTGAGCATCAACTTCATATCTACCACGCTCCCTCCCGCATCTTGCCAGATACTGCTCCGGTCGTCGGATGGCAGTATGAGACTCACATCTTCAAGACCGGTACCTAAGCCGTACTCCTTAAAGAATGGCAGCTCAAAGACGGATCGGAAAAGTTTTCGTGCACCCACTAGTGTCGTTGTTTGTGCATCGTTGAGGGAGTGGAACGTTGCGGAGAAAGTATTCGTGTTTGCGTTTCCGGGTGGCCTCTTACGAACGTAGAGTGTTTGGTGCTTCTTGAAAGAGAGGAGGTGTGAAGGGTTATTCTGAAAGTCAAGCGTCATCGGCCAATACTCCATCCCGCTCGTCTTGACGTCTGCAATGGTTTCTAGTTCGGGAAGCAAGCACGGTGCAGTCAAGACTTTGGAGCTACCATCGCGTAGCTTGAGAGTGAGAGGCACCCGTACTGGCCTGTTGGTATCTACTTCACGCGTGATGATACAGCGCGCCTCGGCCGCGAGCACCCACAAGTGACGGAACGGCTGCAAGTGTGCTTTATTGTCTGTAACGTCGATGGGGAACAGAGGGTAAAACGCGCATATTAGGGAAGCAATGGCGAGATTCGATGTTCCAAAGGTGAAAGTTCCTGCGCCGAGAAACAAGGCACCAAGAGCCATATGCACTGCGAGGTGGGAGCCATATGGTGTGTCGGCATTCGTCCGACCGTGTAGCATGCGTAGCCTTCGCATAACATCCAAATCTCCCGTTCCGGCCATAACAGTAGCACAGGACAGGGCAACGAGGTCCTGGCAATTTCGAACAGTGTTGCGAGTCAGTTTTGCGTCGTAACGATGTGCAGGTAGCTTGCAAATTCGTATAAAGCGGTCCAAATAGCTGACAAGAAATGTGGAAACGGCCTTGTTGCCAGAACCCGCGTATCTAAGCCCAATACTCCATAACATGCCGGCAAGTATATAGTAGAACGGCATGTGCTCCGATTTTAAGGTCTGGATATCACGCATGTGGTAAAAGCTTGCGAATGCGCGGGGCAGATTTTTGATGATCCACTTGTCGTCAGCAACTATTTCATCCCATAATATCAAATGTTTCGCCAAGGTACGCAGTAGTAGTATATCCGGTCGTACGTAGTCGAACTGAGGCAATGTGTCGGGAACGTCAATTTTTCGCGCAACAGTTTTGTTACCGGTCTTCATGAAAATGAGCGCGACAGCGATTGTAGCGGAAGCGGTAGCCTGATCGAGGATATGCACAAGATCAACAGGACGTGGCCCTACAGCTACGGCTAGGAGGCGCTCAACAACTTTCATATCATTGAGGCCCCTAATATCGCTGCCCTTCCCCAGATTAATGTAACCAAGGGCGAATCCTGCTGCAAGTCGATAACCCTCATCACGCACATTCATTGACGAATCTGCAGGGTCAACAATCTCGACATTTTCGATTTCGGAAAGCATGACCTCGCTCATCCTGCGATGTTGGGTGCCACAGTACAGCAGTCCAATTCCCATGAGGCCAGCGGTTTGAGTGAGTGGTGATAAGTTCAACTCCGCAGCTCCAGGTGGCAGCATTCGCGTGATATGCACGGACAATAGCCTTGTTACTAGAGTGTCCATGGTGCCTAAATGCGATGCAGAGAGACCGAGAAGAAGTCCAATGGAAGTCATCGTATGTTTTGGTGTTAGGTACTTGAAGCATAGCCATCGTGCGACGCTCTTCAGGTGTCCGTTGAGTCCAAGTGCGAGGAGTAAGCCGGCATGTCTGTTGGTCAGCTCAGGTGGCCGGTTAAAGATAATCCATGAAGTATCAATCCCTTGCGCATCTCGCGAGATGGAAAGACCTGCGGCAACGCCCGCATGAAACCATGACCAGCCATATTTCTCTTCAGATAATGTGGTGCGATCCGCTGATACCGTATTACCCATCGGCTGCATCTTGCAGAGCATACTGTATCCGTGGATAGCATACTTTTCCGTGAGTAAAGGATGTCTGCTATCAAAATGGGCCATCCCATTACCTGGAGCTAGGGCAAAGGTCCTCGTCATGACCCATTGTATAACGTCCTTCTGCGCATCCAGCATTTGCTGTTCAGACCAGGACGGATCATGCGGGCATACTGCAACAGCTGTACGTAACGGTTCTACAAGATGCATTGCCTCAACCAGGCGACGATCTTCATTGAAGATCAGACGTGAGATCCAAATGCGATCAGAGTACTCTGGTAGATTAAATGGTGATAAAGGTGTTTCGGCAGCTTGGCAAACAGTGTGTGCATCGCGAATACTAGTGGGCTGCTTACTTCCAGGCTCTCGAGGTTGTGGCTGGCGCCCAGATGCTAGCAGAGCAAGGTCTTCACGGTTGATCAAGTCCAAAAGGTCTGAAGACCATGTCGTTGGAGGATAGGCTTGACATTGCGTGAGGATATCTTTGAGAATCGCGATTATCGAACTAGGTAGCGTTTCAAGCATTCTAGGAGATATTCCAGCTTCAGTTATCGCCTCGATTTGCTTTTCAGGTGAAAGAGCGGGGGCACGCAGCAACACCAAGTATTTCGATATCGCGGTGATCCGTGGGAATAATTGTGCACTTGCAGTTTGCAGGTGAGGTGACATTGGAACATTGAGAATTGCATCAAGGCTTGGAAAAGGAGCATCGAATACCGGGGTAAGAGCCTTTTCAAGCCAGGCATAAATCGAAGGGGGTTCTTGTGCAGCAAGAGGGTGAGAAAGACTAGTGCATGCTTTGATCACGAAATCTTCGAAGCCTGAATGCCCGGCACACTCAAGGCTGTAGTACTTCCGGTCTTTCCAATCCCAAAGCGTCCAATCCATCCAACGGGCAAGTTGAGCTATGAGAACCGCAGAGTTCAGGGACGAAGTTGTGTTATCTTCTTGAGTTTCGAAATTGGCATGAAGTTTTTCTTCTTCTCGGAATAGGTGGAATGTGGCAATAATTCGCGACAATGCCAGTCCAACAAGCTGCGAATGTGCTCTTAATGACCCGCTGATTTCCAGTCCTGTCTTTGACCGTATAAAATTTCTGGCTTCTGCAATCAGCGCCGCTAAGGGATCTGCACTCTTTGACACGAGGTTTCGGCTGCGATCTGTCCAAGTCCAGCCAGCTTGTCCAAACACTCTTGAGACGTCCCAATCAGCTTCAGTTTGAACCATGCGATCGAATGCGTCCAATGTATTTGCTGATATCCTCCTGCTCTTCGACGGTGAGGGCCTCGGTCCTGAACTTTCAGATTTTCGTCCGCCACCGCCTCCATCTTCAAGTGCCAAAGCGATAGCAAATACGGTGAGCGCGAGAGCATGCCAGTCCTTACGAACGTCATCGTGGATAGATTGATGCCTGTTCCACCAGATACAAAGGAATAAATCGCTCAGCCATGAAGGAAGGACGAATTGTAAGGTCCTTAAAAGTTTTGCAATTTGGTCATTGCGTGGAGCAAGCTGAATCTGGACGCGATGAATCCTATCATCAACATCACGAAGGCTGCAGGTTCCACCAGGACCTGGGTGGGATATTTGAACAAAAGGCCGAATATCTAGCATGGTCCGCTGCTTCCCAATTGTTCTAGGTGAAGATGGAGGGGGAGTAGCTACATCGAACGGGCTGAAAATGCGCAGTCGATCCAGTGCGATCGTGTACGCATTTTCTGGAGACCACGGTGCATAAAGTTGCAGAGCGCTTTCTCCCCCCTTATTTCGCAAGCACAAGACGCGGGCAATGCCGTTGTCTTCGATTTTGCAGGCGTCACTTTGACCTTTCAATCTTGTAACCTTCTTCGCCACGGCTATTGGAATAGTAGATGACTGTAATGGATTCCCAAGAGCGCTTTGAGATCGAACATCTGGCCATTCTTTGCGTCTGGTCTGGACAAAAAACTCAAGCTGAATATGCTCTTTTGTCTCGCGGTTCATTATGTGCATGAAGTAACGCCTGCTAGTATGACTAGTCTCTGAGGACATTTCGTGGGATGCTATGGTGAAAATATTAACGCACTCCGGAAGCTTTATTTAATGTTAGTATTCATATCATGACGCTTGATAAAAAGACTTACACTGCTCTGTGCAACTGAACCAAATGAGTATCTCAACGGTATTGATTCACTCATAGGTATTTCTGCGATGCGATGAAACAGTACTTCCCTCCTCAACCCATCAAAAGGCAATCGAAAATCGAATGAGTCAAGCTCAGAATGTTTATCAAAAATATCATCATAATCGTTCAGGTCATCTGTCATCAAAGTGTCGTCCACCTCGAAATTCATGATGGTTCCGTTTTCAGACATATCATCCAGGCTCAATCGGGAGAAAGCACCCGGCGTTGATGATCGTAGCCTTCGTTGAGAGGTAATGCCGAAACTTGTACGATCGACTTGCCCACCAAAAGACTGTCCTCTCCTGCCATGTGGTCCAAATGATTGTCTATGGTTCGTTTGCATGGCAAGTTCTTGAAATGCTGATCTATCCTGGTTTGTCGAAAGCTCTGCTCGCGATAACATAGAGCTAACGCGCCGAGATGCCTTTGCTGGTTGGTGCGTATCGAAGTCTGGATCAAGCTGAGACACAAGTAGATCTTCGCCGCCAGCGTCTGAAATGGCTGTACTTTGGCTGGCATTGAGAGTTGAAAGCTTCTTTCCTCGTTTTTTTACTGTTATGGTATCTGGAAACCCTTCATCCTGCCGGAGAGCAGGTGTAGTTGCTCCTGTGCGAGTGATGAATGAGGATCGTCTTCTTGCCTTCACTCCCGATGGAGATTGTCGTTCGCGGAAAAGAGCGGTAGCGGACTTTGAATCGGCGTATAGAGCTTGCCATATTTTGTACACTTGGCGATCTTTGTTGGCTGTAACGACTAAGATGAGAGGGCAATCACTATCCGTGATCTCTCCCAATAGTTCTGAAAACCTGGAAACATAAAGAATTTCCTCACTGGCCTCAAGAGCAGTGAGATCTCCTTGCCGCTGGCTCCGGGATAATGTAGATCCCGACAATTTGTGCGGGCTGTGCACTATTAAGCCAACCTCCGACAGTGGGCTTGTTAGACAAAAGTGCTTCGGTAGGTTGTCCACGATGGAGGTTTTAGCCTTGCGGAGCAAATCAAAGTCCAGGCCACCTGCTTCTGTGACCTTGGTCTTCGTTTGTGCCCAATGAGCCTGTCCGATCCGAGGGGCGAAGGGTGACAGAAACGAGTTTGGAGGTGCTTTTGGCTGTTCAGGGGTTGCAGGGGGTATCTCTGTTTCTGTTCCTAGCTTTCTCTCGATAATTAACCCTCGTGGCGCCGGAAAGACTCTTGCAACATCGAAATGTAGGTGAACAAGATGGGTGGCACCTGACAAGAAGTAAATATGAGCTTGACGGTTCAGAAAGACCACAAGAGCGCGCGAAAGCCCTTCTTTGGGCTTCGATGCACGGTCGGCATTGGTTTGTCCAGATATTTGACGCTCCAGATTGCTGCTGATACCAGGTTGGTCGGAGGATTGGGCATAGCCAAGTTCCTGGTAGTCCGTGACAATGTCATCGACAGGAAAGGATGTGAGCACAGCATGTTTGACGTTTTCGCCTTCAGCAACGAAGCTGTAAGCTTTTTTGACGACGCCTCCGCGGGACCATACAACACACTGCTCAGTGTAGAGAACTTCCTCCAGTCCATGAACATCATCATATGTTTCCCAATGATAGGCAGATTCGGGCGGGTCAGCCTGAAGAAATCCCTCTTCTATGAGATAGGACAGTCCTGTGGGTGTATGAAGGCCCAAGGATCGCACGGCTGCCATTTTGCCGCGCTATAGGACATTTGCGCGTCTGGATCAAGGCGATCAACTCATTTTCATGATCCGTTGTGTAGGTGAACGCGGGTAAAGTTGCACTTCATAGCTGGCATTTCACACGGACCCTTGCTGCGCACTAGACCCACCTAGTTTGTCGCGTCAAACAGCTGAAAATACATGTACGCGTCGAAAAGACTGAAACTGTCCAACCCTCCAGGATGTTCATCAATGGTTTTCACTGGATCAGGCCGTCGCTGAAGCTTAACTTCGCATTTCCTATGCCGCTGGTCTCACTGAAGATCTACCAAGGGAAACATCGAGCAGACGAGCGAAAGCAGTACGGCTCATCCTAAAGACATTGAATACGATAAAACCTAGTAAACGTGCACATTTTTACCATGTTCTTTAAATACAAAAATATCTGAAAACTTCTCTTCTGTTTTCAAATCTGTCGTTCAAGTGATCATATATTATTTGTAATCGCCTGTCACTAGCTATCACATTATGGCGCAGCCGTAATATCCAAGCCCAGCTTCTTCATACTTGATCCTAGGCCCATCCTCACACCGTTCTTCTGCCTATAGACATGCCGAATGAATCTGATGTTGTATTCCTCGTCAGGCAATGTGGGCGGTGGCTCTCGGGGACACTTTTGAGAGTGCGAGACTAGAGAGCGCGAGTGTAATCATCGTCTCCGCACCTTTCGCGAATCCAAGGCAGTTCCCCAAGTCGCGGTTTGGACCACAGTTGTCGAGAAGCTCAAGCCAATGATGATGTCTTGGGTATATGGTATGGACTACGTAGCACATGTTGCTTGTTGACAGGTCTTTCGTCCACTGCTTCCCATCGCGTAGCCTAATCTATACTTGCAAAACACAAGGTAGCTAGAGTGCTTCTGTAATTGCTCGTTTCATAAAGCGGAATAGATATAGTATGCTTTCTGACATTTGGGATCTGCTTTCGCTTCGCAAGGCCGACGACGTGAAGAAGAGAAAAGCTATCAGAGTGGATCAACCGCCGCGATGCGAGCGCAAACCCACGATCAGAAGCGTCAATATATGATAAGCACACGAGATGAGGCTCATTGCTACTGTATGGACTCGGGATCATCCTGTTCGTGCTCCCGCTTTCGAATCTCCATCATCAATTCATAGAGCTGCACCTTTTGGTCATCTGCAGGCCGAAAATTAGCTGCAAAGTATGAATTATGTCATCCAAAAATTATTTTTCTACCATTCAGTTTCTCAAAAGTCGCCTGGTCCAGGCTGCCGTCCCGCCATTGGTCTCCTTCAATTTGCTGAGCGTACAGCTGCCATTGTGTTAAGAAGCCAATCTGTGTGCCTTTATCAACGATTGCAACCCGCTGCTCCAAAATTCATCAACATACAATGTGTAACGGATTCTCTACGTTTCTGTGGGCTCTGAATTCAGCTTTGACGTATTCATCGCCTAGCACACGCATGTCTCGTGGAAGCTTTCGATGCGCTCGAAGCAAGCGTCGATAGAGTGGAATTGGTGGCAAAACATTGAGCGGCACAGGTTGGCCTGGAAACTTACTAGTATTTGCCAGTAGTCTGGAAAACACCCTCATTTTGAATTTTAGATGATTGAATATTGTATTGATGATGACTTAAAAACGATACAAGAGAGAATGATGATTGCTTGCTGACCAAAATTTCCGGTCCACATTTTATCCCCGAGGTTCATCGGAAATCGTTGACTATAATTGGCTACAAGCACTTGGTTTACGAATCCCTTACATGTCATGAACATATGAGATTCACGACATCAATTCTTCTCGACCCTTGAGGTACTTAGTCTAATGTATCAACATGCAGACGAATTCTCTTCATTTATATAGTCCCATCGCCAATGGGTTTAAGAAAGGTTTTCAATCAGCACGTTCCCGCATCCACTATGTCTTTATGTATCAACTCGACTAATTGAACTCCTGGAGATATTGGCCCATTTACCAATTGATTGAGGAAACTAGATTATAGTTCTATCACGCCCATGTTTTAATAATTGGACATCGATTATAGATCATCGGTCTTGCATGTTTTTAAGTGGATGTAGCCTGAGATCTACCATCCATCAACCTGGGATACTTCATCAAAACATTTCTAAACACCGCACTGACGTAGTTTCTATAGGTTGGATTTATATTGATTGCGAGATTTATAACTGTAGTCATCACTGCGCATCTTGTTGTAAAATTTGCTTTCAAATCTCAAAAACTTAATGGCCTTGCATGACAAAGATATCGTAGCAGTTCTAGCAGTTCTTAAAGTTGAGAAAATACACAGGGTATAACTTGCAAAATTAGATTCGATTAGTTATTATTTCTGTGATCAACAGTTCACTGATTCTCGCGTCCAGAGAAGGAAATCGCAACGGGTAAAGGGGCCAAACCAAAGAGTGCCCGCTCGATCTATCGCCGACGTTTTCATGATGGACGTTCTGGACGTTCTGGACGCTGCCACATTGATGGGGATGACTCGTCAGGATGTTCGACGCCGTGAAAAAAGAAATGAAGCCTCGTTGCCATCGAACGCTTCTCCCGTCTCGGAAGCCTGCACGCCATCAGCAATCAATTTTAAACCGGGCTGACTGTCATTTGAAAGATGAGCTTACAATCCTAAATACTGCGCGTTTGATAGTGTTTTGCTGAATTGCTCCTCCAGTGCGATCTTCTCGTTAGTCCTCTGCTTCGCCTTGACCTCAGCCGGGAACCAAAGCTTCATATACTCAATCAGCCCAGTGTCTAAGCTTGATGAGTCTGCTTGCATCACAACATTCTCCCTGCAGAGAGGGCATCGGTCCTTCTTCTCTCGTTGTAGACGAATCAAGCATCGAATACAGAAGATATGTTTGCAACGTAGTCGAATAGGTCGCCAGGCCAGGTCCGAGCAAATAGGACACAAATAGTCGTCAAGAGATGGAATGATGGAAAGAATGCGCGTTGTGATCTCCTGAGACAGGGATTGGGACAGTGATTTAGACAAGGAGATAGGCGTCACTGGAGTTGCCTTTGGGAAGATTGACTTCACATTAAGCGAGGTTCGCTTGTCGAACTCTAGAATCCCGTCAAAACTCATGTACCTAGTTGGGAAGGCGGATGAGCTTACTCTTCAAGATCTTGATCATGGCTGTCTGGTTTATCTCCTGGAACCGTAAATTCTGGAGCAGCTCTACGTTGATACGTAGAAAATGCTGCAGGGCGTTCATGCTCTCCTTGCGCTTGAATTTGCGAAGCAGATTTGCCTTTTGCGCATTGCTCAGGAATTTGTTGTAACGCTCCTGAGCTGCCGAAAACTGCTGGACACCATGATTTCGCTCGCCAATGTTGAAGAAGACGCTCGTGTCCATGTACAGCTCGAAGATACGCCGCCACTGGTCCAAATCTGCGCGTCCTGATTTGGTGGAGGGGTCCACAACTTTGGCAAGAGAATCTCCAACTCCAGAAATTTCGCCCTGGATCTTATGTTGCTCGCTGTCCTGAAGATGTGCCAATCCGGACAACTCGGTCTGAAGCAAGCCAAAAAACTCGGAATCGCTGGCAAGAGGGACTTCGATCAGTTTGTGCGTTGCTTTTGGTGAGACTTTCGCTGCCGATCCTGCAGAGGATACCGTCTCAGCAATAGACGATCTGTTCGAACCGGCGCTCACAACTGAAGAGTGATCAGGTGCATCGTCCAATTGAACAGTGGTTAAACGTTCTGCAAGGGCTAGTTCGTGTACGTAACGTTTTGTCTCCGGGGATAGTTGAGCATTCACGGGTTCACCTGTTGCCTCATCGATCAAGAAGAGCAGTTTCGGTTGTATAGGGCCAGATGCCGACCTCGTATGGCCTGGCCTTCCTTCCTTCCGCTCAAACTCATACCGCAGTGGTCTCTCGTTGTTTGTTTCCTCGTCCTTTGCCTCGGCGTGATCGATCAACGTGCGCAAAGTCTCAGGATCCAGTCCAATTGCGGCAAGCTCGAGTCTGACTCTTTTGATGCATTTTTTTAACTTCTGATACGATATGGCCGACTCGACCCAGTCTGATGGGAAGCCGCCTTGCTCAAGGAAGTTCTTGTACTCGTGTCCGAACTTCATGAAGTCGTTTCGCAAGAAGACATCTACTCCAGGATTTGAAGGACTGGCGATGTAAGTACGATCATGTTAGGCCGTCGAGTGGAGAGCTGTCCGGCCAAGCGTCAACCCTTTCCTCGTTCGATGCTGAGCAAAAGATGACGCGCGGGATTCTAAGAACGCTAGTCAACGCCGAAGGAGAACATTATGCAGAGGAAAACGGTGGTGCCGAGACAGACGCCACATATTTATGGAAAGGAGGCACGCGACACTCACGAGCACCAATTGCGCATGGCCAGGAAAATTCTACTTCCTGGCCCAGGCCTAGACGACATTTGGCGAAGGCGCAAATCCGGAGGTGGCGAATGAACGGCGTTCGCATCGGCTCATGCATCAACGACGAACATTCCTTTGCTCGTTCCCTCCACGTAATGACGTAAAAAAATAATATGCCACCATTTAAAAACGCCATCGCCTCGCTTTGATGAGAACCAGGAGCACGACGATGTTGCCTGCAGAAATTGCGTCTTCCGCAAAGCCGTGTGCCCGTTGTTCTGCTGAGCCAGCCTGCCAGTGATTGGTGAACACGACCCACAAAAGGCGGCCTCTGTGAATCATGATTCCGTTGTGAAAAGCACAAGCTATTTGTCTTGCATTCCAACAGCGCCGTTTAGATTATGATTAGTTGACGTATTTATATATCTTTGCTATGGGTCAACGTCAGTCTAACGAAGGCGCTGCTGATGCCCAGGAGCCTATTAAGACAAGCTATTACGCACTGCTTGGTGTCGAGCGTCAAGCCACAGACGACGAAATTAAAAAAGCATATCGGCGAAAAGCGCTTGAACTGCACCCTGACCGCAATTATGGGAAGGAGGACGAAGCCACCAAGCTGTTTGCAGAGGTGCAAACCGCGTACGAGGTGCTCTCGGACCCTCAAGAGCGAGCTTGGTACGATTCGCATGAGTCGGCCATATTGCGTGGTAGCGACGGAGGCGAGGGTCACTTCGAAGGCAGCGTAAGATTCACGACGGCAGAGGAAGTTGTCGCCATGATTGGAAAGTTCAACGGCAGAGTACGCTTCGACGACTCGCCAGAAGGATTCTTTGGATTCCTCAGAGACGCTTTCGCAAAGCTTGCACAGGAAGAAGAGATCTCTGCGAGCCTGGAAGGCGTCGACGTCCCCGACTATCCTTCGTTCGGACACAAGGATGATACGCATGACGGCGTCGTGCAAGATTTCTACAGAGGCTGGGCGGGCTTCTCTACGAAAAAGTCATTTGCGTGGAAGGATCAGTACAGGTTAAATGAGGCGGCAGATCGACGAGTCAAACGTCTCATGGAAAAGCACAATAAGAAGTTGCGCGAAGAGGGTATACGAGAATACAATGACGCAGTGCGTGCGCTCGTTGCATTCGTTAGGAAACGAGATCCTCGATACAAACCGAACACACAGTCAGAAGCCGAACGACAAAAAGCACTTCGCGAGGCGTCGGCAGCACAGGCAGCAAGAGCGAGGGCGGCAAATGCGGCAAAAATGGATGAACATGTCCCCGAGTGGACCAAAGTGCGCGACCAGGAGGAACAGGTGGAAGAGAGTACGGAAGAAGAGAGTGAGGAGGAGCACTTTGAATGCGTCGCCTGCCATAAAAGATTCAAGAGCGAGAAACAGTTCGAGGCCCACGAGAGGAGCAAGAAGCATCAGAAAGCGGTGCACGCGCTGAGGAGGCAGATGCAGAAGGACAACGCGATGCTTAATCTCGACGAGGATACAGAGAGCAGCGGCATGAACACTGGAACTGCTACCCCTCAGGACGATGGACGAGTGGAGCATGTTGAAGAGAAAAACATGGCGAAGATGGAGGAGCTTGATCTATCCGACAAATCGGAGGGTCAGCATTCTTCTGATCTCGAACTTGGAGGCGAAACAGCCAACAATGAAGAAGAAGGAGAAGAAGTACAAGCAGCAGAAGACGGATTAGAAGTGGGTAATTCCGACGACGACTCAGACTACGTACCGCGTTCGCGGATCAAGTCCCGCCTCAACGGCCATCTTGAGCACCACGACGACGCGCTGACGGGATTGAACAAGGAAGAGGATGAAAAGAAGTCCGAACCGGCACAGAAGAAGCTTGGAGCGGCGGCGAAGAAGCGCGCGAAAAGAGCGGCCAAGGCCGCAGAAGCACAGGAGGAAGCGGAAGATTTGAAGTTCACGTGCGCACAATGCAACGCGCGGTTTCCAAGCAGGACGCGCATGTTCCAACATATCAAGGATCTAGGACATGCCGCGCCCGTACCGGCAGGAAAGGGCAAGAGTGGCAAGAAGCGATGAGTGGAGATACCTCCTTTGCCGTACTCGATTCGTATAGCGCATGAAGCCGTCTCGACGGTCTAGGTGCATCTTCGATATGTGATCACGCATGATGATACCCTATATTAACGAGCCAATACAAATTCCATAGAGAATAATTGGGCATTGCATCGCCCATCCATGATTCTTAAAATAAGTCCTACTTCCTTGATTCTGTGAACATCGGGAACTTCATGCGAGCATGCTGCATCAGTGACCTGCACGAAGTCTCTCCCTTGTAAAATGAGCCCATCTTCACGTCTGTTACCGGTATTTTTCCCCCCCTTTTATTTCGTAGCCTTGCCCACTTCGCAACTCTGCTGGCGGATGCAGTGACAGGAGCCAGCCGTTGCGCCCAACAAGATCGGGCCCACAGGGCGATTCGATTCTGGAAACCTTCCCCCATGACGTCGTGAAGAATCGTTCGTGCAGGACTCAGGCATTATTTTTGTCACAGTACAGGCTCCAGGGTGCATTGAAGTGTTTCAGTCTTGATTTGGGTCGCGAATCAAGAATCCTTACAATGGTAGGCCTCGAAGGAGGCATCGCATGTCCATGCCCGGTACAGGATCTCCCACAAAAGACCGAAGGTGATGGCAGTGAAGAAAGTTGATGGCGGAGTGGACGAACAGTCAGTTCGGCCACGGCATTATCGAAGGTAAGGTGGAATCACTGACTCGCAATTATTGGCTGGAAGTCAGCCGTCAGACTTCCCCAACGTCCAAGCTCATCATCCAGTTTCTGAAAGGCGAGTCTCTTCATCACTAGAATCCCACAGCATGTGTTGCTCTGGGAGGGAGTTTTCTACTTCAACAGAGCACAAACGGGCAGCTTACTCCACGCAGCAAGGAGAACGATTTGCCGACCTCTCAGGCCGCAGAATGTGGACAGCAGCATAGAGCGGGGACTTAAGAGCGCCACTAACTAGAACACTGTCAAGGCAGGGCTGTGAAGCAGTCAATCGGTGCTTTCGGCTTGACATCTGACAGCAATCCAAAACTGTAGCGTTCTGCACTCAAACAGCTGCTGCGCTTCAAACTTAGCCCTTTCCTGCAGTCCTTCAAGTGGCTCGCAGTATTCATCTATTTCTTCAAGAACCTACATTTGGAAAGCTGCTTATGCATGGTCAGAAACAGCGGATACCGGAGCGCAAAGGTGTTACGCCCGTAAAGACGGGCATTTCTCGAAATACAAGCAGAACAGCATGGACCCCTCCCATCTCACCGTGCCACCGTTGGAGAATCCCAAGTCGGTCATTAGTCCATCTACGGACAGAGGCTCCCCGCCACATCGAAATCCCAGTTCTGGACGTTCGTCGGCTTCGAAGATCAGAAGGAGGAATCGCTTGATCACATCGTGCCTTGAATGCAGGCGTAGAAAGCTCAAATGCGACAAATCACATCCATGTTCCAACTGCACCAAGTTCGTGCGCGACTGCGTCTTCTTGGCCCCAGCCTTGGACGCAGCCTCGCAGCTCAAGCTAAATGAAATCAAGGAGAAGATGGGCACGCTTGAGCGCACGCTTGAAGAAGATATCGCACGTCGCGCCAAAGCTGGCCCGCAGTCCGGCACATCCTGCCATGGACTCGGTGCAGAGCAAGACTCGAGTGGAGAGGACGAAGAGGATATCCCAGAGGACGAAAAGGATCTTGAGCCGACGCCGCTAGCTGTTCACGACGTCGCATACTACGAGGACGCGGACGACGACGTTGTGGATCTCGGGGTGATTGTAGGGAGAATGCGGCTGACTGAGCGCTTAGGCGGCTTCGTACGTCCGAAATTCTCTGAAGAGGTAAGCTATGGCGATGCTTATATGGCTCTCAGTAAACCAACGTGTCCTAGATGAGCTACGTGCTGCGTGAAAGGACAGAAAAGGAGGCGCCGGCTTATCCAACTGGCGACGGGTCTGGGAGCGCCGCTGTCAAAAATGAGTTTGATCTAGTAAAACCCGCGACGGACTTCATTGCACCATCGTCAAGTTTCTTCTTTGCTCCACAGCCTCAACGCTCTTCGTTCATGATGTACCTTCCCTCCAAAAACGTAGCTGATAGCCTACTCGAGCACTATTGGACTGCTGTGCACACAATCTGTAGAGTAGTCCATCGGCCTACGTTCGAGCGACAGTGGGTCTCGTTTTGGCAGCAAATACAGACTGGAATCGAACCACCTGCTTCGTTACAAGCTCTCGTCATGGGCGCACTTCTCTCATCGGTTGTAAGCCTGTCTGACCAAGCGATTGAAATGCAACTCGGCGTTTCAAAGATGCAGCTGCTCCAGAGCTTCCAACAAGGAGCCGAATCGGCCTTGTACCGAGCTAACTTCCTAAGGACGACTAAGCTGATGACGCTGCAGGCTCTGGTCATGTACCTGGTAGGCATATATACAATCGTTCCGACGACTTATGCTGATCCAGATAGATTCCACTTTGTCGGAGAGAGGTCACCAGAGCACATTCAGCACTGACTGGCACGGCCATACGACTTGCTGAATGTATGGGTCTTCATCGCGACGGTACTCACTACGGCCTCTCTCCCGTTGAGGTCCACGTTCGTCGTATTGTATGGCATCAGCTGTGTTTTCTTGACATGAGAACGTGCGAGGCTACCGGCCCGCGACCTCAGATTCATCAGGACGATTTTGACACGAAGCTTCCCCTGAACGTCAATGACATTGATCTCGAGTCGGAGAATCCACCGACTGAAGACTCAGACCAGTGGACTGACATGACTCCCACCTTGATGAGATTCGAAGTGAACGAGATGCAACGATATGCGTGGCGGGAGCGGATCAGGTTAGAGAACAAGAAAACCTCACTGACGCACGCTCTGCGAAGAGTCCAAGACTTTGTCACGCGTATGGACAAGAAGTATTTGCCAATGCTGAACAGACCAGAGCCGCTTGCGAAGATGACGTTGCTGGTGTACAAATGCATGTCTTTGAAACTGCACGTAATGCTCTTGCATCGCTACATGAGTGGGCACGGAAAGAAGATGCCAGAGAGACTTCGCAAAATCCTCCTCAACTCGGCGCTGCAGCAAACCGAGTGTGCCATCACCATCGAGACAGACCCTTCGCTTCGCATGTGGGCCTGGTACATCGGTAAGGCGCGCCGCACCGATTTCCAAAGCTGATTGTGCTCACCGGTGCGCAGGTGCCCTCCACCAGTATCACAGTTCCCTGATTCTGCTCTCGGAAACCTACGCGTCGAGCATTCGATACAACGAAGATCGCATCTGGAAGTGCCTCGATTTTGTCTTCAACTGCCAGCCAAACCTGACGCGCAAGGAAAAGGCGAGGATCATCCTGACGGAGATTGCACAGAAAACCGAGGTCTACAGTTCGTTGCGACGCGTGCGAGCGCCGCAGGAGATGGAGAACGCAATGGCTCGCACCGCCGCGGCGGCCCGTCCGCCGTACAAGACAGTGCAGCAGAGCATAGTCAGCACCGTGCAGTCGACGCCTAGCCCGCCCGTTGTCAAGATGGAAGGCCCACCGATCGGATCGCCGCCGACAGACGTTCAGTTTGGAGGCTGGATTCCGAACATGAACGAGCAGGCGACGTATGCTTTAGCAGCACCGAGCGCAAATGTCGGGCTTGAGTCATCCGTCTCACCGAAAACATCTGGATCTGAAAGCACGGCGGAAGTCGTGAGAGGAAAAGACGAAAGGCTGAGCTCTTCTACAAGCCCGCCAGATCCAATGGTTGACGTCGACTGGGTACGTGAACGAAAATCGAAGCTCCGTTCGTTAGCTAACAAGCCCCGGCAGAACGAATGGGACAAGATGTTCCCTCCCGACGTCAATCTCTCCGACTTTGGCAATCTACCTGATTTTCAGTTTTCAACGCTGCTTCCAAATAGCACACTGTAGAAAATTCGACGAGATACAGCCACGGGGAAAGTGGACATCATGAAGACAAATTTTTTCGATAATATAGTTAGTACATTTGATAGATAGATCGAATTGTCTCTTCTTTTTGCTTTTTCTCTCTTCCTCATTGGGGGGGTTTTTTTTTTCTACCATTGCAAAATTGCAGTCGGAATGAGTAAGCTTGCCGTGCTCGTTCTTCGACGCCGGCACGAAACTACGCGAAGCGGATCGTTCCACTATGAACTGGCCGTGGTACGTGACCCATGGGAAAGTGCAGCACCAACCGGGGTTGCTGGAAGTTGAGTTTCAAAACCAACAAGGCGGTCGAGAGGGCTGAAAAACAAACGACGCAAGGTGCCTTTTTGTTGCGATGTGATGCATGATCCCCGCTGCGAATGAGCGAAACCATGGCTGCCTCGCAAGCCACGATCCACGGCATTCAACTTTTCAAAGACCTTTCGTACTCGTGCACGGATAAAACAGTGGTTGACGAATGGGTTGTTCACATGGGTCGCAGGCCAAGACATTCTAGTCGAATCGTTGCCACGCCTGCAAAGATGAACACGCTAGGGCTGGGCTGCTTTGTAATTCTTGTCCAGAAGCCTATCCGTCGAAGTCGCGGCCATCGATTCCGCAGAGCTGCGATCGTATTCATTGTGGAGAAGGGCTTCGTTGCGGTGAGTCACCAGGAAGCGAACCTGGAGCCTGTCCGCAGATGCCGATCGCGCAGGACAGCGACAGATCAGAAGAGAAGTGCGCAGGGTGCAGACCGACTGAACGATCGGCCCACAGGGGGTTGACGAGGTGTGAAGAAGACACTCGACGGATGTTTGCACAACGCAGCAAGAACAGCTGTCATGCCCGGTCCTGGGATATGGCTACCATCGCGTGACAGCGCACATGGTGGATGGGCATGAGATTTTGGCCTTTGCGTAGCAAGGTGGGTCAGCTATCTGCACGCCGTGGTCGAGAGAACGGGAAAGTCGGCTTCGAGGGATCGGACGGAGGCGGCGCGGGCTTCGAGCTCGAGGGCGTCGAGCAGGTAGCGAGCCCGAACGAGCGGCCTGGCACGGGGCCAGCGCGATGAGAGCGCGGTTTGCTCGACGTAGGCACACGGGATCGGTGGGAAAGCCAGGCGGGTCGACGGCGGTGGCCCCAAAAAACGCACGACGCGGCTGGGATCAGATAAGTGAACAGCGAGCAAGACTGGTCTGCAACCCCACCTGCGACCAGACAAGCGGGCCCACGGCAGGCAAACCCGCGGTCGTCACGCCTCGCGCGTCGAAGCCGTAGACACGGGCGTCAGAGGCGACACTGGAGCCGGGACGTGGCTGCGAGCGTTTGCAGCAGCCTTGTGCGAAGGGGGCTTGCATGGACGAGCGAGTGCCCGCCTCTTGGCTGAAATGACCGTTTCGGACCCCTCGGGCGCCCCAAGGCCGAGCGCTACGCAGCCATTCATCGATCGTCAAGAGCGCATGGTGACGATCGTCGAGCGCATCCAGGTGACGGACTTCTGCACGCCGCGCAGCTCGCTCTGGCGCTGTTCGTATCATCCAGAGCAGCGCGGAGGCGTCGGGGGGTGGTGCGAGGGGGCTCGTCCGCAGCGGTTGGAGGCAGCCGTTGCGTGCTCGCCCCCGGGGACGACGGCGGATGCGAAGCTGCGTTGCGCCCGCATGAGGTCACTGGCGGAGCTTCCTGAGGCTGGCGGTCCGCGCAGCAGCCATCGAAGCTGCGCGAAGACGGCCGGCGCGCGACAGCGCTAGCGGGCGACGTGGTGAGCAGGACGTCTTGCAGGCCCAGTAATCACCGCGCGGACGACGAGAGGTTGGCACAAGAATCAGCACCACCTTGGGCCTCCGAGTCAGCCGGGACGTGGATTCGTGAAGCTTCGGAACCTTGCGGCAGTCGTGCACGCCGTCACGGCCCAATGAGAGTTTACTGCTTCATCGACGCCCTTCGCTCGGGGCCATCCCAAGCCCAGATATGGTAGCGGATGACATATCCGTCACAAGCTATCGACGATGCCTCAAATTCCTCACACCACCCGGCCGTCGACCGCTGTTCCGTTTTCTGTTTATCTGCGCTCGCCGTCCCTCCGCCTTGGTCCTCCTCCTCTGTCCTCCTGATCCTCACCCCGTTTGCGCCGCACTTTCCGTCTCACTGAATCTGCTCACCGCGCGCGGAGGAAAACACGCCCGTGGCCGCCGCTTTTCCACTGCCTCGGCGACGCCTCGCCTTGAAACTCTGAGGCTCTTGCTCGCTGGTGCCACTGGTGAACGGCCCCTAGCAGAGTGTCCCTCGTACTGCCTCCATCCTTTCCAAGCCAGGTCCGGGAAGCAAAAGAAAGAATAGAACAGAACAGAAAGAAAGAAAGTAGAGGACGGCCCTTCCAGCTCTGCATTCCCTCAACCTATCTAGTCGTCAGCGAGGCGCACCAGCTTCTTGAATACATGATTCCTCCGCGCTTCATTTCGCTCTCGCACGCAGCGCTGCTATTAGGGCTGCTGCCCTTAGCCATAGCTTCAGCTCATGGCGACGACCATGCCACAGGCATGGACATGAGCGGCATGGGCGACATGGCCTCTCACCCAGCCCCGACGGCGTCGCACAGCTCTGACGAGCTGCCTTTGAGTTACTTTCGGCTGGGTCAGTATTCTGGATGGATCTATGGTCACATTATTGTCATGTCCTTGACCTGGACAGTGCTTCTGCCTCTAGGTGAGTTTATTTTTAAGTCTTTATTTTTTTTTTTTTTTTTTTCGAAGCTTGTGCGGACCTGTTCCGTCCGCTAACTCCGGGCACAGCAACGGTGTTTAGCGTGGCGCAATCGCGTTTCGCTCTTCCATCGCAGACCATCTTCTTCTTAGCAAACGCGGTGGGCCTGTTCTTGGGCACCGTCTACAATGCCAGAACACCCGATCTGTACGAGAACAATGCCCACCACAAGATGGGATGGATCTTTACCTGGTTTGCCGCCGCCTGGATCGTCCTGGGCGTGATCAACATCTACGCCGGCCGCTTCGCCAAAAACAGGCGTCATTCTGGCCAGCAAATGTCCATTGCAAACATGACGAGGTACCAGCGTCTACAGCACGACGCTGAGGAATCGCCCGACAGACGATGGTCTCGCGACTCTGGACAGGGGACCGAACGCAATTCGGACTCTCTCTTCGGGGCCGGATCTCCAGGAGCCGAACCGGAGCATCCAAGGCCTTTTGCAGAGCCGCTCCCGATGTACAACACGAACGATTTTGATGACGATTCTGGCGAACCGGAAAAGCGCGGATTCCTGCAGAATACGAGCGTCGATCGTTTCCTATCCAGGAACATCCATCGAGTCTCTTCCAAATTCTTGCTAGTAAGCAAGGTCGTCTACATTGTTTTCGAGCGCCTGCTCGTCGTCATGGGCTTCACTGCCCTTCTGACCGGCGTCGTGACGTTTGGCGGACTTTTCGTAAGTGCTAGCACCCCCTTGTCACTTTTTTTCGCTGCCCAAAAAGTGTTCTGCACGCTAACACGCGCTCTAGCACGGTGGGGCCGTTTTTAACGGCTTGGCTCATTGGATCAAGGGTGGCATTTTCTTCTGGTATGGCCTCCTGACTCTTGGCCGCTGGATGGGATCCTTTGCCGACTTTGGATGGGCTTGGAACGTCAAGCCTGGACTTGATCTTGTTCCCAGGTGGAAAACTCGCATCCCCAGCGCCGAGTTTGTGGAGTCCTTGGTAATCGCTCTGTACGGCGTGACCAACGTCTGGCTTGAGCATCTGGCCGCCTGGGGCGGTGCTTGGGCACCTCAGGACTTGGAGCACGTCTCCATCACCATCCTGTTTTTCGGTGGAGGCGTCCTGGGCATGTTGATCGAATCCTCTTCGATTCGCGAGCTGCTTTCAACGCACATCATCAACGTTCACGAAGACGTGATTCAGCATTCGCCTTCCACGTCGGAGGAAGAAACATGGAAGCAGCCAAACAACTATCACGTTCCTCTGAACCCAATGCCAGCCCTCGTCATTCTTCTGCTCGGAATCATGATGGGTTCTCACACTCAGGCAAGTATGATTTCTAGCATGATTCACAAGCAATGGGGCCAACTTTTCGTCGGCTATGCCTTGGCTCGTGGATTCACATACATGCTTCTTTACATCAAGCCGTACACATCATACTTGCCCGCCCGGCCTCCAACTGAGTTGATCGCGTCGTTCTGCCTCGTCGGCGGTGGATTGGTTTTCATGGCCAGCTCCAGGGACGTCGTCGAAGCCATCGAATACAACGGACTGGATGCCATGTTCAGCTTCACTGTCACCATGGGCTTTACCGCCTTGGTCATGGCTTGGGTGGTCATCCTGCTTGCCATCAAGGGCTGGGCTGTCAGAAAGGAGAAGCCCAATGTCTTCAGTCGCCGCATGGGAGCGTCGCAACAAGCCTAGATGTTACCCGTGGACATGTTACAACGCTGACTTCGAGCGATGTAATCTCGCATTGATTCAGCCTGCGTATACCCCCCCCCCCCCCCCCCCCCCCCCCCCCCCCCCGAAAAGCACATTAGACGGGGCTTTCGATAAGCCACCTCGATTCGGAGTGCTTCGTTCATGGTTGTGTGTGTTTTTTTTTTCTCAACATAGTCCTGGTTTCCCTGCAACCGTACCCATACGACGCAAATGCAGCGGCCAGAACAATCCTCTTTGATACCATTAGACTCTGCGCGTCTATGTGAAAAAACAGCGATACGATGAGCCTTTACGGAGGCTTTCATGATACCATTAAAATTATACATACCCTTCAAGCATTCATTGCATCACCTGCATTTTTTTTTTCTCTTCCTCTCATGGGCATTGATCTGCTGGGTAATGGCAGCGACGCTGGCGGCTGAGAAAGGTTTGGTTTTAGACGAATGCACGAAGGAAACGGCAGAGAGGGGAAGAATTGCTTTTGTAGTGGTAATGTCAATAATAATGGAGAACGAGAATCTGTATGTAAACCGCCCGAATTTCTGCTCGCAAAGCTCGCGCGACCTTTCGGAGACCGATATTTTCCATTTTCTATCTCCGAGCGACGAATTATATACCGTGCCCAATGGAGGGGCGCGGGGTGCCCACTTTGGATCAGCACTATAGACGAGGTAAACGTACAATAACAAGCGGGCAATGTAGTCACGTCTGCATCTTTGTCTCCCTCTGCTTTTGAGCAATATGAAGCATCTGCTCTCACGTCCCCCTTTCAAGACTGGACCGTGCAAATTCATAACACAGGACTGCACTTTGTCTCCCAAGGCCCTCTTTTTTTTTTTCTTTCACCTCGACAGATCGACTCCGCCGGACTTGTAAGGCTGGAGTTTTTTTTTTTTTTTAATTTTTTTTAAATTTTTTTTTTGGTCTGTTCGAGGACCGCTCAGAGGCAGAACCAGAGTTCAAAAAAAAAAAAAAAAAAAAAAAAAAAAAAGGCCAAGATGACATCGTTGGAACGGCGCGAGAAGAAAATCGCGCAAGTCGAGAACTTGCCTCCCTCCTTTTCTCCTCCTGCCGATCCGTCACGGTTGGGGAACAGGAAGCGGCGCGTAAAACCCAACTCCTCGTCTGCGCACAACTCGTCATCAGAATGAGAAAGAGGCAGGCCTAACGCTCTTTGCAGAAACAGCGTCCTCCGGGGGAAAAAAAAATTCACACGAAGCCTCATGCGAAAGCAAAGCAATCGACAAGATTGACCGGCTGCAAAAAAAGCTACACCAAAACTATGCCGTCTTTTGTTACCGTTTTTTGGCCTCAATCGTCCACGGCCTTCACATCAGGCGCTGCATAGATCGCCTCGATGGCGGCGGTACCTTCGTCGAGAAGGTCCATCTCGGCCTTCGACACCAAAGACTCCTTCGCAGGGAACAGCAGTGATAGACCCACGTATGTCACGAAGGCACTCAACATGCCGTAGTACCAGACCAGGTCGGCAATGTAAATAGCACCACCAATGTTTAGGTCCGGATTAATGTTGTTGGCCAAGGATGGCATGGCTGGCCCGACGGCGACCAGCATGGCAAGCGCAGCTCGCCAGTTACAGCCGTGCACGTAGCGGTAGCGGCCGAATGGGCGATACAGAGAAGGCACGTCTACTCGGCGACGTTTGACCACCCAATAGTCACCGATCGAGATGGCGATGATTGGAGCGAGGAAGATGCCAAGGCTGGCCATGAAAGTTGAGCAGCGCCCGTGATGATCTTCCATGGCACCATGACCCAACCACCGAGTACTGTCGCAAGGAAGGCTGACCATCGCAGGTTGAAATACTTGGGGACCAGCGATGTCATGTCGTTCGAAAAGCTGATCACGTTGGCGGACACGTTGACGCCAATCTGGGCAAGCACCCAGCCAAAGCCGCAGTAGAAGGCTCCGGCACGGGCAGCCGGGCTCGTCCACTGCGAAGCAATAGTCAGTGGATCCCAAATGTATGAGCCCCAGACCACCTTGCTCGTGGACGCGCTGATGATGCCGAGAAGCGCGAAGAGAAAGCAGATAACGGGAAAGAAGACGGTCTGCCAGAAGGTGTTTCGCGGGGTCTTGACGTAGCGAGTGAAGCCGGAGATATTTGTGCCTACGGTGCTTCAGCTACCGGTTTGCGCGTTGACCGTGTACACGATAATCCAGGACTTTGCTGGGCCTGTCACTGCCGGAGCCTGACTCCAGATGTCGCCAGAGCCGTGCGCCATTACACACACCGCGATTGTGGTGCCAACTGCAGCGGTTATGCAAACAAAAGCCTTCAGCACAAAAAACCACTTGAGTTTGTGTGGCCGGATGAGCAAGAATGGCAGCTGGATAGTCCAAAAAAGGAAATGGCTTAGAAGGCCTTGGGTGGTGATGCCAGCGCTGGCGGGGAGGTGATTGGGGATCTTGAGATAGCTTGGCCAGATGGCAGCCAGCATAACCGTGAGTGCCGTAGAACCGGTGTACGTCTGCATGGAGTGCCAAAACAGCGCGGTCACCATTCTGCAAGCAACCGGAACCTTGCCAAACTGATACCCAAAGGCCAAGCGGATCCAGATGGGGAAAGGCACGCGTAGGTAGGCGCCCGGCGCGCCGTTGAAGGCCATACATAAGCTCATCACACAGGAGCCCAAAAGTACACAGTAGATTGCCTCGCGATAGGTGAGGCCGATAGCGAGAACAGAGGAGCCAATCTCCCAAGATTGCGCCGAAAGCTGATCGATCTTTAGTTACAGCAGACAAAGATCCGGAGACGGTAAGTTTTACTTACAACATCGCTGACCCAGTATCCGAGAACAGAAAGTGGAGTCCATGTACGCCGCTCGGGCGGAGTGACGTCCATGTCAATATTCGTCCATGTCCCCTCTGGCGCATAAGAGGTTGTTTCTTTTGGGAGGATCCAACCCGACGCATGACGCTTCTCCTTTAGTGACACGTTTGCGTCGTGCGCCCGTCTCTTGAATGCACTTTGTAGTTTTTCCATGTTGCGAAATGGCACGACTGGCCTGTGAGGCAAGTGTTATCAGCTGCGGGAGTCATATTTGTAGCTGGTGTACCTCAGTAACTTCTAGACAACTGAGTGCTACGGTATTTTGACCAGGTGCCCAATGAGAAGCGAAATGTGAAAGCGGGAAAGTCCGCATGGCTATCGTTATGTATCTACGGCTAGGATAAGTTGACTTTAGCTTGGAACTTTTCGTTCGGAGTACTCGCCGTGCGTAGATGTCCGAAGTGGACTAACCTGCTGGCAATCTTAACGTTCGGAACACCGTAGATCTGCCAAATCGTGGGGATGGCTCATCGGGTTGCTGTTGAGACTGACGGCCAATTGATGGCACAGTAGAAATTTTCCGAGCATAGCACACGTTGCATATATAATAAGATATAGCTTACTTTGGCGCAGGAGTAATGAAACATTGTGCGAGAGAAGCTCCCGACCTCTCCAAACTCGACAAAGGATGTACGACGTCCGCGACTTGACCGTCGCAAAAGCACATGATGCTTTTCGCAAAGGGCCGTGCAGCTGTAAAGATCTGACGGAAATGTACCTGGATCGGATCGTCAGACTGGACAAATCTGGGCCAAAAATATGTTCCACGCTTGCTCTCTCCTCGACCGCGCTTGACGAGGCCGCCTCTCTGGACGCATACTACCGTCGATATGGACGATTCAAGGGCCGACTCCACGGCATCCCCATCCTCATCAAGGACCAGGCCGACACCAGAGGCATAGAGACCATGTACGGCTCAATCGCCGCGAGAGGCAACGTGCCGGAAGGAGACGCGTTCGTGGTCAAGAAGTTGAAGGACGAAGGCGCCATCGTTCTCGGAAAGACCACCATGAGCGAGTGGGCCTCCACGTGGTCTTCGGCGAGCACGGCGACGAACTGGGAGTTCACGCGCAACCCGTACAAGACGGACCACGACGTCGGGGGATCGTCGAGCGGGAGCGCGGCGGCGGTCGCCGCCAACTTCGCCCTTCTCGCCGTGGCGGAAGACACGGTACGCACGTATTTCCACGACGCTTGCGGCACGAAGCAGCACTAAAAGATGCCTCTTAGGGCGGCAGCATCAGATGTCCGGCCAGCTTCCGCAACCTTGTCGGCATCAGGTGCACCCCGGGGCTGATCAGCCGGAGCGGGTTCTGTCCGCTTGTCAAGGTCCAGGATAACGCCAGGGCCAGTTGCGAGGACGGTGAGCGACTGCGCACTTATGCTCGACTGCATGGTTGGCTACGATCCTGCCGATGACTTCACCGGTGTCAACCTGGTGGCAGCCGCGCCGAAAGGAGGGAGTTACTCTGCCGGCCTCGACCCAGACAAGATCAAGTCCGCCAGGATAGGGCTGGTTCGCGAGCTGTTTGGGCCGGATTCAAACCCATACTGCAGGGCCGTCAATGCCGTCGTTGAGGGCGCCATGTCCAAACTCCGGGCCTCGGGAACAACCTTCGTGGATGTCTCGATTGACAATCTCAAACACCACATGACCTTCACGCCCAACTACCTCCAGATGTCGAGGTCGGACATCAACGCCTTCCTCGCCACCAAACCACATCTTCCTCAAGACATCGCAGAGATTGTCCCGAAGAAGCCGCAAAAGATGTTCCTGGACTTCACCTCGATGATGGCGCACGGCCCAGAGAACCCCACCGATGATCCATTGTACGTTGAAAAGCTGTTGGACAGCGATCGCTTCCAACGAACGCTGAACTGCCTCATGCTCGAGAAGAAGCTCGATCCGTCGGCTTTTCCCGACTGCCAGGTCCCGCCGCCTAGACAGGAGGACGCGACCAATGGACGGTTCCCAACTTGCTGGGACTTCCCTATCAATACATTGCTAGCAAGTCAAGCAAGATTGGCCGCAGTGACCGTTCCGGCCGGGTTCACCGAGGAAGGCCTACCTGTCGGCCTGGAATTCGTAAGCTGGGAATACAGAGAGAAAGAGTTACTAGAGCTAGCAAGAGGAATGGAGGTCATTGTTGACGCCAGGAGGTCACCTCCGCCTCCCCTTTAGAGCCTTGGCCGTTTTCAAAAAGCATTCAAGTTTTCTAATGTCAGAGACGGCCGTGGCGCGTAGAAGACATCGCTATTCTATATTCTATAAAAGAATTGGTGTACGCCCGCCCTTCATAAAAGACGCCTTTTCACCATTCTATCCAGCCAAACATTCTGTCGACTAGCCTGGATGATGGCGTCGACCAATTCTTGATTTCCCTGACTCCTAATCAATATCTCGCCATGGTTGTAGTCCCTGTGAAATACTATACGTCCATCGCAGGTGCGTTTGTTCAGCTCGGATCTGCCGTTCACTTCCAATTTTGCGCTTGAACTGTCCATGAAACCATTCTTCTTCAAATATTGTCGAAGCTTCTCCGCGTCTATGATCACATCTTTTCCAGCCAGAAAGACGACCACTGGCCGATCGGCAATTTCCTCCAGCCAAAGCACATTTTGAGTCCAGTCAAAAAGCCGCATGATGGACGGGCATACGCCAATGTCTCTAGAGGCGAAAGAGCAGAGTAACTCACTTGCATTTCGCGGCTTGCGGTAGATAAAGTTGTATGGGATCTCGGCGAAATGAATCGATAACGTGACCGGGTCGACCAAGACGAGAGAATGCTTTTGGGTTGGGCATTCTCTGGTTAAACGGCGAAGCAGATGCGTTGCCAGTATGCTGCCAAATGAGTGCGCGACAATGACAAAGTCGGTCCAGCCATGAAAAGCCAAGATGTTCCGGATCTCGTCGACCATCTCCTCGCGGGGCATCAGTGTGTCCGTGATACGGAAGCTAATGGGCATGATTTCGAGAGCTAAGATGCCGATTTGTCCATCCTCACAGCCACGACCGATCTGGGCTAGCAACGCGTGCAGAAGTCCGGTGTATAATTGGAGGCCAATGCCAATCCCGTGGATGAAAAGAAGCGGCGAATGTTTCCGCGACATGTGTGGGCGATACCAGTAGGAGAGCTTGGGAGAAGGAGAGATGGTGCCAGAGCATAGAGCAAGTGGACGCAGTGGAAACATTCTAAATGCCGAAGTGATTGGAAGCCGGTAATGCGTAAAGGACATGTTGGACATGAGTATATGGCATAGTGTGTCCGCGATGCTCACGGTCAGCTGGGCTGATTAGATCATTTCACGAAGAGCCATCTAAAAAAGAAATTCCCTTACCATGTAGTAAATGAGAGGCTTGTGTTGTATGCACAATCGATCCGTCGACACTCTGCAAGGCTCAAGCTGATTCGAACCGGATGGATATGACCGCCCCGTCCTCATTTCAATCTCACGCAGGTATTCTTCCAGTTCTTCGTCATCTTCTACGTCAACCCGAGTCTTGTTGAAGAATCCCCAGGCAAGGAACGTCTTCACGTTCTCTCTGAGAAGCAGTGAGACCTCCAGTCCCTTAAACCAGATGGAGAACCACCGGTTTAGATCTGGAATCGTTTCAATGCATTTGTAAAAGAGCTCTCGTCTCTCCTCGCGTGTCCTGGGGGTGAAAGCCGGCGGAAGTTGGTCCAAAACATATCGCCTTGGAAGGAAGAAGAAGAGATAGAAGAGAGTCTCCAGCAAAGCTAGATGAGCAAAAATGGCGGGTACGGGCACCAAGTGGTTCGAGACGAGCCGTAAGACGGTGACGGCAATGCAAAGAGGCGTGACCATAGAAATGGTTTCGAGGGCAAGCCATAGCGCAATGAAAGTGAGGTAATCATCTTTGAGCATGACCAGATCCGTCGTGATGGAGGGTGGAAAGAGAGAAAGGAAGAGATGACATCCTGAAAGCCCAAAAGGCTGTGAGCTGCCGTTTCGAAGGACGAAGGCGCAAGTGCAAAGCTGTTCAGCTGCACGTACGGGTGCGAAATGCGAGCTAGAGCTGTAAGACGACGATCGCAGCGTACGAAAACTTTCTCAGCTGAAGATCTCTGCGCAGCCTCCAATCCATTTCGCCTCTGCGCGTCGAGAGATCAGGCGCTTCGTAGTGCCGTACAGGTGGTACCCACATTGCGACGCACTTGCTGCAAGTCGTTGCTAGTTGATGGAGAAAAGCAACGAAACCAGCAGTGTGCAGGTAGCAGGCTTGAGCCTTTTTTGCCCCTTATCACCGTGAAGGCCGTCCACCAAGGCCGCAGAAAGTTCTGAGAGCCTTGGACTTCGAAGAGGCCCTTCGCTTCGCCTGTGAGACAATCGGCGGCGAATTATCGCGCAAGCAGGAGATTGGATGTCGAAGGATCGATCAGAGAGATTCGGAACGGAGCGAAGCGGCACTAGCCCACTTCGAGAGGCTCAGCTAGCCACTCAAAAGTCCAACTACGTTGACTGATTTGCAGATTCCACACCGATGGATGGGACTGAGAAACGTTCCGTCGGCCAGTCAGTCAGGGGCAAGCAGATGACGACATGGTAATTTAACTTACTCCGTCGCAGCACATACCTCTATTCTCCTTTGAACCTGTATTGCCGTCTGTGTTTCTCAACCGCGAGGCAAAAGAAATGGAGTTGATCATATGAATCACCCAGTGTAAATAGTTCGTCGCCAATTCAAACGATGCCATGAATTCCACAGTACGCAACCAACGCCGCAGCATACACACTTTGGTTTGAACCATGCAGTTCGCCCTGTACAGAACGCGGAAATGTGTCTGTCATCTTCGTTGATAGCATAGAAGTACGTAGGATGAAAAATTAGTAGGATGGTGGAACGTGGAGAAGCTTGCAAGGTTTTTGCAGCACAGTGCGGACTGACATTAAACGTTTGCTATCTCCAAAGTGAGCATACTGTATAAGACCAAGTCATCTATGTATTCCTTTTGCGTGGAGCAACTAAACGCGAATCAAGCAATAGACAGGCTCTTGTTTGCCTCGCCATAGCCAACGACGCCCATTTTATAATATTTACTTTGTCACTCATATGAATCACGTGATGGATGGCGCAGCCAGCATAACACCCTCCACAAAAGCAGAACAAGGAATGAGGAAACCCAGCAAGTTGAGTTATTGGGTTCCTGTGGAAAATTCGTCTCATACTGCCTAAGTACGCAGTTGAACACAGTTGACGATCTGATCGATCGATACGAAGATTGTACGAAGAGCTTGGATTTGTTGAAAGCCTTTTGCTTTGGTTGGAAAAGTAAAAAAGGACTGCTTCAAAACCCAACGCCCCGAGAAACCTGATTTGTTCCCTCCTAAACGAAGAACGGCCAGGTTAACCTTCGATGTTGTGATCGAGGTGCCCGACACGATCTCGTGATTATCGTGGACGACGGACGATAATTGCTTAATGGCAAGCTTTTGTAATCCGAGGTAGCATAGTCACACTGGGTGACGGACTAATTTAGAAGTCTTTGGCCCAAATATCGCCGCTATGATGCATCAAGTCTTGATTCACAGCATGTTCGTCAGATGATATCCCAGACGTCCTCGGCTGCGTGGCAGAACTTGCTGCACGCAACGCTTGCAGACAAACTGTAGTTGGAGATGGAGATCGAATCATCTTTGAACTCATCTGCAAAATCGTCTTTGCCTTTCGCCATGGCACCGACGAAGACACAAATGCTTTCCTTGGGTCCGAGAGTCTTGATGTAGTCACGGACGCGGACCACCTCGGCCTCGAAAGAAAGTGTGACCTTGCGACAATTGGGGGGTAGGTGGTCCGTAATAGGGTTCTTGATGACGCGCAGTAGCTTTTCCTGAGATGTCGTAGAGCGAATGGAGAGGCGGTGAAGCAATTGCACCATGAGACCGGCAAAGCGCTTAAACGTTCGAGGAATCCGGACCTGTGGATTGACCTCGATCAGGACACCTTTGGCTGTGTGGATGTAGATCTGGAGCTTTCCGGCCTTGTTTATGGGAGAGTCGAGCAGCGTTAAAAGACACTAGACCTGGTCAGTACTTGCAAGCGAAAGCGATTCGACGAAGAGTTACTTGATGAGTGATGTCAGGTCGTGCATCACTGATGTCTCGGCCCATTTTGCGCATCACACCAATGTGCTCGTCGCTGTTGAGCAAGGAGTACTTCTCCTCACGACCCGGCCCTTGCCTTGGGCCGTGAGAGGCGCGATACGTTTCTAGGCTGGCATTTGAAAGCACAACAATCAGACGCTGGGAGTCCTTGTCAGTGTACGGAATGGGCGTTGCCTGCTCGGCAACCAATTGTGGCAGCTCCGGTGGAGGCAACGACTGTGTTCCTACGAGTTGAAAACCCGGTATGTCAGCCAACTGAGCGACCATGGTAGATTGACGTTGATATGGATGATGTAAGTGATGTAGCCCCGTCGACTGCGGAGCTTTTCAGTCGGCGAAAACGAGCTGGACATAAGGGAGGACATCATGACGTCCATTTGACCTAAGAATTACAGTTGGTGTAGCCATCTCGAGAAGCTTCATGTCAACCAGACAGGCGCGGATGAAGAAGTGTGGGGAAGGGACAAAGGATTTCTGGCGGCCTCCAAACATTTGATGCAAAACGGTCGTGTGGGTAAAACCTACTGGTTCTCTTCCGCTCTGGGCCGCCGGTACTCAGACTGCGCCTCAAGAACTGGCCTTCCACGGACTTTTTCTCCATCATACCGTCGTCCACGGCCATGCTCGCTGCGGAGTTGAGGGGAATTATTTCCTCGTAAGGACACACACACACACAAAAAAAAAAAAAGCAGCCCTTGGCTTTACCTGTGGAATGCTCTTTAAAAAGTTAGAATCTACCGTGCCTGACTTTTGCTAGTCACTCGGAAAGACCGGACAAAAGCTGGGTTGTTTTGGTTCGCGAAGGAAAGGGAGAGGGACGAAGAGAGAGGGCAAAAGAGAGGGAGAGGGAGAAGAGGGCGCGTTTGCAGAGATTCTCGCCGGGTATATTGTTTAAAAGCGCAGATCTTGTGAGATGATTTTTTTTTCCCACTCCAGTCCAGGCGTCTAAACTAATCTCGGAATTTCGCGTTGTGGTACGCTAGTCCCGTTCGGGATGCAACATCGCTTCCCCACCGCCTGAAGGTGTATCAAGTAGATCGAAGCTTCCGGCCGAAACGTATACTAATCGGCATGGCGTCACAGGCAGAGAAAGGCTTTTGAAGCACGAGGAAGACCAGTTGCTCGGTATCAAAGCTTACGACCGCAAACGCAAAGAAAAGGACAACAACTCAACCCAACTACTTGGAGAACGTTGCGTGTGTCTCTACCCTACCTCGCTTATTCGTAAAATTATGACGGGAAAGTCGCCGAAAAGTGTGCCGCTCTCACCAGCGTCTTGCATCCAAAGAAGCCAAAAAACGTAGTTGGCCGAGGCGGGAACGTGGAAGCAGAAAGATTAGATATTCCATTGTCTGAACGCCAATATGACCAAAAGCCGTAGATACAGTTTTCCCAGTATCATGATGAATTAGCACTCGAGCCTTAAATGCACACACATATCGCTCTAGTATCATCTCCAAGGCCTAAACCAAAAAAGGCTTTTTTATCCCAGCTTTCCATTCGTCACGACCACGGCGTGTCAGATAGGTGATACAACAAACCGACGAAAAAAAAGGAAAACACGACAGCAATGTTTACAACTCGTCGCGTGCATCGACCTGGCCGTCGTCCACGATAGCCTCAGCAACATTCTCAACAGCCTCCTTGACCTTCTCGACAATGGGAGTAGCAGCAGGCGCTTGCTTGGGCATGTCGCTGGCAGCCTCTGTGGCAGCCTTTGCGGCCGAGTGGTCAACGCCGTGGCTACCGTTCTCCTTGATGAACTTGGCAAGATCCTCAACTGTACGTGCGCCGGAGTACGCAATTGGCGAGTCCTTCTTTCCGGCAGGGTACAACTTGATGGTTGGGAAGCCCTGGATCTCATCTGGAACGTCGTTCAGGGTGGCGTCAACCTTTGCAACAACAACCTTGTCAGAAAATGGCTTGAAGAGCTCACCGAGCTCATCGTACTTTGGAGCAAGACTGACGACTCGTTAGTTTTCTTGCCTTTCAAAAAGGAACATTCATAGTCAAGAATTGGAAACGTACGCTTTGCAGTGACCGCACCACGGAGCATAGAACTCGATCAGCACATCCTTCGAGTCATCGAGGACAATCTCATCGTAATTCTTGGCCACAACAATGGTGACAGGACCGTCCTGTTTCTCGGGGATGGGCTCAGACTTGACAGATGGCTCGACCTTGCCGCTGGCAAAATCGTCGACAAACGCGCCGATGTCCTCGTTGGTGATCTTTTTGGTCTGCTCGTATGGGAACTTCTGGTTCTTGACGGTGTCCTGGATCGCGAAGGCGGGCCACTTGCCGACTTCGAGGTTGAGGTTGCCAGCGTGCTGTCCGAACGCCTTTGCGTCAATGACGGCGAAGTTGATCTTGCCCTTGTGCTTCTCAGCAACCGACTTGAGCTCCTTGGACAACTCCTCGCGCTCTTCGGGGGTCTCGGCAAAGATGTAGGCGAGGGGAATGCCGGCGGACATGTAGCCAGAGTAGGTCTCTGGGCCAACCTCTCCAATCAACGGAGTGGCTGCTGCCTTGACGAACTTCTGAATAGCCTCCTTCTCGAACTTTTCGTCGAACGTGTTCTTGCCCTCGTCGAATGTCTTGTACAGCACGATGGAGGGGGTCTTGACACCCTCGGCTTCGATCACGTCGGCGTTGCTGACGGCGCCGAAGAGGTAGCTGTCACGAAGAGAGTTTGCAACCGAGGTGAATGTCTCGTTCGACGCCTTGTCGTCCTTGTCGAAGTATGCGATGACGACGACCTTGTCCGCGGTCTTGAAGTCCTCGAGGGTGTCCGAATCGAGGACAGAGACGGCCGGGAGGGCCTGCTTTGTCATGTATGAGACAATGCTGGCAAAATCTTCGTCAGCGAGTGGAAAGAGGGAGCCGTTCGTTGATGCAACTTACGCAGGAGCCTTTCGTGCACCGCTGTACGGCGAGATGTTGTCCATGCCGCGGAAGATCTTGAGCGTCGGGTAGCCCTCGACGCCGAACTGCGAGCACAGCTCCGACTCCTCTGTGCAGTCGACCTTGGCCAAGGGGATATTCTTCTCCTTGAGCGTTGTAGCGGCCTCCTCGTACTCCGGGGCAAGTGCCTTGCAGTGTCCGCACCATGGTGCGTAGACTTTCCTTACGCATTAGTAAACAACAAACCACCTCAGGAACGGGAGCAGTCGACGCACATTCCGCGAGAACAAGATCGTTCTCCTTGACGAAGGCCTCGAACGTGTCCTTCTTCAGTTGGTGTACGTCGCTCGCCGCGGCGACGGCAGCAAAGGCCGCTGCTGCTAGGGCATGGTACCTCATGATGTAAAGTCGGGAGAGCTCGACAGCGAGGCTGACGGAACGGCTCAAAAGGAACGAGTGGGATCAGAAGAAAAGGACAGGGCAAGGGGGGGAAGAGACGTTGAAGTACTCGACGTTCGAGCGGAGGAACGCGTGTCAAACCAAGGTACGATCACACCGATTGCAGCGGATGTGCGATGGTTTATGAAGAGGCGACTCCCGCTGCACCGACCTCTGCGAACTGACATATTTGGCCTTTTGGCAGCATTTCTGAATTGGGATCTAGCGCCGCCTGTGCCCTTCGCAGGGGTTCCGGATTGGCGTCGAAGCGGGCCCAAGGCTGGAGCGGCGCCGTGGTGACCACTCACGCAACGCCAATTCCTCCCGTCCCCTCGTTCTCCCTTCGCCTTTGCGCTCCATGCTAATAATGCCTTGAGAGGCCAGCTCCCTATCGATCCCTTGTTTCACTGTCCTTCTTTTCTTCGCCTACGTGCAGTTCGTGCCCTCGCCGTTCTGGACTGGTCGTGCCATTGCCTCGCCCCCAGCATTCGTGCCGTGAGCAAGCGTCCTTGCCTCTGGCTTCCGGCGTCCCTTCTCTTGGCCGCCCCCCCGTAGTCCTGTAACAAAAGGCCAAGGAGATCAAGTCCGTATCCAAAACGCGTGATCGGCAACCCACCCGCATTGCTCGCGTGAGCTGCGGCCAAGTCCCTATGGAACGCTTAATGAGACTGGGCTCAAAATGTGGCACATCCAAAAAAACACGTAGTTCTAAGCAAGCAAAAGTCGAGTGGTGCCAAGTGATTACTATTCAAACTTGCGAGGTGTGCAAAATCAACACCCGCACAATGCCAATGTATAACAATGCTATGCATCAAACCACATTGCGCCGAGAGAATGCTGACCGCAACACAATGCCAAATGAAGGACGACTCTCCATCTATTCTCCGCGCGACGCGACCGATGCCACAGATCTCCAGATAGTTTGCTACGTGACGAACACATTTGTAAAGCCGCAATGAAACAAAGGGACATTATCCCCTCCGCTCGTCATCTTCCTCGTCGATTAGATGTATCGGACCTGGATCGTTTCTCGCATACTCGTGGCTGCTTTCTAGCGCCTCTGCCTCTTCCAATTCCTGAGCCATTGCAATTCCATCTCTCCTGCCCCGCTCGACGTCGACTAACAACATCAGCGGAAAGGGTAAGCCTATCAAGACAGCCAAGAACCAGAACGCCTGTGATGTTATCAGCTTTATCACTTCTTGTTATCGTCGCCCTTTTCGCGACCGCGACTACGTACTGGTCTGATTTCGCCCGTGGCATCGGTAATGGCACCCACAATGGCCGGACCAAAGATGCTGCTTCCTTTGTCTGTGATGGCGTACAGCGCGTAGAATGCGGCCTCAAAACCAGGAGGAATGAGCTCGCCAAAGAAAGATCTGCAGAAGCTTGACAGACCTCCCATGACAAAGCCGTACACAGCACCTAGCGGGTACATTTCCCACGGTTGTTGCAAACCAAGTACTCCTAGTCTGCGTATCGCAGGTATGTAACCGAGTAGCCCATAGATCGGGATAAGTTCGAAGAGGCAGATGCATGCCAAAATCGTTTGCCCAGGTCGTAGTCCAACCATGACAGAGAGCTTGCTCCATGTGAAGGCGCCTGCGATGCCAGATACTGTTGCCGTGACCGTGATCAGTGCCAAACTGGCGGGTTTCATCTCAAGGCTCGTCTTTGCAAATAGAATCGCCGTGCCGCTCACCGTCGCCACCGCATCGGAAATCATAAACCACGCGCCCAAGAACAGGAGGACATCCTTCAAGCGCCTTGCATGTCTCACAGACCGCCAAAGCGACTTCCAGGAATACTTGAAGTATTCCCATGCCGTTCCCATGTTGCTCTTGTTTGGATCAAGGTGCAGTGGTGGGCCGGGTCGTGACCGCAGCCAAAACGCGACGGGAATCGTGAAGACAAACCACCATGCGCCAATTATGAAGAGAGCGAGGCGGAGGGAGAAAAGAGTGGATTGCATGAGGCGTACTGCCATGATGCACGCCGCTTGTACTATAAGTGCGGCGATGTAACCTATGCCGATGCCGTAAGATGATATCCGTGTCGAGAGGCGCAGTTCTCGCGAAGTCGAAGTCGGAGGTTGCCGGTCATCATCCTTTACTGCTGTCGGATCGCTTGACAGAAGGGCTGTCGTCTCTTCTGGCCCTTCCGGACTTTCCCTCTCATTCTCGTCTACTGACGTTTCCGAGTATTCCTCCTCGCTCGAATCGTCCAAGAGCACCTCAGGGTGATGTCGAACGAGGAGCGGCAAGAAGGAGTTCAGAAGCACAAAAGACGCACCGAAGCACGTGTTCGCAATGATTGCAAGCAAAGCCCCAAGTACGAGCACTGCAGGCACTATGGGCAGAAACAGCATTGTCGCCGTACTCCCAGCAAATGCGAAGGTAAGAAGGAAGGTCTTTCTGAATCTACCATGGTCTGCAGCGCCGGACATGGATATGATGATCAATGCCTGGACGAGCACACTTATGGAGAACGTGTACATGGCGAAACTGGCAGTGTTGATTTCCACGCCCAATATATCTACTACACATTGCTGTGCATCGCCCGCGGGCGGCTTTGCAAAGTTCGCCGTCGAATTCGGGAACGAGGCCGGTACGTGTACCCCCGCAGTGCACGGCTTGCTTCTGTCGTTCTCTTGCCATCCTCGTTCTCTCGCCAGCTGTTCGAGCGTGATGGGGATGAAAGATCCCATACCGCACACGACGAAAACCTGCAACGATCCACGAATGTCAGCTTCGAGCCATCGATGTTGCATGTCAGCAGCACGACACGCACCTCAGCGGCCCATCCATACATGAAGAATCCCCTCAGCTCCTTGCTGCTCGTATATCGCGTGTCCTCGCCTTCGTACATGGGCCTCTCCGTCGCATCCCGAACAGTGCTGCTGTCCGGCCCCATGCTGAACAAGTCGTCGTCGTCGTCGTCGTCGTCCTCGGCTGGATCGTCAGACTCGCTTAGCGAGCGTTCATCGTCGGCCTCGTTGCTCTGCGTGATGCTTAGCGCATGTACGCTCGACGCTTTCGATGTCGAGGATACGTCGCAGAGACGCGGCTGTATCTGAGGCTGCAGCGGAGGCTGTAGCGGATGCGGGATTCCAGGTGACGGAGCTCGAGGCTCCATCTGCCTGGCGGGCGCGGGCTGGGATCAGCTAGCTAGCTGCGGCGGCGCGTCATGCGTGTGGTGGACCCTGAACCTCTGGCCTGCCCTTTTGGGTCCGCCAAAGTCAAAAGCAGCAAAAGGGCGAGAGGAGGCTTTCACAAGGCGGGCGAGTCTGGACAGCGAATGCCGGAAGAGGGCATGTCGGTGGAATAAATGGTGGAGCAGACTGGACTACGTGGTATCTGGATTTGACGTCCGGAGGGAGAGGGACGGATCTGCCCTCCCGCACGCCTGCTACTATTTAACGACCGTCACAGATAGTGCGGCCAACCCACCTGGTCCTAAGCAGATCAGGCGCTCGCAGGAGCAGCGCAGGAAAGCTCCCATATCGAGAGGTGGTGCGTCTCAATCGGGACTAAACACCAGCCGGGGCCGGTGACCTGTGATCTCTGATTGAACCGGGATTATTGATATGAATTGATTTCTTTATCTGCCCGGTGCTGCTAATGGAATTTGCCCACCGCCCTTGTCCCCAGGAGGTATTCGCAAGATGCCTATGAGGCTACGGATGGGCAGCTCGCATTGACCCAGCAGAACGAATGGCAGGTCCTCTAGCTGGCCATGAGCCGATGATAGCGTGTAGCATCTTGCATAAGCTGGATGCGAAACGGTAGGTATGGAGCGCTTGACGGCGCGACGGATGACGAGATTTTGGGGGGCGGAGGCTGGCCCTTTGCAGCTAGGTGAGGCAAGCCATTCAAGCACTTGTTAGCTGAACGCAGACTCTTTTACGGCTTTTTGCAAGCTGACTTGCTTGAAGTGGTGGACCTTTTACACCTGCAAGAAGCAGAGTCTGCTGCTTCGAATCATTTGCCGGAGGCCAGACGGTTCTGCGCGGCCGTGACTCCAATGTAGGTTACGCCCTTCTAAGATGCGTAACTCGGAATGTATACTCTCTTGACCATCCCATCTGCTGGAATTCAAAATTCCTTCGTAGTAGAAAGAAAAATGACCCAGACCTGGACCGCCTTCTTGGCAACAACGGCAAAACGGGCAATAGCCTGCTCACGCCTCATCGTTCAGTAGGAGCTATGGAATGCAAGAGTAAAAAAATTGAGTGGTATGCGCAAAAGCGTGCCGTTGCGACGGTGGGAGCAAAGGCCACCATTGACAGCGGGAGTCAAACCGTCGTGACAAGTTGACTCAGAAACGGGCAGCTACACCGAGTAGACACACACACGAGCGCTCTCACATGACGAGAGACATGGGAAAAAGAACGACACGAATGTCGTTTTCATCACCCGCAGCAGTTGGCATTAGCGAACGAGCATCTCGACGTGAGGTCAACCCCTCGGAGCGGGATGCTCGACAGCGGTACAACATGGTGTGGAATTAGCACGTGTTGTCCGTCGGTTCGAAGATCTGGTCTTTTTGGAGAGGGGAAGACAGAAAAAAGGGGATGAGGGACAGTGGAGATGGAATACGACGCTTCTCTTAAGAGGTTCAAGAGGAGGAATTACGAACATGGGCTTGAATGACGGGAGAAACGGGCAGGCAAAGGATGGAAGCGCCATGCACGGGTTAAGCGATCCAATGAAAGGCGATGGGTCTGCTGAAGTCGTCCCTTTACGGGGGGACAGGCATTGCGGATGAAACAAACAATTGCTGTCGCACGAGGAGAGAAGCGCACGACCAGAGCAGATTGCACGGTCTGCGATGTTTCAGACGGCGCTGAAGGTCGACGAGCACAGCACGGGGTGGTGGTGCAGCGCAGAGGGCGTGGCCAGAGAAAAGGCCCGAGGAGATTCGACCAGGACCGGGCGCAGAACAACGGACGAGACATCGCAGACGCAGCGTCGGACGAGGCGAGAGCGCAGCCGTGGGTAAGGCACGGAGCAGACGGGGCAAGACGCAGTGGGATCGGGCAAGACACAGAAGCAGAGCAGCCGGGCGACAGAACCGGGCGGTCATCGTCAAATGGGCTCGGTTCGCGCACGGCGATACGTCACAGGAAGAGACGGCGACTTGATGGCAGCAAGCGCCTGAGCCGCGCGTGTAGGCGAGCGCAACAGGAGACTCGGGCGGCGCCCCCAGGCAGGTCTGGCGTGGCGGATCCAAAGAAGCCAAAAGACACTTGAAGCGCGCCAACGTAGAAAGTCTGCAGTCTGGTGCTTCGCATCTCGCCCCGAACACCATCGACCACGAGGCCCCCTCTCCATCGTCACCGTCGACCATTCACCCTGCAGTCATCCGTGGCAACATCGTCGGCAGCGCAGCCCTGTTGTTTGGCAGTCTTTTGCGGGTCTCTTTTGATTGGCCAGACCCGGCCTCCCGTCTCTCCAAATCCCGCCCTAGCACGATCCTTCTAATTGCTCGCAAGCGAGCGAACAGCTAACGCCCGAACGACCTCACCCTTCACGACACCATCCCCAACCTCACCCGCATGTGACGTTCCCACTGCGTCTTTCAACGCTACTGCGCACGCTGCCGCTCGTCGACTGTCTCGCGCCGACTGTCGCGCCTCCACCGTCGTCGTTCCCTTGTGCTATCTTCTCACTCCGAGGACCGCCGTGTGATGCAATTCCGCATTCCAACCGCTTCGACCACCAGACTCTCCTGAATACGTTGTCGCAACCTCGATCCCGCCCGCAATTTGCTCGCCTTCTTTCACGTCGCAATCGTCCGCGCAGCCGTGGCCGTCGCCGACCCTCCAGCGTTCTTGCACACGCCGCTTTGTTGACTGGCTGAGACGCTTCTCTGGCATCCGGCCCGCGCTTCGCCTACGGATCTGCCCGCTTCCTCATCTTCTAGGCACCTACCACGTCGCGTGACTGTTCAAGGTGCAAGAAGGCTTGACCTCTGAGAGCCACGGCGATCGCGCCGCTGGAGGAGACGGCGGGAGCCAGGAAGGAATGCCAGGCCGGCTGCTGAAGATGACAACAAACGGCGTGGAAGGCGCAGACCATGTCGTCAACGGCAAGCAGTCGCTGCCAGGCGCCGTACAACCCGCCAATGAATCGAGCATACCGGGCTTAGGCAAGCGTGCAAGTGACAACGCGCTCGTAAATGGCGACTCGCATCTCCCTGGCCTGGGCGCATATCCTACGCCCAACGGAGTATCGCCGTCTAGCCCAGCAAAGACGGCGCTGCCGGACTCGATGTACGATCTGCCTGAAGAGGTCGTTCATATCACCACCGGCGTACATTCGCTGGGCGCTCTCATTCAGAGAGTTTCGGCCCAGTGTTTTAACGAGCTTGAAGCTACGGTGGACCAGCTCGCACGCTTACCACTTCAAATCCCGTCGCCCATGGCCAATGGCGCTGGCGGCATCCACCAGACGCCGACGCTTTCGGGCAAAGACGAAGAGCGCAATAAACAAAAGAAAGGCCTCATCCTCAAGTTTGCGAGCGACTTCCGCGCAAAGTTCATCAAACTGCTCGTGCTCACAGATTGGGCGAAGCGAGACCAGAAAGACGTGAGTAAACTGATAGACCTCAAAAATTGGCTTGTCGTCCAGGACGACGCGGCTCTGCAAGCAGGAAACTGGTTCTACAATATCATCAAGGACCTGAGATCCTTCAAACTCGCGAATCCAGACCTGGAAACCGCTCTTGCGGTGCTTTCCAAAGGCGATGTACCGTGGTTACCGCATCTTGACTTTCGAGAGCAGAAGGCCCTCTCACCGGAAAGTACGCTGAAAGTGCTACGGCAAATGAACGCAATCATAAATCTTCGGTTGGTTCTCCATGAGGAGCTAATTCCGCAGCTGCGCGACTATCGGGTCGCGAACGGTCGGGCGACCTTCACTTTTCCCCAAGAGTTTGAGCTGGACGTGTACGTAGCCAGCGAAGATCCTGAACAACCGTGGTACTTCCTCGATGTGCGGTTCTTGTTCGAACCCGCACCGCAGATGAAGGGCGAGAGATTGCGAGCGGTAGTCGATTCGCGAATGAACATGGCATTGGCGGAGAATGGGCTTAAAGGTGCGTGCGAATTAGCGCACGACTTTGTGCTCACACATAAGATCAACATTCTCCGAAAACAGGCTCAGGAGCTGCAAAGAGGCATATGGGCCTCTTCATTGAACGTTGATATGATCAGGCGTACTTTAGTAGTTCAGTATTGGACAGAATCACCGCAGCCTAAGAGTTGGATCGAGATCGGTATCGCGACAGGGAAGGATAAGAGCAGAAGGCGGAAAGCAGATAACGCGATATCGTCACAAGTGAAGACCCGATGGATACGGAACGGCAAGGAGCAGAAGGATGTGGAAGTTCCCATTGATCTAGCAAACCTGTCGCTGGAGCGGCTCCTGAGCGCATACATTGCGCGACATAGCTCTCACTTGCTCGAGAGCGTGCAGGAAGGTTTGGAGACGCAGGCGTTGAATCTGGCGCACGGGGAAGAGAGGCTTTTGAAGATCGACTTGACGACATCCGAAACTGAACCTGCAGATTGCGTTCTGAGAGCTCGAATTGGCGGGCATCCCACGACGGCATTGCAAATTGATGGCATCACTGGGCGACTGTACTTCAGTCCAGCCGGCATAGCAACTCCGAAAGCTCAAGAAGCCTTGGAACGAGCGAAAGACCCTGCTACGGAAGCGCCCGCTACGCTTTTGCGATACCTCACATATGACATTCAGCTGAGACTCGAAAGACTCATAGACAATCTAGGTTGGGAAGCAATGCGCCATCTGAAAATAACCAGGGACGACATTAGCAGGCGGACGAAAAGAGAGGCACTGAGATTCGGGCTTTATCAGCCTCGCAGCTTCAAAGGATCACATTGGTATATCATGTTTACCATCAATCTCTGCGGAGAGAGCTGGTGGGTGTTGGAATTGTGAGTGTCTTTTGCAAACTTCGAGGCAAGAGGGATATGTTACTAACTTTCGACCAGTGACCCTTCATCTCCCAGCAATGCAAATGCTGATGTCGCCTGTTCGCGTCTAAAGGTGCCTGGCACTGGCGATCTTCTTGCTCCTCTCTCCGTGCAAACATTGAAGAAGCTTGAGCAATCCGCAATCAGTGCGTCGTCATATATTGCGGCAAATAGGGATCTCACTGCTAGGGGTGTAAGCACTGCCATCAGACATGTTCCTATTGACCTCAGCAAGACTCCCTTGGCTTCTTCCTTTAAATCAAGCACAGCGGAGAAAACCTTGCCCACACTCATGATACGCTTCTCACAGCTACTGCGTTCTACTCGGCAAGGTTTTGCAAATGATCTGCTTCAATTGCAATACTTGAGCTTCGATACAGATTTGGGTCAAGTCCGGCTTGTAGCAAAAGGTAGGATGCGAGATCCAGCCAAAGTTCAAGACGTTCTCCAAAAAACGAAGGATTCGAATGTCGCCTTTTCTCCGGACGGTTCCTTTTCCATGTTGCTATCTGCCAAAGTTGGCGTCTCCGTTGTCCCCACGATCGTCGCTCGCCTAAATACTCTTAACACCTTGTGTCATTTCGCAAAGATCCTAAGGAGAAGTGGGTTCGAATGCAAAACCATTTCCTTCAGTAAAGTGTGCTTTAGGTTTGCGCAGGATCAGGAAATCACTCTCGTATTCGCTGGCACAGAGGAGGACCCTCGAATCAAGCTGGAGATTGCGCGGGACAATCCACATCGACGGGTGGCCCCGCTGCTCGAGGAGATTGTGAACGATCCTGAAATGGGCTTTGAGCGCTTCGTCCTGGCGCTAGATTATTTTCACCCTGTGCTACGTGCATTTCAAAGGCTTGAGCAGAAGCATGCACTTGACTACCCTGCAGCGCCTATCATCCACCCCAGGCAAGTAGACTTCTACAGGCTGCTGTATCCAAATCCAAATAACCCCAAAGAGCCGTATGTAATCTTCGATTTGAGTTTCAAGCGAAACAAGGACGACCTGGAGTGGCGCATAGCAGAGTTTTCGAACCAAAATGCTAAGCTGGAACGCGAAAAAGTCTTTCCCAATATCGAAGCTAAATTAAGCGAGTTCATGAAGCGTGTTGGAACGGGTTGGACGGGTATGCGGAGTATGATAATAGCACCACACAAAGGGGGCATCGAGGAGGCAATTCTTGAGCTCGATCGATGTGTATGGGATGCGATGGGACGCGGCACGATATCGCACTCAAGAGATGGTAAGGGCATCGGTCAAGATGTCATAACAATAGACTGAAGATGGATGAATGGGGGACCCGAAGAGACTATGAAGCAGCGCAATCCGTTGCAATTGCCCATATTGGGGCCAAGAACTACGGGACTATCTGCGCGCGCGCTTTCTACCTTTGCTTTTTTTTTTTTATCAATGTCTATACGGGGGTTCGAGAATACCCAGAATCTTGCTTCCCGGTCTTTCGTGGACAACAGGCCTAATGGATGACGACATTTTCTGTGAAAGAAATATGTCGATGGGGAGAAACCAGTTTTGGATGTGTAGAAAATAGCTTGTATGCTAGCAGTGACAAGGAGAAAGCGTTAAAAGAGAATGTGATGAAAGCAATACAGAGACGAAAGCGACCCTTCGCAGCACGTGTTTTTTGTAATTTGCTCAGTCTACAAAGGAAGCAGCAGCCTTTTCTTGGTTTATTAGCTGGCCAATGTCGATGGTATATTCGTCCCAGCTTCCCTCAATATAAAAAAGGCAGGCGTCTGCCGAATCAACCGGCCGCCACGCCTTCACTCACTTCTCCGATCTCCCTTACCGCCTTCATCAACCTCAAGCTCAAACCCCATGTATGAACAAAGCAAAAGCCCACGAAGAGAATGAAGAAACAGCAGCCCTTATCCGCCGAATTGGTTTGTCTAGAAGTTCTCCTTGCCCCATACGAATCGGAATTCCGAGTTGGAGTACATGTTGCATTTGATGTGCAGGGTGCTGCCAAGACCCTTTGGACCGCAGAAGAAGACACCAGCCTCGGCCGGCTTGTGGATCTTACGGATGGCCTTGAAGATCATGTCCCAGTTCGGTCGGCCGAAGTTGGTGGGCGCTCTGAGACCCGTGATGGCATCCTGCTCGGCGTTGGCGTCGTTGATCATGATGTTGGTTGCGTCTTCGGCGCGGATCTTGGCCGTTAGGTACTGTGAACGAATCATGTTAGCCTTGACAGATGCAAAGTCATCGGGTGGGACGGAAAATGCGTACAGTGTGAATCTCGATGGCGTGGTCCATGTCCTGTGCCTCGATGGCGAGTAGCAGAGAGCGGAACCACTCCAGCGACCCGAAGTCACGGCAAATCCAGAAAAAGTACACCTTTCGGAGCCGAGTCTTGCCCTTTGGATAGTTCATCCGGTACCAGATGCTCTTGAGGATGGAGGCGAAAGGCGTGACACCGATACCAGCACCTACCAGGACGGCAACCTCGAATTTGAACACGTCCTCAGACGCAGATCCGAAGGGACCGTCGACGTAGACGCGTGGAAGAATTCGTCGGAGGCTGGGATCCACGCCCTCCTCTTCCACGGATTTGACGACGGAGGTGTCCTTGGAGCCGCCCTTGGAGAAGTCGCAACCAAGTACCGTGGATACTTTGCGAGTGAAGTCACCGACGACGCGCATGTGGATCGATATGTAATCTTCCTCTGGAGCACTCGTGAGAGTGAAGGGGTGATACTGCCAGACTGACACTTCGGGGCAGCAGAAGAAGATGTATTGACCAGGCTTCGTGACCGTGTGGTCCTTCTTGATCTGAATCTCGCATACGTTGCTGGGGTGCTGGATAACTTTGGAAACGTAGGTCCTGTGACGTCCACGCACTTCGCGAGCAATACGCTCAGCAAGGTACGTGAAACCTCCTACGAGCCAGTACTGGTAGAAGACACCCACGCCGAAACAATATGGTTCGCTGTCGTTTTTGATCATGCAGAATTCTCCGTGGACGGACCAGAAGATAAAGAACACAATAAACATGTGGTGGGTGTACCAGAAGCGTTCATAGTTTGCTCGGCGTGGTTTCTCAATGGATGTGAACACCATGGCCATGAGTGCTACGAGCATGATGTACCCCGACCAACCTGGGCCTGTCACCAAGTTCGCGAGAATGAAACCCACAAAGCCCAGCTTTTCCTTCGCAGCAAGTTGAGCATAGTTGTTCCAGTGAGCAATGGTGTGGACCCATGTAAAGAAGACAATCGACCAGGCAATCAACTTGTGGAAGGTGATATTCTTGTCAAGCTGAATGACACCATTCAGAGGCGTTTGGCGAGCGAGCGATATCAGAGTTCTGCAGACGGGCAGCAGAATGAGGGCGACGTCTACGTGAAGCACCAAAGCTGCCGAACGAGCGAAAGAGTATGTCAGACCGAAAATGGCTCGCGCGCCCGTAAGAGTGTCCTGTAGACGTTAGCTTCGAGAGTTTCTGCCACATGCCGCTTGATCATACCTTGAGATAATAATTCATAAAGCCGAAGGCAAACACCATGCCGTGCAACAAGATGAAGACCGCGACGAAGAACCTTCGATAGCCTTCATTGATCATCCAGACATCGAACTTCTCTCTCCAGGTCATCTCTCTCCACGGCTCATCCGTCACTTCACCGGACATGAGCATGCGGCTAAGAGGTGGCCATCGCGCTCGCTCTTTTCCGGATAGACTGCTCGCATTCGACGGCGAGCGTCCCAGCTCCTTGGAGTATTCCTTGTAAAACTTCTCCATATCGAATATGTACAGAAACCGCCGCTAACTCTGGTGGTTCGGTTTCACCGCACAGCAGTTCCAATTAGCGAAAGGGCGGCCGGCGTCCTGCAGTTCAGAGCCCGCTGAAAAGATCACTGCGGCGACGAAAAAAAGAATTGAAAGGTAAGGAGTGATGAAGAACTATGGGATCCTAAATCAGCGCATTCTAAAAGGGGGAATACGAGAGGCGAAAGTTACGTACTGAGAGAAGCGTGCCCGCGCAGGAGAACGTCAAGAGAAAGTGGGACTTTGTACGGATAGTCCAAGGAAGGGCCATAGGCCGGACTAAAGAGCAACGTCGTGCGCAGACACCTGCGCAACAGATGGGGCCCAAGAAGCAATAAACAAGGCAGGGGAACTCCGGTGGAGCACACAGGGAAGAGACGGCTGACAGCGAATATGAAAGGGACCAGCAAGCCTTGCTCCCTCGTTCAGTGGATCGCCAGGTTGACGTGCGGCACGGCCAGCATCAGCTATTTTTCATACTGACATGATAAGTCGGGAAGATCGGGACGCTCGTCAAGTCCTCGAGAACGCGCAGATCTTTGGTCAGAAGCAGTTCCAAGTGTTTCTCAATTACGGTCGTGAAAACGCAATGGCAGCGAATCGTCTTCTGAGGCAGGCCGAGTCGGGCATAGCGTCATGCGGCTGAAACCAATTGGCAGGGGCTCCATACTGCAGACTCGATGTTGAAAAGGGGATTGTGTGGAGCTTTGCGCCTCCAGCCCTCTGTCTCCTGGAAAGCTCTGTTTCATCTTTTTCGGGCGCTAGAGGACTTGCAGCAGCGCTTATCGATTGTCCGCCTTCCGGCAAGGTAACTGGACAGTGACCTTCCCCACGTGCTTGTGGTCTCCAGCACATCAGACATATACAGTTCAACTCGCTGATCTGGAAAGTCTGCAAGAGACTGCATATTGGCTCTTGATGACAACATTCGAGGTCGTTATCACTACCAGGGTTGGCTAGGACGCTTTGACGACGACCCATGAGCTGCGCAAAAGCCTCCGACATGGCTTGCAACAAGTACACGCAGCGCTGGAAACATCTCGTTCGACCATTCCAGAAGTATCTTTCCGTGGAGACCAACTTGACTGCATACCTTCAATTTGCTTCATTTCAATGCGAAAGCTATGCTTTAGATTGCGGATAAGAATCCCCTTTCGCACCCAGCTTTACCTACGCAACCGCCGGATGCTTTCAGGCCATTCTAGACGAGATCAAGAGCCACTGTTCGCCGAGCGTGCATGTCTTGCAGCGTCCTGGCCTGTCTCACCTGACACTCGAATTGGTTCCTATCGTGTGATGTTTCTTCCTTCATTCAATTTCGAGACAACAACCCATGCGTCGAAACCCCTTGCCTTCTTCAGCCAGAGCACGTTTGCCATATCCTCTTCTAGTAACGAAACGAAAAGCTTAGCATGTTCGAGACCAATGATTTGAAAGCCGACGACGAGCCACGCAAACGAAAAATTTAAGCGAACGCAAGGTTGCTGATGAGGTCACGTGTTTGCTATCACCACTCGGGACATCGACATTCAGACTATACGACAGTCTCGTCAAGGCTTCCATTAAGGTGTCTATTTTTTGCGAGAGACCCATCGGGCAGGCTCAGCGTCCTTTGACTAGCTTTTGAGAACACGAGAATTCACCGATTTCTCTCAACTACATCATACTCCATCCGCCACTTGCGCTGATGGTCTGCCCGGTAATCCAGCGACTCTGATCCTCTGCGATCCAAGCCACTACTGATGCAATCTCCTCCACAGTAGCCAGTCTGTTTTCCATCGGCGTGTCTCTTTTCTGCATCTCAACTATCTCCTTGGGGATCTTGTGGATCATGTCGGTCTCAACTGGGCCTGGCTCTACGGCATTGACCGTATGACCATTGGGTCCAATTTCTTTTGCAAGTGATCTAGTGAAGCCCTCCATAGCCGCCTTTGACGCGCAGTACGTGGTCAAATGAGCAAAACCATGCCGGGCACCCACGGAACTGATGTTGATGATCCGTCCTGGCTTTCGCAAATGAGGTAGTACGGCTTGTGACAGGAACAAGACGCCGCGGACGTTGAGGTCGAAAACTTGGTTGTAATCCTCGACCGTGAGTTCATTGAACGGGACCACCTTCTCCATGCCGGCGTTGTTCACGAGAATGTCGATATGCGGTCCAAACGCGGCCGTCGCAGCGTCTACTATTCTCTTAGGCGCATCTAACTTGCTGAGGTCGGCTTGACATCCAGTCGCATCGGCACCATTTTTTAGGGCCTGGATTCGCAAAATCAAGTCGGCAACAAGCTTTTCACTCGACTGGCTGGTGTACGTTAGCACAATTTTTGCGCCTCGCCTTGCAAGTTCGAGGGCGATGCCGTAGCCAATGCCACGTGAGGCGCCCGTGACGATCGCCACCTTATTAGCCAGAGTTGGTGCCATTGCGCAGGTTCGTATGTTCAACAGTCCTACGGTCATTCGTGGCACTGGCGCTCGATACAATTTATTGCTCCGTGGGGAACTTGCACCGGGTTGCTCAGATTCTGTAGGCTTCCGAAGATATTCGGCAAGCCGCAAGAGAGCCCGTCAGTATTCGGGACACTATCCAAGACTCATCTAGGCGGAATGCCGATCATCACTATGTTGAGTACTTCAGCACGCGGCTAGCCACCCAGGCTTAGTTCAAAAATGTAACTTCCGTTCCCGCTCGAGGCATTATCTCGGACGAATCTACAGTCGCGATGACGTATCTGACCAACTTCCCAGACCTACACTTTGTGGGCAGTCTGCCATCGGAAAGTTGATACGTGGGAATGGGGAGAATAATTAAGATGTATTGAGGCATACGACGATTCTAAGGAAGTCATTCGTATTGGAGCGGATCCGATGACCAAAGTTTGGGGCAGAGTTCCTCCATCGGCGGTCAAGGGCATGTATCCTGATTCTGGTGCATTCTCGTGGTGGATTGAGGAGGATTCAACAGTTGAGGTGTAAGCCTCCATCACCAAAATTGTTCGTGACGACTTTCACTTCGTGTATAGAGATGTGGCTGCCATAAGCGCTGCATTTTCCTTTTTGTGACATTCCCTGAACTCAAGAGATTGGTCGATAGTACTCCACAGATAGTGCGCGCTTGTTTGCAACTCCCTGGCAGCGTTATGATATCGCAGAAAGCCGTGGCCAACGCTGGCAGGCCTCCAATGCTTCTTCGAACTCTCTTGTACATGCTGATCTGTAAAGTCAACACTGATGATAGATTCTACTGCTGGAACTTCAAGGGGATGGAGAAATGATGGCGCATTTATAAGAGCAATGAGACACTAACATTACGCCTATAGAAAGGCTCTGACGACCAACCGTGGGACTACTGGTTCAAAATGCTTCATTGTAAGAGATTCTTGATGTAAGGCAACTTTAGGGAAGTGGTGTCGGGGACTACGGAGCAGTACAGGAGACACTAATCGGACGCCTACCCCACGTGAACGCGCGAAGGGGTCGATCTTAGCGTGGCCTCATGCACGCAGGGAGATTGACAAGATCTACGTTGCTACAAGATCAGCTTTCTTCGCATTCCACCCTGTTCTCATACTACACATTCGCAACTGTTCCGCCATGGCAAACAAGAACAAGAATAAGTATTCGGTCATCCTTCCGACATACAATGAGCGCAAGAACTTGCCGTTGTACGGCTTTCGCATCTGGCCAGTTTGCGACGTAGTCGAGCTAACACGTCTGTACAGAGTATCACCTCCCCTTTGACCTGCGACGTTGCTTTGAGAGGCCGGGCATGTCCAATGGTCTGACTTCAGTGCTGATGAGCCGAAAAGAATCATCGTTTGGCTTCTGAATGAAAGCTTCACCAAGAAGTAAGTTCTCTCGTCGAATCCGTTGCGCCACGCCTCCAGTCTCTAATCCCCCTCAGCAATCTCGACTACGAAGTTATCGTCGTCGACGACGGAAGCCCTGACAAGACCGCAGATATTGCCAGACAACTCGCAAAAGCGTACCCGGGTCGAATCGTTCTCAAGGAGCGACAGGGAAAACTGGGCTTGGGCACGGCATACGTTCATGGACGTACGTACAAACCTTTCCTGAATTCACATGCGCACACACCAATACGCCCGCCCAAACTTTGACCCCTATAAATGACGCTCCTTGGGGGGTTTAGAAAAGAAAGGGTTTCTTAAGAACTGACGCTAACATTTGCTCTTCGGCTCAAGTCCAATTCGCGACCGGTAATTTTGTCATCATCATGGACGCCGACTTCTCCCACCACCCCAAATTCATCCCCGAGATGATCCGCGTGCAGGAAACCGCCGACTACGACATTGTGACCGGAACAAGATACTCTGGCAGCACTAGCGGCGTGTTTGGCTGGGACTTGCGTCGCAAGCTCGTCTCCAAGGGCGCAAACATCTTTGCCGACACGATCCTGCGGCCGGGCGTGTCCGACCTCACGGGCAGCTTCCGTCTGTACAAAAAGGAGGTGCTGCAGAAGGCCATTGCCAAGGTGCAGAGCAAGGGCTACGTGTTCCAGATGGAGCTCATGGTCATCGCGAAAAGCATGGGATACACGGTCGCTGAAGTGCCGATCACGTTCGTGGACAGGTTATACGGAGAGAGCAAACTTGGTGGAGATGAGATCGTGCAATACGCGACGGGCGTGTTAAGTTTGGCGATGAGAGTTTGAAAGCGTCTGCCAAAGTTTGGAGTGTTTAGCTGATCGCCTTGGAACAAGTGAGAACTTTAATATGTTGAACGGGAGGGTAGAGGGTCTTCCGCGATACCAATTATGTGTACATGGCTATTGATTTTGTAACACCAGCTTTTCTGAAGTCTATTCAAGACCGTTGCATCATCTGCGTTCTAAGGCAAGACCGCATTAAATATCTTCTTCATCTAGCTCTCGCAAAGCCTGCTCATCAGCCACAGGTGCTCTAGCTTCCTGCTTCTCGTAAAGTTTTGCAAGGAACTCATCCGTGCTAGCCTCATCGATGGTCTTGTCCTCTCTCACCCTCAGAAACCTAGGGAATCTCAGGCTCAGGCCCCTCTCATCGCTAATCAGTCCAATCGCGGCTGTGTATGTTGGACTCAGCGTAACGTCGGCAAAGACCATCTCCCAAACTTCCTGTGGTTCGAACCACACGTCCGGGTTGCCCGCGTATTCGACATAACTAGGCCTGCTGATCACGTTCTGGCCCGTGTCTGGGTCGTATTTGGCTCGATTGGCGATGTAGAAAGCGTCCGTAAAGCCGGATATGCATTTCGTAACGGCGACTAGTGTGCCAGTCTCTGCATTGCGGACGGCCATAAGGATAGGAGACCACCATTTCGCTTTCCGACCCTGGCCGTGCCAAGCGGCGATGGGAATCAGGTCGAGCGTGTCGGCTGAAGTGTTGTAGTCTTTCTTCACCTTAAGCCAGGATTCCAGGCGTTTATCTGGTTCGTAGGTCGCGAGCAAGGCTTTGCGACGAGTTCCCTTCTCTTTTGTTGCTAGAATTGAGCTAGGCACGTCGTCTAGATCTTGCTTGATCTTTGTGGTTTTCTTGCCATTCTTCTTTGGGGTTTGTGATGTCTTTTCAACAAGCTTCTCATCATCGATTTGCATAGCATCAGAATGCCATTCATTGTCGAGCACTTTCACCATAATGCCTTCGCATTTCGTGTCGGTAGCTTGCTTGAAGAAGTCGAGTACCACTTCTGAATCTGCAGACGTTGCGTCGAGGCTTCTAACCCATGTGAAGCGATTTGGTATTTCGACAAACAAGCTGCGTAATAGATTCCGTCTCTCCCTGAATGATCGGTCCAAAAGCTCTTCACCGTTCAAGTACATCAAATCAAAAGCGAACAAGCAGACATCGACTTTGACTTCATGAATCACCACATCTTTTCTGGCTCTGTTTGTGAGCGTCTGAAATGGCTTCAGATCACCCGTCTCTTTGTCCACAGCTACGACTTCGCCCTCAAGGATAAAGCTGCTGACGCCCTCTCCCCGTATTTTCGGTACAAGCGCAACCAGGTCGGGGTATTTTTCTGTCATGACTTCCAAATGCCTCGAAAATATGGTGACTTTACCTTGCTCGTCGCAATGCACCTGAGCTCTCTGTCCGTCGTACTTGAACTCGCAACTGAAATCGCGACCTTGTAATTTTGTAAGCATTTCACTAAGATCTCGCGTGATACTACCTAACATTGGCCGTAGAGGAATGTGGAGAGCAAGGCCACAGCGGAGGAGAAGCTCGTCGCACACGCCAATCTCGAGAAGCGTCGCCACTAAGTCGTTGTAGTTTGGTCTGCGTGCAAATGAGGCTTTGACTTTTTCTTCAGCTTGTTTCCAGACCTCTGCAAGCTTTTCTTTCCTCATATTTGACAGTTCAGCAGGTGATTTGGTTTCGAAGTCGGCATCACGAGGTTTTGAGAGCAAGAACGCGCGGGACAAAGCAATAAGCATGGTCGTCTTCACAGCCCCTATTCTTAAGTGCTGCACAAGTGTTCGCACAATGTACCTGCTTTCCTCGGCTCCTCTTGCATCTTGTATTAACCTATCGACAATTCTTTGCTTCACCTCTTGGCTACCCGTCCCCTTGCTTTTTGCAATCTTGACCAACGAATCGTATACGGCCTTAATGGTCAATGGCTTAGGCTTACGCAACGTAAAGGACTGCCGTTTCTTTGCCTCGAACGCGACATCGCCAGCATCACCATGCTTGTTGTAAATCGCTTTCAGGCCCGCATTGTCCAGTCCGCACACCTTTTTTAGAGCCTTGGATATTGCTGAACCCCCTAGTCCGAGCTCAAGGTCCATATATGGAGGCGAAATAGCGTTTGTAGTTAACCATACTGCTGGGCGAAGAGATTGCGGATCGCCTTCGATCAAAATCCTCAACAAGTTGACTAGAGTATCCACAATCTTGATGCGACTGGTTGTAGCATTTACCAGCACGAAGCAGCGTGTGAGTAGAGCATATGTCGCCTGGCCACCATCTGAAGCCCAGTGTCTCTGTAACTCTGGTAAATACTTCTGTGGGTCAAATGTCAACGGATTTTCATCAAAGGGTATGTTTGAGGTGATGACATCTTCGTCGGCAACGGTTGACTGTAAGGCTAGGGTGTTTTGCAACTTCTGTTGGCCAGAGGAAATGGAAGGTAGTGGTTCCCGTCCAGTTTCCGTAGCAATATTCGTGGACGTGCTGTCTCTATCCTTGACGTCAATAATAAGGCTCGCAACAGCTGGATCCTCGTCTGGGACGCTTTCATTCTGCGCTTTTCGCCTTTCCCGCTCTTCTTTGTCAAATTCTTCTTGAAGTTGGCGGGCTAGCTCGTCATCGCTCAGCGCAATATTTCCTTTGGCTGGGGTTGTCTCATCGTCCACAAGTCGTCGTTCTGATGGTTGCTTCGCCACAACCTTGGCAGCATCTTTCTGCTTATTAAAGAAGAACTCGAGACCTTTGGTTTGTTCATTGCTAGCCTGATAGCTGTTTGTCTTTCTTTTCTTAGAAGGGCTGCTCATTGCTTCAAGTCATGGCGAGCGTGGTAAATCTATCATAACAGGTCGCTACCTGTCGGCGATGAGATCATGGAGCTTGGGCCACCGACTCGTTACGCGAAAGCGCGGTGTCAGGTGAATCGGTCTGATTAGGCCACTGTCTATGAATTTCAACAATCAATTATACGAAGTGGAATAGCACGATGGCTGTAGCCAATCTGGCTCAAGATATTGCCTCTCATCTCACGAGACAAGGCCTCCCACCTACAACGGCGTGGCTGAACAAATTTCTCTCCACCCAACGACAAGCGCCTTTACCAGCATTGAAACAGTCTGCTATGTTCAAGATCTTGCAGACGGATATCACACTTTCCCTGCAAGACTCGCCACCCTCGATATTCCCACACGACATCGCGAACGGAGAGATTCAGGAACGGCAAGTGCCTGGCCCAATCCCTGTACAGATTTTAGACATTGAGGACATTGGTCGCAGCCGCTGGAGTCAAATCGAAGCCCTAGAGGCTGAAGAGAGGGGCGAGAAGACGAAAGGGCGGGAGATTATACGTGTTGTACCCGGGGAAGATGATGATTCCGTGGACTCTCGGCAACAGAGCACAGGGCCACACAAGCTTCTACTTCAAGACTCACGTGGTACTAGCGCGTATGCTATGGAGCTTATTGGCATACAAGGCCTTGATCTAAATATCAATATTGGGGCAAAACTACTGCTTAGCAACGTCACTGTTGCAAGAGGAGTGTTGCTCCTGGATCCAAGAAACACCACCGTCTTGGGAGGCAAAATCGAGGATCTGCATAAGCAATGGAAAGAAGGCAGGAAAGAGGCTCTTAGATCTGCAATACAACCACGTTCATGAAAAGGGTATCTCAATATCTACGCTTCAGAGAAGCTTGCTCTGGTCTCCAAACGTCGTTGAAAGATCATCAAGCATGGGGAAGAGACTGAGCGATTTTCTGGGAGCTCATGCCCTCATTGGCTGCAGATCCTTGGTTTCCGTGATATGTTACCCGCCGCGTGGCAGTCTTAACGGAGAGCCCAAGCCACGTGCATTGAAGGCGACAAACGGGAAAAAAAAGTGATGATTACTTGTATATTGCGAGCTCCGCAGTGACGAACCAAAAAGCAGAGCCGCTCATCGACTTGCCATTTTCTCCTGTAAGAAAGGCTAGCGTCAGGGGCGAACCAATGAGCTTGCGAGGAAATGCTGTGGCTGAGTGGCTGAGTGGCTGGGCAAGGCTGGTGATGAAACCCTCAGCCTTCTCACCAACCGCTGCAACAACAACCAAGAACACAGAATGAGCATAAATACGGTAGCGAGGGAGACCATTAGGCTTCTCATCATCAAACACTCGATTGCAACATTTTAAACAAAGTTTCTTCCAGGCCCCAGCGCAGCTTAAAAACACTTGCGATACGACTGCTCACACCTCAACGTCAAAGCTAACCATATAAAATCTTACAAACAAAATGATGCGCCCATCGTCCATCCTTGTCTCTCTGGCCCTGCTCACTTCCGCGACTCTTGCAGATGATGGCCAATACCATCCGGACCAATACGGTGCCGGCACTACAACCGGGACCGCTACAGCTACACTTCGAACATATACAGCCCAAGCCTACGGAACGGCTACAACATCCCCCACTACAGTTGTCGCCTCACAGCTAGACAAGACATCTGGCGCTGGCTCCCAGGTCACAGCGACTGCATCCGAGAATGATGCTACGGCAACAGCGGGTTGGGAATCGCAAGTCACATGGCCGGCCGGCTGCGAAGAGTGGGCAAACCCATGCCCAAGCGGTGCACACATCTCCGGCGGCAGCATTGCGGGCTACACCAATGGATTCACCTCATTCCTTACCGAGACAAACAGCAATGGCGTGATTACCGGTATGCCATCGAAGGCTACAATTCCGGCCGGTGTGCAGACTACCAGCATTTCAGCCACGACGCTGTTGACCGCTACCTCAACGAGCAACTCCACAAGCGCGCCGTCAAGCGCGAGCAGCACGCAGAGCGGCTTCACTACCGGCACCAGCTCTGCGCAGCAGAGCAACGGGGCGGGCATCAACACGGTATCCGCGTTTTCGATGCTCTTGGTTGTTGCTGCAGTTGCTAGTCTATACTAGCGAATCAAAAATCTACTTTGAATTGGATGGGCTTTTGGGTTTGTTAGGCCCAGGAATAGCAAGGCGTTCTTAAGGAAAGCTATGTTTGAAATGAGAACATGATAAACGTTATGACCATGGTTTGGCGTTGGCTGGGAAATGAATTGGCGATGTAGGTTAGTATCATGGAGGCATAGATCGACGCAACAGATGAACGATATGTAAATATGTAGAAATATTCAAAGCCTAAAGATATTATAAAACATCGATTGTGCACAATTTTTTCCCATAAGTGGCTTCGCGAACAGACAAAAATTGATTACCGAAGGAGGCGCGGAACTCACGGTGAAGACACCAACCTCGTCCAGCACTGAGTGAGAAGTCTGGAGAACAAAAAAAATAACCAAAAAAAAAGAGAAAACATACGACAGCACCGGATTCCCACGTGGTCACCCACCGTAGTACTAATGGGCCGATACGAGGTTTATATATGAGTGAGCGGACGGGGACTCTAGTTCTCCTCGTTCTATGATCGTATGTGAAAGATAGTGTTGTCAGTATTCAGCTATATCTGCCGAGGACATATGCATAGGTAAGCTGCGTTGCATTTCATCATGTTCACGATGTGGATGACTGGCATTCGAGGAATTGGCGAGATGTTCTTACTGCTTGAGGGTTTTTGACAACCATTATGCTCAACAAAATCGTTGGGTCACAAGCGCTAATGGGAGGATTGACCTGCAGCAAGAGAGGACGTTCAGTGGCCAGACCCTGGATAGCGCGGGCTTCACTTCCGCCTGCAGAACTGGTCGAGGCGTGGTGCATGACTTGGATGCTCTGTCTCCCGTGCATCAGGCCGGACTGGCGCACTTCGCTCAACGGAAACGGGCATCCTTCCTCCAGGCACGGGGATGGGTGGTTAAATAATGCTGGCCAGCAGCAATTTGCGTGTGAAACCGGAGATGAAACCCTGGGTTCCCAAACCGTCGAGTCGCGAGACCAGGCGATTTGAGAGGAGGCATGTCTCGAGTAAGCGCGCGAGAAAACGGACGTGCCGCCCACCCTCTAACTACTAGTGACATACATACAAAGCCGTGCCATATGCAGGGCAGGGAGCGAGGACATAGACCGGAGATGCGAGCGCTCGGCGTTCGCTGTCGGGTTTTCCTGCTCGTTCAGCATGGATGATGTGGCGACGATGAACGATGCCCACGACACATGGACAGCAGCGGGCCAGGAGCATCTGACGACAGACTCATATTGCCCATGGGCTAAAGTCCGTACTCCGACCGACGGCGACGAGCGAGTATCGGCAGGTCGAGACCTTCTTCGGGACCAAGAACGATTAGACGCCGATAGGCCGTGGCTGAGGTAGGTGAATGACGAGGTCAGAGGGTTGGAGATCCGTGATCGACACGCAGCATCGCCAGCGCAGTAGTCATCGAGGGCATGACGCGCGCGCCCGGGACCAAGCCCGTCGCCCGTCGTGGTGGGAAAGCAAGTCAAGTAGTCAGTGCCAGGCCCGGCTGGCGCATGTCACATTCCTTATTTTGGTCCTCCCAAGGTCTAGGCGGCGAGCCAAAGTCAAAGTCCCTTGAATCATTCATAAGTCGGGAAGCCCAAGCCTTCGACCAGCTTCAGTGACCATCCATCCGTTGGCTGACTGCGTACCTCAATTAAAACGCTTTGACTGCCTCGACACCTAAGCCTCACCAGCCTGTTGTGATATAAAGTCGAAATACACCGTGCCTCCACTCTTTCTTCTCCTTTGTCATCCAGCTCACCCTTCCCGCCACCCATCGTCTCCGACATCGTTCCGCCGTCGACTCGCAGCCCGGCCTTCGGATCAGCTTCACCTTATCAAGCACGCCTCTCGCGTCATCCAGAAAGGCAGTCATACTCTCTCTTTCAGTGCCACTCGCAACCATGCGTTTCAGCCGATCAAGTAGCGTCTCCTCTCTATCCTCGACCTCGTCACTTGACGAGCAAGAGACCGTTCAGATCTTCGTCAAGAACGTCGCTGGAAACAGTACGTGCATGCCGGATCCGGCAAGTGATCACCCGCTCACCGCAGACGCAACAGTAATACCGCTCACTCTACCGACGAACACCACCATCTCGACGCTGCGATCGCTTCTCGCCCTGCGCACAAACCTTCCACAGTCAGACCTGCGACTTGTCTTCGCGGGCAAGCACCTGGACTCCTCCGCAACGCTTGCCGACGCCCACATCGGCTCAGAATCGACGCTACATCTTGCCCTGCCACTGCGAGGCGGCATGGCGAAGATGCCCAAGTGCGACTACAAGAAGGACGACCCCCAACACAAGTGCAAGGAGAAGATACAGCCAATCATTGGCGAGTGCGGATTCTGCAGCGGCAAGTTCTGCAGCAAGCACCGGTTGCTGGAAAGCCACAACTGCACCGGGCTGGAAGACTGCAAGAAGGAGAGCCACGAAAGGAATGCCAACAAGCTCAACAGCGAACGAACCATGGCGATCAAGGGTGTTTAGACCAAACCTGTTCCTCACCCTTGCTTCACGTTTTGTCCAGTTCGACGAGAAACACCTCTCTTGTTTCTCTGTATTTAAAGGGAATGCTTTCTATCGTGGGTGGGATCATTCGGTTGCCGCTTTATCAGGCTTCTTTGCAAGCATTGAATTCGCGCCGGCGTACACGGAGCATGGCGCTCAGGATTGTCTAGCTTCTAAAGCTACGTAAATGGAACCCAGTCAGAGATCAAGAATGCTAAGATCTACATTTCTTCTATACAAAATCAGTTGCATCGTGCATGTGTGTTCTGTCGTGCCTATCATTCATTCGTCATATGCCTCTCCAGGGCGCTCTGTCCATGTCCATACCTTGCTTGCGTGTTGTCTCCACGTAATCCGTCTTTTGAATATCCTCATCCCATCCGAGCTGCTAGCGGGTAAAGCACACAATGCCGATAGCGTACAAATCCCATCTTTCCAGATTCGGTCGAAGCTGATGCATCTCATTGGATATTTAAGGTAACAGACGCCTCGGCATTGCTGGGCGAACTTTGGCTTACTGTCCAGTGGATGATCGGTCCTTGCCATCATCTTTCTCATTGTCACTCACGTCCCGAGTCTCTGGACGGCTATTGACAGCTGTTACGGCACCGCTCTCTGTATCGAACAACCGGCTGGCGAAGCTTTGAACTTTTACCAAGCTGCTGGAGCGCCATCTTTCTCTGTACATGCTGTACATGGCCGCAGCAATGCACATACTGGAGAAGAATAGGCACATGCCACTCCAAAGCTGCACCGAGAGGAACGAGTTATAGCGCGAGATGAGATGGCCAGCAATGACCGGGCCTGTGAGCGCAAACGGAGCAGCAATGGTATACATCATGCCTGTCCAGTGTCCCATGCGGCTGTGGTCGGTGTCAGGGGTATGGTGGATGATGTTTGCAATCGTTGCCGGGGGCATGCCGATAACCGCCCCAGAGAAGGCTCCAAAAATAATGACGAACGCAAATGCGCCTGCCACGTTGCTTACCGTCGTCCAGAGAGCAAGTAACAGCAGGGATGAAACAAACATTACGCAAAAATGAACCCTCAATGCGCCGTAGCGATCGCTGAGCCAGCCGGACAGGCATCGGCCAATCGTGCTTGACGCGTTCATAACGGACAAATAGTAGAAAACCGGGATCTCGTGGTCAATATCTCCTCGGGCATTCGTTCTGCCTAGTCCTTTGCTCAAAGCCCACTCTTCGAGGTTGAAAAAGACGGCGTAGAAGCCGAAGAACATGAAGGCTATGGAAGCACAGAACCAGTTGTATGTAGCATGACTGAATGCCGGCGGATCGATCCAGCGCCCCACCGAGAGCCACTTGCTATTTTCGCCTTTATTGAGAGGATGCTTGGGATTTGGTTGTGCAAAAACTACTGAGACGAGCGATGTACCGCTAGTAAGACTTGCAGTGATTTGCAGAGCTCTTTCCCATCCTAAACGCGCGATTAACTCTCTTGCCATGAACGGATAAACTAGGCCAGCTTTACCGATATATGGGTTAGCCAAGTAGAGATAGGATCGAGGCGGCGAATCGTCTTACCAATGCTTGCGCCAGAGGCGACAATCCCAATCGCTAAAGACTTTCGCTTCACGAACCAGGTAGTTGCGACTATGATTATCAGCACCCGAAATCCCAAGCTGTGCGTGAACTTTGACTCTTACTCTGAGAGCTTGCCACAAAGAAACAGGCCATTCCCAAACCAGTCGTCAAGCCCTGAGTGAGCCAAATGTGACCGTAGTCGCCTGAGTTGTACGTCTCACCACCACTCAGGCTCAGCAAAAACATGCCGAGCGTGACCAGCACAAAACCGCTCGGGAGTACGATGTTGGAGAGCCCGGCGTCAAGCAGACGGCCAACGATGAACGACAAGACGAGGACTACAAATGACTCAGTAGAGCCGATGAGATTCATCAGGTACAAATCTTTTTCTGGCATCAATAGCTCTTCGTAGTAGCTTGCGAATGTGCCGTACGCATTTACCAGCCCCCAGGAGTTGAACATAAGGAAAAAGCATCCAACAAGTGAGGTCCAGGCCCGCCATTCGCGTGGCCATGTTGGTCCTTCGGCTTCAGGTATCGAGGATGTTTCTCCCGCCAGCGTAGAGCCACCTGATAGAGACAGTCCGCGTTGAGGCCTTGACGGCAGGGCCGTTATTACACCCTCACCACTCGGGAAGATCATTGCTGGGGCGGACTCGCGTGGGTAGGAGTCTGATGCAGACATTGCAGGCTAAGACATAGATCGTTAATAGCCTGTGAGCCTAAATTACAGAGAAAGGGTGTTGTCCTTGGTCAAATGAAGTAACCTAAATGGAAGAAGTGCAGGATATGAAAGCTTAAAAAGACTTGAAGGAGAGAAATGATGACAAGCATAGAGTTATAGATGTGAAGAGAGCGTGGCCACCGGTTACTGGTTGGATCAAGAGTTTAATATTCCGTTGCAAGATAAGAGCCTCATTGTTTAAGCCACCAAGCTAAAGATCAGCCTGACGCAGATCCAGATTCAAACTTAGAACATCATAAGAAAGCCAAGCGTTATCTGAGGATGATAAAGGAGCACAAAACACTGACAAGGACAATGTGAGCAGCGCGGCGACCGATCATTACGAATTTGGGACCTGCTTCTCACCAACGCACGGTTTGGGCACGTTGTCGTCGTACACGGTGGATGTATGGAAGTTGCTGTGCCCCCGTGCGGAACGAGCTCAGTGCAAAGCTTAATGGTTCAAAGCCTGCCGAGACAATTGGCCAAGTAAGGAGAGCCTGAAGCCCACAGAGATGGGTATAAATTTGGGTCCACGGTTTGGAATCCAGCGGCTCAACCTGGGTGATACAACCGCTCCTCTAACGTGCCGCCAAATCCTCCGGCGTTGTCCATGCGAATGTTTATTTTGAGGCGAGTGGGATCTACACGTGGAAGCGTCATCCTACAGAATTTGATGGATTATCGCGGCGTGGCGTGCGAACTTTTTGGGCTGGTGTTGACCTTCTTTTATTTTTTTGGGTTTTTGGTCGTTGAGAACCTTGGCTAGCGGTCCACCCCAAGCCAAACTCACTTCCCGACCCGTCACAGCGCCGAGGCGTGCCTGGACCAAAAGTCGATATTGATCAGCATTTTATTCGTCTCGTCTCACGACACGCAACCTCCAAGAGCTTGGCCCAACCGTGTATCTCGGGAGGCCCACGAGATTGGGATTTCGACTGCAAGGCTCACTGCTTTGATCAAAGACAGATCTGCGAAGGCGTTTTTCTCAGCAGGGCTGTGCCAAACAAAACTTTGCTAGATTCGGTGAGCTTGAGTTTCTCAATGGTGAATCCAATGAAGTATTTCCAAGGGGAAACATATGCTTGTCTAGACTCATTGCCTATCAAACTTGCATTCCTGTACTCAGGCACTCGTGCGAAGTCAAGAGCACCGTTAACTTTACGCTACACGAGCGTCCAGGAGAAATGATCGACAAACACCACGCAGAGCTCCATGAAACGTTGAGAAGGAGGTGGTTAGAAGCAGTGCCCACGCCAAGCTATCGACAAGACGTTTCCTTTGAGGTGGATTGACGCACATGGTGTCATGAGGTTGTTCTAAATCTCTTTGACGCTGTGATCTGTGGAACCCCGATCATCTCGCCGTGAAATCATGTGCGTCAGACGCACTCTCACATGCGCATGCTTGTTCTTGGTACTGGATCTATCCTAGTGCACCAAAAGTCTCGGCCACTTGGACCTTGGACATAGCCTCGCAAACGAATTACAGCCACTTTCTAAGGTTGTGGGCGATGTCAAAGAAGAAAATTTTGGGAATTTGAACTGTCTATGCTCGGTGAAGAAAACCAGTCCTGACAGTTTGCCGGGTGTTAAGCTTATCTCTCGCTTCACGTTGATACGCATCTCTGTCAATTGTGGATCTTCCAAGAGCATCGTTTCACATTCAGACTGATCAACTTCAAAGCCACTCTTATCTGGCCCGAAGTGCTCGATGGCACATCCGATGAGACAGATCTTCGCGCCGACCTTCCTGGGCCGATTCGCTTGTCTCTCAGACAATTGCTCATTGAAGCGGAAAGCGGCCATGAATCCAATGGTGGGCTATGCGATTTACGTAGCGTTTTTGTTACTCAAAGCATGTACAAATATGTCTAGTGTATCGCGGTGATGATCTAGACAGAGTTTGCGCTCAGTCGTTGAGTATCGTGTCACTGCCACTTTGAAAGTTCTCAAGCAAACGTACTGAAGATGTTTCTCCCTTACCACATTTTTCAACGCAAATGATGGTGAACAAAGACTGAGAAGAAAAGACTGTCCGTCCTTTCTTGAACCTTGTGATTCCAGACTTGGTATTTGAATTTCGGGACTGCATTTTCAAGTATGTGAGTGACATGTACTGATTGGTGACTAAAGCGATAGACACATCCTCCAGACAAATGAAATTTTGCATCTTTTCACAACTCTTAAGCCGCACTCTGGCGATTAGATACCTAGGTGGCATACACGAATCTCGGATTTTCGTCGCCTAGGTCCTCGATCTCGTCTGGTGTCAAGCCTTCTACTTTACTATTCTCAAGACCCTCTCGCCTGCGTCGGTTTACGTAAGTGAGATATGCTGACATAGAGCCATAGATCACTGCGCCTAGCGCAACAAGACCCATGGTTACGCCATGGCCACGATGATATAGTGGGCCTTCACGAGTTGGATATACTGTACAATCAGTTATACCGAATGCTGTTAAGGCAGAAAAGTGTACGTACAGAAAGGAGCCATAATTCCTGCGGAGTTTCCAATCGTTAGCTGTAACCCAGACGCCGTTGTCCGTTTGCCATATCTTGGCGTATTGGAAGGTAACCAGGCCAGTGGGATTCCAACAGTGACGTACAACCCCATAGCAATTAGGAAGCATCCTGCATAATGTACCCCACTTCCAGTATCAGTCATCAGCATCGCATAACCTATGACACTAACAAGGCATAGCAGAACCACTGGAATCCCACGGCGCTGAAATCGGTCAGATACCCATGCGACGGTGAGATAAGTGATCGCGCCGAGAGCGTAGCACGGAATTGTTAGAACCTGGACGATTTGGCTGGACCAGGATGAGTTTATGCCTTTGATGATTGTCGGCAAAAAGGTGCTGTAGCCGTACAGCATATTATCGGCGCAGAATTGACCTGCGCAGAAGACGTAGATCTTCCAGTCCTTCAGACCAGCTTTGACATCTTTCATGTGAAACTCATGAGCCGATGTACGTAACCCAAACTCCCTTTCTCTCCTTTTCGTCATCATCTCTCTTTCGTGTGGTTTGAGGTAGTACGCCGTCTCTGGTTCATCTGCAAGCCAGAACCAGGTGAAGACGCCAAGCAAAATACACGGCAAGCCTTCAATGATCATGATCCAACGCCAGCCTGATTGACCAGCTACACCATTCATATGGCCGATGCCGTAAGCAAGAAGGCCACCACAAGCACCCGCAATGGCTGCACTCACGAAGAGATAGCCTAGATTCCTTAGTACATGCTTATGATACGTTTTCGCCAACCTTACCAACTCTAAGCGCTAGCTCTCTTTTCGTGTAAAACATGGTCAGATATATTGTCATTCTAAAGCCATCAGTACAGACATCCGAATCGGGATTTGTACGAACCCAGGAAAAAGACCTCCCTCGAAGAGACCTAGCAGGAGTCTACAGGCTATCAAGCCCGCATACCCTTGAACAATACCAGTCAACGTGGCTATAATACCCCATGACGTCGTAATGAAGGCAATCCAACGTGACGGTCGAAATTTTTTGATGACAAGGTTTGAAGGTAGCTGAATATAGTCAGTGACGAGCCGAAAATGGCTGCCATGAAAACTCACTTCGCTCAAAATGTACGTCACAAACAATAGAGATACCGCAGTTTGGTATTGATTACCATGAAGCCCAAGATCTTTTTCGAGTCCGTACAGGCGAGCATTTCCGATGTTTACGCTTGGTCGAGTTAATCTTTTTCTTTCTTTTTCATTTTTTTCCCTCAGAGAAGAATATTCTTACCGATCAAGGAAACTGAACAGGTAAAGCGACATAGTGATTGGAATTATGAAGAGGTCCAGTTTGCGGACTAATTTCGCCTCCGCAACTGGATCTATTATTGGCAACGACCCATCTACCAGATGCTCGGCCGGCAGTGAGAGATCCGACTTCTCGATGTCATTGCTTTCTCCCAGCTTCTCACCCATGTTGAAAGGACGTCTTGATGGAGTAAAGGAATGGTCTGAAGTAGAACCAGTCGGATCGTTTGCTAAAGAGTGTTCTTAGCGATATCCAGAGGTCTGGGCTGCAATTTGGGTGGCAATTATGAAGGTTTATACAAGTTCTGGGCACGCGACATCCCACGCTTATCCAGCATGCCCCCTCACACCCCCTTGATAACCGTCGGACTGGTGTTGCAAGGACATGATCGGAGGGAATGTCGATCACTGTCGCTAGCGCGTAGACGTCCCCCCGCATCGGTGCAACATGAAGAAATGTCCACGACGAAGAGGACATTTGACGCAGGATATTTGACATTTAATTTTTTTGGTTTTTTTTTTCTTTTTTCAGCTACGGGCTTTGATCGCACTCTGAGGGCGAACTGTTGAGGATGGCTTACGAACGCCCGCACGAGAGTCGAGTTACGCACATCAACCTTTGATAACGCTCCAGCCTCGCTCTGCGCGGAGTCGGTCCCCGATCTGTTTTATCAGTTACTCAAGTGGGACTAGCCTTACTCCAGAACACGATATTCTCTCCGCTTGTATCAATTGTCCGGTTGATATTGTCGGATGCTACCTTGCTTAGATAGCGCGATGCGGCAAGCATTCAGAGAATCTCAGATCACTCAATCTTGCACTCACCATGCTCAAGTTGTGCGTCAAGAATCATCATGCAAACAAAGTCTCCAGACGTTAATTACGTACCGAATACATCACAACAAATTCCATGCCGAGCCACTGAAAGGTGTATATGCTTACTACTGCATCTTCAAAATGACCTTCCCTTTTGCATGACCGCTTTCAGCTCGATTAAAAGCTCGCTCGAAGTTGTCAAGCGTGTACACCCCATCGATAAACGGCCTGACAACCTTCTCCTCGATAAGGGTAGTGATCCTTGCCAGATGCTCTCCGTTTGGCTGGACAATGAAAAATGTTCCTTTTACTCCCTCGCTAACACCTATCTCAGGTCTCGAGCCGTCAATTGGGTGCACGATGCACAGCAAGTGGCCATTCGGCTTCACTGCTGTCCATGCGTCGCTCAAAACCGGTCCGCCAACACCATCCAACACGAAGTCGAACTTAGCATCTGATCGACCGCGTGCCACCCAGTCGGCTAGACTGAGCTCTCGATAGTTGATGACCGAGCCTGCTCCAATTCCTTTTACAAAGTCTACGTTGTCTGGACCGCACATGCCCACGATCCGACCGACTCCAGACCATTTCGCAAGCTGAACAGCCCAGATTCCGACAGCACCGCTAGCACCAATGATCAAAAGGGATTTGTCCCTGTTTTTAGCGCTGTTTGCTTCACATACGAGTCCGAACTTGTCAAAAAGTGCTTCTTTTGCAGTCAGGGCGCTCATTGGAACTGCTGCAGCTTCTTCGAAGCTCAGACCGATTGGCATGCTTGCAATCTCGCCTTCGTCAACTAGGGTGATTTCTCGTGCGTTTGCAGGGCGACCAAATGCTGTCAAGGCGTAAATATTGTCACCACTTTGAAATTTAGATTCGTTTGAGGGTGACTTGATCACGGTTCCAGCCACATCGAAGCCTGGAATCGGTCTAGAGAGAGAACCGGGCTCGGGCCATTGTAACTCTCCTTTCGTGATGCCTACCGCCTGCGTACGGATCAGGTATTGATTGGAAGATGGAATCGGTACTTCTTGGCTCTCGAGCCGAAGCGAGTGATCTGTAACATCGTGTACAACCGCCCTGATGTTGTCTTTCATTGAGACCATTTCTGTTATTTAAGCCTAGAGAGTGTCGCTCGCTCAGTTATTGAATGGATTAAAACCTGACAATGCGAAGATCAAGATCTGAGTTTTTCGCTCTCTGTACCAATAGGTATTCAGCAGCTACATGTCAAAGTGGTAACTAGCTCGCACTGGAATCGAATTCCTGGATACCTGTCCCTTTTATGCGCAAAACTGCTCGTTAATCGTGACTAAGCAGGTGTGTGACACGGAAAGCTCGCCGCTTGTTAGCTATAGGCTACTCGGAAAGAGCCAGTTTCGATGTACGAGTGCTCCAGCATAGCCAGCCCATCGATACCATCACTGGAATTGTCTTAATGTGAGATGACTGCATAGGGTTGTTGCATTTCAAACCGTATCTGGAATTGATCACAGAGTCTCGTCACACGATCCAAAGGCTGATTTCCCTCCACGAAAGAATAAGAAACATGCGGTCAAGAAATGCCACCGATTTCCAGTGATCAGGAACTTCAGTTTGTGAAAGCCGAAGATTTTCCTGGTGATGACGGGTGATGATGTTCTCAACACTGCCATAGCATATCAATTTCAATAAAAGAGCGAAATTTGATGAAGTTGGATGCAATCTTCGATTGACTGCAGAATCTAGACTACGAACACGGGGAAAGGCCTCCAGTGCGCATGATCTTACGTAGGGCGAGCCAATATGAATATGCGAGCGCGTTGTGTACCAGGCATGGAACGTAAATTGAAAAAGGAGTTATGAAGGCAACGAGGGGCAATTTCCACTCCGCAGGCGTTTGATTTTACATACGATCCCACCGATGTGGCGGGTTCTAGTCTTCATCCATGAAATTTGAGCCCTATCGAACTGCCTGCATATGAGGGAGATCGGTAAAGGAATACGGTCTATGACATTTCGTCTGGCACTCGTGACTTAGTTCGCGCCAGATCCGAGGAAATGGGTAGCCCCCGAATTCTAACAACCACCGATGCTAGATGACACCGGGGCCCCTCGGTGGCTGGCCATATACCCCAGACGGTCTGGGACTTGTCGGAGAGGACGGTGCGTGTGCTCGAAAGGAAAGTTTGGTAGATGAAGCACAATCGGGAAGGCGTTCCAATCTTGTTCCAGTGCCGTCGCAACAAAGCGAGTGGCAGACGTTCGTCCTCAAAGCCTCGAATCTGGCGTTTTTCGTGGGCTGGAAATCACAAGCCAAGGTTTTGCCCTCGGGAGATGGAAACGAGTCTCGGCAACGAAGCTGCGAAGTCGCAGTGCTGCCCACAGGATTGCTTACAGCATTGCTCGCCTTTCTCAGCGTCAACTGGCACGAGTTGACTTGCTGCGACTCGCGGACTGCATTGTGCCCTTGATACGAAGTCATCTGGCGCATTCCTTGCCACAAGTTTTAGTCACGTGTACCACGACGCTCATCCAACATCAGACATAGCGTTGGAGCAATGCGTACACAGTACAACACGCATAGGGTCCTTCTCTTGGCCGTTTTGAGTGTGTCATGGGCCTCTATCCCTCTCGTAGCATAACGTCAGCCGTAGATCAAGGCCAGGATTTCTTGGCCTTGAAACCAACCACGACGACTCTTCATTCAACGTTGTACCAATTCTCGCGTGGCAGCAGGGTGAGCGCCGTCTTCTCAGTCTGCTTTGGGCGAGGCGATGCGGTGTGCCTGCATTGCTCGCTGCTTAAGCGGTGATCATCTGGGGAACATGCTGGTGAGTAGGTAACCATGTCCCGGATTGTGGACCAAATATGGGATGATACCCGCGGTTAAGTACCACATGTGATAGCTTCGCTTGCAACTGAAGGAGCCCGCTCGAAGTGGCCAAGGTGGAATCAGTCTTCGAAAGACTGTTCATGACCGGTTTAAGCGCATTATTTGGCAGGAAAATCCAGAATATGGAGTCGCATTTGTCAGAAAAATCAAGGCCTTTTGATATTTCGGCTCTGCATTGTGGTGACTGAAGATGTTGCATGTGGACACGCATACGTGGTGACAGCCTGCCAGTTCAACGAGATAATTTTCGAGGCTATCTACAATATTTGCTGCTGAATTTAAGCTCCTGCCCAAGAAAATCTTCATCTTTACAACGCGGTCATGACTACGGAATGCTCCGTGTAGAAATGGTAATTGCGATAATCGCATGCCTGTGACGCGGAGGCTGCCGATGGTCGTGCTGAGCATTGATTCGCACATGTGGCTTGGAAAAAGTTCTGACAAGAATCTTTGACTATTCAATGCAGATCTTACTAAAGTGGCAACAAAGATAGACAGGTCAGACGGACGGAATTTTCTCGCCTTTAATGGAGCCGCAAAGCGAAGGTGGTATGTTGACCTGCACTTGACCAAAAACTTCGATAAGGGATATTTTTCATCAAACTTTCAATAACCAGTTTCCCCAAGACCCGAGTCGTGGACGACTCTCGATCTGGATTATTGCAGTGGCACAGAATGCTATTGAAGAAACTGTCGCATCCCATTTCGACGAATAAGAACAATCTGACAAGGCTTTTGAGTGCTCTTTGTTCGGGTCTCCCTTGCCTACAACTAAGATCGACCCGTTGTCGCGCGTGTTGAAATTAATGCTCGAAGTTAATGAAGCCGGGACGGAATCAAGGCATGTAGATCGTCCTGAACTAGTACTGAATACATGCTAGAGCACTGACCGAGTTTCTGAAGGTGCGCAATCTTTCCGGCCTCACAGTAGGGGAGTTGAGTTTTTTGTCGATTCATGGGCAAATCAGCGGAAGTTTCGGTCAGGGGCAAGCACGGCAGAGAGGCTGCACGATGCAGCTGCGCAAGCATGAGCCTGCGACGGCCCAGCACGACAGTCTTCGCTGTACTTTTGACCACGTTGAACCATCCGCTGCTGTGGCAGAACTGTCAACTGTCCATTCTGCCTCGCCACGAGGACCAGTGGCACTCATGTAAAGGGAAAGAGGCTTTGCCTATTCGCGCCGGTCGGCGGGACAGACTTCCGCGATCCACCCGCAGCTCACGACGACTGTCTGTGTTTAGTGCTGTGATTCCAGGGCGATTGTGTGATCGGATTTTGACACGCGATTCAGGCGGGGGCTTTGTCTGCGCATTGAGTCCTGCTGGCCGACTCGATTTGGAAAAGCGTCGTACGATCGGCTTGATGAGGTTTCGATAGACCGGAATGCCTCTCCGTAGCTTGGTGATAGAGGCTTCAATGAGCCGCACATAATTGACGTCTGGAGCGTCTTCGCCTCACCAAGAGTGGATTCTTTCATGTTGAGATATTTTGGCAGAAATATGGGCCGTGGCGGCCATGTTGGAAGATGCTCAGAATCGGCACGCTCATCCACCTTGCACGAGCACAGGTACGGCACCAGCGAATGCTGGACACGACCATCGTTATTGAACGCGTGTGAGTGCGAGTGCTAGCAAAGAGCAACAACGGTCGGCAAATAGCAATGTGAATTACGGAGTTTTCACAACCACGCTGGGTCGGCAACCACGTGTGCGTCGACTGCCGTGCGCTTCGTCATGCAGCCATCTGGTTCGCAACATGTCATGAAGACCCTTTCGATCCCATGAAGAATCTCAGCCGGATCGGTCTTTGCCACAAAGGGACGGCTGCTTGCCCTTGTGCGGCCGCATTTACGGTGGCACGCCTGCTTGTACTATGGCGGCGCTACGGCCGCACTGGTTGCGCAACGACGTTCAGGCTACGGCCGATCTGTCAGACGGCAGCATCGGCGCGCGCTCGGTCTTGGCAAATCCCGGCCCAGGCGGTCCGCCCACGGCTGAAAGAACGCGTGAGCACTGTTGAGGCGAATCATCGCTGTTGATGCGACGGCGAAGACGACTGCTGCCGGCTGCGGGCAATCGCTTGTGGCAGCAAGTGGGCCGTCGGACGGAAGACGGCCCTGCCATGGGTCGATTGTGGCTCACACGCAATGCTCGTTCGCTTCGAGCATCCTCATGTCCAGCCCCAACCGTCCCACACGGGCGCATTGGGACCCGAGTCATTCAACGCGTTCCAGAGTTTGGATCTGCCCATTTAAGCTGGCGTGCAGCGTGGTAGTCTTGCAGGGGTTCCCGACCCCGGCATCCGCATCCTCCAGAGCCAGTAGTGAGGTGAAGTGAGACGTACAAAAGTCCCAGCTGCCAATGTTCGTTCTCCTGGCTTGTTTTGGCTCGCCATTGAATTCTTTCACCCATCCCAAGTATCAAAGAACAACGAGAAAAGGCCTGGAGGCCGCCCTTTGAGCGTGCCTGAGCCTCGCGGCAGTCGCTTCGTCTCCCACAATGAGATCCCCGCCACTTTCTGTCATAGCGACCTGGCCGCCCGCAAATTACGTGGACCCAGTGACCAGAGGACCCGCGCTGCTGATCATCGAATGTATATTCATATCCTTAGCATGGATCGTGTTGGTGTTGCGAATGTACGTGCGACTGGTGATGTTGAGGAGGACCTGGTGGGATGATTGGATCATGATAATCGCCGCAGTATGTACCCAGCATCCGACTCGGACGTCGAGGAAGCATTCGCCTAACCAGAGATGAAAGATATGCACGACAGGCGTGACAGCATGCGTGATACTGGCAACGCAGAGATACGGCTGGGACCTTCACGTCTGGGACGTAAAATACGAGCAGCTCATTGCGGGCAGAAAGGTTTGTGACGATGTTCTCGACACGATCTCCCGGAAGTTGACCATGGAACTAGATCTCGATCGCAGCACAGACGATCTTTCTGTGGGCATCGAATTTGACAAAATTATCGATCCTTCTCAGCTATCTTCGAATCGCGACACCAAAGTCAAAGTTTCGCTTCTTCACATGGTGCAGCATCGTGTACGTGATTTTGATCCACGTTATTTTTCACATTGTGCTTTGGACGCAGTGCTCCCCCGCTAGCAAGTACTGGGATCTCTTCGACAACAACCGACATTGTGAAGACGAGGGCCCGCCCCTCATGGGCCAGATTTCTACCAGTATCGCGGCCGACTTTATTGTTTATGTACTGCCTATGGCAACCATGGCCAGGCTTCGACTCCCGCTGTCACAGAGAATCATTCTCATGGTCGTCTTTGGCTTTGGCGCCGTCGTCGTCGTCGCCGGCTGCCTTCGACTATATTATACTCACTTGACAGTTTACGAGACCTACGATGTCACTTGGGTGGGCTACAACCTATGGATCTGGACTGCCGTTGAGGTAAACTTGGGCATCATCTGCGGCTGTGTGCCTGCTCTCAGGCCACTCGTGTACAAAGCAAAAACGCACCTTACATCAAATTACCTGAAGACGGGTTCAACCTCGTCGAAAAGGAGCCGTTCATACGGCATCGGGAGCATACGGAAATCACAGCCTGCTGACAACAATCTCGATGGCGACGTCAGCCTTGTCGATAAAAACATATCAAGCATCGAAAAGACCGTGGACTGGGAAGTCACAGAGACCGATCAGAGCTTGAACGAGCAGCCTGCGAAACCATTCGACCACACGACTCAAGGATCATGGCTCGAAGATTCAGATGGTCATTCAGATCCCAGCCGAAGGAATCAGCTTGGAGTATACGGAATGTCTGCGACCGAGATAACAAGGTCGTCTTTTGGCTTGAAGAGATAGCCCCCGATAGAGCGTTTGACCGACTCCTGTGTATTATCATGAGCGAATTCAACAAGTTATATATTTCAACACATTCCGCTGATTGTGATGCCCAAGCCCTTGAAATGCGTAACGAATGAAGTCGTGATGTGCCTGTGACACTGTGCGTTGCTTCTTGTGCCTTTCCTTTTTTTTTTTTTTTCCTTGACGGCTTCAGCCGCATGCCAAGAGCCCGGACTTGGTGCCTGCCTTAGCCCGCTGCTATGTGATACGTCAGCGCTAAACGTCTGCAAACTCCCAAGAGTGCCAGAACACCAGGGAAGCTCGAAGCAATCCAGATTATGGTTGCAAGTCCATGAATAACAATGGCTTTTGACCCGGGCGGCTTGCGCGCATCATCGCCTGCGAGTACCGGTCGCGTATCTCCAGTGCAAAGATTCCGCACGCAAACCAGCGAGGATGGTACGTCCTTCGTGCGACAGCTCTTCGCGCACATTGACCTCTAATACTGCTATTCAGGAGCAGGCACAAAAGACAAAAACTACCGTAGATATGCTCTGGCCGTAGAGCGTGCCCTCAGCTCGTTCGATACTGCCCAGCAAGAATGGGCTGACTACATCTCTTTCTTGAACCGCCTACTCAAGGCGTTGCAAGCGAACCCGCCAAACAACCATGCTATCCCACAGGCACATCTCATAGCGACCCGTCTCGCGCAATGCCTGAAGCCGAGTCTGCCTTCTGGCGTCCACCAGAAAGCTCTGGAAGTGTACTCGTTTGTGTTTACCATAATTGGCGTACGTAACTCCAAGCATGTACCGTACAAGTGTTGCATGATGCTGAACCTGGTACTTTTCTAGCAAACAAACCTAAGCCGTGACTTCCACATATACTTTCCCGGTCTCGCCTCCGTCCTCTCTTTCGCATCGCTCAGTGTTCGACCCTTGTTCCTTTCGCTGTTCACAGACCATATTCTACGCGTCGATGAACGGGCGCTGAGACCAGCATTGAAGTCAGTGATCCTATGTCTGCTACCAGGGCTGGAAGACGAAACAAGTGAAGATTTTGATCGCGTACTGGAGGTGTTGAATACTCTTAGAGAAGCTTCACCTGGGGACTCCCAGCATCCGGACAAGAGTGAAGGATCTGAGGAATCAACCGCTTCTGTCTCGTTCTTCTGGCAATGCTTCTTCCTCGCGACCATCACGAACCCGTCACGTAGACAAGGTGCACTTACATATTTGACACGACACTTGCCACGCTTCTCTACAAAACGTAGTTCTAGCCAGGAGCAAGCTCTGAAAAGCCTGAGTTACCATGCCCAAGCCGCTCTTTCTCCTGAACCAGGGCTGTTGATCCGATCTTTCGCATCAGGCCTCACGGACCAGCATGTTCTCATCCAAAGAGGCTTCCTCGACCTTCTAGTGTCGCATTTACCGCTTCACTCTGCCGTGCTGCAGCATGCCGTTCCTTCATCGGATTTGGATCGCTTAGTGCTTGCCGCTGTGGGTGTCGTCTCTCGTCGGGATATGAGTCTGAACCGCCGACTCTGGAGCTGGTTCTTAGGGCCTGAGCCACAGACAGACGACGAAAAGGCGGAGCTTCCTTCCGAATCAAAAATTGCTTCACCAACAGTAGATCTCTCCCAGCATCATGCAGCGTATTTTGCTAGGTACGGCTTACGCGCATTGACGAGAAGCGTGCTTGCATTGCTTGAGAAGGACACCATGGCCGCAGCTGAAAGAGCAAGACCCTTTCGCATTTGTCTCTCGTTGATGGACCGCTGGGAAGTTGGCGGTCTTCTCATACCTCACATCTTCATCCCTGCGCTTATAAACGTCTTTAAATACCAAGAAAGTGCGTCGAAGCGAGATGCGGAGGAAGTTTTGAAGAGTGCGAGCAATTTTTTCGACGGTGTCGAAAGTGGCCTGATTTGGGCGAAGGTTGTCGAGCTTGCTAACGACGCTTTGGGATCAGGTTCAAAGTCGCCGTCGGAAAGATTGTTTAGTATCCGTCTTTGTGCATTCATAATGCAACGTTTTAATCTTCGAGAGGAAGAGATGATAATTTATCACATGCCGCTGACAGCTTTGTTTATTCTGATGTCAACGGGCGCTCAGGAGGATAGTCAGGTCAACATTGAGATACAAACTTCGGCTCTTGACATTTTGGAAAAGCTTATATCAGTTATTCCACAAAGAGCATTCACTTCAACCACCGAGACAGAAGGAAAGCGTGATCGCAACAGCTCTTCGATATTCGCGAAGATCAAAAAGTTCTACGATGAAGACCAGGGGATGATCGAAAACGATAGTCCACCCTTGCCACCACAGGAGATCGGAGAGCAATTACTTCGCCACTCGATCGTTCTATTCGTTCGAACCATACGGGACGAGTTGAATAACCCAGCACTTATTGATCTTAGCGCCAGGGTCCTTTGTGGTTTGTTGAGGATCATTCCTGACCCTGACCGTATCATTGTCAAATGCCAGACTTTGGAGACTCTCCACGAGGCTCTGCGAGCAGATTGCAAGCTGTCTATGCAGTTTCCGAAACTGCAAGCTGTCGCTGCCGCCCTAGGCAGTATTCTCACTGCGACCTCGGGAACTTCGTTAACAACTTCGAAAGAACTAATGTCCTTTTATGATCTGCTTGTAAGGCAGATCTGGGATCACCTCGATCCTTTAACACCAAAATACCATGTTGAAGCTGTTCGCTCACTTTGGCAGTTGGAATCCGTGCCTGGTACTTCAAGACGTATTGAAGCCACGATCACCAACTTACTCACAACAAAACTCCATCAACAGAAAAATCGATGCGAGATGGGTCGCAAGTTTGCAGTGTTCTGGGCACATTCGATGCAGGAGAAAAGCGTACCCGCGGATAAAGGACAACGTAATGTACCTCGTAGAACGAGTTCTTACGCAGGAATTGGCGGCACATTCATGATTCCGTCGGACACATCTGTTATTCTCAGTAGACCGCTACTCGTGATGCTTGACTGGCTCGAAGATGTGGGGAGTGATGAAGCTGCATTCGTAACTAGCTGGTTACAACAGTTGCCGTCCTTGCCGAAAGTCTTCGATATATTGACAAGCCATATCCGTGATCTTAAATGCATGAATCAGGCGCCGGCATCCGAACCCAAGACGCAGGCAAGGACTAAATTTCAAGTGCGAGATAGAGAAGAAGGGGAATTTTATCTTCGCCATATCTACCGAATCATCCACGCAGCATCAGAGCATACCTGGATTGTAGTTGCGAGTGAGATGGTCCAGCCTTTCACGCCATCATCGATGGGCGATGAGAGTGAAGTTTCCCTTCACGAATTGCTCATTCAGATATGCATGCATATACTAGCAACTGCAGACTATAATTCAAGGGCACAAATGCGGACTGATTTGGAGCGGATCGCTTTGGATACAATTCAAGTCATTATCGAGGGACCGTTCTCTGCACCGCTTAAGGAGCTTGAATTGGAGAATAAGCTGCTGGCTATGGTTAACTCTAACCTTCCTGTGCTTCCTCCACAGTTGCAAACCTCGTTTTTGAGCACAATCAACTCTTGCTTGAAGTTGCGCCAGCGAAACGTCACCGCAAGCCTGCCCAAATCTCCACACCAGAATAAACTCTCTCGTGACAATCATACTTACTCTCAAAACCTACTGCCTAAAGAAAGCGACTCGAAGGAGACTTTTCCGGCTCAACAGCTTCCGCCTCCGGGTTTGGTGGAGTGCATCAAGTTAGGCTTTTCGTCGACGGAGAGTCGACTCATCCTCGATGAATGGGTTTCATTTCTTCGAAATGTGCTTCCATTGCTCTCTGATACCCTTTTCCAAAATTTGATTCCCCTTGTTGAAGTATTTTGCTCTCAGATTAGCGATTGTTTTGAGGGCCTCCGGTCAGCTTTCGTTGAACCAGACGTGGCACACGCACCACCGGAACCAACAATCATCAGCTTGCTCAATGGTCTTGAGCAGCTCCTTGCTACCGCTCATGACAAGCTCATTTCAGATGAGTCAAGGATACCAATGACGAAGAGCCCAGAACAGCCACAAGGCTTTTTTGGAAACGTGTCCAACATGACAGGTCTTTTCTCTGGAGAAATCGACAAGCAGCCCACGAGGGCCGCAACAGCTAACAATAGACTCGCAGTTCTGCTATGTTTTCAGGATACACTTCGCAGCTGTTTCCAAATTTGGACCTGGGGGGTGCATGGACATCAGAATTTGAGTCCAGCCACTTTGTCAGCAGCCTCGTTCTCCTACACGTCCCTGCGACTTCGAAAAAGAGCTTTGAAAGTCCTTGAGAATCTCTTTGCAGCGGAAGCTTTAGAATGCCTCGAAATGCTCGCCAAATTATTTTGTAATCCGATCTCTGACGACTGCAAACCGTCTTACGTTTTAGAACTTCTAAATGTATTAAACGGTTCACGACCAAAGTATACCGCGCCAGCTATCTTTAACGCGATCTACAGACGGATCAACGATGATGACACTAGAGAGAACATTAAGACATCAAATCTTACGGCGACGGATCTAGTAGGATTTCTGGTGGAATATATCAAGTCAATAGAGGATGACGCTATGGATGAGATATGGTCTGATTGTATGGCGTTCCTCAAGGATATCCTTAACAATCCCCTCGACTACAGCCAGATTCTACCACTTCTTCTTAATTTTGTCGCATTGATTGCAGAGAAGGTTGACAACACGAACTTCGGTGAGCAACGGAAGATGCGTAAGGAGCTTGGAGTAAGTAACTGTTAGTCAAGGCCCGAGCTTGAGCCCAGCTAACGATGAGATAGGACACTTTCTTGAAACTTCTTACAGCAACATTTACGGCGCTGGGTCCAGCTGGCTTTCTTCAAGATTCTGGCTCAGTACCGATAACCAAAGGGCGAAGCAGTTCAAATGGCTCTACGGCCATATCCAAACAGCAAGACTTCGCTCTAACTCTAGCTTCCGTGGTATCAAAGCTGCCGATCATACTGAACGACAATGAGCGTATTAGCATTGCCACCAACATTGTGTCCTCCAATGTTATCGCTCCCGCCCTTCGCGCGAAAGCATTTCCTCGAAACATAGATCAGTCATTCCTTGAGCTGCTGCTGCAGCTCACCAAGATATCGCAAGGGGCAAAAGCATGGAGGAAGGACGTCCTCGATGCACTCAACGACCCTAAATTCTTCGCCATCCCAGCTGACCTATCGCAAAACTACATTTTACCAATTTTACGACAACTGGTCGTCAATGATAAAGAGCGGATGCCCGAACTTCTAGGCAGGTTGACGGCTCCAACGACCGCAGGCATTGTCTTTGGTGTCGGAGCTAGCTCGGCAAGGATCGAAGCAGATCGTAAAACCCAGCTTAACTTGCGGCGTATTGCTGCACTCATACTCGCGGGCGATGAAGATGCCTTCGTTGAAAGATATCGCACTATCGAAGAAAAGTTGACTGATCTTCTCACTGCGACTCCAACTTCATCACCGTCTTCAAACACGCGTGCAGAAATATTCATGGTGATACGCGCTTTAATCATGCGGTCTTCTTCTGTGTATCTCAGCCCGTTCTGGCCGCTCATCAATACCGAGATACAGAACGCGATCTTGTCAATGCTGCCAGAGAGCTCTGACACAGAACAATACAATAATGCATCAGTGCTCCAGGCTTGCAAAGTACTTGATCTGCTTGTTGCCTTGGATCTCGACGACTTTCAGCTACACGAATGGCTATTTATCACGGATACTATCGATGCCGTATATAGACCGTCAAATTTCGCATCGGCTGCACTTGCAGATGAGGTAGCAGAGGCACTGGGAAGTACGTCGCTCGAAAATCGAACAACTTGGCGTCAAGAGAGTACCTCGAGTGGCAAGCGGTGTTCTTTCTTGGAGCCTCTGTTGTCCGGACTCGAAGACGTAGAGGCGTCAGAGCTGAAGTTGCTTCCAAGGCGAGATCTTGCCACCAGGATCTTGCAGCCATTCTTCGGACAACTGAGCATCATGTCTTTTGAGGCGACGTATGAGATGACGAAGCCGGATATGGAGGCTTTTGAGAACTCACTGTTGCTAGATCTTTTTGAGGAAACAGAAGCATGACAAGGCTTCTAGAGAACTGATTGGTTTAGGGAGAACATCATCTCTCCATCGCTATGACAACGTAGGAATATACCATTTGACCGTGAATCGCCTTGAAGACACAGTGTGCTCCTGCACGAACACATAACAGTCCCATTGATTCCTTCAACAAAAAGCCATTGTGTGTGTGTGTGTGTGTGTGTGTGTGTGTTGTGGAAGAGACCATGTAATAAACGCCGTATGGGTATCCAGCAAAAACGAGTAATACAAGCGTCATGCCGTCAAGAAAATATATTACAACCCTTGTATCGAACAATCTCCTCCGTGATTATGATGATACATGTTTCGCTACTGTCATCTTCCTTACGAGTCGATCCATCCATTGGGTATAGCAATTACCAGCATTTCAACTTGCTCCAAAAGCCGGAATTTTGATTTTTCTTTTTGAGCGCATCGGGGTCTATGCTGTGTATTGGCTTCTCATTGAGAGGTTCAAGGGGGAGCGTTCGGGAGCCGCTGACCACGTTGAGGGCACCACCGCTTAGGGCCAATCTTCGTGCCTCAACTACGCGTCGTACAATCACTATGATCACATGTAAGTATCGGAGGCCATGTCCATGCGAAGCATTGAAGGTTAACGTACGTGCAAACGTCTCCTCGATGTTGACCATTTCCCTGGCACTCGTTTCCATAAATCCGCACTGGCGCGATCTTGCCCATTCCAGCCCTTGCTGGCTTGTCACCTCCCTCTTCTCTTTCAGATCGCATTTGTTGCCGGCCACGATCTTCACGGGCGGGACGCTTCCGTTGTCAAGCCTCTGCTCCTCCTCAATGCTGATCATCTGGTGGAAGTAGTCGAGTGAATCGAGCGAGGCGGCATTTGTGATGTCGTAGACGAGAAGGAAGGCGTCGCTGCGGAGGTTCGACGCTGCCCAAAGGCCTCTGTATTCTTCCTGGCCAGCGGTGTCGGTCAGGTTCAGTTGGTAGGTTTGCCCGTCGATCTGGCGAGTGACTGAGTATGAGTCTTCGATTGTGGGGTCGTAACTGTCGAACAACGTGTTAGGATGCTCGTTGATGGAGGAATGCTTGCAGCACCAAATGCACATACTCTGATGTCCACTCCGCTCGGACGAGTCGAAGAGTTATGGACGATTTACCTGGTTGTAGGCGTTAGGTCCGTACCTTAGGCCTTCATTGGCAGTGTATACATACCACATCCGCCATCTCCACACACAGTGATTGATATCCTATTGTCGTCCATACCTGCAGCTTGCAGTTCTAATGCTTTGACTTTTCCCCCCACAAAATCCTTCCTGCAGGGCAATGACTCCTGGTCAAGATCCTGTTAAGGCGACGCTTAGTTGCGAAGGTGAAGGAAACCAGTCCGAGCTGGCAGCACGCAAACTTCAACCAGGAGAGAGAACGTAACGCGCATACGTGAACACCACGACACGAAAAAAAAAAATGGCCAGGCGAATCTGTTTGCAGATACCCCAAAGAAGACCGCTGAGCCGAAAGAGGGGGCCTGGCTTAGGACATGGCGTGCAGATCACAGCCTTTTCGACAAAACACCCACCGTCTGTGCGTATCAAAAAAGCGTCGGTAAACCTGGGACATAATTTCTGTCCCCGTCCATCTTTCTGGACTGCTGCCCTTCCAAGAACCGCATCGGGTGCTTGCAAGGATACGGGACTCCTTGCGAGGCTCAATAGTGAAACATCTGCAAGGCTGGTGGGATCTCCTGTCCGTCCGTCCCCTTATGCAGGACGAAATGCACAAGCAGTGGCCGGCGCCTACCACGTCCCCGGATCGCGTTGCTCTTGTTCCCCATGAAAGCCCCTGCGGCACGTTCATCATACTCCAATTTCCTTATGCATACCTTGCACGAGCTGAACGTGGTCCGGCATGATCGACGACGTCTTCGACTTCGCTCCACGGACTTCGCGCACGCATGGCGTCTGTTCGGCACCCCAAGGCGCGCACGACGTTCGCGCAGGGCGGCATGCCGGGATGTTTGCTGTAAACGAGGGCTGAAACTGGGGGCTCTGCCAACGGCGCAAGAGGACTTTACTCAATGTTTCTTAGGCCCGTCGGTAGGCACCTTTTCTGTTTGTCGTCGGTAATTTTCCACAGCGACGCAGTTTCGTTGAACGCTTACGCTACTCCGGCCCTGAAACAGAACGTTACTGCTGCAGCCGGACGTGGTGATATCCGGGCATGGACTACGAATTCATCTGACGGCATGCGCTGTGAGGAATCTCGACCTGCTTACCTTGTACCTTTCGCACGATGCGTCACTGCTTGCGTCTGCAAAATTGATCTTGAAGGGCGTGCGCATTCGATCGGCTCTCCAAAACGTGGCTATTTCAAGCGGACCTTACGAACTGGCCTGTCAAATGCTTGCGCCAGAGACGTGCAAAACGCGCCGCAGGGATGCGTCACGTTTCCGTAGTTCGGAATCTAACGAACATCAAGTGTTTATTAAAAGCTTTAGACCTTGGTCCAGCATTTTACTGTTGTGCTCCTCGTTATGCGTGCTGGCTATATACAAGCATAAAAGGCCGGCCAACAAATCTTAACAACATCTTTAAAGGACACGTATTCAAGAAATTGATAATCGACGTCTTCCATCTTCTCCATTCTGCCTCTGACTTGGTTATGGGACGACCCCTAGAGAACGTGCTATTGCCCCATCGATCGTAATATTATCTTTATATTGCCGCCCAGTCTAAAATGCGTTCGCTTGCCGCATTGGGCAGGTATATTTCTCTGTTGCCGCAAAGAGGACAACTAGGCATATACCATGAACATCCTCCGTGGTTCGGGACCGGCGTCCCATTGGCTGTATGTTGGTCAACGCTGACAACCATATCGTGGGTCAGGCTGCCGAAGTCGAATCCCCTGGTATGACCGATCTTGTCATTGGTTCTCCTGAAAACTGCAAAACATTAAGTACAACAATTTGAGCAGGAACGCCATGAAGATGGTGGTTAGCAAAGCAACGTATTGCGCACAAATGAAAACGCCTCGCTTGGCAGCAGTTCGCAACAACAAAGTTCAGTCCTCATCCAGCCAAAAACATAATGTCGAGCATCAAGATCATCCTTATAATGCTTGTGAACACAAATGAAACAGAATAAGCCAGCTAAAAAGAAAAAAAAAATCTCTGGGTATCATAGGACTCCTCGGTTGAGGAACTGAAGTAAATGTAAAGCACAGTCTAACCCGGAAGCTCGATCAGACTTTCGAGTATGGGCTCCTTCGCCGAAATAGAGGGTGTTTCGCGGCCTTCGTGGTTCTCCGTCCTGGTTCTGGGCGATGGCTCAATATTCTCGGTTTTTCTCGAGAATAATTTCTTGAGAGCCGAGAGGCTCGTTTTCTTCTTCAGATTCGGCAGCACGTTGGGCACTGAGCCATGTCTTAATCTTGACGGTTCTTTCGGTGCAGTAGAGTTTGCGTATGTTGGCCGATTTATGGGATTTATGACCGCCGGTAGAGCCGTCACGCTTTCTTTGTCCGACAGTCTGTCCTGTTCGACATTTACCATAGAAGGAAGGCTGGTCATTGACGAGGAAGGGAAGATACCAAGGCTCCCAATACCAGGTGGACGAGGTGTCGGTGACGTGGTAGGTCGTTGAATCTCTGTTTCAGGACTTGACGCGTAGGCTGAATCTGTCGCTTCACCCATGCTCGGGCTTGTCGATGTCCTGCCTTTGTCGTTTTCTTCCGCGTTAGGAGTCTGCAGAAGCCGTGAGGATAGTGCTTCTTGAGATTGCTGTTCCCTTAGCCGTGATCGAGCTTCGATCAGGGTTGCCTGAGGGTCGTTATCAAGCTCGTAGACAGCAGTCGAGTTAGCGTCCATCTCCACAGGCGCGGGTGGCGGAACCGGTTTTCGGGCTATTTTCTCGGTGTGAGGCGGCGCTGAGGATGATCTTGGTGAGGCCAATGGTGACACAGTTGAGGAATGTGGAAAGGAAGGAGGTGGCAATGTGGGGGAAGCCAACGGGGATGGAGCAGCTGACGGAGCAGCTGATCCATGAAAGCGAAAGACACTTGCAAGTTCCGTGATCTTTGACTTCTTTGACTCAGATTTCGCTGTTTCGACTTTCTTCGGCGTAGGCATTTTATCAGTTCGAATCGGTGTTGGCTTCTTCGACTGCTTGGACGACTTTGCTGACTTGCCCGATTTTGCAGACTTCGATGACTTGATCGAATTTGCGGACGATTTGGGAACCATGGGAGCTTCGCGAGGGGCATCGTACCGTCGTTCTCGCCGTGAGCTTTGCCGGTGCGGCAGCTTTGCACCTGGAACCGTTGCTTCGACTGCTTTTGCGATCAGATCTGGATCCTTTGGCAGTGGCTTATGAGAAACGCGTCGTTCATGACGCCTGGACGAAGAATGGCTATATCGGTGTTGTGAGCTAGACATAGACCTGCTGCTTCCACCATTTGCCGCACGCTCTGCTCTTCGCTACTTGCGGTTTTAGTAGACGTATAACAGCAACGCAGAATAATCATACCTGTTCACGGCGGCTTGCAGATGCGGCCCGTTTTGCCATCTCGTTCAATATACTCCCCAGCTGAACCACAGCTACGCTCAAACCATTACCCTTCATCTGGAGCGTGCTCATGCATTGAACCCAGCCTTCTACGTTAGCTTGCATTGTTTGGAAAATCTGAATTGATCCTCGGTCATTCTGGGGCCAGTCATCAGATATATCGTCCAGATATTTGCCCATTTCGATAGTTGCTTCCATGCCTTTCTGTACATCGACCTGAAGGTCCTTCACGAGCATCGAAGTTTTGTCCACAACCTTCTCGATCTTCTCATTGCCATCCAGGATTTGTTTTCGGAAGGTTTTGTCGTCCAACATAACATCAAAAACGCCGGCGTGTTCAAGGGGGAGCTTTAAGTAATTGATGCGTTCCCTGATGTCGTTGATCGCGAGATCAAAGTCCTCTTCCGTTCTTTGCACAAAGTTATCCACATCGTCCACATGTTTCTGTAAGATTCTAACCACCTCTTCATCCGATTTCGCTAGCTGCTGGTGCAACAGATGTACCCCAAACGCCACCTGAGAAATGATCTTGGTAAGTGGGTGAAACCTGGCGGTCGAACTTTGTGACCGCCATTGCTCGTTGTACGTGCCGTTTGTCGAGTCGGTGTCCAGCAGCCGCTGCCTTCGCTTTCTTGCGTCGAGTTGGTTGAAGCTATCTTGCACGCTTGTATCAGGCGGGTTCGCCGCTTCTTCAATAGACTCTTCAAACGGGCCTTGCATGGACTTTATAGGATGCTGCGGAGCTCCAGATCTTGGAGATCTAGGGCTTTCCAAGGGTGCACGCGCACCACCCTGCGAGGCCATCTCAATGGCCGCCCTCAACTGCTCTTGTGTTTTGTCTGGCCGAGACATTGTCGCTGGCCGCGTTGAAACGAATGGAATGGCCTCGGAAGCCCAATTGAACGTCCACCTTAGGGAAGAACAGAAAACATTTGGAGGAAGATCGACCTCTGTGCTCTATACGCACGAGACAGGAGGAGCAAGGTAGAAGAAATTGATCCGCGTAATGATCCCAGGTGCGCCGCTGGGACCTAGATTTTTGAGTCGTGAAGAATGGGGACCAAGACTAAGCTTTATCAGGGGTGAGGCTGCTGGGTAGCGCTGACAAGACCAACACAAAGGTACTGGGACCAAATGACCAAAGTAACAAACAAGGTCGGAGATGCGTAGACGCTGTGCATTCAGCTAACGCTTCAGCAGCAACTGTTCGGACGGTGACCTGTCGTTACTCCTCCATTGCAATGCGAACAGCACATCTCTTCCTGATCTGGGCCACGGTCCGTCGCGAGCAGGGTTTCGTCAGGAGAGCACGGTGCTGGCTGCAGCAGAAATAGCGCCATTCAGACGAAAGGATGGCGCCGTTGATCGATCTGCTGGCCTCGTTGCTAAAGAAAACTTGCCGTTCCTCCCGCTATGACCGTTAGGGAAGGCTAGGAAGCAAAAGGGAACCGGGAAGACAATGGCAAAACATGCTCAACGACGGAGGCAAGCTTATTTTCAGATGCTAGATACATTGCATCTGTCGCCAGCGTGCCTGATCGACCCGTACAATGATTCTCCCACCATTCCCCGGTCCAGTTAGGGCTCTCGCAGGCGGTGCTCGGCCGATACGATGTGCTTAAAGCGGAAGTGCCATTGCCAGAACTGAAACCTCCTAGAGCGTGCACCAACTCCGTTTCGTGGCTTGCGTCGCTCTTTTTGTCTTTCTTTTGGCATAACCCACTTAGTTACCACTGCCACAGGACTACTGCACGCCTCGATTCCCTCATCACTCTCACCCGTGCACGTGCGATTGGACTTTTGCCAAAGAGCGCCAACCCGAGGAACCGTCAGCTCGAGCCCAGCCATGCTTGGCGATAACAGCAGAATTAAAGCTCTAACATGCTGTATAACCTGGTGTCTTGAATACGGCCCAGTCTCCAGAATTCCCGATGGTAAGCTGCTGTCAACTATAGCAGGCCGACAGCAATGACGCTCTTCTGGTACCAGCCTGGGCTTGTTATCAGCCCAAAGTATGCCACTTGGTACTCTAGGATGATCAACTCGAGGCAATAGTCTTGAGAGTAAGAGCCATGTCACAGTATGCGGAGATGACGGAGAAGCGTACAGAGGTATATGATCTAAGTTTCCAGTAAAGACGACATGTGAACTTTGCTGTGTGGAAAGAAGCATTCGTCATTCTCCGAAACAGACATTTTTCGGCCACCAGGCGAAAGAGAAACTTAAAATCCATCGGCTCTTCTAAGCAGAAGAAAGCAATATCGACCTCGAGACATGATCGACACGTCGAGCTTGTCCACCCGCGTCCCGAGCTATGAAATGGAAAAAGGCTTCAAGATGAGATGGCATTCAGTTTGATATTACCTAGATAGCGCCCCAAGTAACGATCTCGTAGCCCAGATGACAAGCGATTACGAACAACACATCATTTGGGGATGCTACCTTGGATTAGGTCTCCGCTGAATAAATCATCCCCAGGAAATGACGACAAACTCGAAAAGCCGTACGGACCATAGAGTAAAGCACCTGTCAGCACGCCAGACATTGCGCATGTTACGAATCTTCACTTGATGACAATGGAGCAGGGTTACGATTCGAGACAATTTTTCACATTTTCCCCCGCTTTCATAATACTCGATCTCATCTTAAGTCTTGGCGAATAATGCCAATTAGCGACGAACTAGATTGGCAGCATGAATAATTACTGTGAGGTCCTTTTTTTTCCAAACGACGACGATGCTCAAGAGTTGTGCCTGTAACTCTACCAAACAATCTGACGTCTTTGGACAGGAGTACATCACCTTCTAGCGACGGAAACCACAATGATCTCGAAAGCAACAACCGCTCTGGCCTCCGAATGCTCTTGCACAGAACAACGTCGAGCTTGGTCTTTAGGCCAGTGGCTCCTACCCGCTGCATGATGATACGGCTGTTTATTTAATCTCGCCCAATTCTCTTACTCTATCAACATAAATCCATCATCGCATCCTGTTTTTGCTACGTCTTCTTGGACCTGCCACAATTGGACTTTTTGGGCGGTTGCTGTTTTGCGTCTGCTTCTTGAAGCACATATCATAAACGAATCATGGCCCTCACGGAACGAGATGCCAACACTATTGGACGCAACAGCGCTGTGTCCAATCTGTCGATGACTTCTCGAAGCTGCCCCAAACCTTCATCTGTCGTAACAAGACCAGATATGCTTACCAGTGCTCCTGGTGTTATGTCCATGCTTAAAAGCTCCACGGAGGTTGGCGCCGAAGGACTCATGATTCCATGCTCTCGCATCTCAGCACAGAAGCGTAACAGCGGCCGAAGGAGTGGAATTAATTCTCGCGTGTCAACTTGCAGCTCGCACTCTCAGCGTTCACGTCCAACATCCGGTCATCAGTCCCATCATCCCTGGCCGTCGGTCTCTTCTGGAGGTTGCCGCACGTCATTGACAAGCAGCTTCGCCAACTTAAACACTCCACAAAACTACATTAGCAATATTCCACCCCCTTCAAGCGTAGGTAATCTTTCGGACACCACGTCGCTTCCTCTTCCTACTCCACGTCCAAGAGAGAATGGGAGGTCATTATCGTTGACAGCCGCGATCCACCAGCCATACGGGCTAGCGAACTACCGTTCTGTATCAAGTCTCCGTGTCCAGGAGCCATATCCTCGACCAAGGTCACCGTATCATTACCCTACGCGTCTCAAACGCCCAGGATACCGACCCTCCTCACCTGCCATGAGCGATATCACTGCTGTAATGCATCGACGGGGACATCACCTTCGTCGCCCTGGCTCCGGGCTGCGCGTAGCCCACTGCCCGCAAATAGATCAGATCAGCCACAGTCATCATGGAATAGCTATACCATCACGCGTTCGTACAACTCCAGTATACCCCGAATCACGTAATCGTTCCTCTTTGTCAATTAATTCAATCGGACTGCTCGATCACATGCCTAATGTTAACTCTGCGTCCCATCCAGCGTCGAGACAAGCAACACCTTCAACCACGGACCGTAATGTTCCTGCATTCACACCAACAGACACTGAAGTTGCACAATCGTCTCAGCAGTCATCAAACCCACCTTCTTCAACACCTCCTACCCCACACAATCTACATTCTGCTGTCCATGTCGAGCCAGTGATTACAACCAGCAGAGATGGGCCGTCGCGAAGAGGTTCTGGTGCTTCTGCTACAATCCCGACCTATTACGACTACAGTGAGGATTTTAATCCTATTCATGTCCTTGTTTCAAAGGATACGACGGAGATTTTAGACTCTAGCCTGACAACGCCACAAACTACAGGATTTGTTCAACGTGTCCGTCCTATTCTCGAAGAAAAGAGGATGTGCGATAGTTCTAATCACAGCGAACATTTTGCAGCGATGAATGAAATTCCAGAACAGCTCTCGCATCATGATAAGCAGCCACACGAGCTACCAGCTTCGCCAACTGTCAAACGTTTCACAAGAGATCTCATACGTTCCAGCCTACAGCCTACGTCTGAGGGCGAACTTACGGCGACGCCATCAAACAAAATTTCTCAATCTCAGGAACCAATAATTTTCAAATCTCTAACAATAACTTCACGAAGGTCTGGATTTGATGTCGCAAATGACTACATGCATGAGAAAGTGCCGAGCAAGCCATCTGATTACGGGTCAATTCTCTCAGAGTACACGTCAACAGCTGCTGCACTGGATTGTACCTTGGTTTCTTCATCCCCAAATCCAGTTGTGGAGGAAGGCAACACCGTGTCAGAGTTCTTGAAGAATTACGGCAGCGAGGATGAACATATGACCGTCGCGATAGAAGAGCACACTCAGCCTGCAACCATCGCAACCGCTGAGGTTGATGTCGAAGCTCCAACGCCAAAACAGCCACGCTGGCACCCAAACTTCCAGGCTGGAACAGATTTACTCCGCCCACAATCTGAAATTTTACCAAGTTATGTCTATTCTACTAGCGAAAAAGGCTCTTTGAGTCGATACTCTACCCCGCTTCCGACCTCAAGTCCTCAGCCGGAAAATTCGCAAAACATTCAGCTCGCTAAAATAGGGCTGAAACCAAAGCCTGAAAGTAGGAAAGAAATTTCACAAAAACCGGCAGTCGTCCAAAGCCACTCTTGTTCGGAAGGTATTCAGCCTGTACCTCCAAATGAGTCAGATTTAGAGACGCGTGTTCCTCTTTCAATGTACACATCCTCCACCAGAAGGAAAGGGGAACTGGGGTTTGTCAGTGAGCCTTCCAAGTCCTCTTCTGCTTCTCGAATCAACGCGAACACTGAGAAAGACATAAAATCTGGTATTGTTCCGGCCAAAGAATTGGCCGCGATACTAGTATCGCCTTTGTCAGAGTTCAGTGCGGACCACGGCAAAGTTTTCTCTCTGCATCCCATCACTAGTGATTCATCCCAAGATCTCGAAATCAACAATTGTGATCGCGGCATGTCCAGTATCTGCTCCAACTATAAAAGCATTACGAGAAGGTCAGATAGTCCTGCGAGTATTAACAGAAGTGCAAATTTTCGAAAAGTTGATGCAGTAATTGAACGCAACGAAGAAGACGCAAACTGCACCGACAATAAGGTATCTTCCCCGGGTTTATGCGCGACTCAGCGCCACGCCGGCCATATTAAGGAAGAGGATAGCCTTGAAGCAAGCATCAGTGACCTGAAAGCCATAACTTGCCAATTTCCATTGCCACAACGCACTTCTTCTCTAGCTGATTACAAAGACTTTTGTCGCTCTCAGGAGCCTAAACACAAGTCCTATATACTTTCAGAACAGGCTGTTGCGGCTCCCACCAATACAGAAGTATTTGCAGAAAAGCAAGAGAAAAGAATCTCAATTACATATGTTCCTGCAAGGTCCATGACATTAGATGAATTGCGGTCAATCCCCTCGCTTCAGTTCAGCCGTGTTGATCTGTTTTCAAAGCTCAACGAAGCTTTGGATTTTTACTCTGATCCATCTGAGGCAGAATCATTCAAGGCCGAAACTCAATTTCAGGATCGACCAACCTTGACAGTTCCATTGCGACAGAAGTATCGTAGTTTTTTTGAGAGCTTGGACGTGATGGCAGGTGATCCAGTAGTAGTGAGACACACGCAGAATGATTTAGAGGCAGAACAGTCTTATGTGCCGCTAATAGATCGCATGATAACTCGGCCGAAACAGGTCGTTTTGCCAAAGATTCAGCAATGGACTCCAGACGAACTCATGGCTGAAATAGATAGGATGTCGATTCCTTCGATTAATGGCTTGACACAAAGATTATCGGAGCTCTTGCCTTCACTTAGACGCTATTACGGTGAAAATGGCGAGTTAAAGGATGACGATGAAACCGTGCGATCAGCGCTAGAAGAGATAAAGCGCTTGGGTGCCGAACTTATCCCACGCATACATGAAAGTGATTCTGCAGCCAATGAAGAGGAACAAAGGTTGCTTAAAGGGGACGGAAACTTTTCACGATTTTCGCTGGAGCGAAGGGAAGCTGAATCAATTATGAAGGTGAAAAAAAGGTCACGATCAGCCTCTATGCCGAACGACGTACATAGCACGTCTCTTTTTGAGCTTGAAGCACTTAACTCGGCTTTTACTCGTTCGCGCTCTTTGTCTCACGGACAATCTGCCAACAGACGAGCTAGTGTTTCCACAACAGAGCAATCACAAGCTTCGAGACGCTCTCTGGTTAGCTCATCCGTGGAGTCAAGGCCGTGGAATCTAGACAAGAGTTACCCTTGGGCCAACAATGTCCCATCAATCGACATCAGTATTCCTGCACCAGATTTACGACGCGATCCCATTGAGCCCAGGCTATCTTGTCTTCGAAATTTCGGCGATGTAGATGAAATTGGGGACTCGGCTGAATCTATCTGTACTGAGAATAAACAGATGAAAGCTGGTGGTCAAAGCAAAACCTTCAATATCACAGCTAGTCATTGTAGAAGATGCAGCAGGCGAAGTCTTGCAGGTTCAATAAGTCGAAGATTTGGCTTACCGAGATCCACATCTGTTGATCGTAGTGGCTTCGCCACCTCACCTAACATATTCCGTGGCAAGGATCGAACAGTTGATCCTGGAGACCGATATCCAACGACTGGATTATCCCCGCCCTCGGCCTCGCATATCGATGAGATGCGGAGCTTTTTCTCGGATGACAGCTCACATCTAGAGACGCATCCATCTCCACGAGTCATCAGTCTTCGCAAACGAATTTCAAATTTAAAGACCAAACTCCCTAACATGCCTAGAACGCATTCGGCTCTCGAGCAGCGACCAACGCCAGTAAGACTCATCGTACATCGATCTAATTCTCTATTTTTTGCACAAATTACCCAAAAAACAGTCCATTCCACTGGATTAGATGCCCACACCGACGAAGCATCCGGTATGCCAAAGACAGAGTTTCGAGCAAAGAAGTTAGCCAATCGCATGAAGACGTTATGGTACAGGGGTGGAGAGCTGCTACGAACATTAAGTGGCAAGCGCAAGCCCAGGAACAGCGTCGACTGGGATGATTCTTGTGAATCAACGGTTTAGTCAACACGTATGAGAGCGAAAGGCTGTTGTTCTCACGTTCTTCCAAATATCCTGCACTTTATCTCGATATTACAACATCTATACATTTTTCCAGGCATATTAAAGGATTTTCCGGCTTTCTTCACAAGGGCACAGGTTTCAACGTGCATCGTGCGTCAAAATGCAGAAATGTGCGTGTGTGCATATTCCAATGTTCAGGAGGCATGTGATTAGAGATCCAAGATTTGGGACCCAATTCCCGGCTCGCGAGAACTCAAACGCTGAATTCGCAACACCAGAAAACCGCTCGATGCTCCGGTTTGGTGTCTAATGCAAGGTACTCAGCGACCAGCATTTGAGGAACCACCTAGGGATACGTTAGGTACGCAGTTAATTTAGAGTCCTCTTAACCAAACTGCCATAGCTCGATGATTTACTTCTCTTTATTGCGTTTGCTTCCTCGCTGTATGACTGTTTTTCTTTTTTCCGTCCTAAAGTTTCCCAAAGCCCGACCTTGAACTCGGTATGAGTGATATGGACACGCGTTGGAATTAAATGTGCTGGTTTCAAACTCCATTGACAGTAGTCATCCATACCAAAACGTCTTAGACCTAATTTTCAACTTCTCTTTCTCCACCGCAGTAATCACAATATTCTAGATTCCATCCCTATCCTCCTTCTTGCAATATGTCTCAATTAATATCGAGCAGACAAAGACCCTGCACCCTTGCTTCAAATACAGGAAAACAAGGCACCTACATAGCCTGTTCAGAGAATCAAGATGACGATCTCCGTTACGCCTCGTTGCGTAGCGCTCGAAAGATGATCAACACATTCAAAAACATGCGCTTATCAAAAAGTGCTTCTTCCCAATCTGCAATTCCAGCATCGGACGTGCAATCTGATATATCAGAGACTCCCACGGAGAAGATGGGACGTTGGTGCCTTGGGATATCGAAAGAGAGTGACAGTGGATACGAATCAAGTAAAGCTCTTTCTGTTCAGACCTCCCCATCCCCAACCCGAGTCTCTCATATGGATTGTGGCCGATCAACATCCGATTCACGAAGCATCATTGAGCAACATCAGAGTGGGAGTCAGACGACAATCTCGTTACAAGCTGTCCAAACACACCATGACGGAGATCGAATAAAAAGGATTATAAAGGCGAGAGCGATAATAGCCAAAACCAAAAAAACCAGAAACGAGCCCATGGACAGGATCTCTGAAGCGTCGCTCAAAACGCCGAGACAAAGCTTTCCATTGACCTCACCGAGTACTTCTGCCCTTGGGAAAATCAGGTCCTCATTAACACAGAAGCTGTCGAAAAGCGCAAAAAAGTCTCTAATTGCATTACCGGATCTTTCCGTGTGTGCTAGTCGTTTCACGAGCCGTACGGAATGCGGATTCGAAGCTCAAGACAGCGAGGAAGCCAGACGGCTGGATGAGCTACATTCTAATTTGAAGCCAGGCTTTGGTCCCCCTTCCAAAGCGATGATTGGGGAAATACCAAAACGTTCAATGTCTTTTAAAAAGGAGAATAATGGTGCCATTCCACAAGCTATCACGAATGCATGGGCCAACTACCGACACTCTGAGTGCACATGGCAAGGAGCAAGACCACTAATTCAGAAAGCGAAGACGCCATTCGAGAGGCATCAAGACATTACGCCGGACGTCCCTGGAGCTCCGCCGCCAGGAGCATTCCCAGGGGCACCTGCTCTTCCAGGGAGCATACGGCGCCAATGGGAAGAAACTTTACTGAAGAGGGAACAGGAATCGGGCTTCGAGATGAATGTGTCGTTGTCAAGCATGGGGCATGTTCGAGGATACCATTACAAGCCGGATCCAGAATCTCAACGGGCTCGTGGGTTGTTTTCAATGAGCGTGGAGTGCCTGGCACAAACGGGGAATGAAGAGGATAGACGCAAAGCGGCGGAGATGTGGCAAATCAAAGGCTTGTACGAACCATGTCCGCGGCGAACCAGGTGTTGGTCTGGAACCCAGGAGATTGACTCGAGGGACATTCGCCCTTTGTCTCGTGCGAAAAGCATGACGCTACGTCCTTCAGACTCTATTTCGATGCTTGTCCGTGACGATTCGGAACCACTGCCGGCGAGGTCGCTCAGCGTTGTATCACACAGCGAGAAGCGGCGACCAGCATATTCGCGCTATAGAACACATTTTGGTCGGCCAAGTTGGCCAGATGAAGATCGGAGAAACCCATGTGGCATCTTTCGGGCCCTTGAGGATGTACTGTACAGTCAGACTCATAGGTTCAAAGACATAGATGGGAATATGGTCAGGCGTGAACGCCTGCATTCCGAAATCTCAACCTCTCGGCCAGTACCACGGACTTCGAGGGTCCGACACGATCTGCACTCGGGACACTGCATAGGCAGGTCATTTTCCGTGCTGAGCGTGAGCAACCTAGCCCCTTTGCAGGAAGAGGAGTCGGCGAATGAGGCGCATGTGGCCAGCGCGCCTGACTATCGCGATTCGGAACGCATCGCGCATAGTCTGCGAGGACATTTCGAAGATGGCCGGCGTGAACGCTATCGAGGAGGATCATCGCTGTCATGCTACAGCCACGCAAGAACTTCAAGCTTGCCGTCAGCGATTTCTCCAAAGTTGAGCAATGAACTAAGGCCATGTTCGCGCCTTTCATCCACGGAAGGTCTTCACAGCCCCGAAAGAATTAAAGGAAGTATGATGGAGGCAATACATTCTGTGGTGAGCTGACGTTGCATATTAAGAACAGAAACAGACGGAGCTGATTTTTCGTCTAGCGGTTTCAATGATCTTTTCCTCTAGATAGGAACTCGTCTTCTATTCTAACTATACTTGTATTTTGCATTTTGTTCGTTTCAAATTCACGGTCCTAATCGGAAGCTCAAGCCAGTTGCTACAGTTCATATCACTTGGAAAGTGTGCGAAGAGATATGCCCTGGAAACGGGCATGAAGACAGTTCGAATATGTACCGAGTATAATGGAACAGACCATTTTCGATTCACCATTTGAATCCTGCAAAGCGTTCGGAGACACAAGACTTTGGTTCGCATTCGTATCAGCCCAGAGGAGAAGCTACAAGGTCTACTGTCGCTAGCCCCATGTTGACACTTCTGCATTGGAAACCGCTCTGTAGTTTTTCAAAACACAGCACCCCCAATTATGAACACCCTCTCGTCTTCCCTCCTCACAAATTGTACTACCTTGTTCGCAGCCATGGCTAACGCGCTTTTTGTTGCGCTCGCAGGCGCGACGGCGTACAATTCGAACACTGGTGTGGACCACGCGATACACGTGTGCGTACTCGCTGTCTCATGATGAATCTTTGGTCGTACGGGATGCGCGTGCAGCGATGCCTGTAGGTGTGTGTAAAGTGTAAGGAGTCTACCCAGATCGAAAGTTAGCATTGTTGCATACGCTGAGCTACCAGAAAAACGGATGGAGCAGAAAGTCAAACTCGCGTAAGCGTCTCAAAAGCTGTCCGTAGACTAGGCGGTCAAGCTTTCCCATCCGTAAACTATGCTTCATAGCTCAAGAGATGGATATTACGTACTTTCGCCTCGTTAGTAAGGTTGGGAAATAAGGATCGTACGATGGCATAATGAATTGCACATTGCCACGTGATTTGTACAGGAAGTGTCTCAGAACAGTACCAGGCGCGATGTCTGTGCATGAGAGCCTGCCACGACGAACAGCTTCCCGGACGACTTTGAGAGAATTGTTTTGATAAAGTTGCTGTGGTAAAACGTTATTTCAAGTGTCAAGATCCAACATCGGTAACTCACCTTGACCAATTCATCTCTCATGGCCCTCATCTCGTAGAAACCTTCTTTCTCTGCACTGATCAACAATATCGCAACCTCTTCTTCCTGCTTTCCGTCGGCACTCTTTGGGCGCTCCTTGACCTCCTCCAGTGGATTTTCCAGATCCAGAAAACTCACATACATATACAAGTATCCCGTATTGTTAAATCCCGGCAGACAGAGCGGAATCCAATTCTCTCCTCCACCGGCCTTAACTCCACCAGCTTCGAACAGCATGTTGAAGATGAGGTGCAGATCGCCGGGGTGAAGGCTATGTTTGCGGGGCCGGATGACGCTGACGAGACGGCCACTGGCGACGAGCAGACCGTAAAGTAGGGCCGGTGTGCGGGTCTTGAGAAACGTATTGTTTATGGCCGTGCGGTGAGATTTTCGAAGGCGCAGGCACTCGAGCGCACCGAGGAGTGTAGAAGGCGAGCCTCTTGTGAACCCGTCTGCGAGCGCAGACAGGAGTGATTCGGTGCCTTGAAGGGGTCGACGCAAGTCGGTGGATGCGCGGGCACGGAACATGCGCTCCATTACCGGGAGGGTCAAAGTGGACAAGATTTGCATGTACAATGCCTCCAGCTGGGCTCGCAGCTGGGCGTCGCTTTCGCCGAGCTTGGAGATGGCGACGAGATTGAGAGGTCCTCGGGATATGACGACAAAACGAACACCTCCCGCAGTGAACGCCTTGAGATTTGAGGCTGCATCCTGGTAAAAGGAGATGAGTGTCTGAATGATGCCGATGTAGCTCGTGATAAGGGTGTCATTGCCGTGTCGGGACCAGATGGGCTTTCCCGCGTTGGAGAGAATAAGATAATGTTTTAGCTTCGACTTCCATTGTTGAATCACTTGCGCTTCATTTAGTCCGTCTGAAGTGATATCGTCTAGCTCGTCAAATTCCTGATCAAAAGCATCATCGAACCGCGCGTCGAGTGGAAAGAGACTCTCCTCCTCCTCTAGAGCTTTCTGTGCCGGACTCATAGGTTTCAAGCCAGGAGTCATGCTGTCCTGTAGCACGTCACCAAGCATACTTTCGCCCTCGCCTCCAACTTCAAGAGTCGGTGCATAGCTTTGCACGCTATACGTGTCGTCTGCGTCACTTGCGCTTCGGCTCCTGCCAATGCGCATGCCCGCGAAGCTGATGTGGCGTGAAGTGGGTGTTCGAATCTCATCGCTGCCATGAGATTGCACATGTATATCTGCGAGCGACAATGCCGTTGTCGCCTTGGCCTGGAGCGGTGGTCTTACACCGGAGCTCGTGCCCGGTCGCGTAGGACTTCGACGCAGTCGTAGTGAGGGAGCTGGACTATGCGCAACTTGTCCAGGCACCCGACGCGGCGGCAGCGGTGGGGGAGTGCCTTCTCTGGACGGCTGTGTCGAATTGTCCGCACTGCTTGTGAAATCTAACTTCCCACCTTCGATCTCTTCCGGGCTGGCCACGCTTTTCGACGCATCGTCCTGCTCTTGCAGTAGTTTACCGTCTGCTTCGGCCATGTGTGGCCTCTCTTACGTGCAGTATATAGTTTGGTAACGAAGGCATTGCTATCCTTCGCGAGGTTGGGTTGTGTTAGCTATGGATGAGGGCTTGTGAACGGGTTACTTGGTGGAGCTGAAGAAGCCAGAGATAGGTGTCGTCATTGCGGCTCGACCGCCAATCAACTAGCCAGCGCAAGTGTCAAAAAAAATTAAAATAAAATGAAACAAACGTGCAGCACTTCTGCATTGCACCTACATGCGAAATTTAAAAGCCATGGTCACATTAGCAAAAACATGGACGGGGATCGTACTCTCGACCATGCACCAAATGGGCAAAAGCAAAAGCTTATCCCGTTCAGGGAGGTTTCCAAAGATTAGTTAGCGGCGTTTTGTGCCTGGTCCACAGTGATTTCTGGTAAAAGGCAAGGAATCAGTCTATTAGACCATGGCACGCCAATTCTTCTATCTGCTAGAATTTAAAATATATACTATTAAATTCTTTCTCCAATAAGAATATTATTCTTCCAGGGCTTGCTCTTCTCATGCTAGACTAGAAGTTATACTCCGTAAATTGCGCCTTAAAATGTTCATGTGAAGGAAAATGTCCACTCCCACGCCGGAAGTTGCCAAAAAACGTCAGCTTCTGCTTTCTAGTGCCCACTTTGACATCGACGTCCCGTGAACATGCCCAGGAGAACATTTAGACCATTTGACCATATACCCAGTTAATCTAGTTGATTTTTTCCTTTAGCCTGTTCAGCCAGTCTTGATCTTTGTCCAGTATCCGACGGTGTGAGCGCAGTATTTGGCAAAGGGCTCTTGATTTGGCAGCGATTGAGCCTCTGGTATCCCTATACGAAACGCGTTCCGTCGACACAGGCGGAGGCTCAAATGTCAGGATGAAAATCTAGCAAGGCCTCAAGTTTGAACTCGAGGAATCCGCTGGTGTTCTCGGCGCCTACGTTCGACTACATACCAGAGGTCTCAGCCCAGACTTCGCCCTTCGCCAAATCAATGTACGACAGTGACGGCCAATTTATCGTCAACCACAAGTGTGCTGAATGGGGGATTGAAGGATATCCAGGGACGTATATAGTAAACTATTTTCTGGAGTTTCGTGTAATCGACATCGATGACCCCAAGCGGATTTTAGAGCTCAATCAGACAACACGTAATCCACGTGCCACGACTGGACTGACCTCGCCATCCTCGTCAGTGGCTTCCCGTTCGTGCCCACAGTGAATTTGACATGAACGCGGCTTCAGAGTGTACATCATATCGTAATTGAATCCGAACCCCCAGCAGGTCGTCATCAAGCACCAGGGCAAGCGGAGAAAGAGTTGGTCAATCAAGTTACGCAACTGTCTAAATTTGAACCTTACACGACTGCGTAAACGACCTCAGTGATTGAATGCAAAGTTAAACGTGGTCAGCCAAATATAGACAATGACTAGCCCGCCAGTGAGCGTCATGGTGGGTTTTCTCGCTAGAAAACGCGAAAAAAAAGACCCAAATGTGATTCTCGAGCGTTCCGGAGCACACTGGCAAGTTGAACTGATCTTAAACTCGTAATTGTTTGCGAGTTTGCATACGGGGTTTCCGATTCATGGAAAGTGAATATAGACATTCCCAAACCATTTCGACGAATTGGATCACGAGAAAGGCAGCCTATATAATACCTCACGGCATAGGCCAGTTTGGCCAATGAATTCACGAGAGACACCGTCGGCTTTTCCTCGAAATTCAAGTTGGAGATCTAGTCTCTTCTCCTTCTTCTGCTTCTTCTAATCGTTTTTGTGTCCTCAGGCTGCATCATGATCGGAACGGCTCGAACCATCGTGTAACAAATTAATCCAACAATGTGAAATTAGATCATAGCAGCGCGACCTCGGCATATACTCCGCTGGTTTTTTTATTTTGCTCGATATCAACATGCTAGGGACATGGCCAGGCTTCCACCGGGGAGTGCCAGAACCTTTCAGGCTTTTGATTATATACCTTATTCTCCTTAGCCAGATCCTGTCCTGTTGTTCGATCATTAATAACTGGCCTAGGCAGCAGCTGATAATTTCCCTCATCAATACTTGCCTTGACATTTACGGAGCATGATTCCAAGCAAAAGGCCTTTGGACGTAAAAGATTCATTGCATTCGACCTAGTTTTGGAAGTGTCTTGGTACAGCAATGTTCTCGAGGACTTAGACATGATTGTCCCATTTCCGGAAAGAGAAGCAAACCGATCATAAGAAGGGGCCGATTTCCCGTCAAGAATACACTTCGCATGCATAATAACGACCGTAATGATCAAAGTCCACCAGGTAATTATGTGCACGTTTCATCATGTACACGTCTGGACGTCCTTACCGTTCCGTGTTCTAATGCTAGCTCACATGACATACAAAAGGTTTACGTCCAGCGGGTGTGAGCAGCTCAGCTGCGGTTTCTGCTGATATTTACCTTGAAGCTCATCGCGAATACTATTTAGCAGCTGTACGTAGCTCTGTTGCGGGTTCTTTTTGAGCGCGGTGATGAAGGCCCAAGACATAGCACCAGTGGCCTCACCGGAGATAGAAGCATCAGCCCTGTATAATTCAGTTAGCGTTGCCTCTCCGCGAATGACGAAAACCAAAGTCAAATAACGCAACCCGTAGCCCTGAAGACGGGACTCAGCCGCTTTAGGGCTGGAACCACGTCTTCAGGGCTGAGATAGAAGAATTAAAAAAGCTATTCTACAAGAGATGTAACATTGCCAAGAAGCCATTCGGGGTATCGAACTGTTTGAATCATGAAACAAAAAGAAAAAAAAAATCAAGACAGAAAGCTGGACACAGGCGGTGGTACGGCCAATCTTCCGTCAGCCATGGGCAGCCATGGAGGATATATCGCTACAGGCGAAGGGCCAAGCGCTGAGTCTAGTTCATGCTTTACAGGGGCATTTGCATCCTTTTGAACAGTGGACACAAAAGATCTGCATTGTGGAAACAATACCATATCTGATAGCCCCATGTTTACCGTGCTAACTGGTAAGAAATCGACAGAGACAGGGGGAGAAGGGTACGGTAAATCGGCAGGAAGAGAAAAGGAAGAATCCACATACGAGGTCTGGCTGTCCTTGCTACCACTCCACATGATGACATCTGCAGGGCTAGTCTTCGTACGCAAGTTCTTCTGGTACACTTCATCGCCAGAGACGGCCTTCTTGAACAGACCTAGGGCGGTGGACGCCATACCTCCTATGTCGCCACGAGCATACGACGATACAATGCCGAGGAGGCCGGCACCTGCTTCTTTGGCAAGGTTAGGCTCTTTGAGCAGACCTTGGGTAGAATAAATGTAGGGAAGGTCGAGAGCGGAGCCGGAGTGACAAGAGTCGAAGATGGCCGTTAATCGCACACCTGGTTTCAATGGTGCGACCCTTTACACATATCAGTAGGCGCAAACTAAGATGGGGGAGGCGGGCTGGTCACACATGATTCTGTGCATTTCGTCATCCACGATATGACCAGCAGTTCGGAAGTCTACTGGATAGATGACCTCATCATAGCCATCCTCTTCGTCACCGTCTAAATCCTTGGTTTGACCTCCATGGCCCGAGTAGTGGAAGAAAAGGGAGTCGTTAGGCTCAGCGCCTTTGACTAGCCAGTGCATAGCTCGTAGTATGTTTGCTTTCGTCGGCTGGCTCATGGGATTCTGCTGGTCATCGGTAAGAAGCACCATGTCTTCCCTCTTGTAGCCGAAATGTTGGTTGAGATATGAAGACATGTTCTTCACGTCGTTGATACATCCTCTCAATTGTCCTCGCTGTCCGAAATAGTTGATACCAATTAAGAGCGCTTTTCTTCGGCCCGAACAATTCGAGTATTGGAACGTGTAGTTTCCAGGAGCGCCATGCCCTGATGTTCAGATTAGACGTCAGAATCAGATCAGCGAGCCTAGCTGAACTAACCGAATTGTTGTGCCGAACTCGGTGGCGGAGGAGGGGCGCCATGGCCTCCTTGGTTGTACGAGTTGCCATACTGAGGGGGTGCATTTCCTAAAACTATCTGTAAGGACACGTTCTTGACTTGAAATACCGACAGCCCACGCTTGAAAGGTTCAGAGGCTGGGGAAGGTGGAAATGTTTACCTTGTGGGGGTCGGTAATTGCCCTGAGGGGGCGGTGGACCGTAGCTTTGCTGTGGTGGTGGTGGCTAACATTTTCTCAGTCAGCAACTCCACGTGTCTGCTACTCGTGTCATCGCTCACCTGGCTATATCCATAACCCCCTTGCGGAGGTGGGGGACTCTGCGTTGGGGTCAGCGAGTGCTTAGGTGAGTTCGCGAAGTACGAGACACATGCCTGCTGATAGCCGCTATATTGCTGAGGCGGCGGTGTCCCGTAGCCATACGGCGGCTGCGGGGAAGGAGGCGCCTGTTGGTAGCCGCCATAGTGTGGTTGTCTTGAAATGCAGCTGGTTAACGCCGAAGCTCCGAGCTACGCTGCAAAGCGGGAATACGCACTGTGGAGGAGGATAACCACCATATCCGCTGTTTGGAGGTGGCCCATATCCTCCCTGATGTCCACCCTGATACCCTTGGCCTGGGTAGTAGGACATTATGTGGTGGGGCGCGGCCGGCTAGGATGAAGAAGCAGCGTTTGGCGGATGAACGGTCGCTGGTGGCCTCGGAACACGGTCGGTCAAAGGCAGGTGAAGCTCTAACTTGGCTCGAGTCTAGGTAAGCGCTTGAGGGGACAAATGCTAGGACTGGAACACTAATACGGAAAGCAGCCCATGAATGTCTTGCTGGACGAGGGCAGAAGAAGTTCTTTTATGAGAGATCACTCATGGTGGGGTGTTTTCTCTCGGGCTGCACGACCACAGGCTGCCTCTACCCTGTAGGGCTTAGCGCTGCACCGCATCCCGTCGCAGCCTACACAGCCACGCCATGTTCAGTGACACCAACGATTACAAACACCACGCGATCGCTGTAGCACCTTCGCGATGGCGTCAGATGATGCAGGTACTCAAGCTAATTATTCTGGAGACGTTTCGCAGATCGCCTCGTTGTCGTGCTGTCCCGTGTGTGTGTGTGTGTTTGTGTGTTCATGTTCGCCCAAGCTTGGGACGGCCACTGCATGTCTTGCCCTCGTATTTTCACTCCTGCCCCGTGTTTCACGTTCAGGCAAAGATCATTCTCACGTCCACAGCTTCGAGAACCTCCACAGGATCTACAGGCCATGTTGTAGGGCAGCTAGGATGACATGGGACATGTTCATACGAGATCTGGACGACAGCACAGCAAATTCCCCCCAAAAAAAGTTCCCAGGCCCGCGGTCCGTCCGACGCTATCACACAACACAAATGCTTTGCCAGCTTCGAAGACCGAGCACGCGATTGGAAGGTCCGAATAACCGATCGAAGCGTTCCGCCAGACGGTGGAGAAAAGAAAAAGCTGTGCCGGAGAAACAGGTAGGGTGGGCGGAAATGCACTGTGCTGTTGGCACTGCACAAAATTTTGCTGAGCTTCAGTGCCCTGCATAACGCGTTGTGTCTGCCAATTATGCGAGACGCAGCATCGGTTCCGCCGATACCCCACAGCAGCATCGGTTTGCTGTATGACCCCCCAAAAAATTTCTTCGCACAAGGCTGTGTGAAAAAGATTGAAAGGCTGAAGAGCCTCCTCGCGTCTCGGCTGGGATGCTACAGAATAGGAAAGCAGTACGTTTGACAGGCCTCTGCCTCCTTGAACAACCCAAGCGACACACTGCCTGTCGGAGCTTCCGGCTTCTCGCAGCGACGTCAAGATTTGCGCAGCGGTTTCATACTCGAGTCGAGTTGAGCTCTGCACCTCGCGCCAGACGAGCAGCAAAGTTTAAGGAAAAAAATGGCCTGATTTGATTCCGCAGTACGTGAAGCAAACGCTCGGACTCTCCAGTCGTCCATACTCGTTGACTGTCCCTCCAAAGTCTCGACCGTCCAACACTGTTTCTCGTGTCCACAATGCTCGCATTGGTCCATGCCCATTTCTCATCTGCATGACATCAACGAAAGGGGGAGTAACCCACTTGGGATACATCATCAAGATCCACCCTGTCAAATCGATAGTGTCCGCGAGGACCGTCGTTCCTGAGAGCAGGAACGTACGCTCGGCCCGAGAACATCCTCCCCCCTTCGGATAATTACACATGAGCGGCGCATCAGTTTCTATTGTTTAGCTCTTCAAGCTTACCTTCTGCAGTTGGAAAAGTTGGAGGAGAATCAATTTGAACAAAGATTGCGGCCATCACAGCCGCCATGAAAGATCCCGCTTTGGTCCCTTCACATCTCATCGACAGTTAGAGCTGGGGTATGAAATCCCGTGCCGTTAAGAGTGTACCTCACGCATACATCTACCAAGAATAGCTGTGATCCTATAGCTTCAAGGGATGGATGATGTGAGCCTGCTACTCTTTTGTCCTTGTAACGAATCGTGTCGCGTAGTCTCAAAAGCGAGTCGTCCAGCGTCATCATCGAGAAAGTGTTTAAAAATTTGATCAAACAAAAGCATTTTCACGGCGAATTTTTTGCATCTAGAGGAGTCCGTTTTCTCCTATCTTTGAGAATGAAGAGGATTCAAAGTCGCTGTGCCGTCTACAAACGTTGAGGCAACTGTAGACAGAAATTTGTGCATTAGGATGTGAAGGTGGAGAATGTCATTCAGATGCAAACATGGCTGCGCTGAAAAAAGCCATTTGAGCCAATGAATTTGCAAGGCGTGGACTCGCATACTGCAATCCATTCGAAGCTGGCACGCTGTTCTCAGAATCCGTCAGCACGGCTGATGTAGTGCAATGGCGGCCGTCATTGGCGACGTTAATTAATGACGTGCAAAACGAAGTTCTCATTCCCCCTTTCCAAGTATATCAAATTCATCGACACCGTACAGCGACTCAATTTCAAAATAGCATAGAGTAGAACTACTTTTGTTTCGGCAAGCCTCAGCTCATGCCTGCTACTGTATATCCAAGGCATACGTAACGCTCTACAAAACCACTTTCCCAGTCGTTTTCAGCGTGTCGCTACGCGTCTAGGATGTGAACACTCAGCCTAATTTAGCTCGAAAGGAGCATGCTTATCTAATCTAATGCTTCGACGCATTGATGTGTAGTTGGTGGGCTGAGCACCTCGCGTGGCGACCTGGGCTCTCTCATTAAAAAAAGAGGCTTATTGGCCGTATTGATGACGGGCTCTGGCCCTTGCTCAGCTACCCCATGGAAAGCGTAAACCTGCATGTAAGCTATACTGCTCGTGAACATCCTGGACAGAGGACATGCCAGCTAGGTCCAGCTCAGCGCGAGGGGCGGGTGCTGCTGAACTTCCCATTCGGCATGAAATATACCTCGCCTAACGCCGTTCATAATAATGGATGCGAAACAGACGACGTCGACTAGCAGCCAATAGCATATTATTGTTCGCACGTCGATACGCGTCGCACGGCTTTCGTTTACACATCTAACATACTCCTAACCTTCTGTTGAGGAAAGTTCAGCGTCGTACTCGTCCTTTGCGTCTCGCCACTACCAATTGTTACGTCTGTTGCAACGCTGCAGCTGGAACGCTTCACACCTGACTTCAGCGATACAGTTTCGTTACTGTTGTGCAACTGAGCCTGGTCTATGAAAGGTGACTCGTAATCCACATTTTGGCTGCTTGAGCTAAGCCCAACTTCAGGCGCCGTGCTCGTTGAAATGCTCTCTGTCGGCGGCCCGTTCTTCGACGCCAAATCTGAATATCCTTTTTCCCCTGTTCGAGTCCAGCTATCCGGCGCAATGGCTGAGCTGAACGTTTTCGACTTTGCCTGGACACCCCCAGCCTCTGAAGCCAGATCTCGTAGCCTCTGCACGTCGTTGACGTAGTCCCTAGCACCCTTTCTCCACCACGCAGGTTTTCGCGTGATGCCCAATTCAGCATCAGTAGCTCTTCCCCGAGCTCGACGCTGCTTGATCAGGCTCTGATCTTCGTTCTCCTCTATCAGTCCCGCGATGATGAGGACGACCATGATGAGCACGGTGGGTACGTATCCAAAGCCGAAAGCCCAGGCAGGGTTGCCGTCGTATTTGAGGATAGAAATCTCCCATATCCACGCACTGGCAATGCCATATGCTACTCGTACACCGAGAATGGCAATAGCGAGGAACAGTTTGGTCGGGCAGCTTGTGGAGCAACTGCGTATGAGCGGGCGGACACCACGCTCGTTAGGGCGATAATAGTGAAGGCTGTGCTGGAGAGAGAAGATGATGACTGCGTATGCGGCAACCATTATTACGCTGCCAGCTTTGAAGCGGGCGTCCGTTCCCGCAGCCGCAGCGATGGCAGCTTGTTGCTCTGGCGATCTTTGCTTCTCGATTGGTGTCCACGGGCGGGGTATTGTCATGAAGAAGTTAAGCCAGGCAAACAGGTAGAATATCAAGGGCATGTAGAACTCTCTTCTGGCACGACGGTCGTCCTGTCTCAGAGCAAACTGATCGCGATCCACAATCTGACGCTCCTGCCACGAGCCCCTGCATCTTTGCGTTAATCGCCCGTGAAATTGAGCGTAAAAGTCATTTCCAAATTAGGGACGTACCAATGCCGAACGGCCTCCCACACAGCGGCCATCGTGCCTGAATACATCAGGCAGAAGAAGAAGGACTGCAGTATGATCGCAATATCTGGTAAATAATCTCTATCCACATCCACACTTGATATCGTCCCAATAAGCCCACACGCACACACGAAAATCATCCAATACCACTGCCATCTCCTTCCTACGAGCCTGAATCTCTTGTCTTCCCTCAGATACTGAGTTCCATGCTTCTTCAAATTCACCAGAACAAACAGTAGACACACCGAAAACAGCGTCGCGAAGGCAATACCCAACTTCCCGCGCTCTTTAATCGCCGAGATTGGCACGTAGCACGTTGTGCCGTTAATCCACGTGCCGTTGGAGAGAAAAACAGGTTTGTATTTGTCGAAGACCAGGTAGCAGTTCGAGTTGTTCGACAATGTGTTGTTCGTGTACAGTGTGTAGTTCCAGTGTCGAAGTGCCGTGAGATTATAATGGACGCCGTTGATCAACGCATCTGTTGCATTGGCTCCTTCGGGGAACGGTTCCACGTCGCGAGCGAACAAGTGCGGAAGCGGCGATTTGGGCATCATCGCCACGTTGAGAGCGCGACGGGCGTAATTTGGCTTGTCTTGGAGCCTATCGATGGACCAAGCGGTATAAGGCGCGTTCTGATGTGTGGTTGCGCTCGAGATTACCAGCGAACGAAACCAAAAGCGAGCATCAGGCCGAACGTGGGTGCAGCAACAACCCGCCTCTCGAATATGACAGGCAAGACAGAGGCATGGAATCCGCAACGAAAGCAAGCAGGATATGGTGCGCCGGAGACGTACGGAACTTGACCAAGACAAGATCTGCGAGAGCACGCACGGTTTGGTCACGGTCGCCAAGCGCTCAGCCTTGGGACCAAGACTTTAGAGAGGCTGATGAGGATAGTGATACCGCAAAAAAATTTCTCTACATAAAACCACTCGGATTAGCCTGATTCGCGATGGTATTTATTGGACTCATGTTGAACTTCACTCGTGCATGGCTGGGGCGGAATTTCTCTCGCAACTAATGCACTGAGTCCAACTCTTTGCTGTGTCGTGATTTTCGACGGGGAAAACCCTCATTCTCTTCGTTAGACATCTGAGAGAACTCTTTCATGCTAACAGCGAAATGCAGCTTTGTAAGTCAAGATTCACATTGTACAAATGCAGCTATTGGAGGAGCTAAGTTGGTCCAAGATGAAGGTCCTGCAGTGGAGGCAGCGTGGGAGAAATAATCGTTCCTTCTGACGACGATTCTGACCGCTATCGGCGAATGAAAGGGAAATGCTTTTACAGCAAGATCTGCTGTGGCAGATGAAACGTGCAGGCGCTTCTGTCAATGTTTCTTACATCGCACGGCGCATCCAAATTTTGCATGCTATTCGAGCGAGGCACTACAAGATCGATTATCAAGATGACCTCGTGGAGAGGCCGCCGCCAGAGTCGCAGCTCCTTACACTGAGTCTTGCCATTTTCTTTGCGGGGCGAGAGTGGACTGGCCTCTGGCCCCACATGAAGAACTGGTCAATCGCAGTCCAACCTTCTACGCCGTTCCTGCAGGTCGGTCTCTATGTCGTCTCAGGTATATTATGCTCCTTCAGAGCCATCTCCAGTCGATGAACTATTGCGAATCCACACTGCGATATTGCACCGCGCTGTTCGCTGCATTCGACTCTGACACAACGCTCCAGCGGCTTGCTTGCATCTCCAATAGGCAATTCTGCCAGCAAACCCGAAGACGAGGGGAAATGGCCCTGGCGTCCACATCTCTCTGCCAAGCGTCGTATCACTGCTCGCCTCTCGAGTCATGATAGCTGCATTGGCTCCGGATCCTTGTCCACGGGGGGGCTTTCTTCCAGAGCAAGGCACCTTACCTTCGGTGCTACTAGGTGCATGCGATTGTTTTACATTTTCAGGGAGTACCGGTACGACGGGAAGTATCGACAATTGCAAGCAGCGTATCAATTTTCTTGTGTCGACGATGGAAGAGCTGTCGAAGCGATGCTTGGCTTACTCCGTTGATCTCTCTCGCTATTGCGAACTTTCTAGTCGTCCGGCGAGCCGTACCGAAGCGCCGAACGAGCTGTTAGTGAAATCGGGGGGATGGGTCAGTGCTGTCATCCTAAGCCATCGCGCATGCTCCCTGGTCACTTTGGTCAAATCTCCACCCTACGGCGTAAAATCTGCATCATGTAAGTTGATGTTCAGTGCCAGAATCGGATCTTTACCGCAAGCAGGCAGGTGATGAAGACATTTGCGAAGCGCAAGATTCTTGATAAGACTCTATGATTAGCGCGCGGGGAAGTGGTTTATACCTGCAAGGCCTTTGTCGTGAACTCGTCATCCAAAGCGTTCCTGCAGATCCGTCGTGACCAAGGCTTGTTCAAGTGCCAGCTTTAGACAGGGTTCTAGACATTAGGTCCTGTTCAACGGAGTACTCCGTAAGGAGTAATAGGAACGTGCCCGCATCTTCTATGATGCGCAAAATAAGTACTCCTTGTTCCACCACTGCCATTCTCGATAGATCCCATTTTCAACTTTTCAGTTCCTTCGGTGAGATGATGTGGATGAACAGCGTTGAGTTGTCGTTTGTCACATGAGTGGAATTCACGATCGAACTTGAGACTCAGATCTTCAAGTTTCGTGCGTTTGCCGATTCTTTTGGACGGACTGGAAACTACCGCTGCTCGCCAATCGCCTCTTCGTTCGCTGAAACGTCACCATGGGTAGCGAATCTGGTATCACTGCTTCCACGAAGGCAGAACCACGTCTCGATGCGGCCGCCGTATTCTACGTTTCTTTCGGCCTGGCATGGACCATCATACTTTTTGGTGCTATGTTTTATCTATGGAGGAAACGACACCTGCCCTCCCTTGCCATCCGTGGCCTTCCCCTCACCTTTGCTTCTGTCATCTGCCTTCATCTCTACTGGATGCTGGTGCAAGTGTGCATTGTGATCGGTCCCATCGAGCCAGAAGTTGGCGAGTATTGGGTCATGGGCACATGGCTTCCGTGGGGGATCTCACTCTTCTACGCCGCGAATGCGCAACTGCTTCATGTTGCCAAAGTGCAGAAGCGGTTTGCACATAATCAGAACGTTAGCGAGAGCACCATCATGGAAGAAAGCACGAATAAATCACAGAGGTCCAAATCATGGTGGAGGACACGCTATCAGCGATTCATGCAAAAGAGCTACGCTTCTCGCGTGTGGATACTGACATCCATCGCAATGATTGTCCAAGTACGTCCCAATTCATTCTTCCATGTCCTTCGTGAACCTGCTGCATTTGACTCAACATTCTCTTGGTCGTTTTTGAAGCCTGATAAGCCATTGACATGCTTACTTACGACTTTCCGTGACAGTTTCTCCTCACTCTACTGATGTACCTGATTTCCCGCAAGTATCACGCCAGCTGGGGAATTCCTGGTACCGAAGTCCACGGAACAGCGATGGAACGGAAGGTTGAGCAAGGCCGAGGTTGGGAATGGTGGCCTGGCGTAGCCGTGCAAGTCTTTTGGTCATGGGTTGTTGCACCCGTCGTGCTTTGGCGTTCGCGTCATATCCGTGACACGCACGGATGGCGTCTCCAGACGATTGCATGCTGTGTGTCAGGGTAAGAATCGTCTTCGAGCGAAAGCGGGAGATACCCAAAACTCACCGATCTCAGTATGCCTGCGACGCCGATGTGGTTGATTGCCCTCAATGTACCAGGTATGGAGCCATGCAACCACTATTTCATTCCTCCCCAATGGTAAGCGAGTCCTTCACGCCGGCATCTTGGTCACCTGAGCTTAACGTTGTTAGGATTGCACTCTCTATCTGGTTCATTGAGATTTTCACCGTCTTCGTGCCGGTATGGGAAGTGAAGAAGCACCAAGGGTTACAGGAAGAGACGCTCGATGCAATCGCGCAATGGGAGTCCAAAGGTCAAAAGAACGTCTCTCTATCCGAGTTCTCGGGCTCCACTGACGTGGTGTCTCCCATGTCAGACAGCTTCAAGAAGGCGCCTTCCTGCGAAATAGCCTTGGACGATCTCTTCCGCAAGTCCAACGAGAGCTCGCCGGAGAGCCTGTACACGATGACGGCGCTGAACCGCACGCTCGCCCATGACCCAGAGCCACTCCGCATCTTCTCTGCCCTTCGTGACTTCTCGGGAGAAAACATCGCCTTTCTCACCTCCGTCGCTTCGTGGGATGCGTTGTGGTCCTCTCACCCTTCTGTCGGGTCTTCAAACTCCGGTAATGGGGCCGTCATAGCCGATGACCTCTTCCGCCGGACCATGTTTAAGCACGCCGTCTGCATATACGCGCGCTTCGTCAGCCAAGCTCACGCCGACGTTCCGGTCAACATTGTCGGCGGCCACCGTGAGCGCTTGGATCAAGTGTTTGGCCCCGCTGCGCAGGTGCTGTTCGGTGAGGGCAGAGGCGAAAGCTACAGCGACATGCCGTTCGAGTATTTGTTCGGCTCTCCGGCAGAGAAACAGGCGGTTCACGTAAGTTCAAAGGTCAACGACGTGGTAGCACAACGTGTGCAGTGGTGGGGTGACATCCCCGACGAGTTTGACGCCAACGTGTTTCGCGATGCCGAGCGCAGCGTAAAGTACCTCGTCCTTACCAACACGTGGCCTAAGTATGTAAAGGAGATGATAGAGCTACGCCGCAAAGAGTCAAAGCCGATCAGACAGCAGAGGCGAGGTTGGTGGTTTAGGAGATGATGCCTTGTAACTCTTGCGCGCCTCATACGATTCAGAAGCGCCGTTCTGATGCTTTGCTATTGCACCAACAAGTTCGCAGTTTCTCCCACTTTGCGATGCGTGATATTCTAGGTTTACATCGGTGCATATGCAGATGATGACAATATACCCCAGTATGCTAGGTCTGAATGAGGTTCATACAATTTCATTACAGCAGGACTGCCTGAAGCATGTCTAATAATCGTGCTTCTTCTTCTTCTTCTTCTTCTTCTTCTTCTTCTTCTCCTTCTTCTTCTTCTTCTTTTTTTTTTTTTTTTTTTGCCTGCGATCGAACGTCTTCATCATTGCTACGGCTGTCACTGTTGTCGTGCATCTTCTTCCCATTCTCCTTCTTCTTCTTCTTTTTTTTTTTTTTTTTTTTTTGCCCAATATCTAGACTCGCAGAACGGAAACGTCGTAATAGAGGAAGAACGAGAAGGAAGCGAAAACGACCATCAGTGAGGAAGATAATTTCAAGTGAGCGTATCTCGATCCCACCAGCTGGAGAGAATTAGGTCTGCCGCAGGCCTCAAGTGCTTCGTTGACATTGCCCGCAAACAAATGTAGGCGCTGCTGCTCCCAGGGGAGGATCGTGACGTCTCACCGAAGAAAGACTAGCTACCCGACGTATTCTGTACACACAAGTCCCCTTCATCCACCCCTCCCACAATCGCAAGCAAAAACCTCGCAAATTCCTGAACAGACAAGACGCTTACGCACACAGACCAGCAAACTCCAACCAAAATATGACAAGGTCCAGACATAAACGCGCGTGTGCATGCATGCAAATATGGTTGATGGATACCTTTCCTCCCAGTTTTCCCCCTCCATTTTCCCATCTGGTTCCCAAAGGCTCGGGCCACAAGGGGAAGGCGCGCCTTTGCTCATAACGCAGTAAATCCAACGTTGGTCATCGCAAAAAGAAAACAAGCCAGCAGTAGTCGTGGAAGGAAGAAAAAAAATAGGATGTTTTGGCATGCATCGTAAATAAATCAACGCCGTTTGTTTCAAATCGACTTTGCCCAAACCCAGCCACCGCCGTCCATGATCCACACTAAGAGAAAAGCTTCAGTTGATAAGATTGAGTGTGCAAGACGAGAGAGATCAATTCCGCCTATTCTCCTTCTGCGGTCCAAAGTCGACCTCCGTGATTTTCCTCTCTTTCCTTGGCGCCTTCGCTTTGAACTCGGATTGCAGGAGCAAATGGTCGCTTGGGAAATGAAGATTCGGGAATCCGGGAACGCGCTTGAGATATTCAGGATCAACCTCACCAAGCAGGCCTGTGCACGAGAGACTCGATGTTGAGTACAGAATATAGTCCAAAACACCAGTATAACCGGGGGTGTAGTTAGTAAAGGGCAGCTCGCCGATGTTTCCGTAGCTGGATTTCAGGCCGAACGCATGCCGTACGCCATCTTTGGTAATGTTCCCGTACTTGTAGGTGCCCAGATCTCGGTGATTACCAGCTAGCGAGCCAGTTGTGAGCATTTCATACACTCCAGATCGCGGAGTCGAATTGAAGTCGCCGCATACGACGATCGGAATATCCGTTCCATGTTCGTACGTCATTGATGGCACGGGGTTTTGAATCTCCTCTTCCACTGGCTCCTCGCCCTCCTTGTCCCCATTCGCATATCGGAACCGGATCTTATCCTTATCTGGGGTAGGTGGCCACTTTGCATACTTCTCCGCGAGCTTCTGTGTCTCTTCCATTAGGATGGCTGCCTGTACGACCTTGACGTCCCGGTAATTTTGGTCCCAGTACAAGTGCGTGTTGACGACGATGAGTCGGGATCCAGTGCTACGATTCTCTAGGAAGGTGACTACGCCGATGTTATCTCGAATCATCACGCGGTTGAAGAGGTCGTGTTCGCCCTTCATGTCCGCCCGATTGATGCTGACGTTGGCGAATTCGATCACCTGCTTATCAAGGATAATGAACCTAAAATCCGTTAATGCGCGCAAAGAAAATTTGTCTCCCGTTTAAAAAAAACGCACCTGCTGTTCTTGACGAACGTCGCGCAGCCATCGACTCCCTTGCCTTGCTCTGTTGACATCGTCTTAGTTTTACTTCGTGGCCAGTACACGCCTTTGTAGTCGCTCCGCGCAAGCATCTCCCTGAACAGGTTGTTATAATTGTCGACGTCCAATTCTTGCAAGCATACGATGTCTGCATCTCGAGATCGGATCTCCTGCAATATAAGTTCTTTCCGATAGTCCCAGTCGAGGACTTGTGATGGTGAATAACCAAACTGCTGTGGTGTTGCCGCGATTTTGCACAGTATATTGAACGAGATTACTTGGAACTTCTCGTCCGGTGAAGAGTCTGTATCGTCCAGAACGATCCAATCTCTTGGACGTGGTGGATCAGGACCTTGGAAAAGGGTCAGCAGTGAGCAATGACATGATCAAGCTTGACGCTTACCTGGTGCTGACTCCCGTAGTTGCCGGATAAGTGCTTGTGGGCCCTCTTCCACAATTACAGAGAGCTGCCCCTCATTCAGCGGATTCCCGTCGATTGCGAGCATGTCCAGAGCAAACAGATTGCCAAGCTCATAGGGAATGACCGTGATCTTATTGTCGACGAGCAGAAGCACCCTCAGATTGACGAGCATACCCATCTCAGGTGGGAGGGTGCTGATCTGATTGAGCGATAGGTCCAGGTGGGACAGATTCCTCAAGTGTCCAATTTCTGGAGGAATTACTTGCAGGCGGTTATTGTTGAGGTAAAGCTTTGTAAGAAATGGGTAGTAATCGAACAGCTGTAAGCTTATGCATCGTAAATTTGAGCCACCCATGTCGATCTCCGTCCATATCGACTGCTCCATTTCGTCGTCTGACCAGTCACCCGCTGTCCGATAGCGCTCTTCCTTTTTCTCATTTGTATCTTTGGCGCCACCTGTACTAGTGCCGGGGAGTACAGTCTTCGATGCTGAAGAGGCATTCCGTGCATGAGGGTGGGCATGAGTCAGGCTTCGAATCTCTGCTGCGATTTCTATCTGTTTCTTCCAGTGCTCTGTCTGGCTAACAGGCGCGGTACTATAAGCGTTGCTCTGCGCGCCGTTCTGTAAGTGAGAGGTCCCAAAATGAGCAGATGCTCCACCGGACTGATTGTGTTGGTGGCTGATGAAATTTCCTTGGTGTGCACCGTGTCCTCCATCCTGACCCGTTTGCGCGTGCTGGTTGTGTTGATGTGGGTTATGGTGTGAATATTTGTTCAGGTTGAGCTGATTCCCGAAGCGCTGGTGCCCAGCGCCGTTCATCATGCCATGCGAGTTGAGGCCCGCATGGCCCTGCGCGTACATGCTGTATGGGTGATTTGAAGGCGACCTTGCCCGTGGTGACCGTGAGGGTGAGGTTGTATCGGACGGAAAGCCGCGTCTGTGGTTTTGTGGTGCGGGCGACGTGGGTCGCTGTGAACTATGTCTCGTGTTATTGAATTGGGAGTAGTATTGCTGGCCACTCGCTTGTGTGAAGCGATATTGACCATCTGCCATCAAAGGCAGTTCCTGGTCGGTGCGGTAGGTGTCGCGTACTTAGGCAATGATAGTTCTTGCTTTGCTTCCGGGAGAGAGTGAGGTAGTCGATGGAAGAAGTAGAGGTCGGGATAGCGTTTTCCGTCGTCGCCACATTGATCGCAGTGATTGTCATTCAGGACGACCGTGTAGAGGTTGTACACGACCACACCCAGGCGAAGGGTAGCTTCTCGAGCTAGTGCCGTTCGCAAGTGAAGAAGATTGGTTATGAAACGTGGCGTGCGCTGTGATATTGGCTGCGAGGTCGAAGCTCAATCAGACCGTGGTATCATGCTGTGGTTACGGAATGGCAGTAAATGAATAGTTCGGAGAGAATCTAGAGAGATAGCATCGATGTTAGCATGCGTCAACTTCGGTTACAAACGGTGAAACTGAGATCAAAGAGCGAGAGCGCGGAGAGGGTCAGAAGTTGGTAGGATAGCTGTCGCGGCCGTAATTGACGATTGAGGCGAAAGACCAGGGAATGGATGTTTGTGTGTGTGAACAGCTATGAGCTTCTTCTTCTGCCAGTGCTCTGCTTTCCGGGGAACTCGTTGACGTCTCGAGCAAGGAAGGCGTGGTTGTGAATGTGGGATGGCGGGCGGCGGGCGTACGAGAAAAGGCGGGGACAACGTACTGAAGGGATGCGGTCTCACTCAGTGCAAAGCGCGGTTTTAGTCGTCGCGACAGCGTGAAGCAAGATGCGGTCGAGTATGGTAGGTCGTGTCAACGATGAAGGGCGCGAAGTCTGCTGGTCTCTACAGGTCGAGGCCGATGGAGACTGGAGAGGATCCTTGGCAAAGAGCGGATCCTGTCACGTGTCCTCTGTCGTGCAACCAACTCGTCGCGACGCTGCGCGCTGAACACTCACGTCCAGCACTTCCAGTGTCGGGATTTCATCTTCGAAAGGCGTTTGGCGACATTGGTCTTTTCTACTTCACGCATTCTGGCCTCTGCGGCAGCCTCAAGTCTTGCTGGCGACTCCTGAATGCCGCTCAAAATGATCAGTTTTGCTGATCCATCACATTGCGCTCTGAAGGCCTAACGCGCGACGACGCGTCTGGCCTTTCCCAGTGGTGCTACAACTCGTACTTCTCTTAGTACTTCTGTTGCTACTACTACTGTTGCTGCCGCTGTTGCTTCTGGAGCTGCTGCTGGAGCTGTTGGCGCCACCGCCTCCTTGGAGCATCGTATCTTGACGTAGAGGCTGAGGCTTAACTCTACCAAGTGCTCATCATGTGCCCCATCGCAGCTGATGGTTTGGCACCAGGCCAATCATTGCTTATCCTGCGATCGGGCAGTACCGTATTTTGTCCAGGACTGTGCTTGGGGCGGGCATTCTCGTTCCAGAGCCTCCATGGTTGAGTTCAAGCGATGGAGCTCGCGTTCAGGCGCAACAACGAGCTGCACCCAAGCAGACAATGCACATGCAATTTCATCATCGCCTCCGTTGTTTGCAGCTAGTTTCATCTACTGCGCTTGTGTACAAGCGACTATGATGGGCAGAGTTTCGGGCCCCAGAGCCACGCACACAAGCTCGTTGTGCGAACTCGCCGCCACGGCGCACAAACGATGGGACTGAAGAACAACCACCTTCTGGGGCCACGAAAAAGAAGATCACTCTGTTAATTTCCGTTGCGCAAGAGCAGCGCCTCAATTTAGCGACGGCTCGCTTCAAAATATACGGAGCACCCACGACCATGTTGAAACAAAGCTGCCATATCGTTAACCGGGTCGTTGTCCCCTGGGCCCGCCAATCCCATGCAACGCTAATCACTAGGAAACCCAATCTACCGGATACAAGAGAAAGACCTGCAGAGAAAGACTTGCAGAAATGCAGCGTGGGACGCAGATGCAACTCTGACCTCTGTCCTTCGTGCATCTCTTCTGCTGCTGCCCTCCCGCCGCACTTTCGACGTTAAATTCTCAACGCCCTCTGGCCTTTTTCCCTGCCAGAATCACGCCATGGAATCGAGGGGCTGAACCTGCCCAGACACCGCATCACTGGTCAGATCTTAAAGTCAAAAAGACTTTAAAACAACGGGCATCGCCCGATTAGCTCCCGCTTGGGCGGTCTGAACAGGCTATCTTTAGTACGGGGTCGTTTTTGGAGCAAAAGAATAAAGACCCCAGATCTGCTCCGTCATTGTGGGCCGCAACGCCGGACACCAACAATGCCCAACGCAGTATGGACGGCAGCGCTGCACACAGAGGCAAGGCCGCCTCTGTTTCCAGCTCATCCACACAATCGATCAGAGTCACGTCCGACAACAACAACATCATCATCAACACCAAGCCGTCGAATGCGGTAACGCCATTCGTATTCCATCATGGGCGTAGGTATCTACGAGAGCCTAGCTACAATGAATACCCCCTGCCTTGCGACGGACCCGAAATACACCGTCAAAACCTGCAAACCCTGCTAGCCGTCAGGGCCTTTGGCAAGTCACTGTGCAGTCCATTTGTGGAGAAGAAACCCCCGCAACGCGTGCTGGATATCGCATGCGGGAGCGGATACTGGTCGAGTCTTTGTCATGACTATCTTGCTGAATTAGGATGTCTAAATGTTGAGTTCGTCGGGTTGGACATCGCGAACATTGCTCCCGACCTCAAGCAACAAGGCGTCAATTGGAAGTTTGTGCAACACGACATCAGGAAGGTCCCGCTACCCTTCGAAGAGGAGGAGTTTGACCTGGTTCTCATGAAGGACCTGAGTCTTGTGCTGCCACTAGGTCCTCAACAAGAGCGCCTCTTTGACGATGCTATTCGCGTCCTGCGTTCGGGTGGAGTCCTAGAGATATGGGACACAGACTACCTCGTGCGCACGTTGTTACCTCACCCACCAGCACCACTCAGCAAACGGGCCGAAGAGCACGAACACGCCATTCGCACCGCTACCTTTCTCATTTCTCCCGCGACACCCTTCGCGAAAACGCAAAACAAGTACCTCACAGACAGCAATAGCTGGATCCAAGATGCGCTCGACGCGCGCAAATTATCCCCCACTCCATGTGGTAGAATGCAGCCTATGCTGCTCCAAGAGCCGGACACACTAGAGGACATCGGCTTCCGTCGTGTGGCAATCCCATTCGGCGAATTAAAATGGGAGAGGGACAACGCAGCAAAGCGTGGTAAAAGCCGCGCATCTCTTGCGGATGCAGTCCCGTCTTCTCTGACGCCTGAACAGGCAGATCTCAGGGCCTCAGCCTTGCTAAGTACAGTCATGTTTATCGAGAGTATGGAACCATTCCTGCGGAAAGTTAGTGGGAAAAATGCGGAGGAGTGGACACGGTGGTGGAATTGGATGATGACGGATTTGTACGAGGATGGCGGTGCCAACAACGGCGACTGCATCGAGATTGGCGCTTTTTGGGCCAGAAAAATATGACACGAACATACTCTGTCTAGAATGCATTGTGCATTCTAACGCGCATCCTCAACATGACAGCGAAGTAACGATGCTGCAGCTAGACAGCTTGGAAAACGATGGTCAAACCCGATCGTATCGTTGTCGCAGTGAACGATAACGTTTGAGATAGTATCTAGAAGAGTAAGCCTGAGGTTGCTGAAGGCGAGCATAATTTCTGAACACACAATGCTTCAATTTCTGTGCTTTGATGTCAGTCGATCTAGATCCTGCCCTTGTCTTTTTTATACAAACCTTTTTTTACAAATTCAGCTCTTTCAATGGCCTTCTTGATCTGCTCGTCATCTCTAAGGCCAGCCTGGCTCATGAATGCGTTATGCAGTCTCGGACGAGCATAGTGGTAGCCGAGAGGATAGTCTCGGATCAAGTACAGAAGCTCTGTTTTTTCAGTCAGAATTCTGATTTGAAACCCTGGGTCAATTTGGGAATGATTCAAAGCTAGATGCAATGGAAGTCATGCAAGTACAAGGTGTGACGTCGTAGCTTCTCAACGTGCAACGTTCACGCCGAAGTCGAAATAGTGAGGTCTGGTATCACCACATTGCCTGTGGCCCTGGACGGCTAAATGCGGAGCATGTACCTTTGTATATTTTGATCACCTGTGTCCGAAGTTCTTGATTTGGAGGCGACATGGCTCGATGGCGTTTAGCTGTTAAACTTTTGTAAAATGTGTTGGTGATGTACAACGAAAGGTTGTTCGGCGGCGAGCAGCGGACTCCTCACCCAAGTTCTGCTGCGCGCTCAGCCAGGTAAGTAGGTACGATTGCGCGACGCACACTTTTTTTAAACCCCGGCTCGCTGGATATAGTCAGAAGGACTCGGGGAGAACAAATATTGGATTCTTTTCCTGCTCGCTACCTCATTCGATGAAGAAGATGCAGATGCATCGTTCAGAACTCGGCAGGGTTCGAATTGCATCATATCAAGTTCACCGAAAGGAGCTAGCTTTGAATGGTGGCTCGCTATCCCGAAACTCCGCACAGCTCTCTCCTCCAGCACCGTCGATTGCATGTGCTCACGATGCCTCCTCCTCACTTGACGCCGAGTCTCATAGCTGCTCAGTCTCGCTTTATCTCGGAGTCCAAAGCCCGCATAGGCAAGTGCGTGACGTTTGGCTGCTCCACCTCCAAACAGCTTGCCGAACTCTCTTTCGTGCTCCGACAAGTTACTTGGAATTGGAGACGCTACGTCGTGGGAAGAGAAGGCTATATCACAAACAAGGACGATGTAGGGCTGTTCAGGCAGAAGGTTGCATGGGGAGATCACGATCAAATGGGCCATGTGAACAACGTACGGTATAACTTCTGGGCGGAGACGGCACGGATCAATTGGGCAAGGAACATAGCGCTGCGCGCAGACCCGGCCCATAGAAAACAGTGGGAGGAGCTATGGACGCCGCGGGGCATTGGCCTTATACTTCGGAGCATAAAGACGGACTATAAGTTCCCATTGCGTTATCCCGATCGCATCACGGTATGCCATAAGCTCATGAAGCAACCGACGGAAGGCATGGACGCGCTTCACCTGGAAGCCGTTGTTCTGTCGGAGACGCACCAGAGGGTTGCAGCTCGAATTACGGAGGACATCGTGGTGTACGATTATCGGACGGGAAAGAAGACGCCGTTGCCATCGTTCATGGTCGAGACGCTGTCACAGCTTTGGTCGCAGCAGGAGAGGACAATCGAGGCCGCTATGAGTGATATTTACGGTTTGCAGAGGTTGATCAAGAAGATTGAGAAACAGACCTGGGACCGACATGACGCAGTAGAGGATCTTGGATCAGCAATGGGTAGCCCGGAGGCACTAAACGAAAATACGCAGGGCAAGGATGTGACGCCTGACGTTGGGTCAAGTTTCGGCGCAGGAACTGAAGAGCGTGGACAGATGTGAACGTCTGTTGGCCAAAGCTTACTGGAGTTCGAAATCTCAGAGCCCACCAGATGAGACTTGAAGCGCCACACTGTGATCGATCTTCTGGCGGCCATAATCACGTTTGTGCGATGCGAGACATCGATTGCAGCATAACCTTTTGGAAGTATTCTCTCTAGGGATACATCTCTTGCTAAAAACGAAATGGAAATTCCGTGATACATTAATGAGCACTGCACAAGCTCCGCATCCCGAAATTTCCCTTCATCAGCTGCGTTCTAAACGAGCCCTAATGGTCAATAAGCCAGTTGGGCAATGGGCGGATGATGGGCGCCTATGCTGAAGAACCACAACGTAAGCGTAGGGTGGTACTACACCTGTTACATGGCACGAAGCTTCACATCTGTACTAGGCAAGCAAAGTTTTGGCGATGCAACAAGTTGGGTACGTAAAGATAAAAATTTATTTCTGCAAATCTCCATGAAAAACTTTTGCGAAGGCGTCAAGCGCCTGTTATATGCTCAAGGCATCCGCTCTGTGGTATCTCATAAAATCACAACAAATTATTTAGCACCAAGTCTATGTCAAAGAGTGCTTAATGACCTCCAAGCTGACCCTTGGGAATAGGTCGAATCCAGGCAGTGGCGAGGTTGAGACCAATGCAAATAGCGCCAATAATCCAAAACGCTTTGGGGAAATCCTGCGTGCCCTTAGGAGTGAGGTTGTAGCGGAAAACTATGGCGAAGATAATTCCGCCAAAATTGCCACACGCACCCGTGAATCCGGACACAACACCATTGGCAAATGGGTGAACGTGTGGGACGTAGGCGAAGTTCAGGCCGTTGGCGCCCTCGAGGAAGAAAGCCATGCCAGCCATCAATCCGAACATAGTGCTGGTGTCCTTGGAGTCAATCTTGCCGATGATAATCAAGAAGACGCCGGTAAGGGTGACATATGTGTGTAGCAAGACTCGCTTTGCCCAAACGCTCTTAGTCTTGGCGTAGGCTAAGTCAGCAACGACACCACCCAGTGGCCGGAAGACGACGTTGAGAAGGCCAAACATGGCAGCCCAGTTTCCCTGATCCTGGAGCGAAAGTTTCGGGAAGTTCTTCTTGTAGTAGCTGCCGAGGATGCTGTTGATCGCAAGTTCAGCTCCAAATGAGCAGAAGTAACAAGCGCCAGTGACAAGGCACTGAAGAGAGAAAACGACGCTGAAGACTTCCCGAACCGTTGGTTTCTGAATGACCTCGCCCTTGGCTGCTTCAATCATTTGCTCAGCACCAATATGGGCCTCGTTATCAGCATAGTGCTTATCTTCCTCAGCACCGACCTTGGCCTCCTTGTCAGAACCGGCCTCTGTGTTGGAGTCACGATGAGCAGAGATCTCGCCCGGGACAGGAACAATGCTGCCGCTAACGCTGTGAGAGCGAAGGTTGGCCTCAGCAGCTTCCTCACGCTCAGACCATTTTCCGGTCGGGCAGTCTTCGCAAAGAACGACAAGAAGGATGGCTGTGACCACGATAAGAATGCCAGGCACAATGAAAGACACACGCCACGCGACATGTCGAGACAACCCATCACCGACCAGACTGTTGAAGACAGCAGGCATGACGAAATAGGTAATTCCTCCACCAGCATTACCGAAGCCACCAGTCAGCGCGTTGGCAGTGCCCACAACATTCTTGTCAAAAAAGCCGGTAGACCAGACTTGGCAGGGCACGAAGCTACCACCAAGTATACCGATAAAGAAGCGCAAGGCCATCAATCCAGCTGCGTTGTATACGGCACCAGCGAGGAAAGTCGGAACAGCACCAGCGAGCAAGCAGGCTGCGAACGTATAGCGAGGGCCGATCTTATCGCACATTGGGCCTGCAACGAGACGAACCAGTAGAGTTGCAGTCAGTGCGATAATATTTGAGTTGGCAATTTGGTACGGTTTCAGCTTCAGATCCGCGGCAATGACGTCGGACAGAAGTGGTGGAAAAGCGTACCATGACCAAAATGCGATCATGAACTAGGGAATTGTCAAAATCTCCATCTTTAATTTCCGGGTGGAATTCATACCCCGAACCAGGAGAAGAAGAACACTCGACCATACTTATCGATCGGGTTGAGCCCAGGAATTGACCTAGCCTTCTTGTTGATGGGGTTCACCTGTGGAGCCCGCCATAGTATCGTGATGTCAAACATTTTGGTTTAGTAAGAACGAGATCTTACCCTACGGCAGAGGGATCTCTCGCGGCGTGATAAGAATGGGTTTTTTATAAAAATAAAAGACGTTTCAAGTAAGAGACTCTTTCTTCTTCTCCAAGTAGTGGTCGATGGGAGTAATGATCGTGGATAGAATCGGTCATCTTTGAAAGCTATATACTTGACCAGCTCCTTCACTGATATTCGAATTCAGCTTCTCCGGAACTGTTGTCGAGCGTCTCAAATGGACAAATCCGCGGTAGATCGCTAGCGTCGATCGGTCTCTGGGGCATCTGCAACGGCTGCGTCTAGACGCGCCACGGATAACTTCCCACGCTAGATACCCAATTGCTGTTTCGAGATTGCGGAAGATGCCCAGCAGCCGCAGAGACGGAGAGATAAGGCTGCATTCGTTGGCGAATAAAATCACTTCGATCACGGTTCAGGATTGGCAGGCTTGTTTACGATTCAAGATTTCAATGAGCGGGTTTTGATTTCATAGAAACATCTCGGACACCAAATTTCTCTTTATCAGGGCAGACTTTGCCAGGAATCAACTTTTAAGACATAGTCTCACTATGTGAAGTCCGAGCGATGGTCATTGGCGATAAAAGGCAGATGTAAGATTTGCTAGTCGTGCTTTTTACGGTTGTTATCGGAGGCCACAAACCCAAACGGTGGGTCCGAGCCCACCTCAACCACCACACCCCTTATCTTTGTGCGCCTGCGCAGCCTCGAGGGCGTGGATTTCACCATATTTAATCGAGATGTCACCTTCTCCGCGGGACCTTTTACGAATTCTATCGCGTTTCATTTCTTTGATCTCTGATTCTTCTAGATTAGATCATGGATCGACAAGAGTGTAACGGCTGTGTCCAGAATCAAATCCTAATTTTTGAACAAGGAACACTGACAAGAGATGTAAACACTATTGGAGCAAGCAGATATATACCTGCTGATTCCTTTAAAGTTCTGAATCTGGTCTCTTGCTGTGAAAGAAATGATTTACTGCCCAGCGTCACGATGAAGGTTTCTTGAAAAGAGTTCTGTTTTAGGACTAGCGTTCAGGTACCAGCAAGGGTCTTATCAGCAACGAGATATTCCAATCAGAGACGTATTTTCTTTTGCTGAGCATCTCCGACAGACGTCACCAGCAAAAGAAAGTCAAGAAAGCATCTGGGCTGACGAAAGCCTGGAGTAAAAGCAGAAAGGATTTAAAGTGGTGTTTCTGGGGGTAAAAAGGAGGAATACGACTTTCTGGGCCACTCAACATGCTGCACGTCTTATCATTCCTAGACCTACTCAACTCTTGGTATCACCGTAGATGAGACAATCTTGCAATTCTAAATTGCAAGATAAAGATTACTTTTGCTTTAAATTGCACATGTCGCGGTTTGCTATGATTTGCAGTATTTGAGAGGTGATGAGCCAGCCAATTTCTCGAGCGTTCCAGTGAATCACCAAGGATTCTTTTACAGCCGTAAGACTACCATCTAGCAGAGCTATAGGTTGTCTAGAACAAACAAATAAAAGGAAAAAGTTACAGCGATAGTACCACAAGCAGCGCCTAGACGTTAGCATTCCAGAACAAGATCATCAGCAGGTGGATGCGACTCTGCTGGCACACAATTTTGCCCACAAGAAAATTAACAAGCAGGCCGGAGGAGGCTCAAAATAACACTGCATCTCCGGTCTTACACAGTGCTGTAACTACCCCCACTCTAGACTCAAGTGGATACTCAAGCTGGCGAAAAACCATGCTAGATGTGGTATCGAGGTAGCCGCGCATTCGTCTCATGCATTATGCGTGATCGGTCATCATTCTCCCTCGTTTTCTCTCCTTAGGGAGACTTTGGCGTCCACTTTCCACGTGAAAGACTGGGCTTTCTCAGCGCGTCGTGCTGAAGTACTGTGCAATAGCACGTTGCGATGTCTTAGGCCTGCTCTGGTACGATGCAGCAAGTGATAGGTTTTCATCCTCGGAAATATCATTCGCAGCTCTTCGACGAGCCTTTCTATTCCAAAAAAAAGGTAAAGTCCGACCTAAGTGTCTTGGCACGAGTGCGGTTATACATTTCCTCGTAACACATGCTCGGATCAGCTGCACGAGCTTTGTGTAGATCTTGAGTAGTACGCCTATGCAGAATACCGATTTGGATTTTTAGTCGATATACCATTCGCTGGGGTCAATAAGCGGTCACAGCAGTACCAGGATCTGTACCAAGGTGATAAGTGTTCGAAAACGGAAGGCTTTGGCCACATCACAAGACTCGGAAGCAGAAAGTACTCGTGGCCCAAAGCTGCACATGTCCCTATAGAATCTTTTCGTACATCTCCAAAGGGAGAATGTCTTTGTGAAATGATGACGGTGTGATAACAAGTACTCCGTAATATACTACTTCCTTTCTGCGCCATCGGAGTTCCAAAGGTTGGTCCGGTTACATCCCTAGGCTTCCAAATTGGCCCCTAATCTGGTCAGGTTTGTGTGGATTTCATGTTCAGTGTTCAAGCTTTGGAAAAGTTCAAATGCTTCTTGCTTTTTTGGATTCCTGGCGATTGTCCTCGTTATACAGACGTTAAGATGTCTTTTTCTCTCACAACTCGCATCCAAGTTGGCTCTGTCAATGGCTTTGCTGACTTGCCACCTAAGATTCACGTCATGGTATAGGAAAATAAATTGTCTCTATCCATCCATATTCAACTGAGTCCGTTTCTGGTCAGCGTGAGGATTTCGAATGACAAGAGCAAGATGAATATATACTTATCGATTCCATGGACGGATTCCTGGATTATCATCCAAGTGGGGCCCAAAATAGCGAGAAATTTTGAAAAAAAAAAAAAAAAAAAAAAAAAAAAAAAAAAAAAGGCTTCAACATATTAAGAGCTTAGATAGTCTGAGTCGATGGATATAAATCTTGAGATGTCAGGTGTCCAGAAATCCTGTTCGGCAAGTTGGTAATACTTTTGCTGGTTGTTACCTTGCAGAAACATAGACTCATCAACTGCGAGATTCAAACTTGATATCCCAATTATGTGTTTAAAGTTCGTCTCATAATACATGGAATGAATTGCTCCTGTAGTTGTAAGATCACACGCACCCACCCTAGACACAATTCTTTCCGCATTCTATGTACGAATCGTACAGCGAGAAAATTCACACCTAAGGCCGAGATGTGGCAGTGTGCACCAGCCACATCAAGATTCACCCTTCGCACAAATACTCCATAACTACCTAGAGATTTATCACAGATATACCACGAGCCTTGCCCAGATCCGTCTTCTACAACATGGGCGTAGTCTTCGATTCTGCCGTTGATCGGCCAGAGCACATCGAGAATATTCTGAACGGACTCGACCGGTACAATCCAGAGACGACCGAAATATTTTCCAAATATGTTATGGATCAATGCGAAAATCAGACATACGACTGCTACGCGAATCTGGCACTGTTGAAACTGTGCGTTTAATCCCTCGGCTATTCCTTTCGCATCTCGTTCGTTTGTGATGAACAATTCTTTACCACAACGTTTCCTATTACCTGATGGGAACAACCCAGTGAAGACTCTAATTAGCTCTATCTGACAAGCCTGTCCCTCCGCACGACCTTTCCCACAGTCTGTACGAGATGGTTGCTAAGAACTTTGCGCTAGTTATCAATTCAACCCGCATCTCACTCGCGAAGAGACAATAACCAACATCCTCGTCAAGGCTCTCACGGTCTTCCCCTCGCCAGATTTCAGCCTCTGTCTATCGCTCCTACCGCCCCACACACTCAGCCCGACAGCGAAGACTTCACATTCAACCCCAGCTGCTGGCGATGCACCGCTGTCCGAAATGGTGCAGAAGCTGAACGTACTTAACAACTACCTTTCGTCAGCTGATTACTCAAACTTCTGGTCAACACTTGACAGCGACGACCTCTACGCTGACTTGGTTGCTGATGTCGTTGGCTTTGAGGAGCTCATGAGGATACAGATTGCCGTCGAGGTTGGTAAATGTGTGCGTGAGATTCAGAGAAATGTGCTCGAAGATTGGTTGAATCTCAAAGGCAGTGAATTTGATAATTTTATGAGCAAAGTTTGCGGGTGGGAGGTGAATGGTGCTACTGTCAAGGTGCCACTCAACAAGGAAAATGAGGCTAAAGGTACTGTCGTGAGGGAGAACGTGAAGTTCGATCAGTTCTCAAGACTAATTAGGAGGGCCTATGAACAACCCGCATAAAAATTGAATTAGAAACGATAAAATGCGTTCATGATATTCATGAGAACGAAACTCGCGGCGTCAATTATGTCCGCATGTTAGGAGCTTAAGGCGGCTATTGTGGTCAACTAGGAGACAAGCTTTAGCAACTGATGCCAAGGTAATGATACCTCTGACCGTCCAGATGAACGGCCTCCAGATAGCTTCTAGATTTCGAGTTATGTGCAGCAACACATGCACATGATGATGAATAATTTTGTGTTAATATCTTTTCCTTGATTTCTATTACTTTTCTTCCTTTTCGTCTGCTGTTGTACAATCACAGAAAAATATGTTCAACCTGGCTAAGATGCTGAATTATTCAACAAGGTCGTAAGTATCTTAACGTTTCCATCAAAAGTCGGCACCTTCGAAATCTGTCCACAACACCAGAAAGTTTTGGCCTGTACTGCTCCAGGTAAAGTTTCAAGCCGTCAATCATCAGTACATTGCGGCGGCAATTTTCATGAAGATTTTGACACAGTCGTGCACTCTCAAATTCAGGAGAATGGGTAGATAACGGGAGTGAAGTGAACGGTTTTCAAAGAATAGTTGCGAATGCATAGCTCTACTAGGCTTGAAGTAAAGAAAAGTGGATGAACTTTGTAGGAGCGAGACACAATGGAATAGACGTGAAAAGAGAATATGGAACAAGCATTTCCAGTGAGAAACGAGCGTCTTATGCGTCACACCGTGTACAAGGTCATACTTGGTACGAGTCTTGTCGTTATAGCTAAGCAGCTGAACATCCAACCAGAAGGTATCACCGTGTCTTCGCAGCTAGCTCTTCCCATTGAACGCCAACCCACTCTTCTACGTAACCTATAGCTCCGTCGGGTGTTCCTGCTGGAACGCAGTCCTTCGAACATACAGCCAAGATAATGGTCAACCAATCCATACCGTCTAAACCGTCTTCGTCCGCCTCCAACTCGGTGATCGCGTGCGGGGTGAGCTGTAACTCGAATACTCTCTCCTCGCCACAAGTCGTGCAGCGTGGTATTCCGCTCCCCTGCTTTGCGGTGCCAACTTTTGAAAGGCCACTACTTTTGTGATCTGGCGCTAGACGCTTGCCGACTGTGTCTGTGACGCTAGCTAGCAACGGCTGTCCGTTAAACTCGTACCGTAGCACCTGCTCGGGATTTTGAGCAAGTCTGTCAGCAAACTTTTGAAACGTCTTGTCCATGGTCGACTCGAAGAGTTGCTTGTCTTCCGCCGCGCCGTCGGATGATGACGTACCGCCCATCTCAGTGTCCTCTAGGGTTTGCGTAGGGCGAGGAATGTCTATATCTTTCGGCTTATCCAGCGTTTCATAGTCCGCATCCAAGTGATAAGCTGGGTACGCAGGAGGAAAAGATGAATCCGCTGGCCAAGGTTCTGGCGGACCAAATGGCTGCACCGGTTTGAAGGACGGGTCCAGCGACGTTTGAGACTCCGATATTTTGGCTTTTGATGCGAACGTTTCCGAAAGATCATGCGACGCGGGCTTCTGAGCAGGCTGAGCTGCCAGCCCTGAAGTGCTGGCAAATGGGTTCGATGCGCCACTAGACGAGAACGGATTGCTGGAAAATGGGTTACCACCGCTCCCCCCCGCACTTGAAGTTCCGCCAAAGAGCTGGTTTCCAAGGTTCACTTCGGGTTTCACTTCAGCGGCATGCAACGGCGTCGCAGACGGCTTTGGTTGCGATTTCAAGATTCTGCTCGCTCGGAAACCTCTGATGCTGCCCTCCTTTCGACGACATGTTTTTCTACGGCATCCAAACAGGTACAATCTTCGCTCGTGACCGGCCAGCTTGTCAGGCAGATCTCCATTGATCTGAAGCAACAAGTTCATGAAACTGTTGCAGACTTTGCATCGCGCAAGTCCTGCAGAGGGGGCCGTTTTTCCATCCAACCAAGTCTATCTCATGTCAAAATCTCTTCGATATCAAAGGAATATCGGAGGAGCAAAAAAAAAAAAAAACTTACTGGACGACCACCGAGTTGACTGAAGGAATCATCTGTGGGCTCCTTTGAAGCGTAGCCAAGAAGCGTCGTTGTCTCAGTATAATCGTCAGGCTCGCCCGAAGAATCTGATTCGTAATCCGCCATGTTTCCCAGATGTTTTAAAAATAATTATCTTTTACGACGAAAGACGTTCTCCATATGATCAATCAGAACGCCGCCGCACAAAATTGACGGTGATGCCCAAAAAGCCGTTAGCTTCGTACAATTTGTAACGGTACCCCTGTTGCAATCTTCTCCCACTACGGTGAACCATCCAATCGTCAAAAAGCAGTAGCCAACTACATACATTATGGCTTGCGTACATCATGAAGCAAAATAATTGAAAGGTGAAGCCCAAACGAAAGAGCGAGATATTTGATTACTCCTAACATTATACATATCGTATCTCAGGAATTTTCTGTAGCTTGACTGTTTTCGCAGCTTGCTTTATCACTCTAGTTCTGTAAGTAGTGCTCAATGATAGAGATCTAATCAACGGCTTAGAATGTATACTAATAGCATTATAGGTAAAAGAGAAATAGAAAATTAATTTCATATAAAGTAGTATGCGAAGCTGATTTTTATCTTATTATCATCTGTCCTTGGCCTTCAGACTGATATCAAATAATTTTTTCTAATTTTTTTCTGCCTTTTTAAATAGCACGATATTATCTCACTCTCTATTCCTTACTTGCTTTATCATTTGGTAAGATTTGGTACAAACTCCACTCCGTTACTCACTTTTCGTTCACATTTTTCTCTGTTCTTTGAGATCTTTGCGATTTTGACTAGATACCCGTCCTGTCGACCACTCAGTGCGCAACTTCTTTTTCACCAAAGCACCTGGCCCATCAGTTTACTCGTTATCGACCCACCCGATCTTTGGTCGCTATCGCGTCACGTCTCAAGGCTCTTTTACCAGGATGGCTATGAGGGGCGAAGATCAAGGTATGTAGCCTTAAACGTCGAAACACATCCGTTGACGACTTTCAGCCGCCAAGACATGTCAGGTAGCTTCACCGGAGCAATACCATAGTCCAACTCGAGAGGCCACACGATATGAGCAGGTTGATGAGGTCGATGACAGTAAGTGATCTGAGCAATGAATTTCGTTCGGCGCTGATCATTCCAAAGGTCCGCCTCACGAAGTTATCAGTCTCCTGGAGGATACCGACAACGAAATCTATCAGCCTGCGAAGACCCACCTCAGTAACTTCATTGACCTATCGTTCGCTGAAGATTGTGAAGGCAAGGATCCAAAACAAGCTAGTCGGCCTGTAGATGTGGAGTCAAACCAAGAACAGAGTCACAGACGCCATCGAATGGAATCATGGTCAGAACTGACTTCCTTCGTATATTGCGACAATCGACTTCGCCGTGGGGCCACCGTAGAGCTCACACGCTCCGACGGCTTAGACGAGCGACCTCAATTTCTCCTGATCGCACGAGTGCTCCGAGATCCTGACAGCGAGGAGGTCGGTTTGAGCGGCTGGCCGTTACGCCGGAAGATCGGCATCAGCTATTTCCCTCAGAGGATAAACGAGGTGTTCCTTGATATCCAGACGGTAAACGCCGATCGAAGATCGTACTATGAGCAGGGCTTGATACACGTTCCTGTCGACGAGGTGTTCCGTTTACGATATCTGCACGTCACTCACGAAGGGTGGCCGAAGTTCAGCTGCATAACGAGGCAAGCAAGTGATCCCTGCTGCAGACTATCCATGAAAGATGAGCGGAGGAGGGAGTGGAGGCAACAGATAGAGAGTGTTGAAGACCTCGTTTGTCGCAGCGTGATCATCAGAAGATATGCTACACCTGCTGACCAGAGAAAGAATCGGATGGAAGAAACCGAACTGCGCAATCTCTTCGAAGGCGAGAGCCCATTGACGCCACCATCCCAATGGAACCTCAAACGCCATCTTGGCAGAGACTCTAAAGATGTCAAAAGCCATCCTCAGCTAAACGTGCCTTTGGGTAGACCAATGTATACGTACGGCTCGACATTTGCTGGCATGGGTGGTGATTCTGAGGCTGCTCGTCGAGTGGGCTTCCGAATCAAAGCCGCTGTTGACAAATGGTTGAAGGCCTGTATTGCCTTCGAGCTTAATCATCCGGAGACGAACATGTACAACATCGACGTGTATCAATTCGGCAACTTGGAAGACGGAGCGATAGAGCAGATGGACGTGTGGCACTTCAGTCCGCCATGCAATTTCTTCTCACCTTGCCACACCGTCGAGGGCAAGAACGATGGAAGCTACATCGCGGCTTTGTACTGCGTGGAGAGTCTGTTGAGAAAGCTCAAACCCAGACTCTTCACCCTCGAACAGACCTCTGGACTCCTCACCCACCATGGCGTGATATTCGCGTCCTTGGTAAACATGATCGTCTCCGCCGGCTACAACTTGCGTTGGACGATTGCTCGTTTCCATCATTACGGACTCCCGTCGACCCGGCCTCGCCTCATCATCTTCGCAGCGCGGTACGTAACGGGAACCACACGTTTTCTTTTGTGCTTGAAGCTCACGTGGAACAACAGGATCGGTGAACCGCTGCCAGAATTTCCAAAACCAACGCATGGCCCAGAGCCTGGTTTGAAGCCTTTCAATCACATCTGGGACGCCGTCTCGCGAGTTCCACCCGATGCTGACGACCACCTCGACACGGTGACGAACTACGCCCATCCTAAAATGCCTTACGACCCTAGGACGACGTTTTCTCCTTGTATAACGACCAGTGGGCCGCAGAAGGGCGGGGAGACCATGGGCTACTTCACCGGCGAGCGACCGTTCACAATCCGCGAGCTCCTCGTCCTGAACGGATTCGAACACACGTATCGGATCCCGGAGGGAATGTCTCGCACGGACATGATGACCATGATTGGCAACGCAGTCCCGCCTATCGCCTGGGAGGCTTTCATTGGCCAAGTCTACACGACGATGAAAAGCTTCGACTCGGGCGTGATCAATGAGGCGGGCTTACTCGTGTTGACACCATGCGAGACTGCGTCGAGCGCACCCGGTGATCATTTCTCAGAATCTCGCCGAACAATCCTGTCAACTCGCCCTGCGTTTCCTCCGACCTGGAACGCAGAAACCATCAATCTGACGGATGATGTCGAAGAAGACCGCCGCGAGGACGAAGTCGTGCTTGCGCCACGAAAGGTTATAATCATTGACCTCACTGATGACTAGCATCATCAGCATATATAGTTGGAAGCCCCATGGAACTGAAAACAAAACTATCGGACATTTCTTCCATGCGTCCGAAGGCGTGGATCGCGTCATATATGTACAACTTGAGGCGTTGTGAATTCTTGATTGCACGATATCTGCAACAAGGATGCGCGTCTTGTGTAGGGTAAGTCGAAGTCGCATTCACACAGCCAGTCATCTTCGTGTAGATCGTCTAGCCGCGGTGCTATCGACATGGTGGCTTTGCATTTGATTGCAACATGGATGAGAAAGGAGGTCGTGACAAACACGGAAGCCTAAAAGCATCAAGCAGTTTGAGCTTGGTGGAAATTTGCTAGTAAATCAAAGCAGCGTCTGTACGTAGGCATAAATCATGGAATCATGCTTCGAAGCAATGAAAGCTAGTCTCTCTTGACTCACGGAATGAGATGATGGTCGTTTAGATTTCGATTCCAAAATCCTCCTTGAGCTCTTCCCACTCCTCTTTTGGCACCATGTCGCTCACAAGGTCCCACATATCTCTCACGATCTTCTCTCTAGCCACGCGGCATTTCTCCAGCATCTTCAATTCAGCGTCTACTCGAGCCCTCTCCTCCCTGCTGACTGGCTTTGCATTTCCGCTCCGCAATGCCGCCAGTCGCCCCTCGATATCGGTCTTTTCCGCTTCCATTTCGGCAATCTGCGCCTGCAGATCCGCGTTCGAAAGGCTGGAGTTAAGCTGTGCCAGCTCGGCACGAAGGGACCTGATCTGGACGACGAGCGCTTCGGTCTCGTCGCGCGTTTTCTGGATCTGCGCGTCCATCTCCGCCAGCTCCTCCGGCGTGGTCGAATCCTCTGGATCCTGGATTGCGTGGTAGACGCTCTGCTTGCCCGAGAAGCGGCCGACGATCTTCTTCGCCTCGTGCAGCTTGGTCAGGATCTTCTGAGCGTTGTCTGAGACGGTCAACAGGCAGAAGAATGTTCGCGCGCGCACGCACCGGATCGAAGTTTCAGTACTCACTTTTCGTGACTTGGTTGTGCAAGTTGGCCGAGATGTCCGTTGCCTGGATGCCGATAAGTTTGACCGAGCATATCAGCGACAAAGCCGTACACGCACAGAGTACGGACGGCTGCGACGCGGAAAGAGTTAATCGACCACCCATGCATGCTATCGTGCAGGAACCCTCACTTCTGTTGCTTGAGATACTTGAGAACGAGATCCTCCTGCGCGCTGGCAGACAGCTTCTCAACTTTTTCCTTCTTTGACGGCATGGCGTTGAGCGTGGACGAGGACAATCGGTCAAATATGTACGACTCCTGAAGGACTGGCTGTGGAACGAAAAACAGTAGGTGGACGTGGAAACTTTGGATTGGCAAACCCGCCCCTGGGAGTGCAGGCAGACGCAGCATGAGGAGAAATTGCAAGCTCAGCAGCAACGAGGGACGCTCCTGCCACCGGTTAATCGAACTTGGAAAGAGCACCCAAGAGCGAAAGCAAGAAAGAAATCGCAAGGGGGAACATGGAAATGGCGGTTGAAATCAAACAATTCTTTCAGCTCGTGATTGGGAAACAAAAATGCCCACTCTCCACGGCTCGCACGATTAAAAAAACGACATACCGATAAATGACATGACTTCTTCATCTCCCTGACAAAAACCTGTTCTCAGAATCTCACTCTTCTATTCCGTCTCGCATGACCAGAAGTGCAGAAGGAAACTGATACAAAAATGGCTGACGACTCCAAGCGCTATGTTTAACCAAAACCCTTTCGTGCATTTTCTTTTTGTTTTAAAGACCGATCAGCTCTCGCTCACATTATAATCTGTGTCTCAAGTTAGCATTGCAACGCACGAAACGATATAACAAATGAGGGCTTCGCAGAAGAACACTTACACAATCACTCTGCTCTTTTCCTGCAGCCACGCCCATCTCATCAAACGTCTTGGGGCCTTTTCCAGTCCCGGGTGGTTTGCTACCGGGCGGATTTACGCCGCCAGGTGTCTTGTTTGGCACCGTACTCGGCTTGGCTGTTGGTTGTTGCTGCATGGGCACCTTTCCAGGCACAGGTCGCCCAGGCTGGGGCCCGGGTTGAGGCTGGGGCCCGGGTTGTTGCTGCGGCGGCCGCGACTGTACCGGCGTACCAACTTTCTGGCCCTGCGTTTGGGGCGGGCGTCCTGAATTCGGGGACGGGTTCGCGGGCAGGCCCTGGTAACCACCTTGTTGTGGGCGGCTGTCTGTCCTTGGAGGTCGGTATCCTTGTCCTGCTGGACTAGTCTGGTCAAGCAGTGTCTGCTTCTTTGGTTGAAGGGGAGCGACGTAGCCGATGTCTTGCGGTTGGGGAGGCAATCTCGGACTCGGGGTACCAGAAGTTCTCCCAGGTGCGCTGTAGCCGACGTCGAGGGTTTGAGGGGATGGTGGTCCTTGTTGCGGGCGTATCTTGGGTGAGACGTGATCAGCGTTGCCATAGTTGCCACTTGGTGGACCTCCTGAGCTGCGGCCGTTGCCATAGCCCGCATCTCCGGCAGCAAGGGTCGTCGCTGGCCGTTGTGGGGGCCTGCCTTGCCCGTAGCCACCCTGGCCGGGGTACGGACGGTTCTGATGGTTGTTTGGCGGGCCTTGATCGTGATAGATGTTGGGGTTGATGTTGAATGCCGTACCCGACGAGGTACGCATCTGCGCCGGTGCGGCGGAATGCGATCGCAGTTCTGGCGCAAAACCTCCGGCGAAACCGGCCGGGGCGGGGATCTTAGGTGGCCCATTGTCAATTGGGTACGGGGCAACACTTGACGGCCTGTTCGCCGCTGCGGAAACGGTAGGGGGCCCGTCATCTGTCGGATACGGAGCAATCGACGAAACACGTGGGGGAATTGCTGAACCACCGGGAGACTGCACCTCTTCCTCCGTAGAAGGCAGATTCGAGGCTTGCGCCTTGAGCCTCTCAGGCCGCTTGCCACGCATGGAACCGTGCTGTGACTTGATCTTGTTGATCGCGATATTCTCGTGATCCTTCTTGGACAGCTGTTGCGAGTTGTTCAAGCTAGCAATACGCTCGGCCGCATCCTTGTTGCCGTTCTTGGACGCGAGATCATACCAGTACTTGGCCTTGTCAAGGTTGACCGGGACGTGTACACCAATCTCGTTGAAGTAGCCCAAGGCGAACTGTGCGGTGGCAAGATTACTCTGGGCGGCACGTTCGGCGTACTCGTATGCCAGCTGCTCGTTCTTCGCAAAGACGCCCTCGTGACCGCACAAAAACCACTTGCTGATGGCCATCTCTGCTTCCGGCTCGCCTTGCCGTGCGGCGAGCGCGTTGTAATGCAGAGAAAGGGCCGGGTTGAACTCGCAGCCCAGGGAACACAGCTCGTACGCACTGCCCATCTTGAGCTGTGCCTTGGCGAAGCCCAAGTACGCCGCCTTTTCAATGTTCATCCTGGCTTCCGCCAAGTTGTAGGGGAGCAGCACTTCGGGAACCGTGACCTGCGGCAGCTCTCTCGCCTGCAGCATGCCCAGCACATACGCGCCTTGGGGCGCGTTCTCGTCCGCATGTTCAGCCGCAATCTTCAGCATCTGCACGCCCTTTGCGAAGTCCTGCGGCTGGCCCATCTGGCCCATGAGCGTCATCATGCCCAGTCTGTAGTTGCTCGCCGAATCGCCGTGTTCGGCGCCTTTTTGATAGTGGATCAAAGCCTTGACCGGGTCGTTGTTCTGCTCGAACTGCATGCCCATCCTGTAGTCGGCCCTGAAGAAGCCCTTCTCCGATGCTCGCGCGTAACATCTGAACGCCTCGCGCTTGTCCTGCCGCCAGCCGAAGTTGCCGAACTCGAGCCACATGCCCTTCATGAACTCGGCCTTGGGGTGATGCTGGTCCGCCAAAAAGCACACGATGTTCATGGCGTCGACGCGCAGCTGGTGCTCAATCTGCGGCGTGGCCGGTCGCGCAGTTCTGTATTCTGCCAGTCGCTCCTCGTGTGTCTGGGCTGCCGCCACGAAGGCGAGCGCGTCCTGCGCCCACGCAAGCTGCATCTCGGGGTCGTTCGAGTTCAGCACCGGAAGCCTTGCGCTCTCCAAGATCTCCTCCTTCTCGTCGTCGCTCGGGGGCACGTTGGGCGGGCGCGGGTTGATCTTGGGAAAGGGCGAGAAGCTGGGGATCTCGCTGCCGGCGCCACTCATCTGCGCATAGCTTCTGGGGGAGCTTTGAGCGCCGTTCTGGGCATTCTGCGGCGGGAAAGACGGCGACGGTTGCTGGTGGCTGTACGGCTGCGGACTGTGCTGCTGTCCCTGGGTCGTGTACGAGCTCTTTCTCGAGCCGGCAGCCTCGAGCTCCAGGTGGGCGAGGTTCTCCTGTATCTGGTCGGGAACCTCGGGCATGTGCCTGCGCAGTTTGTTTCTCTTAGTTCCGCCCATAGCAAAGAGACATATCACGTAGCAGAGTCGGGGTCGCTGGTTACCTCTGAGGAGCGGGAGAGATGACCTCAGGGCTTGGGCCGGGCATGTAGAAGTCATCATATCCACCGGGCACGAAGGTTGCGCTCAGTGCGGGCTGCTGGCCCTGCTGATGATATGCCATGATTAGCTCACAGCTGGGGGAAGATTCCCGCGTGAGACGGAAGGATGACGAGGCTGTCAAGGGCGAGCAGAAGCGTGGATGGCGGGGTCGAGCCGAAGGAGCGACGGTGGGTGGGAAGCAAGGCAGAGGGAGCCGTCTAGAATACGCCGGAGAGGAGAGACATATGGACAAGAGCAGCGACGGGCAACAAAGAAAAGAGATAATAAAAAAAAAAAGAGAGAGAGCGCCGCGAAGCTCTGCGTGCAAAGGAGTCGCAGCAGCAGGGTCGTAGGGATGCTTATTGTGCCTCTGCGGTGGACTAGTAAGGTACTAGTAGCATTACCCACCCTTCACGAAATGATGCGTCGCAAGCACGCGCAGCGGATCCTGGCCGGCCGCTGCGGTTTCCGTCTGCCAGCACGCGCTCGCAAGCCCAAGCCCAAGCGCATCGGGGGGGGGAACTGCGCAAAACGAGGCACGAGGAGGCTGTGGAGGTGCCAACACCGACCATCTTACTCCGTGCTTGTGTCTTCGCGACTAAAAATAAAAAAGAGAGAGAGAGAGAGAGCCCGCGGAACGATCGTCGTCCGGCCGCGTTGGCAGGCTCGCTGCGAGACGTCCTTTCGTTCGCTGCCGGGTCGTGGTGTTCCCTTGCGACACAACGCTTGCGTCCGGCTCTTGGGGCCAGCCCGGCTGCTCGTCTTTTGAGCGGATCGTCAGCGTGCCCTCTCGTCAGGAGCGCCGTGGTTAGCTGCGGTCTTTGCGCTTCGGACGCGGCGGACGTTAAACCTAGCGCCAACTGGCCACCGCGGCCGCGAGCTGGATCGGGGCGCTTGTGGGGGAAACCGCAGGCAAAAGCAGCTTGGCAGAAGCACCGAAGAACGACTTCAGGCGTCTAAGTCGCACACGCAAGGCTGGCCAAGATGCGCTCTCACAGCCACACTATCAAATGCCAAGCTCGCCGTGTCTTGTTCCTCGTCTTGCATCTTTTTTTTTTATTTCGCGCTCTTCTTTGGTCTCTCTCAAACCAAAGCACGAGCAGTTGCCCACGGGACACAGCAGCCACTTCAATAAATTGCAAAAAAAATGCCCGCCGGCTATCCGGAGCCCGATCCATCGGCTAATCCCTTAGGAGTACCCAAACGTACCACAGTCCATAACCAAAATACGTTGCGCTTTTAATTTTTTTTTTTTTTTGGTTTTGACTTCCCCTAACTTCCAACCAATGGTGGACGATGAATGAGGTGCGTGGCGACTTCGCCGCAAAAGTCAAAGATGCTTCACGCCATACAAATGTGGTATCATTCACGGAAGTAAAAAAAAAAAAATAATTGCGCCTCGTCCCCTGACTCTCCAAGAAGATCAAAGTGCCCCTGGCCAACCTTTTCCCATTACGAACTTTTGTGCCGCAGCAACGGACGAGGTACCAGCCCTAGCCACCACGAACTTGACCCGGTCGTCGCCCCTACTCCTCCTCCACGTTCATGCCACTTTTGCGTACGCCTAGAACGTTGTTGTTCTATGTTTGATGTCAAGAATCAAGATATGTGCTGGAGGCCTCCACTCAAAACGTCGTCGTCGTATCGCTCCGGAAGCTCAGGCCCCCAGGTACCACAACTCCACACCCATGACTTCAAACTTAGCGCCTTCTTCGCTCAACGGCTCGTTACCAAACGTAAGACATGTGCTGGACACGCCTTTATCCAGGCTGTCGTCGAGCCAGAGGCCGTAGTGGCCATCGCTGTTCAGACGTGTTAGCCTCGCTGCGCATCAGACCATGGGCAATGATGTGAAACGTACCCTCCGCCAACGCTCAGATAGTCCTGCTCGCAGAAGATCATGTAGTCGTTCACGCCGCTGTACGGAAATGCCTTGAACCGTATCCTCTCCGGCGTGCTTGTCCCACTCGTGCCGCTCAGCCCGTTCGCCGTCTTCGGGCTCAAAAGCGTCGTCTGTCGCTGCGCGTTCGTCGTGTCCTCGCTCGGCGGAGGCGGAAGGTTCATGTTGCTCAGGTCGAGCACGTTGTTGAGCACGCTCGCCTTCCACAGGAAACACTCGCCCGTGCCATAGTAATGCGCAGACGGGTGGAGGGCGTCGCTCAGGTACGCGCCAAACGTGCCCCCCGACGCGTCCCTGACGACGAGGACGAACGCTCCGCGCTTGCCTCTGTATTCGTTGCTCTGCGCGTACAGCGTGCTGAGCGAAGTCCCGTTCTGCTCCAGCGAGTAGATGAGCTTCCAGTTCTCCACGAGCTGCAGCCGCGGCGGAACAAGTAACCGGATCTCCTCCGCCAACGCTCGCGTCAGCAAGCGCGCGCTCTCCTTTGTGTTGCTCCGCCAGCCTGAGAGCGTGAGCGGTGTGAGGGGCGGTGGCTGAAAGGGCGACGCCTTTCGCTGTGGCGGATTGAACACGGCGCCGTGCATGCTGCTGTCGACCGACGAGTTTCTGGAGGCGTCTTTGGGTTTGGACAGCGGATCGGACGACAGACGCCGCAGTATGCCAGACACCGCGTACGTCATAGGAAATGTAAAGTAGCCGGACGACGACGTCGACGTGGTCTGGCTGGATGGCTGAGAATACTGCGAGTTGGCGGTCGAACGACGGGAAAGCTGGGCGAAGGGGGGCGAAGACGAAGAGGGCGCGGTGGGTGTTGGCGAGGAGTGGTCTGACGTTTCAGGCTCCATCTTTCCTCCTGCAGCTAGTACCTCCATGCATGATTCGGAAAGGACGTGTAGAAAAATGCGACTGGTTTGGCCGAACAGTGCGTGAGCATTCGATTGCGGGTGATGTCAGGGCTGCAAGGGACGCCCGGTGGCGCATGCGGCGCTTCCCGCTCTGAACGATACAGAAGACGCAGATGCTTTTGCGTGCTTCAAGCTGGTTTCGTGTGCGGATGATCTGAGAGACTTTTCAATGGCGATTTAGCAAGACACTTGGGTGTCAATACATCTTCTACGGGACGAGGGCACGAAATGTGGTTGGATTGCCTCCAATGGCAATGGCACCCCCGCTTTTCGACGCCTAAGTTCAGCCCCAATAATATCTGGGTCACATGCTTTGGCGGCATTGATCTCTAGGTATGTTGTGGAGCAAGCAGTACTCCTCCAGACATGTCTCCTCTAAGACGCGCAAGAGCTACAGTACGAGCCCATCTTTCGGCGATGTGAAACTCAGCCAACCGCTTGGCCTGTCGATCCTGGACCTGTCTCAACCGTAACGCCGTCAGCCTTCCCCTCAGCCTCGCCGCCTAGGCGTTCTTCCTCGTCTTTGTTCTCCTCCTCAGATTCCTGATCTTGATCGTCTCCATCCGCATGTTCCCTGCTTTTAAGAGTGCCTCCTTTCCGTTTTGGCATAACCTTCATAAACGCATCTCCCCAGTCCCCGCCCTCCAACCAGTGCAGCATGATTTCGTAGACGTGATTTGTCGCCAACACGTATCGACTGTTCATTTCCATGAACTCACCGATCGGCAGCTTTGCCGTTTTGATTCCTCTTTCGCGAGCTCTTTTGTAGCAGATGCCTTTGTGGCGGTTCCGATCGACTAGTCCGCCAATGATGTAGGTGCTGTACGGCTTGAGTTGTTTGATGGTGTGTTCGCTCTCGCTAGAGAGGTACACAACTTCACCCTGCTCAGGCGACGCGTTCGCTGCATCATCATTTCCACCTGACAAAGCACCTTCAACTGTCCCTCCAGTCTCTCCATCGACCATCTTCTCCCTTGCCTTCTGTGCTACGTCCACAAAATCCTCGTCGTAAAATTTGGCCCCTTTCCAAACCTTGAACTGACCTCCCAACACATTTTCGAACCTTTCCCTCAGTCTCCCATTGAAGCTACTCACGGCAAGATGTGCTTTGAACCTAGCCTTCGAGTTGTCGCTGTAGCATCGCGTGATTTGACTCGCAAGACTCTTAATCTCATTCTCCGTCATCAGCTCATCGAAACCACAGTCTATGACAAATGTCACCGGTACAAGGGCTGACGGTCCCTTAGGTAGCTTTGGTGCTGGCGGGAGCTCTTCTCCAGCCGCAATAGCGGCTTTGCGTGCTTCTTTCTTCATGCGCTCCTTTTCCTTGCGCTTAGCTTTTCGCTCGGCACGACCAGCTTCCCACTGTTGATTTCTTTTGAATTTTTTGTAGGCACTTCTCGACATCCCATCCGGTGGCGGCGTTCGCTTGCGTTTAAGTCCTGTTTCGAGACTTTCATCCTCAGGTCCTACGTCCTGTGAATGATGGCCTGGCTGTGTGATGTCCTCTTCAGCGGGAGCATGTCCATTACCCGCTGATGGAAGCTCCTCTGGCTTCATATCTGCAGATTCTCTTTCCTCGGCTTCCATTATTTAGACAATTGTATGACATATCCGTGTTTTCCACGAAGATCAAAAATCTCCATGGGAAAGTTTCAATGGAAGCATCACGTGATATGTGCACGGACCAACAAGTGTATGTCGACTTCACATCTAAGCAAGACCAGATGATGCGAACTAGCTCTGCAGCTCACATCAATTCCCTCATTGTCTTCTGAACACCTTTCATTCAAGATGCCGCAGGACATGCCGCCCGTGGGCGGCTACCAGCCAGTCCAGTACAAGCGCAACTTACCGATACGTGGATTCCGACCGGGTTGGTACCTTCTAGGTATGGGCGTGGTCATGACATGGGGATTCTACAAGTTTGGCCAGGGACAGAGAGAGCTACAGTATGTGCATAATCTGCATTATGGAAATATTTGCATGAATTTTGTTTCCTGACATGCTGGTGTTTAGTGAATACGCACGCGAAAAGATGTGGGCTCGGATACACCTTATGCCATTGCTACAAGCCGAAGCGGATAGAGACCAGGTACGAAGGTACCTTGCCGATAAGGAGAGGGCGAAGGAATTGCTGGGCGAGGGTCAGGATATTAAGGTGTACTACTCTGACAGGTATGGCGCAAACCCATATCGTCAGGCGCACGAATGGAGATAATTAACCTGACAGCAGATTTGTAAAACCCACTTTCGGCGTAACACCAGCAAAGGGCGGACCTGGGGATTTGACCAAATAGAAGAGAAAGCATATGTGTGCGGAAGCATTGTACATATTCATCATGCGCATTTTGAGAACGAACTCGATGGGCTATATATCATGTATTTGACCACAAAAACAATCAAATTCTTCGTCTGTCAGAGTACTCAAAGTGGTCTTTGGTAAAAGATGCTTGACTTACTGATGTTCCTCTTGGTGGCGCAATCTGAGGCATGCTTGTTGTCAAATACCCTTCATTGCGCAATCGGTTACTCCCTCGGAATTGGTACTTGCCACTGCTCATATATATCATACGATGCTTAGATATTACTGTTTCCTGTTGGACTTGTAAAGAGTTCACCCGAGGGACGAGACCTCCACAGTAACAACCCCACAGAGCGTAGGTTTCCTCCATGACATCCTAATATACTACTTTAGGGAAATTTTCAGAATACAATCGACTTTCAACAACTTTGATCAGGATGTCCGCTATATTGTTCCCATTGGGTATCACGTTTGAAATGCTCGCTTCTGCAACCCAAACATGAGACAATGCTTCGATTGAAGGCCATCGGCGTGTTGATTTCAGAGATTACAATCGATTCTGGCAAACTACTGAGGAGGGGGTTCCTTTACGTATGATCTTATCTAACTTCTTTTCGTAACATGATTTCCGAGCCAGGTTTGTCGGTCACCAACCCCTACAACGGACCCAGACATCTTGCACGGTTTCACCGCCATCCACATTCGAGTCAACTACGAAATACCATCCGAATCCCGCCCCAGCTATACAGGCATGGTTCGGCCAAATCAAAAGCTTCTCCCCAATTTTCAGCTCTCTCTTCTTTTCAGTAGTCCCCTCCCACGTCAAAATCCCATGTTCCTGGCTTATCCTGCCCACAATCCAGCCTTCTGGGGCTTCGAATGTGTAATGCTCACCAGAGCCGTGGGACGCTATCGAACACCAGGGACTAACAATACCCCATCCCGGGTACGCTTTGCACGGTTCGCGACCAAGTGCTAGAGAACCAGCTGCGATCAAAGCTTCCTGCTTGTCGCGCTCTGAGTATAGAGACGCGACTTCGACCAGTATTTTGAGGCCAATGTTCTCATAGCTCAAATTCACCGTGCGAGCTTGTGTGGCAAGCTGTTGCATATCCAGCATTGGGTAGACCCCAGCGTGAATCTCGAGAGTTTGTGCCGACTGCTTTAACACATTCCAACGTGCTCTGATGTCGCTCGAGTCCTTTGCGACGTCTGCAATTTCGGCGTAATCTACAAGTATTTGTGCTGCAGTGGCTGTCGGCGTTGCGCCTACTGAAAGTGTCACTTGTTTTCCTGGGAATTCGTTCTCAGATACAGCTTTGAGCGTCTCAAATTCTGTGAAAAGTCCCTGCAAAGACTCTATTGGCGTTGAAAATCCGTAGCTATGCCCTAGATGGCTGTATAAACCCAAAATTTCAACAACCTCGCGCGTCGACTGTTCTCTGAGCTTGGTGCAAATCGCCTTGAGCGTGCTAGAGAAAGGCTTTACTCCAGCACGACCATATCCAGTGTCTATCTTGATAAAGACAGGTATAATCCCATAGAACATTTCTCTGCGTTGCATAATCAATTCGAGAGTGTCAGGATGGTCTACCATGAATGAGATACAGCTCGCTGAGCCAAGCTCTTTTCCCAGTCTCGCCAGACGCGGCAAGCTGGATGGTGAGACGGGTACTCCATACAGCACATTGACTTCTCGTCCAGCTTCAACACATTCTTTCAACCACGCGAAAATATGCTCAAGTTCCGCAACGGTAGAGACCACTAGTCGAACCGGGCCGTGGTCGCCAATCTGCAATTTCGAACCTTGCACCGTCTTGTGCGTTTTAATATGAGCTCTGAACTGCACACCCAATGCATTCGCTGTGTCTAGCATCAATTTGCAATTCCTTTTCACTGTCGCGGCATCAACAATGGCAGCCGGAGCTGGCAAGTCTGCAAGCTTTGCATTGAGATACTGGGTTTTGAGCAAGGCCTCGTGGTTTGAAGCGCCTTGATACAGTAGAGGTTCCATGACGGCACTTCAGTAGAGTTGAACGAGCAACTGGAATTGCATTTCGTGTTTATGACTGTAAAAGAGCTCATGTGAAGGTAACTAAATGAGGAATAACGGGGTGGGACCGAACGTCGAATTCCGAGATACAATGTGTCATCGCCTCGAACCCCGACTGCAAGGCTTATGTGCACTTCTGTATCCGCCTCTTACTCTAGACATTCAACCAAAACAGATTGTCATACACGGCAAAAGTTCAGAACTGTCGTGATGGCGGTGATGCTTAAGTTAACTTATCTGAATGGTGTGGATGTTATCACGTGGTTGGTGCAGGATGTTCTGCAATTGCTTTTTCTGGAATGGTCCTTATCATGAAGTTGTGACACAATGATGTATCATCCCTCAATCTTCCTTTGCAACCTGTAGAATGGTATTATGGCTAATAATTTGCATGCCCATTGGGCAACTAGATTGCCCCATCGACCTGATGCACACCGTACAATCAGCGACGTACTTAGGCAAGGTAACAGAACTGTTGATTGATGGTCGAAGTGAGGCTAAATTCCTTTGTTCATTTTAGTACGCGAGCGGGAAGAACAAGTTAGTTCTTTGATTTTCTCACTACGTGAACTTATCCTAATGGTCTTACTTCACAGGAAAACTTACTTGGGGATGACGAGAATGCCAATGCGGACCACGAGGGATGTTTAAACCTGACGGAAAGTTTTGTACAAAATCCATACCAGCAGTTACCTGTATATAGGAACATACATAGGTGAGATGTATTACACATATCCATAACTAGTGCTGACCTGGAAAGGATACGTCGATTGATGCTGGCGAGCATTGGTGCGTTTAAGACGGCACAATAGCGCAACAAAGTATTGATATGTCAACAGATGACCCGTACACGCTGGAACAATTACAAGGACCACGAATCAACGTAGCTCTAGTTCGCCCCCTTGTCGATCGACTTTATGACCCCCAAGACATTTCCATTGTTTTCTGCCTGCTTGTTAACCGACAAGAATTCATTCGTGATCAACAATATCAGGCACATCACCAAACCGTGAATCTCACTCGAGCAACTTTATGTGAATTGGTAGCGACGAGAGTCCTTCGCCGGCACAGTGAGGACAACCCAGGTCGAGACGGCCTTCTCTTGCTTGCAAACATCTTGGTAGCCGGTTTTGAGCCGTTTCAGAATGCTCCAGAAGAAGTCCTGCAGCAGAGCCATCATTCCGGTGCTGCTCAATGGTTTGTGCAGAAACGAAATGGTTACGAGAGGAAGCTTACTGCATTGGAGATCGCCATCATTTCAGAAAGCAAGCTTTTTCTGAGCAGCTCTGCTTGTCAGAAAGTGGTCGATGCGGTATACACGGGAAGAATCGTCTACACGCCAACAAGCTTCATCGATCTAATTCCGGATCATTACAAGCACAAGACAGTGGCGCTTTATTCACCGAACAAAGCATCTTTACTCAATCAATACCGTTTAATTGTCCCCCGTACGAGAAACTTGCTTGAAATTGGTCACTTCGTCATATTGCTCATTCTTTACAGTGTCACTATGGTGTACAGAGACGGGCCCAGAATGACCGGTTGGGAATTAGCATTCCTGATATACGCTGCAGGATGGGTACTCGACGAGTTTGCGTCCACGCTTGAGCACGGCTGGCAGGTCCACACGCAAAATTTGTGGAGCTTTCTGGATATAGGCTTCGTTTTCATCTATTGGGTCTACTTTGTGCTGAGAATGATTGGCATTGCGAAAGACAACGACGAACTGGGTAGACAAGCACTCGATGTTCTCGCGTGTGCTGCTCCAATTGTCTTTCCGCGGATCGCATTCAATTTAATGTCAGAAAACGTGCTTTTCTTATCCTTAAGGTAGGCTATTGTCTCATGCGCTCGATTAGCAGCAGAGATGCCCCAACCTGTTGACTACGCATATCACAGTGCTAATATGTTTATGTGATTAGGGTAATGATGAAACAGTTCGTAGCCCTAACTGCCTTAGCTATCTGGTGCTTCGGTGGGTTTTTGCTTGCCATGCGATGGCTGTCTCGATGGCATCCGGACAGCATTGATCATCGCCAACCAGCGCACGATCCGACGACTATTGGCAAATGGATGATATGGATCTGGTTTGGATTAGATGGCACAGGTATAACGCGGTCGTCCGACTTCCACATGATTCTGGGTCCAATACTCATGATTGCCTTCGCCTTCCTCGGCAACACCTTGTTCTTGACTATCCTGGTATCAATGCTCAGTAACACGTTCTCGAAGCTGGTTGCGGATGCCACTGCTGAGATACAATTTAGGCGGGCTGTTTTGACATTTGAAGGCGTCAAGAGCGATGCGATATTTGCATACAGGCCACCATTCAACATTCTCGCACTTGTAATTCTCGTTCCACTAAAGTTCGTGGTTTCTGAGCGATGGTTCCACAAAATTCATATTACTGCCGCACGAATATTAAACCTTCCTATTCTCTTGGCTGTCAACAGCTGGGAACGAAAGCGCCTGTGGAAAAAGAAGGATCTGGCTCCTGGTGCGCCTTTGAAGCGTGTCAAAGGACGTGGTGGCCTTTGGGCTCAGCTATCAGTCCACGCAGACATACAAGCCGTGTTTGACGCTGAGCCTCCTGAATCTATGGTAAAGGAGATTGAGGAGGAAGATATGCTAGACGATGACGTGCTAGACGTTGGTATTGCCAGGAACAGATCGATCAGTCCAGGAAGTGCAAGCCAGATTCGCCGTAGAAGATTCTCCAGCATTGTGCCACGAGATTAGCGCACAAGCATATACTACGATGTCACAAATTCATATTAGAGAAGCATTACAAAGACTTTGTCGCAACATCGTCTTTAATCGAAATTAAAGCGTCAGGCTTTTGTGGGCATGCTCGATTGGTTAGCATTAATGCGGTGGCCAATGGTAGACAGAAGAATGCAGGTTTTTCTTAGATGTACGAAAGACTCGACATATTTCACTTGTCCATGAGGAAGCAGCTGCTCCACGGCTCTGGTCACGGTGGATATTACTCATTGTGCACTTGGAAGCGAGGCACAAGACTAGCGGGCTACCCTAACAGAGCTAAAGCACTTGAGATATGAGCTTACATGAGCTGCATGCACAATCTGGAGGCACCCTTGCCGAAATCTTTCGTCCACGGAGAGTTTCATTATCTGATTACAGTGATACAGTCATAGTGGAAACAGGAAATGGTAAGATTCGGTAGCACGGGATAATGGCGCCTGTCTAATGCTTGACGTTCGTTTCCCTTCCGGCTTATGGCGTAGTCGGCATCGCGAAGAGACGGTAATCTGAATAGAGCACCAATTTGCGAACAGGGCACGGCAGAAACGATTCAAATGAAAACTGGGTTCGGAGCAGTGTTCGCCACTCTTGCGGTGCCAAAAATTCGCGACGTATAGCATGGGTGCGCGATTTTGGATTTTTCGGTCGGGCAAGGGTTTCATCTCGGAGCCCGTTCTCTCGGTCTAAAAGGGCCACCTTATCGACCGAGACGCGAAACAAACATCGAAGCCAAACTGTACACAATTTTTCTTTCGCATTAACTATCACCATTGATACCCACTGCTGTTGGTTCAGTCGAAAAGTGCTAGCATCTTGCAGTCAACATATAGGATCTCAAAATGTGGAAAAACCACTAATATGGGATCAGTAAGCACGACCATGGTTGTCTTGTCCTTAACAAAGAGCAGCTGAAAAATCATGTATGGCAATTACGTGATGTCGCAAAGGTGGAGCATTCTCAAGGTCTTTTGTGTCATGCGAGAAAGCTCAACTGCAAAGCTCCAGACGAGGCTGAACAATCGTCCGCCGAGGTGGGACACGCCCTTTGAAAGCGCGCCAACATGACCCGTAAAAGGCCATAGTTCACCAGAACGGAGCGCTGAGGTTCTTCTCAGGTGCTCGAAGGCCCCGTTTAGTGTGATTACTAAAAGGAAAAAGAATTTACTGTGGTATGAGATCACACAGATGGTGACGCATTCAAAATTCACCGAAAATGTCTCCCTTCAATGTTCAAGCTCCAGATGCAAGGAGCATAAAAGTTCTCTCACAAAATGATCCAAATATGTCCCGTGGTCGTACAACTGTTCTACTGTCATGCAGCGGAGACAGAGACAGGGGAAAGACACAAGCTTTTTGAACCCACAGATCGTCATTGAAAGGACGCTCTACATCGTGTTTGCTGACTGTACTCTTAGCTCCCGCCTCAACAGCTTTGTCAGGCGAAACAAAATGGGTTGTCCAACCAAACTATTCCGCAGACAACAGGCTACATTTGCAGGTTATCAATCAGAACTGCCCTAGTCGGATATGCACCAAGCTTTAGCGAGGCATGCCATGATGTAAACAATTTTCACTCAAAGCGGGCATGTTTCTCATAGACGTAGCCAGTCCTCGCCACATCGTTGGCAAAGAGAACTGCACGATTTGTCGCACAGGAGATGTAGTTTCCACAGCTCGAGAAAACGGTACCGTAAACAAACGTCTTCGGCTCCGATGGGCTTATTTCGGGCCTCTCATGGATAATCGGCCACGCTGTTGATCACAAGGTGATGATACCATGGTCTTTTTCTCGAAATCCCTCAAATTAGAGGGATAAGAGATCCGAGCGTCGGCGGATTCAATGCGATATGATTGCACAAATCGGCACGGAAAGGGGATGGTATAGCATCCGCGAATAATGCATTTGCACAAGCAGAATGCACATCCGCGGAACCATTCCTTTCCAGCTCCGTATCCCTCCTCCCAGCAGCGTCAACGATCCAATTAGATACCTACGTTGTGGTTGCCTGATCAAAATTGAAATGGCGATAGCGCACGATGAGGGGAAGATGTGCAGCATGAAGAATCACGAGGCTGGTGATTGCAGAGAAAAAGTGAACTTGTGATTTGATAATCACCGCATTGGCTCCACGACAGCGATGTTCTTCGAGCCAGCATGTTTCAGACGCGCCACAGAAATTATATGACGTCCAACGTAACGCCGTATGCTATTATACGCTTACGGCAAGTTCGTGTGCCAGCCAGGAACGTTCGCGCTTATGGGTGAGTTGCTGATGCTGATGCGGAATTACCAATACAGACAAACACACGTTGTCAGCGGTGGACATGTTGTCACGGACTTAAAATGGTACTCCGCACGACGAACGGGGACAAGAATTGACGGTCGTACTCTAAACCGTTTCGAGAGCATTGGCCTCGTATCTGATCTCGGCTGTTACCAAAGTCCATACGAATGCACTACGCGTTCATTCGTGGCTTGGTCGAGTGAACAGAATGTTGATGCCTATTAATTCGACGACGTGCGGCAGAGATGGCCCAACCTGTTTGCACAGCGTTGTTGCAGCTCAGAGACGATTGCTTGTGTGGCTGGGAGACGGCCAAACATTACGACCGTCTTACGATACGATACGAGGCGTGAGAGCAGGACCACAATCAGCATCGGGGGTTCAGATTACCCTCGTCATCCAGCTTTGCCAAATGGGGACCACTGCTGTTATCACCCGTAGGCTGATTTCGCAGCGCGGACTTCTCGCATTTCCTGATCCTGATCCTGAGATCAGGGCTGCAAATGGTCATACGCAAGCGTAGAAAAATTCTGGCGGTAAGGCTCATACGTCCGTCGTATCCACGCTCTTTGCCCAGACGGCGTAAAGAGTCATCCGCTCCGAGAACAGGTCCGAGATCGTTCCGTGGATCGTCCCTGCGAGCGCCTTGCCGCTTTGCCGTACAGTAGCCCTTTTTTGCTCGCTCTTTGGAGTTAGACCTTCACACGAGCCAGAAGAACGCGAGAAGCCGTTTTCCCAGCTGGCGGGCCCTTCCATCACGTTCTGATGGGACTTTGGTTTGTCAAGGCTCCACTTCAAGAACGGTAAGCGCATGCTCCTAGTCTCAAGGCGCTTGAACGGCATGGCTTATCCCTGCCCGCTCGGCGTGATTTGGCATCCAAATCCGTCCGAAAATGATGTAGACGTTCTGGCTCAGACCTTGCTGGCCATTCGCTAATGATTAGGTATAATAGAATGCGTTGGTTACCAAAGCAATAAACACTTCGTCTCCTCGATATAATAGTCGGGTTCTGCATCGCCAACCATTCTTACCAGCATTTTGACCTGCGACGCCCACCCACCAGCTTATACATAGTTTGTACCCTGTAACAATATAACAGCAAAGCACCACCGCCCTTTTGCAGCTTGTAGTTCCAATCCACCTCCTGATTGTCATACATGTCGTCGCCACAAAGAGCACCGTCTACCTCCTCGGAGGAAAATCCGCGTAAACGTGTCTGTAAAGCTTGTGATCGCTGCAGGCTGAAAAAATCAAAGGTCGTACCGACGTCAGATAGCACCACCCACATCCAATGTACTGACTTTTGAGCAGTGCGATGGAGCAAGTCCATGTAGTAGATGCAGAGCAGACAACGCCATATGCGTTTTTGGTGAACGAAAGAAAGCACATGACAAAGTCTATCCAAAAGGGTTTGTCCCCTCTGGCGCTGGCCTGAAATACTAGACACTGACCGCTGCGCACAGCTACGTAGAAATGCTCGAGCAGCAGCAGTCCCAACTCGTTTCTGGTCTTCGAGAGATGTACAGAAAACTACAGATGGGCGAAACTTGGCCCGGGGCGCCTCTAAAGGAATCACACGGCGGCTTTCCGCTGACGCATGACATTCTCGAGCGTCTACAAGTGCTGCATTCCAGCGATTCGCCCATGAAGAACGAAGTCTTTGAAGACGATCTCGACGCACTTCAAGAACGTTGCATGAGGGCAAACGGTCCTGCGCAGAATCCACGAAGAAGGAGAGCTACAAGTGAAGAGTCGGAACCTGGCCTTACCTCATCGGCGTCTTCGTCACATGGGATGTCGTCACCGGCGCAGTCGATCGCGTTCCCAGACGCAATACCGCAGCATAATACTCCTTCGACGCCCACAGTGGACAACGATTTTTATCAGTCGTTCAATCGCAAACCTCAGTTTGCTGCGGTCGCGACTTCTCAGCCCATGAGTTTCAACCCCTCCCCAGCAGCGCTACTGCAGCAATCGTGGGCCAGTCAACAGCTTCCTCTGGAACAAACAATGGACGTTGACATGTACTCGTATAATCCAACTCTTAGCTGCGATCCTCAACTTTTTTCAAACCCTGGTGTCTTCGGCAATCAGGATCCCATGACCGCGAGTTGGCCTGAGTCATTTGATCAGCTTATCAATCCGAGTGCACTGCAAACGGTCTGAATCAGGGAAATAATCTTGGACTTTTTTTGATGAAATTATTTTGACTATTTTTTTTCCCTCGGGGCGTGGCAGTTTCTCATTCGCAGCGTTCGAGCGTATCGCATTGGGCTAGGCGTTTCCTGGTGTGGTATCAAGGGAATTATACCATTGGCTGTAAGTGCTCATTAATGAGCCAACTATAGACATTTGATCCTGGAGAATCAATTCCTGGCAAGTAATGATGCAGCAACGACCTTGGGGCGAAACCTGTGTGTGGAAAATTGGCGTTCATCTCAGGCCTAGCGGTCATTTCAGGTCGAATCATGACGTGTACATTTCATTAGGACGCCGATAATTCAGCTTGTCCAGAGTCTACTGAAGCAATTCTTCTCCCACATGCAATGTGAAGTTGAAAGAACATTGAATAATGAAGAGCTACATGCAGAGAGAAGCAAAATAGCTCGAAAAATAGACTTCGAAAAGTTGTGCTTGGCTAAAAGCGTGCATAGCACCAGGCAAAACTTTCACCCCACTTTTAAGTCTTGCCAGTACTGATTGTCAATTCGGTCTAGCCAACACCGAACGGCCGCAGAATTTATTCACCGTCGGTATTTCAGACACATCAACCTTGTAAGCTGGGCCATCTCACATAGACGTAGCACATCCCATTCAAGTATTCAAATGAGGTCTTAAGGGTGGCTAAGGTTTTCGGGTTTTTCTCGTCTCTCAACATCTCGCGTAGATCTTACTTTCCTGGTAACCGTTTCTGCGACTGTTTCAAGACGCAAAGAGGAGGCACAGCTTTGTAAAACGGAGTCACGAAGCCGCATCAGTGCTAACTGCCGCACCCAGCTTACGAAGAGCATTGCTTCATCGAATCTTCACCATTCTCAGACATCTGGAATCCATCAGTCATGCCCTCGAAAGCGCAGCCGGAGATTGAGTTTTTGCAACTAGGTGCAATCCTGCAGAAGTTCGAATTAGACGGTCTCAATATTGTGCAAGGTTTTCCGACAGCAGAATTATACCAGCAACACAACGACCCGTATTTCGGTGAGACGATCGGAAGAGTCGCCAATCGTATATCCGGAGCCAAAATTAACCGCTTGAATGGGAGATCATACCCTCTGGCGGCGAACAACGGTCCAAATTCGCTTCACGGCGGTCTTCTCGGCTGGGGGAAAAGGCTTTTCAATGGCCCAACATCTGTTGAACGGAATGGAAAGCAGGCAGTGCACTTCGGGTACATCTCGCCAGATGGTGAAGAGGGGTTTCCGGGAACTGTTCAAGTCAACGTCTTCTACACAACATCCGTCCAAGAGCAGGACGGTCGCCAGATCACTGTGCTAGAGATGGAATACGAGGCTGAATTGGTGGGAGACGAGGACGTTGAGGAAACTGTGGTAGCTATGACCAACCACAGCTACTTCAACTTAAGCGGATCATCAACCATAGAAGGCACGGAGGTCACTTTGTCTTGCGATTTGCACCAAGTCGTCGATAGTACCAGCATACCGACCGGTGTGATACAGCCATATCCGGGAATCAAGGCGCATGAGAAATTCACTTTAGGCGCAGAGGAGCCCGACGTTGATCATTGCTTCATCATGAATGCAGATGCAAGTTCCATACCAATTGACACCAGAGAGCAGCCGTTCAATCAGCTGGGATCCTTCTATCACCCTGTCTCCCGAGTCCATCTTGAAATACACAGTACCGAACCTGCTTTTCAGTTTTACACGGGGAGATACATCGATGTCCCGGCTGTTGGAGGACTACCAGCAAGAGGCCGGAGATCCGGTTTCTGCATCGAGCCTTCAAGATACGTCAATGCTGTCAATGAAGAGAAGTGGCGAAATATGGTTGTCCTCAAGCGGGGACAGAAATATGGGAGTCGAACTATGTATCGTGCATGGAGAGACTAGAGGATGGACTCTGAATCAATGGCTAGCGCGTTGCTAGGGTTGCTATCTGTTGCACATTGAGAAATCTGGCAATCATTCAGAGTCCCCTGTTTTGATTCAAGCCCGTCAATATTTCCTCATCAAACGCCCCACCTCCCGGCGCAAGTTCGGAAGCCAAAACGGGTTGATATCATATTGAGATCAGAAAAAAAAAAACCTGCTGTTGACGAGACTCATGTAACAGCTTCGCCGTTCTTCTAAACCCATAGCTAACTATATCGTTCATCGGTGTGCTAATAGCTGCATGCAGAGGTCTACCGCCTCACAGATTCGCGCGAAACGGTTGACTCCGCGGATGCACGAGATGTTGCACATTAGCGATTCAAAATCAGCTCAAAAGTCCACTAGAGATACATGAAAATCCCTCGAAGCATTACGTATGACGGCAACGGATACGCAGACGGCTTGCGAGAATCACAGTAACGACTTTTGAGTGAAAGGGCGCTAGGCTATGAGATGTGAGCGTGTGTTTACTTCTTGAGCAGCCATCCGATGGCCTTCAGTAGACAAGAGCAGGTTCAATCGTTAGAATTTTCTCTGTCGGGTCCAGTCTTCGTCGCCCAAGGCACTTTTCAGATTTTCAAGAGCGAAGCAAACCCCCCTTTCTCAAGAAAGGGGATTACATAATGCCACATGCACACGGTTAAGATGGCATGGCAGTAGTCCAGTGTAATCGGGGCTCGTTCGGCGAGACGCACTAGAAGTATCAGATGGAGCTAGCTCTAAGCGCTGCGACCAGTCGCAAGCTATGACGTCAAGAGAACACTGGAGCATCGATCACGATCACTTTGCTTGTCCGTGGTTCCGAGGCACCACCAGCTTGAATGGCAAGTCCCCACTATTGTATCCGTTTCCTGAGGAAGCATCTCGAGCTGCATCTATATGAAATCAGAATCGTCCAAGAGAAATGGGGCTCGCCACGTTGTGTCAACGCGAATCGCGGTAGTCCCACCCAGATTTTGCATCCTTAGAAGCCGAACTCCCATCGTATGCGCGCAGAGGAAATGGCATCACCAGTCCCACATTTTCGGATGGTGTTCCGTCCTTTTTTTTTTTTTTTTTTTTTTTTGCACGTCATTTTGCTGTTTCAACACAGAAGATGTCTGCGCGTTTCCCATATAGGAATGTAGGATTCAACCTAGGTGATCAACTGCTCTTTCGGCATCTTGACGAATCCAGGAACCTTTGGTTTTCGTTGGACGAAAGTTGCTTGTGGATTTTTCGCTTAATCCAGGGAGATCATTGCATGTTTGTGATTATGGGCCTGTTCGGTCTACGGCCTTGCTTGCGAAATCTCGACGCTTTCGATGGATACTCCGTTACTCTACTGTCCGAATCTTAGGTACGAACGTGTACACCACTGAACTGAGAAGCTCTTCATCTTTCAAGTAACTTAATGATGTCAGACACAACGGCAGCGCCAATCTACATTGCCGGCCATGATTACCTGATTCAATGAAGAATTGCGGAGAATCGATAGATCTCATCATGTTTGGCTTCTATCTCCATGTGCACATTCCTATCCTGTATTGTAATAGACGTATAGACTAGTTTCTCTTCTCTTTTCTTTTTTCTTGACCATGCTCTTCCCCTCCCCGGCTCCGGCTCATGAACTCTTCCTGAATACTTCCATTGGGCTAAGAAATGGGAACATAAGTACGGAATCTCGAGATGATAAATGTCTAACCCGAACCTCCCACTTTCAATCATGTGAATCGTGTCCTGATTGCCAGTTAAGATAGTATAAATCCTTCTTCACGTGAGTTGCGATAAGAATATTTATTTTCGTTAGCATTGATAAGTGTCCTTCAAGCCTTAGAGCTAGAAGGATTTGGGTTTTATCATGAAATATCGCTACCGCTGAAAGCCACAACACATCTATCGTTGCATGGGAAGTCGAACCATCGTCTAAGTAAAGAGTATACGTGCAGCTCATGATTTTCTCACAAATAGTCTCTGGCAAGCTCCCCAAGAGTATCTAAACGTTCTTAAAGTATGGAAAATTGCTCACGAGAGCACCCCAGGTATTGATTTTAGAGACTTGAATGACGCCGCATCTTTCTAGGATTTGATAGAAACAGAGCAGAATTTAAATATGACGGCTGTGTCTCTATCATCGAATTACAAGTACAGATCGATGGATTTATTTAGTTGGACACCTTGTCCGGCACCTTCTTGCCAGTTGCCTTCTCAAATAGACCACGAGCACCGTCCGTCTATAGAAAATATTAGAACTACTATCTCAACTAACCACGTTGAACATTCCACTCACGATCTTTTCGTTCAAGTTTCGATCCTGCTGAATACCAAATTTTTTCTCGCCAGCATCAAGGGCTACAATGCATTTGTTAGATTCTGGTGCATAGGAACAGATGTAGAGGAAGGGACGTTTCCTTGCCTTTGTCGAGGTAGTCCTCCTTTTGGGCGGAGCCGCCTGCTGCGTTGTTTTGATTCGAGTTCATTTTTGGATTGAATAGCGCCAATCTCAAGGGGAACTTTGCAATGGTTGAGAAACTGCGATCAGTGCACCACGTAGTCTATTTATGCTTGAAAGTAAATCTGGTTGCAAAGCCTGGCTGTTGTGGTAGTGGTGGCCCTGACGTATGACCTCGATGATCAGCGACGTCATGTTTCGTATAGATCTGCGGCTCGTGGCACAAGTAGCTCTGCGGACCAACCTTCGTCTCAACAGCTATTGGCCAAGCAAGGCCTGCAGGAGCCCTTCCTTGGAATATGATCTGGGGCTATTATAATGGATGCCCTGGAGCAAAGGCAATTTGCAGGACAGTGGCTGATCGAGGGATGGTTTCGGTCAGCATTCCGAACTCACTTTCAATAGTTCAATGCAATTTACACCTTCAGACGGCATGAAAGGACCTTATTTGCTTTATAAGTCGAACAAAGGAAATTGAGCGTCACACTATCCGCGTTTGTTTTCGCAGACTGTCTCTTTTGAATGTCTTTCAGCAGTCAATTCATCTACCTGAGCCACTTCGAAGAATGGAAATTCCTGGTACGGCCATGAACAACATCACAAGGTTCAGTCTCCATATGCTCGTGATACCCATTGCACCTCGATTTTAGCCTGCTCCATGGCTTACATTCCTTCTCCGCCGCTGTCCAGTCAATCACTCCCTCTCCGTCGCCTATCGCCTTGACGACACACGAGCAGCAAAACGCCCTGTCACAACTACTGCAGATGTTACCACTGACGTTTGGTCTGAACACTGTTCTACAAATGTCGCACGCCTTCGGGTTGTTCCAACTCATGGGTCGAAAAGGGCAAAGATCGTGTCTGCTGAGACCCGAGTAGCCTGGACGCTTCAATTTGCAGACCAATTCACGGAGAAACGTTGGGTGCCAGGTGTCTGCATGGGTTGCCACTAGGTTGTCCGTTTTCTTGTAAGCGAAGAGGTCAAGAATGAGGCGCCGAATGGGCGCGTTATCTCGTATGTTTTCGTAGAGAGAGTTGGTATCCATTGGCGTAGGCACGCTGTTCGTCATGTCCGCGAGTTCAGTCACGAGATCCACAACAGCGTTCCGCATGCCTTCAATGCACAGCTGATCAGCGAGCATATACATATCCAAGAGAGTGTAATACGTAGGTTTCCCGTCCTTGAAGAAGAATTCGCTGTTTTCCAGTCTTTGTGTATAGAACCACAGCACTACGTGTTCGAACAAGGTGGGCTCCACATCGGGTAGAACAATCTGTCCAGTTTTGCCCTCGATGAACTGTCCATTCAGAGCGGCGGCAAAAAATGGTGACTGGGCGACGGCGACTTCTTGGTGAATCTTATACATTACTTTACTTGGCCCTACACATATGTCCACGGTCTTGGTGAAGGTTTTAAATTGTTCTCTGCAATGTTTCTGCGTTAGTAGTTTCTAATGTCTGCGAACATGCACATACCTAAAGCTGAAATTCCTCCATCGTGCTCTTGCTGACGATTGAGAACCAATTCGTGGCTTGGGACTTGAACATATGGGTGTTTTAGGCGCAGTTCTTGACTCCCCTATCTGTTGAAGTGGCAAGCACACTCCATGTGCACGTGGCTCAATTTCTATGAGTGTCTCCATGATTGCCTGCCAACTTTAATATATTGTGAATGATGTGCGAGAATGAGCAAGTCCTAATGATCTAATCGAAGAGGAGGAGAATATGAGAAACTGTAGTGGTCTTCAACAAACTACTGGAAACAGCACGCGGTGTTGAGTCAAGAGCGCGATTATGCTGAACAGTCACGAGTTAGCACGTAAGACCATAATATAACGAGAGATACATATGTCTGCTAGATCGTGACTCGTGACGCACTTGGGGTTTCTTCGTTTGACGCAAGCGTGCAAATACTTGTAAACAAAGATGTTAGCCGAGAGCGCAGAGTCGAACAATGCTAATCAGCCGAGAGTGGATACCGCCTTTGTTTGACATGTTCAAACACGACTATTGTGCACGCTTTCAAAAGCATCTGAAAATTTGAGTGAGGCTAAAAGAATCGTGCGACCACTCGTGCATGAGCATCAGAAATTACGAGTCAAAGGACGGCAACAATGGGATAGACAAGAACAATGTAGTTTCCATTGTCGTTGCAAATTCGGAGTAAATGCGACGTGTTTTTTTATACTTCCAGAATATCAAGGCCGCTTGAATGTGGCTCACCTCCCTGTGCCAACTCGTACAACAAGCCTCCAAGATCAAGCACGTGTGTATTTTCATGACGTCGAGCTAGTTCGCATCAAAATGACACTGATGTGCTGCTCTTACGAATTGGTCGCTCGGCCGTTGACCATATACCGTGCTCGCACGTGCATATCGGTCGATCTATGCCTCCTTATAAATTGATGACTCGTCGATGTTTGCTGGACAGGAATCTTTTCGATCTTCACTTCCTGTTCTGAGGACCCTTCTCCTCTGGCAACAAGTGTCAGTACTCAGCCCCAAATGTTTAGATTCGATGTTTCTCGCTTTCTATTTCAGCAAATAGGTCAGAACATAGGTCCACACACACACCAAAACCTCCCTTTAAGTCAGGTTACTCACCGAGTCTAGAATAGAGCATATATAGAGCCATTTGATTGCACTCTTGTGTTCCTGTAATGGTGACCAGACGCTCGTTGCTGTTGTCCTGAGGCTCATTGATTTTAATGACACTGCCAGAAAGTTGTCGAATTTCATTTATTTTGGCACCACCCTTGCCAATTATTGCGCCGACCATGTCGTTTGGAATATAAATTTGTTGCGTCATAGGTTGCCCAGGGACAACGCCCTGCATTGGCTGCGCTGCTGGTGGGTGAGCGACCTGTGGTGTATGAGGAGCACCATATGCTGGCGGCTGATGCGGACCAGCGCCAGCATAACCACCAGCCCGAGGAGAACTAGCAGGGTAGTGTAGAGCTTGTGGAGCTTGAACTGGAGCAGGTTGGCCGTAGACGGCAGGCGGCTGGCCATACGCAGGTGCTTGAACTGGTGGTCTGGCTGGTGGAGCATGTCGCCTGAAATGTTCTGGGTGACCCCATTGACCGCCACCGCTTTGCGGAACGTAAGGCGTTACTTGCATACCTCCTGGGACAACACCTGCAGGACCGCCAGTACGTGTGGCATAGGCAGATGCTGCTGGACCACCAAACCGTTCTGTCAATTGCTCAACTAGAGTGCTGCCAACATAGTAAGTCGCAATGTGAACTGCGTCAGCGACACCGAGAATGACAAGCGAACGTTCCGTTGAGAGTGGGAGGGTAGACTCCGACGCATTGAGACGTGCACCGGATGCTTCTTGGATCTCTCGAATACGAACGCCTCCTTTGCCAATAATAGAGCCAATGAGAATGTGAGGAATCAACAAACGCAAAGGATAGGTTTTCGATTGGGGGGTGGAGGGCTGGTCGAGAGGTTCCTGGTTAAGGGTACGAATGATGAGACCAAACGCCTGTGATACATTAGTATATGCAAAAGAAATCATAGACGAGAAGAAATGGATACTTACTTTTGCAACGGCGTCAACTTGTCCACTAACTGTGAGAATGCGCTCTACTGCTCCGCGAGCGTAGTCACTCACAGTGCACCTAGCAGCGGAGAGCTTCCGAATCTGTGACACATTCTCTCCACCCTTGCCAATAACTGTGGCAGCTTCTGCGCTGGAAATGATAGCACGAACATGCAGCCAATTTGATTCATCTTGTCGGCCTTGTTGAGCGCTGGAGCTACCATTTGTGAGAACTTCCGCGCCCGAAGGCATAGAAGTGGGAGCGTCTGGCACTACCGTGTCATTATCAGCACCACTGGTACCATTTTGCTCTGTCTTTGTTTCCGACGCGCGCTTCTCGTCAGGAGGAGCAGTACTCGTCTCCGTCGCGGGTTCGCTAGAGGTGGTTTCTTCCTTCAAAACTTTATCGAGCGCTGGACGTTTGGCATCAGGTTGGTCTCCGGGGCCGCTCGGCGAGGATGGCTCTTCGAGGGGACGCTTCGACGATTGCGCCGTGGCTGAAGGTGGTGGCGATGCAGACATGATGGATATGCAGGTCGGGAAATAGCTTCACGCCTGGAAAGATACAATTTGAGCAGGAAAGCAGGCCGATACGATGCAAACTCGACTTCGTTTTCTTCTTTTGTTTGATCCTCTAAATACAGCTAATTCGTCTCGTGGAGAGGGGACGGTGCTGTGCGAGAGGTAGGTGTTGATGATGATGATGATAAGGCTGGCAGAGCGACTCGAGCGACGAATGAGGACTGCGAGAAGAAGCTGGGATTGTGCTGCGAATGTGCCCAGGAAAGAGTTTATCGTCGGGATGATACACGGAAGTTGAAGGAAGTGTCGAATGCAGCGACGAATTGATCGTGTTTGGAGGTTGGAGTGCCGGGAATTTGATGGCAACTGAGGTGGTTCTTGGTAGTGCGGTAGAAGGAGACGATGAGGTTCTAGGTTAAAGAGTGGTAGAGAGTGGTAGTACTTGGTGGATAAAGTAGGTGATCGCAGATAGCAGGTAAGTTGTGGTAGGAAAGAATTAGGTGCCACCTCACTCCTGCTTCCCTTGCCTGACCCTGTCACTACTCACTGCGAGCTGTACGTTATTCCAGACGACTGTTCTAGTTTGCCGGCTGCCACTCTTCCGGTCAAGTTGTATTCTCCTTTTCGGGTCGTTGCAGCCCAAGCTTTGCGTCAAGCGTTGGGGCGACCAAGATCTGGGAACGTATTCGGCCAAGGCTCCTGCAATGCGATATGCAGTTTGGTTGAGCGTGGACGATGGACGAATGCAGCAATGTCGATTCGAGATCGATTGCAAAGTGATGATGTTGCTGAGCTGTCGAAAGTTTGTTCCAAGTCATACCTATTGATGCCTCAAAGCAAATGTCTCAATTTAATTGTGTCCTAAGGCGTAGACACTATTCCTCTTTCGGTTAGGTCTCGATCTGTCGACTCCATAAACGTGATGCTTTATACAAAACAGCGTATACGTATATGTCCAGAGTACAGAGCAAGAAGGCCATTCGGGAAGGGATGAATTACGACATCTACAGGCCTCCACCGCAAATCCTTCCTCTCAAGCTGTGAATCACCTGTAATTAAATTTTCCCATTGGTCCTGTGACCACGAGGCTCTTCCGTCCACTCAGACAACCATGTCTGATGAAGTGCTGGAAAACATCAAGCGCTTTGCGCGTGACGCTGCGCATCATATGGAAGATGCCATGGATATCGACGATCAGGATTCAGATGCAGTAGAGTCACGTCTAATTGCAACTATCAACGAGCTGCAACAGCTTCTGAGCCGAGAACAGAGTGAACTGAACCAAGTAAGCATGACGGTTTTCAAGGGCGAATTCGCTTCGTTTAACCACAGGACAGCTCAAGGCCTCTTCGCCAAGCTTGGCACCAACAGAACCATCGGATGATCCAAGAGAACGTTTGAAGCAACTTCGGGTTATTAGGACTGCGTATGAACGGATGACACCAGAAACGCCGTATCTGCCAGATCCAAAATCGGCTTTGCAACCGCTCTTGGCGGCACGAGTTGTTCAAAAGACCATCAGTGACGAAAAGGCAAACATAAGCTCAGCTCGTTCGCTCTTGCAAACATTGGAGCAAGATATTTTAGAAGAAGAGAATCAGCTATCAGAGGCCGAAACTCTCGCAGCTGCACTACATGCGCGAACTACAGAATTGCAACAGGTGCAACGCGATAATCTCGCCAAGACAACTACGGAAAAAACCAAAGAACTGATGACAGCCAAGAATCAGCGAAAACAATCCTTCGAGCGCGAAACGCAGAAACTTCGCAAGTTCCTGGACAATTTTATCGACAAGCACCTGGCTGCTATGCTTGCTCTTGAAGATATTGGCGGTCCAGTTGTGGGTGATGTTATGAGTGTCGACGAGGACATGCTCGCAGCAGGATTCTCAGCTCAGGGTAAGCTCAAGGCGAAAAGTTTGTCGGACAGCAACCGCCAGAGACGAATTGATGAGATCTGGGGTAGCACTGCCAGTGGGGATCGCCAGCATGAAAGCGAAAAGGATGCAGCTGCCGAAGAATTTCGGAATCTCCTCAACAGTTTAATCAATTCGAGGGGGTACGTGACCCTATCAAGGGACTCGGCGACAGCACGATTTCTTGTCCGAGCAAAGGTCGCCGAATTCGATCCAAAGGACGCTAAAAGACTGCGTTTGATTGATTTCTCGAGGACATTAGACGACTGAAACTCCCCAGCCAATCCAAAGAAAGTAATCAAGGACACAGCCTCAGAGATCGAGTTCTTTGATCACGGCAAGAAAGTTACATCAAGAACAGCATATGTCATCCAAACCACATCCAAAATGTGGAAAGAGGTATGTTCAAGCGAACCTAGGCTTTATTTTGCTGACGAATCGTGCAAGTCTAATATCGCTTGTTCGATGTACTGTAGAAAAGGCCCTTGTTCACGCGGACGCAAGGCTTACAACTGATCTCATGCTTTCCGGGAGAAGTAAAAGTTCTGATCCAGGTCCTCAATCGCACTCGGATGGCTTTATTGAAAGAATTCATGCTCATAGGGCGCTATGTGCAATGATCGATTCGCTACGACGTGTTATTGATGATTCTGCCTTATTCGGGGCCTTGATAGAGCTAAACTTCTTCTCCAAAACCCTGGGATTGAGTTGAAGAACGGACAAACAGAGTGCTCTGTGCGGAGTGCCATGCGAGAGAAAGACGTAACACTCTGTAGTTCTAATCAAAGATGTGAGGCCTCTTTTGAAGCTGATTCAGAGCATAACGCATACGAGCTTGGATATAACGCTGAGCACCTAGCTCCTTACCCATTGCTGCGAGTTGAGCTGGTCGATGCTATGACTGTCCTCAGTGCTGATTGCTGTACGTCAATGACAGTGAAATCCATCCCATGAACAGGACATTTCAGAGAGGCTTCTGTTCACAAATCTCTCTGCTTGTGTACTACCTCCATTTTCTCTGCCATGTTAAATTCGCTTCCTCGACTCGCACTCGTCATAGTCCTCGTTCGTCTGTTGTACAACGCGTATCGTCATGAAATGTCTCATACCCCGGGGCCTTGGCTTTGCAAATTCTCTAACCTGTATTGTGTCTACAACACCTGGAGAGGTGATACACCTCTATAGTTTCAAGGGCTTCGAGAACAGTATGGTAATTTGGTTCGGATTGGGCCTAATGTTGTTTTGAACATCGAGCCTCATGACTAAGGCGTATGGATTCAAAGATGATTCTTTCAAGGTAGGAACAGACGAAATTGAAGAAACTTAAGAAGGAAAAATGCCCATGCCAAGCATGGATGTCTGGAAAGGAGCCATCAACGGGAATGTTGTTGATAGCCTAGTATCTGCGCAGAGCAAAAGCGTCCATGGAAAGATGAGACGCGCTGTTGCCGACCTTTACGCAAGCACTAACATTGTTACGTACCAGTTGCGTATAAACGACGACATGATCAAGTGCTTCATCAAACGAGTGGACAAAGATTTCATCCAAGGAAGCCATGATGGTCGAAGATGTGATATCGATAATTGGGTTCAATGCCTTGCATTTGACATTATCGGTGAGCTCACCATTTCCCGACCTCTTTGTTTTTGCAAGGAAGGCGATAACATACAAGACATGTTGGAAGAGCTTAAGGGGAAAGTTTTTTTTTTGTCGCGGATTAGTACAGAATATGCCAATACTTGATAAGTTTATCAAGAAGAACTGGTTGTACTTGCATTTCAAGAACCCCACAAGCCTTATTTCCTGAAGGTCTAGTTCTAGGAGTCTTCTAGATGGGCGTCTCAAGGAAAGGAGATCCCAGGGTGTGGATATGCTGGATGGCTTTCTAGAGTCTCAGAAGAAATATCCTGACTTCATCGACGAAACTGTGTTAGGTGCGTGCGTTAGCGGAAATTTTCGGGCCATGAGCGACACTACAGCTATAGTGCTGGGAAGTTCCATTTAGTACGTACTTAGAACGCCCGGTGTTCTTGAGTGGCTTAGAAAGGAGCTTGATGAGAATGCATACATGAATCACAATGATTTCTCGTTCTCTTACGGACCACGAGTATGCATTGAAAAACACATCGCATGAATTGAAATTATCAAAACACTACCAACTTTATTCGACCTTCTTGATGTAAGCGCTATGTTCAAATTTGTAGACGTAGACACTAACAAGGGCGCTTTAGATGGAGTTGGTAGAGCCTAGCAAAGAATGGAAGGTCGAAGGATCGTTCTTTTCCAGACAGTCAGAGATGGATGTTAAGATGAAGTGGAGAAGAAGCGTCGACAAGTTGCAATTTCTGCAGTAACTGGGTCAACAACTCTGTTCAGTTGAGCTACAAAAGTTTATTTTTCATTGAGATTGGGTTCACTTGCTTCTTCTTTTGGTTTTTGTTTTCCTTTCGCATTTCTGTCGACTACGAACGGAACAGCGAAACCAGGACGACGAAGCTTGGAAACGCTTTGTCCAAATGTCCAAGTCAAGCCATGTGATTCTTTGCTAAGCTCAAAACCCACCTTCCTCGACACTCACAGTCTTGCTGCGTAGTTACTGTCTGTTCTGTCCAACGTGTCCACTTGAGAATTACAAGTCCTAGCAAGCATGGAACGTCTGGCGGACCATTGATACGCCTGCAATCATATCTCCATGCGATGAGCTAAGGGAGATTAGGCCAGTAGGATAAACGATAAGTGAAACCCTTCGTCTTTTCTGATGGTTCAACAGCATAGCAAACCTTTGCGCTTACGAGAGACTGGACGGGGTTACTGCCTGGTGACATCGTGTTCCAAAACACCGGAATCAACAATACGAAAAAAAAACACCTGTATTGTTTCCAGAGCAATCCAACAGGGTATCTAGATTCCACATGCTTACCCAAACTTCCTTGCAAGCGAATGGACCCCAATTTCACCAGAAATATCCTTCCAGAGCGTAGATCCTATTCCTCTTCTGTAGCGGTCTTACTTTTACATCTTACGCAGCCATTTTGGACTACATTCCGGATGATGTGCGCATGAGCTACTTTGCTACCAACGGACCTAGAGAACTCTTCGGCAGGCTCGTACTTGAACGTGTTTTGCAGCCTCTCTACAGCTCCAGCAGCCTCGGGGTTGTTAAATTTTATGCGATTAAGCAGACAGGAGAGGTGAAAAACGTGACCACACGCAAAGCCGATCAGTGTTTCTTGCTCTAAATTTAATGTTAACGATAACTGTCCCACATAACAAAGAAAGGGACAGTATTTCACATACCATGTTCAACGAAGAGTTTCCTGCATCCGGTGCAATGGCCGGATGGAGCTTCTTCGTCGTCTTCGTGCTGATGCTTCGTGTGCTGTAAATTCTCGTTTATTGATGGTGCGGCATCGATTTGCTCCTCTTCTAGAGGCGCAGGAAGCTTTACTTCGGTTTCTGACCCCTTCTCCTTTGGCTCTTCCATAGCATGCACAACATCAAATCTTACGGCTCGTGCTCTACCTTTTCGTAGTAAGTCCATTCCGGCAGCGACTTCACTTCTTAGTACTTTGGCGACTCCGTCACTAATTGAAGCTTGAATTTCGTACTCTCGTACCATACGACCGATGCCCTCCCTTAGCCCTTCTATCTCCAAGCCTTCTGGGATACGACGTACGAGCTTGATTGGGTCAATTGATGTACCGACCTCTTCCAAGAGTCCTCGAATAAAACGGGGCTTGTCCATGGAGTAGTCTAGGAGGTCGTCCCAGAGGTCTTTATCATCTTGCTCTTTGGCGAAAGAGATGGCAAAGCTGACATCACCGAGTCTGTTGATAATCAACTTTAGTGCGCGTTTCGTTTCGCCCGTTTGTGAAAGTAGATACACAAGTTCTGGCCAAAATTGTCTGGCTTCACAGACCGCGCTCGCCTTTTCGAAGGCATAACTACGACTCGCACGTAGAAATTCCATCAAAAGTGGGCGATCGTATTCAGCGAAGAGATGAACCGCCAGATCGCCGAAGTCTTCCACAAGAGCTCGACCCTCAGCCTCAAGCCTTTGTTGACGTTGTTGCTTCTCTCGTTTTTGTTTACTGGGAATGTCCTCGTCATCCTTTGGCTTATCCATAGCCTCTGTACCCTGGCCTCGCCATAGGGCGCGTAAATAGAAGAACAGGAAGGGTTGAAGATCAGGCTCGTCTTCGCTACCAAGCTGATTTACAACCATGCCTGGCGCTACTGTACCTTGATATGCCTCATCAACTAGCAGATGTATAGCCTCCAAGCTATTCTCTTCCAGCTCAGATAGGGATGCCGATTGGAGCTGCTCCTTGCTGATGCGCAGCAAGACAAAACCCCTGAGATCGTCAGCAATAGCCGGTAGCAAATGGTACCCGCGTATCAAATTCATTGCTGAATCTGCATTCTGCAGGCGAATATAACATCTTAAAGCATCCTTGGGTCTCTGGTCTGCAAGATATAATTTTGCAAGTGAGTCCATCAGAATGCGCCAGTCTCCACCACCTTCTACCTCCATTCCTGGTTCTTCCTTGATATCGCCTCTCTCAAGGCGTTCTTCGATCGCAGAGGTGACGACATTTATACTGAACATTTCCGGCTCCCAGCGGTCCAAAAGTTCCTTTAGCCTCAGCCGATTGCGGTTAATATAGTGCCCGAGAACAACTTCATAGGCCGAGCTGTCGATGGGCGGCTTAAGGGGTTGGTGTGGTATGTAGGGCGTGATCTCATCGAAGCGTCCAGCTTTCGCAAATGTGAAGATCCAGTGCTGCCATCTTGAACTTGTACCGAGCACTTTCCCGGCAACTTGCCCTGCCGCTTTCCAATCACCTTTCTGTACTAGTTGTTGGAGCCAGAGCTCCCCAATCCGACGCTTCTCTCTGTCTGCAGTCTCATTTTGCATCCGTGCTCCAGAGATGGTGGTTTGTGATGCTGCATCGTCTGCGAAAAAGTCCACTAGGGACTCACGCTGTTTCGATGGTGTGCTAGCAATGCTGTTGGACTCTATGCTCGGTGCAGGCTCAAAGTTTGGAGCAGATACAACTTCAGGATGCTCGTTAATTAGCTCCCAGGCTTCCGCATAGCTGTGACGCTCAAGTAGAAAGCTTAGATGATCGACCAGATCGCGTTTGACGGCTAGCACGCAGTCGTACGGGCTGTGTATGAAGATTTTCAAGCCAGGTGTTGCAGCATTAGAATGCACTTCAGGCCGTCTTATGGGCATGACTGGTAAAGCCTTAGATGCACTTCCCACTGCTGATGGTGAAGCGGTGGCGTTTTCACCACTCCCAGAGCTGCGAACGCTTGCTCCAGAGCTGAAGATCCTTGCCGCATTGCCTAAACTGGATCCTACATCCCAAAGGCCCTCGCTAAAAACGGATAATGCTCCCTTCTGCACCGGGCCAGCCACAGGTGCGGCAGGGACATATAGCGTGCCGATATGGTAGTCTGCCGCGGAAAGACTCTCATAGTTTTTCATGGTCAGCGTGTCTACGTCTGCTTCTTCTTTTGTTTGAACATTGATGAGCCTGAGTTCGGGGCTCAACCCATTCTGACGATGATGTACCCCACGTCGTGGTGATTTCTCTACTGTTACAGTGATTGGGTTGTCATTGTCGTCGCGGGTGCGGTATGCTAGGACAAGCAGTAAGGATGGGGTATAAAGCGATAAGCCAGATATGATACAGTCGTCAAAAAGTAAACGATATACGTGTTAGCATTTCCCTGAAAAATCTCGCAGCATATGATACTTACTGATGCACAATTGCAGCGCTTCCACCAACACGTTCGGACTCATCTTTGCCTTTGCCAGGCCCTTCCGGCGAGACGTGCAGAACCCAAGCACTGTCGCCCCATCCAACTACCAACTTCTCTATTCTCCTTCTTTTCCCCAACCCCTTCGTGTGCTTCAGACTCTCAGAAGCCGCCGAGATAGACGTTTGACCATTCGTGTGAGTTGCGGACAGCTCATCTTCATCCGATTCCAGGCATCTTTCGTCAATCCACTCGATTCGCGCTTTCCACACGCCAGCCATTTCTTCCCAATTCTTACGATTAGGTCGATCGATGTGTGCGATGCGCTTCCAGGCGTAATCCACGTCAGCACTCTCGAGCTTCAGGTTTGATCTCATAATCTTGATGCCCTGCTCATTGACCCAGGCGACGAATTTGCCCGATAGTGACCACTTGATTGAACTAATGGCTCCCTCGCCGGAATGGAGTATGGTGTCTTTGCCCGTATTGCTGCCGAGACCTATCGAGCCCAGCCATCCGGATGCCGCTGCTGCAGCACTGTTCGTATTTGCATTTTCCTTGACGCCTGTTCTGCCACCTATGGTGAGAATCAAATTGCCTGCAAGGCCACCCGATATATATGTCCTATCGCTCTTGTATTCAGGCGAAAGCGCTACAGAGTTGACTGGACGCGCGAAATTACGCAGGGTCACATCTCTGACATCAACCAAGGACTGTACACATACCAAACCATCTATAGACGATGTTGCAACGTGTATTGAGTTCGATGGCGTGGCTGGAATCTGAGGTTGCGGTTGCCGGAGAGGCTGAGGCGATGAAGGAGTGGTGCCAGACTTGATCGAGCTTGGCTGAACTGGAACAGAGCCGACGGGGTCTTCCACCTTTAACCTGGACGTAACTACCGACTGGGCCGACGGCCAAGGAGGCGGAAAAGGTGATATTGAGACGGACGTTATTGTAGCCGTATGCGCACGGTAGGACTTTAGAGGCTGGAATGACGGGATGGTAAAGATATTCTATTAACCTGTCAGCGATAGACCTATACTTGCCGTTTTCTGCAGAACTCACAATGTTTCCGTTATGCGACCCTACGATCTGATATCTCATAAGCGCCTCATATCTAGTTCACTCAGAGAAAAGGCCTTACCATCTTATCCCCAGCAACCAGAAAACTACTCGTAGAGTCACTCCTATAGCAACCCGCGAGACTCCCTGTCAGGCGCGAGTACTTCAATCTGGGCTCTTCATCTTCTTCTTCGTCATCCGCTGTATCCTCAGTAGCCTCCGTCCTTGCAGAAACTTCAGTCGCGGCGCGTGGTCTTCTCGGCGGCGTGGCAGGCTCGAGAGCCGTAGGCGTCTTAATTGAGCTCTCATTAAGCTCGTCCTCGGGATCCGCTGCCATGTCACTGAGTGAGGAGGCTGTAAACTACCTCTGCTGCGCGGAGCGATAAATGCGCTGCATCGAGTTGGGGATCTATGGTGCTGTTGTGGTTGAAGAGTTGTGAGGACGTGGTCGTGTTGGGTTCGGCTCACAGTTAGTGAGGTCATTTAGTCTAGAGCTCGAAGGACCCTGGCATGCCAAATTTCTCCGAGCATCTGTTCCAAATCGTAATCCTATGCAGAACCATCCGGCTTCCATTATCATGAGGCAAGCCATTTTACCGGAATCCCAGTAATGTCATCGGACTCTTCGAATCGAAGACAAAAGCGTACATGTTGGGTTTGCGGTACTGTCAGGTGAGAGCAATTTCGCGCTGGGCTCGTAGACCCTCGCTTTCACCACCGACTTCCAATGAGTTTGGTTCCTGCATCCGATCTTTCACCGCATCGAGTCCACTGTATAGAAAGCAGGAACAGAATGAGCACGATGAAATAAAGCCCCTTGAGGGGCCGACCGTTAGGTCAAAGGCCCGGCAGACCTTGCGAAGTGTTGGATTAGCAGCGGCGAAGAAGAGGCAGATCATTCAGGATAAGGGCGGCTTGCGGATCATTGATCCCGATATTGAGACAAAGGTAAGAGGGAAGTGTAGACACATAGTTTGCATGCTGATCTGATATATAGAAAGTAACAGCATACTGCGCTGCCGAACAATACAATATTGCCACGGCCGCTCGTCTCGTCGAGGCAGATGGATTCACCCTTGATCCATACAACACTGGCCTCTTCCCCCAGGTTGTTCACATACAAACTCCGATCTACGCTCCTACATCTCAGCAGCAGCCCCAACCTCCAACAGAAAGAGAACATGGGGATCTTTTCATCTTTCCTTCAGGTACCGTTGTTGCGTGGAATGTTCCGGAGCGCGTAGCCCTTCGGCTTGTCGAACGTGTTCTTCCACCTGCAGCGCTCAATTCTCAAATCGGAAGTGTTGAACTTGAGAAAGAAGATCTTGAGTACCTGGAGGCTCCTGAACAAGAACGGAGCTCTATCGTTGGTGACACCATTATACTAGGTACGAAATCTGAGTCGCTATCACGACAGAAATTGTTCAGCAAGTCGAACGAACCGGCCAGCACCGACGTAGAGGCAGACGAGTATCCTGAGAAAGACACAATACTGGCTAAGATTGCTTTCTCCTCCGGTCTCGCCCGTAGCACCAAGCTTGCCGTCCTTGAGCGTCTGACCGAGGCCTATGTTGTGTCCACCCGTAGCATCCCAACGATAATGTCTAGAGGCACGCCACTGCCCTTTAACCGCCCAATCTTCCTCCGAAAAATTTGTGAGAAGCTTGGCTTTGGTTCTCGGCTTCCCTTCTCACGACCGTTCATCCTTCGTAAAACCGGGGAGCTGCTATCTATTCGTGCTCAGCTAAATCTATACTCTGAGCTTACGGACAGTCTGCCTGACCTTTTTTGGGATTCGCGCCACGAGCTCGGCTTGGAGAATTATTATGAGCTTACGGGCAAGGCACTTGACGTCAACGTACGAATAAAAGTTCTGAACGAGAAACTCGGGTATGCACAGGAGATTGCTAGCGTCCTAAGGGAGACGCTCAGCGAAAGACATGATTTGAGGCTGGAGTGGATCATCATTTTGTTGATCGCTATCGAAGTGGTTTTTGAATTTGGGAAGATTATAAAGGAATGGAATGAGAGGAGGGACTCGGAGAACCTAGAGGAGTTGGCCAGGCGTTGGTTGAAGGAGAATGTGAAGTCCGAGAAATAGAGAGGCAGGAAGCCTCTTGCAAAGCGCAATACTTAATCCTCACAGACCTCACCTCTCAGGTTTCGAGATACCCTGTTAGACTCTGTATAAATACACCGCTTGTTCTGTACAAAAGAAAAATGACAATCTTGATAGGCACGTTCTTACCCTGCTGGAAGGATAGATCATATATCAGAAACTTCGTGTTCGGACGTACCCGAAAAATTTGTTAACTCCAAAGTTTTGAGAAAAGTGACTCACTTTCGGCGTCATATATTGAATTGGGCAAAAAGACAAAGACTCTTCCTCAACGCAGACACTATTTGTGTCTGAAGGACCGCGTGTATGAAGCATTTCTTTCTTTCGCCCTTATCAACTTCATCTTAAGTGGCCATGTAATCCTTTCCTGTTGTATTTTGAGTCCGATTTTGAGTCCGATTTGCGGGTCACTCAAATTCCAATCGAAATTTCGTGCAGGCTTCGAAATTACATATGCATTCCCAGTTCCACTCAAAATCCCTTGGATTGATTGATTTTGGTTTACCGTTGCCTTTCGATCATAGTTGCAACGATTCTACAAAGAAGGAATCTACACTGAGAAGTATCCGAACGGATTGAAAACCGGGTCCATATCTTGATAATGGAGATATCGTGATAGCATCATAATAACAGCGTGCGTCCTGAGTATGAGCGTATGGCAGTCACTTTCTATTGGTACATTCCGTGTTAAATACTACCAACTGCGTACAGATTGACGAACCATTTTAATCAGAGGCTATAATTGTTCATTTCAGTTCTTATTGAAGTACTGCCAGCAGAACTGCCGTGCTGCAATTGGTACTGGCATTCTCATGAAGGGCTGGTAAGATTCAAGTCTTTACATACTCGCGCGTCACTTCCACAGCAGAATATTCCACCTCTCCGAATTCCTCACAAGATCGTAACTCGTAAAGTGCGTTCCAAAACCCATGAACCTAGTGATCCGCGTCCCAACTTCTAGACAGAATACCTGCAAAAAGGACAGCTCAATTTCTAAATGCTGCACTGAACCTAGATCCTAAAATTTTAGGAGAAACTCCGGAACGTTCCCACGAGTAAATAAAGTAGGCAAACATACAGGTGAAAGCAAGATAACGCACATAAGTTCTTCTTAAAATAATATCTACAAGTGAGGATGAACCTCAGCATTGGACGCATCAAACCCCCGATGTGCATAGAAACGCGGTCTAAATCAGCGAAGGTGGCTTTAGACAACAATAAAAATCAAACATGCTAGCCATGAAACAGTGTAATATAACAGTTGACAGCAAATGCCTGTTAAGGTTTCAAGGGTCTGAGCCCCGAAAGCGATGATTTAATCAGGCCTACACGCGTGCTTGTCCGCGGCAATGATCAGAAGAAACGGCCTATGACCACCCCAATCCTCCTCATTTGATCGGGGCTTTCGATTCATACCGTCCCAGCTTTCTCGCACGGTAGTCAGCATGAATCCGCTGTGGATGAGAGAATTGAGATACGTTTCCGCCGCACGATGGTACTTCTGCACGCCCGTCACACCCAGCCACGTGGTCTCCCGTAATCCTTCGATCGAGTACGAGTTCAAAGGCCAGAACACGTCACCGCGCTCATCACGCCTGTAGGTACCGTCGAACGCAGGTCCCAACGGAGCCGTCATGATAGGATGCTCCACGGAAAAAACAAGACGGCCGCCAGGACGTAAAGCGCGGAAGATGTTTGAAAACAGCCGGTCCACGGACGGCAGATAGTGGAAAGCAAGGGAGCTGTAGACGAGATCATATTTCTCGGAAGGTAATTCAAGACACTCCAGGTCATTCCGTTCGTAGATCAACGCATTTGAGACAGCCCCCGAGGAAAGTGCGTTGTCGAAACTGCGGGCCTGTCGAAGCATGTTCTGGGATATATCGGTACCCAGCACAGACCTCGCTCCTTCATCTCGTGCCCATCGGCAAAACCATCCCATTCCACATCCTAAATCAAGGACGTCTTTGTCTTTGACGTTTCCCACCAATCGCTTCATGGTCGGCCACTCAGCCGCGCCGCCTAAACCATGAACCGACCGTGGAAGAAGGCTATAGTTTGCAAAGAAGCTCGAATCGTCGTATATGTTCTGCGGCATAGCAAGTTTTTCTTCACGGCGACTAACATGTTAAAATTGACATAAAAATTGTAACGAAGTGGTTTGAGTGTCTCATCAAGACACTTCTTTACACTGCTACTGGCTGACGTCAGGACACATTGTTTCTTCCAAATACGGACACCGTTATACGAACTCACCAGAACGAACCGAGTTCAAACAGTAGGAACGGAAATTACAATTTAAAGATGATCAAATACCACTCACTATATTAGTTTTGCTCCTACGATTGTGAACTGTACATTTGCCACACCATTTGGTCAACAAACGTTGAATTTTTTTAGCTACATTGTGTAAAGTTACATAAGTGGCATATTTGAATTCAAGTATTCTATTTGGAAATCTCGGTGGAAAGTTATGAGTGGGACCAGCCTCCCAGTTTTAAAAGAGACTCCAACCAGATGCTGACCGTAAATATTCTCGCTAACGAGCCATTCCAATGTCCTTTTCAGGGTAGACCTGCTCCAACGGGATCTCATCGGAATGGCCACGCTTCCGCCTTGCTCCTCTGATCAGATCCGGGTCGAATTCAGGAGTTCTGCCAAAATCATTAGACGTGAGCGTTCTAGAATGTATGGAAGGAGATAACTCACCCCGGCACTTCGCCTGCCAGTTGTTCAAGCGTCTTACGCTTGGTCTCTGGAATGAGGAGCGTCGTGAAACAACCCAACAGCATGAACAGTGCGAAGATCTGAAGAACGTGGTTGAGCCATGGAGAAGCAGTTGAACCAGCTGGCGCACCCTTTGTACGCAGGGGACCAATAACTGCCTGGGCAATGATGGCACCAATCTTGCCCGAACCGGCGGAGATACCGTGAGCAGTTGACCTGTAACGTGTGGGGAAACATTCTCCAGGCACAATGAAAGTGGTGGCGTTAGGTCCGAAGTTGAAGAAGAACTGAGCAAGTACGTATAGACCGAGGAGAGCGCCGTCAGAGAGTTTGTGGAAAGCAAAGCCCATGACGCAGAACAGTGCGGTAAGCACTATGAATCCCATCAGCTGGATGGGCTTTCTACCAATTGTGTCAATCGTTGCGACCGTTACCCAATAACCCGGAATGGCACCTGCGCACACGATGATCAAATTGCCGACAGCCGTGTTGTAAAAAATCTCATAGGCAGAATTGCCGCCAGCGTATCCGATCTGCTTGAGGATAACAGCATTGTTCAAACTGAGACCATAAAAGGCAACATCCAAGAAAAACCACGAGCCGGCAGTTCCAATGAGCATTTTGAGATTCTTGAACTTGCCATAATATTGAGCGAACTCTCTGAGCGACGCTTTTGGGATTTCAAGTTGACCAGCGTCGTTTTCTAATGCTTGATATCGTTCGATCTCATTTGGAAACCCTTGCGACGAGCCTTCAAGGTAGGCCTTGACATCGGAACCGGCCTTCACTGTGTCACGGGCAACATCGAAAGTGTAGCGCGGGGTCTCAGGAATAGTTAGGCGGTAGTACAAAGCCATACAGCCCGGAAATGCACCAAACCCGATGACCACTCTCCACATTTTGTCGACGGCCAGCTGGCAAACGCCTTCGCATGTCCCATATCCGGACGCGGACTCCAGAGACTTCTTGAAGCCGACGGTCACGATCAATGAAACGATTCCAGCGCCAAATTGACCGATACCCTGCATAGCGAAAACGGAACCCATCATAGCACCACGCCACTTGGTTGTTGCAAACTCCGAAGTGATGATTGACGACAGGGGATAGTCACCACCGATTCCGATGCCCATGATCACACGCCAGAAAATGATGATACCGACGATAGAAATGGCGCGAGAGTCCGATGAGAGAGCTTGAGCCAGAGTTGCGAAGATGATAACCATCAGTTCAAAACCGTACATCCTTTTACGGCCGATGATATCGGCCAAGATACCAAAGCCTACTTGGCCGATGACAGTGCCGGCCGAAGTTGAGATCTTTATCGCTGTGTCAGCAGTCGAGGGGATGTTTCCCTTCTTAGTCTTGGCATCTTGCCAGTACACGACACCAAGCATGTTCGTCACCAGTCCAATGGCGAATAAGTCGTAGGCGTCCGTGAAGAAGCCAATTCCAGCGACGACAATGGCACGAACATGATACCAGCCGAAAGGTGCTTTGTCGATTTCGGCGAGCGCGAGACGACGTCGCTCATTGGGGTCCTCTATATGAGCTACAAGGAATTAACAACGTGATGAGAGCAGAACAGGGGTATTCGTAGAACGTACCATAGTCGTTGTGGAAGTTGTGAAAGGCAGCATTGCCTCCTGCTGTATAGACAGGCATTGTGTTCCACAAACCGCCTAGGGAATCCGGACACCTTCAGTAATGGAGAAACCGTATCCGAGAGCCTTTTCTGAGCGCACAAAAAAAAAAGAGAGAAGATTCACTCGAGAGCGGGACAATGTAGCATTATTATCTCCAGTGTTACGTGCCACGCGGGATACACTCCACATCGAGCATCTCGAAGCTTGCTAGGGCGATGTCTACGGGCCGTGGGTCAGCCTCGCATGGCTCACTGCTTTTCTCTCTGTATCGGGCGACGGCAATGCGTACCAATGGCGAGACACAGCCATGGGTGCGGATGTGAAGAACCCCCAATGTTTCTTATGATCAGTCGTGGACAATGCTGCGACGGGAAACCTTCCAGAAGAGGCTCTATTCTTTTTTTTGGCCACTCCAGGGGCAACAATCCAATCATCCGATTTTTGACGGATAAGAGGCCGATGGCTTGTGAAAAGCGTGGTTGTTCAGCTAAGAGAGTATCAGGAAGCTTGAGTCCCGTTGCAGCCAATCAGAGGTCGAGACACAGAACGTGCTCGACATGCGGTCTTCCTATGGTAGAGGCCTTCGACAACAAAAAGAAGCCGTATCTCACCGCGGTGGCTTGCACCAAAACGTGCCGTTTGCGCACTCTCAAACAATAATGCTGTGGCCATCTCAAGATTAGTCTCTTGCGGTTCCTGGTTTCCTGTACTATCCTTGCACTGTAACGAGGTTGTAATGCTTGTCTGTGAAGACGCTCGTCAAACCACGTTGCTGATGGAAGTACAAGCTTCCCGACAAGTCGTTTGCATATAACGGAGGCTAATATTTCTACATCCCCGTGGATCACCGTGTACGTACGCACTCCCTCTCAATAATAATGGACTTTATGTCTGGTGGGGATGTTTAGCGAACATCCGCGGGCTGCAGATAGCGGCCGCCATGCAGGACCTGTGACAATACCGGGGCCCACGATAGCGTAACAACTGCCAAATTCATCTTGCGGAGTTGGTGCCGACCAGGAGCTTTCCGTCCTTCTGCAGCCCGGTCCTGTTTGGCGTGGGAGTGTTTCTCAGATGTGATAATTGTGAGGCGATTCTATTATCATCTTACACCATTACCTGTCAACGGAGCCTAAAAAAACCTGGATTTTCACGATGCTAATTCCGCCTGGCTAAGGAAGAATCAGCCTGCGCACTCTGTCGATATATCCCAAAAAGCGCTCGTAAGAAAAGGCGCTGCAACGCATCACAAGGCTGTGGACTTGAGCCCGACCTGTCGATCACCTGTCAAAGTGCATCAACCCCTAGGCGTTAGCAGAGAAATCCCCGTCATACCCGTGCTGTGTGTCAAGCGCGGGATACGTCTAGTAATTGGTTCCACCTCTTAGATCTCAACAATAGCAAGGCGCAATTCTAGGATCGATCCCACATCTCAATGCAATACATTTTGGAATGAAGCGAAATTCTCGCTTGCGCTAGAGATCTGGCCTGGATCGTACAAGACCTAATTCCAGGTGACCTTTGCTCCTTAAGAAAAATCGTGGATTTGAAAGCGATGAATATCAATGTTTGTTTGACCATAGCGGATGAGGAAGATTAGAACTCAGGTATTATCATATCAGCATCCTCCGGAATGTCATTCCGCTCCGCTTGTGACTTTGATTTCGATGTTGTGTCAAGCTCCAGTTTTGAAAATGCTGTCATTTAGGGTATCGACTAAGTACCATCTCAATGTCGATCTCGTTGATCCGGTAATGTAGACTTGCTGGGAGCGTCGATGCTATTCCGCGAATGCAAATCTTCGCCATCTTGCAAGGTAAACAGAACGTGACATATCTTTCTGGCTCTTTATGGATCCCAGGAATAGAACAGTAAATGGTTCTTAAACAGTCTTGCAACGACAGTGCCTCATTTAACGGTTAGCCCTAGTCAGATGCAACCAAATAACAATCCTTTTCACAGCGCAACCTGCACAGATTGCGATGCTAGCAAGTATCAAATGTTGGATCATTTCGTACAGTCGAGACGACCAATCGTTAACATTGCGTTTCTCGTACAGCCGTAGAGGCTCCTGACCAGCTGCTGCTCGTCGTGCTATCGTAGTCTATTATCTTGTGCAGATATTTCAATGGCCTTTCTTAAAGTTGTTCAATTTCAGGTTGTTGTTTCCACAGGACAAGCGTAGCCGGCCAAGCATGGCAATTTTTGCACCTTGCATTTCAGAACTTTCCGAACAGATTTTGAACTGTAAATATGCTTCTCGCGAAAAATCGTTTCCACAGACGGGAGTTGTGTGAAAGTTTATCGATGACAGGCTCGAATGCGCGATGACCACGGTGGAGGAGGCTAAGCTAAGCTAAGGGTCATTGAGCTGGAGCGTGACTTGTTCCCCTTGTCTGTGCTTGCAAATTCCTTTACTCTGGAAACTGTACATAAAGGAGAAGAATCTAAGAGAATCGAAGTCGAGGTTCCAAACCGCAAAGTAAGCGCAAGGAATGCTTGTTCAACTACTCAGGGCTTTCACCATGAGGCTTTGACCGTGATAAAGAACGATGAAGGGGTTTAGGTATCCCAATATGGCGCATGCTTATGGGTTCGAACGCCGACAGACGAGGATCCATCAACTGGTATTATGACGATTCAGAGAACAACCGTCGCATCTTCGCTGGAAATCTGTGGAATCGATTAAAACGTCGCGAGAGCCGCTCCAATTATCTTCTTCTCCATCGTTGGCCTGGCTTGAATGCCGACCACATATGAGCGGAACTGCCTTTTGCATTGTGGCATTCAAATCTCGTCCCAGCCTTCTCTGTCGTCGACAATCACACTCCCCGCCTCGGCCTCTAAAAAGAAATAAGATGAAATAAATTGAGGGAGAAAAAAAAAAAAGAAAAGACCAAAAGTGGGCAGTACCTTTCGCAGGATCGTCAGTGGCTGACTCTATGAATTCACCACAGCAAGAAGCCTAGAACATTGTGAAGGGCGAAGCATCGCAGCCACATGCACGACAGGCGAGAGAGGAGATGCGGTGTTGCGCGAGCCGTCCGCCTGGAGGCTCTAGCGAACGAATCACCGCATCGAGATGTGGGGGCCAAATGCCTTCAGCCTTCTCTGTATAGCAAGTGAAGCGAACTTGGTTGCGGCCTCTGCCGCCTCAGAACACAAAAGGGCTGACTATTCAGCCCAAGAGGCTCGCTTCCACAAGCGCTTTTCACCTAACATTGATTCCTATCCTACCATGCAAACTACAGTTGACAGCCAAAATAAGGCGACATCCTTGAAGCAGCGGGCCGCGAGAAAGATCGGCTTGAGGAAAGAAGAGCTGAAGAAAGTCAAGATAATCGACGCCTATCACCTCGACAGGAAACAGGTTGTCGAGTTCTTGGAGAAGAAGTTCCCCAAGCACAAGAAGGAAATTGGCGAGATGCAAGAGGTAAGAGCGTCGCTAGCCAAACGACGGTAACGCACTTTACGCTGACACGTGTGTCGCAGATCAATGACAAATTTTACGTGATGCTCCCGAGGGGTCTGGAAAAGGTTCGTGAACATGGCACATCTTACGGAGAAGCGCCTTCGTTCTGATGACTTTTGAAGGGCGAAGAAGAAGAAATTGCGAAGCTGCGCAAAAGCACGGGAGGCTTTCAGCCTGATGCGGACGGCAACCTGCCCTTCCCCTTTGAAACCTGACCGTGTAGTCGTGTACAGGTTGTTCAGGCGAAATTCGAACCAGCGTGGTCAAGAGATCACACGACCTTCCGGTGACCGGCCACATCACAGAAGCACGTATCGTAAAACGAGAGGACGATGATCGCGGCATGTGCCGTGGGCTAGAAAGTCTTGTGGTGTGCCCTCGACTGCGCCACCATGCATATACCTTGCGTGGACTCTTGCACGGAGGTAGGCGAGATGGCAATGGGGCTGAGAGCTGAACCGCCACTAGTTGGCAGACGCAGAGTCGGCAGTGTTGCTCTGCCGCTTTCGATAATAAGGCTCGCTGTAGATATGTCATTTTAATCCGATTTCCCTTCCCCATATTCGATCCCTTCTGATCAAAATCTGGAGCGCCTCAATGCCCCAACCGTCTCCAGCCATGGAAAACTCGTATGCAAGCTACGCTGAATACCCCACAAATCTGCTGTGGAAGAACACGTCCAACTTCGTCATCGATTCGCAGCATAGGAAATTCGAAAGACTCGATGCAGCACCATATCATGTCCTTTCGAAAGATGAGGTTCGCCTGTTTTATATGGACATCTCAAATGGCCTATTAGCAAAGGACGGCATCACAACCGACCGAAAGCTGACCGAATGGCTTGGAATCGACCCATCTTTCTCATCAGGCAGTACTAGTTCCAGCGTTGCGAGCACCATCCGCAGCTCTGGCAGCGACAGTGAGAAACTCCAGCACTTTCTTAAACCGGATCCACAGTGCCGAGTGGTGTGAGTCTTTGCGTTTGAATCGAGGAGTGAAAGCTCGACGCTAACGATGGTCAGATTCCTTGGATGCAATGGAAACTCGAGGGACACACTCAAGATCACCAAAGCGATGCTCGCAAAGATTCTGACATTCCATCAGGTAACACCCCGGTACCTCGAGTTTCTCGATGCATTTGGTTTCCAAATCCAACAAAAGAACTTGCACTTTACCGGATTCTGTGAATACATATCCGTGGGTGGGCCCACGTCGCCCGTTGCCGATGCTAGTCTTGGGCGCTCCGGGAAGTTCTTCCAACTATGCTACAATCTGAAATCTACAGGAGTGGACACGGTACGGCCCCAGGAAACAGACGACCTGAAGTCCAAGGCGAGATCATTTCGCCAGGTGGCCGTACATCACCAGTTCGACCTCGAAAACGGGAATTCGTTTTGGATACTCACGCACGGGCACTGGGATGTCATGAAGGAAGCCGCTGATCTTCTTGGAAGCAAAGGGAAGGCGGAAGATAAGGACTTTCGATCCGTCGAAGCCAGTCTGAAGTCAAGTCTCGCCATGCACCTCATGCTCTGTCGATGGGCAAGCGAGACCTGGAGAGACTGCCTTCTGGAGCTTGAGGAGGACGTGGACCTAGCGGTAGGTCGAGCAGCCGCGATGCTTGACTCGTGTCGACTGACAGCTGCCCAGACTGAAGACACAGCGCACGCGCCGTTCAAGTTGCTCGCGCCGAACGACCTCATCAAGATTCAGGAGCTGGGAGAAAAGACCAAGGATGCGGTCTCGCAGCTCAAAGATAACGCAGGCCGACTGCAAGACCTGGCCGACTTTTACCAGCGCCTGTTGAAGGATGACCGCTTCGCCAGCCGGGACTCGTGCAAAAGCGCCATTGACGAATTCGTAGGCGATCTCAAGTACATGATCGAGGACACCCAGCTGCGCACCACGAGGGCGGAGCTGCTCTATCAAACAACGTCGGACCGCAAGGAACTGGTAAGACCGTGTGTCCTCAGGCAGAGTCGACTCTAATGCTCTGCAAAAAAAAGGCGAACCAGCGTCTTCAGATCCAATCGACCACGAGGATGGAGCGCATGAGCGTCGGAATGTACAGGGAGACTATCGCGATGAGAGTTCTGGCAGTCGTCAGCGTGATCTACCTGCCAGGCTCCTTCGTCTCCGTAAGTGTTTTCTCCTTGGCCTCTCAGTACTCTTCTGCGCCAGCTGATTGCGGTGGACTTGTAGGGCTTCTTCAGTACGGACGTTGTCAAATACCAACAGGGAGGCGGGGCTCAAAGCTCCTCTTCAGCCCAATCGGCGCCTCAAAATTCGTCAACTCCAAGCAAGGCATACATGGGAAGTTTTTCTGACCTCGCTCTAAAACGTTGGCTCGAAGTGACTCTGCCCCTGACGGCTGTGACAGTTGCTATTGCTCTGGGAATTTTCGTTTATTCAAGGCGTAGATGGGACATGAAAAGGAAGGATGTGAAGTACAGCCTGGCATAAATTTAATTTGTACAATAGCGATACCCCCTTCACCCTGTTGTGGTTTAGTTGCTTTTGTTTCATTTTGACACACAACTGTGTAGCTCAGCACACACCTAGTTTTTTGATATTCATGTTTATGCAGCTAATCGAATCGACCCCTTGCACTGGCTTTCTTGGCCGGGGTTTGCCGCCGTCTTCGCAGAGTCTAGACGCAAGTTCGCTTAATCCCGCCCACCCAGAATAGTTTCTCAGCCTCAAATGGAACACGGCCCTCTCCCTCAGTTGTTCGCCATATCTGAAATGTGTCCCTCACCCTGGCGCTTTTATTCCCATCCCCTCATGTGGGCTCCTGTTTCTCTAAACCTCTCCTTGATCCTCGGATGCTTTTCTCAACGCGCGATTAATTGTCGTTGTAATCGACACACCTCTATGTTTGGATCCGCGTTGCCATTGACGGCGTCAGGCTAGACCCGCAATGATGGCTAGTCCAGGTCGATCACCGACGTCTGCGTTCTCCGAGACTCCGTATCTTGACCCAAGCTTTGAGAAGCAACTCGAAGCGCACACTCTTCGAACGTACGGGGATGGAGAGGAATACGTGCGAATATATTCTTTGACAAAATGGCTGCGCACTACGGCTCCCGAGACCGGGCTAACTCCACTCTTCCGAATCCTGCAGAACGTGTACAGAGGGCGAGGCATCAATTACGACACGGTGATCAAACCGGATAAGGAGTGGAAGCGCGTCGATATCGTCTTTTGTATCCTACTGAAGATTGGGCAACCGCAATTCGTGACCAAGTTCCAGCACGCTGGTATCGTAGATAGGGAGCTCCCAATGTCACGTGCTGACATGGTCGACAAGCTGTACAAGCAAAAAGTTGCCGACATCAAGAAGATGTCCGACAATGACATCAATATTCTGGCTGCGGAATTTTACAAGTTGCAATGGATGTTCAAACCCCACGTTTTTTGCATCGACGACCCCAATCTGGATTATAAAGCGGTCCTACCAATCCGGAGCAAGCAAGCGCTGGGTCGCGAGACGAATGGTCGGGCAAAAGAGAAGAAAGGTGGGACCGCACACGTGTACCGTATCACAGTTTTAGAGGAATTCGTGGATAAGGAGATTAGAGATAGCCTGCACGAGAGCTGCTACTATGATGACACGTCAGATGAAGAGCTCGGCCCGGTCAAAGTAAGTCCGCAACACTGTGCTGTCTCAGGACCTACTTACGGACGGTCTCCAGGTGTGCCAACTTGTCGTCAAGGAATACACCAACGACTCAGACAATGCAGAAGCTCTCAGGGCATGGAACAACGAAAAGGCCATCTTCGAGCGCTTCAAGGGCAGCAAAGTCAAAGGCGTGGTGAACTATTTCGGCAGCTTTACCAAGTGGATTAGGCCGGAGTCAGACACGGGCGACGAGAGCCCAGGTCTTGAGAAGAGTGCTCGTAGAAACCCTGCAAAGGCTAAGCTGTTCATCCTGCTCGAGTTGGCAGAATACGACATGAGCGACTTTCTCAAGAACAAGTCTCGGCTTACGTTACCTGCACAGATCAAGTCGTTCTGGATAAACCTTTTTCGGCTCGCCGACGCACTGGCAGAATTGCACCAGTACTCGGTGAAGTTCGAAGGCATCACCATCAATAACCGTGCCCTGCATGCTGATATCAAGCCCTCAAACATTGTCAGCGTGCAAGGACGGTGGAAGTTGGCGGACATGGGCTACGCGCGCATGATGGGCACGAATGAGACGATCCAAATATACGGCTACACCCATAATTGGGGAGCCCCTGAAGTTCACCCAGGCCGTGATTCCCGAAAGCCAGTCAGTACCGCCATCGACATGTGGTCTCTTGGGTGTATTCTCTCTGTCGCCGCTACTTGGCTGGTTCTTGGCGCCGACGAAGTCAAGGTTTATGATCAGGTGCGCGTCAACTCTACGATGCTGCGCAAAGCCAAGCTTCCTGAGAAGCAAAGTCCTGGTAACTACTTCCATGACGGCAGCGACCCACTCCCAGAGATTTCGCAGTGGCACAATTTGTTAAAGGCCTGTTTGTGCATCGGCGATTTTATGACAGCGGACGTAATTGATCTGGTCGAGAAGGAGCTGCTCGTTGCTGATCCCGAGAAGAGGGCAACTGCACATAAGTTTTCCAGACTGTGCCAGGATCTGGAGAGGAAGTGGGCAAGCCGTGCTCGAGAGCATCTTTCCATTGACCCTGTGATACTAGCAGCTTTCAAGGATTACAACGAGCGTAAAACTGAATACGGCATGCTCGATGGCATAAGCGAGCCATTCAATGATGAAAGGCATACTTCGCCAGAGGCGAAGAAGATGGCGGCCCTAGGTAAAGAAAAGGCCATCCATATTAAGAAGGACGAGGCGAACAAATTTTTCGAGAATGCAATCCAGGCGGCGAGCCTGGAAGCCGAGGTGAATAAAGTCATTGAATGCATCGAGGAGTCAAAGCAAGCAGACGAGGTAGCGCTTCAAGACCGTAAGCCCAGTAAGCTGAGGCTTGACACCGCGGTGGCGACAGATCTTCATCTTGGCGCGACCCAAAGCTACCGAGCCGTGAGTCCGGCCTCTTATCGTCTCTTGCGATCCGAGAAGAGACGTCCCTTGCAACCAGAGAACGTCTTCCAAGCACGGGCCGCTCATAGAAGGCAAAAAGACAAGATGTGGAACGGCAAGCCTGAATTCGCTTCTAGAGAGGAGAAGCTGAAGCAGAAATACAAAAACCGAGACATTGTAAGTGTCCCTCGTTGTTCTTGCTGCTTCTGCTACTGCTTTCGTCGTTGTTCTTCGAGAAAAATATCATCGTCATCGTTGTTGTCCTTCTCGTTTTTGTTGCTCATGGAAGCCATATAGATCTTCTTGCTTGACAACTCCGAGTCCATGTCCGAGTACTGGGCCGAGGCTCGCGATCTTCTCAAGGTTCTTCTCAGGAAGTGCCATAAATACGACGACGACGGCGTTGAGGTCTTGTTCACCGGGAACGCGGAGGTCAGGCTCTGTGGCAAAAAAGTGGACCATTTGATCCACAGCATCGACAGCGGTCGCTACGACCCACGCAATTACTCCGTTAACATAGCGACCAGACTGGATCAGATTTTCCGCGAATATGAGGATCCGAAGCGAAGGGCGACGAAGAAATGGCGACCGTCGTCAGGTGCTTTGACAAAAAAGTCCGACCACAGTCCGAAGCCAGCAACGCTGATCTTCTTCACAGACGGCATGTGGAGAGGCTGCGACAAAGTCGACGTTAGCAACACGATTAAAGAGTTTCTGCAGAGGATTCAGCCTGATCTTAAGACTACCGACACGCGCCCCTTCACTATAGAATTTGTCCATTTTGGCGAGGAGGCCGAGGCCGCATTGTATTTGGACTACTTGGACGACCGTCTGTGCAACGAGGATGACGGGATGCTGTAAGTTTAGACAACGCCCCAAAATCTCTGCAGACGGAGAGCTAAGTTTTTCTTTCTTCAAACCAGAGACGTCATCGACACAGAACCCGCGCGAGAAGACGTTTATAAGATGCTGCTCGGCAGCCTGGATCCAAGGTATGACAGGCTAGACCAAGGCATCGCAGACGATGAAAGTGAGCAAGGAGAAAGCCTTAAGGGGGGCGGCGCTGTCTTCATTAATTCGACTGCTTCTCCACTTCCAACTAAGGTACCAGCAGGTAGCAAAAGGAAGCGAGGTTTGTTTAGCCGATGCCGCGCTGCCATGGCCATTTTATTTGACGGGGACACATCCCAGGAGAGTGTATCCAACGCCAACAAGCCCAATGAGCAGATGGAGAGAACATCCACGTCCCAGACTCACGAGCAAGTCTCTGTAGCATATCTGCAGGCTGGAGCAGGTTCCAAAAGCAGCGATGACGCTGTGCAACTGGCACAATCTAACATAGAGCAACCGGCAATTAAAGTGAATGGCACCGATCCGAGGGCCACCGAAAGGCCACCAGGAAGCAGCGCAGAGCCCTAGCGACAAACCGGGCGGAATCTTGTCCAGGAAGGTTGAATCTGCACACCCAGCAGCTTCGATATACAAATCTGTAGAGAGCGCACGACACATGGAGAGATGTGCCAGTCGGCACTCGTTAACCGGCAGCTGCTCTGCACATAGTTGGCACCCCTCTCTTCCCATAAGAAGCGGTTTGGAATTGGCCAAAGACTAGTCAGAATGCTCTCTGCAACGCGAACGTCTACGTGATTGCCGCTGGCACTGAGCAGCTCAACCTTATCTCTTACCTTTTTTTTTTTCCCGTTCCGCGCTCTTGACAGCCACGCTAGCCTCGCCTTGGGTGACTGACGGTAGAAATATTTAGAGAAGGACTCGGCAGGCCAATCAACAAAGCAAGCATGCAAACAAGCTGTAGCGTCGTCCTCTTCACAGCTTTACCTTGCCAGAGCTCACCAGATGCGAACCGCACGTTGCCTTCAAGCCTTTCGCAGACCCCAACCTTTTCCGCTGGTTTTTTGGTTCCGCACTGCCAAGCTCGATAGCGTGCGTCCAAAGGTTTGATCAACGAAGGTTTGGTGTTGGGAAGAAGGCACCAAGGCGAAATCCCCCCCAGCGTCTCCAACCGTCCGTGACCCTATCTTTGCACATTCCGCGATGGAGAAGCACCGAAAGGCCAGCCTCGAAGTGCCGTTCCTTCGGCTAAGGGGCGACTGGGGCGTCTCAAGCAAATGAGAGCGTGCAGTGTTGCAGGCAACCCCTCATCGACGATCCAATTAGGCTCCCCCACACGCTACAGCCTTGCCTGCCCCACGGGGTCAAAAAGGCCTATCCGGAACGGTTCCGCGACTATCGAATACAACAGTTTGTGCGACGATCTATGGGTTTGACCGAACTGGTAATCGAACTGCCTCTGATCTCTCTCTATATATATATACAGGGGAGGGGGGAAGGGGAGCCCTGTTGTCGCTTGTCTGGAACCTCTTGCTTGAACTTTTCCTCCCCAAACTTTCGAGAGGATTCTTCTCTCATCTTCGACTCCTTTCATTTGAGTCGTACGTGTGTTGCACCGCCGTCCTTTGTCGGGCACAAACATCTCGGTTCTCCATGTCCAACCCAATGGAGAAGGACACATCCGTCCAGATGAACGAGAAGGTGTCGGTGGACGAGAGTTTGGCTGCGGCGGGCGAACACCTGCTCATTGATCCTGTGGCAGAGAAAAAGCTGCTGTGGAAGTGCGATCTCCATGTCGTGCCTGTCCTCTTCGTACTCTTCCTTCTGGCCTTCCTTGACCGCACGAACATCGGCAACGCCCGCATCCAGGGCCTCGAGAAAGACCTCAACATGGACCCCAAGGGCAACAAGTACAACGTGGCCCTCCAGGTCTTCTTCGCGCCGTACATCCTGTTCGAGGTCCCGTCCAACTTGATCATCAAGCGTGTCGCGCCCTCCACGTGGCTGAGCGCCATCATGGTGCTATGGGGCATCGCCACGATGGGTCAAGGCCTTGTCAACACGTACGAAGGACTGGTGGCCATGCGCGTGCTCATTGGTTTCTTCGAGGCCGGTCTCTTCCCAGGTATGTCGCTTCATCGCGAGGACATCATCGCAAAAGAAGCAATGGACTAACCTTGGTTCCGTCTTGTGTTTTCGTGCTCAACAGGCTGCATTTATCTGATCAGCATGTAAGAGATTCTCCAATGTCTTTGTTGGGCAAGTCAACGAACGCATGCTGAACCAATGTCGCAAACCAGGTATTACAAACGCTACGAGCTCCAGTGGCGTGTCAACGTCTTTTTCAGTGCGTCAATCCTGGCGGGCGCTTTTGGCGGCCTGCTTGCATATGCGATCGCCAACATGGACGGCACCGGCGGTTACGGCGCGTGGCGTTGGATCTTCATCATCGAAGGGTTAGTCACCGTCGTCGCGGGCGTGGCGGCCAAGTTCCTCGTCGTTGACTGGCCGGAAAAGGCGAGTTTCCTAACAGACGAGGAGCGCCGGCTGCTCGTAGCGCGCCTAGCGAGTGACGCTGGGGAGGCAGTCATGAACCGGTTGGACAAACGGGCCGCTCGGCGCATCTTCAGCGACTGGAAAATCTACGTTGGCATCGTCATGTACTTTGGCGTGGTGCAGAGCGGGTACGGCACGAGCTTCTTCATTCCCACCATCCTCAACGAGATGGGCTACTCGGCGAAACGCGCGCAGGTGCTCAGCATACCAATCTTCCTGGTGGCGACGGCGGGAGCGCTGACGACGGCATTCTGCACGGACAAGCTGAAGCGGCGCTATCCGTTCACCATCCTGGGCGTGCTTGTCTGCACGGTCGGCTATGGAATATTGCTGGGCCAAAAGGGCCTGACAGTGGGTGTCAAGTACTTCGCCACGTTCCTCATTGTGCTGGGCACGTACATCACGCAGCCCGTATGCATCGCGTGGATCTCCAACTGCATGTCCGGACACTACAAGCGCTCAGTTGCGTCGGCGATGCAGATCGGTTTCGGCAACGCGGGCGGAATCGTCGCCAGCAACATCTACAAGGGCACGGAGCGGCCCTACTACCACACCGGCTACGGCACCGCGCTGGGCCTCCTGTGGGTCACTGCGTTGAGTTGCACAGTGCTGCTGGTGGGCGTGGCGCGTGAGAACAAGAAGCGAAACCGTGGCGAGCGCGACTACAGGCTCGAAGAGGAGGACGCAGACAATCTTGGAGACGACCACCCCCAGTACAGATTCACATACTGATCGCAGTCTGCTCTTGGTTGGGATGAGAGGCAGTTCGATAAATTTGCTCCGTCGCTCGGGGGAAAGGACCTCGATGGTCTACGACTGGGTGTTCGTGACGAATACGCACATCGCTAGAACGGAGTCTAGCTGTGCTTTGACGACGGTTTCTTTTGAGTGTGTGCGAGTGCGTAACGGTAGTTTCAAATATGTGCTTAGCAAGAACGAAGAATATGACTTGAGTCTCCTTTTTTTTTTTTTTTTTCCTTTGGCCAACACTCCCCGATTCTACACTCCAGGAGAGAATTTCAAAAAGGCCGCTTTGAAACCAGACTATGTTTCTTCAGTCGCTGCTTCCTGCTGCGCGTGGAAGAAGAATCATGCCTGACAGAAGGGTTTGATGTTTCACCAGTGTGTGCACTTCTACGCCAGCAAGCTTCCTTGCTCCTCGCATCTCCGCCAAGCAGTCAGCGCGATGAGAAAGAACATAGCGTCCTGATCGCCAGGGACTGCCATCAACTTAGAAGACGGAGGTTTAAAAGCGGGCCGACTTCTTTTCGGGGGCTCAAAACGCAGGCACCCGACGCCGGGCAGAGTGTTTCAAGCACGATCGAGAGTCGAGAAGTCAACCAAAGAAAGGTCCGAGCACGTCCGCATGCTTGGCGCATCGTTAGCTCGCCCGGCGTGTGAGTTCAGAATCTCGACGACTTGGAATCATGACAGCGCGGGAAGAGGAAAACGAAAAAGGTGGTCCTGCTCAGGGAACAAGAAAATTCTGCCCGTGTGCGATGTCCAGCCCAGGCCGACCAAGGCGAAACTCCCAAGGGCGGGTGCCCCGCATATTCCAGCGCAGCGCCAAAGGAGGAAGGGAAAGGTGGAAGAAGAGCAAAGACACGGGGTGCTGTGCAACGTGACTAGGGTTCCCGTCTGTTACTCGACAGCACGAGGTGGATTGGGTCAGCAAAGCAGGCAAAGGCAGCCTCGTCAAAGAACGTAGCCGCTTCTGGTGCATCGTTGCGACCGGCGCCTTCTCACCGCTGCCTCGGCGCGGTCGGACGAATGCTCGCGACTCGACGCGGCGTGCATGGTTAGTTGAAACAGAGGGAGTCGCAGAGAGCGGCGCAGCGTCGGGTCGGGCCTGGGGGCGGACGGCAGCGGGGAGGGGTTTGAGCAAAAAGCTCGCCGGCCAACACGCAGGAGCACAGACGGAGGAGGAGAAGGATGAGCAAAGGACGACGTTGGCAAGGTTGATGCCGATGTTGGGTTCACGATGTCGAGCCGGCACCGGCGATGACGAGGGAAGGTGGTGGTGACGTTCGGGAAGGAGCTTTTGTCTGCGCCATTGTGTGCATTGAGAAAACGGCGAGCAGGGATTCGTCTGGAGAAGCGAAAGCTTCTGGAAGGAAAGAAGCAAATGTCGGCGGCATCGACAGGGGGGGCGGGGTTGGAGAGGCGGAAATGCTGAGTTTACGTCGGGGCACGGCGAGGGCAAGTAAATGAGCAGAATTTATTGTGCAGAGACTTTGTCAAGAAAGTTGACCGACACGCACACAATACATGCATATGTTCGAGGATACACGCGACATACCGTGAATATACGCCCAAATATACATATGGATATATTTATATATATATATATATATATATACAAAACAATAGAGTAGAGCGAGCGAAAGGGATCGGTAGACCTGAAGGAGCCAAGCACACACCGTCACACCGCGATGATGCAAAGCCCAGCTATCGATACAAACGTTCGGTTCGGGGTTTTCAAATGTTCGCCTCGTCTACGCGGAGCAGGAGTGTCGTGCTTCTGGTCGCCGTCCTTGTCATCGTCGTCCTCTGCTCCCTTTCCCCGTCTTTGTTCTTTCTTCCCCTCTTTCAGCTCACGGGTTCTTGGCCTGTCGAAGTCGCAGGCAGCATTTCTCCTGTCCCCGGCGCAAGGAGGGAAAGAACATGGCTCGGCGCTGACAGGGAGAAAGGAGCCTGTTTGACGGCGCTCTTTACCACCGCTAAGCGTGCGTGTGCGACAGGGCGGCTTGGTGCGGCGATGAATCAACCATCGTGGCCCTGATCCCCCTGGAAAGGTACCACGCGGCTGGGAATCTGAAGCAGATGAACGACTGTTGCAGGATGCGGGACGAGGGTGGGCTTCTGGGCAATAGAAGAGGGATGGGAGCGTGTGTGTGCAAACGGGGGACTCATGGCCTGGAAGCCCGCTCGACCGCAGGAAGGGCGGCACCCTAAAAGGGCAGTGGCGTTTTGCGCTGGAAGCAGACCCGGCGGAGCCTTCCTGCTGCGAAACGAAAACTGCAACAGCAGGAGCAGCAGCAGCAGCAGCAGCAGCAGCAGTCCCACCGGCAGTATCGCTACTGCAACCTGTCCGTGATTCTTATACTGCTCCAGCTACTGCTGCGACAACGAGGATGATAATGGCTACCCGCACTACGACAACGTCAACAGAACGGCTGGGGGTGAGAAGTGGCCGCCAGGCAGGCGTGTTTTTCCCCAGGATGGGTCCTGCATGTGCACGAGTAAGGCTAGCGGGGCACGACATGCATGTGCAGGCGGAACTGCCACTGCTGCTGGTGCTGCACTGCACCGTACTGTTCTGTACCAGTTTCCCTTAACAGGTTGGGGGTTGAAGGGGGCCGTACGTTTCTGTGTGGACGATTGGCCGGGTGGATGCGAGGGTGTGGGTGTGTGGGCCACGCTTCTGCATGCGGGACAATGCGCGTGCCTGACTACCGAAGGGGCGAACTAAGGGGGGTGCGATCGCCGGTGTCGAGCGAGACGAAAAGCAAGTGGACAGCGCTGGCACAGGAGGGAAAAGAGAGCGTGCGCGTGAGGATAAGATCGAGAGAGAGAGAGAGAGAAAGAGACGGCCATGAGCACGGGGCCGCGCGCGCGTACTGTAGACGAGCGTGGTGGCGCCTTTTCCAGCGCGGCCAGCTGGCGAACAGGAATCAGCAATCCGGACGCGCATCATCGACGGGCGTTCAAGCCCAGCGGCTGCGTTACGACGTGCGACCGAAGAGTCAGGCCGATTCGCCGCCGGGCTGTCACGTGACTCGAGCACATGTCCTGGAGCCGCAGCAGCTGTGCACGGCCGACGTCTGCACCGTGCTGAAGCCTCGAGGGCGTCCATGAGCGCGCAGAGCAGAGCAAGCGGCGATGCTCGCGGGCCGTGGTCGAGGGCAGGGCGACGCTGGCTGGCGGTGCGCGGCGGCGACACGCCCCTCGCTCGTGAGCCAGCGCGTCCGCCAGCGTGTGGCTTTTCCGTCGCTTTGGCCCCCGGTCGTGCCCCTTCAACGCGCATCGGGAACGCCAAGGCCAGACGCCAAACGCCCGACGAACCTCAGTTTTCCGCAGGCAGAGCAGAAGGTTCGCCTTTGGCGACGGCTTGGTGCCACCACGCCCGAACGTCGCTGTGCTTCTACACTCCCATTCCATGATCGTTGCGTGCCCTCGCCCTTACACCCGCTCGACTCTCCTCCGCTCGCTGCACACCGCGCATGCCGCCATACCGTCCACCGCCCTGAATACACGCTCGCTCGCACATCCGTACCATCTCTCCATCCGCACATGCACTCGCGCTAACGCCAAACACCACTACCACCGCCAACACTCGTAATAAAACAACCTCCGTCACGCTATCGTCGGCTTCCACTACTGCGGCCGCTAGTCCCGCTACTGCTGCTATCTCTTCCTCGACGCCCCCCGTAGCAAAAGAGCCATCTACAAGAGCCCGCTAACGTATGCTCGTTCTCTCATAATCACAGCGTCGACAAGTCTCATATCACCGCCAATTGCTTTCGCCCCTCCCCCCCCCCAATCATCATCCAACAAATTGTGTTGTGCCCTGGCACGGCACCAATCCTGAGTCCTCGCTCCCGGCCGCAGTGCGACAGCTCGTCTCCTCGAACCTGCATCGTGCCAACGCGGACGTTGCCCGACCTGTCCTTTGTGCCCACCCACCGATCCTCCGGCCCGTCACGACTGCTCACCTTTCTGCTTTCTTCACGTCCGCTCCGCGAGCGGCGTTCCACACACGTGCAAATCACGTACCTGCATCCCACCGTCGCGCATCTGTGCTTTTGCTCCGCGCCTTCCAAGTCTCGGCGAACTCCAGAACCGTCCCACAAGAGAGGGGAGAGCCTAAGCAGAAACTATCCGCGGGAAAGGATTGTTGGCTCCAATCACGTTTTCCCTTCCCTCATACAGCTCCAACGAGTCAGTCGTCTTCACCAACCCGCAGCGCCTGTTCCCGTTCGGGCCATTGCCGCCTTCCACATCACGCGTCTGCGGCCGTGTTGCCTCCCCTTCGAATGCAGTCAGTGCTGGACTAGCATCCCGCCGCGAGCTCACCTCTGGCAGAGCCGGCTGGATCTCTTAAGAAGATCGCAATGGAATTCGCCGACGATGAGCTAATGTTCTCCCGCTTCAGCGTCGTCGACTCGATGCTCTCCTCGCTCTCCAACAGCCAGCACGACCTGCACACCCACGACATCTACTCGGCCCAGCCAGGTTTGGCCGCTGCCACGCACAGGCAAGCCCCCGCCGCCAGCAACACCGGCAGACGAAGGGGGCACACTCAATCCTCGTCCATGAGCGACTACGACGCCAGCGCCCACGTCGATGACGTTGCTCGCAGCTACTCCGAATACCACGCGAGAGGCCGCCACGGCTCCAAGAACCACACGAGGCCGCTGACTGGCATCAAGACCGCCTCCAATGCCAACGGCACAGATCCCTTCAAGCACACACGCGGCGGCGTCACGCGAGGAAGTAGGGGCAGCGGCTCGTCGAGCGTCGATCTGGGCTACAAGAGCTCGGTTATGACCTCGCGCGCCATACCTCACCGCGCCGCCAGCTTCGATCATGGCTATTCGCCCCAGAAGAACTTCTCACACGCACCCGGCAAGGACTCTCCCGTGCCCTTGGACTACACGGCCTTCGACGCTGCACCCACACCCACGGTTCCCGCGGGGCCGAGACGGCCATCTGAGCCTGTGTCGCCCCTAGTGGGACCAATGTCGCCCAATCCGGCCAAGCAGAGGTCGGCTCCGTCGCGTAGGAACAGCATCAAATCCACGGCAGGCAAAAGCCTGAAAAAGTCAAAGAGCAGCGCGCCCGTCAGCAGCGACATTCGCGACCAGGCCAAGCAGTTTGTGCAGTACACGTCCAATGCACGAAACACGGCACATCCAATGCCGGTGCCGCTTCCACCGCATCAGCAGCAGCAGCAGGCGAGCGGTGCAGCCCCGAGCCCGACAGTGGCCACGATACGGAAGACGCAACCAGCTGCCCCGGCCCCTCCACCCAAGGAGCAGAAGCCCGGCTTTTTCAGACGAGTCTTTGGATCGTCCAAGCACGAGAAACAGCCGACACATCACGATGAGGTGCATCGGCCGCCATCTCCGGCCGCCGTGCGTAAGGCGTCGTTGGATGCAAATAATACCCGACCGCGTACCCAACCTAGCCAGCAGAATCCGAACATGCAGTTCAAGACGACGTCGTCCGCGGCCGCGGCATCTGCGATGTCGTCGCGACCCCCCACCCAGGATGCCTCTGGGTCATCTGGCTACGCACGAGATCAGGCCCCGCCCCTACCACTGCGGAAGGCGCACTCATCCTTCTTTAGACGCAGGAAGAAGTCCATATCTGATAATGCCCCGCCGCCTCCCGTGCCGCCCCTAGATTTGCCGCTACACAAGAGCGTGGCCGCGCTCAACATCGCACCGACGCAGAATAGCCCGGGCGCGTCCAGCCTTCGGGCCGCCATGACCCCGTACCTGGACCAGACTGCCAGCCCCCAAGACATGTTCTTCGACAGTCGCGAGCAGCAGTCCGAAAGTCCCGCAGCCACGTACGCCGGTTTCTCGGCCTCCATTCCTGACGGCCTGCGGCGGACCAGTTCTCGCCAGGGTACGCACACGAGCCTTGTCAGGGCCGTGACTGCCGACAAGCCGTCCTCGCGGACGGTCCAACCAAATGTTACGGGTAACTTCGAAAACGGCTCGTTTCTGGTGGACACTAGCAGCAATGAGGCCATGGACAGCTCGTCGCCTATCGACCCTGCAGACGATCTTGGCATCATCACCACCAAGCGCAGCAACTCAAATAGCCAGGTTACGTCCGATCCTTTTTGGAACCAGAACAAGGGCAAGACAGGCGGCTCCGGCGTGGGGGGTCCCACAACTCGAAAAGCAAACATCGGCGAGAAGCGGGCAGAGCTCAGCCCCATTTCCGATCGCTCTCAACAGCAGCACGAGCATGTGGACCGGGCGCATTTCCTGCGCGACAACGCTGCCGACGCGGACGCGGACGACGGCGATGATGATGATGATGACGAGGGCATCGTCATCTCCGTCAAGCGGCGGGAGAGTGTCCAGAAGAATGCAAACAAGACGCGCATGTGGCTCGATGCCTCGTCTTCGGACGAGAAGCTGGTGGACTCATTACGCCTACAGCTTCCACTCGAAGGCCCCAAGGCTACGGAGCACCGTCGCCCCTCGCTGTCCAACGAGCAGGGTTCGCCGTCGAGTGAGGGCGAGGTCTACATGTCAGCATCGAGCCTGCCTGCGCTACAGGTTGGCGACCGTGAGATGCGTATGTCGAGGGAGTACATCGACGTCGAGACGGCTAAAGCCATCATGGCCGACGATCTGCTTCAAATCACCCAATCGGACCGCGATCGTGCACGTGCCGTGTTCGACGGCGACGAAGAATTCGTATCGAAGGCTGGCGCAGCGGCGTGGCTGGGCCAGACGACGCCCCTGAGCACCAGGACGAGAAAGGCCTACATGGAGCTGTTCGATTGGCAGGGCATGAACATCCTGGCCGCGTTCCGGGAACTGTGCGGACGCCTCGTCGTCAAAGCCGAGTCTCAGCAGCTTGACCGCGTTATCGAGGCGTTCTCATCGCGCTGGTGCGAGTGCAACCCCAACCATGGCTTCAAGGATCCGGACGTGGTCCACACCATTACTTTCTCGATCCTGATGCTCAATACGGACCTCCACATTGCCGATATCGACCAGCGCATGACACGCAGTCAGTTTGTAAAGAACACGCTGCCCACCATCCGCAGCATCGCTGACGCCGCCGCCCCCGGCGCCACCGACACCGTCAGGGCCAAGGGAAAGAACGCTAGGGACCAGATGCTGTTGGACCGTTCGGACGCCCCAGAACCGGAGTCTTCCGCACAGCTGCAGCCGCCGCCGCCAAAGCGACGGCCCTCGCTCGACCTCAAGCGCAACCGGTTATCCATCAGACCGCCGGCGCGTAGCGACTCGTATGACGAGTCTGGTTCGTCTGACGGCTGCAACATCCTCGTCAAAGCGCCCTGCGCCGGCTCCATGAAGGATTGGGAGACGCAAATCGAGATTGTTCTGCGAGAGTTCTACAACTCGATACGCCAACAACGTCTACCCCTTCATGGACACGGTGCGTCGCCAGCCAACCTCAGCGCGTCAGAGAACTCACAGCAGACGGGACTGACCGTATCCGGCAACGGGCTTCGTCGCACGCCCAGTGTGCTGTCCAAGGCTCCTTCCGAGAACGCATCTTATCGCGGCCGGTCGGGCGAACACAGCCGCTTCAACACAGCCCGCTTTGCGTCCAAGAATCGGTCGCGGCCACGCGTGTACCCGAACTCGACCGTCGGTTCCAGCAGAACCAGCCTGGACGACAACTCGGTGTGGTCGCCTGCCGCGAGCACGTGGAGCAAGTACTCGCTCAGCAAGACACAGACCTCGACTATGTCGGTCGAGTCGTTCGGCTCACACTTTGCCCAGCCCGACTACCAAAAGGCTATTGGCTTCGCCAACGCTCTCAGCCAAGCCATCATCCGCGAGGAAGGCATGAACGGCCCGCCCATTCCCGACGATCTCAGCGGCCGCGTCGTGCCTCTGCTCGATGACGACACGCTCGAACTGATTGGTCCGCCGTGGGCCAAGGAGGGCATTGTTAAGCACAAGCACCACCTCGAATCGCTCGACAAAAAGGCCAAGGACCGCAACTGGGTCGAGTGCTTCGCCGTCATTGAGAAGGGCTGGATCAAGCTCTTCTCGTTCACTAGCAGGAACAAGAACACCCGTCAGCGCGCCAAATCCCGCAGCGCCGGAGCCGGAGGCCCCGCGCTGGTCGGTGGCGGCAACTGGACCGAGAACGCAGAGTTGCTCAGTGAATTCCTACTGCGTCAGACGATCGCAAGCGCACTGCCCTTCCCGGGCTACTCCAAGAATCGACCACATGTGTTCGCTCTTAGCCTTCCAACGGGCGCCGTGCACCTGTTCCAGGTCGGCACAGCCGAGATCGTTAAGGAATTCGTGACGACGGCCAACTACTGGTCCGCGCGGCTCAGCAAGCCGCCCCTCGTTGGCGGCGTCAGCAACATCGAATATGGCTGGGGCGATAGCGTGTTGAATCCGGCGTTGATGCTGCAACGACCCGAGTCAGCGACGCCGGGTCAGACACCTGGTACGTCGTCGTCAAACCACAGCGGTCTCGTGGGTCGCACAAGCATGAACGCAGCGCCATCCAGCCCTGTCCGCAGGAGCGACGACGTGGCGTCCGTCGGATACAGGATGCGCCTTCCTGGCGACAAGGTTGTCATCTCAGATTGGTCGCCGCCGACCCAGAGCATGATGGCCAGCCAGCTCATGGAGGTGGATCAACTCCGCGAGCTGAGCACGTACGTGGCGAATGTGGAAGACGAGCTCACGAAGCACAATGAATTGCGCCCGCTCATGGGCATGGCCGTATGTTCTTCCCCGCCGTTCCTTTCCCTCTTTCTTTCCATTTTCTCTTCCTCTCTCGACAATATGTTGTGTTTGCTGTGCTAACCAGTGGTTTTATGCAGTTCTCACCCCGCCACCCCAACGCCGCCAAGGCGATGGCAAACTGGGAGAAAAAGTCGGCCTATCTGCTTCGCGAGATCGTCAAGTTCAAGACGTATGTGGACAGCCTCAAGGCCGCACAGCAGCAAAAGGAAGTTGTTCTTGCGGAGCGCGAGGCTCGCGCTGCCGAAAAAACGGCACGCGAAGGCGACGATGCCGAAGACGCAGCAAACCAGCAGAAGCAGCAGGAGGAGGCGAGCACCACCGCCGCGGACGACGCGGAATCTAGCCCAAACACGACCACCAACACCCCCGTTCCTGCACTTCCCTTTGCAGCGCCACCTGTTCCTCCAAAGACCGCCCAATCGACCTAGACGTACCAATTTTTTTTTTTTCCAATTCTTACTTCTTTTTCGCTCTGCTTAGACGTGAGCTTGGCTAATGCGGTGTTCTATTTCTCGTTCGAATATACAGACCGCGACGATAATGACTGTTAGAACTCCAGTTCGATCCCGCAGAGGCAAGAAGAGGCGCACGATGGCCACGAGCGCGCCGCAACCCGGGTCGATGCGCTTGATGCGGCTTGACACACCCACGTTGCCGGAGGAGAGGGAAGGCGAAGACTTTGAGACGTACGTTGAGCGCGTGGTGGACTGTGATCCCTTCTGGAGTATGGTCAACGCCACGACCGGTCGCACGAGGCGGCGAAGGCGCACTTTTTCGTAATGCTTTTGATCGGTGTTTTTTTCTTGTTTTTTTTTTTTTTCAACAAAGCACGCATAGCATCGTTGCCACGCATTCGTGCGTGTGGACGTGTGTGTTTGATAGATGCAAGCAAAGAAAGCAATCTGGTATAGATGGGGAAAAAAAGAAATTATCGGCAGGTCCAAGGTGGGGGAGTTGTATTATTTGTCGGGCATCATTTTTTTGGGCGTTTCTTTTTATGCATGTCTTCTTACCCATGTGTTTTACTATACGCATGTCTTTTGGCAACCATGGGATACATACTTTGAAAGGGCAGGATAAGAAGTTGAATGGAGGCACTAGGTTTGGAGTTCCTCTCGAGATGGGAAAATTGGGGCTTCACGGATTGTGTGTCCTTTGCGACCATTCTTCCAAGCGCCTTATTGGGCCTTAACTTTTTTTTTTTCCTTCATCTTTTGGCCTGTCTTTTTGTTTTCTCTTCTCCCTGTTCTGCCTTTCTGTGTTGGATTCTTCATCGTTTGCTCTGGCTATATACCCACAATGCCACTTTTCGCACGAGAGGGGGGCACTTCGCTCGCTATTTCTTGCTTTTTTTTTATCTCTCTTTTCTTAAAGCAAAGAATAATATGGGGAACTTTTTTTTGCTCCTTCATTGGCCTCCCCGTTTCTTTTTTTGCACTTGTAAGAGCGAGCTTTGTCCATTCTTCACGGAGTCCGTCGGTCGTCCTAGGGTCATCTCGAACGTGTAGGTACGCTGAAAGAGTGAAGAGGTCGCCATGACACGGAAACTGCGGCTCTTGCTTCAGTCCCCCGTGACAACGTTGGCTCTGGCCGTCAAATCTGGCGGTCACATTTTCGTGGCGTCTATCAAAGTCAAAAAAATTTTAAATAGGACAAAGTTTGAATTCTTGCGCAGAGGGGTTCCAACGTCTCTTTGTTTTCGTTGCATCTTTTTTTTTCTCATTTCTTTCGTGTTCTATGCAGCAAGAAGAGGTAAGAAAAACCAGAGAAGAAAGCAGTAGTTCATCTCCTTGACGAGTCTCCCACTGACACGTTGCTCCTCCCCTTGTCTTCCTTAGCAATACGTCCGACGTGGCTCCCGCGGAAGTGGAAGGGGTGAGCCTGGGAAAAACTTTCTTGCTAAGTGCACATATACGGCTGGTATGAAGGTGGCCTCGCGAAGGGAGAGGGATCCACTTCTCCAGATACGCGCACAAGTTTAGAGAAAGCAACTCCCCACCGGTGCCACACGGGCAGTTCTACTCCGGACAAGGAAGGGGCCGGGTTGGAGAAAGGTTGAAAGGGAAAGACAAAAGGAGTACAGAACAGAGAGCGCTGCTAGCAGCGAGGGATCGCGCTGGCGCTACTTCTTCTTGCCTCCCCGGCCGCCACGTCCACCGCGTCCTCCGGTGCCCATGGCGGCCTCGCGCATGCGCCGCTCGCGCTCCAGCTGCTCGGCCTTGACCTTTGCCTGTTCGGCCTTCTCCTCCTCCTCCGCCTTGCGTCTAGCAGCCTCGGCCTCGCGACGTTCCTTGACGAGCCGCAGGCGTTCCAAATCCGCGCGGGCCTCGTCTGTCTTGCCCTCCGCGTGCAGCTTCTGGTACCGCTCGCGTGCCTGTTGCGCTTGCAGTGCCTCACGCTCACGCCGCGACAGCTGGCTGACGTCTTTCTTTTTTTTCGCTTCGCCCGCCTCCTGCATCGCCGATGCCGCTGATGTCTGCGCCCGAGCTTTGGCCGTGTGGTTCGGATTCGCAGGCGCGTCGTCCGAGTCCTCATCCGATTCCTCACTATCTGAGGGCGGTAGCTCGCCCGGCTGTGCGGCTCGGGCCTTCTGTTTGGCTATGGCGGCTTCCTTACGCGCTTTCGCCGCGGCCTTGCGCTGCTCACGCGTCATTTCTTGCTTGGGGGGCGCCTCCTCATCGTCCGAGTCTTCCTCGCTCTCCTCCTCGGAGGACTCCTCCTCGTCCGAGTCCGAATCATCATCTTGAGCGTTATCACGGGGCTACCCAGGATTGCGTCAGTAACAGCAAGTTCTGTTTGACGGAGCTTTTCGTGTGCATATGACGTACCGCCCACATGTTCTCTACCTCGCCATCTGCGTTCAGAGGCTGCAAATTTCTGCTGAAATGCTTGCCGCCTACGTGTTTGTGTCAGCGGTTCCATCCCAAGGACGCCATTCAACGGTCCGAGTCGACATACCACCACGCTTGGGCTTCTGATACTTTCCGGCACGTGCTCTCGCCTGTGAAGACATTTTTGCAGAGTGAATAATAAAAAGAACCACTGTAGAGACTGTTACGGACTCTTATGGAATGACAAGAAGCCTGCAGAAAGTCGTAGCCGTGCTTGGAGGAAGGAGCGTGTGAAGGGCAGAGGGGCAGAGGCCAATGACGGAAAGTGCAGGTGATGGTGGGGTCGAATTTGGTGTGGTGCGGGCACACAGCAAACTTGTGAGGGCGAGAAAGCCGCTTGAGCTGTGCTGGGGGTGCTGGAAGAGAAGAAACAAAAGCAGGGTCTGCGAGGGCCAAACAAAAGCTCGAACTTTAAGCGTTTGGATAGTGAAGACGGCAAGGATGCATATGAGTCACCGCCTATTCCAGAGCGCAGTGACAGGCACTTGGAGCCTGTTAGCAGGCTGGACAGCTCAGAGCAGCAGAACCTTTGGAGGAGGCATTTGCAGTCTCGTGCCCAATAGAAGCGCCACTTTCATAGTGTGGCGCCTGCTGCCGCGTGTGGGCTCTCGGGCATCTTCCTGAAGCACACACACATGAGAAAATGAACCAGGAAAGAATAAAAACGGCCGTCAGGGCATCAAGGACGTGTACCCAGCACATTAGTAATATTCGTCGGTCTCCACATGCTTACTTCATCTGTTCTCCTTGCTGTGGGAACAAAAGAACGGCCTTCCAGGTGAAGGAAGTGCATGGAAGACGGCTTACGTCAACGTCAAGCGGGTTAACTTAGAGAGTCCGTCGTCCTGTAGAAACGACCCAGTTCGGTACGGAATATAAAGCTTCCGTCTTCCCTCACAGCTCCCCTGCCAAGGTTTATACGTCAGTCCTGCGTGCGTCTCTTACTCCCTTCCCGCTACTCCCTTCTCCCTCTTTCGTCGACTCCGATCCCGTCACCAAGCATGTCAGGCCCTCTCCAATCCGCAATCATCTGGCCAGAGAAGTATCTCCCTGGGACCACGGACAACTTCGTCAGCAACGAGGTGATTGTCAAAGGCGTCACGGCTCAACAAGTATGGGCCAAGCTCGCCGACATATCCCAGTGGAAAGCCTACTATAAAAACGTCGACAAGATCACGCCTCCCACATCGAGCAACGAGTTGACCAAAGGCTGCACCTTCCATTTCAGCACGTTCGGCTTCCCCGTGATCACCAGCAACGTCGAGGAGTCCGTTGCTCCTTCCCCGGGCCGACCTGGCCGGATCGCGTGGTCCGCAAAGCTGGACGGAAACTCGGACGAGAAAGTCGACGTCTACCACGCCTGGCTCGTCGAAGACTTGGACGGTGGCCGTGTGAGGGTGCTCACGCAGGAGAGTCAGATCGGGAAGCCCGCCGCTGATTTGGCTCGCTTGAAACCCAACAAAATGTTGCTGGGCCACCAGGACTGGCTTGACGGCCTGGTGAAGGCAGCGAAGGGAGAGCCCGTCGATTTAACCAGCACGAACTTGAAAGCTGCGGGTTTGGAAGCTTACTAAGAGTATCTCTCTCCACAGCATTGTGCGGTAGAACATGCCTGGAAGTCAATAGTGCGCGGAGCGGGTCACTGAGGCTCAACATGATGAACGAGAGCATTTTTGAAATGGGTTGTCGTGAATTTTCAAAATCAAGACATCACTAGTGATTGTGTTGGATTAGCACGGCCTGTGAGACTATACCGTGGAATAACCCCGCAGAATAACCTGTTCCCCCATCAGGGACTATCTTCACTGTACCCGTGCCTGCCGAAATAGACAAATAGAGATGAAAATGAGAATCGAAAAGGTAGAGAATAGCCGATTGTGTTTCAAAACAGCGAGCGTGGTTCGTCGAAAGAAAGCCCTCTGAAAAACACTCAAAGAAGGATGGCTGCCGCAAATGTGGTAACGCCAAACACGGCCTGTGAATGCGGATTTTAGTCTTGGTCCTGGTGCTTGGCCCATCGCATAAGATGAGAGAACTTACGAACGTCCATGCAGCTAAATTGCCCACATCAGGTCCCACAGCAACTGATGCACTTGAGCTGGCGACCGATGGCGAAGATGCGAGGGAACTGAGCCCCGTTGCCTGAGCGGCAACGATTGTCGGCCCGTCTGTATTCGTACTGGACACATCGAGTACATTGCCCATCGCCGAGCAAAACCCTTGATAGTAACTAGCCCAGTAAGCGGACGTGTAGTAGCCTGCTGAAGACCAGTACGAGTAGCAATAGCTGTATGGCGCATCGTAGTATCCCGGCGCCCATATGAGGGAACTAGAACTCGTGTCGTCTACTTGGTAGCACAAAGCAGCTGCCTGGTACTCATAGGAGCTGCTAAACAGATTGGGATCGTAGAAAAGGGCCGCTGACTGGCTCTCGTATGCTAAACCACAGTTGAGGCACGCTGCGTCTGTGGTGGCGCATCCAATGTCACTTGTCGAGCTTGCTGAATCAAAGAGGGCTGACAAGATCGAAGTGCAGTCGATCCCCGGCAAGTCGCATACTTGAGTCTCTTTTGGCTGATACTCTACTGTCTTGGGCGCTGTGGTGTGATCAGACTGTATCGAGCTATCGGATCTATAAGTGACAGAACTCACTGTATCCCTCTAGCGTTTTTGCAGGAGGTTTGTACGGGTTGCCATCGATCTTTCCAGGTTTAGGTGCTGCAACAATTTCGAGCGCGAGAGTCCATCTGAGCGTGAGTGCCAATTCAAAGATCTGAAGCAACTTCATGCTTGGTAGGTAGGGTGAACAATCTATAAGGAGATCACCAGTTGAACCACGGGCGAAAGGATCTTTGTGTTCTTAGCGATCAGAATATCGTTCAAACTTAACGAAAGCCAGAAACCATCTCATTTTCAATGCTGAGGGACCTCACAAGTCATCGCAAGTCACGGATCACATTCCAAGCCACATATCTCCAGATAACCAACCAAACTTGACTGTCCAGGATGGAAGGTATTTCGTGCCATCGTCACAGTCGAGAAGATAACAATCTACTATCGTACGAGTTAACAGGCCAGTCAAAAGCTGAAGCCAAGAACAATATACGAGCTTGCAAACGCAGCTATGTGATGTGAATCGAAAAGGTCGGATGGGGGCCAGTATCTCGGTTCGAAGAATTCCTTGCCGTCGAGGCTAACGATATGAAATGTTCAGAGCTACGTAGTTATAAGCCTTTTACAAGTCCCGTCGTAATCTTTAGACTTCTACGACAAGAAAAATGTGATTTTCCTAGGGATAAATGAAACTAGACGCTGTTAGCGGAGGTCCAGATGCTTCGTGCAGCTCGGACGACTTTGTCGACTGATTAACTGGGTGTCAACTTGGTGAGGCCTAAAGCTGGGGCATGCATAAGCTTGACAAGCATTCTTGAGAATGCGCCTCAACGGATCTTGCCGATGTCAACTTCAGATTTGAAACCTTGCAGCGGGGACCTGAAGCCATGGAAGCAATGAAGTGCTTGAGGTCAAACCACAGGGCACATGTGTGGTTAGGTTTTGGCGTCGTTTTCGCATGACACGGAAATCTCCTTGGATCATACGGACCAACATGAATCAAGCGAGCAAGCACAGAATTCGACGTTTAGGCAGAGAACGGATTTCTTTCAAGGTTTTCCTGAAAGCTTTTGTCCACAGCCCCAAGGCTCATCATGTTCCGAGGGCGCTCTAACCATGGAGACGCGGACGTCAAGGGCGAGGCACGTGCCGTACAGCGACAAGAAGCGGCTACCACCACACTGCACTCCTGCGGTGTTCGGTGGTGGCGACGGAATGGAGACGATGGCAGAAAGAAAGAATTGTTGTGTTTCGTTAGAGGCCGAAGAACAAAACCCGGAACCCATGTGGCACGTGACGTCGTCCACGGCTCTCGAGAGCCACTTTAGTGTTTACCCACGGTTGCTTGGCGCGGTGGCTCGGTAGCCTCGGTTGATCTCAGCCGGCAGAAAGAGGACGACAATGGCGGCCGGCCGACCATGGGAGAGAAGAAATGTCCCGTGTACTTCCTGCACTTGCCGCGACTCCAATCTTCTTACAGCTTATCTCAGCTGTCTGGTATCCTCGTTGTCTTTTCGCATTTTCGACATAGATTGGACATGAGAAGGTCATAAGAGCGTCAAGTCCTTGGTTTGTTACCGCTTTTGCCCTTCCTTCACCGCGCCGCCGAGGAAGTCCGTCATTGTGCACAATTGCCGACCAGGATTGCGATAGCCCTCGAGCAAGTTCTTGGTTCCCCATACATTCGCTTCACTTGTAACAGAGGCAGCGAAGAAATCAAGAGATGGCGGTAGTTTCAAAAGAGGCACCCATGCCTCCATGGGGTTATGCGGTCGCCGGAGCGTTTGGTGCCGTGCTCGCAAACACTTTGGTGTACCCTCTGGATCTGTACGTGAGCAGCATTCGCCTGCCGCCGGGCAATGGAGCACGAATGTCCTCTCAGCATGCAATACTGACTTATCTCAGTGTCAAGACGCGATTACAGGTTCAGATCAAGAAGAAGCAGGCCGATGTAGCGAAGAACCCCGCTGATCATGAACACTACCACTCGACATGGGACGCCATCTCCAAAATCACAAAACATGAAGGTCTGAGCGGTCTGTACAGTGGAATGGCTGGCAGTCTGGTTGGTGTTGCTTCAACCAACTTCGCATATTTCTACTGGTACACCGTCGTGCGGACATTCTATCTTGCCCGGCCCGGTGTCAAGGCCCCCCTCAGCACTGCCGCTGAGCTCTCTCTCGGAGCCATTGCAGGCGCTCTCGCTCAGCTTTTCACCATTCCAGTTGCCGTCATCACTACGAGGCAACAGACCCAGCCGAAGGGCGAGCGGAAGGGTATGTTTGCCACTGCCAAGGAAGTCATCGACAGCGAGGATGGATGGACCGGTCTCTGGAGAGGCCTAAAGGCTAGCTTGGTTCTTGTCGTCAACCCGTCCATCACGTATGGCGCCTACCAGAGACTACGCGAGATCATGTTCAAGGACAAGAAGGTCCTGAGGCCATGGGAGGCATTCAGTACGTAGTAAGCAAAGGCAAGATCGCAGACTGCGCTAACACCAGTTCTAGTGCTCGGTGCCATGTCGAAAGCGCTCGCCACGATTGCTACTCAGCCCTTGATTGTTGCCAAGGTCGGCCTTCAGTCGAGACCACCGCCAGCCCGCGAAGGCAAGCCATTCAAGTCATTCATCGAAGTCATGGCATACATTGTTGAACACGAGGGCCCTCTCAGTCTGTTTAAGGGAATCGGCCCACAGCTCATGAAGGGCTTACTTGTTCAAGGCATCTTAATGATGACCAAGGAAAGGCAAGTAAATTCCCATTGATCTCGCTGCTTTATCTAATAGAACTTTCTTTCAGGACCGAGCTGCTGTTCATTCTCCTTTTCCGTGCATTAAGGGAATTGCGAAACGATAAGCTCAAGAAGTTGGCCGAGGCAACGGCTGCGAAGGCGAAGGCTGCTTCACCTGCTCTCGTAAAGTAGACAAGAGAAAAGGTCATTTGCGGGTTTTTTCTTTAGAGAAGATGTCGGCTCGCGAAGAAGCATATGAAAAAAAAAAGAGGCTAAGGAGACCGAGGACATTTTTTCATTACGTGTATACTTCTCTGCATGAATACATCCTGGGGATTTTTTGGCTTTGCCTGTTTGTATGTGTGTGAATATGCAAGTGATGCGTATGTACACCAGGCGCTTAGAGGGGTCCGTCTGGATTTACAGCAATAGATAACAATGCTGAGGCGCTTTGAGACTAGTCATGGCTGCGCTACCTCGCTTTGCTTAGTCAGTTCAAGTCTTCAAGTGCAATCATTGTAGATGCTTCCGCGGCACAACAATGCCATCATGGGAACAGAAAGCTTTCCTTGCGCTCGGCACTCACGTGGAGCCGTAACATGTCTGAGCTTAGTTCTCCGATCGTTCAGTCGCAGAGATCAAGAATCCCACGAAGGGGACCTTCGCTCGAGGATGTCAGCCACTTTTTGAAGCTGTCCGAAACAGGCATCACTCCAGAAGCTTGCCCCATGCGGCGAAACGTCAAAGCTCAAGAAAACAGCCGGAACCACGAAGGCGACGGCCAGCTCGCAAAAGTCCACCCTCTCGAGCTACCCTCAGCTGTCTTGTTTTCCCTACAACACCATCCTGTCCCGAAGATGGCATCAAGAACAGCCCTCACGCGAGCCATTGCGCCGCGCACGCCGACATCCTTCGTCCCCCGGCGCACCTTTGCGCACACCACCCGGCTTCTCGAGACCGCGGGCACCGTACTGCCGCCCAAGAAACCCGTGGGCGCTTTCAGAGGAGGGTGCGTGACCTTCTGAGCAGCCTCTGCGCGTCGCCGTGCCGCTTTCGTGGGCCGTCAAAGGCCGAAGACGAGCGCGACCATACGACCGAGCGGGCAAAGCTCCGGTTTCGCGCAGTGGAGGGTGCCGTCCGTGATACAATGGCTAACGGAGCGGATTTACAGGCTCTTCGGCTTCCTCTTGGGCGCGACCGGTGCTGGCGCAGCCATGTACACCTACGTTGTCCAGGAGTACAAGGTCAGCAACGAGATGCTAACCGAAGATATCTACGTACGTTTGTCACACTCTTATCGTGGCCCTCACCTATGCGGAAGAAGTCGCGCTTACACGACGGAATGAAATAGAATCTACAGGCCACCGTGCAGCGGATAGAAAGCTATGTTCGCGTGATGGAAGACAAGGTTGAGAACTCGCTGAAGAAAAAATAAAGGTTGGATCAGGTGGTCAACTCCTCCCCGCTTGGCAATGGTGGAATTATTTGAATAGCAACAAGCTTCGAGGTATTTATATGCAAGAAACATAGGGCTTCGATGAATAAAAGAGGTCTCAACATGTATCATATTGCGATTAGTCGAGCTCGCTACGCAGACTTGCAAAGAACCTACGTCCCAGCATGTCAAAATATACGATACCCACCGTCTTGACCCTAATCCCTTTGGACAAGGCCTTCTCTCAATGGGAATACTCTGCTCTAACCGCCACGGGTATCTTCGATGTCATAGTTCAACGTCTTTTCCACTGTCTAGTACTTAAGCATTGTTCACGATCATATGCTCATCCCGAATTGAGCTGCCTTCTCCAAGCATCTTCACTGACGTGTCCAGCTTGGGGAGTGCTGCTTGTACCAATCCGCCTCGTGACCCGTCTAAGTTCCGCATTACCAATTAGATCATCGTGTTGCTGTTTACGCTTGGGGCCAGGTGTTGGTATCAAGCTCTTATCCTGGCTATGCGTCTGTGGCTCTTCTCTTATTTCTGGGCCAGCAGAGCTTACATAGATTGCCTCTTGAACAGTGGGTTCACGACTTTGACTTTGTTGCTGTGAGGGCATGCGCCTCTGTTGCGGTTGGGTACTAGCTCGTCCTGAAGAGTGTGGGCTGGTGGCGGATGGAGCATCAGAACCAGCTCTTACCGATGCTCTTCTTCTGGCAGCTGCTTGTGCCCCTTCTACACTCTGGTGCGGAGTGTGTGATAGACTTACTGCCGTTTCCTTCGGCTCAAACAAGGAGGATCCGAATACTTGTGTCCGTTGCATACGACGCACTTCCTGTTCGAGTTGATGGAAATTCGTCGGAGTATCTGCATTCCCGTTCATGATCTCGGGGTCCACAGGCACACCGTTGTCATCTTGCGGGAATTCGGGAAACATCGGCATGATCGAGTCCGCTGTCGTCATAAGAGTACCGAAGGTTGCGTCTGCGGCCGTGTTGTCCTGTTCTTGAAACTCCTGCACTTCAGGGGAATTATCTTGAGCTCCAGGTGTGGCTGGTTGGCGCTCTGAAATAGGCTGACCGTCTGCGTTGTATCCGTGAGCCCACAGTGACTTTTCACCTGGCGGGACACTAAACTCGCGGTCGAAAGGTGGGATGGTTGTCTTCTTCGGGTTAGGCTCCCGTCTTCCATACGGAGCAATAGCTCTCTGGGGCGCTTCTTTGCAATGCGCACAATTTTTGATAACTTGTGTGACCGTGTCCTTGATTCGGACCCAGTGATAACGCTCCGTTATCGTTGCCGTGGTCTTATTGATTCCTCCATGATGCTCTGAGTGGATGCGCCAAGCGACGTCGTATTGGCGTTGCGGATCGGAGATGACCTCCTTTCCTTTAAGCACGAGCTTTTCAGGTTCGGTATCCGTTGCAGGAATCAGTTTGTAATGTGTTGAAGCTGAACGCAATCGAGATTTCTCGGCACGATCCGCACCATCAGGATAACGACCGTGCTTGAGATAAAACTTGATCCTTTCAAAGCGCTCCTCGGATACAAGGTCGGTATCATCAACACCCAGATCACGTCCGAAAATGATAGCGTCAATTAGCTGGCCAGGATAGGATTTTAGATTTCCGCAGCCTTTTACACGGCCAATGCGCTTAAATCCCAAAGCATCCCAGATGCGGCACGAGGGCGTGTTTGTTTCGTAAACTAGGTTAAATACCGAGTATGTGTATCCCTGGAGGGCTTCAGTAACTGATGTGCCGTGAACGTCGTTGGAAGATTCTTACTAGCTTAGGAGCGTAGTCCAAATATCCTTCCCCCATTAAGCGGCCAACGCCTCTGTTCCTAGAGCCATCTGTGACAAGAAAGCCGCCATTGCACACATGGCTGCTCCTTCCAGGGTAATTTGGCTTGATGTAGAAGCTACCGAGACACTCCTTCTCCCAGTCGCAGCCCCTCTGCGCCATTTGCATAACTTCATAGGGCTCGTGGATGTCGCCTAGCAGCATAACCGCACCGAAATTGGCAAACCAATAGTTCCCGAAGGCATCTACCGTCATCGGATCTGTCATCGGATACGTGTCTCCTTTTTCGATTTCTTTGTTCAATTGGCTGCACAGGTATGCGACAAGCGTGCGTGGGACCTGCAAAACAGAGGAAAACGGTACCAGCGTGGCCTGCGTAACACGATCGCGAAGCGTGACGGATCTAGGCTGTATCTCCGGCGGAAGTACAGCCCCATCTGTAAGGTGAGGCCCGTTGCCGGATGTGCGGTAAATGGTGGGCGAAGTTGGGTCGTCCAGCATTGCCTAGGTCTGATTAATCCTGGTCATATTGTTGCAAAGTTCCTCTTTCGTATACTCACAGGCATCTTGGGCCAAGCAAAGCAGAGACAGGAGCCTCAACTAGCTGAATACATGCTTACTGTCAGCACCCACTGTAGTAATCTCAAGTCGCGTGCAAAGCTTCCGCTGCACCGAGCGAGGCTGGACTATAGGAAGCAACAACATCATGCATGGCCGGCTGCTACAGTGCGCAGATTGCAGTAAAACGCGCACAATCTAGCGACGGTGCACGATGGCATGCGCCAGGTTTGGTTCGCAGGGCAAAGGAGCATGACTTACTGTGCAATAAATATGACACTGGAGTGTTCTGACGACTACATACGTGTGATGCAAAACTCAGCAGGTTGTCGTGAGGGGTTAGTGATTATGTAATCATTCCTCACGTGACTGATTTGCAGAACTTTGTGCTCAACTTGAAATTTGAGGGTCGATATCACTGATCGATGGCGTTTTTTTTTTTTTTTGGGAAATTCTGGGGAGTAAAAGCTTCTGATATCATTTCCCGAAAATGAGCTCCGATGTGTTTTATTGATTCCCAAGTAACGAGCAGGTCAGACGAGAGGATAGCGTACAAATAAAAATTTAACAATATTTTGATGCACAGCAATATGTCGATTCTGTGTCATTATCCGAGAAGCATTGTCGCATACTTTAACTGAGCAGTAAAGCGGTATCTACGTGGAGCTTCGATCGCATCAGTTGGCAACACTTGCAAAGTGTATATTCGACTAAATCTTCGACGTGTTATTTTTCTTGCTCAATATGTGCTCGGCCGCAAGATAACCATACACAAGCCCGCGACAGACGCTAAAGCCACTGTTGTAGCCTGTTCCCACCATCGTAGGAGAAGACACGACGCCAACAGCATACAGTCCGGGAATAGTTTTGCCCTTTGTATCCAGCACCTGGCCGCTTAGTCCCGTTTTCACTCCTGCGTTTCCGATACCAGTATTTACGATACGCCAGTTCATACCAAAGAACGGTCCACGCTCGATAGGTCCCAGTAACGCGCTTGGCTTATGGGCCGGGTCGCCCAGGAACTTCCTCGCCCAGTCGTTCTCGCCCCGTCTGAAATCCGGATCTTTACCTTCTCTTGCATTGAGGTTGAAGCGCTTGATCGTGTCAAGAAAGACATCCGAATCTATATTGAGCTTTACAGCTAGCTCACGCAAAGTTGGCGCTGACACCACGTTCATCTGTTCCGGATACGGCTGGCCAGGTGCAACCGGAGGCAGTCCGTACTTCTGATGATGATCTTCGTCCCATATCAAGTAGAATGGATTGGAACCCTTTCCTGTAGCAATTGCAGTTACTACGGAGCGATAGTAGGAGTCGTCGCAGAAGCGCCTGCCTGTTGAATCAACAAATATCGAATGCGGAAATCCCATTGTTGACGCTCCATATCTGAAGCCATAGTCGTCCTGGCTCGTAGACATGCCCATAAGGTAGCCTGGGATGTGCATTGCCCTCTCGACAGGCATCACGACCACTTCAGCCCCGATCTCTCGAGCCATCAAGTGCCCGTCGCCACGGATTCCCGGCGGCGCCACGGATCCAGTCCGTTCTCGTTCCATTCCCGAGTACTCCTTAACGAGGTCAAAGTTCCAGTCGTAAGATCCCGTTGCCAGAACCACTTCGCCCAAAAATTTTCCTTTGCCACCAGGAGTTTCACATTCTACTCCAATAACAGTGCCGTTGTTCCTGATCAACTTAGTTGCGCGATGGCTTGTCAAAATTCTCACCTTCCGACGAACTAGTGCGACCAGCAAGTGCGCTGCCACACCAGTACCCATGGTCATGATATCCTCAGCTTGGCGTTGAGCAATCAAATCATCGAGTTCCTTGATCTTACCGCTGAGGCTAAACATTTCACCATATGTGGGACCGGGAGGATGGTGCGGGCTGTACAGGATTTTGGACCGCCATTCACCCAACTCAGCACCGTTAATGGGCGCAGCAGCCAGATACCGCCCTTCAGCCTTTGATCCTATCACTTCAGGGTAGTAATAGTCTGGGAAGTCACGAATGATCTGCCACCGCATAGCTTGACATTGTTCCAGATGTTCCAAAACTCTTGGTGCCTCAGTAATCCACTGGTCCATCGCCTGCTCATCAAGCTTGCTCGGTTCATCGTTGAGCGCCTTGACGTATGCACGTGTCTCTTCGAAGCTATCTTTGAACCCTTCGCGGATCATTAAATGATTCATTCCCGCCCAAACTTGCCCTGCTGAGAAGGCCGTTGAACCCCCAACCTTGCTGTATGCCTCAAGAACAACGACACGTAACCCTAAATCGTGTGCACGAACGGCAGAGGAAAGCCCGCTTGCTCCAGATCCCACGACAACGATATCATACTCTTTACTGGTCATGCTTCGTGAAAGTCGCGCATAACAGCGCTTGAGATTGGAAAGAAAGAGTAATTCCCTGGATAATTTTCCGGCTCTATCACGATCTGATGTAGCCTAATATACCAACGAAAGCGTCGTACATGTTCTGAAAAAAAGCAGAAGTAATGTTCACGCGGAAAACCATAAGCGAAGCGCCAGATAGACCCCTCACGTCTTGTGCTTGATGAAAAGCCGTCCATTCCGATTGACTTGATCCTGAGGTGAGAGAAACGAGAGCAAAGAGTACGGATGGAATCTGTGTTTACTCGTCTTCGATGCCGTCGTTCCGGACGATGCAGGCTAACGCCATCCTACCACGGCACTTCGAACAGTAGCCTCCTTCGGAACCTTAGGAGCTCTAGACACTTGTGTGGGCATTGTATAAATATTGAATCAAGCGCATGCTGTTTAATTCGAGGAATACCGTAGTATATAAAGTTCTGATGAGTAGACCCGAAGGTCTATGATATGGAGCAGGCGTTGTTGGGCACTTTCATGATGGAGTTCATCCCGAAATAAAGCAGGTTACAATCGTTGAGAAGGTTAAAGAAGTAGAATTCAATATTGAATCGGTAACGGGAAGTGGAATACGAAGAACGTAACGTGCATTGCTAGGAGATAAGATAGCCCAAATAGTTCCGACATCTCTACGGACCGGTCCTTTCCACGCCGGCGGAACTTGAACGACCCGTCATATCACGTGATTGTATTTTGTAACTTATTTGTGATATTACTTCTCAATGGCGGAATGAGAGGTGATTCGGGTAATCATGTTCACCAGACATATAATCGAACTCAGTTCATGAAACGTGTAAACCTTCTTCTCTCCATGGATATGCCAGCGTGATTCCGGTGTTCCGTATGAAAAGAGCAGCCGGTGACACCCAGAAATCTTTACCCGAAAAGAAGTGTCATGAAACTTCGACAGGCATTTCTCACAAACAGAACTCTCACGCCATACCTGAGTCCCCTAACCCGCTTTCGGGGCTCCAACGAAAGGCTATCAGCAAAGAAAGGGATATTGTACAGGGTATGACGAAACAGAAGATGATCCCCCGCGAACGTTTCTTTACCTCTCGCTCGCGCGATGCAACGAAAAATGGATAGCGTACTGCTAGCACTATGAACAAATATTCTAGTGGCGCCCTAAGTACTAAATGGCGCGATCGCCGCAGAAAATTCAGTAGTACGACGACCTTCTGTCATAGTCCCGACGCGGACGGTACGATCGTGTCGACGGCTGCCACTGTTTCACCTTCTCAACTTCGTCACGGAACCGGTCTCGGATGTCAAGTAACCGCATTCGTTCGTCAATGCTGAGGGAGTCCTTCCTTGAGCGAGTTTTCGTCGTACCACTCCTCGTAACAATGTACTCTTTGCGTGGTGATCTCGCCGGGGCATGATGAGATCTTGGTCGAGACGAGTACACAGTCACATCAGGGCGGTCCCGCCTGTAGGTGTCCTCCGGAGAGTAGTCTCGTCTTGATGGTCTGTCATGGGTCACAGTACGAGTGTGAGTACTGCGGGTTTTCGGCAGCAATACCGACCATATCGACGAGCTTTGCTTTGGCTCTCGTCGATCATATCTCTCGTGTCTGTCGTATCTGTCGTATCTGTCGTAGTGTTTGGATCTTGAATACCTATCTGCTGCTGCTCTTGACGATGAGCGGAGACTGCTCCGTCTAGGATAATGTCCATGGTCTGAGAAGGAGCGTGGTCTAGGGGGCCGGTTCGCTCTGGAATATGCTGTTGGCTCGTACGATATTGTCGCTGAATTCTTGAATTCGAGACCGTCGTCATAATGGAGCTGTGTGGGCGCGGGTATTCCATTTCTGAAGGCTCGATCATTCGATCTTATGACCACTGGAGCAGCTGTGTTGGCGACTTCCCGTCTCCAAGCATCAACCCGTCTCTCCTCAGCCGGCGTACAGTATCTGCTATGCATGGTCTAGCAGTCTATATCACTGACATGTGAGGTGAGGCGACACGGCCGAGCGCAGAGTAAACTGAGGATTGTACTGAAGTAATTTTGAGAGGATGGTTTGAGCTGGATCGCAGTTTGAGTGTCTGCTTCAAAAGAGCGTACTTCAGATACGAATCGTTCGGGCCGGCCGGTTTAGTATTTACACAGCCGTCCCACGGGGGATGTGTGGGCGGTCCTCCGTCTGGAGACGCTTCGTGGCAGCCTCTCAGCAAGCGTGACCGTACAAGTGGTAGGCTCAGGCTCCACCGCCAAAAGGGTGCCTGGACCCCGCGCCTCGGCCCTCACGGCCCTTGCCGCGCAGGCCGTGGGTAAAAGAAAATAGTGCAGGATTAGCGGGTGGATGGGATGCGTTCGGGGGTAACTGGTGAAAGCGAAGAGATGAGCGGATTCCGCATGCGCGACTTGTCTGATTCGCAGGCAGACGGCTGATGGACCAAAACTTTGCAGTTGCGCTGTACCAATAAGAAGTACATTTAGCTCGTCATTTTGCAGCGTTCTAGCGGGGGGGGGGCCAAACACCGCGTTCTCTTTCTCGCTCTTAGCTTGAGGCCTTTGCATCGGAAGCGAAAATTTTCAGCACGAATCGACACGAGCTGGGAGGACTTGTCATGAGGGGAGCAGAGCAGCCTTGCCGGTTCACGAGCGAGACAGACGCGACGAGGACCGGGAGACAAGCAAGACGGGAAAACGTGGAACCCAAAGGCCTCGCGGCGCAGTCGTCACGAGAGAAACATATGATCGCTCGTCCATCTCGTAACACCGCTTCAGCGGCTGACAAAGGACGAACCAGCACACAACGTCGGATCAAGAAGCTCTGCGCACTCTGATGGAGGCGCACGTCTGCCTGACGTAATGAGTCACGTCCGTCCGCGATTTCTGCCGAATAAGCAAGACGCATGTACGTTCTCGTTATTCGTCGCGGCGAAACTCGCCATCAGGTGGTTTGTTTGCGTTGAAGGGGGACGTGGGTGCGCACCGAGCTCGCATGTCGAGGCTTCGAACAGAACGAAGCTGGGCTGGCCAGCAGATCATCGGCCACAGCTCGAACCGTTCCGAGGCCGTCGCCATTCGCCTGAAGTCGCCGCGAACCCTACGAGTCACAAGCCAAGTGAGGCAGTGTAGATTGTATCGCCCAGCTCTTCCTGCTGGCTCTTCTCTGCCGCGTTCCTAGGCAAGAAGCCGGCAAAAGGCGCCAGCGTGTTGAGGACGCTTTGATCTAATCAGATGAGAGAGAGAGTGGTCTGGATTGCCTAAAGATTCATCACACAACACTGCACACTTTTACGGTTGTAGAAACCGTACGATCTCCCTTGCCAATGATGATTTACCTTCCTTTTCCGGCCGGTCGAGACCGATGATTCGTCGGCTCTGTATGCGGATCCAAACGATCGAGCGCCTGCGACGCCGCGTAGTCACACCACGGAGAACTCTCGTCTCCAGCACGTACGCCTCATACTCCTTTGCCTAGCCGAGTCCGAGAGGACATAAGCCAACTAGACCTAATCAGGATGAAATGAAAGAACGGACTCGTTGGAATAATCTTTTTGGTTGCTTAGGGTATCTGAGTCATCTTTGTACATCACGTCGAGAAATGCCATCCTCAAGAGAGCTTGCTCGCGGAAAAAACGTGCCCTCAAGCAGTCGCGATCGACAATGTGGATCCGAACGAGAGTACAACAACACCTATCCTCTTGAGGGCAGACCTATACGTGCTTTTCTACGGCAAAATCCCTCCCCGCACCTCTCGTGTGCCGTTGTTCATGCTCGACTTGTCCTGCAACTCCGTCGTATCGCTGTCTTCCCTCAACTCCTGCATCGACCGCCGAGATTTGCGGCCAAGTTTGCTCAAGTACCGCCGCGGCGGTTGATCGATCCTGTCGTTTGAGGCCACCGGCGTTCCTTGGAAGCAGCTCGCGATGCCCTTCTTTCGATGCTGTGGTCCGCTGATGGTGACTGTGTAGCCAAATCCATCCAGCCCGATACCCTCAAGGTCGTACTGATATCGCGTCGGAGGTACCCAGCCCTCTTCGACGTGCGTCGCATGCTTGGAATCGTGACTGCCCGCGCTGCTTCGATTCTTCCGAAATCTTGACGAGTTGGATTGCGTTTGTATGCCTGGTTCTTCTCTCCAAAACACTCGACCTACGAAAGACCGTAAAGCTGGTGCACACGCACATATCTAGGGAGTGTTAGCAAGAATGGCTTCGATTCTTGTCCAATCGCCGTGCGCACCATAGCAGTACAGATCTCGACCTCGCTGCAGATCCAGTGCGGACTTGCGTACCACGTCAGGTCGTCGCTGTTGAAGAGTTTCCACACGTAATACGTCCTGACTGTACCAACAACGCTAACTAGAAAGCCGAGGCATAGCAATAACATCACAGTTCTTCTCTGTCGCTTGTCCATGTCCAGCGACATGACTACGGGGATTGGTAGCGCAGCAACCAGTGCTTCAGCAAACGTATTCAAAGAAGCCATAGCTACGTTGGCATACGTTTCGTTAATGCAGTATCCTGTGCCAGGCCACTGAAAATATTGAGCAGGATCGCTGCTATGATGTCAACCAAGTTGCTAAAAGGAGTTTCAAGAAGGCATAGGTCTACTCACGCGCAATCGAAGATTATGGTGCCTAGATAGGACAGCAAGATTCCGATATTGAAGAACGTTGCTGCGTGAAGAACCCACTTGTACATGCCACGATGGAGAATGTCGATATGGCTGAGCAAACGATAATACAAAGCGAGCAGAGCGAATCGAATAAAGCTCGCGGCGACCGCCCAGAAGAGCTTAGCTGCCATCACTGTCTTTGCCCCAGCTGCATAAGATCAGTTTGGGAATGCACATCAAGGGACGTTGTGGGCACTCACGGACGAGGTTTTCGATATGAAGCGCATCCCAAAAATGACGGTCCCATTCATACTGTGGTCGATTGTTAGCCTAAAGTGCACGCGTTCGCTAGAACTAAGGATCTGGAAGGTTAGGTTCGCCATTCTCCCAAACCAATGTTACTATGGGTCCTTTAACTTTTGAATAGCAAAAAAGGCGAAAGAGAGAAGAAAAAAAACAAGTGGAGAGCACCAACTGCAACAAAGTAAGCGCATGCACGGTTGGTCCAGTAAGACATTCGACAACATACCATGAGAATAGCCCCAAAACACCGTCCCTAGATCCCCCATCATACATAACCACCCAAAGCAGAGAAAGTAGTCATCGATACCAACCCAGCGTCGCTGGAAAACTCGAAGGTAAAGCCTAAACCAGACTGCAGCCGTGGCCAAGGCCGCAAAGATGCTATTGATGATATATACCTCATTACCTCTTAACGGCGGCTGGATTTTACCATTCGGGTCAGCCTCCAAAGGATTTTTCTTATGTACCACAACAGGGAGAATCAGCGGTACAGATCACCAAGTACGTACATCGACCAGATTTGGAGGAGGCCACTTCGCAACCTCGTCTGGATGTGCAAAACGCATCTTTTGAGAAGGGAAAAAGACCCACACTGCCTTCAGCACATAATTATTGCTGAACCCGTTCGCACCTTTGGGAGAATGAAATACGTGATGTATACAATTATTTTTCCTCCGAAGAACCAAAAGGAACAAGAAGAAGAAGAGCACCACGGAAAGGTAGCTGGATGCTGCTGCGAGAGCCTTTCGTTTAGTTGTGTCACACAACCCTGCGTCCAATCCCCTTCTTTTGCCTGCAGTCGAGTCAGGTCCGTGAGTTGCCTTTTTTGCGCATTTGGCTCGTAAAACCCGCCCTTGCTAGGTTCGCTAGGACTCGCGGTGCCGCCATCCCCTAACTTTAGGCCAGACGTGACCTTTCTTTTTTGCTCAAAACAGGCCCCGTCGACCGCCATGGTTGATATCCGTACCAGTCGATGCGCCACGACAAGCTGGCGTTTGAGCATTCCCCCATCCAAATTACTTAATGGGGCTGATTTTCCGGCTAACAGCGCGCGAAGCCATGTCAAAAGCTGGGGAAAAAGCACTGAGCTAATGCCTGTCATTACTACTGCGCATGGAAGAGATCGCGGGTTTCGACGCCCCAAAATTGGGTTGTTTCTCCACTCACGAAACATGCTGTCGCCGCAAGGTTTGTTGGAGGGAATCGTGCAAAAAAGAAAAAAAAAATTGACAACCAGGATTCTCGCCTTATGGCTGTTCCTCTGTATCATACGGGTCCGACGCTCCGCGACTCGACAACGCCGATCCTTTCTATTCTCCTACTCTTTCACACACACAATCAAAGTTTGCTCTAAGCGCTGCTGTGAAAGCTTGTCGTCAAACCCCGTCTTTCTGAGGGGCGAAATCGGGGTGTGGACGCTAGCCATCCGCGATTTCCATTGCCAGGCTTGGAAGAAATGACTGTGAATACGTATGGAAAGACACAAGCGTAAGGTTCAAGGTCTGAAATTCGATGTTCGACGTTTACGACAGTCGCGGCTTGGATTAGACGGCATTCATGCTAGCCCGTCGTGCAAGTTACCCGTCGGAAGTGTGCTTCTCCTTCGTAGATTTGATTGCCATCATGGATTATCGTTCCGCCAGGTGTTCAATTGGTAGTCCAGCATTCGGGAGGTAGGTAGCAGATATGCTGCAACCGTCGAATAGGGTGGCTCGCCATTGACGAGCTTGCCCAGCTAGCTTCTCGACGTGTACAGCTGCAGACGCCTTTTTCGGATCGAGGTGTTCCACAACCTGGTCACTATGCCATGAGGCTCAGGGGATGGGAACCTCAGATGCCTTGAAATAGGGTGCCGTCAGGCGTTCTGACATGGAATTGCGGTTGCGTCTCGAATCGCAGGGCCTAGGGAAACATCCTCTTTCCAAGTGCAGGCATGCGGATTCAGACGAGCAGGCGCTCAATTTGTGGTCGTAGGGCACACAGGTAGTGTTACCGAAGATCTCCTAGTGGTAATTCTTGGTTCGATCTTTGCATTGTTCGGCCGTTGAAGCCTCCGTGGCAACTTATTTGCCAGAAATATGAAACGCTCGCGAAGATTGGCGGAGGTACACAGGCTGTGGAGGCAAGAGCAAAGCAGAGCTACGTGGCACGAGGAACTCTTCGATTACAACGTCCAAGGATACCTCCGGGTTATGTCTGAAGCACGACCGTGAATATTTTGCGGTCCCTCAGCCCTTGGTTCCTTAAAGCTGCTGCGAGCGATGTTAATGAAACGGGTAGATATTTGATGAGATGCTCAGTGAAGCTGGTACAAAGTCTAGCAAACCTCCTACAACTTCTTTTTGTTTTATATCTCCGAACCAAAGATGCAAGTCGTCTTATCTAATTCGTTGCCACATCGTGACCACAGTGTCCCAAGTGCGATTCGACGAGGGGTGCTTGTGCATGGTACGGCGAAGTCGGGAATCCAAGATTCACGTTCAACATGATCATCAACCTTGGGCCGTGGGGAGAATCCTGAAAAAGGGCTTAGTCCCCACAGCTTTTCTGTGTCAGAAAGACAAGCCGGACGCCGTCTGCGATCGCAGCATGTTTACGGCGCGACTGCCTTCATTGACGCTGGCTCTCCGTCTTTCACAAGCATACGGGTCGTCTTCGTCCAGGACTTGGGACAGCCGGGCCACATGAAAGGCGGAAGGAAACAGTCCACACACAGCATCTCAGCCGTGTGAAGGCGACATGCGCTGAAGCAGGGAAGGATTCAAGAGTCTATCGCGGAGGATTCGAGGTCGATCCAAGCCCGCGGAATGAAATCCACGGTTTTGCAGCAGCAGCAGTGTGATACGCGTCGCGAAGCGGGGTGAGACTGTGTGAGTCCAACAGGTGGCGAACATTAAACTAGCAAAAGGGCTATGCGGGCACGTGCATAGCCCACAACGAAGTCAAGGTCACGATGAACCTGTGTGGAAGCTTTACCAGACGACAAAAACGGGGATGCGTCATGGGGAACGCATGATTGCCGCTTCAGAAAGGGTGAAGGGAGAGGGGGAGAGAAATCACATGATACTGAACGCAGATCGTGTGGGAGGTTCCGCACAGCGAGAGAGCTGTGGCCTGCTCTCCGCTTTTTTGGAGGCAAGACACGCAAGCATACAGGTACAGCAAGCGTGTGTATATAGTTTGCTGCAACTGAATATTGACAGGACGGTCAGCGAGAGGAGAGGCAGCCAACCGAAACAGGCGGATCTGCGTCATTGAAGCTTGCACGTGTTGGATCATTGCAGATTAGGGCGACTGGAACTTCTGGACCCAGTTTGGCAAATTTGCCATGGCCCGTTGTCCGATGGCACAAAGGTGATTCGAAGAAAAAGACTCTAAGTTACAGCTGGCACGCTACACGGCAAGCTACAAGTATTAGCCATCTCTACCGTTGTGCATAAGTCAAGCCCTGCCATGCATCGTCAATCCTGTAGTGCGTGTCGAACCTTACCAGAACCGCCAAGGTTGATCCAGCTAACGTCCGGTTTTTCTTACGCTTCCCGCTCGTCCTTTGACGGTGTCATGAAGAGAAGCAGTTCGGACGTATGTGTGTCTGGTTCCTCACGCGCGTGGACAAAGAAAAAAGGGACCAAAGATGTGAAACGTGTGGAGGCAAGCGTCAGTGGGAAGCAATTAAAGCTTTTTAATCTTTTTTTTATCTAAATTTTTGGTTGAAAAAAAGAGATAGCGAAGAAAAGAACCATGGCCGGCCAGATGGGCAGAGAGCCTGCCGCGGACCCAAAAATAATGCTGCAACAGTGGCAAAGCGCAATTTTACGAAGCGGACGTGTAGCGAGACGAGGAGCAATGTCGATGATTGAGATTGGCGGGTGGACTGGACGGGGTGCCAAAGGAGCGGGAAGAGTGGGAAGCCGGTGGCTGACATCCTTGATTGGGGGTGGGAAGCGGTTGTCGCTAGGCGCCGACGTAATCTTCGATGGCACAACGAGAGTGCGTCATGGTGAGCAAGGCAGGCTGGCCCGAGCGCGAAGAGCGGAAAGATAACGATACGAGCAGAACGCACGAAGGAGCTCGAGGGAAGCTGAGGCTGGAGGAGAAGCTGAAGGGCGACGCTGATGTTTGACGACACAACGGCGGCGTTGGCGGGAGCTGGTGTTGGTTGATGACGACGCCGGTGCTGGTCGCTCGCGCTTGGTGCCGATGACGAAAGACAAACGGCCAAGTGGAGAGCAAAAGGTGGGACAAGCGAGCGAAAAGGAAGGGAGCGCGTCGAATGATTCCAGCCGCTCGGTTTCGATCGTGGACTCTCTTCTAGGCTTGTCATTCTGTCCGTACGCAGTCGCCATACGGTACCGTCGGACAAAGGAGGAGGAATAGCAAGGCAAAGAGGACCGGCGTCATCATCAACTCCGTCGTCGCAGTCTTTGTTGCTGTTGTTGACGTCTTCAGCAGCATCAGCAGAATTATAATCGCTGTCGTGATCATCAATCACGGCGACCGCTGTCCGTCTTTATCTCTAACGTCTTGGTAGTCGTCGTTGATGTTGTTGTCGTCCTCGGCCTCGACCTCGTCACCGTCGTCGTCATCGTCGTCCTGCTTCATCGTCGTCGTCGTCTTCTTCTTCTTCTCCCCCGTCCCACCTTCACCATCTGCGCAAAGCACTCGCCGTAGCTGCTCCCAACACATCTGCAATCAGCGTGGCGCTTTACTGCAAATGCTCCATCTCACGGCCTGGGCTTTCGATAACAAGGTGTGCTAGCGTGCTGCAATGTCCGAACGCCAGGCCTTAGCTGCATGGCCATTTGTTGCTTGGAGCTGGTGCTGGACCTGCGAAATGCCATTCTTGCTTTGCCTTTCCTCACCCCAAACCATCGCCGGCCCCCCCGTCTATCCGACTCCTCCAATTCATTGCCGCCCTATCGATCGCTGGGTCCCGTGTGATATCCCGTTTCTCTTGGTTTTCTGCTGCTGCTCTCGAGCGGACTCTGCTGTCTCGTCGCCCGGCCTTTTGTCGTCGGAGAAGGAAAAGCCTAAACTTAAAACCCAAACGTCCAAGAGCAGAAAAAAAAAAGTCGCCAATTGCCCAAACACGCCCCCGTCACCCTCGTTCCTGCATTTCGTCATCATCCCGGAGCGCTCTGCGCATCCTGTTCAGGTCCCACTCCACCACCACGCCGTCAACAACCTCGACTGTCGCTCTGTCCTTCTCGCTCTCCATCTCCGTCGCCTCCTCCCTCCCTCCCTCCACTCTGTTCGTCCTCAACATCATCTGTCAACGCTACGCACCCAGAGCCTAGCGCGACCGCGCACGCTCCAATCGCTACTGTCTTTTGCCTGTATAGCTCTGCCACGAAACACGCCTTTTGAAAATCGCTTCGATACTTTCCAATTGCCAGATGCTGCGTGTCCCCCCGTAGTTTCATCGTATACCATTCGTTGTTCCGCTCTTGGTCTCCGCTTCCGTGGTCTCCGTCCACACACCCACAGACACACACACACATACAAGCATGCCTTCGCTCTCGAAAGCATGGCGTCGCATCTCGCACTCACAGCCTAGTCCAAGAACAAAGGCGGGCTCGGAAGAGAGTTCGAATGCGTCCATTCGCTCCAAGCACGCCAACAAGTCCACCAACACGCTCGACACCGCCTCCGCGGACAGCAACAGCACCACCCCTCCCACTTCCGTGAGCAACCCGGACCTGTCCGCTGGAGCTTCTGAGGCTACCCTCACTCCAAGGAGACCTCCCATGACGGCCAATGGCACCAATCGATACAGTGTTTTGTCGTCGGTAAGTTGCTTCAGCTGTTGTTCCGCAGACGACCTTTTCCCTCTGACTTTTGCCTTTGCAGAACGGTTTTCCCCAAGCGCGAGTCTCGCCGCTCGCTCCAATCATCACATCTATATCAGATGGCTCTGCTGTAAGTAAGACAGGTGTGAGGGGGAGGAGATTGCAGTCGCGCTGATTATATGCTATGCAGACACATCAAAAGGTGTTGCTCGTCAGAGGCCAGATCGGGAGCTTAGAAGCATTGGGAGACTTGCACCTGAGCTCCAGTCATCCTCACAGGACGTACAATGGGCTTGTCCACATCTTTTCGCACCAGGGGAGCTTCCCCGTATACAGCGTTCCCGTTGTCGAGTCGCGCTTCAAAGCCCTGATCCATCTGCAAGCCGGTCGGAACACGCTGAGGTTCGAGTTTGAGAAGGCTCGCTCCTCCCACGGCGTGCTGCCGGGCGAGCACGTCAGCTGGCTCAACCTCAACTACATTCCTCTCAACGCTTCGCCACCTCTCCATCTAGCCATTCTCGTGGCTGCCGACTCGGAGGAGAAGTTCGACGCTCCGCCGCACCGCGTTGCGGCCGAGGGCAACGATCTCGAGGTTGCCAAGCGCAAATACCGCATGGCAGCGTACCTTTGGCAGGCATACACGGCCGATCAGATGCAGCGGAACGGCTTCTTGAGCCGCTGCTTCCGTCTTGAGGAGGAATGGCAGCCCTCTACGCTTGGCGGCTTCGAGGATCCGCAACCCTGGCGGAGCGAGGCTAGGATCCACGTGATCCGCCTCAAGCAGACGGTCGCCGAGCTCAGAAACCCAGAGTATGCGCAGCAAAACCCAAATGCGAAGGAGAGCGGAAAGCTCTTTGAGATCGCTATGCAGGCTTGCAAGGAGCACTTCAAGTGCGTTCCCAACGGCCAGAAGCAGTACGTCTCGGCCATGTTCTTGGACTCACACTGGGATCCGAACCTCAACCTTTTGACCGGCCATGCCGCGCTGGGCGGAGGCGACGGCGAATCGTTGCAGCTGGCCATCTTTGGCTCCCACCTTCTGTACAGCTACCCGATGTGCATTCAGCACGTCATCCCGGCCTTCAACGACTGCACCCCCACAGACACCAGATACGTGTGCAACGACTGTGGAGACTGCGGCAGCTCGTGGGAGGCGGCGAACGTCGGAATCGGTGCTCACATGCACGAGGTTGGCCATCTGTTCGGTTTGCCGCACCGACCCTCTGGGGTGATGATGCGTGACTACGTCAAGCTGAACAGAACATTTACCGTGGGTGAGCCGTTCTCGACCCGGACGAGATCGCCAGGGAAGAAGTTCCTGCCAAGGGAGGAAGAATGCGCGTGGAGCCGCCTGGACTGCCTGCGTTTCAGATATCATCCTTGCTTCAGGCACACCACCGACCGCTACACGCCGGTAGAAGGTGGTATCCAGGTTTGGGGTATTGCTGACGAAGTAACGGCCACTTCCGACGCCGGCATCGCCTGGGTTGAGATATATGCAGACGACGACGAAATGTGCTACGCTTGGAAGGAATATCTACCACGGCGGCCCATGCAAGGAAGCGAGTCCCCTCGCTCGGACCAGTGCCCACGTACTGTGCGCCTTGTGGAGGCTGAATTACGTGAGCACCTAAAGCAGCAGCTTCCTGCCAACAAGAAGAAGTTTAGCAAGATCCGGCTGCAGATATGCTCAACTACCAACGTCCAACTAACGATCGACGACCTGGGCAAGCTCACGGACAAGTCCTCGCTCGTGAAGATCCCCAACGGACAGAAGGCGTACCGCAGCGGAAAATTAGGCCTTGGTGCCATGGAGGGCAGCAAACCTCAAGAACTGGTGCTCGAGAGCGCGTATCTAAAAGTCAAAGAGAAGGACATCCTAGGTAACGAGGTGGTCAAGGCGAAGGTCGTCCGCTCAGTCAGGGTCTACCATGGGCTCGCACTGGACGGCATCGAGTTCTGCCACGAGGACGGCACCAGTCAGCTCTTTGGATCACGAGGCGGGAAGCCGGGAGGTGACGAATTCGTTCTTGACACTCGCATCGGAGAGACGATCGCCGGGTTCTACGTTAGGGCTGGGGCTTGGATCGATGCAATCCAGATTATAACGACAATGACGGGCCGCAAGAGCCCCATCTACGGGAACCCGACTGGTGGCTCCGGGTAGGTGACACATGCAGCATTTTAGAAAGCATTCGCGGCTAACGGAGCAGCAGACACACTCTCATCCCACCAAATGGCTACCGCGTCATGGGCATCGCCGGCTCGTGTGGCCAATGGGTCGACAGCTTTCAGCTCATCATTGGACGCTAGAGCAGCATCTATCCCAGCATACATTTGCCCGACATTCGCTTCATGATAAGCTCGTAGAACAATAAGCACTTTGCCAAATGGAGTCGTCAACGCCTCTCCTTGACATGTGCAGAATCGCAACGACGGATTTCAACGGACCCAACAGGAATCCGTGGCGCGGTCTTATCCCTGATATTCAATATACCCAGTCTTCCTAGCATAATGCCTTTAAATTTTAATTCGATCGAACTAGAGCAATACATTGAGCTAGGATCCGCAGCGTAAAGAACGGAGTGAGTCGCGGATCTACAGCATGACACACCAGCTTGGGGCGCTCATATCTCCGCCACTTTACTTCACATTCACATACCACCAACCCTGACACAACCTGTACATAGATTCGTCACTTGCTTATAGATTCGCTTTAGCGCTCATGGGAGCGGCGTGTTTTATCCTTTCACGATGCATCGGCAGAGAACTCTCTTTGTTGTCCTTTCAAAGTCGCTACAGTCTGCCTTCGCGGCTAGCAGTGTACGGAATACACATCTGGGCAATTTGCAAGAGAAAGGAACGAAGTCTAGGAGCATCGTGGTACACACATATACACACATATTTTTTAACATACATGTATGCATGTGAGCTCTTTGAATGAAGGCTCCGAACGGCATTGCTTCGATTGGCACGGTCGAGACGCGATTCTACAAAAGGATTTAAAACCCTTGAATCCCGCTTGCTTGAGCAGCATGCGAAGAGAAGGAAAGGGGCTACGGAATCGTACGGCTCTCCGAAAAAATTTAATCTAATGTGTAGACCGAATTCTTCCTTGGGGGAGGGGCAACAACAGAAGACGTGAATTTTACGTTTTATTCTTTCACGTTTCATTCTCTATTTCTTCCCGTCCCTGCACGTACAGATATGCATTCTTCGTTCCCGAGTTATCACGCGCACGTGGTGTAGTTATCAAGAAGCGCCCACGAGAATGAAGAATTAGCAAAACATCCAGTTTTGAACCCACAGAAATGAGACCGCTTCTTTTTAGGTTAAATCCTGTGAACCAAGAAAGAAAAAAAAAAGACGACGAAGAAAAAGGAAAAATAAAAAAAAAAGTTTTTTAACAAAAGGGCGGGAGAAAAAAAAGAGGAGTTCTGCAAAGTAAAAGGGTGGTCTTCTATTGTGACGAACTATTTGGCAAGATGGAGGGAGGGGGAGGGAGTATGCGAGTAGGGGGTTTTCGGTTTGGCCAAACGGGCCAGAAAAATAGAATCAAGAGGAAAAAAAAACCGGCAAAAACGTGCTGCGCGTGCGCCCGACGTCCCCCGCTCCCCAACTGGATCAATCGACGCCTAGGGAGCTCACTTCGCCCATCTCCTCCTTGCGCTGGCCGCCGACGACGAAAGTGGCCTTCCAGCGCATCTTGACCTTGCCGCCCTCGCCGGCGGGGACGTTGAGCAAGAAGATGCGCTGCGTGATGCCAGCGCGCTGGGCCGGGGCCAGGTCGCGGCCACTCTGGGGCTCGAGGCGCAGCTTGTAGGCCTTGCTGACGGCGACCTGGAAGGTGAACTCGGAGATGGGCTGCTGGGTGCTGTTGCTGACGGAGGAGGCGATGTCGATCTGGGCTGGGTCTGTGCGCGAGCGCGAGATGGCCCACGTTATGGCTACGGAGGCGGACGCGATGGTGAGCGTGTTTGAGGTGGACGGAGCTGGGAGGGCAGAGGCGAACGTCCACTCGTCGTCTGCAGCCGCGTCGGTTGCAGCGGCGCCGGTTATTGTTGCTGCTGTGGCGGTGGGGGTGGCGGTGGATGCCTGGTGCTGCTGAGGTGTGATGGATTGGGCAAGGCCAAAGGGATCGTTTGAAGCTTGCGAAGGCTGCGCCGGTGCCTGTATCGACTGCTGGAACTGGAACGGCGAAGCGCCGCGTGGCGTGTGTGTGGACAAGGCAGCAAAGGGGTCTGGTTTCGGTGACGGAGCCACATTCGGGGCCGTCGAGGACGGGCGGGAAGAGGATGACATGGGAGGTGAGAATGTGGGCATGCCCCCGAAGGCACTGGTTTGCGGAGCTGGAGACGGCTGCTGCTGCCCGGGCTGATTGAACATACTGGTTATTTGGGCGTTTGAGAGATGGGGTTGCGATGTCGAGCCTGGTTGTGAGGCGAAGCCGTTGGATCCTCCCAGTGATAACGCCCCTCCTTGACCATAGGTCTCACCTCCTATCGACAGGCCCAACAGATCATCCTCCAGCGCGTTGCCGGCCTTCTTCGGCTGCGCTGATGACTCAGCCGACTGAGCAGGTGTAGCAACTGGCTGTGTATCTTCGGGTCCTCCAAGATCGATCAGCGAAAGCTCATTGTTGTTTCCTCTCCTAACGCCTGCCCCGCTCGTGCCCAAAGTGCCCGCCGGGATCTTCGCTGCCGCGTCCAGGTCGCCCTTCTTGGTCAGCTTGTAGCGCTCAATGGTCCTGTGTATGCTGTCGTTGATCTCAAAAAGCTTAGCCACCGCTTCATGGTCGTCGGACTCTTCTTCGCACATCTTCTGAATTTTAGGGTGCGCGCTCATCAATGCTGTCGCAAGTTCCTGTTTTTATTTAGCCTTGCCCTCCACACAGCCTGCACATCTCCGCGCACCTCGAACACGTCGCCTTTTGCGTCTAAGTCTTCGCCGGCCTGGTGCTTCTGCAGCATATCCTCCAAAAGCTTAGCCTTCTGCTGCACTTTGACAACTTCTTCGGCTGCCTTTGCGCGCCAATCCGTCTTGTTTCGTGTGTCATAGCCCGCCATGACTTTCATCAGCTTGTTTGCTTCCTGCAAGTCGTGCGGCGTGCCTCGCCGTATGAGCTCCTGTAGCTTTGCTGACTGTGCTGCCCTTTCCTCCTCCTCCATCTCCTCTGCCGATCGCAAGGTCTGGTCCTCCGTCAGTCATGCCGCAATTTGGAAGGTCATTCGCGTCGCTGCACTCACCTCGCTGGAGTTCAAAACTGCCGCATCTTCCCGCCGAACTTCCGGGAACACGTAGCCCTTATAGCTGAGAAGCCTGTGCATGTCTCTTATGAAGCCTAGATCCTCCTTGTACCTTGACGTCTGACATATCGTCGACCTCCACTCCTCGATGAGTTCCAAGATCTTCATCATGGACCGTGACGGATGAGCAGGTGGTCTCTCCGGAAACCTTCTGACAAGCTCGTTTAGGAACTCCTTCGTGCTGATCTGCAGGTGAAAAGCATATCCACAATTCTTCACACAGATGTCTAGAAGGTTGAGCGCCAACATCGACACGTTCGGGTTTCTGTGGTTGACGTAGCCCACAATCGCGATGGCTGCCTCGCGCGGCGCATTGCCCTTCTTGTTGTTTATCATGTCCACAATTTCGAGGTTTAGCGCCAGGTTCGGCTCGAAATTCTGCGGATCGCATGCGTTTGTGATATACCGCTGTAGCGGTGTCTGGGGGGCTTCTCCATAACCTCCCCATCGGTCTCGCGCCGCGCGATAGCTGGCTGCTTCCATGTCGGAGGATTCAGAATAGAGGAAGGTGGGGGCGTAGGTGCGGAGGAGCCAAGGGAAGAAGCAGAAGTAGCCAAGGTGTCGTGATCTCTCTGCTGGTGCCTCGATGCTGGTGCCGAAGTGGCATGGTGGAGTAGAAGTTCTGTGGCTGAGGGAAGCTCGGACCTGGTACATACATCAATTTCATCATCGGCGCCCTGACACGCGGTGGTCTCGCAAAAAAGAAAAAAGGTTCTCCATAGCGCATTTTTGCTCTTCTTTGAAGAGCGAATTTCACAGACATGGTCAGACACAAGAAGGACAATTATTCCCGCGGCAAGAAGCCCTCTGCTGGCGCGCGCCAGCGTACCCCGCGAGACACAGACGCCGACGAACAAATACGGCAGCGTCCCAACTTCAAAGCAGCATGTTGGGATCTGGGCCACTGCGACGCGAAGCGCTGCTCCGGAAAGAGGCTTATGCGGTTGGGTCTTATGCGCGAACTTCACGTGGGCCAAAAATTTGCGGGCGTGGTCATCAGTCCGAAGGGCAAAAAGCTCGTCTCTCGCGCGGACAACGAATTGCTGGAGCAATACGGCGCTGCCGTTGTGGAAGCAAGCTGGAACAGAATCGAAGAGGTACCGTTTTCACGGATAGGAGGCAAGTGCGAGAGGCTGCTGCCGTATCTTGTGGCGGCGAACCCCACCAATTATGGCCGGCCGTGGAGACTGAACTGTGTGGAGGCGCTGGCTGCGTGCTATCACATATGCGGACACGAGGACTGGGCGGAGGAGATCCTTTCGACGTTCTCGTACGGCCAGTCTTTCCTGGATATCAACGCAGAGGTGTTGAAGAGGTACGCAGAGTGTCAGACGGACGAAGAGATTAAGAAGGTGGAGGAGGAGTGGCTACAGAAGATCGAGAAGGAATACACGGACAGGCGGATAGATCGGACCGCGGAAGGTGACGAGTATTTGCTTGCCGAGTCTGACGAGGAGAGCGGCGACAAGCAGAGCGACGAAGGGGAAGAGGACGAAGATGCCGTGCGGGATCGCTTTGAATTGCCTTCAGAATCAGACGACGAGGAGGAGATGGCCGAGCTGCGGCGACGGGTCTTGCAATCAAAGCCGTTCGCCATCAGCGCTGATCTGGAAGACACAAAACAACAGCCTCAGAGGGTCGCGCGGCCTCCGTCACCGCTCCCCGCACCCAAGCGCGGGGTAAGTCGGGAACTTGAAGATGACGATCAAGACGATGGAGCATCCGGCTCGGAGGAAGAGGATGGTCTCGATGATGAGTTCGACAACATCATGCAGCGTGGGCCCGTTACTGACCGCATTGGGATCAACGCGAAGCAGCAGGCCAGGGCACGAGATCAGGAGGCGAAGTTGGCCTTCAGATCTGCGACCGGTAGATGACAGACTTGAAATCAGAGAATGGAAACAAGAGCTATACTGTTGAGCTATCAATGAATGCCTTGCCGTGTTGATGTCGTTCTGTCTGCGTCTACGTGCCTTTTCTTAAGATCAAAAGACGTCGGGAAGAAATAATATTCTTGCAGGAGTTTAATGGCGTCCACCTGAAAACATGCGCAAATTTTTAATTTTAAATTTTTAATTTTTTTTTTTTTTTTTTGCGAGGATGGATGCCTTCAGCTGGACACTTTCACCATGAATTCTGCTTCATATTCATGCACAGAACTAGAGTTCTTGGACTCCAACGCGATATAAACGTGGCGTCATCTTTCTCCTCTCTCCCGCAAGAAGCGGGCGTGTGCGCACAGTTTGTGACTAGCGCTGCAGCAAACCGCAGTCTTGATTTTGAGCGGATACACAAATCTCAGTACCATGATTCTCAATCATCACCTTCCAGTCTATGTCAGGTGGTTATATCCACGAGGAAAGTAGACAGCTCAAACGCCGGGCGGGTTGCACACAAAGTTAGGTTTTTGGCGAATCACATGCGCGGCCACAACGCAAGTCACGCGTAACAAGAGTGCATTGCTCAGCCGTGGGTAGCTCGCGACGGCGTCTCCTAGGATTCTGTCGATCGAGTGAGTCAGCGCGAAGAGTGCAGACGTCTTTCTCAGGCTCAAAACGGCGCAGACGCTGTGTTGCGAGATGTTCGTCGACGGGGCCAAGCATGTCGGGTGTGTGGGCGGGATGATCCGTCACAACAACACAAGACTTGCAGACGGCACGAGCAAAAGGGTGAATATTTTCTGGTGCGATGATGGCGTAGGATCGCACGAGGAAGACACACAGCGACAAATCGGCGGGATAAGAAGGTCTGTTGGAGGATGTGGGAATGTCCTCCACCTGGGTCGCGCCAGCGCATCGCACACCTCGGCGGCGCAAGGAGCGCGCTGGGGCGCGCAAGACACGGAATGGCCGTGGGGAAAATACATGGAGGGAAAGAGGAAGGGCTCGCACGTCCAGACAAGGCTGCAGAACAAATGCGCCGTGCGGCGGCGGCGTGGGAGAGCGGGATTTGCGCACGGCGTGCGGGCGGCGACAGCATGGTCGAGGTCAACAATGAGGTGACCCGTCCAACGATCTCGGAACAAGGGCAGACTCAGCCTTGCAACGGCGGTCCACAGCGCTCGGAAGTCGGGCAGGCAAAACGAGTCATCCGCCACGGGAAGAGACAGCGCAGGACGGGCATCACACGACCACACGGCAAGAGGACGAAGCGGTACGCGGGCGAGGCCAGCGGGCAGGAGGGATCGGGCAGTATAATGGAGAAATCACCGCTGGCGACCTCAGCGTGCATGCCTGAATAGGCTTAGCGCGGTTTTTCGTGATGGGAGTGTTGATGGACCGGGGGGATGCGCACGTGCGTCCTATAAAACGCTGGGTAAGAGCGGCCCCGCGCCTGCGCGATCTGCTCTTGCCATCTTTCCCGCAAACACGTCTCGTCGCATCTGCTCCCAGCCCGTCGCCTCGTTCTGATTTCCGCCGAGTCCGTACTCGTTCGACAGCCCAGAAGCAACGCCACCTTTCTGTCGCGAAGACCAACATAGAAGAAATGGCCCCGAAGACTGCTACCACCAAGAAGGCCGGCGCCCCGCCCGCGCATGCCTCCTACCAAGGTATGTGCCAGCACGTTTCGCCGCAATGCGTGTATCTGTGTTCCTGCGCGCGCCCGTCGTCCTCGTTTGCGCAATTTGCTGACCTTGGCCTGAAGATATGATCAAGGATGCCATCATGAAGGTGAGTTCGGTCTTCCGGCGCATTACGTGTTGTTCGACGGTCGCATGACCAGCAAGTTCCAACAACAACGGAGCGCCCCTCAACATGAGATTGCAAAAGCCGTGTGCTGACCTCTTTTTGCTCTGTGCAGCTCAAGGAGCGAAATGGTAGCAGGTACGTACGCGATTCGTCTTGAATCGGCTAAAGTCCAGCCCCTTTGGCCTCTCCCACGCTCTTTCAAGTTCGTTTTGCTGACCAGAGCTTTTAGCCGCCAGGCCATCAAGAAGTATGTCAGGGCCAACAACAATCTTGGAAACACCACCGACAATGCCTTCACTGCGCATGTCAACAAGGCCCTCAAATCCGGCGTTGAGGCTGGTATTTTCGAGCAGCCAAAGGGTGCATCCGGCCCAGTGAAGCTCAAGAAGCCGAGCGAGAAGAAGGCTGCCGCTCCAGCTTCCAAGGCTGCCAAGCCAAAGTCAGAGAAGAAGGCTGCTGCCCCCAAGAAGGCTGCCACCGGCGAAAAGAAGGCTGCGCCGAAGAAGCCGACCACCAAGAAGGAGCCTGCTGCTAAGAAGACCGAAACCAAGGCCGCTCCAAAGAAGGCTGCCCCCAAGAAGGCGGCAGCGCCCAAGAACGAACCCGCCGTCAAGGAGAAGAAGCCCGAAGCGATTGGAAAGACCAAGACTGGACGCGTTGTCAAGAGTTCAAAGCCAGCGGTATGTTTGAACGGGCTGCTCATCATATCGTGATCACGTTCCTCCGATCTTTCGGAAATCTGATCACCAATGACTTGCTCCGAGCTTCCTTGCTGACAAGAGACATAGACCGCCAAGGCGATAACAAAGAAGGCAGCGCCAAAGAAGGAGGCAGCGCCGAAGAAGACCACGCCCAAGAAGTCGACACCAAAGAAAGCCTAGATCACGTGATGGTGATGTCAAGTCACTAAATTAACGACGAGTTCATGTGGCGGCGGCGGCGTTATGGAGGGCCGAAATGATATCCTGTTGGGATGATACTGGGCATGCGTGTATAAATTATGACGGGATGGTGTTTTTTTGGCGTTCTCGGTCTTGACATGACTGCTGCGAGCGTTGGGTATTCACAGCGCAAGTAGCATCGAATTTAATGTTTTGGAAAATCGCCTTGAGAACCCTTCGAAACGTGTTTATTTTTTAATTTTTTTTTTTTCGAAGTATATGAGGGCCGACTTCAGGCCGCTCTCCAGTATTGACTTGAAGTCGTTGCGTGCTGTCGTCTTCGCTTCGTTTTGATTGCTTGGCGGACAAGGTGACCTAAAAGGAGAGCGAAGTCACTGGGCGACTGAGGCGCAGTGCCACTCCCTGAGCGGTCGTTGAGTCTGAACAGAATACAAACAAAGGCAGTTCACGCAGGAAGCCGGAGCAGAGTAGTCTGAGGCTGCAAACGCCTGAGGGTCCCTTGCGTGGTTTTCCACCATTTGGAGTTGGTCAGCTGGTGTGTTTGTTCGCCGAAATGAATGGTGGATTCCCTCCGTATGACATAACGCCGCCAAGCCTCGACAGCGGAGTCCGAGCTCAGTTTGGCATGAGGAAGGGGACGAGAACAACTTTGGTGCCAAAACACCAGGCCCCGTCGTATCACGCCGCTAACGTCAACGCACACCCATCTCACTCTTCGTATCGTACTATCCTCACCGCGCCCATTGTTTAACGTGTACGCATTGTCCTGGACGTTTGGCTATCCCATCCTCGTCGTTGCTCAAAGATGCGAGCCCCAGGTTGATCGGAGCCCAGCGTATCCTGATTGCCGGTCGACTGATCCACACGCTGTGCAGCCACTCAATTCAAGCGACGCGATATCGTTTGGGAGTATTTGGGGATAGCGACGTCGAGCTCTGCCGCTGTCGGAAGCAGAGGAGAAGAAGTAGTAGGCTTGGGGCCTGAGCAGCGGCAGGGTACTTTCACATGTTGCACTCCATCGACATGCCTTCCTTCCTGGCTGAGGATGCTATACCTCCCACCTCTGGAATCAACGGCTCGCATTCGAGCTTCCACACTCGCAAGTCGGTTGAGCGCACCCATTCTGGAACGGGATCGTTCAAGGACGGCTACGGAGATAAGCGGGCCAACGGCGAGCTGGTCAATGGTGTCAATGGCAGCGGTGACGGTATGCATCTCGCCAATGGCCATCGCACACGCGACGAGAAGAGGAGCATGGAGAATGGTGGGCCCGTAGAGCCTGTACCCCGACGGAGCCGTGCAAGCCAAGAGCGAGAGAAGCCGGTCGGCTTAGATAGGCTCTCCACGCGAGACGACGGCTACTTTGCCAGCGTGAGCACCGCAAAGGTCCAGGAGGGCTGGTTCTCGAACAAAGTCTCGCTGGACATGAATGGCATTGATGGCGCCGTCTACGAGAAGCGAGAAACGTCCGCCTCTCGAGACGAAGGACGGATAGAGAGGAAGTCCATCGCAGATACTACGGGGCGATCATCCGGTGACAGGACATCGGAATCTCTAAGGCCTTCGAGGGAACAACCACATAGGATATCAGCCCCGCCTGCTCCCTCGAGCCACTCGGCTCAAAACCTCCTTCCACCAAACAAGCTGCAGCAGCGGCATACGCTCGAAGTTCCACGTGTGTCTACCTCCCGTTTATCAAAAGAGACAACAAACACCTTTGCAACCGAAGAGGCAGTCGCAACTGGACGATTTTCGCCAAGCACGCCCACGCGGCGCAGGAACTCTATATCCCTAGTCCGCAGAGTCACCCGATCCATCCACTCGGACGTCTACCTCGATGACCTTCCTCAGGATCCAGAGGCGGCGGCATATACGGAAATGGTCAAGCAGAAGCGTCAAAGCCGAAGAGACAGGAAACGAGAAGAGGAAGAAGACCGTGTCCTTGTCGGGACGAAGGTTGACCAGAACCACGTCAACTATGTCATGGCGTACAACATGTTGACTGGTATTCGGTTTACCGTGTCGCGGACAAATGCAAAAATGGATCGTGACCTCACAGACATGGACTTTGAAGCTAAGCACAAGTTTTCGTTTGACGTGTAAGTTTGTCAGACTCTTTCGACATGCGCTGCTAGCTAACGTCACATCTTAGGACTGGTGCAGAGCTCACGCCGTCGGCGAAATATGACTTCAAGTTCAAGGATTATGCGCCGTGGGTCTTCCGACATCTGCGGGCCATCTTCAAGATCGATCCTGCCGATTACCTGATGTCTCTCACCTCAAAATATATCCTTTCCGAACTTGGCTCTCCCGGAAAGTCTGGCAGCTTCTTCTACTTCTCCCGCGACTACAAGTACATCATCAAAACCATTCATCATTCAGAGCACAAGCTCCTTCGCTCGATGCTGAAGGATTATTACAGACACGTTCGAGAGAATCCAAACACGCTGCTCAGCCAGTTCTACGGCTTGCACCGTGTCAAGATACCGTTTGGCAGGAAGGTGCACTTCGTAGTTATGAACAACTTGTTCCCGCCACACCGAGATATCCACAAGACATATGACCTTAAGGGATCGACCGTGGGCAGACTGTACAAGGAAGAGAATCTGGTAGAGAATCCACGAGCTACGCTCAAAGACCTGAACTGGCTGAACAGCAACAACCATCTAGAGTTTGGTCCTAGGAAAAGAGAGGCTTTCATTCAGCAGATGGAGAGGGATGTCAAACTGCTGCAGAGGATGAAGATCATGGATTACAGTCTGCTCGTCGGCATACACGATTTAAAGCGTGGCAACGAGGAACAGATTCGCGAGAAGACGCTGCAGGTCTTTCAGCCGGGTGGTGATAATGATGACGCGGAGGACGATCAACCATCTGGACCTCTCACACGAACAATGTCAAAATTAGAGACAGCTCGAAAGGCCAAAGAGCTTAGACATACTTTGCGCACTGAGAAGCCCGTGCCGATGAGCCAGACAACGAGCAAGATGCCAGAGGAAATGGAGCAGAGGGATGTCAAGAAGGGCCATTATTTCTACCAAGACGACGGTGGATTTCGTGCATCACACGAAGATGACTCCCCGGGCGATGTGATCTACTACCTTGGCATTATTGACTGCTTAACACACGTAAGTTCCACACATCATCAAACTCGGGTACATGAGCGTGCTGATAAAATTTTCCACTAGTATGGCGCAGTCAAACGTCTCGAACACTTTTGGAAAGCTCTCTCCAACGACGAGAAGCAAATCTCGCCCATACCACCTGAACGCTACGGTGAACGTTTTGTGCGCTTTATAAGCGGTATCACAAAGTCGCCAGAGCTCGTTGCCCAGGAGAAAGCTAATGCAGAAAATGCCGCAGACTCACCTGACGATGCTAATACTCATTCCGCAGGCCGATTCAGCCGACGAAGATCCAGCGCACGAGACAGCGAATCTCGCTCAGCGCCTGGCGTCGGCGATGAAGAAGATGTCCTGGCTCGGGCGGAGAGGAGTGCGCAGCATGCGAGTCGCGAGTTGGAGCGTGATGATGCCAGGCCACCCGACAAGAAACTCACCACCACGAGGAGCCCAAGCGCCGAGAGAGGGGAGTCTGGGGGATTCACGCTTCCTGTTGTTGAGGAAGAGGACAAGAGCACGGGAGGAAGAAGTAATGACGAGAGAGAGCAGGATGCTGAGACTGCAGGGAGGTAAAGAGCAGGTCTTTTTCCATTAAGCATGACGGGAATGGGACTTCACGGAAAAGTTTGATGCGAACCATCTGCTTTGTGACGATTCCCCTTGCCACGTGCCAGACAATCCCGCGAGGAATCTGGCACTTTCATTATTTTTTTTCCCCCACCTTAACATGTACGCTTCTGGTCGAAGCTGCCCATATCCATGGATGGGCATATCTCCTAGTGTCTGGAAACCCCATTTCTCCTTTCTCATGTCATTTTCACACGCGTCAGCGTACCATCCGCCATCATATTTTCCCACTCGCGATCACCGACATCAACCTTTTCTTTTGAACAACTACTGCTAGCTCCAGCTTGCGAGCATCTCCTAGTGTTTGTTGTGGATACCAAGGAGCATTGCGTTGAGGGGCCCTTTTTATGACGCTTGCATTATACCATGAACTGGGCGCATGGCTGCGCCTTTCGATAGAGACGGCTGGCTTTTCTAATTATTTTTTTCCTTTATACTTTTTGTCCTCACATTCTTATCGCGTGTTTCTTGCTTCCCCTCAAAAAAATTTTTTTTTCCCTTTTGGCTTTATGTATCTATAGTTTTTGCGATTCTTGAATACAATGATAGAAGACCATTGTCATATTCGAGCCGCGAAACAAGGCGGCGTGCTCCGTTCCATCGTGCTCTCGCTCTTTCCGTCGAGTAGATGGCGACCTTGCCCTGGACCTTCTCACGAGGGCTCTTAAGTTTTGTTTCCATCCCTTTCTCGGGCCTTCCCTGTGCACTGCGAAGGCTCCTTCCTGCGTTTTTAAGTCGAGCCGTGTTGTGGGATGCATGCATATGAAAACAAATTCGAGCAAGTTGTGAACACCACTACTAACACTACATTCGCCCTCGGGGACAATCTATTAAGTCGCGGCGTATCTATCGAAGTAGTAGTCAACCTGCCTTGTAGGAGGAGCTCACGGTTGACGCCGAAACACGCCGGAGGAGATTGAACTGTCACGTAGGACTGAAACTATCAAGAAGATGAGACGAATTTGAGAGAGCAGGCGTGGAGATGGATCACTTTGATGAACGAGCATTATTATTGCTACATGATGTGCTGTGCCACGGGAACACACCAAATGCGACCATCTTAGTCGACTTCACAAAAACGCCACATGATGCACATATGCTCGACAGTGCAGATTGGGTCCCAGATCCCGGCGGGCAGGTCGGACGGTGTCCTTTCTACCGGTAGAAGTCGAATTTGTCGGCCTCGCCTCCACCCTTGACCTGAGACGTGTATGCCTCTTCCAAATCCGCCTGGATGATGTTGTACCGGTTCTTTCTGACAGCCCTCAATCCGGCCTCCTGCATGATCGCGGCGATGACGGCGCCGGAGAGCGGGTCGTTGCGTACGATCAGACTGTCCAGATCCACCTCGGGACTCAAGCTCATCTTGCTCGCGATGGTTGTAAAGATGAGACGGCGCTCACGACGATCACGCAAGGACGGAAACTCGATTTTTCTGTCCAAGCGGCCCGGACGTAGCAAGGCGGGGTCGAGTGTGTCGGCACGGTTTGTGGCCATGATCACCTTGACGTTAGAAGTCTGATCGAAACCGTCCATTTGGTTGAGCAGCTCGAGCAAGATACGCTGGACTTCTCTGTCCGCTCCAGTTTGAGCGTCGAAACGCTTCGTGGCGATGGCGTCGATCTCATCAATGAAGATGATAGAGGGCGAATTTTCACGGGCCATGCGAAACACATCACGGACCATGCGCGGACCTTCACCCAAATACTTCTGCACGAACTCGGAGCCAACCACACGGATGAATGAAGCGGTAGTGCTGTTCGCTACCGCCTTGACGAGCATAGTTTTGCCAGTACCTGGAGGACCGTACAGCAGCACACCGCGAGGTGGATCTATGCCAATCTGCTTATACAGATCAAAATGAGTGAGTGGGAGCTCGACAGCTTCTCTGATCTCCTGCTTTTGCATGTCGAGACCACCGACGTCGGCATACGTGACGTCTGGCTTCTCGTCTGCGCCCAGCATGGCAATGGAACTGTCGGCTTCAGGTGGAAGGATGTCGACCAGTGCATTTGAATGTCTATGTAGGGCCACCGAGGAGGATGGTTTGAGAAGCTCACGGTCGAGCGTTGATAGGATTCGAACGACGTAGTTAGAGCCAGTAGATGATTGCACGATTCCTGTGCTGTATTGGCATTAGCTTTGGTTCGAATGTGCCCGGACTGACGACCACATACTTCTGGTCTATGGCCTCCATAAACTGGCCGATAACCAAAGGTACGCTCTGAATTCGCTTGATCTCTTCTTGCGCTCGCACAAGCTCGCGCTTCAGATTTCTGATCCCCTATTAGCGCCTCTGCGCGTCACTTGCAAGAACACGGCTATTCGCACCTCTGCTCATCTTTTATATACTCCTCCTGTAGCTGAATGTACTCTAGCTGCCGCTGAAGTTTCTTGAATGTCGAGTAGTCATCTGTGCCTTCTGTAGCAAAGCCCTCCAGCGACTCGACGTTTGGTATCGATGAGACGAGCGGCTTCTTATGTGGTGCAACTGTGTTAAGAGGATTCTCGACGGCTGCGTCTGCCATTTTTGCGTGATCCTAGAAGTCCGGATCTGTGCGACGGAGACTCTCAAAAGCGGAACTGCGTATGTTGGTTTGCGATGGATGAGGTTGGAGTTGAGATGAGGCTCAAGGCGAGACGTATGATGCTCACGGAAACGTGCACGAGCCAAGAGAATCACGTGGAAGGCTGACATTGAACTGCTCCGTCGTTTATCTCAGCAGGCTCAGACGCTTCGCTGGGGCGTTTTTGTGGCTGACGCTAAACTATTTTGAACTTCTGCCAAGTCCTCTAAATTCCTGGACCAATCACAGCGCGCCAAACCCTAAAACCCCTTCAGCGAAGCGTCTGAGTGCAAATGGTCGCAGTTTGTTAGTACTCGCAACTTCAAAAAAGCGTTCATCTGACTATCGAAATAAATTATACATAATAGAAGATA